ATATATATCTCCCTGTCCTAGGGTCTCACTCACGCGGCATCCGACCTATTCAGCTTTCAAGATATAGTGGTTCGATAGCCTGATCAGGGGTAGATAGGCAGGTTGTACGGGCCTGGCCATCTTCAACAAGATTGAGGATCAACACGCTGCGTACAGCTTCAACTCTGCTGGATTGGGCAAGGTAGTTGGCCTTACGCAATTCCCTGAGGTGCTAGGCCTGTTGGTTAGACACGACGTAGCAGCCCGGGCTCATAACCTATGTTGTGATCTCAGGGGAAAGATGGGCAGGATGAGGCTGTATCAGCTACACGTACGTAGCCTACTGAGGACCGGATGCCATTCTGATAGGTGCTCAATTCTATGGACGACTATATCAACTATCTTGAGAGCTTCTTCTTCTCTTTTTCAACTACTAATGGGTGAAGCCTTCAGGGGCTGAAGGAGTGGGTGATCCGGCCAAGCCGCTAGGCGATCACGTGTCTCCTATAGATTCATATCATAGGGGTTATAAGGAGTTCCCCCCCCAGATGAGGTCTTGAATATGTGAGCTCCATTCTATTGGCTGGGGGACACGCAGAATTAATAAAGAATATCCTGAAATCCCTATTTCTACTATATCTTATACCCTAAAAATGGAGCGTGTTCGGGATAATAATAAAAGTCTTCAATAACCTGGCTAAAAGAGCAAGCTTACTGAGAAACACTGGGATCATATATATGATCGAATTCATACAAATCCTTATATTATGTACAAGACTCTTATCAATAAAATTGATGAAGCTGTATTAAAGTGTTCTATTCAGAACCTTATTCAAGAATGGGGCAAGTGTAAATGGAGACAAAAATATAGGCCAGAGATTAAGTCAGAACATGTAGTTAAGTATCTTATCTAGACCCGAGATTATAAATTCTTTATATCTGAGGACTGGACTCACGTCAAATAGAGTAATGATATACAGTAGAACAAAATATTAGTAAATGCCTGATCTGGATATAGCTTAGGCCTCAGGAATAGCTTCAGCAACATGATATTTATCTTGTACACTGTGGTAAAGAAGTTAAGCAGATGTTCTGGGCTGCTTTTAGAGAGTAGACTAGAACTGGCCATGTTTCTCTAGATAGTAATCTCTATTTAGCTAGAGAGAGCGGCATAGATTAGTTTATTACTGGTTTATATCAAGTCTTTCTACCAGAGATTATTCGCCCTGGAAATATCTATATGCATGACAATGTCTCTGTCCACATGTCCTATATTGTATGTAATATATTAAGAGATATAGGCATTCAGGTTATGGTATAACCGCCTTATTTGCCTGATCTTAATTCTATCAAGAATCTATGGGCTTTAATAAAAGAGGAGATATATAAGCTTTATCCTGAGCTAGAACATGCTGATAATACTGAGTTAACACATCAGCTCCTTATACAGACAGCTAAGGAGGCCTGGCAGGCTATAGAACAGAGAATTCTAGTACGCCTATCCCAAACCATGCCTCACCGTGTAAAGGCTGTCATTGAGGCCCAGGGCTGGTATACTAAATATTAGGATAGGAATTCATGAAGTTTCTGCCTTGCAGAATACTCCTAGTTTGATAGGCGGTCCCTAAATCGACCGCTAACCTTAAGCGGGTGTTCCAAATTTCAATTACCTCCCACTGTACAATACAGCTTCAAAGCACTTATCATATTTTCTTCGTTATTTTTTGTCATAATGGATTCTAAGCATTCTATCGTTGACGTGGACGAGCATTTTGATTCGCATCTAGATATCGACCTAGATCTTGAGGTAGTTCAGTACTTAATAAGCGAATTTTAATTGATTACTAAGTACTTTGATATAGATACCAGCAATTCCCATTCCACTTACAAGCGCTAAAGGCCCTTGTCTTACAGCACTGGATTTTGAATATATTGATGATCTACCAGAGAATCCGAGTAGCCATATACAAGGATATGCGTATGTTGTTTCTTCGAGAGGACGATCGCAAACGGATATGGAGCAAATTGTACAAGAGTTACGTGCTTGTTGAGCACTTTCGCACTGGTTACTAACTACTTATAGTTACTATCGGTCAAAAGCTAATTTGTTCAAAAGAGGACATGCCTGTATTGATCAGCTTCCTACATGTAAGCCAGTTTTCAAGAGATATAGACAAATGGTTAGTTTAAATACTTTATAAGCGATTCTTAAGTGCTTTCTAACTGCTCTAGAATGTTCATGGCGAACATACACCCTATATTGGCTGTATAAATGAATCCTATGATGTTCTGACAAAACATCATAGAGGAGCAATTCAAGGTCATACAGTCATTGACCTACAATTTCTTGAGGGCCTCTTTAATAAAGGAATTATGCCAGCAGTTGAAGAATGTGGTGTTTTTGAATCTCTCTCTTCCCGACGAAAATATTGTGGTAAGTGCTTGTCAACTATTTAATAACTGGATATTAACTACTTAAAAGATCGAGATCATCCTCAAGGATCAGGCCGATTAAAGCATACACCCTGCGACGTTATTTTTAATGCGTTAGTACCTGTGGACATAAATCAATGTCCGTATGTATTATTTACACCACATGGTGTACATAAACATCCACCACCGCCCCCAACTAAACCACCAGAATGGATCTTACAAGCAGTAAAAAGAATTATTCAAGATATACGCGATCCAAGTTTAAAGACCTGGTAAGTACTTGATAACTGGTTCCAAAGCATTTATTAATTAGTTATTTAGCACAATTTCTTCGAAGTCCACAACTAGAGACGTTTTGTCAACAATATAATGCTTCTACACTAGCAGAGATCCACTCTAGCTTTTGCAATAAAGATAGGATTGCAACAATCATTCAGAAGCAACGTCTCCTTTCATATCCCAGTGGTCAGGATATTAATGGTGTTATCTTTCTTCAACATGTCGATCCATATATAAAGGTAAGTGGTTTAAAGGTACTTATAAACCAGTTTACAAGGGCTTATTAAATATCTAGGACTATATACAAGAGAAATACCAGGATTCCCAGAGCACTATGGTTCTATGTGGCTTTAAAGAACAGATTCATCTTTTATCTCAACTCTCTTCCTTTGAGATTGGCATGTCTTATAAGCGAATTCGATCTAAAAATATGAATGAGGTGCTTTTTACTACCTTTTTACCAGATCAATGTAAATGTAAGTACTAAACAGATATTTATATGTCAATTTCTAACTACTTCTTAGTCATCACTTTACTACGTGCATTTACCAGTGAAGATTCCACCGAGGGTTATTATTTACTCTTTAAACGAGTTTTTAATCTTGTTCAAAGAGTCTCTCAACAGCCAGTTCTTTTTGATCCATCCATGGATCTGGCATCCATGGAATTATTGTTGATATGGATTCTAAACAATATAAAGGTAAGTACTTGTTAACCGATTTATGAATGCTTGCTAAGTACTTAGGGCTTGGTCAATATCTTTCTGAAATTGACCTAACATGGCAATTACAGCATATAATTATATTTTGCCGAGTTCATTTTCAACGATCGATTTTAAAGATTATTGGAACTCGAAATCAAGGTTCCCCTCTTTGGAGTCGAATGATGAGTCTATTAGACTGTAAATAAGAGGCTGATTATGATGCTTTGATCGATCTGTTGATAAGTATTTAACCATGTACTAAATGCTTGATAGTTGATTGTTAACTGTTTATTAGAATATGAGGACGTCGATGTCCGAAACTGGGCAATGCAAAAGAAAAGTGCTGTTATAAAAGCAGGCTTAAATAAAGCATGCTCAAAGATTCAGCCTTATTATTTTGATAACTTAAGCAATCACATAAATTCTGTCGAACAATCCCATAAGAAATCATACGCGTCGGGTAAGTATTTAAGTTTGCTTGAAGCAATGAAAAGGTAAGTGTTTAATAACCACTTATAAAGTAATTATATCATACTAATTATAATTAGTTTGGCAAAATTGGATAAAGAGGATATTCTTCAATATTACAATTTCAGACAATCTAATACCTTTTGTTCATATCGGACATCAAATATGGAAGCCAATTATCTTCATTATATGAGTCAACAAAGTAAGTATTCTAAATAATGATTCACTACCCTAAAATTACTCATTAACTGCTTTATTAATATAGATAGTCGCAAACGCCAACGGTCCTCTTCATCTAGTATCTCTGAAACTCAAGCTGCTTTACCACGATCTCGATCATCTCAAAGAAGTGCAAGATCCTGCTTACGACCTTCTTCACATAATGGTGATAATGAGTAAGTTTTGAAGTACCTATAAAGCGCTTGACAAATGCCTAATAATCCGTTAGATCAATACAATTGTCACAGATTAAATAGCGATTCGGCCTGATGGCCATACAGGATACCCTGACCCAGGTGCATGGACAATCGGCCACCGATGAGGAACATCAGGCCATACGACGGTTTGGTTTTCATTGGGAATTCTGAAACCTTTAGGCGTGGAGCCTTCAGCTATAAATTAGCGAATCGTTAATAGTAGTAGGGGGTCAAGAATCAATCTCCAGTCTGAATAGTATCTACTGCCTGCCTTTGATCTTTCTCTCTCCTTTAGCCAACGTATCCTTACCTAGTTGACCGGTCTGCTACCCTGAATAGTAGATACTCTTGACAATATTATAATAATAGTGGATATGTAAATTTTACTCTTAGCCGAGCGGCTTAGAATGGCAATACATATATATAATAATTACTAACTAGTTTTAACTATTTATTGACTACTTGCGAAATCATTTATTAATTACTTATTGATCCCCTTCTGGCAAGCTAACTACAGAGTAGAGCTTTATACAAATTTCATTATTCTTAAAGCGCTTCTGAACTACATGTCAACTAATTATCAACTACTTCTTCTGAAGCTTCTTCCTTAGGAGTCCTCACTAGCGCCTTGCCTTTATTTGCAGGGTCAGGTTAAATATCACCACAACCAAAAAAATAGAAAGTGATCATGTTTATTCACTTCCTTGCAGGAATCGTTGCGATTACCACAAAAGCTGCAAGGAACCCGGTACCCCATTTCGCCAACCTTCTTGCGCATGTTCGTGAACCTAAGTATTTGGTAAGCGGTTATAAAATAGTTACTAAGGAGTTAAATCTACTTACTGTACCATCTTTCTTTACTGGAAGAGAAGGAAGACCTGCTTCAACTGACGCAGTACCAGCATCTCCAGAGGTACTTGCTTCACCAGGATCTTTTAGTGCAGCAGCAGAGAATAGCCCTTTGTACCACTCTAAATGGTTGTTAATCAGTTAAGAACAGCATAACAAGAGCTCTCCATAATAGATCTTGATTGAGCCGTCTTCGTTCTAAGCAGTTGGTAAGTGCTTAGCAAGTAGTTAGAGAGTAGTTAAGTAACTGAGAACTTACCTCTTCGTAGGGGGTAGCTCCAGGGACTGTTAGCCACGTCACATAAGTACAAGTTATACCATTTCTAAATCAATCAATCAATGAGATTTTTATTTTTTAACTGATTATTGGTTGATCAGAAACCAATAATGACTTACAACAGTAGCAAGGGTAGCCATGGTGGTGTTTGTGGTTGGTAAAAGGTTTGAAAGATGTGTTGCGTGTTGAAAAAAATTTTTATAAAGAATTATATGTGGATTACATACGGCTTATGAAAGCTATTTTCGACTCGTGCGTGGAAAAGGACGACCCTGACGCATCTGCAACCACCCTTTGGCTATTGCTCTATCGGCGAAAGCCAGGCTCCTTTTGATTAAGCTTCTTATCAAGTTTACCACCACTGGAAGGATTTGTATGCGGGCGGAAACTCGTGTTCTGATCCGTCTGTGAAGGTGTTGATCAAGCTGAGGGAGAAGCCTTTGTAATGGGGAGTTCCAGAAAAGCAATAGTATCTTACTCCTGACTGGCTTTGATCCTCTAGAATGCTGTCTATCAACTTGAATTTATATAGAGGTGTCTCTTTCAAACCATGTTTACTTATCTTCCTGTCTCAATCGAGTGGCACTTTTGCGCAAGAGCTATCTTGCACAAACTGTCCTAAAGCTAGATGTTGTTTTCACCGGTGGGTAGTTGACTCCTAATGTTATTTAAACCCTATACATAAAAATTTCTTCGTTAATTCTGCGCTTCATTCCAACGTAAACCTCATTAACCTCAATAATTCAATTAATTCAAGCCGGCCATAGCATATATCCTTTTGTAAGAAAGAAAAAAAAGTTGGATCTAGTCTAGAGACTGGAAAGGGCAGCTGGTGGGAAAAGGGGGAATCTATCGAGATTACGCGGCCTGCTTGGCCTCCTGAGACTCCGGACCAGGAGCGGGCTCGACGCCTGTCGTCACCTCAGGGTCCTCCGTCTTCTCAGCAGCAGAGGCAATGTTAGTGGCAATAGCATCGTCCTTCTTCTTCTCCCACTTGGCGGGCTTGACCCACTCGGCCTCACGCCAGGGGCCAGCGTCAGAATTGTCGCAGCCGCCCTCACATTCGCAAGTACCGCCGAACTCCTTAGGCAAGTTCTCAGCGGGGACCTGCTTAAGCAACTCGGTCTTATACCCAGAACCCAAAACATGGATCTTTTCAACAGTAACAGGATCAAGCCAGCCCTTAACGACATTCCAGACAGTAGAGAAGCCCCAGGGGGCATTAATCATGTAAAGTTTGCCTAGACGCTCAGGGTAGTAGTTTTGAGAGACTACTGAAACCTGGCGGACATAGGAGTAAACCGATGGCACCTTAGTAAGCGTAACGCCCTTGAGGTCCATAATGGTACAGCAGGTCTCAACGAGGGAGCCAGCCTTGCGGGAGCAGGCCGGAAGGCGAGGATCTGCGACGCGTTCGTACTCCACGGCTAAGTTGGTAAGCATACGCTCGGAGGTGGTGATCTTATACATGGCAGTGAGGTCAATGCCACCGAGAGTCTCGACATAAAGCGGACGGCCATCCTCGTAAAATGTTAGTCATTAGTCAAGTGTAAACGGAGCTCCCCGGCCCAAACCTTATCTGTCTTATGGTAGAACTGCCTATAGTACTTAGCAACCTGGGGCTTTTCAGGGTAGTCCCAAATGGGGACGACCTCGTCTAGCTTAGTCTCCTTTCGCCACTTCTCGCAGTCAATGAACCTATAAGCGGTCAGCGACCCATTTCTTCTCAATATATCTATCTATAAACTAGAACCCCCTTGTCTTACATCTGCTTGGCCAGATTAACATCAAACTTGCGTGCACGGAGGAATCGCAACTATCGTCCCACCACCTATTAGCCAGTGCACCTCATGTAGCCCACGTTGCCCCCTTCACCGATACTCCAATTGGCATACCATTGTCAGGGTGTCTAGGCGATCCGTATACCCCTCGGCCTCCAGCATCATTCGCAACTGATGAACCTTGGCAATCTGCTGCTCGGTCAAGTGCCCGGCATGCCCATCTTGCGGCATGACCGCCGTATAAGGGAAATCGTAGTTATCGTATTTAGGATTCAGATCCATGGTAGGGTAGAGAAGGCGAAGGGGCGAATGATACTAGTTTTCCGAAGTTTAGGAATGAAGAAAGAAGAAAGAGAAAGACGAAAGGTTTCAGCTACAGGAGTTGGTAGAATCACCAAATGCGCTAATAATTAAAACAGGCTGGCTGGTTTATACAGTCACATGACAACAGTACGGCGGACCAAGTAAATGAAATCATGGTATAACCACAACCTCAAAAAGCACCAGTCATATAGTAGGGTATATACCTATACATACCGCCTTCAGGTAAACTGATTACAATGTCTTCTTTACCTAACAGATATATCTTTCGTCTACTGATCTCATTATACGAGTAAACTTAATACGGAATACTCCTACTCGATATCTCTATAGAGCTGGCTGAAGGCGGTAAGCAGTATGGCCAATAAAAGCGCCTACCTGGTTAGTTAAAATACTCCCCTCATTCAGCTCGCGTGCGGGGTTTGACGGCCTTCTTATCACGGGGAGGGGGCCCACATCTATGTACTAGCCACGTGAGGAAAACATTGCCCCGTATCTACCTTAGGAAGTTGATTTGGTCAATCTGAACTTGATCGGGACATACTTGCCATTTTTGGCTACTTATCTGCTTGGTGGCTAGTATTTCTTTGGAAGTCATTCTAAAAGTCTATGCTGACGGTCACATATCTAGTCAAGGTGCTTAGGCTAGGAGCAAAACAAGCTATTGCAATCCGTATAATCACAGCAAACGGAGAATACAACGGCCAAGTCCTGCTGGGCTCCAAGGTTTTGGACAGTATTGCTGCCAGCTAGAAACCACATTAGGTATAAAAGTATCAATTGTAATGTGCTTCAATCGATTGAGGCGGGTGGGTCGTGTGTGACAGTGTAGACTTTAAGTTGTAGAGAGCCCTGCTGCAACAAGTGAGAAGAGCGCCCAAAATGTATTGGAACCATGCCAAAACAGTTCGGTTTTTGACCTATCAACACCCTCTTCATACCTGTGCTGTCAAGGCGGCAGGAGAAATCCACAAAAGCGGCGAGTGGAGACGTCCACGAGTATTACGCCACTAGCGGACCCCAATTGGTTTCTTTCTTTAGCAACAGCCGCAGTGGAGTCAGAGATCGGCCACAGGCGAGGCTTTGCATTGCGACGCCCTGTCTGAAGATCAACAACCCACAGACCTTCGCTCGTTGGGCATTCTTTTCTGCTTTTCTTCCTTGTTTCGCATCTTTTCTTCTTCTTCTTCTTCTTTTTTTTTTTTTTTCCCTGTTTACTTCCATTCATCTTCTTTCTTGCTGGTTCAAGGGATACAAATTTATATGAGACTACCATCTTCTCGTGTGTTGGCAATTGATCGACCCGAGGTGGATCTCCGTTTTGTTTATCATATTGACAACCCATATATTACATCTCCAAACCAAACAATAGATTAGTTGATATCATTTCTCGATTATTTACCACTTGATCCAAGCGCATCGCCATCCACCCTCCACAAACAGATATCAACATGCGATCCAGATCCGTGAAACCATCAGTATACCCCGCAATACCTTTCCATGCCATCCGCGCTGTAGGCTCAATCTCCACCCTGGTCGTGGGTATCATCCTAGCCGTCTTCATCTATAACCTCCATAAAGACGGCTTCAAGCTACCCTGGGCTTTCCTAGTCGTAAGTCTCGCTTCTAGCCACAGAACCGGAGACGTGGTATAGTTTACTAACCCAAATACACAACCAGCTCCTTATCACCGCTATCCTCTCCCTCCTCAACTACATCCTAACCACAGTCACCCACTGCCTCCATGGTCTCTCACCCCAACTATCTCTCGTATCAAATACGATCTGCCTCCTCCTCTGGCTCATCTCCCTCGGCCTCCTGAGCTGGAGCATGTCTCAAACGATCCTGACCACCTGCAATGCCACCTACTGGGCAACACCCACCGGTATCATGGTCTGCCGGATCTACAAGGCCCTGTTTGCCTTCACAGTTCTCGGCACTATCTCGTACATCGCCGCGATCGCTCTGGATGTTATTGTTCGCAGACGCCAGACTCGTCTGGGCGAGTACGACCCCATGGCTAGTAACCCGGGCTTGAACGATTACAAGATGCACGATCGCAATAGTAGTGTGCTGTCCGGAGCCATTGGTCCTTATGGTGGAGCTGACGAGCAACATCCCGCCTTTCGCTCGAATCATCAGACGGATTATGCCTACAGCGATAATCCGGCCCCGGATAATTATTCCGCTCAGACGATGCCCCCGCCTGTATATGGTGCTAGTTCCACGCTTGAACAGCAACATGGTGGTGAGGTGCAGGGTTTTTATCAGCCGACGCCTACTCGGCCGCGGGTTCAGTTCAGTGCTTACGGGCATGATGGGTATGCCCAGCCGTCGGAGCAGACTCATTATGATCCTGCGGCGTATAGATAAACATCGCGAGGTGTACGCTTCCGATACAGATCTAACGGGGCAATCACTGGGAGCTGTACAGTACTGGGGGCTGGCTGTCTGTTTAAAACTGGCCTAGTAATATGTCGATTATACTGGACTCAATCTGATGTGAGACGATCTTGCATTGAAGGGTATATACTTATTTTTTGCCAGGGCGTAATAGGTGCATAATTTTCATCAAAGATATTGTTTTCTTGTCCGCCTTAGATATTGTGATTATGAATCATGTCGAATTTGATTTTTCAGGATCCTTTCACCAAATATTGTATCTTGGAGAGAAGTAACTATATACTTAACCAGAATTGCTCACAGGGACATGATTAATGCCGAGAAGGCCAAGACCACGCCCATATTTTGCCGGAGGTGTAAATAGCAATGGCTGGAGGGAGATGATAATAAATTGTATTAAATTCAGGATATAGAAGGGAAAGAACAGTATGGGAACTGATATTCAGTAGCCAATCCAACGTTAAGATTAAAATATGTTTACATGATGACCTCGTTAGCGACGTCCTAGACAAGTGGTTAGCTACCTTATGGTATAATGAAGGGATGGCGAGACACATACACGCTTGAGTTCCTTGTATGGCAGACATACACAGTTTTGCACTCGCACTTCGTCGCCAACGGCACACTCCTTACCCAAGATTGTGATGCTCTGCACTTTGATGCCGTGCTTCACGATGCTGGTGGAGTGGGTTCCATTCGCAATAGGGGTGCCTTCGACACGAGCCCAGGCACCTACCCGACTGCTCCATCCGATGATCGAGTGCATGACGCAAGCGTCATGTTTGATCTCTGCATCTTCGAGCACAATTGAATCCTTGACACGGGCGCCTGCACCTACAACTACACGGGGGCCAATCGAGACATTGGGCCCCAGCTTCGCCGTGGGGTCCACGGATGCGGAGGGGTGAATGTAGACTGGAGGAACAATGGTCGCGGAGGGAGGGGTAAGTTCGTCAGATTGGGCTTGGAAGGCCTTCTGAAGGTACAGAGCGTTGGCGGGGACAGCTGAACCGGCAGTCTTGATTTGGCGCCAGAAGTCCTTTGTTTCGTGAACGAAAAAGCGGTTGCTGTCTGCAAGGTCGGACAGGATGTCCTGCTCCAGGCGAAGGACTTCGCTCTTTTCCGAGTCCTCATCAGCGGCAACGAAGGACGACTCTAGGTTCTCAGATGACGGGTAGGATACTAGACGGGGTCTGGTAGTGCGGCGTTTGATGGCACTGCGAATGGACGGGAAAATACACTCGGTAGCGAAGAGATATACACCACAGTTGATAAGGTTGGAGATATGCGATTCGGGCTTCTCAACATAGTGGAGCACTCGCTTGGTATGCGAATCGGAAACTATGCATCCAAAGTTGGTGGCGGCATCGTTGCCCACCCTGGTTCCAAGAATGACAGCCTCGGCATCCTTCTCCTCAAACAGCCTCAACATTTCCCCCAGCGGGAAAGAGCAACAGACGTCGGCGTTGAGCACGAAGATGCGCTCTGGCTTGCCCTTGAGAATGGCATCACGGAAGTGATAGAGACCGCCAGCGGTGCCTAGAGATGTGTATTCGCGCAAGTACTGAATGCGGAAATGAGGGAACTCCTTGGCGGAGTCCTTGATAAAGTCGCGGAAGACCGTTTCGTCATAATAGCCAACTAGGAACACATCCCGGATATCGGAAATCTTCGCGAGCGCTTTAAGGCCGTGGTAGATAATAGGGTGTCCGGCAACTTCGAAAAGAGGCTAGCGACAGATCACTCGTTAGCACATGCTCCGAGATTATTCAGGGGTCGTGAAGGATCTCCAAGTACGGAGGGGCCACTAACCTTAGGCACATCAAGGGACAGAGGCCTGAAACGGGTTCCTCTGGACGGACCACCGACCTATAATTAATCCATGTCAGTTGTAACTATTTAGCGACCAGTTTCCTGTCGCACGTACCAAGATGATAGCCTTGGTGGAGGCCACGTTGGTATGTTCCCGCACTGGTACTTGAAGCATTGGGAAAACAACGGGTGGGTGGGGAAGTAGTGGGTATCAAAATATGAGTTTAGTGAGGTCGCAATGGGCGAGGCAGTGGGAATAACAAGTGATAATAAGTATGTAGAGAAAGAGGTGAGTAGCGGTAAGGGTGCAGCAAAAAGTTTTTTGTTCCAACCCGGTCTGGAACTGTCTTGGGCCTGAATGCTAAAGAGGCGTCAGGAGAGAGCCTAAAAGCGGATATTCCATAAATAACCCCCAAGCCGGGCAGTAACACTCACCGCTTTCGTCCGGTGATTAAGTAGCTAGCTTCCTTTTTCGGAAATGAGCCCTTACTTGGGTCCTTAGCATCTGATATTGTACAGAAGATGATACTCTCATAAATTTCAATTTTAGTAGCCCGTATCTCCAACCATATATTCCACAAATTACAGCCTTTGACGTAATAGACAAGAGACCTGACATATCTCCCCAGAAGCATTCTCAGAAATTCCAATTTCCATCTCAGCAACATAAGGTCAAAAAGGATGTTGGGTCGGATGTTCTAGCTAGCTCACCGACAGGCTCTCTAACCTATATCCAACTGAACACCATGGAGATGTTTCTCCGGAGTTGGGGATTTGAAGGCCACAGGAAAAGTGAAGGGGTATTCTTCGTCCTCTTTCTTGACAGTCGAAAGCCACTGCTGCGCTTGGGTGACCTTCTTGTGCTCTTTCAGAAGATATTGGCGGCGACGCTGACGCTCAGGGTCTGGAGCCATGAGCTCCTGGCATCGCTCGAGTGACATACCATTTTCTTCTGATATCCCTAGCTCCTTCTCGATGACCGCGACTAGTTCCTCCCGGCACTTTGAAAAAAGCTTGGTATGAATGCCCTGACAGGTAGAATCGACGAATCGTGAACTAGCTACCTCGTAATAGCCTCTAGTAGACTAGATAAGTCAGTTTCTGTACGCAATACTAATAATGACAATAAACTTACGGCCATCATCTTAACTTCTTGGGTAAACTTGTCGGGCCCGAGCTCATTAACAGTCAGCTTCTTCAGCTCAGTTTCCCATCGCGGGTCTCCTTCTGAAAACTTTCCCTGTAGTTCAAGGTAGCTGTTGGCCCTAGCCAGGTGGCGCCGAGCCGTCAGAAATTGAAGCGCGGACTTGGCAGCATTTTCTAGCTGTGTGGTAGCCATTGTGAACGGTTTGTGACACTCAATATTGTAGTTTTCGAGTGCGTACTGGGTATGCGTATCTTGAAGCTCCCCGAGATACTTCTCTATTATTCTCTTCAGCTCCCTGTAGAGGGTGGTCTGATGGTACTGAGAGAATACTTCCCTGAGCTGCTTCAGTAGCATTTCTTTCACTAGATGATGGGTAGCTTTCAGAAATACGAGCATAGGCCCATCCCAATGCTGTACACTCAATTTTCTTAGCGTCTCTAAGGCCTTGGGATCAGCCTGGTCCGGAATTCCGGCACGGCATGAGTCCTCATTGATCTCACGTATGCTTTCCCAGGTGAACGTTCGGATAGGGTCGACAAACTTCTCGAAGTGATTTGTACAATATCCAAAGTGTTTAGGCTTTGGCGTTTGCTCATCGGGAGGGATACTGGGTGACTTGCGCTTCATTGGTTGCGGTGCCGATGTCATTTCGCAGTCCGAGTCTCCATCCAGTTGAACTGGAAACGAAGTTCGATCACAGGGTGATAGAAGTGACACTGTGGGGCGCGTTTTGAGTAATGCTGATCTGAAGTCCTGCGCTATATGTCCCCAAATCTTCAAAAGGGGGTAATCAGAAGTCCCTCCATCAAAATTCGCGCGGATCCTGTCACCCAGGTCGTGAAGCAGTTTGCACAAGATGTACAGGACATTCGCGGCAGGTGGGTCGGGAAGTTGTTCAAGCTCTTCATTAATACGAGCTGCCTTTGCGTCAATTTGCTCGATGATCCTCGGCAGGCAACCTTGTATCTGCTCTAGTAGGAGATATGAAAGTGCGGATTGAAGACAATATGTGCCGAATCTATCTTTATAGAGAAGGAGCTCATCATTTGACCAAGGAGCTGAAGCAAAGAAGTTAAGTTCTTCCTCTCGGGCTTTCGAATGTTCGACTCCTGGGTCTGGGTTATTGCGAACAACGTAGTAACCATATCCAAGTTTAAATTTGTCACCCTCTAAGATTTGTACCCATTGTGAGTACGATTCGCCTGATTGTATCCGGTCAGGCTTTGTCAGAACACCTAAGGTGCGTTGGGGAGCACCGCGCACGTTTCGCATGATGCGTGCAGCGCTAGAGTTTGTAGCATCATCTGTCATGGGCAGAGTCAATAAGATGATGCAATTTGGGTGTGAGATATATTCTCTGACGAGGTTTTCTATGAGCGAGATAAGGTATTTTTCATCGTCCAATTCGGCCTGGCTAATGACGCCAGGAAGATCATAGAAAGACAAGTTCGGGAACTCAGGGGCTGAGATGTCTAAGCGCACCACATTAGGCGAAAACTTGACTTGACAATGTGTACTGGTGCCTGTGTTCTCCCCTGGAATATATTCCCTGGAAGGTTGCCCTGGATTGAGGATAGCTATCTGGGCCCATTTAATGGCTTCCTGAACCTGATTTCGGTCGGACAGCGTGACAAAATGCTCGTCTTCTTGGTCTTGTACGATCCACGGGCCAAGTGGCTGAGATTTTCTGGTTACTTTGAACTTTCGCGAGCCATCGTACATGTACTTCCTTGAAAGAAAAATCTGACAGGCCCAAGGCTGGCCAGGCTCACTCTCAGAGAGGTTAATTTCCATCGGGCACCTTGTACAGGTGCCAGCGCTTCTGGGAACCTTGATCTCGGACATGCCTTCGATGAGCGAACTCTTGCCTGTACTTTGGTCTCCAATAACGCAGATCTTTGGCAGAGCAATCTTGTTATCTTCTATGCCGATATGACGGAGGTCTTGTATCTTTCTGACCAAGGCCTTCATATCGCGGCCGATGACCTTGATCGCCTCGTTTTCTGGAGACCCGGTCATGTTGAACGGGGTGACTTGGACAGTAGCTAGTACAACCATTAGATTGAAAATAAACATAGAAGAAAAGTGGATATATACCGTCTGTTATAGAGTAGCTAGGAGTTTCCAGATGTGACATTGTCGACGCCTCTAGAGGCTTCTGTGCGCATTAGGAAATGAAGATGGAGATGATGGTAAAGTGTAAAGTAACACTGGAATCGACTCGGAAGGAAATAGAGGAGAGGGATGGGTAAATGGTAAGAAGTGAATGAATCATGAAGCAAATCTGAGATAAAGTGAATGATTTTGTACGATTTTGCTGTTGAAACACTGGCTAAGTGAAAACCATCGTAGGGTAATCAAAGTCAAGGATAGGTCAACAGGGACAGAAGAGCTGATTTATTTTGTAGATTTTTTTTTTGAATTGGTAGGATCCCAAACTTGTGGTATAGCAATTTTATGCTAGTTTCAATACTTTTCTATCTCTCTCTCTTTCTTTTTTTATTTCATCCTGGTGTTGTATCCTTACTTTCTAGTTAGTGACTTGCTTCCGTTTACAAATGTTTCTTGGGACTGTGGGGAAAGCTAGTTATACCTGAAAGCAGACACCTTTTCAAAGCAACAATACCTGGACTTTCCGTGATCGAATTTTTTTTATGGGTTGAAATGAAATAATGTTGTCAGGCGATTGTAATAGAGATCTGACTGTAGCCATGTTCAAGCTGATTACTTTTTAACACCCTAATTAAGCAATAATAATCTATCTCCATGTCATTTTCTTCTTCGGCCGTAGATTCTTAGTGTTCTAGTAAGTAAAGAAACACACTGATGGTTATATCGAGATGTATTGCTTAGTTAGACTTGAGATAACTGAGCAGAACAGAAAGATAAGCTATAGTGCACAAGATATGGGGCTCTTATGCTATGTCAATTACATGACTTCTGCTTCGCCGTCTCATTTTCTTATATTATTTTTTCACCATTTCTAAATATTTTTTTGTATACTTTCATCTATCTTCCCTCTATCTATGGAGGGGCAAAGGAAACCCCACCTCGATGCCCTAAGCCCTAAACCCCAAACAAAAGGGAACTCATCAAAAGGACTTTTGTTCTAATCTGCAAGGTGCAATTTAGACTATTATAATGGGGTCGATGTGGAAAACGGAGTCTTGCATGTAGATATTATTGTAAGGAAGTATAGCCAGGCAGAGAACTTGAACTCTTATGAGTCATAAGAATTGTAAGGACATAAATAAATGTTATTGATCGTGGGGTAATGAATGACCCAATAAAAAAAGTTGTGACTCCCGCCCAAAATTCTTTGGCTCGCCCACCGAACCTCCGCCGTATCTTTTATCCTCACTTGTCTTCCAGAGCATCATTAGGAAGATCTTAGACTCATTATGTCGGAACCTAATGCAGTTAAGGAGGTTGAGGCCTCCATGGCCAACCTCCTTCTTGATGAAGTCACCGGCGAGAAGGTTTCCAAGTCCGAATTGAAGCGCCGCCAGAAGCTCCGCGAGAAGGAAGCTAAGAAGAAGGAGAAGGAGGCTGCTGCCCCTCCCAAGGCCGAGAAGAAGACTTCGGCCGAGGATGAGGAGGCTAACCTGACTCCCAACGTAGGTTCATTCTAATTCCATATTAGGTTATTGCAGAGTAGCCCGTCGAATTCATAAGTGCTAACTTTCCTCTTCATAGCAATACTTCGAAATCCGAAGCAAGAGAATCAACAAGCTGCGCGAGACCAAGCAACCCGACCCCTACCCTCACAAGTTCCAAGTCACGGATGACCTCCGCAAGTTCCTCCAGGAGTACGATGGTCTTGCCAAGGGTGAACAGAAGCCCGACACCACCGTCCGCATTGCCGGTAGAATTTACACCAAGCGTTCGTCGGGTGCCAAGTTGATCTTCTACGATATCCGCGCTGAGGGTGTCAAGGTACAGGTTGTGTGCCAGGCCCAGAACGCTTCCGGTAGTGTCTCCTTCGAGGCTCAGCATGAGCATCTCCGGAGAGGTGATATCGTCGGTATCGTCGGTTTTCCTGGCCGCAGTAATCCCAAGAACCGCCCCGACGGTGAGCTGTCCATTTTCGCTTCCGAAGTCGTGCTTCTGGCCCCTTGTCTGCACGCTATTCCCTCCGAGCACTATGGTTTCCAGGATAAGGAGCAGCGCTTCCGTCAGCGTTACCTTGACTTGATTATGAACGACCGTTCGCGCAACGTTTTTGTTACCCGCGCTAAGATGGTTTCCTATATCCGCAACTTCTTCGACACCCGCGACTTTGTCGAGGTCGAAACCCCCATGATGAATGCCATCGCCGGTGGTGCTACCGCCAAGCCCTTCGTTACTCACCACAACGATCTCGACATGAATCTGTTCATGCGTGTGGCTCCTGAGCTTTACCTGAAGATGCTCATTGTCGGAGGTCTCGAGCGTGTGTACGAAATGGGTCGTCAGTTCCGTAACGAAGGCATTGACCTCACCCACAACCCCGAATTCACGACCTGCGAGTTCTACTGGGCTTACGCCGATGTTTACGATGTCATGAACCTGACAGAAGAGCTGGTCTCTGGCCTTGTCAAACACGTCACCGGTGGTTATGAAACCACTTTCCATACCCAGTCTGGCGAGGAATACCATGTCAACTGGAAGGCCCCCTGGCGCCGCGTGGAGATGATCCCCGCCCTCGAGGAGGCCACTGGCGAGAAGTTCCCCTCGGGTGACCAGCTGCACACCGCGGAGGCTGGTGAGTTCCTCAAGAAGGTGTTGGCTAAGACTGGCGTCGAGTGCTCACCCCCCTTGACCAACGCCCGTATGCTCGACAAGCTCGTTGGTGAGTTCATCGAGGAGACTTGCGTCAACCCCACCTTCATCACTGGCCACCCCCAGATGATGTCCCCTCTTGCCAAGTACCACCGCCAGAACGTAGGTCTCTGCGAGCGTTTCGAGGCCTTCGTCTGCAAGAAGGAGATCGTTAACGCCTACACTGAGTTGAACGACCCCTTCGATCAGCGTCTCCGTTTCGAGGAGCAGGCCCGCCAGAAGGACCAGGGTGATGACGAGGCTCAGCTCATTGACGAGAACTTCTGTACCAGCTTGGAATACGGTCTGCCCCCCACTGGTGGTTGGGGTATGGGTATTGACCGTCTGGTCATGTTCCTCACCGACAACTACAGCATCAAGGAGGTCCTTGCCTTCCCCTTCATGAAGGAGGACAAGACCGCGGCGGAGACCAAGACCGCCGCCGAGGTGGTTGGTATTGAGCCCCAGTCTGAGGAAGGAATTCGTAAGTTTTCTCTCTGCTTGAAAATTCATCTCTATCCCTGACAGATAACTAACATCGCTTTTTAGCCCACAAATAAACTTATGAAGTAACTCCACGGGATGATGGTTTATTGACGACTTATTGTGCTGCATGTTTAATTCGATGTCAATGAAGGGATGCATAAGATGAAGATAAAACATTATGCCGAGACAGATCATACATCTAGCTTTGACTGCATTCAGAATCAAAAATAGGGTATGATAAAGTCGAATGTTTAAATCTTGTAGATTCCCGGTGACGTAGGCTGAAATAGATTTAGTAACTTTATTAAGGACCAACTACCTTGATATACACGAGACTTACCTACAGATCCATCTAATACTGAACAAGACTGGAAAGAATCTTCACCAAATCACTCTGCTTCATAAAGCTATATTCTTGCTCTTTGTTTCAAAAAAATAAAAATAAAAGAAAATAAAAATAAAAGAAAAGAAAAGAAAAGAAAAGAAGGAAGGAAGAAATAAGAGAAATCCCATCAATCTGGTCCATCGAACCCATTATGAGATTCCAACAAACCAGCCCGATATAGCTCTAACCTATTCGTCTGTATACCGTCTTAAAAGGTACCATGTTTATCAGAAGAGCCTTTTTATGAAAATAACAAATGAAATTTCTTCAATGATGAAATGGCATCATCCCTTCGATCTCCAATCTCATTAATTCAGTGCCTCAGAAAAAGGTAAACAAAGGAAAATTCACTGATTCCTTTTGATCAGATTCTATCTGAACAAAATCGACCCTACAACCAGCGCCGAGTGATAAAAGATTACGAATATTAACGATAATCTCTATGTACTTAATATAATTGTCTATGTTTATTTGAATCATATCTATCTTGTAGATATACTCTAAACTATAGTAGAAGAACCCCGAGGGTTGTGAAAGAGTTGAGACAACCCAGACGCACCCAGTGAATTCCCAGCACAATAGTATACAAGAACTCACGGGGTTTTTCATCTGAAGCAAAACATTTCTGCTCATGCTACGTCCTGTACACCTCAGACACTCGCTTAGATCTATCCTTTACCTTCCTCTCTCTCTTTTTACCCCCACACTGTGTATCTAAAGGTCTTATCCATGCTGCTATTTATTTTTTCATAACCATAATCTGGCTTCTTTAGTTCATATCAATCAGCTAGCTACACTTTCTTCGCTTCAAGCGGCTCCTAGTCTTGCTTTTCTGTTTTGCCTGTGGGTTGGTTTGCTTTCATTCATCCTAGGTTTTCGAGACAGAACTGACGAGTGATTCGAGCTCACTGTCTTAGTGAGAGACTCCTCGATCAACATGGCAGATAGAGACGAGAGACTTGAAGATAGCGACCCTTTCAGACAGCTCCGCTATCTGCCACTTCCTTACTCAGATCGGTACCACACGGACGATCCAGATATCCTCCAGCCCCAGCCCGTCAGGCCTAGCGCTGGTCCAGCGTATCTGGTGAGTTCATTCTTTTCTTTCCATTAATAAGTGTAGTTCACACTCCGTTCGTGAGAATTGTAATGAGCTGACAGCACGATTAGGGGGGTGGTCCAGACCCCTACAGGGCGTTGGGTTCTTTCTCCGTTCGCGAGGGCCTGTTCGGACAGCGCGAGCTGAGTCCTGGAGCCCGGTACTTCGCGTTAATCGAAAACCAGCTATTTCAGAGACAGGCTCCCCGGTTCCCGTCTGGGCGAGCGTACTGGCGCTTCGGCGACCCTATCCCAGCAGGCTGGAGAGTCATGGTGACGCCTCATATGGCCAACAGTCCCCGTCCCGAACAGCATCATGTCCTGGTGCCGGACCATAACACCCCTGTGTCTTATGAGCGGCGTCGGATCCCCCTGTCTGCCCTGCTTGCTCCAGACTGCACGGTGGTCGAGCACGCCGCGATCCTGCATAGTATGAGAAATTCTGACACCCAGTTTGCTCCCATCGGAGACTCGAACACGATGTCCGGATCCTGTAGTACGGGCGAAGACGCACCTGCGGGCCCTGCTGACCCTCATGCGCAAAACCCGTCCGAAGAGGCCACCGTCCCTGAGGCCGCCGATAAGTCGGAGGACTTGGCCTCTGTGCTTACAATGGAGAAGGAGGTCGTACTGTGTGAGTTTGAAGAGTTGGCCACCCACACGGCGAAATGTGACGTTTGCAATAAGCGGAATACATCTGGAATGTCTCGCTGTCTCACCTGCGGTTGGCAGACTTGCAACCCGTGCACGATCGCCCGTGGATATTTTCGCACCCACCATGTGAACGGCAATATCCACACTGGACTTACTAGTCAGAGCGATCTGGACGCGGCCGCTGAAGAGATTTCCAAGTCGAAGAAGAAAAAGACGAGTACCCCCAAGAAGAAAGCTACCGGGTCTCAGTCTAAGGCTGCTGGAAAGCCCAAGAAAGGGCGTCCAGCTAAGAAACGAAGGACCCCGAAAAAGGCACCAAAAACGGCATCGGAATCCTCGCCTGTGGCTAAGAAATACGATGCTGATCAGGAGATTCTCGCAGAGGATCTTAACGCGCCCGAAGGTGCGTTAAACCCCGTCTGGGACTTCCATGGAAAAGACTAGTATACTGACCTTCAGATAAGACCGTAAGACTCAGAATGATCAAGATGTTTGTGACGTAGATTCTATTTTCGACGCGGACGCGACAGAGGATCTGCCGGAGGACGACCTGCTGGAGGATGAAGAGTGGACCCCTTTGAGAACGTTGAACACTCCGCTGAAACTAGGAAAGCTGTATAGCCAGGCCATCCAGCAGGCCCACCGAGGACGCGAGGATTTGCACCAGAAGGCGTCTACCGAGCAGAAGGTTGAACCGATAAAGGTAGCAGACGCTGATAAGCTTGTATCCAAATCAAAAGACCCTAAGCAGACGCCAGAGAGGACTAAGGCTCAGACTTTTTGTCGGAAGCAGCCAGGAAGATGCGCTTAGTGGTGACAGTGCACCAACGCAAACCAATGATCTTCAAGGGTCAATTCACTCTGCTGGTATCTAGACCGACAACCCAGCACAGCCGCATTCCTTATGTGCCACACTTTCACTGGTCTCTCACTGTGGTTTTCTTTTTACGTGAAATGTACAGACACGACTATTCAAATGTCACATGTTTCTCGCATATGTTGCATTTGCTGTTTTCTCATTGTACGGGTATTGGAGTCCGGATTAACCGAGATGTACTGTTCTTGCTGGGATATGTCTCATCCTTTATCCGTCTGTACATCTTTCATATCAGTCCGGCGCCTGCCTTGTATGTGGTGCTTAGAGGGATCCCTTGAAGCTTGGACGGAGGATGCAGATTTAATCAGGGGCGCAATGTTCCTTTTTCCTTTCCTTCTTTTTCTCAGTTGAACAGCTGGGTTGCATAATTGAAACTTCCACTTTGCACAATCGCATATCGAGTCTTTCCGCCAGATGAAACCAAAATGTTAAAATAGTTCTAGCGACTGGCGTTCGACAGTAGCGAGGTGTTAATTACTGTAGGTATCGTCTGTTAACCGATAGCCCATGCGTCATTTACAATCTCCGACAGTTAGTGGATGGTTTCGCTTGTAGTAAGGGGCGAGTAATGTTAGTAAACGGAAGGCGTAAGGAAAAAGTGGTCATCGTCCAAGACGCAATGAATGATTAACTATTGTACAATGTATAAGTAGAGATTTATAACACACATAAGAATGATCCAAACATTCGTTAGTTTAACATAGCAGCAAAACCGGATGGCTAGGCCAGTCACAACCTATCCCATCCTCAGCCGATGGTCAATCAATCAACTCATAGCTTAAGAGGGCCATGGGAAGCTGCACCGGAGACCGCCTGGCCACGGGCCTTTACTGCCATTTGCAGTAGCTTGGCAGTCCTTGACGGGTGCCAGACCCGGCTTCCCAGGACTAGGACCCAGGTCAGAAGGAACACGCTTCCCGCTTGATGGGCGGAGGCAAGAGGAAGGGGAACAAGGTAGAGTAGTGTAGCGATACCCAGACCAACTTGGCAGCATGCAAAAGCAACAACTCCGTGAACACCCTTCTTAGCAGCAGGTGGAAGAAGTCTCTTCATGGTAGGGGACCGACGAGTGTAGGCCAACAAAGCCATAATGCAGGTGAAGGTAGTTGTAGCCAGGATACGATGATCCAGTTGAACAAGAGAGGGGTTCTCGAGGATATTTCTCCACCACAAGTCAGATCTATCCTCGTGCCGCGAATACCTTGCATCGAAGAGCTCTGACTTGGGAGGAGCCAGCCCGTTGCCCATATAGGGGAATTCGTTATAGATGAGACCAGCATCCAGGCCAGCAACCAGAGCGCCAGACATGGCTGTCACAAAAACGAGAGCAGCCAAACCAGCAACAGAACGACGGAAGATTTTGAGTTTGGGGTCGCGGAGCGAGTCCAACAGCTTAATACCAGCCTCAGGATCAGCAAGCAGGCGGTGTGAGCGCAGGATAGCGAGACCATTCCAAAGCATTGCGACATAGCAGAAAAATGCAGCTCCAAGGTGTGCTGTCAGGCGGTACTGGCTCACTCGAGGGTGGCTGCCTGGCGCAAAGAGATCATCCTTGAGTCCGGACTTGACCATCCACCAGCCAATAAAACCTTGGAAGCCAATCAAACCAGCAATACCAGCAAGTCGCAATGACATTGACTTGCTAACCTTTTTCCTTGCGACGAAATAGACAGCCGGAAGCACGAACGACAGGCCGACGAAACGACCCCAAAGACGGTGAATCCATTCCATGTAGTAGATCGATTTGAATTCGGAAAGGGTCATGTGCGGGTTCAATAGTTGAAACTCGGGGGAAGCGCGATATTTCGCAAACTCAGACTCCCAGTCTTCTGCGTTCATAGGGGGAAGAGATCCGGTAACGGGGCGCCATTCAGTGATACTCAGGCTATACCAATTGGTTGTTAATCTCTCGCATAGAGGCTTCTTGTAGGATGTAAGGAGACGTACCCAGATTCTGTCAATCGAGTGAGTCCACCAAAAACTACAATACCAAAGACGCTCGCTGCACTGCCTAGCAGCCAGTAAGCCACCGTCTTGTCGCTAACCTTAGGCCAACTAGACTTCGGTTTAGAAGCTCCCTCCTCAAAAGCGTTCGATACTGCTGAGCCAGAAGCCGGCCTTCTGAAGGCATTCGGGAGTGCCTTTTTAGCTCTTGCGAATGAATTGATTGAATTGAGCTTGCTGGTGTTCTGAGTAAAGGGCGACGCAGCGAAATTCATGCGGAAAGCGGATTTGGTCACATAGTTTTGGCTCTGCCCTAGACATTGACGACAGGTGAAGAATTCCTTGGAAAGCCTGGTAGTAAAACTCCGCATTCGGGATACGGAGCTCCCCAAGGACACCATGGTGAGTGATATGGCAACAATTGATGTTTGGAGAAAATGTTCGGACCTTGCGACACAAATAATTGCGGGAAGTTGCGGACGGACGAGAGCCCGAGACTCCGAGCGGCGCGCACCAATCATGGTGGCATGATTTCATGCTCCGTTAACTTCGCGTTCTTGATGTGTCCTTTAGATCCTCACGGTGGTTGTTCCATTTTTAAATTAAACTGACCTTTTGCACCCCCGGATTAGCCATCCTTAAGATATACAGTTTGCCAGCAACTTTATTAACCAAAGAGGCTGTGTACGAAGATGTACGTACCCATTGGAAACTATGATGAATGGAACCGGTTCTCTTAATACACATCTTTACCTAGGATTGTATAAAAAGAACAAATGCCGCTCCTACTGCGCATATCTGATTTAAAGCAGAGTACAGCAGGGAATGCCAAATGTCCTGTCGCGACTGAGTTGAACAAAGTATGTACTAGTATATTTGGTGTCCTGAGGCACCAATAAGATACGTGCCAATCCAGGTTTAGCGCAGTCAGCTCCAACCATCTCTTGCAATGGAATCGTCAACAGACACAACAGCTTCAAGCTCGTTCTTTGCTCGCCCCCAAAGGACATTTCAGCTATACCTAGGAAGATGTCATATGCTGTGGAAACCAAGAAGCGCAAGTTTCATCGAGTTCTCGAATCATTGACCAAACCTTCGAATGCCGAATCCTTAGCCCAACCAACCCCCGCGGCAACAAGAACAACAGGTACAACAAAAGAATGTATCCCCACAGATAAAAAGGCTCGCCTGAGTGATCGGAAGGATGGGCCTGATATTGTGTCTGTGCGGAAAACAATCTTGAAAGTCGCTCGTCCTAGCTCTCGAGACTCATTAGTATCGTCCTCACGGCCGAGTTACGTACCTTGGGACCGCGAACGCTTTTTGGAGCGATTGGAGACCTTTCGCCGAGTTGATCGATGGTCGCCGAAGCCATCGGCAATAAATGAATTGGAATGGGCGAAGCGTGGCTGGATCTGTACGGATGTGTCGCGAGTCGCGTGCGTGGGAGGCTGTGGCGGTTCCGTTGTCGTCAAATTACCAGATGAGCTTGATGAGTTGGATGGATACGATAGCGAGAAGGTCCAAGAAAGAAGAGAAGTTCGTAAGTTGGGATCACATTGTCGAAATTTGACAACATAAACGCAATTTGGGCTAATCCACGCATAGGTGCTAAACTCGTAGAGGAATATGCGAGTCTTCTAGTTCAAGGGCATGGTGAAAATTGCCCCTGGAGAAATAAGGGCTCCGATGGTTTGTTTTCACGAAACAACTTGCCTAAATCTAGCTGACTGTCCTAATAGTTACGATCCACCGGTTGGCCCTGTCCAACCCTGAGGCGGCAATTTCAGGTCTCCGGATACGTTATTTGAACATCGTTAAGATGGCTGATCAGCTGCCATCCCAGGAAGTAATTCAAACGCCTGAGTCATTCGACATCGAAACTTTAATTAGGATATTGCCGGATGATTTCGAGGGGACCAAAGTGTGCACCGAGACCACGGAGCCACAGAGCCCTCAGCGCGTCGACGGGACTCAAGACACAAACCCCCAAAGTCCGCCTTCGAAGGAAATAACGATTAACAGGGCGGCTTTTGCGCTTGCCTTCTTTGGGTGGGACTCTGTTGCGGATGGTGCAGCAGGCCTGGCAGGCTGTGGTGCATGCTTCCGGCGTCTGGGACTCTGGATGTACAAACCGAAGGACAACGGAGATATATCTGTTTACGATGCACTAGATGTTGCTACCGAGCACATGGAATACTGCCCATGGATTAATGGGAAGGCTCAAAGCGGGACGGGAAAGCAATCTGAGAAGTCGGCCGAGTTGCGTAGTGGATGGGAGCTTTTGGCCCAAGCGCTCAAAGTAAAGCATCGACGGAGTATTAGATCCACAGCGTCTAGTGATAGTCGCGCTGTCTCTGAATCGCCCTCTGCGGATGGGCTGGTGTTTGACGAAGCAAACAATGAAGCCAAGAAGGCCAGTGACCGCGAATGGTGGGCAAAGCTTCGACGAATGAGACAAGTATTGAACGTCAAGTCCCCGAAGAAACCCACTGCGCCATGATTTTGTTCTGCAATCTTCCTTGTGTCTCTTTAGGTATGCGAGCGTGGCGTTCAAGGCATTGGTTACGGTTTTAATGTTTATTTGTACAATACCTCAACGTACCATAAAGCGAGCTGCTCAATTGCATCTTTTAAAACAGTTCTGCCTTACAGAGTATATTGTTAGTCTCGGATAAGTAAAGCGAAAATTAAAAAGTTGGTGGTTACACCATTCGGCCTGTCTCGCCTTGATCTCATCCACAGTCCACTACATGATAGATCTTTCAGCGACTCAGCTTCGTCATACTTAATCATAAAATTTTGACAGCCCTAGTTCGGTGTTGAGTATGTCACCTAGTATGGGAGCGAGCGTAATGTCACCTATTCTGCAACAGTTATCAGAAACTTCGCAACTGCAATGCCCCAGCGAGCAAAGAAGACTATGATTTAATGTGCTTAAAGTCGATCGAACCCCGGATGCGGCAAGAGGAAACCTGGTTTGCGCTACTTTGGATTAACCAGAACCAGATCTAAAGGAAGACACATCGTCGCAAACTATTTCTTTCAGTCTTCTTCCAAAGAATACTCATCCATAAGTCATGAATCTTCCAAGAAACAACAACCACTCGAATCGCGCATCATGGCTGAAGGGAACCCGGAAGGCGGAAGCAGTAAGAGAAGCAGCAGTATGAGGTACGATCCTGCACGGGACTCTTGGGAGGCTCAGCAACCATCAGTAGTATCACAAACACTGCCACAAGCTCCCCCGTTTCCTCGTTTAACTCAGATTAACTCACCAGTGCAGGAGTATTTTCCCTCGGTAAGTTTATGGCTTGCTTTACTGCGCGGAACCATTTTCCTTCCGATTTTGGAATTCTTCAATGCCTGCCTAGCTTATTCCCGTCCGCGATGCACTTCCGCATTGACGCATAACCTCAATTTCTCCCCGTATTCTTATTATTTTTCTTTGTTTTTCTTCTTTTCTTCGACTTTTCTTGCTCACCCATTGCCAAGGTTCTGAGGCTCGCTTGGTATAACCCCAAGCCATAATTGCTTACAAGTCTGGTGTTGTTATTAGATTATTGGTGGACCTTCCCCGACGATCCAGTCCTCGGTGCGAAACACAACGCCCGCTTACCAAGAACAAATTTCTCACGAGTCATCATTACATTCAAGAGATCCTCACAACACAGAGAAAGTCCCGTCGCAGCAACTAGACCCATACGAATCATCTAAAATCCCCAGAATGTCGAGCCCGGAGGTTGCTAGCCCACCCCCAGAGTCGGCGGAGATACAATCCACGTACAACGGAGCCATTGCCTCCCCTGCGGTAGCTACCCCCGAATACAATGGATCTCCAATAATAAAGCAAAAGCTGATAGAACAGAAGACTGCACAGGAGGAACAAAAACCCGCGGATCGCCCATATTCCAAGCGCAGACGCCTCCAAGAGCGGCATCAGCAACTGCGAAAGCGCGGCAGAACGCCTCCATCAATCTATTCCCGTCGCGACACAGACGATTCTGCGCGGCAACGCAATCAAAATGAATCCTCAAACAGGTCTCCCTCACCCCTCGGCCCTCCGCGCTCTCCTTCACCCGAAGCGCAGGCACGCAAGCGCAAGCGGCCTGGCGGTGGTGCCCGTATGGGCTTAGTGGATCGTGAAACTTTACGTCGGAGACAAGAAGAAAGAGAACGTGCGCAAGAAGAGGAAGCCATGCGATTCTCCCAGAACCGTGGTGTGACGGACATTGTTCGTCACCACTATAATGCTGTGCCCCAGCGAGGAAGAGAGTGGCGGAAGACGGAGAGTAAGATCAAAGGCCTACGAAGCTTCAACAACTGGATTAAGAGCACTCTCATTCAGAAATTCTCACCGGATGAGGAGTTCCTGTCCAGGTCGGTTGGAACCAAAGAGTGGGCAGACGACACCGCTCCGCCCCCTACGCAAGATAGACGACTTTTGGTTGTAGACCTGGGCTGCGGCAAGGGGGGCGACTTGGGCAAATGGCAGCTAGCACCTCAAACCGTGGACCTCTACGTTGGGCTAGACCCCGCTGAAGTCTCCATTGTCCAAGCACGCGAGCGCTACAACGGTATGCGAACTGGACGTGGCCCGCGGGGGCGACGTGGTCCTCTCTTCCATGCTGAGTTCTTCCCTAAGGACTGCTTTGGAGAGTATTTAGGGGATGTTCCCATCGTCCAGCAGGTTGGAATTGACCCTAACGCCGGGCCAGGTGGCTCAGTAATGAGCTCACGCTGGGGTGGCGGTGGTTTCGATGTGGTAGCATCTATGTTCACTGTTCATTACGCATTTGAAAGTGAAGAGAAGGCACGACAAATGCTGCGCAATGTAGCTGGGTGTTTGAGGAAGGGTGGTCGATTCTTAGGAGTCTGTCCCAACTCAGATATTATCAGTGCACGTGTGGCGGAGCTGAATCAAAAGCGCAAAGAACGCGAGGCTGTAGCGAAAAAGGAAGAGGCGGAGCCTGAGGATGGAGAAGTCGAAGAGGATGACAACAAGATTGAATGGGGAAACTCGATCTACCGAGTCAAATTTCCTGGTGATACCCCTGAGGATGGGGTCTTCCGGCCACCTTTCGGATGGAAGTACAGTTATTACATGGAGGAGGCTGTGGAGGAAATCCCAGAGTACGTTGTGCCTTGGGAAGCCTTCCGAGCGTAAGTGTTGCCTGCTGGCCCAATTACGGCACATGAGTCTGACTGTCTTCAGATTAACGGAGGACTACAACCTGGAGCTCCAGTACCGTAAACCGTTCCTGGAGGTCTGGGAAGACGAGAAAGACGACAAGGAATTGGGGCCCCTGAGTGAGCGCATGGGAGTCCGGGATCGAAACACCGGCGCCCTGCTCATGACCGAGGAAGAGAAGCAGGCAGCCAGTGAGTATTCGGCATGGTCCGGAGTAATCTGATTGATCGCTAACATGAACAGGCTTCTATCACGCATTCTGCTTCTATAAAGTCTAGTTTAAGGCCCGGTATTTCCACCCTCTCTTTCTGTTGTTAATCTACTCATATTTATCATTTTGGGGATAATCCGGTATCCCTGTATGTACATCCCTGTCAACCAATCTAATAGCGATGCACCGGCATACATTCGCTATGCATCATACATTCTACACGAAACATGGATAGAATCGATGGAATTTGTAACAATAAAGTATTGCTACCCAAAGGCGTCAAACAGAAAAGTATAACCTAAACGGGATTAGCGCCATCGCGTCGCGTATCATCTCTTATCAACCTTCATCATATCCTCCATCAAGACTTCCTTTCCACCAAAACTAGCAGGACATAAAGTCCTAGCCCTCCAACCTCAACATACCAAATCCCAATCGCAAAAGAGGGCCCAATCAACCCAACCATCCTCAACGTCAACCCCAACCAAACCACCACTAAACACCACTAAACACCCCATTCCAAACGAACCCCAAAGACGAACCGTCAGAGACATCAACAAGCAGCCCAAGACCGAGACAAAGAAAAAAAAATGCCAAGCTCAATCCCAAACCCCCGATCCCGCCACAGCACAACCCATCCCCCCTCCACCCGCCGCCCCAGACCCCAAGCCCAACGCGAACGATCCCAAACCCCCCCACTCCCAGCCTACGAACCACCACTCACACCGCTCCATCCGACCGGCCAAGCCGCGCTCCTATCACTCCTTAAATCGCAGTCCCTCCGACAATTGAAAACGCATATACAACACGCGGAGGAGAAACTGACGGATTCGGCGGGCGAGGTTAATGAGCGGCTTACTGAGGCGAGGGCGCGCTTGAAGAGGAAGCGGGAGGTAAATAAGGTGGATGAGGAGGGTGGGGAGGACGAAGAGGAGCGGTTGAAGAGGTTTGGGGAGGAGGTGGGGGGGCTTACGGAGAGGTTGGAGGAGAGGATGCGCGGGGTGATTGATGGGGAGTGGAGGGTTGATGGGTTGGTGGGCTGTTTAGGGGAGATGGAGAGGGAGGTTGAGGCTGCTAGTGCTGTGCCGAGGCGGAGAAGGGAGAGGCGGAGGAGGAGAGAGGAGGATGGGGATGGGGATGATGGGGATGATGGGGATGATGGGGATGATGAGGATTATGAGGAGGAAGAGGGACGCGGAGAAATGCTGCCGACGAAGATGTTGGATGAGGTGCTTGGGGAGAAGTATGCTGAGTGGGATGGGCTTTCGTTGACGCAGCGGTATGCATCTATCTATATTCTAATCTTTTTGGAAGGGGTTAGTGAAGCTAATTACATGGGGGGGGGGGGTTTTTTTTGGGAGGGGATAGGTATTCTGCTAACAATGCTTATATTGGCTTCTATCGGATTATCCATGAGGCGAAGCATCCCGGCGACGATATTCCTCCCCTGCCTCATGCTTCGACTTGGTTCTCGCATATGGAAGAACCGGCCTCGGCCTCAACGCAAGCGACTGATTCTGCAGCCCGGCGGACTCGACGTCGGAAGTCTCCCTCCCCAGCGGACTCGGATGAAATCGCCATCGAAAGCGAGCGCATCTCGCTTAAATGTCCTCTTACTTTGCTCTATTTCAAGGACCCTGTCACAAGTACCAAATGCCCGCATAGTTTTGAGCGCGAACCCATTGAAGAAATGATTGCGCAAAGCCCGACGACTGTTCCCGCGCCACAGTCGGCGGGAGCCGCCGGCCGCAGCGCGCGCCGTGTTCGCTCCGCCAAGTGCCCGGTGTGCTCAGTTGTCTTGACTGCGGCTGATCTCCGGCCGGATCCTGTTCTGGTTAGAAGAGTTCGTCGGCATCAACAGGCGTTAGAGCGGGAAGCAGAGGAAGACGAGCTATCGGTTGGGGCGAGAAGGAGACTCTCTGGAGTCCGGAAAGGCGGCATCACACTCGCTAGCGATGATAGCAGTGAGGATGGGGATGAAGATGAGGTGGATGTTGATTCGCATGATCAGCATGGTGGTCATAATTCCGGAACCCAATATCCTGTTCGAATTAAGCAGGAGATGAGCACAGCTCCTGTAGATGACGATTAGCCGATAATTATTTCGACTAGCGGGTTTATAAGTCTAATAGATATCGGACAGCGTTGATCGGGGTTATGTCAAACCGTATCGGTCTAGTTTATTATTCAAGTAACAATTTTCTGCAAATCAATTCATTGTTTAACCCATACTAAAGCATGCCTCGAAATCGGGGTATGGAAACTGCCTCTCGGAGTACATGCAACACTCAAGCCGTGAAAGGGAAAGTCAAGGCCATGTCCTCTTCATGTGCCTCGAGCCTGTATTAGTCCTGATGGGAATGAGACAACAAACTAAGTAAAAGAAACTCCATTACACCCACTGTAAACAATACTAACACCAGGGGGAAAAAAGTAAGACCGCACGAACAGGGGTATTTTCCAAAGGGAAGGGATATTGTTCTGCCTCGGAGATGTGGTGGGACAGACGCATTGTTCCTTACAACATGCTGATATTCTCAACGCATATCCGATGGTCAGCTCGCTAGAAATTTCCATCACCGCAACTGGCCGAACGGTGGGGTGTTCTATAGCATGAATTTCTAGAACCATTGAAACCGGAATGATTTTGCCGCGGTCACATCGTATTCTGGACACCGCATTTCTCAGAGAGTGAACAGGAAGCAAACGTCCACGAGACCAAAAAGCATAGGAAGATCGGCGATTCAGTCATAAAAGGCTGACACAGTTCACTTAAGTCAATGCGCTTCTTTCTTTAAGCCGAGAGATTCCTTGTAATCGTCATCCGATCAATGAGTGTTTAATCACTTATTTGGTCAGGAGGTTGAGATAATCCGCCACAATAAGCGTGACCATGCTAAAGTGGGTCCGTGGGGTTAGTGATAAGCACTTAAGAAAAAAGAAACAGCGCGGGGAGTGGGGAGACTAACGCATGGGGTGCGATCCGCACATAGTACGTTCCGAATCCGCGGTAAAACCTCAACCAACCCTCATCCTTGGCAACTTTACGAGCACAATCCAGCACACCCTTGTACGGCAACTGGCCGGTCTTAGGATCTTTCTGCTGCTTCTGCAGACGGGTCTTGATAAAATCGAAGGGCAAAGAGAGGAAGCTGGCAAAGAATCCAGCAATGGCAGAAGCAGCGAAGGTCTGGCTCTGGGTGGATAGGGATGTGTGAGATTTCAGCTGAGCCTTAGATTCCGCGAAGAAAGTCAGTTGGCCGACATTGAGAGCCATTGCCCGCACTACGGTCGGCAAAGCACCCGACCACAAGGCTGCAATACCCTCATTCTTCGAAATGCGGAACAGCGCATCCACCACCGAACGGTAGTGTGCTCGCGCCTCTGGAGGCTTAAGGCCATCAGATTGCATGCGAACAAGAGCCAGATCAGCTGGATTGCCAATCATAGCAGCAATGCCACCAGCAGTCAAGCCCGCACCGGCACGCTCCGCAAAAGTGACCTTTCTGTTCGCGGTGTCAGCGCGCTTGTGGAGCATCTTGCTGAAAGTATCGAAGAAGCCCAGACGGGCGGTCGTGTAGACAGCCTGGCGGAGTAAGCCTGCTGACAGGCCTGTGTAGAGATCAAGTATCTTTCCGCCAGCAATGATGTCGCGCGCAACGCCGAAAGCGGTCGGGCGAGGCCCAGTACGAACACCCTCCCCAGCCAACTGAAGGCGCACCTTGATCATATCGATTGGCTGAATTACAGTTGTTGCTGTCATGCCCGCCATGCCGCCGTTAATGAAAGGGAGGGCGGCGCGGGTATAAGGGTGATGTAGAAAGTCCATCGCGGGCTGGGGTTCCTTGGTAGCCGGAGAAGCCATTCTGATCACAGGGATGATTTACAGTAGGTCTGGAGAAGTCAGTACACCATTTTAGTACCGGGCGGGATTTGAGCTATGATAGCAAGAGTAGTGAGACCAGAACGTGTGTGACCATCCACTGACCGGTGGTAGAGGTAATCATGAGATGGATGTTACGCAAATGCGACAGAAAGGAAATCGTGCGGATGTCGATTCCAACAGATGACGTACGATAGGGAGGAGATAGAAAGGATCAATAAGAAGCTTACCAGCGAAGGATACGGTAGTATATGAAGAATACTACACGAGAGACTCGAAAAGAGGGGAAGAGGAGTAACAGGGGATACGAGAATAGAAGCCGACGTGGACGAGAAAAAGCAGGGAGAGGAAATGAGGGGAAGGAGATTGACAAAGAATAGTTCAAGTGAAGTATTGGTAGCCAGTCAGATGATGAAGCGTGACAATGCGGGGAGGGGGAAAGGGGACAGCAAATTGTACGTACACCTTGTCAGTCAGGCAACTCCAAACAGTCTGGGTCAAGGGTAAAAAAAAAAGAATTGTTAGGACAGGGTATTCTCAGGCTATAAGTCCTGGTAGGGAATGGTTAGGAAAGCACGATCAAGCGCTGAGCCAGGAACCAACCGGGCCGTATTTCTGAACAACGGACACGGTCCAGACGAACAGTTAATCTAAAAGCGTAGAACAAAGGCTGACCACTATAATTTCTAATGTAGCGATCCTCGCTGGATAGTACTAGTAGATCTCCACAACCCCAGCATGTCGCTTCTGGTAAGGTACCTCTACATACACGTCATAGAACTAAACAAAAGCTCTAGAGGATTTACCTGAGAGACTACTCCTGCATAATGCCGCCACGAATGCGGGGAACATCATCTTGCTAAGACCCTAGGGAAACGATCTATCTTGCTTATGTATAGCGTAAGACGAGATATTCTGGTAGGAATAATATTCGATTCTGTCGCATGATTGAAGTATTGTAAAAAATGTCTCTTCCTGGTATTCTCTAATACTTTTTCGCTGGATCCACCGTCATGACTGCTACCAGCTCCACTGCATTTAGATGTCACCTTCCAAGCAAGTGGGGGTAATATTACCGTATGCCCCACTCAGGGAAGCACTTGGCTTGTGGTTCCACGAGAATCCAGTTTCCCGATACCCTTCTAAGACCTATTTAAATATGAATTGTAAAAGAACAGTATGCTTCTCAATCCCATATCATACGACGTACCTAGTGACGGTATATTTTTGAACACATCAATGGTCGATCTACATCCACCCCACCTGCGTATGTAATCAAGTACGGGCAGATGATCTTCAAACAAGAACTGTCCGCCTAAACCAGATGTATTGTACCCGAGGATAAATATACATACAGGTAGTAATTCCCGGCCTAAGATCGATCCCACGTCCTCCTCCTAGCCAATAGTCTACTAGTATTACGATTAGGCGTGCAAGAAGGCTTCTAACAAGATCGACTGAGTAATATCCTTCCGCGGCAATAGGTTCGGGTTCGGACCCGGAACCCAATTGGAAGACGGCTATTACTGAGGTCCTGATTCTATCACAGTCTGCTGCAAATATCTACACCTGTATCTTCACACCGACATCGAGTAATAGGCCTTACTGTAGCGTGGCTCAAATATGAACTTGCATTGGCATGCGATAATGGCCATTAAATATCACTATTCAGCCTTGGTAGCATATACACCACAGCGACTTCACCGAGAAGCATTAGTAGCCGTATTCCCCCATTAACCCACATCAATCCATTTTTCCGAAAAGGTATCCGAGCCCCGATAGCCGATATTTACTATACAGTTCCAAGCAAAAATGGAAGCTGAATCAAGGAATAGTCTCGCCAAGAGCGTTTGGTCACGACATTGGCTATAATAATCCACGCATTCTTCCTCCGGCATAGGCGGGATACTGGTTCAGAGTTAGTTTCTACTATATTACATACCGCAGTAAGGGAGCACAGGCGAGGAGGCTACACCGATATCCGTGGGAAGCGAGTTCATTGTGCGGTCTGTAATCATCTAGGATTTACTGCCTGGCAGCATAAATTAATTAATATCCCCCGAAAGGAATCTACGCACAGCTTCGATGGACCTTCTTTCCGAGGTATCATATGAACCATCATTCGCAACTACTGTGTTACTACGCTTTATTGGTTAGTAGATGAATTGACATATGACGGAATACAAGTCCTGCATAAGATCGGGGATTACCGTTCGCGTGGTCGGGCAGTGTACATACTAGACACTACTGTAGATAGTGATACATCTTATCAGTAAACACTAGGCGGAAAGAATATACAACAACCAACACGCTAGGATCCGGTCAGCCGAATCTAATTCCAAATGATCAACCCCAACAAAACCCCAGTCTAGAACTATACCCGCGGAAAACATCCCGGCAAAGAAATGCCCAATGCCAAGTACGATTCATCATGACCAGTTCTCGCTCGGGCCAGGACCGGGAGTCACCAAGCGGAAGCGGGAAGGAAAGGGTGGCAAGTCGGGAAGCTACTGGGCTAGTGCCGATAGAGTATCTGGGGCTCTTATCGCTGGGCCCCTATGTATTGAACGGTCAAACACAGCCGTGTGGGGAGCTAGAGCTCTAGCAAATCATAGAATTGCCGATTCTCGCTGTTTAGATCGGAGGATTCAATCACGTCGGCTATCACGAAACCGTTGTTGTTGGGTACCTTTGTGGGTGCTGTGTGGGCTTCCTTAGTGGCCTTAAGATGAGGTTATACTCCGGTCTTTTGACTCGAATCGTGATTCTTGAGTGGGGGCGACCTCTGAACTTCATAGTAACACTCTTACGGTCCTTCCGCAGAACGAAAGAGGCCTGCTCCGGAGAATGAGGAAGGCACGTGGGAACAGATTTGTGATTCAAAGAGAACCCTTTCAGAGAAAGTTGAGGCAGATATACTGACTGGAGTTGAATGACGAAGATTCTTCGAATCCTAGTATGATGTCATAACTGAAGCACTCGTCAGTATACTTTCCACTTTCATAATCTTACCATTTCTACGGCGTCTTATAAAAGAAACAAAATTGGTTTTAGCAAGATTTTATTCCATTTTTACGAACAGGTATGGGCGATAGGCCCATGGAGTTTGTCAACTCCTACCTATTGACCAGTCTGGATTGTGAAACACATATCCAATCATGAGGGAAGACCCGAACAGAACGCGAAATGGTATGTCCCAGCTTGTCTTGCCAAGCGTATAGAAAAATGACCCAAATTATTAAAACACAGCACGCCATGCAATAGAAAAGCAAAAGGGAATCGGATGACAAAGGAAATTTAGCAGAAACAGTAAACAATCTCAAACATTTTATGCCAGCACGGGGCCAGCCTCGATCACCTCCTTAGTGGCTTGGTCGGCATACTTGGTGAAGTTCTCGTTGAACAGCTTGCCGAGCTTGTTAACCTCGTCCTTGAAGCTGGTCGATGCAGTCCAGCTGTTCTTGGGATTCAGCAGCTCATCAGGGACGCCGGGGCAGCTCTTGGGTACGTAGAGGTTGAAAACATCGTAGACTTCGTACTCAGCGTTGGCCAACTCGCCGCTGTGGATGGCATCCAAGATGGCACGGGTGTACTTCAGAGGGCAACGCTTACCACCAGTGGTGGCGCCAGCGCCAACCCAACCGGTGTTGAGCAGCCAGGCATTGGCCTTGTGTTGAGAAATCTTGTCTGCCAGCATACGAGCATAGCGCATGGGGTGGAGAGCCAAGAAAGGCTGGGCGAAGCAGGAGGAGAAGGTGGCCTGGGGCTCAGTCACACCGTCCTCAGTACCGGCCATCTTAGAGGTGTAACCAGAGATGAAGTGGAACATGGTCTGCTCGGTGGTGAGTTTGGAGATCGGGGGCAGCACGCCGCGAGCGTCGCAAGTGAGGAGGATGATGTTTGTGGGGTGCTTGTCAGAGATGCAAGGAATCTTGGCGTTCTCGATGTATTCAATGGGGTAAGCACTGGAGAAATGTCAGCGATGCCACGAAAGTCATAGTTCGCATATAAGTAGAACACTTACCAGCGAGTGTTCTCAGTGAGTGTCGAATCATCGTAGTTGACGACACGGCTGATGGGGTCGAAGACAACGTTCTCAAGAACGGAGCCGAAACGGATGGCGTTGAAAATATCGGGCTCCTTCTCAGCAGAAAGACCAATGCACTTGGCGTAGCACTGTTAAAATGGTTAGCGACCTTGTGTAATTTATTTCGAGAGCTCTGAATCACTTACGCCGCCCTCGATGTTGAAGACACCGCGGTCGGTCCAGCAGTGCTCGTCGTCACCAATCAAGGCACGCTTGGGGTCGGCAGAGAGAGTGGTCTTGCCAGTCCCAGACAGACCGAAGAAGACGGTAACATCACCGTTGACACCCTCGTTGGCAGAGGAGTGCAGGGTCAGGACGTTGTGCTTGACGGGCATCTCGTAGAAAAGGACAGTGAAAACTCCCTTCTTCATCTCTCCAGCGTACTCGGTACCCAGGATAACCATCTCCTTCTCGGCAAAGTTGATAGCAACAGAGGTTGCAGAGGTCATACCCTCGGTGAAGCGGTTGGCAGGGAAGGAGCCAGCGTTGTAAATGACATAGTCGGGGTGGAAGTGCTTGAGCTCCTCTTGCGAAGGGCGGATAAGCATGTTCCGCATGAAGAGGGCATGGTAAGCACGAGCGCAGACAACACGGACACTAATACGGTATCTCTCGTCCCAGCCGGCGAAGCCATCAATGACATAGATACGGTTGCGAGTGTTGAGGTAGTCAACGGCACGTTCACGGTTGATACGCCATACCTGTCAAATTGGGTTAGCTAAGCAGCCCTATATGAATGACGTCATAGATTGTGCCAGGGGTTTGAGGCAAACTGATTGCACCAGCTCAATAGGAAGAGAAGCAAAAGACGGCGGAGGTGGCACAAGCAAGGGCCGGAGTATTAAAACGCCACGCGAGATGCATGAAAATGCCTCATAGGAGGATTGAGGCATTTTGCTTTCGCAGCATTCCTAGCTCCAATTCCAAAGAAAGCTTGGTCTCTCGGCGACGCAAAGTAGATGGATCAATGCAAGGGGTAGAATGCGCGATATATACGCATTAGGAAACACATACATCAGGAGTCATAGGCTTGTTAACAGGTCCCCACCAGATCTCGTTTTCAGAGGATTCCTCCTTCACGATACGCTTATCTGAAGGGGAGCGGCCAGTTTTGGCGCCAGAGTAGGCTGTCAGGGCACCTGACGATGTGATGGCAGTACCGGTCTCGTAAACAAGGGCATCTTCGTAGAGAGCAGGGACGGCAGGGTTGGCGATCTATTGCGCGTTAGTGGTTGAGTCTCCAATGGTGAGGAAGTCCAATAGATAGCCATACAATAGCGACACGCTCATAGTCAATGTGGGCGTGCTCATGAAGCTCTTCCTCCAGCTCGGTGTGACCCTTGCCAGGCCTAGTTGGTCAAATGTTAGCGCAGACTGACAAAGGTTGGGTGACAGAGGAAGGTCAAGAGGGGCCAAGGCCAGTCCGACATAGTCAAGAGACAGTATGATGAACTAGGAAGGGAAGGAGCGACGTACTGAACACCACCAGGGTGCAGAGCAGTGCGATTCACAGATGTGGCAACCATGTTTCTGAGTGATGTGGAATGATAGTTATTATTGCGCTGCTTTGCAACTTGCTGTTGGAAAAAATCTGTGTAGAGAGGACCTGGTTCAGCAGGGGAAACAGGGGGTATATTAATGTTTCCAGCAGGAGCCATGAGCACAGCGCAGGAGGTCCAGAAGGCGTTTCAATCTACACCTCCGATATGCTTCTCCACAGTAGCGCGGGAGATGTCGGGGCTGAAGCAGCGCTGGTAACCGTGAAGTGCGTAAAATGCCTCTCCGAGTTGTTCCGAACCCCAGATGTAGGCACGAAGTGGTTCCGGGTAGATGGGTCGGGTGCACCAACTAGAAGCAAGAAAATGAGACGCTCGGAATCTAGAGAAGGGGTGTTTCTTGTTGGTGATAATACTCAAGAAATGTCTCATGCAGGAGAAAAGTGAAAAGAGATGCAGGTGCAATCATCTAGTGCGTGGAAGTGGGTGTGAGGCGCAGGAATGCAAACTAAACTTAGGGCAGGCTCAAAGTACCGCAGCCAACAAGCTGCAAACGAGAGCTTGACTAACGAAATATTTATGTCTTACATTGATTTGCCATTACACCATCTCTTGAAGTATATTCACCCTAGACATGCTTTTCCCATGCAGAATCAATCTTTCAGTCCCAGGGTTTATGCGGGAAAATTGGGGAAACTCAGTGAAGTGATGACGTTGAATGATCTCAGTGTACTTCAATTTATTTTTTTGATTTTTTTTTGGTTCAAGAGGCCAAGACCCAAATTGCGGGGAGAACATTTTCGGCTAGACCTCGACTGCCGGACCGGGGGAGCTCGAGACCACATGGACGAAACCAAACACTTCAGACAATGTACCCAGGTGGCGCAGGATAGCCCCAAAATAGTTTCTATCTCAGCCTCTCTAGGCCTTCAATCAATAGAATCCAATAATCACTTCATTCTAGCCAAATGAGACGTGCTCATGACGAAATCCCGGTTGAAGTCTCGGGTTCCCGTTCATCACCTTCAATACCACTATCCCACTTTCGGAAGCCTGTTAGTCATTCGGGACCCGAGGCTAGCCGCCAGCAGCCAATCAGCAATCGCCCCTGCGTCTGATTTTCAATCCAACGTCACAAAGTGGGCAGAAGATATTGCCGCGGTTTTCGCTCACAAGGAAAAAGGTTTGTTTCCATGAAAGGACCGAGTACGGAGTACCATAATAAATTATTCGCCCCCTCACATGACCATTTCATCCTTTTTCCAGCTTTCATCCTTGAGACTAAAACTGTGCAAGGAGAAATTCGCGGGTAATCAAAAGCTTTCCGAACGACCCATATTCTAGGAGTACTAGTAGTTCCTGGAAGAGGCTCTGCATAATAGTTGGAATTATAGGTACTCCGTAAGACTGTAAATACAAGATACCCAAGAGAAGAGCACATGAAAGCCTGATCGACAAGGAGTTTCCGACATTTCCATAATTCTCCGAGATACTACATACTGGTCAGGCGTCCCTGGTCACTCTTCCACGCGACGTCAAGTGATAAGCACATCTCGGCCAAGAATTATCATTGTTTACCCAATGACGGTGTAGACCTACCTAGGTACATACAAGATGCCGGTACATCGATAGTACGCTACCGCCTCTAGGTTCTTCTCATTATCTCCCTACGCCTGTACCCCGCATCCGAAAAAAAAGCCTGGACCACAACGGATCTCTTCCGGACGCTAATCCTGCCTTGGAAAAGGTCAAACATTTCTCGGCTACGATGAATACAGGCAACAATGCACACGACAGTGTCAATCTTCGGGTTTTTGGCATATACCTAGTCCTCTGGACATTGTAAATATCTCAATGCAACAACTATCAGGTTCAAAATTATGATGATCCACAAATCGGGTAAGTTAGGAACCTCGACTATGCCTAAAAGAAGTCTCTATCACGTTTCGGCCCAGGCTTTGGTGTTGGGTCGGGAAGTGGGTACGGAAGGGTTCCTGATACGGAAGAATTAGGAAGGCGTCCACTGTGAATATGTAAATTTGGACACCTCTTACATACTTCTAGGGGCAATTACTAAAAAGTGGAAAATGCCTCATACTACCGTGGTCTAGACAAAATCTGATCAGCCATAGGGGGGAAAATGTAGAAAAGGGGCGTGCTGTAATACTTCCTAACAGTTCATCCCTGTTATACGACGAAGTATGATAGTTATTGCAGGCCTACCTCCAATGAGATTACTTCCCACCGACTCTACATTATGTATTTCTTGAACGTAGATAGTTTCTTGGTGAGACTCTACCGGTCACACAGCCCATGGTCATATGGTCATTGGATTTAAATACGATCAAGATAACACGAGCGGTGGCGGGTGAGACGCATCTGCTTCACATCGTGAAGGCTCTAAAGAAATGTTTCCTATTGGAGTGGAATTTCATCGGTCCCTGTGTGCCTTGATGCCTGAGACATGGAGGAACAACAGTATCACGTGAGCCCGGGATCCCCTCAGGTGCCAAGGGGATTCCTATCTAAAAATACATACCAAGGGTCTTATCATTGGCTACACGAATGTCTTCCCTCAGGAAAAATCAACAGTCGGTGATATCCGAAGTTTTATCATCTGCTTTAGGAAATATGAACATATTCAACTACTTTCGATCAAGATGAACTAAAAATATACTATATATCTCTTACGGCGTGCTCTACTGGGCACTACGAACTCCTGTTCCAACCGTTAGCCCCACAGTATCGCGATCTGAACTCCGCTGAAGGCACTAGCGGTTGATCTTTGTTCTCACAGACATCCACGATCCGCTGCGGAACAATGGGCATGCTCTTGGGTGCCTTGGGGCAGCCAATAGGTTCCTGCGTGCAGATTTGGCGCCGGTACACTTGGCATCTCATTGTAGTCTACTTAGTATTACTCGGTGTGGTGTTTCTAACCCTTGTGTCAAAGCTGAATGGCGAAGACCCCATATCCGTCAGAGGTACAGTCCCACTGACGTATAGCATTGTAACATTACTAACGCTCTTTAGACAAGACCCATGGTCCCTATGAGCCATTACCATTGACGCTATCCAAGGCATTGGTATTAGCTAAGATACGGGAAGAGAATGTCTCCTGGATAGATGATCTTCAGCCTCAGTGAGGATTGACAATTCATATTGTCGGAACCTAAACTGACGAATTTTTGAACAGATGGAGACCATATATCTACACTGCTGACAATGAGCCGGGGTACTATCCGGTTCCGGAGAATAAAGGGCGAGAGGGGATGGCGTATCTAACGCACATCATCGACAACTACGATGATCTAACTGATATCATTGTTTTCATGCATGCCTCAGGTACACAATGGCATAATGATGTTGGTGGTACAAACTCATCTTATCTCTTAACTAAGCTCCATCTCGACGTCGTAAAGCAGAGAGGATACACAAATCTTCGTTGCCAGCGGCGTCCGGGATGTCCAATCGCGGTCCGTCCACTTGATCCAGAGTACACCTCGAGCTCCAATATTGTGTACCGCAATTTCACTACCATTTATACACAGCTTTTCAACACATCTCTTGAACAGGTGCCAGCTGAAATTGGTGGGATATGCTGTGGCCAGTTCGCTCTCAGTAGAGAACGGATTCACCAGCGGCCACGAAACGAATATGTGCGCATGCGAGACTGGGCTCTTTCCACGAGTCTAGATAACTTCACAGTTGGATCTGTTTTTGAAATGTTATGGCATATGGTTTTCTTAGAGGGTCCAGTTTCGTAGGTGTCGTCTATACCTGGTTTCCGTCGTCCAGAATGAATGCAGCACTGACTCGATATTTAGATGTCCAGATACCCATCAGTGCTACTGTGAGCTTTATGGTCTGTGTGATGAGTAATGATCTTCATGTCTGTTTTTGAGTTACGATATATGGCGAAATGGGTTCATAGTAAACAATTATTACATAAATTGCCTATGTCGATTAATCACCAAGTTTTATGCCCCAGTTCTCTTCACAAAAAAATAATGCATTCTTCACTGATCCAGGATACGCCAAGCCAAGCTTGCTATAATAAAATAATTTATCTAACACCCGTCACAAAGCGACTGTAACCCAACGCCACTCAACTCACACATACAGAGGTCCAGACCCTTGTACAATATCCATCTCCCAATAAGGTCTCACCCCAGTATCCCTGCTTACAACCGTGACCTTGTACGATACACACATTTCCGAAGAATACCAATCCCGACCCGAAAACAGGGATCGGAGTTATAGTCCCGGTGTGGTCCTAATCCTCCCGATGGCAGGTGCGAAGGAGACAGAAATTTTCGATTTCGGTTTCTGAAACTCTGTAAGATATTATTATCGAACCGAGCGCTTTAGGTCAGACCGACGGTCTCAGCCGTGCGTCAATCGGAGCTGGCGGGAGACCTTCCGCGTTACGTGTGTGGCTGAGAAAGCTCATTCATTCTCGTCTCTAGTTATATACTACTTCTTCTGTGAGCGGGCTCTTCATATCATAATTTCTCTCTCTGTCCCTCTCTTTTCTACCAAGAAGCCCCTCGCACTTCTAGCACTGGCTTATAATAAGTAAATGGCAGTTGATAGCCTTGGTAAGTGAGCTAGGCTCAGAAAGTTTTGGAAATTAGGCTTCACACGGCATAACAAGAGTTTATGAAAGAGAGGGGGCATTGTCAGGCGCCGGCGTAGCGGCAAAGCTAGGGTTATATTTATAAGTCTTTAGCCGTAATGTTTCACAAGCTCTAAATAGCCATACGTGGTTAGGAAATATTTTCTTGTAGACTGGGGTAAGCATGTATATTTCTCTAGACAATGTATGTACAGGACAACAAAGTTCCTGTGCATAGAGTGAGGTATGCTTTACAGCGCTCTGCCCATTCGCATACAATCCGTATGACACAATCAAGGACGGTATTTTTAAGACATAGCATTCTATTCATTCAATGCCGACATAACAGTACTGACTATTGATATTGAGGCTGTTATAAATTGCCTATAAGGTAGACTTATGGATTAGAGCCCTCAAGGCAGCATGGTGTCTACTCACGCAGGTCCCTTCCACCGTTATGTTCTTCCTCAATCATTTTCCCAAGGGTCACCGTCTAGGAGTTTTACATCGTTTTTTCCTATGTATCATTTGCAATGAGGCACAGGAAATCGTCATCAATAGCTCCCTTCCAGTTTCAGTGTATGTCCAGTATGTCTTGATTATCTCGGAATACTTACCAAATAATACTCTTGTTCATCCACTCTTGGAACATCCACAGGCCAGTGCCTGGAAAAGCATCTTCACGGGTTTTGCCGGTAAAAATGTCTCTACCGATCGCTAAACACTAAGCCCAGAGTCGTCAACGCCGAGAAAGCTGCAAGGACTTCCACGAATGACAACATAGCTATTTTCTCTTAGGGGATAGAACCCGTACTTGGTAGCTCAATGGGGTGCATCAGACGCGCCCTGGAAATCATACTCATGAGGCTTTTATAATATCAGTCAGCGTTGCTTCAGTATAAGCATTTTGGATTTTAGAATATACTAAGCCCTCAAGGAAGGCTGAAGGAGGAGAATAAGACGGTGAAGTAAATGCAATGAGATATAGGGATACAAAGAAAGGAAACATACATTCATAATGAAAGATCATGATAAAAGGCTTACTCAAAGAATGTCTCGAGAAGTAGAAGAAAGACAATCTAAGAGTCATGGCCATCTTTATAGGACTCTGTTCCGATGATATTCTAAAATAAAGCCAGTGATACCCAAACTGCTCCCAGGCTCAGGTATCATAATTTGCATCGTCTTACACGTGATCGACCTCAAGGCAACAATATCACACTACAGGATCCCATCCGACAAACTTCATTCATTTGTGATATGCGTGATTTATTATTATATCGCTCAGCCTAACCATGCAAGTGTTGTAAGGAAAAGGAAAATCAGCAGCGATCGGAGGATTCCAGGTCCAGTATCTGCCTTAAGTCCGCTTTGTCTGTAACTCTGATGAAACTCTATAATATAAGTATATTAACTGTATCTAAAAGATGATATTATACTTTGAATGCTAGTCTACTATGGTTGTGTCTAATGTCTAGTCTGGTCTGTTTTCGATTTGATGAGTATCGGTACTGCGCGTATGGACACAAATTTCTGGACGGATCTACAGGAGTTTCCTTAGGGATATACCTCAGGGTCTCAAGGCTAGAAAGGTATTCATTATGCTGTTCCCACCACATCTTTCCCCCCCTTCCTTTTAAACTCTGTCCATGTATGACACGGCATTCAATAGCATTCCCGGCCAAGGCTAGCTAAAGGAGTCATCGGACCAGGAATCTTACATGTTGGTATCTGGGAGTTACTGATCCAACCTTACAAGTCCATGATAGTGTATGAATAATTTCTTTTTCTTTTTGGAATTGTTTTTGATCTATTTCATTTTCAATATTATCTCCACACGCTTACCTGATCACACAGGGGGATTAAGATTTAGACGAATGGGTGCGGAATCTGATATTCACGGAATCTTAAAAACAAAGAGTTATGCATAGGTCAACCTGCGGTCAGATCTTTTGGAGGCCTGGTGTGTCTCTTTCCAGGGGGTAGCTGATCGGTATATATGATATATCTCAAAAGGCCACTTGGGAAAGCAATATAGAGTACGTCGGATGCTAAGCTCAATATAGAGAACATGGATAGCTAATCAAGACATGAATAGCTAAATTGCTGTATCCCCATGTGGATGCTTCCATGTCCAATTAGTGGGAATTGTTCATGCCGAGAGTACGATGCACAAAATTTGAATTGAAAAAAAAAAAAAAAAGAAAAAGAAAAAAGAAAGAAAGACAAGAGAAAAAAAAATTCTGTATATCCAGATCGGAACTCGAAAAGTATCAGGTGGCACTGCAACCGATCATCCTAGGCAATATTTTCATTATAAGCAGTCCATATCTTAGAGAAGGCTGCTTAGTGTAGGATTATTGGGATGGCTAGACTGACTCCGGTCTAAACCGAGGAGGGTTAGGTGGACTTCCTGGTTAAGTAATTTATTTACATTTTCGAAATATACAGATGGATTAATTTATACTGAGGATGTTTAAGATGTTTAAGTGGACATATAGTGGATTACTGCCAGAACAAGAAAAAAGGAATCAAAAAAGAATAGTATCAAGTTACTTACATACTCTCAAGAATGAAGCACAACATATGCCATTTTTCAGATGTTAGCGCTCATGTCAAAAGTAGCAATCAACCCCAGCCAAAAATATATACAAACCTCTATACATAGTCTACTATTACCCTCTCTAAACAACAACCACCCATGGGCAACAAAAAACCCAATAAGCATCCCACCCCCAAGTAAACTCTCCCTCACCCTCCAATGCCACATCCAACCAGCTGCGTAGTCCCAGCCCCGTAAAAGGCTCACACCACCCAAAAGCGGGGCACAATTTACACCGTGACGGCGGGGTAAGTTCCCAGCCCACTCGCCTATTTCCCATTACTCACTCACTTTTCTCTTTTCTTCCCCTCTACTACACACAACAAACACTATTTTATCTTTTATTCATTTTTATCAAGGTCCCTAAGAAACACTAAACTAGGTAAGGCCTCTCGTCTCATACTAGTTTATCTATGGTGACGAACAGGGGTTGTTCGAGGCTGGACGCTAACGTCGGACCTACCTATACTTAGTCGATCTTTTCTTTTTCTTTTTGACAATCTCAAGATGTCCGGTCACAACGCTTGTCCTTCTTGCAATGCTCCCATTCCGGGTGAGAGTAAGACTTGCAACTCTTGTGGAAAGGTGGGTTTATTGTTTGGTTTTTGGGTAGTGGTTTGGATGGGTGCTGACTTTTGGGGGATTTAGACTTGCCCTGTTTGAGGGTTGAATTGTTTATTTCGGTCTGGTGGGTGGTGGGTTTAATTGGGGTAGATGGGGGTAGATGGATGGTATGAAATGATAGTTTGATGATTGATGATGGTATATGAGTACGACGATGAGTGAATGAATGATATTGTGGATTCGTTTTTATCTATACTCCTCTTTTCTTTCGTATGGATGTAGGACGCAGAGTAACTTGTATCTATTCTATACTATGTCCCTTGTATCGACCACACGGTCTGTCGTTCGTGTTGAGAATCGTGAGTTCGGTCGAGTATCTACCTCGGTACTCTCTTCGCTTCTGAGTATCGCTGTCGTATCGTCGTCCTGCTGATCGTCGTCCGTCCCGTCATCACTGCTTGGGGGTCGTGAGAACCGGTTGTTGATTATCACTGAGTGTCGTGGGCGGTTGGCTGTGCTGTTGTTGGGGATAGGTTCGTTATTGGAAAGAAGGAGGACCTCCACCGGGTGGTCACAGATATAAGGGACGTGGCAGATCTTGTAGAATGCGTTTAGGATTGGGACGGATAAGCCGTGAACGATGATGGAGAAAAGTACGAGCCAGTATACGACTTTATCTTTTGATTAGCGTTGTTTGCCATCTGGGGTTGGAGGTCTGCTTACCGGGTTTCATAGCCGTAGTTAAGCGGTTGATTTCACTGTCACTTTGGCCGGGCCCAGGAAAGAGTCGACGGGCATATTCTACATAGGAGATCGCGCCGATGCCTGATTATTAGACGAAAATTTAGCTTCTGGATTTTATTATGGACGCAGAGGTAGTTAGGCATACCGATCGGGCCGAAGTAACCCATGAATAAGGCCTCAGTCCAGTCGCCACAGACGGAGGGCATGAATCGATATCCGAGTAGAATTGCTGGGATCCGACGGAATACTAGGATCAAAAATCCCAAACCGAATAGGCGCGGGAGCGTTATTCCAGTGTCGTGGGGCATATTAAACTGCTCAAAGGGCATGACGGCACCGAGATACATGAACGTGCCAAAGTTTAGGAGAGTTTCGATGGTAGGGTTGAATGTGTCATGGCGAGCCTGCATCTCAGTGTTGTATACGCCATCCCAATTCAAGAAGCTTCCGGTGACGAAACAGGCAAGAGTTTCGTCCGAACCGAAGCAACCGCAGGTACCAACGACTAGCATCTTCCAAATATTAGATTAGGTTTCAATCTCGACGGACATAACTCACCCCAAGAGCCAGAGGCACGAGGGACATGCTTTCGTTCTCAATCCACCTTCTAGATAAAAGTTAGGGATATTCTCTTGTTTCAATAGGATGTGCGTACCTTTTAAGTGCCATAACAAGAAGCTTACGAGAAACAAAGCCGACTAGGGTACCATAAGCAGCTCCTAATACGATCATATACAATACGCCTTCGACAACCCAATGTTTAAGTGCAGTACCAGCGCCTCCGCCAAAGCGTCCCACATTAGAGGTGCCGAGTAGGTCCGGGATCCCCTGAACTAGGTCGAATTCCTCCAGGCTAACAGTATTTGCAGGAGTTTCAACGTACCGTAAAAGTGAAACGGCCAGTAATAGAAAGGTAAACCCGAACCCATCGTTCCCACCGGCCTCGGAAGATATAAATTCTCGGAGATGCCGACGGACGTATTTGTCGGCGAAAGGTCCTTTGGCAATTGCTTGTGATAAGATAGGATCGGTACATGTTACACAAGAACCGATGATCAACGCTGCGAGCTGTACCAGAGTATCCCATTGTCAGCACTGGAGCTCATAAGGTATTCATGTAGTCGATGGGAATGGTGCGTACAAATGAGATGTCTGGAATCATAAGCATAATGCATGAAGATGTTAGAACCCATCCTATCCCCATGAGGGGAAGTAAACAGATGATTAATTCAATGAAGCGCTGTTTTATGTATCTGTTCGGTAATTGGTATCCAACTTTGACCAACTGAATTCCAATAACAAAACGCATCAAGCCCTGTTTCATTCAGCCCGGTTCTTCATATTATGGTAGGAGAAGACATACGTATGTGATCTCGCTGCTCTCTCCAGCTTCTTCTTCCCATTGTGAAACATCCAGAAACTTGGTACCGAATGGTCCAAAAGAGATGCCGATAAGAAAGGCGGGTACTATTTAATGTTAGCGTTTGTCAATGCTAAACAGATCTGCGGTACATACATGCTTCGCCCAGGTACCATCTCTGCTTGAACTGGAGAGATATAAAGCCGAACAAAAGAACATAGAGACCTGAGTGGAATGTGAGTCGTATTCTATAAGCTACTCTGCTCTACGCAACTAAACATACTTAGAACAGTAAGAACAACGTTGAGATTGCTGACATCAAGTATTGGATGCAGCATTCTGCTTTGCGGTGAGCGGTGGTGTAGGTTGTTAAACAAGATAATAGCAGCCAAGGAGAAATCAAAGTTCTTGAATTAGACGGAAGACGCCCCTGGAAAGTAACAGTCTGCTAGGAGGCTTCATTGGCCTAACTTAACGATGGACCAAGTACGTAGGTTTACCAAGATTGATTTTCCTTCCACGAGGAAGGAGATATAAACGATTTGAGGGAGCGCATCATATCTTAGGAAAATGATATAGAGTTGACTAGGAATGATCATCAAGAAAAGCCTCACGAATCGCATTATCCTCTACTAGCCACTGGCTACTTTTCTGTACCTGGCTTGAAGCATACATGCCAGGAGATTGCGTACCTGGGTGGACCCTTTACGCGCACCCTTACAGGGGGGACATTGCGGCGAAAGACAAAGCTTGGCTAGACATATTGACAGTGATCCGCGCGATCTGACTTCTGATCGACAACAGGGATAAGGAGGTAGCTGCATGAGTCAAGAAAGCATCCAATGGTGTTGCACCGATAGCGCCATGCCATAGATGGTCCAATATGGCTGCAATAGGCAGAGACAAATTTGGTGGCAATCGTTCAGCCCCTTTTTAGTATTAGATGTATCACATTGCACCAGACCCAAGCAGATAGGGATAGCAACGAAGTTACAAGCAGCATGGATGAGACAATTGATATGCAACTCTAAGTGTATGCAGTCGATATCCGTACTCCTTGCCTAGATAACCAAACAATGTAAAGAGGGTGGTATGGAGGTTAAATATAGATTGCTCTTGCATTGCTTAAGCTCCACCTGCCGTTCAATAGTCGCCTGAATCCTAAGGCCAAAGCGATCCTTTGCAAGATCATGTGAAGTTCATGTGAATCAAAAGGCATCACATGCTACAATTGTGACTAATTGGAAAATTGAGAGCAAAAATGGAATAGTGCAAAGAAAAAAATAATAATAGTGTAAATAGTAGAAATTCAAGTTGAGCTAAAGTAATAAATTCTAAGGTACATAATATGTTCATGAAAACTGAAAGACTACCAGATCACATCTTTCAAGAAGTTGAATCAACGTCATACAAGAGTCCTCTGATCCTCATCTCCTTTTCGATCTCATAGGGCTCCGATCCACCATCTCTTGCTCCGTAGCTGGAATTTTGAAGCGTACAAGATTCACGCCAACCCGATAAACCACAACCTTAACGAACACATCTGAAGCCAGCCTCACGAAATCTCAATCGAAGAATTATCCGCTTATGCGGTCTTCCGCCACTGAGACATCACACCTATCAAACTGCTGATCGTACCCGCGATACCAACGAGACCATCGTCGAGGTTGGCGAAACCCAGGGCGGAAACAGGGACAGTCAAGTCGCAAAGGTCCGAGAAGAGCTGAGTGCGGGCAGCGGAACGTTCCCTAGGACAATCGGAGTTAGCTACTGAATAGATAACGTCATAATACTACGGGAGCACAAACTTTTCAAGCTTCTTTGCCTCCACAACACCTTCGCCCTCCGTACGGTCGAGGGTCTTCTCCTTCTCCCGCAGTTTATAGAGGGAGTAAGCACCGGCAATGGCGCTGCAGAGTAGACCAGCCATCCAAGACCGATAGGCGCTCTCCTGCAGCCGCTTGGCCGCAGCAAGCTTCCGAACGCCGATGGCATCAATAACGGTGATAGTATCCAGAGTCAAGTATCCCGCATAGCCGAGCTGGCGACCGACAGCGAGGTAGCGGAGAACAGGGTCGATGGGGCTCTTGTTGTCGGCAGCAAGAGCTGCAGCCTTGAGATGTTCGACGAATTTTCCGATCCTCAGGATCTTTCTTGTCGTTCCGAACTGTTTCTTGATTGCATTGTAGGGGTCGATGGAAGTCTGAGGGCGGTTTGTGCGATACAAGTACCAGGCATAAAAGCGCGAGAAATATTGCAGCGTACGGAGGATTTTATCACGGCCCACTGTAGTTTTATTAGAGCTAGTTCATATGCATCCTGTCGCAAGTAAACTTCTCCTGCGACAGGTCTTTTGTTTTGTCCATTTTCATCTCCTCTTCGTATGCAAGTGCGTAATCAAGTAGATACAAGAATGACACGAACGATGACCGCAAAATGAAGAATCAGAAAGACGCCACATACCAGTGGTTGCAACAAAGCGCAAGTAGTGCGCCAAAACAGGGTGATAAACCAAAGCGTCTGCGACCATTTTGTAGAGGATATGGTATGTTAATGCGATCCCACTGATAGTATCCGTTGTAAAGTCTGAACCTGGAAAATGTGTTCCGGTGTGTTTGTGGACGTGGAAGGGAGTAGTATAACAGCAGCGATAATCTCAGACCAGCTGGTAGCTGTATAAAGGTCGCGATGACAGTAAGGGGCACTTCACAGTCAAGACACAAGGGAAGAACGAGCTGAAAAAAAGGGTGGTAGGGAGTTGGCGTGATTATGGGAGAGTTTAATGGGATGGCGGTCGGTAATTGAATCTCCGGGGAACAAGCGGCTGGAGGTCTGGCGTCGGGCATTGACCCTCAACCTCGGCTGCTCGTGGAGACATGGAATGTCACAATCTCGGAAGTTTTTCGAACACTGCCGGGTTCCATTGCCTTTCTGGGTAGTATCTCTCCATTGGGCAGTACTACTACGTCGTCCATTTTCGTACTCTCTCCATTATATACCGACCAACACCTCTTCGATAAATCCACAACGGGTTTCCATCGGACCTGACTCTCCTTTTGCTTCTACTTTTTCCGCTATTCATCTTTCCTTCTTTTAGTACTTCCCCCTTTCTTTGCACAATATCATGTTGCGTTGCCATACTTGAGAGAATTGATCAGGAGCAATTACTTCAAATATAGTAAGTAGTCTGGCGCGTTGGTAGGAATAAACGCAGTGATCATCATGAATGTTCTTCAGAAGGAACACGAATCACAATTATAATTATACATCATGGGCATGACAATGAGGATGATATACCAATCATTCCAAGTCTTCGCTGCGATGGGAATCTCCGACAATCTCGCTTCTGGGCAATTAAAATAACCTAAGTCACGGGTCGCACGGGGTTCTGTCACTCTATAGGGCATTGACATAGCCTAACACGGGCTCGGAAAATTCTAGGCCGCTTGTGTCGTACGTACTGCTTCTGGGGCAGAGGTCGCAAGGGTGATCTTGTTCTGGAACATGTCGCACTGAATAGGAAGGGAGCTGGTACTTGATGAGTAAGGATTGGGCTTCGAAACATACGGTTTTGCAGGTGGATATGCGCATCGCAAGTCGGCTATTACTTGTTGTTGCCCATGGTGGACGTGTCATATCCGTTGGCTTCGAGAAAAGCGCGGAATTTTGTATCCTCTTCGGTAATAGTATCCTGATCGACAATGTAAGTATAACCTTTTCTCATTCAAAAAAGTGAAAGGAGTGAGCGTCATACCTGTCCGATATGGGGAAGTAGGAAGTAGGCCAATGCAGCGCTCAAAATGCACAACGAGCTCGAGACAAAGAAAGGATCCTGGCCGGAGCGGACGTCATTGGGAGCATTTTTCTGAATTATTGGAATAACGTAGGTTCCAACAAAAGCTCCAATCTTGCCAGCAGCAGCAGCTATAGCATAGTACTGGCCTCGGATAGCAGTCGCGCTGGACTTTGCAGCGCAAAGACCGATATTGTCTCCAGGTCCGAATTCACCGAGCGCCGAAAAGATTCTGCATTCATAAGTCAATGGATACAATTGGATAAGCGATATCCAGGGGATGAGAGGATATCTTACCCAAACACTACGACAAATCCGGCCACATTCTTTGGAATCTTGAGGTACTCATAACAACCTGACATGACGAAGCCGATAATGCCTTGCAGACCAACCCCAATAGCCAACGTATTACGAGGTCCAATCCAGTCGCTCACCAAGGCTCCCAAGAAAGAACCAGGGATGTAGAAAGCATTGGTCACAGTGGTCCATCCAAAGGTCTTCCAAAGAGGGGCGCTATCACCCAGGATGATATCCACCCACTTAGAAGAGTAGATGTTAAAGGAGTAAGCTGAAAAATCATAGAGAAACCATATCATGGATACCACTGTCTGTCTATAGTCAGCTTACGATACATAACAGGAGAGGTAACAATATCAACATACCAAACGCTTCCAGTAAAACCTATGACAACCACTTAGTCCACAAATTAACAATAGATATAGAGAGGCGAGGCGCTTACCGGATAATTAGCGAGATGGGGAACTTATGCATACGTTCCCGGTTGAACTCCTCTGGCTCCTCCAGTTTCAACCGAAGGTAAAACAGACTGAGGGGAGGGATCACGCCCAATCCCAGGGCTATACGCCAGACAGCGCGCAAATGATTCTCAGTGAAAATTAAGACCAAGATCATGGGAACCAAGGCGGAAACGACATAAGCGAAATCAATCTGAAAGTTGGTGAACATAATAAACCACCGGTTCCGATGTCCTTTCTTGAGCTCGCCTGTGTTCTCTGCAGCTGCAACAGATCCGGCTGGATACTCTCCACCAATTCCGATGCCCAAGAAGAAGCGATAGGCTGTCAGGGCAGCAAATAGGCCATATGAGCTGCCATTCAACCCGTATGCACCAGCACACAAGGCACTGAATATGATTAGAATAATCGTTGAAATCATCAAGGACCATTTGCGCGACCAATGGTCGCTGACGTATCCAAAGATAAGCTGGCCTAGTACAGTGCCGGCAAATGTGATGGAAGCAACATTCTGACTGGCTGGGGAATTGCTGTAGGAGTCCGGGTAGAGTCTACCAAGGATTGTATTGACAGATCCGATCACCTGGATAAGTTTTCTGGTCAGAATGTGTATCTTCTAAGCCATCCGCATCACAATCTTGTATTGTATATCAAAGTGAATGTCAAAGCGCAGCAGCTGTGTGCAATTACTTACGCCATTGAGATAACCGTCTGAGAAAAGACCTGCACCGCAAGCAATGGTAGGCCAACTACGCTCCCAGCGACCTTTGTGCGCATTATCCAATGCGGCAACTTCGATAGGAACAGGATTGGGGGAAACAGCCGCCTTTTCAGGCGGCTCTTCGGAGTACTTTTGAGGGTCCATGAAAGCGCTGCAACAACCCGATAGTAGATTTCTTCAACGATGTGCAAGGTTGAAGCTTAGGTTAGGAGAATAGACTAGAATAGACAAGAGATCTTTTCTCTACCAGGAGTTTTCAGTAGTCACGGCGATATTGGGAGAAGCGGAAGGGGTAGAAAACTCATGGGAGGAAAATAACCAAAGAAGAAAAAAAAAAGGAAAAGAAAAAGAGCAGCTGATAGAAATGCTGGGAAAGCCAAGTAGGACTTTACCCTTTAGTACATGCGTCTATGATGGTATTACCACCCTACTAGGGCACTGAATCCAACTTCCTACATGCCCCTCCAATGATCACTAACATTAGCACCTTAATTAATCAACATCTTCCCCTCACTGGTCAGGTGTATGAGGGGTGGAGCTCTTATCTCTCTAAGAACTTGTTAGAACACTCTATCAGGAATTGCACTAAGCTTTCCTAAGATTCCAAGTTGATTCTACTATTGGTTGAAAACCTTTTAGTTGTTCTTGAATGGTTCCACTTCTCGGGTCGAATCCTATCGAAAGTCGAACCAGCCCTAAGGGGCTGGTTTTTGGTCTCTTTTGGATGTAAGGCACGTGTCTGTAATGTTACCTTTCTATATGATATGATTCGGTTCTGTTAATCTTTATCAGGTCAAAGATCCCTGGACTTGGTTGTATAGGTTTATGCCAGTCAGATGTCATTTGATCTAGTGAGACCAACCTCTATATTATCTCGAGAGCCCTCTATCGCATTTATTCAAATCTCAGAACAAAGGATTACAGATATTCCTCCGATTATGAACCGAGGATGTAATTTGGTAGAAAGATAGAATAAAACAGACGCAAAATAACATAAAATAAACTAGATTACATTATTTTCTATATCTTCTCAGAGTATATCGACGGATTAGATATAGCGGCTGCGCTACGGAGAACTCCGCGCTCTGTATTGACTAATAGACTCAACCCTCCAAAGCAGAGTACTAACAACACCGTCCCCTACTTTATACTCACAGTAAACCTTTTGAAAAGTTCAGATACTGAATTTATCAGAAGCATGAGTCAATGGCGACTATTTTCTATGCAAGAATAGCAAGAGCTCTCTTGAGTTAGGGCTTGGTCTCTTTATACATTATCGTGAACCACACCTGGAATGATGAAAATCAAATTGATGATGGGTTTAGCACTAGCATGGATCTGGTGAAGTACCTAAGATGTCCAGTACAGAGTACAGAGTAGAATGTAACTTTGGAATCCTTTAGAAGCAGTGTCGGCCTCACGTGATGGTAGGAAAGAGATGATAACTTCGGAACTGGAAAAACATTCCACCAGCTGAGCTCGGGTCAGCTACGTAGGTTGGCACTGTGATGTATCTGCCTCTTCCGGTATCTCATTCAAAGCAGTCTGGAAGCGCATCTGTCAACTTCTACACCAGCAAATCTTCTTTCCCTATCAACTTCATCTAACCATCCTCTACCCTCGAATTCTCATCGCCCATCGCCAGCATGGGGTCTGACCCGCAGTACATCAAGTACCCCGAACTCACCCTCGCCCAACATGTCTTCAATCTTTCCAACCCATCGTGTCCGCAGTCGGTGCGGCAAACATCGTTGAAGAAGGTCCAGGATGTCATCTCCGAGAATAAGATGGCACCTTTCTATAGACATCTTGCACACCCCGTTGAAGGCATCCTGAATCATACCGGTGAAGGCGTTCCCCAACACCAAGGCAGCTCAACTAAGCCTCTGATTACCTCGAATATGCTGGCATCTCGGAAGTCGCCTCAAAAGATTGACTTTACATGGGATGAGTCCTTATATCAGTCGCTAGTCGAGGATAATAAGAAGGAGTTGGATACTTTCCAAAAGGAAGAGGATCAAGCAGAAGAAGCAGCCGGAGACACCGAGGTTCTTGCGGCCAGGGGAAAGCGCGCTGAATTCTGGGCGCGCGTAGGAGATAAGGTTAGTGGTGATGTGGTGTAGGGTCCTAGTGATTGTACATGCTGACCCCAATGACGTTGGACAGGACAAAGCCATGGAATCCCACGAAGCACTCCTCGAAAAGACGACCTTCCTCGGTACTAAGATTGATTTGGTGCTAGCCATGATCCGTATCGGACTCTTCTTTGGTGACACCTTGTCTGTGAAGAAAAACATTGAGCGGGCAAATACCCTCATTGAGAGTGGTGGTGATTGGGATCGGAGGAATCGCCTCAAGGCATACAAGGGCCTACACTTGCTCACAATTCGCTCCTACAGCCTCGCCGCTCCCTTACTTCTTGACAGTTTATCTACTTTCACTAGCTATGAACTGTGCAGCTACTCTGCGTTGGTCATATACTCCGTCCTGGCAGGCTCGCTGTCCCTGAAGCGGGTCGATTTCAAGGCCAAGGTTGTAGATGCGCCAGAGATCAAGGCTATTCTTGGGTCTGGGGAGGACAGGATAGCCGCTTTAACTGGTGAGGTGTCATCCGGTCCCGGTGCACAGGATGAGGAGATGAGGGATGCTTCTGTCTCAAAAGCCACTCCTGGTGCTGCCACCACTGTTGTTAATTTGACCACCCTTGGGACTGGCTCTGGCATACAGGCTGAGACTGAAACCCCTGTGGACTTCTCGCCTCTTGCCGACTTGGTTAGCAGTCTATACAATGGCAACTATCGATCATTCTTCGTGGCATTGGCCGCTGTTGAAGACAACTTCCTGACTCAGGACCGGTACTTACATGAACACCGTGCGTGGTTTGTCCGTGAGATGAGACTGCGTGCCTACCAACAGCTTCTCCAGAGCTACCGGGTAGTAGGATTGAACAGCATGGCCAACGACTTCGGCGTTACGGTCGACTTTTTGGACCGGTAAGTTCTAATCGGGATCAAGGTAGCGTGGTCGGTTTCACTAACAACAGCAGGGATTTGGCCAAGTTTATCGCTAGCAACCGCATCTCATGCACTATCGACCGAGTAAATGGCATTATTGAAACCAACCGCCCCGATGACAAGAACAAGCAGTACGCCGACGTCGTCAAGCACGGCGATGCTCTGATTACAAAACTTCAGAAATACGGCCAGGCTGTGCGCCTGCGCGGAAGTGAACGGAGCTAAGGCTATGAATGGGAAATGAAGCTGAGGAGGATGGTCTGATTTTGGATTGTCCTGTGACCCATGAAGCCTCTCTCAGGGATATGATGGTTTGAGTGATTTAATCAATTTTGTCCTCATGGTTATTGTTAGAACAAAAGCAAGCGAGGCTGCTGTATCATACGTCTAATGAACGAAGACAACTCTGACCTCGAAACGTTGTAATCTGATATCATGCGATTGGGGAAACCTTCACGGTATGTGGGCTGACCGGGTCTAAGCGTGTCAAGGAATACTGTAAATTGTGGAATCCTTGGCATCAAACTCGTCAATTTGAGGTAGATTTTTTCTTCTGACAGTAGGCGTCCATTATTTTGCACGCCAGCTGATGGGGGAAACCAATTTGTAGTTCGTATTTTGTTACTCTGTCGGCTATTTCTGTCAATGTGTATGTATATATCTGTGGTGAAAAGCGGAAGACTAGAGAGAAAGAAATACCGCAGGGAATACATCCGTCCTGCCCTGGTTTCGGGAACCACCGGTAGGGCGAGGGGGAGACGGAGTACCCGTGGGGTAGCATCTCAGGTACGGGGCAGCAAATCCATGCCGATAGTTTGGTTCTTATTATCGAATGTAATCTTTCCCCCCAACTAACAAACCATATCAAACCATTCGGTTTCGATTGACAATGCCAATGTTCTTCTCCACTGGAGAACCATTCTGATTCCTCCATTTAACCCCCACCATGTCTTGTATGCCTGGTATCAACCCCGTATTGACTGGATGAGTCAGCGGCCGATCGGCCCTCACCGCCCACAGAATTTCTTGCGCGGTTAATGAGATTTCGGTGGGAACTCTTTTTTCCCTCGCATTATTGAGCCGATCCTCTTGTGTCCTCCACCACGCTGGGCCACAAGACTTGAAGTGGTATTGTTGACTAATTGCGCTTCTAAGTGACCCGTGTATCCCCACGGTGAAGAGGGAAAGAGAGAATAAGAAAAACCAAAAAAGAAAAAACCGCGCAATTGAGCCGTGTCGGACAAATACGTCTAGAGCATCATGACCTGGCAGCTAAGACTTGTGCGGGCAACTCCGCTTCGATGCTCGCTTACCCGGCCGAATGGTCCGTGGAATATCCCGCGGGCGTCTTATACTTGCAGTGCAAGGTTCCCCGCCGGGCCTTTTAGGCCTTCTTCAGGTATGTGTTTCGGAAATCTCTCTCAGTCCCATGGGGCCGATCACTTCTACACCTGTTCATTGGATGCCACATCGCTCTAGTCCAATACTTTACTGCCTGTATTTTTGAAATCACCTGCTCAAAAGAACTCTCGTCATCCCGTGACATGCAGTGTGTCATTCGTTCCCCTCATGGGGGTCACCATATAAATTTCCAAATGGATGCCATATCCAGGCGCTCTACTCCTTCAAGCAAGACAACTGATCCCTCTGGAATATCCCCCAGTCTCCGCGATGTCGACCCAGACTACCGTATCCTATACTACTACGCGCACACTGTCCACCCCGGCCGTTCGTTGCTTGAACGCCGATAATATCAACCCCTATGTTAAGGAGGCGAAGTATGCCGTCCGTGGTGAGCTTGCCGTCAAGGCGGAGGAATACCGCGTGAAACTCGCCAAGGGAGACAAATCGTTGCCGTTCGACAGCGTCATCTTTGCCAACATCGGTAACCCCCAGCAGCTCGACCAGAAACCAATCACCTTTTTCCGTCAAGTCCTCAGCCTTCTCGAGAACCCTCTGCTGTTGAACAACCCCGAAGCACTTCGCACCTCCTTCGGTTATCAACAGGATGTCGTTGACCGGGCCAAGAAGCTTCTCGCAGATGTTCAGAGCGTTGGTGCTTACAGTCACAGTCAGGGAGCACCTGTGATCCGGGAAAGTGTCGCCAAGTTTATTGAGCAACGTGATGGATTTCCGGCCAACCCTCAGGATTTGTTCCTCTGTGCCGGTGCCTCATCTGGCGTCAGCACCATTCTCAACGTGATCTGCAACAACCCCAACGCCGGTGTCCTCGTCCCTATCCCACAATACCCCCTCTACACAGCTACCCTCGCCCTCCTCAACGCGAAATGCGTCCCCTACCTCCTCGAAGAGCAGAAGGCCTGGGGTACCGATGTAGATGCCATCCGTAACTCGTTGGCGCAGGCTCGATCCGCCGGCACTGATGTCCGCTCGATTGTGGTCATCAACCCCGGTAACCCCACTGGTGCCTCTTTGAGCGCCCAAGATATCAAGAATGTCCTTGATCTTGCGGCGGAGGAGAAGCTAGTGGTTATGGCGGATGAGGTCTACCAGACGAACGTTTTCGAGGGCGAGTTCATCTCGTTCAAGAAGAGGCTCCGTCAACTCCAGCAGGAGACACCAGGCAAGTATGACAATGTGGAGTTGGTCTCGCTCCACAGTGTGTCTAAGGGTATGGTTGGCGAGTGTGGCCAGCGTGGTGGCTACTTCGAGCTGGTTGGATTTGACCCCGAGGTCACTGCTCAGGTCTACAAGCTTGTGAGCATTGGCCTTTGCCCACCGGTCATCGGACAGTGCTTGCTTGAGCTTATGGTGAACCCACCCAAGGAGGGTGAGGGCAGCTATGAACTGTACCAGAAGGAGTACAATGGAATCCGCGAGGGACTGCACAAGCGCGCCCTTGCGTTGTACAAGGCCTTCCAACAGATGGAGGGTGTTGAATGCCAGCAACCTCAGGTATGTGAATTACAATACTCAATCGGTTTATCTCTAACGTAATCGATGTCTAGGGCGCTATGTACCTCTTCCCCACCATCACTCTCCCTCCCAAGGCCTTGGAGGCTGCCAAGGCCGAGAACCGTCCCGCCGACGAGTTCTACTGCCTGCGTCTCCTCGACGCTACCGGTGTCTGCGTCGTCCCAGGCTCTGGCTTCGGTCAGAAGGAAAACACCCTCCACTTCCGCACAACTTTCTTGGCCCCCGGAACTGACTGGGTTGAGCGGATCGTCAAGTTCCACTCCGAGTTTATGGCCAAGTATAAATAATTGAATAGAGTTGACATGTACACATATGACTCACGTGATACCTGTTGAGAATATAGAACCTTATACCTATGCCACATTGATGGCACTATCCACACTGAATGAATACACTTGAATTCCACTCAGATGCTTTTCCCATGTTAGTGTTCGTAAAACTTTCAAAAATGTTGCCTGCGTTCTAAGAAAGTTCTCATATCACCTTAACTGAATGATAAAAGCGACATCTGGAGAGATTTGCGCTGATTTAAGCACATTGCAGTGGCAACAAGCCCATCCTGAGAAAAAAAATTACTCAACTTGTTCAAAGCGTTAGAAAATAAATTGCTAAATTATATACAAATTTCCCGTTCCTGGCTAAAACAAAAAAGGAAGTATAAACTTTTTAACCGTACAAAAAAACACTAACAGAGGTATATAACTATAAACAGTGCTAACAACAATGTACCACATACACGAAACAAGGCTATGACCAATAATACTCCAATGCCGATGCACCGTCAAGTCATTCGTGGAAATGATCGTCAGGTGACTGTTATTGGATCCCAAGAAGATGCGTGGCGTGATGCGGCAAACCCACAGTATCCAGGAATGTACCGAGCATCAACTTATGCTGTTATTTGTAGCCTGTCTCTTTTCGTTTCAGTCCAGAAGACCATATTTTTGTCTCGAAGTTGTGTATGTGTCCGACTGCAAAGGGCGAGGCGAATGCTGGCGGTTGTGAAATTGAAACAACGCTGGGAGTGACTCGATGGCTGCTGGATGTGGAAGGACAATCAGAGGAAACGGCCGTTTCGGCCGTTGAGCTCACTCGGTCTAGATCGACACTCCCACTCCTGTCCCTTGAGGTTAAGCTCTGGGCCCCTGCCGAGTTAGGCCTCGAATTGCTAAACCCGGGGACCAAGCAGCGAGGATAGCTTGCCTTGTCCTGTGCCAGTGAGGAAACCTCGCTGTTGGTGATTGATGCGTTATCTGTGTTTGATGCGGTCTCCATGGTTGAGGCAGAGTCCGTGTTGGACGCGTTTGAGGATTCTTCCGTGTACTCCTGGCCTTCATTTATATAACACTTCGAGATCAAATCGTTTTGCATGCAGAATATCTTGCTCAGAGTTTTGAGTAAAGCGAACTTGAACTTGACTGACATGTCCGGATGATTGGTGATTGTGTCGAGGAGGAGCCCTTTTACGTAACCGAGACAGACATTCATGTGGACGTACTCTATCCTTAATGGGTGCATCAGAACTTTGCCTGTGTGCATGCTCCTATAGTCCGACGCGTTTAGTGGGCTGATGAAGAAGTAGTTAGCTGGCAGACCACTCACCCGATTTTTCCTAGATACTCCCAGTACTCGATCTGACCGGGGTCAGAACATAATCTGGTCAGGTACCACTTCCAGAAAATCTTCCTCCGTTGTACATGAGGACTATCGATTGTGAACAAGTCCTCGATCTGCACTTCGGATGCAGTACTTCGAGTGCGCAGGGCACGGGCTGTGATATCAAATTCGAGCATCTTCTGATAAAGACGATGGGTAAGGTCAGGTATGGCTGCTTTCAGGTATTTTGCGCCTTTGTTGAATATGTGGACATCATCTAGAAGCAACAATCAGCGATCTGCATTATCGAATTAGGGAGAGTAACTGCCTCCACTGCTTGTTCAAATATACCTTCTGTGAAATCCAGATATGTCTTCATATATTCCAAACGCTTCCCAAAATCTGTGTAAAGCTCTCTCCGCCCAACGCGCCTGATATCTTCTTGCGCAGGAACGACTGGATCCATATTTAGAACAAAGTAAAATGTATTGTGTTTTCAGAGTGGTCAGGGCGTTATTCTATAGGAGAATCTCGAGGATCTTTGTGGGATGTATAGCGTGTGTGCTTCGTGAACTCGTACACGATCCTAGGGGGTGTCGACAGGGACAGCAACGGGGGACAGATATATTTCTTGCATGGCCTTTCTACTAGAGAGCGAGCTTATATTTAGCAGATCCATGTGATCTCTTAAAGGATTTTAGGCCAGTAACCGGGTCTTTCCGTTCCCTGCGGAGTGCGCCAAGTGATGCCGACCAGGGGCCAATCTGACAATGGCTGGCAGACCATTTAACTGACAGCTTCTTGAACATCCTTGCATCTTATGAAACAAGCTTCTGCTCACAAAGTTTTCATGTCAGCACATGCAGAGGCTCACTCCGTCCTCTGACACTGTGATCTCCACACATTCTTGGCCTTACGAGTACGCGAGGCTAAACTGCAAGCGAGCACGCGTAGAGAGACCCCGCAGAAGGATTTTCCCCGATCCAGGATCTTATACACCAGAGATGGTCAGGATCCAAACGGATGTACAGTACCTGCATAGTCAGCACCGCTCGTGCGATACCGAACACGATCCGCTGTGGTACATCACCAATGACCGGCCGTTTGTTGGGACGATAGATTAAAATAAATTAAGCAAAGAAATGGTGGCCCCCACCATGTAATCCCACGGAGCTGGGCCAGTCTCCAGAATTCAGCTACGCCCGATCCCTGAAAGGTTGAGATGATAGGATGCGGACACCGAGGAGGCAGGACTCCAGGTAGTGGAGCCACTTACAGTCCCATCGCCTAGAGTTTAACGCGATATATTTGTATGCCAGAATAATAATCCTCGGCAGCGTGGTGTAAACTACTTGACTCAGCCACTCGGATATCCCGCAATGGTTCTGATCAGTCGGATTGTGATTCGCTGTTATCATCCTGCCTGTACTAATTATCTCGGTTAGGTCTGTGCTGCTCTCCCTATGAACAGTCAGATAGCCCTAGATCGTGAGGTGGATAAGCTCCATGAACGTGTCGATCGAAGAGGAAACGGAGCTGACCTGAAGTGTTTACATGATTCGAGACGTAACCCTCCACTGCAGTGGCACCATACTTGGTTCTCGCCCGAATTGGACTGTAGATCTAGACGCATGCTCCATGTTGGTCTCCTTGTTGTTTGCGTATTTCCGAAGCCTTGCAGTCAGTCGAATCCCGAAGGAATTGCGTGCGTTGTATCCGCTTTCAGGGTCAGGGATGGGCACAGAGAGAGAAAAGAGACGCACAACGATCATGCCACTGCTGCCATACTAACTTAGGTGGTCCTGACCAACTTCCCAATCAGCGCTAACCCATCTGTATAGATGTCGCGCTAAACCTCGTTAGGGAATCTTGGCGGGTGGGCCACTCTTGGGGGTCAAACAAATCAAATTCCAACCGGCTCTCATGGATTGTCCGCATTGCCGACGTCCTCCGGGCAGAAAGAAAAAGAAAGAACCTGGATGTTATCAGATTCTTCTAATGGTTCTATTTATTCCTGTCGTTTGTCGATCCCGATTTCCTTATGCGTCGATGTACATAGCATCGGAGGTGCAAATGCCGCAACCCCTCAAAATCTCCCCTCACAATTTAATTAGAGGGTAGGCCTCTAGCCTCATTCAGGTAGTTGGGTGTATCTCTGGACTCCATCCTAGTATACTACTACTTCGATCCACTCCCCTAGACTAGATTGGCTAGGTGGAAATTCTTGGGGATAAACTACTATGTAAGAAGGATCTAAACATTAATAACAATATCATAAGCTATTAGATCGCATTTGGCGGGCAAATGATCGAATGATATAGGGGGGTTTTGTAGCCTTAAATTTAGCCAGCTATACAGGGTCGAGGATTTTTTTTTTCTTTTTTGTTCTCTTTAAAAGTAGGTTCCGTATTATCTCACCACCTCTCAATATCCTGGTTCGGAATAAGTATCAACAAGGTAAGGTGCAGTGGACTGTCTTAGGGAGTTACATACGGAAGTTGAAAGCATGAGGATCCATGGATGGGCGTTGCTTAGTTAGTGGGCGATCACCTGTCAAGAGTTAGGCCTTACTCTGTATGGCCGAGAAACAACTTGTTCCCCAGGCAATACTTCTTATCTTTTCGAGTTTTAGGCTCACTGACACATCCTCAACTGATACGAATTGATTTATGACAAATATCGTCTCACTTATTCGCCCTCACATGCTTTACTGGAGACTGATTATTCCCATCATTGACTACCTCGGCCATCCTTCTTGCATGATCCTTGGGTGATACAGTACACCCATGTTAATGCCTCACAGGGCTATTCTGGAATCAGTTGAAGGCCTCGTTGAAATTACTACGAATAGGTTCATTTCTTTCCGCGGAGATATTGTTCCGAAGTGTACGCGATGACGAACCTGTGACCTACTCATACCGTGGGGTGAAGGCAGTTCGTGGGGATGATACGATTCAAATCATAAAGTAAAATCCCTTCGTGGCCCACGATATCCGCCAGGGTTGATATAAGCGATATATAACCTGTACCTTCATGTTCGCTACTTGCCCTATATAATTTCCTTCTAGGGAAAGGGTGGCATGATCGGGACGCAGATGCTGCGGCTCATTGTGTTCGACTACTCCGTACTCCAGAGCCTTGACTTGACGAACCTTGTCTGGTTATCTCGACTTGCTCTCAGTCAATGATATCAAGGTGAACTCAAGCTGACGGTAGGCAGCCAAAGTCTCTCACACCACACTTATCGTGTGACGAGAACACTACAGCCCCCTGACGGTAGATAAGGGAAAGGGGCTGGCTTCTTCTAAATATTCAATATGAGGCTTGAGGGTTGATATTTTATTAACCTCCCAGCAAATTGCCCAAACGATCCACCAGGCTAGCTAATGGTGCTGCTTCCAGTCATTTGGGACATGTCTTGGCTGAAGATAGCATGTATTGAGTCCCGGCAAGGATACGCCGAACGAATGAGTGTGTTCTGTTATAGACACAGCTGGGCCGTTATTATGCTGATAATAGTCTTTGGAACATGTGACGCGCGTTGCTTTTGGCGAGGCAGTTAACGTCGTTCTTGCTTAGTGAAACTTCTGCGATAGGGCGAGGAGAGGGGCGGCCAGGAGCTGTTCGATGCTCTGAAGGTCTAAAGAACGTTCTCCGGAAATAGTGAACTGAATCACAGTGTAAGTTGGTCACACGCTCATCATCGTCTCGGAAGTGGAGGTTATGTCGTCCGAAGTTGCGGTGATACTTCATTGGACCCATTGTTATTGGAGGATAAACGTACGAAAAACACATCTTTATCCCGGATCGGCCTTCCAGAATAGCCGTAACCCTTAATATTTAGCGTGCCAATTCTGTCATGGCGTTCGGATGGTTTACGCTTAACTTTGCTGCTATACCTTGGACTGTGCTAGGGTTATAGAACTTCGCCAGAGGCATAACCATGTCGAACCTATGCTGAGCATCTGCTCAGATAGCAATAAAAAAGTCACATCACAGTTCATAGAAAAGTGGGAATGCCGCGGCGAGTGGTAACCGCAGACAATGTTTCGCAGAAGTGGCAAGGATCACATTTCCTTAGTGGCCTGTCTAGCACCGTAAAGAACGTTCCCTTGGTAGCGCCTTAGGCGGCCGTTTCATGGACCGGGCCATATGTCGTGATAGTTCACCAGTAATGAGTCGAACGAGTTTAAAAAGGGTTGTCCACATTTACTGAGGCAACAGCAGGCGATTGTTCAGACCTCCCCAGCTATTGCTGCTAGTCATCCTCTGCAGCTGTCCGATGAGCCGGATATGTGACACGATGAATTGGTGTCCGCAATTAAGAGAGGTCTTTGCATGGGATACCTGACCATCTGCTGTGCGCAGGACCAACGCTGTCAAACCCAATCCGAAGACCTCGTATATGTACTAGGTCTGTTGGTGTCACTCGGAGCTCAAGAATCTGTGTCGTAGCGAACCTAGATGCTACTACTCCTCCCGCAGCTGTCTGGATCTAACCTGCGGGGTAACTATCATGTAGCGTCTGCTTTAGTACAGCTTCGGTTTCCTGATGGTCAGTTACTTAATCCCATCTGGTGTAGAAAGCTCCTAGCTTACTGTCTGATGTCTGACTGTATATCGATATGAGTTCACTGGCGATGTGCCTCTCTACTCCTTTTGCCCATTGCTGATATGGTGCACAATATAGTCCTGTTAGAGAATATGGTACTCTGTAGGTAGTATATAGCTTCCGTTAAAATCTAACCCGACATTATATATACTTAATCTCTAAAGAGTCCGTCCTTATGCAGAAGCCAACAAAAATATATATCACAAAGTAAATTAACTCTCTCACACCCACCAACTCCAAGTATCACACCAGTTACCTAAGTCATACATAACACCCCAATCACTTACAAAAACCAATACAGATCAGAGCAAAAAAAAGACCTACCAAAGACCCACCCATCTACAAACCCACTTTCCAAATACCTCTCCCTAGATACTATATTACCTGTGCAGTCACAGTTCACATCATATACCAACCTACACCAACAACCTCCCCTACCTCCATCCTATACATACATCCATGCCTAACCCTAGATAAGTGGTATTAAGGCACACTACCTCCCACACTGGTTGTTATGGTTACCTGTCTCCCCCAATCCAAAGCCAAGACCCAACAAGCCTTTTCCCAAAAAGCTTGTCCTTCATCCCCTTGCATAACCCACACCAACACCCTGCTAAAATATCCGGTATGGATTGGGACGAAATAAATCCCTCAAAACTGTGGGTACCGGCACCCTTTGCCGGGTTCCCAACCTAACCTACTTTCCACGTTACCCTTACCTTTAACTCTTGGGACGCGCGGTTCGGGACCCATCCCTTTTGTGCATGGAGGTTTTCTTTGGTTGTTGGGTTTATGTTTATTTGGGGGGTGTGGGTGAGGTAAGGAAGGGTCATTGCTTGCTATGTGTGCATACTAGGTAGGTACATAGGTTACGGCATGTATTAAATGTTATGTATAGTATGTATGTACGGGTATCCGTATGGTACTGGAGTGTGGATTCCTGGATGGATGTATGTATGTACAGTACCTACTCAGCCAGAGGTAACATCCAATGTGTAGATCTAGATCGGGGACTGTTTACGTACAGAATAGGTAGAGCTAGTGGGTGTGAACTACAGACGGAGTACATACTACACCAGACCTAGATAAGTCAGGGCTGAGAATTATTTCCCTACCTAGAACACTGGTCACATGGTCTAGCCTCACCGCCGGAGACCCCCTGGGGATTACATATTGCATCACCTGAAATAATCCAGACCCAGTCCGTACTAGTTGGCATGTACACCGCTACACTGCAGGGGTGCTCGGTTGGGGTCATGCACATGATCTATCAAGTCTAGCCCAGTTCAGAAGTGTACGGGGTAACACGGCTGAGCCCTGAAGCCCAGTCCAGAGCGCAACCCGGCCGAAAAGCCATACTTTGGCCGATGATACGCAGTGCGCTTACAGGTTCTTCTTGTCTGGTCCAATATTACGTTGAACCGGACTTGATTTTTGTGTAGGGAGAGTAAACAATCACTTTGGTCTATATAGACGCATATCAAGAATGTAGGTATATATGTCTGTACGGAGTACCGGGAATCGCTAAAGGTAAGCTGGGAGAGACTGTAGAACCCGGAAACTACCAATCCGAGTCAAGGAAGGAAACCATGAGCAGATATAAAACTTGAACACTACTCTTTATCGATTGGATACTATAGTATAGTTTGACTGGGACTGGCTAATTGAACAATAATATCAGGCATTTATCATCATCTCTCATCAAGGTCGTGAAGACGTAGGTGTCGTCACTTAGACGGTGTGGAGGTGGTGGTAATGTGCCGCAAACAGACCACAAAAGCCAGGTCAACCTGCTCTCGCCCGCGGCTGCACTACTGCACCCAGGATGGCGGGTAGAAACTGTTGTCATCTACCGACGCAGCGGCGGGATCAAAGAGCGCCGCGGGCCAGATGGGATCCGCAGCGGACGTTGTCATCGGAACGCTCGTAGTAGGGGTCGTCATTGGTTTGAAGGCCTCGGCGTCCGATATGTCGTAGGCGTCCTGAGACGGCAGTTGCTTGGGTTCCATGCCCATGCTGGCTTGAATTTGGTGCTCCAATGCTGCGGTGGACTCATTGGCGGACTTGAGAAAATCGTCAATGTTGATTGACTCGAGCTGATTAGACGATAAGAGCTGGGCCTGCGGGAGGCCAATGAACGATGACGCGGAGCTTATGCGGAAATGATCCATATCTGAGCCTTCGCTCCCGCTGGCGAGGTCGTGAAGGTCATTGCCGGTGTTTCCAAAGCCGGAGAATGGCGCGAAATCCTCGACTTCGGAGATATCACCGGACGATGACGGGGCCGGGAGTCCATGGCTTATAGAGTTGTAGTCGAAGCTCGCGTAAGAAGGAGCCTGAGTGCTGGTCGCGGCCGGAACGTCCGACGAGTACAAAGGGAAGCTCGACCAATCGACAGGGGGGGCATTGAATCCGGTAGGGCCCAATGGCAAATCGCTGTCTGGCGATGCGAAAAATTGCTCTCTGTAAGGATCTTGGAATGCCATCGCGTTCACTGGCGACGTTGTTGTGGTCGGGAAAGGAGAGAAGGGCGAGACATCGAGAGGCGGCACACTAGTCATGAGCGGATTTAGGGGCGTCTTCCCAATGGAAAGGGACACCGGCTCGGCCTCCGAGGGCTTATTCATGGGCTGAGCTTGAGGAAAGAAAGACGAGAGGTCGAGTGGGGGGACGTTTGTCGGTACATCTTCCGTGGACACGACGGGGGCACTCTCGGGAGACCCATGCTCGGACTTGACACGACGCTGAGAACCATGGGTGGGCTGCTGTTCCGGAAATTGTTGAGTTGAGAAGGGTTCGCTCATCAAGGCCGCTTGTGTCAGGGGCAGTTGATCGACGGACCGACGAGACACATCTGATGTCGAGTGGATTGTATGAGACCGGGGTATTGTGTAGGGCAGACCACATTTGTGAGCCATGTCATTGTGTTTATGAGCCGGTTTGTGGTGACCATCGCGGAAGATCGTAAGCGTACTTTCCGACTTGGTCGACGTCAACTGGGGCTTCTTGGGAGTTTCCGATAGAATCGTATGCTGGGGTGGAGGAAGACCAGTTTCCGGCACAGTATTTAGGTGGGGTTCCTTCTTCAGCGCACAAGTACAGCGCTGTCCATGAGTGCAGCCACATCTTGGACGGGAGTCCTCTGTAATGCAGATCAGAAACAATGAACCAGTGTACCAACTCTAACATGCTCACGCTTGTGATCCCGCTTGTCATTGGCGTGGTGGGGATCTGAATCATGTTTGTGGCTGTTCTTTTTCTTGTCACCACACTCGCACTTTGTGTGGGTTGTCCGTGACTTGCGTAGGCCGCGACAGTGGTTGCATTGAGAGACTGGACGGCCTTTTTTGTTGATATGGGTCAAGGGGCGGTCTGGGTTTCCCAGAGTTAATCATCCTCCTGGCGAGATTAGAAGGGGAAGTTATTGACTTACCACTGTGGTGACAGCTGCTGACACGGTGACCTCGGACGCAAGCTTCACAAGCCCACTTCTCGCCATCGATAAGCATTATCGCGGTTACTGGGTAACAAACATGCGATAACTCGCGACGAGTATATAGAAAAACAAATTAAAGTTGGAAGTTGAGAGACAGATAGCAAAGGTCTGACTGGCTATCCTGATTTGATTTTCTTCTTTCCTTGTCCTTTTTTTTTTTTTTTTTTCCCTTCAAAGATAGGAAATAACCGAACAGGAAGACCTGTCGGGAGATAACGAAAGAGCCGTCAAGGCGAGGATTCGAGGTATAGTTGTACGGTCCGTCAAGGTGATCGGACCGACGGAGACCAGGAAAAACTCCAACAAAGCAAGGGTATCTCTTAACGAATATCCCAATGCACCAAACAAAGTGACAGAAAACGCCGTTTCACCTAATAAGGGCCGTGTCGCAAGTACTGAGGGTTCAGTGAAAAGACCAACACTCAATGGCAGGTTAAGGTACCTGGCGAATAGCGCACACCCCAGGAACCAGGAACCGAGAGGGGAAGTCGGATCGGGACTAAAAGAGTCCAACAGAACATATAAAACGAGGAAAAGGGAAGAGGATAAGTAAATGGGGGGGCCAAAGCCTACGCACCGTTTGGCGCCGGCCGTGAGACAGGACACCAAATACCGGCTGTGGCGGCCAAGATAAAGGGAAAAGGCGATCGATCTGAAGGCAGAGTTGTGTGCCAAACCCTGTGAGAAGGAGAAAAGAAAAAAGGAGGAAAAAAAGAGGAGAGGAAAAAGCGGGAAGCGGGCGATGAAGTAGGTTAGGGTAGGTTATGCTAGCTGACTACGACCCGTTTTCCTCCAACTTAACTTTGGGGGGGGGGGGTCAAAGTGAAATGGGAAGGGAAAAGTGGAACAATTCGGCGGCCGCAAGGGAGTTGCGCAGCTGGTGGCCATGTCCCGCCCGAGTCAGCCAGACCTGGAACGAGAACAGATCGGAATGAAATATTTTTAGAGAACATGGAGAACTGAGCTTTAAATCATCCTCCAAAAAGTTTTGATTTTTAGTATTTACACTTCCGCTTGTCTTGGCTATGATTTGTTTACTCAATCAATAATATCCTTTTACACCAATTCAATTCGAGCTCCAGAGTGTTTCACGCATGGACATAACTTTTTTTCTGGCGAGGACTTGTCATGCACCCCAAGTATGGAATGCTTCGTGGTCTTGCTCCACAGTACATGGATATCCATGGTTATTACCGTATTGTATGTACCTTTACAGGTGCTTTGTCCCTCGTGCTGAAGCTACCCGCACATACGCACACACACAAAAAGCCCTTTTTTCTCTTTTTCCCTTCTTTTTTCTTTTATTTTTCTTTATATTTTCTCTTGTAACTGAAGAATGATCATTGAAGTCAGCCCTGGGAGGGTCCAAATTTTCCTTATACTCTTTGGTATGGTTGCATTTGTGGAGCATATCCCAGCTCTACGGTAGTGGCTGCCTTCCCCTAGGTAGGCATATTTCGAATGTTGGCGATGACAACACAGCCAGTATGATAGCGTCACACAGATTGGCATTACGCACGAATTATTGTCCGGTCTGGAACAATTGCCGTAGTAAGGATTCTAGAGCCTTTTGTAGACTATGTTATGACTGTTTTTAAGTAAGAGTAGTACGAGTAGTAGGTACGTAGTTACAGTCCGTACCTACCTACATAATAACTGCATGCATGTATGTAGTATAGTCCTAGCTGAAGTTTCAATCTCTGACACACACAAGAAAAAAGTAAAAAAAAAAAAAGAAAAGAAAAGAAAATCAAATCACATAACTCGTACCGTAACATTATTTCCAATGCAAGGGATCTCCGACAAACGTTCCCAACGGAGTGATTCTTCCGTGAAAAAACTCCTCCATCACTGGGACGCCAGCCGCGATTCACGCCTGAATTACCAGGGTCGTTGCCTCTACCAGTTCAACAGACCTAAAGGTGGATAGGTAGGTTTTAGGGTATAAGAACGCTGAACGACTGGAGAACAGAGAGGCTTGGTACGGAAAGTTGGGGGACTGGACCAAACTCTGTCCGCTAGATGATGGATCCTGTTACGAAATTTCTGGGGCAGAACCCGGCCCGGCGATTACTTGAACATTTGTGGATTTGCTAGACCGAGTTTTCATGCTTGTCAATACTTGAAATACTGGTAATACTTAACTGTTTCGGCACATTTACGGGGTACCCGATGGGGTCAGATTGCCCGATATCTATCTATTCGCCCTGTCTACTGCAGAATATAGTCCAAGGTTTCTATTGACCGTCAGTCCATAATGGGACTCTTGTATACTGTAACTGCAACAATGGTCACGATTCTCACAGCGTCTTTACCACTCTGTCATTATCAAGTCTTCTAGAAGGTCCCTTGGGATCTTCTATGCATGCTAAACCTTCGCCTTGGGCCCAGTCATTGGAAGAACTCTACAGGTGTGGTTAGACAGGCACAGATAGTGGACCATGGTTGTCAATGCGGTGAGCCGATTTGAGTTGAACTTTGCCTTGCCCGTTTGCTCTTACATGCAGGATTGCCCAGTATTACCATGGCTCGAACGGGCAAAATTTTAAGAATGATTGGCATAGACGATGGAGTCCTCCGTACACCAGCCGTGTCACTGAATGAGTTTCATTCAAATATCGGGGTTCAAAGGATGGATCTCCCCAGGTCCTGCGTCGACATCCAGCGTACAGACTGTATCGTATTGTACCGTAGTGTATCCGATCGAGCGTTCCAAGGTTAGCCATGGTTCACGATTGACTCAAGACAGTCATCCTAGCACATCGAAGTACGTAAGGCCAAAAGCAAAGCCAGCCGTGCCTTGCCTATCAGAGATCGAAACAGCCAGAACTAGGAAAATATTTACATCACCGGTCATTCGCTCGTGGTTGTCGTGGTTGGTCCTCAGATCTCCCATCGCGACATCACGGGTTGTTGAGACTGTGAAATGGCGTCACAGCTGCTTGATTAGGATCTTTGCAGCGGGCTTGCCAGTCGGTCATGTGCAGTGGAGGGGTCTGATCTGCGCAGCGTTGGCGCATTGGATGCTCACCAATTATAACATCTATCAGAGAAAAATCGGGTCCCTTCGGGCCTCCTCAGCCAGTTGAGACCCGTCAACGGACAACAATTATATACCTAGTGTTGGTACTCCGTACTCGCACTGTATATAAATTAGTTATCTCGTCCGCCTCCGTGAATTCTTTTTTAGCCCTCGGACGGAAGGATGAACACAATAACTTTTCAAGAAGAACTGTTATGCTCGTTTCCGACTTGAAACAGAAAGTGGGGAGATGCTACTAGTAATGACATTGAGCTGAAAAACGTAGTGAGAACCATAGAGTCACCTAGAAAACGAGCCTCAGGCTTCTGAAAAATTCGGGATTCCGGGACAGAACTTGACTTCAAAGGTAGAACACCCAACCTATCACCACCTCAGGTACACTTCCCTAGTGTCGAGCTATACCTTCCTCGGTCGCTTGGTGGATCGTCCACCGGACCCCAAGGCCAATCCCCAGACCGTCCATAATAGTCCCACTTAATTATCCGCCGCTTCAAACTAGAGATCGTCTCGTGTTACAATTTTAGCCGCCCACGGCACCCGCGGACAGAAGATACATAGATGTTTCCAAGACAAGGTCTCCGTATCCAAACCCTGTCACATGTGTTCACAAATTTCCAACAGTGCCAATTTCTACCAGTCTCATATTCGGCTTCAACAAGATAACCCACGGTTAGTCTCTGATAAGGTTCAATAAAAACAGATTCACAGCCCGGTGGATCTGTTTCAACCTACTGCGCGCCGGTCTGCCCCAGCCAACGGACCGTATCCGCATTGTGGAGGGGGGAGTAGAAACTACTCTTACTCATCTTGGTTTAGTTGAACATAGTTCAATGTCAGTTCGAGTCAAATCAGAAACTAAATTAGTATGCTGTCGTATTTGGTGACTTGGTCCTGACTCCTGATAAAGGAGGGTCCGATGCCGTCCAAGGAACGTGGCTTCTTTGCTAGACTGACACTCTACGTTTGGGGTTTTTGGAGGATGAAAATGAATGGCGCGTAGAGCGGGTCTATGTTGGTTTTTCTGAAAATGCCGCCCATGCAGCTCATGCAATCCATCCGAGTATGGCGATTCTTTGTCCGTATAGTAGGTGACGGGGCCACTGTTGATATCGAACGTTGCCTGGTCGGATGTCCCACTGGTACAGGATAGGCAAGTCTCCTTTGTCTATGCGGAGCACGCCAGGTTCCTGGGACTTGTTAAGATCTTCAAGTCCCATTGGGCGGTTTCAAAGTACTACGTCCAAGGCAAAGGCCGACATCTGGTGGTTACGTTGGTGAATGTAGACCTCGTTACTTAAAACTCGCCCAGTATGAAGTCAAGATAATGAAGAGGATACTTGAGCCAAGCAATGATCATCGGGGGTTGACCTTGGATGGTACTGTCTAGAACAATGTTAATAAGAAAGGGATATCAATAACGGGTCACCTCTCGGACCATAGGCAACACTCAGGAGGTTTCTTCAGCGCTGCGCCTAAAAATGGAATACCGCATCTGTAAGTATCCTAAAGGGAGAAGGTTGCCTGTTCATGGCAAACAACTTGAAGACCCAAAGCAGGATTTAGTATATCGTGAGCCAGACACGTTCGTTCGATGCTTTCCTGAACTGGCATTTCAAGCCTCGGACGGAAACACATCTACCAAAGAGCCGAAGAACTGCGCATTGATAATGAGCTCATGTCAAAAATTATACTGAAAATACATACATTAGTACGCCTGTTGTATCATCATATGGGGTGCTTACCGAGAACAGCGACGACGGAGTCTCTAGAGAAAAACGCACACTGCTAGCGTTTTCTTGCCAGCACCCCAGGTAAAGATTGCGACAAACGTATTTACAGCAGTTCCATAGCCTTTATAAGACACTAGAATGCAGGAATGACTATATTGTGATAGTTGTGCTGGGTAGACTGGCATCATCTGCGAGGTCGAGTCAAAAACCTCGTTGTAAATGCTTCATATCCAAGGCGGATGAGGCCAAAATCGAGTGACGAGATCGCGATTCCTTGAGATGAAGATAAGTCACCCGAAACGACCATAACGATTTAATCGCCCTGTAAAAGCCCTCGACCACCGATCTTCTTCCGTCTGAGATGCGGTTTGGTCGAGTTCTGGGCCGGTGGGAAATAGTATTAATCCGTCGCTGGACGCAGAAACAAAAAGCCGGTCCTCCGCATCGGCGCGATCATCCCAGTATGAAACTATATTCTCGTCCCCGAGCTTTCATCAGATTCAGCGATCTTCATTCCCTGCAATTCAATCGCGCGATCATGTTTGCTGAGTCTTGTCAAATGCGCCGAGGGTATTCGGCACTAACCCCTTCAAAACTGCCCCCCGCCCAGGCAGATTTAGCCTGTAAAACCTTGCCTGCTGTCCTCGCGTCTTCCACCCTCCAACTCTCTCCCTCTTCCATCTCCCGGAGCGTCGCTCCAACGTCCACCCCTACTTTTTACCAGCGATTCCATCGCTTTCCGGCGCAATGAATTCCCGCGAGCATTCTGATATGCCTCCGACCGCCTCCTACCCTTCCCCCAACGCGGCGCAGATGGGTCAGGGGGCTATGCAGTACTACGCGAACCGCCAGTTGACAGCCGACGAGCTCTTATCTGCTGAGCTGTCCCGCGAGACCTCTGGCCCCGGCCTCGCTGACGGCTCCAGTAATGGCGTTCACCATGGCCAGTCAATGGTTTTAGGAACCTCAAACCCCGGTGGTGGCGATATGGGCCGTCCGTCGTCGCCCGACCAGCATCAACAGCAGCACATGCTACAGTTCACCCCCAGCCAACAAGTCGGTGTCGATCCAAACCACGATCTAAGCTATGGGGATCAGAGCGCTAGAAGGAAAAGATCGAAAATATCTCGCGCTTGCGACGAATGCAGACGAAAGAAGGTACTTTTCATCTCAAAGTTTGCCTCTAGACGCGACTTTGTTGTCCATGACCTAACCGCGTGCACCCACAGGTTCGTTGCGATGCAAGCTCCGAGTCCGGTGTTGAGACGTGCTCCAACTGTCGACGACTTGGGGTTGTTTGCCAGTTCAGTCGTGTTCCCATGAAGCGTGGTCCCAGCAAAGGGTAAGCTCGCTCTCATTGTCTCGCGGGTATGTAGTCGCGTTCGGCTGATGATATTCGATAGTTACATCAAGGAACTTGCAGAGCGCCTTCACACCCTTGAAAGCCAGATGCAGCCCGCCATGGTTCATCCTGACATGCCTTACCAACCTATGAATGAGGTGTCGTCGCCAAGAGCTTATCAGGACTTCTCACCACCGATGGATGCGGGCTCCATCGGTCGCAAGCGGACTTATTCTGTGTTTGAAGGACTTCCAAGCTCCTCTTTCGCGCAGCCGCAATTCAACTCTCGCTCTCAGAATGCTTTCGGTTTGTGTACTCCAATCGCAGCGCTAGATCTTACTCAACTGACTGTTCAAGACACTGGAGAAACCTCGACCGATCCGTACAACCCTTCGGCTGTGAGCGGTACAGCACCAAAGCCTGGAAACTTGTTCTGGTCGACCGGCAACGAAACTGAGCTACCGCATGGACTAGATATACCCGAAGTGCCCAAACAAGCTATGGAAGAAGATATGACCCCTTTGGAAGTGGACGAGGGAACTCTCAACGCGTAAGTCAACCATGGATTTGGTAGTCCTAGCGTTTCTCTCCGGGAGTGATATATGCCCTAACGTTGTGCAGTTATTATCAAAAAATTCACCCCGTCTTCCCCATCTTGTCGCACTCTAAGCAACGTCTACTCGAGATTCTACACCAGTGTAGCCGTGAAGTGCAGGAGATTTTCCTTTACAGCCTATACACTGTTACGCGCACCAATATGGATCGTATCATAAGCACTTTCGAGAGGGTCACCTCTTTTGATAATGCTCAAGACCTTCTCTTGTACTATACTCGGCAACCAGCTTTGGCTCGCCCGACAGGGGTAAACCTAGTTTGGCTCCAGACCATGCTACTTATGATTTTGGACTGTGATTCTCGGGGACCGGACAACTTTGTTCTCAAGGATGGTGTGCCTAAACATTCTTTGATCCAGTCGGCTAGCAAGCTAGGCTCTGATTTGGTCAAGGGTCTAGGTCAGCTGAAAAGCAAACGTTCCTCGGATCCAGACGTTGATTCGGAGGCAAATCTTGCACGTCGCAATTGGGTAGCCTTGGCAATCCTGTCTCGCTGGCACGCCATCAGCGTAGCTGATCCAAGTATTCTCGGAACATATGAAATTGGTGGTCATGAGGATGAGAGAGTTGTCGGCCCAGTTACCACGGGTATTGGATGTGAGTTTAAGCGATTCGTCAAAGTTCGGATTGTTCAGCCTGGCTAACATTTTATTCTCCGCAGCGTATTCTACTTACCTCGTGGAATTGGTCACGCTGGGCGCTATCGAGAACAATGTATGCCAAACTAATACTGGCTTGGGCCGTATGGTAGGGGCAAACATGGTAGCTTCACTCGAGCGCCTGACCCAGGTTGATGATTTCCACAAATTGAACGAGACCTTGGAAGGAGCAACGTCCCAAAGCTTCCTTGAAAGTTTACAAAATCAACTTGACTGGACTATCCGGCTGTTGATCAAACGCCACATCTATGTCTACAGTCCCTACGAAATAATTTACAGTGCCATAGAGGTCATTAATGAGATGCACAAGGCGAACTTACAGTCTCGTCTTACAACACCGTTTGATCTTCACAGCCTAGCTTTAGCCTCTATGACTCTGCTGGAAGCAACAGTCATTCCAGAGCATGCTAATGAGTGCTGGGATGCGCTGAAAAAGGTCGAAGAAATTCTGGATTACCGTGCGAAGCAGAGTACTGGAGCGGCAGAATTCGGTGACATATTTGCCACCCCAGGCTGGGATTCTAAGATCCGCATTTTCTTAGAATGGCGACGAACCAAGTCGCAAGAAAGTCAACTCCAGGACTCCAATATGGGCAAAAGTGGCTCTGCCGCTCCCCCAGTCATGGGCCCGAATGAACAACGGTCTCTCCAACATCTGGCCGATCTCGCTGTAGGTGCCGAAGGCACCGTGGCTGCCAATGCTGGATCACCACCTGCACTCTCGGCTGATAACAATCTGAACGCCACTTCACCGAATCTCAGTTCTGTCTCACAACCACAAGGTCGCATTGTGGTTGATTTTACTCTTCTCACCAAGGAGGGATATCTCAATGTCTTTTCAGGTTTGATCTATCGCCGCTCTCGTTGATATATGCTACGCCTTTGCTCTGATCTGAGCAAGTTTCCAATGACAAGAGCTTTTCGTATCGCTCACGAAAATCTATATGTATCTTAGCCAACCTTTGACCTGCTTTCAGTTCTCTTTGTTAATTTCGGAAAAAAGAAAATAACTGTTCTTTCCTATGTTCAATGGTAACTAGCGGGCTTAATGGTAGTTTTGTATGTATTTATATGAAGTTGCCTGTGATATCAATTTCTTTTTCCATGCTATGTCTCAATCAATTTTGGATAATAAAACTTGTTGAAATTAAAAAAAAACTGAAGAGTATAAATATAGAGCGAGGCCTGCGAGCCTCCCGAGCTACATGGAAAGTGACCTGCCACTACATTTTACACTTTCGTTGACTTGAGAGTTAATATACGAGTTGATCAACCACAAGGACAGAAAGGAAAATCATTTCCCTAACGCAAACCTTCTCCATATTCCCTCCACATCCTCACAAAGTTGTAGAAATCCATCATCCTCGATGCTCTTGCAAATCCAGTTTTCCAGCTTCGTGGTACGCTCTACAGTAGGACAGGCCAAATATGCCGAGAGGTCTGTTTCTGTGCGCAGATTATGCTGTTGTTCTTGGATAGGATTCTCGGTAACCGGACCTTGATTCAGAAGGGAGTGTTCATCTTGTTGTATTGGAAACAGCGAATGGTGTGTAGTTACTGGTGGTATGTTTGGTGTACATATTGGCTGCGTAAGAGTATGTATCTGAGGCATTTGGCCACTGGTCGGCTTGGTGTTTAGATTGAGCTGTGACTGAGAAGATGGACGGTATTTGAGGGTAATAACCCGTGAATTCTGCGAATGGTCTGTAGATGGTGCAGGCGTGTTGAATCTTGGTTGGATATCTGATAAGAGACAAGGTTAGGGAAGGAGAACCACACCGAAATGGCTGACATGGCAGATAGGACGTTAATTGTACTGGTATTTGACATTACCATATACGTACCTTCGATGTGCGTGGTAGGTGGTCGTGATAGCATTGTATGCGATCTTTTCGCCTGTGGTTTGGGAAATGGTAGGTCCCTTTTCGGGGGCAGAAGCTGGTTGAGGGTTTGGATGTCAGGACAAACGGTAGCTGTTGATGGTCTGGATACTCTCCCGTTTAAGGTATCTTGGCTAGATGTATGGAACAATGACTGCCTCATAGGAGTGATAGCCTGGCTCAAATCGTGTCTTTCATTGTCACTGGGTGCTGTATAACCTGTAAAATTTGTGTGAAAAGTGTATGAGGATGGGCGTAGGGCGTCTATGAGTATTCGAGATTAGCCGATTACATTGCCAGCAGTATCAGAGCAGATTCTCTGAGGATTACCGGGAGTAGGATTTGATGCCATTACTGACGAGCTGATTGCCGGCGGATATAGTGGCGAAGGCACTATCGTCGGGGTAGAAAGATTTGGCATTCCCGGTACATTGGAGAGAGCATCGCCTGAATGAGATGCAGGTGGTATTGATTCTCGATGAAATTGTGATGAAGCCAATCTGCTTGTTGCTGGAATTGCACTAGCTCTTGATTCCGAGAAAGGGCACTTGATATCGCTGAGTATGGATAGTGCACTATAAAAGTCACAGGTATAAGAGAATTTGATCTGGAAACGACGAATCTGTGGTGTGTCAGATATGGAATGGTGGGTCATTGTATACGGGTAAAAACGAACACTTGCATTCCCTCTCGGATATTTCACTGCAAGACATGGCAGCTTCACAACGACAGCAAAGATTGGCTTTGCATGACCACCTTGGTTTGGTTGAGATTGGTTTGTAGTCTCTCTGGCGAGGCGGGTAATGTCTACCTGTTCCTGAATTAGTGATTGGGATATCATCAGCAATGTCTACAATGGTATGCATGGCTCCAATTCATACAAGGATGATATGATCATGAATAATCTTCAGCAATACCCGACTAGGGAGTGGTGTGTGCATTGCGTGCCTTTCAAATACAACGGTCATACCACCGTTTCCAAGGACATGATTCCAACTGAACGGGCCCCTGTGGTTTATTGAGGTAGTTGTATGAGAGAACTTCTCCAAAGATAGACAGGCGAGCTGTGTAATTTGCTCATATTGTTGAGGGAGGTGATACATTAGCACAGTAATGGGCGATGAATCACATATAGATTTTGACAACACATAGGACAAAGAAACGGAGGATTTTCTAGGGAGGTTAATGGGAGTAGAACTATTTTGTACTATCTGTAACTCTGTAGATGACAGGTGACTTAATTAACGTGCAACCAATCATTTAAAACTGCCCAAGCATATAATTGAACTACCTATCTTATTTGATTATCAGTTCAATACAAAAGCTTCTGTTAGTTTGGAAATAAAAGGCGCGGCAAGGAGGGGAATAAAGAGCATAAAGTTTCTAGATCGACATATAGCATTCCAGCAAAACAACCTGGCTGAGTGTGACATCTAGTTATGTCTTTGGTGAGGTGTAAACTTTGTTGTATAGATGGGGTTCAGCATATGCCTTAAGGCACAAGAGACAAATTGTATGACTCAGCAAGTCAAACTCAGCAAACATGCCTAATGGCGGAAAGAGAGATAATCCGGGCACGCGCCTGAGGCCTGCCTGCTGCTGCGCGGACTTTTGTCTGAATGGTAGGACGGATCGCAGGATCAGCGATCAGCTTGCGTTCACGGAGCCCACCAAGGGCCACAACTTAAGCATTGACGCTCAACTTCGGATTATTCCTGTCGCTGATTGTTCTCACTGCCCGCGCAGAGTCTTCGCATCAGATTCCTCGATACTCTGTCACGCGAACTTCTGTTTTCGTGCCGCAATCGCATCCTCTTTCCTTCAACAGCCAGGGCTTCCCCGGTAGCTTTGGATCGCGCTCAATACTCACGACTCCACGCAAGAGTAAACCTGTTCGTGCCCGACAGTCGATCCTGTCACTACAGAAGAAGATTAGCTCGCCCTTCGTTCGCAACCGGATACCGGTTGAAAAGGAAAATCCTAAAAGGACGATCGAACACCTTTTCTTTGATTCGCGCATTCTACAACGCTATTTTCGTCCCAAACACCCTGAACGAAGATCGGGACACGGAGTTATCCTATAGTTTACCGCGGACCAGTCGTGTGAGTTTGGCTGCGGATTCTAAAGGGAAATTTAGAAAAGAAGAAGCCCCAGCTCTGGAAGTCGAGTAGGTAACCCTCCGCTCAGCTGCGACTTGCTTGGGTTCAAGTCGAAAATGAGCTCTGCTACGCCACGCACATCCCTTCGAGGTAAACGATGTTTTTCTTAGCAAGACCATCTTTTCACCGGTTGAGCTCATATTGACTTTTTGCAGAGGGCTTACGGCAAGCTCCAAAAGCCAACCAGCCTTTTATCCCGGACACTGCGCCCGTCAGACGCTCACACGTGCACGCACATCACACATCCCCGCAACCAGTATCAATGTCTCATACGCATACGAACTCTGTCGCCTCGAACAGTCCCCATCCAACTGTCGAGAGTTGGGAAGGGAGGGAGCAGAAAGTTCCAATGTCCACACGCGAGGTAGCGACTCCTGGAAACAGGCCAGGGCTCTTTATTGGCCTTCATGACAGAGGAAAGACGGCGAAGCAACCCGACTTTTACGATCCCTACTTTCCCCTCAGATACCTGGAGGTACCCAAGTGTACGTGAGCTCGTGCTATGCTCTCTGTTCCCAATACCTGCTTCGTAGACATAACTGACGTGTTTTTAGCGGACCATATATATAAACGGGCCCATTATGGCCTTCAATCTGGTATTTCAGATGAGGTTGATTTCGCGTTGTATCACCTTGTGCAAATCTCCAACCAAAGGTGGGATAAATTCAAATTTGAGGGTTTCCCACTACTTGCAGAGACTTTGATGGAGAGAGCTATAGATGTATCCATCCTTTGCACTGGCGTGAAATGGGAGCTTCAGTATGATTTTCGACAGCCCACCGACCGTGTCAATGTGTTGAACGCGCTACATGGCACTCGAGATATCTTGGAGAAAATCAAACAGATTCCTGTAACCTTACCAGACGATACCCTCGAGACTTATGAGTTCAACCACCGTCTTCGAAACGTCAAAGAGGCCACACTAGTTCTTCGGAACATGGTTTTGTTGAAGGAGAATGCTTTCTACGTATCGCGTTACGCCAAAGGACTACTAAGGGACTTCTTGATCATTCTGATTAACCTCCCTAGCCAGCCCCGCCTTAATGAAATCAAGAATGACGCCTTAGATATTGCAGAGGAAGTTACGAAGTTTATGAGGACTGATCCGGAAGACCCACTTTGGATCTCCTTGCTCAACTGTTTAGAGTCGTCAGATCGTGCCCACGTCATTCGCGCTCTTTGGGCTCTTACCCATTTCTCAACGGAATTGGACGATCAGGAGGCAAATAGAGCCATGGAACGCGTACCAAAAGAGACGCTACAGCAGCTGTACTTCCACACGCTGCTTGACCAGGATAGAGATATCCTGAGCGGCGCGCTGGACTTCTGGTATCAATATACGCTGTCTCGGGAGAACATCGAGAATTTGATTGATGTTTTCAACCTGCCCATCGTTTTTGCACCTCGGATGATCGCGTTATTGACGCACGACGCCCGGCCTAGCAAGAAGGAAACAGTGTTGCAAGAGGAGAAAGTGGCACCGCCTCCCTCGGAAATCCCCCGTGTCCCTCCAGAGCTTCTAAAAGATCTAATGGAACTATCCGAACCAGAGCGCAGCTCTCGGTGGCTACGTTGTTGCTTTGTCGAAGACTCTGACTGCGAGATCACTCAGATCGCCCTCTGGCAAGCATACCAAAGCCGATTTGCAGACCCTCGGGTCCCTGGCGGAGGTGTTCTACCAGCGGCAGAATTCATTAAGAATGTCAGCACAACATTCACTAACGCACAGGCACAGGTTATCAATGGGCCCGGTGCAACTACCAGGTTCATTATCAAGGGCATCCGACCTCTGGAGACCGCCCACACTTTCCAAGCTTTCCCCTACCTGTACTGCAAGTGGACAGACAACTCGAAGCAGTCCAAAACGTGCCAACGTGCCTTCAAAACCCCGACAGATCTTCGCAACCATGTCTTCTTGGATCACATGAACCTTGCGACGAGCGAAACGCCGGGCCATTACAATCTGGACAAAGCCGAGTCACCGATCCACACCTGCCTTTGGGACAACTGCACTAAATTCCGTTCATCTGGCCCCAGCGCGAACACTGCCATGGTGGCAGGTCATGTATCTTCGCATTTGCCCGAAGAAAGACCTGAAGACGCCGAAGCCCCATCTTCAAAACGCCCCGTGCTCCAAGAGCGCATCGTTCGTAAATGGTTCTACCTGGACACGCCTGTCAATGAGAGGGGAGAACCCGTCGGAGTGGCATACAAGGCTGCATTGGTCCTGCGTAACCTTGCAAGGAATCTCCCCGACCGAGTCGCACAACAATACGACGGCCTATCATGGAAGAAGGCCGTATTCCTAAGCCATCGCCCCAGGATCGTCGAGATCTGGGACCGTAACCGCTCACTCCGCAAGGAACTCACCGAGTTAATCATGATCCTAGAAAGAGAGGAATATTACTGAAGAAAAGAAAAGAAAAAGAAAAAAAAAAGAACAAAAAAGGGACACAAAAGATTTTTTCTTTTCAAGTTGCCTGGTCAGAGCTTTTCCCCCTCAAAGTACCCCCTCAAAGTACCTATACTACTTTACCTATTTATTAAATGAGCTCTTGGCCAATTTTTTTTTAACTCTGGTATCTAACCTTTCGTACCATTACTTCCCCTTTCCTCCCCCTTCCTTTCACATTATCTTTTCTGCTATATCTTGTACAAATACCCTGCATTTCCTCTTATATCTCTTTCATTGCTGTTAACTCGGGTAATGAGTCTTTTCTTGTTTTCCTGTCCTGTCCCTTGTGCAATTTTGCTACTTGCACGGTCACGAACGTATGTATCGATCGGGCTGGTGCGAAAATGCGGCGGAGTTGAGTTTCTTTCTTATCTAAAAGATCAGAGATGTATCTGTTAATGTCAGAAGGGCTAGGGTAACTTGACAATACCTTGAGCTACACGGCGTCTGGGTCATGAGGTAGAAATGGTGAATGGCTGTTATCTCTTGTTGATTTCCCCCCGATCTTTCATCGTCATCTCTTACTATAAATTGGGGTATTTTATTGACCCGCGGTAATTCTGCATGTGCTCTAATTTCCATTTTTGGTTCGTGTACTATATGGGTGAGTATGCAGCCGAGTGAAGAAATCCGGGCCTTCCTCGGTGTGCTAGATGGTGGGTTTGCTAGGCTGTATCGACTTTTTACGGATGTATGTATAGGCCATGGTTTAGTCTGACCTCTGGCGAGAGTTTCTAGACATTTTATTATTGAATACATTCGATTATTAAGGTATAACTGTTCGGCGTCGAGGCCCAAGTTGAACGCAAGTCGCTGCTAGTCAATGTACCAGGGTATAGTCCATATTTCCGTAAATGTCCTCAATGAAATTCTCGTAGCTCAACCAAGACATCTCGTTGGTTGATACCGGACAGCCAAAATCAACTGCATCCCATACACTAGGCCATAGCCCAAGCCCGACTGTCTCCGGTAGAGTTACCATAGGGACGGTCTCAATATAAGCCCCAGTTCCAGGCATCATATCTCCTGTAAAAGCCACGGGGGGTTGCATATCCGCCTGTGAGCAAACTGGCACTTGTAAGGGAGCAGTTTCCGGAAATCGTGACGGGTATGGAGAAATATTAGACGCCGCTAATAGTTCATTTCTCTTTGCTTCTGCTTGTGCCATGATTTTCTCCATCGGTTTCCAAAATATCCCTTCGCGCGAATCAGCAATTAAGTTACCCAGATGCTCAAACGCTCCTCGGACAGGCCCCCAAAACTTCTCCATTACGGAAAGGTCGTCGCAAACACATAGTTCGGCGATGGCAACAGCGAGGGAATGCCATGGAACGAACATGTATTCGAACCATTGCCACGGTATACCCCTCGGGTCGGTTTGTAGGGTCTGCGACATCTTAAGGATGTCAACAGCCATCTGGAGGAGTCGCCCCCCTCGAACGCGAGGAGGAACAAAATTCGGATTCCGTTGTAAGGGTCGAAGAACAATTAGCTGCATGATAGCGCTTATAATCTCAGCTACTTGTCTGGCATACCAATGAAATGGAACCTTGTCTGGCTGAGAATGCTGAAGTAGCTTTGACGCTGTGTCTTGAAATTCAATTACAAGTTGTTGTCGCTTGTTGATGCTTCTCACGGTTGTGTCTGTGAAGTCCGTGAAATTGAGCAATCTGATAGTGCATTGCGCTTTCAACACAATCATCGGAAAGGTCATGTCTGTGAATTCTTCTGATTCTTGCACCTGGTCATCCATGCCAAAACTTATATCACTATCGTTGACGTTTGAAGGCGGGTTTGACTCTACCCAGATTGCCTGCATCATGGGTTCCGATGCGCGCTCTAATGAGCACTGAATATCGAGAAAGCCAATGATGAGCCATGTACGTCGACGCAGTTCACGTTCAAATGGCCGTACAGGAAACGGAAGTTCAGGTACGTGGAGTGAAAGTGCCTGGGCAATACGAAGAGCCATGCTCAGCATAGTCCAGACCCGTCGGCTTGAGTCTTGGGACCGAGACGCTAACTAGATTCACCATACAGTTGGAAAGTGCTCTCTGGCAACGTGGAAACTAGAACACTAGTGTGTACTTACCAAAAAAAGAAGAAAGGCTTGCAGGATTGTGATATCATTGCTAGTCATGAAGTCTGCTTTCGCTAAAGCTGCCTCCGACTCCCGTTGATATCGTGCCACTAACCGGCTTTTGTTGCATCCAAATAGTTTTTGACTTTCATCATCTGCAACGCTGCAGGAAGCTGCAAAGTAAATTGCAGAGGCTAGTGTTGCAGGCGCCATGTGACCCTGCTTATAGTCAAGGTAGGGGTCACCATAGAGTAGAAATGCCTTGAGCGAAGGAGCATGTAATATTTTGAAGACGGGGTCAATTCTTTCCAGGTAGATTCGAACTAAATTTTTCTCATCCTGTATGGTAAGGGCCGGTTCTCTAGTAACTATCAAAGAGCCAACTCCCTTTGGTATTGCAAGAAGCTCTCTGTATTTCATGGCGCTACTGTCGGAAGCACTGCCTCCGTTGGTTGAGCCATGATCCCCAAGACCGCGCACATCGTGTATCTGTTATCGCGCCATTAGAAAAATTGTTACTAGATAAAACTCCAAGCGAAGCCATGCTACCTGTCTCAAAATGTCCGCCCACAAAGAATTCACTGTCTCAGGTTCAGACTTGTCCGCGTCCTTACCGGTAGAATCTTGATCCGAGCTTTCCTGGTTATTGGAACCAGCTTGTGTGGTGATGTTGCCATTATCATGCTCAGTCAATTCCCGAAGTAGTTCCTCGAGTCTGGACACGCGCTCTTTCAAGTTGGTATCCTGTACTGGTGCATTCTTTGCTACCCTGCCCGACCGGCCTCGCGGCAGTCGCGCTCGTTCAACAGGCACGCAGGTGGCACCGAAACGCTGACAATTTGTGCAGGGGTTCAGCTTGTCACATTTTACCTTCCGTTGACGACACAGTTCGCAGCTTAGCCGAACCCTAGGTGTTGATGTGACCGGCTGGGACGATTCCTTCCCGGTCAATTTCGGCCTACGATGATCTGCCATCACTACGGGACCAAAATGTTGTTCGCATATGATGTGCTGAAATTGCCAAAGTCGGTTAGTATCAGTAACAGTGAACTGCACAAATATAGAACATTAATGCGCAACGAGGGCCCTGTGTTAACCTGATTGATTTTGGACTGGTATGTGCACTGTCCAAGATTGGTAGTTGTCCAATAGAAGCCTGCTGAGTACATTGTTAGATGAAGATAGGTCCATTGTTACTTCGTTCTTACTGGCTTAATTATTGCATATTGTAGGCGGCTTTCACTTCTTCGCGTGGGATCATCAATCACTGTCATATATCAGGCTGTGGGGACTCTAAAGTGGCGATGTTCTAGCCAGGTGTTGTTGGAAAAGTGATTAATGAGTGGAGTTGGTAAGTACGGAGTATATAATTCAATCATTAAATGGATTTAATGCGCCAAGCCTTGTCGTCCCTTTTCGGTCCGACTCCACGCCGCTCTTCCTCACCAATTAAATGTGTGGAGCAAATATGTTGTTCAAGAGTTTATAATCATACTAGTAGTGCGATTCATAATAACTAACGATATCTTGAATGTTCATGAACATGCTCTTCAAGGGCATTATCAACCATTGCTACATAACATTTTGTTCACAGAAACCACCCTTTTAACAGCCCCAACTCCCGTTTCCCCAAGTCGTGCCAATTAGGGAAAAGAATGTAGAGTCGGATAGAGAAAAAGAAAATAGGGTGTTAAACAAGAGATGATGAGACTAGAAGAAATAGAAAATAAAAGAAATCCATTGCGATCTGGCGCTGAGGTCTAAAGTTAAAAAGCCAAGTATGTGCAACTTCTGGTTCAATTGAGGAAGATAAGAACTATTCCCATACATTAGAAAATAAATCATCAGCTCCGCCAAACCCGCCTGCCGGTTTAGATGGAATGCTCATATTATTCGAAGTAGCAGTTGTCGAAGATGAAACAGGTGCTGCACTGGTCCAGCCGCCAAAATCTTCGTCTGCAGCCACAGCCAGGGCTGGCTTAGAACCAGCGGATGCTGACGGAGCGCCCCAGCCGGCCCCGATGTCATTAGCAGTCAGGGTATCGGGGATCTTCATCATTGAAGAAGTGGCGGGTGCAGCAGCTGGTGCAGGATCCGGAGTGTTCCATGCGTTACCACCTCCCCAAGGGTCTATGCTTGCCGGGAGGGCGCTCGCGATGGATGCCGTTGTGGCGGATACGTTAGATTTGGGTGCCGGCACAGAAACTGGAGTAGGAGCAGGGGAATTAAGGTTGAAAGCGGCCTTCAATTCCTGCTGTGGTGAGGTCGCCGACGACGCTAGCGGGGATGAGACCTTGGCCGAGGAGGAGACGGGAGCAGGAGAAGACAGTCCGAAGAGGTCGTTGGACAACGAAGAAGACGGGGGTGGCGGATTCGGCTTAGATGGTGGAGATGCAAAACTAGTAAATCCTGAATCGAAGCCATTGGACGAAATCGAGGTAGTGCGGGACTGAGGCTTCGCTGGAGGGAGAGTGGGAGACGTAAGGCTGTCGAACAAACTACCCCCTCCACTGCCGGCAGATGCTGTAGGCGAGGAGACCTTCGGGGCCGCTGGAGTAGATTTCATGTTGGCGAAGTTTGTTAGATTAGAAAAGGGAGATGGCTTTTCTGCTGGCTTTTGAGGTGGAGGAGAGGTGGTGGATGGGAAACTAAGTCCACTGAAGGCATCCGTCAGGCCACCCATGTTGGATGACGATGCTGAGTGCGGCGCCGGAGAAGCCAGGTCTCCAAACGAAGAAGTGCGCCCATGTTGTGCTGGAGCTGGCTGAGGCTTGGAGTAGAGAGAGAGAATAGATTGCTTGAGATCCGGCCTAGAGATCCCGGTGGAAGCGCCAGGGGTGGATGCTGTACTAGACGGGCGACTGTTAGTGGCCGGTTGAGCGCTACCAAAGAAATCAAGTCCAAGCAGCGAATCTCCGGGGCGTGCTGGCTTAGGAGCAGACTGAGGTTGCTTTGGCGCGGCCCGTGGCGTAGGATCCGTAGTGCTGGGACGGGCCGGGGGAGCGATATCATCGTCACCGAAGAGATCAATGGATGCTTGCTGGCGATGCGTCGCCGGCGGTTGACTAGACGTCGCCACCCGCTGGGATGCAGAGCGCTCGATCTTTGCCTTTTCCTGAACGACCGCAAGGGGCTTCAAAATACAGTCAGCTGCGATCCATCACCGAAGGCGCCAAGATCTTACCACATCGTCATCTCCATCATCTAACGTGGAGGGATCGGGCATCGGGCCATCCATGATCCACCGCTTGGATTCATACTTGGTCCGAATGAAGTTCTCAATTTTCCTATTATCAGTCCTTGTCAGTAACAGGTTCTTCACCAGCTATCCGACAAGTCCACTCACGCTTCCAACGGGACGTGACCGGGCGCCAGTTTTGCCTCCCAATATCTGCCCAAGCTATCAGCACACTGTTTCTGTGAAATACACTTTCCCACCGAAGACGAACTTGTTCGCTCTCGAATTACCCCATCTCAGCACACTCTGTAGTTGCTCATCGGTCCAGGAGTCAAGATCAACTGATTTCACCCTGCTGATATGTGTGCCCATGCCCCTATGAATACCCGAGCAGCGGATGCAGATAAAGATTCCAAGGTTCCAGGATGCCCATCGCGGGTCTAACGAGCCAAATCGTCAGCTAAAGATCACCACTGTCACGGGCAGCATGTAAATGTATAATCTTGGGGTATATCAAAACGCATGGCTAAATTCCGGGGCACTAACGTTTATTGCGCTTGCAATCGGCACATATTTTGTTGTGTTCGAGTTTCAGCAGACCCTTGATAGTCTGCTGGTTCTGAGCAGCTTGACCCGGAGTTGCACGTCGAGACATCACAGTATGAAAATGCAGTGCACTCGAGAAGCGGAGAAGGTTAAAGGAGACGAATGGAAGGAATGGTTGAAACACGGTGACAATCTCCCGTCAGGTGGCGGATATGGTTATCGGCAGCCTGAGGCTCCAATGAAATCGATGTGGATGCCCGATTGGGTGGGTGACACGTGCCTGGTGTGCAATTCGTTGAAAGCCTTCAATGACAATGCCCTATTGAATTTTCAACTGTCTGTTGATATGCTGTGTGATTTTCTCGTCTCGTACTAAATCTATCACTTTTGTATTTCAATCATTCAGATGCCTAAACCCTTACCGAGCACCGAAGAATCTGTTCCTTTTGGTTGAGTTCCCCTCCCGTATGTTCACGAACTGGCTAGACACCGTACAAAGCCATACTACAGTAGATGTTTTTAATGATGCGTTATCCAAAAGCTGTTTCAGGAGATAGCAGCTACTAAGTCGAATGGTGTAGTATATTTGAAAATATGAGTATGAACTTAGCAGAGTCTACACCCAGATAAAGAGCCTTTGATATCATGTATCTTTCAGCATTACCTACAAAAGCAGCTCCTTTCATCCCATAACATAACGGCATCTCTCGGACATACTAATCCGATGTCATGCTGTTCTCAATGACCTTATTTTTCCGTGACCGGGGATTTTCTTTTCTTTTCTTTTCTTTTTTTTCTTCTAAATATCCTTCGAAGTCTTGCATCTGTAGATCCATTGGTCTCGGTTAAAATCTTTATCCACTGATTTTTGAGTGAAGGTACATCATCGGTAGCCCTCTTCACCACGATAATCATATAAGCCGCAGAAGCAGGAATATGGTAGCTCGTATATCCTGGACATAATTCTGACTGTAGCTCCAGCCCATGCATCGAGCGTCTCCAGAAGCTGCATGCAGCCGACTGAGATGCACATCAAGAACGGTCAAAGAGATCCAGTTTCGGAAACATCGGCCTGCACTTTCTTCACTTCTCAGATAAGTCAGTTTTAGCAAAGATAGAAAGAAGACTAACAAATAAGCTAGGTCTTTGTTTCTTTAGATTTGTGTGTAGATAGGCAAACGGGTCACTTGCGCGAGGACGCCTAGGTCCGAGGAAAAATGGCGCTAGGTTCCAAAGCTAGACCCCCGACAAGTACATACTAGACAGACTTCTGAGTATGGTATGGATTGGTCATGGTAATTACAATCAAAGTGGTCGCTCATTGCTTGGAGTTTCTATCCGAAGTAGCTGGCTGGATACTGCCAAGGCAGGGCAACAAGTCTTGTTCCACAAGCACATTTGGTGGAATAATTTAGGCTCCTATATCTCTCAAAACCAAGGTAGATGAAAAAGTGTCGTTGCGAACTAAGATGAAAAGCAAATGCCGCAGCCAAAGCGGCATATTTGGTTCCGTCAATGTTCTATGCTGACCTATCTGTACGTGATTAAGGCAATCTGTTCCCGTCCTGTATTATCCTTGACAAGTCGGTGAAATCTTTGTGTGATCAGACGGCCCAGGGCGCTCCGTAGTACAATTATTCCCAGCCGAGCTATACGCAAATCAATGGTCCGCCCCTTTTGTTGTTTTTGCGTTTCATATCGAACCAAAATTTGACCATATCTATAGGTTACGCCCTGTCTATACTTGTACAACATAGAGCATGATAGCCAAGAAGATAAGCAATATCAAGAAACATGCTCTTAGCATATGTACAAGCGGTTGCGCTTTGAAGTATACAGTGCGGGAACGGTAAACAACTCCCAAGTTGTCCAACTTGAGCTATATGGAATTTGTGCGTCCAGTACTAAAATATCAAGCGCGCCAGAACAAGCTTTCGCCGTTGATGGAGTGTCAAGTCAGCAAGAGCTCCTCCTTCCGAGAAATACATCTATTGTAAAGGAACCACTCAAGATGAAGAATATGGCATATAATGGCCTGTGAGCCCTCCACGCGTCATCCGGATCAAAACACTCTCTCAGCCTGCCTCAAACGCTCATTTCCTCCAACGATGAAACTGAACCCAGTGCTTTGTGTCGTCTCCCTTTGCATAGCCAAGCCCACTCTCTTCTTTAATCCTTCCGCAGTCTCGAACTCCAAAAGCAAGTCCACAAAGCAACTTGCTACCCACCCAGATAGCGCAGGCAGTCCCCACCCAGTCGAGTCCCCAGCCGGTCCAACTGTCAAGCCCTCAGTTAGACCTCCAATACAGGACCCCGTCGAATCCCCATCCACTGCCCCAGCCGAGCCCGGGACCAAATGCAGAGACCGTACGCTGCGTACAATTTTCCTCAGATATTTAAGGTCTACTCAAGTCTAAAATGCCAGATAAACCAATACACCAAGCAGAACGAGAGTGAAGTCATCAACGACGCGACAGTATTGCTCAAGGCCGGTGCATTTCTTCGCGGCTTCCCTGCAAAAATTATCTTGCCCTATATAGTACTGCTTCCGAATATCTTCAGTCGGGGCACTCGCTAACCCCGTTTTAGAAATACTCCCATCCCGATACAGAAACCGAGGAAAAGACATGCGACCCGTGATCGAGTCTGAGGGAACTGTGGGGAGATAGGACTCTCGGATGTGAAGTTGTGGAAGTTTCAGGTTCTTCTAACGGGGAGGCTTCTTTTTTCACTGGTTTGAGGCAGGGCAGTGATAGGGCGATCTTTGCTAAAGAGGAAGATGGGAATGAGGAGCTGCAAGTTGAACACTGTGGGATGATTAATCTTGCTGGAGTGGTGGAGAAAGATAGGAAGTGTAATCATCGCAGGCACAGACATGGATGCCTTAAGTCTCTGTGCGCTACTTATATGGAATTAGGGGTCTGCGAATAGTTTTATCCTTTTGGTATTGCTGGGAACTGACCCCCTAATCAGACTCCTTACAGGAAGTAGACTTAAAGGATATATGTATGTGCTTTTATGGGATTATAGAAGAGAGACCTGTATATGTATAGGGCTCCCTAGTTGACTTAGATTGTTGGAGTACATATAATAGTTGGTTTCAGAGTAAGGTATCTAGGGTTGGTTACCACCAACAGAAAGAATATCCTTGTTAGGTAATTGCAAAGTTGTCCAAGCTTTTTCATGTATTTGTAGAATATCTGGCAGTATCTAACCACCCATCACCCAGGATCATAATATACACCCAACTTACAGAGAAGGCATCCATCCCCTCCTCGCAAAGGGACAATCACCTCGAACTTAACATCTACACTACCCCATCTCACCAAAAGACAACCCAACCCACTAAGAATATGCCCTGTCAACAGCAACACACTCCTACGCCCTAAGTCCCATGAACACAGAACACCAGCATCTTACCAACAAATATCCAACCTTAACCCCAGAACCCAACACTCACTCACGCCTTCGCCTTAGCCCCCTCCCCGTCCTCCCCCTCCTTAAACCTCAAACTAACACTATTAACACAATGCCTCTCATCCGTCGGTGTCGCATACCCCTCCCCCTTAAAAACATGCCCCAAATGCCCCCCACATTTACTACAGACAATCTCCGTCCTCTCCATCCCCAAGCTCCGATCCGTATGCCTCGTCACCGCACCCGGGATCGAATCAAAATACGCGGGCCAGCCGCACCCGGACTTGAACTTGTGGGAGGCCTTGTAGAGCGGAGCGTTGCAGCCTGCGCAGCTATAGATGCCTTGGGATGGGTAGTGGGAGTCGTATTCGCCAGTTCCGGGGCGTTCAGTGCCTTTCTCGCGGAGGATGCGGAATTGTTCTACTTTTTGTTAGGAGGGGGTTGACCTTTGGAACGTTCGGGGGTGGGGGTAAGGGGAGGATGGTACCTGGACTTAGGATGGCGCGCCATTCGTCGGTGGTGCGTTGGTCTGGGTAGGACATTTTGGATATGGTGGTGGTGCTGAAGGAGGTGGATTGGAGGGGTAGTAGCTGTGGTCGAGATGCAGGTTTGGTGAGGGGTGTGGGATGGTGGTTGATTGATGAGGTTAGTGTGCGGAGGGTTGTGGAGAGGCGTTGGATTCGCATTTAGGACGATTTCGTAATTGGGTGGGAAAAGCACGTTGAATTGGTTTGGAATGGAGTGATATTACCCTTCTTGAGGTTCTTCTAATTTAATGTATTTGGCTGGATATTTACGTCATCCCGATTGCGGAGTCAATTAATATTAAATGTGTTTTCTATATTAATAGGCTGTATTCACTCAATAGATATCTCTATTAATTAAATAGTATTCTCTACTCCAAAGTGCTTATCCAGTCGAATGTATCAAATGTCGACAATCGACAGCTCCAAAGACCTACTCCAAATCCTTTAGTAGATAACTAAATATGTGCAGCAAGGGTATCTCAACATATGAAGCTCCACTTCAGCGACGGCGCACCACACCTACGACTGTCAAGACTCCTTCACCTACTTCCACTCTCCAGCCTTCACGTGCCAACATCTTACCCACGGCAGGACCCAGGCGTGACGTCCCATCATGACTATGTCTCCCAAGTCCAGTGACGATGCGATACCCGGTCCGGGCTATTTCACCACCGCGTATGTACTTGGCGTCTCCCAAAGACTCCCACCAATCCGAGACCCGCTCGCTGGCAATGCGAACGGCATCTTGCACCGAGACACCGTGAAGATCTAGCATGGTGGACGTTGACTGTGAATCTACGAGGGCGTCTGCGGCCGCGGCCGCGTCCCGCTTTGCCCGCTCTAGATGATCTCGTCCCACTGCCGAGTAATACGCGGCTGCGCCACCCATAAGGCGATCAGACTTGCCGCGTCGATATGCTGCCGAGGCTTTGGAGAGTGCTTCCGCACCGGCCGCGAAATGGGCCCCTGCGGAGCTTGTTACACGATCATAATCTCGAATGACCCGCGCCTCATTCCGGCGCCTGGGCGTTTCCACCTCAACATCGACAGGTGGAGGCGAAGTAGTAATTTTAATCAACTCGGACACTGATGAGGTTACGGGGGCGGTCACCATTGCAGCTGCTAGCTCACTAGCAGCTGAAACGGAACTTCTCGTAATCTTGAGCAAACCAGCAAAAGTCGTGGGTGAAACAGAAGGAAGCTCCTGGATCAGCTCGGCAACTTGCGCTTCTGTAACTGTATCTTGACTAATAGCCTGCTCATCTTTCGGGGAATGCGACTCAGCCAGGGACCGAATGGTTGCTGTTAAAGAAGCACCATTGGCATGATAGGTAGATGTAACCATTTCCTTCTTCAAGACAGGAGACGTCCTCGAGTGGATAAACTCAATATCCTTCTGGGCAGCCTCCCACTTATTGACAGCGCAAGGCTCACCCTGCAAGATAGAGTCCACCTCACAATCCGAGTGTCCACGTTTCCAGCCGCTCTTGTTTTTCGTCTTGCGCTTACGGCTCTTCTTTCGCCCGGTTTTCCCATTCGAGCCATCGTGAAACCCGTCAATACCTTTGGGGATCGCGACCTTGGCCCCGTCCTCATTCGACGGTTGCTCGTAAAAGAACGAGAGGTTGAGCAGAACATCCATTGAGCGATCGATATCCCCACTGGACTTCCGCAGTGCATGTTGGATGGTAAATTTTTCGACGGACGGAAACATTTCCGACAAGTACCCAATCTTATCCTCCTCGTTTGCTCCTGATAGTGACAGCGACCCATCTGCGCCAATGATGTATGATACGCGCGGAGAGACTTTCTTACCATTTTGCGAGCCCTTGTCGCCTACGCTGGCAGAGGAAAACTCCGATGCTAAGCTCGTGATGTCTGTGTCGCGCGACTGCACAGTGTCGTTTTGCGACACGCTGTGCTCTGACGGTATGCCTTCCGAGTCGACACCATTTGTACCCAAACCGCTTGTACCGGACGGATCGAACGGGAGATCTTCCTGCTCCCATGCAGATAGCTTAAGAGTGTCCAGTGTTTCGCGAAGTTGCTGGAGCTGAGCTGCGTCGGAGAGGTCATAGTCGGAGATAATAGCGGTAAACAAGGCTGGGTCGAGAGGGGGACAATAATCCTTTTCCAAGTCCTAAAGAAGCAGAGGCAAACCAAGCGATCAGCCACCTGAGTCCTGAATGGAGTCACACATGTCCCCGCCACGTGTGAAGGGGGTACAAGAACCGACTCACTCTAAGCTGGCTGTCGCCTCTATCATCCATCTTCAAAGTCGCTGGCAATATGTCGGAGGTGTAATAGGGGTCTTCTAAGCATGCCTCTGAGGCTCAGGGGAGTCCAGTGTTTGAGCAAAGGTCGGGTTTATGACCTTGCGAATAACACGAGTGTTGACCTGGAATTTTGGGGAAATTGTGTTTACGGCCGAATTCCAGGTTGGTGGGGGAAATAGAAATTAAATGCGCCAATCATCGATGACATAATGATCGGGCAACAATTAGTTATCTGCCAAGACCCGACAACTAACTGAATATAAATATCACTATCGAGAGAGAGAATTAACTCCGAACGCAGGTCGGACCTTGTGTTGCACTGAGTGAAGTGTCGGAGCATACTACGTCTTGGCACATCTATCACCAATTGGCAGGGTGGTCTTCTGTTGTACACCAGCCAAAGCAACGATATCAGTGCCGGAAATTACTCAGTCGGGGTACCAGCGATAACAGAATTTTCATAATCCTATAAAGCATTTCCTAACACGTGCAACATCCACTCATAGCACCCCAATCAATAACTAGATAGATGGACCTTCCTAGACCGTATTCCCTGCTTATCCAATCGGCACCTCACCACAGGCGACCAATACACCAAAAGCGCTCCATGAGGCAGATCATATAGATCCCTCAAACATTAGCTCCCTTGTCCTTCTTCGAGCCATCCCAAGGAAGTTTGTTGCCATCGGAATCCGGCCATCCAGGAATAGATGTGTGGCCGGTGTGGTGAGCATCAGCAGATTTGGAGTCATCGTCATCCCCGGAATCCGGCCATCCGGGAATCGATGTGTAACTGGCATCGTGAGCATCAGCAGACTTGGAGTAGTCATCATCCCCGGAGTCCGGGAAGTCGCTGAAAGGAGGCCTCCAGCCGGTGGGCCATGGGAAGGGGAGCTCATCGTCATCATCATCACCGCCTGGCGGCTCCGTAGGAGTCGGTGTGGGCGTGGGTAAATACGTCATGGTCGCACTTGGGAACTCTGACCAGGACTTCCAAGGAAGCCTCTCATTCTGAGGTTTGTGGGGGACGGCGAGGGCCGTGGCGCATAGGCCGAAGAGGAGAGCAATGCTTTGGACCCTCATCGCTAAGGTGTTGAGGCTAGGATTGTACCGTAACAGATGTTTGGGGAAGAGTTAGAGACTCGCGGATGCAGATCCAAAATAGAGAGACAGTATGTATCACAGAAAGAATCTGGAAGGTGAGAAGTATAAAGATTTCTTGAAGGATATCAGACGCGAACAATCGTCTGGGTTTATATGTACTAGCACCAGTTCTAAATCAGCTTCCTGCATCACTGAATAGTAGTAGGCTTTTTGACTCTTGAGTTACGAGCATACGTAACCTCACTGTTAGGGATTGGAAAGCTTCTGGGATCATCCATACTCACTAAGCCTTTCCTGTAGAAAAAAATGAGGCATATTTGCTGCCTGTTCCAGTATCACTTCTTTTTTGGCTGCTCACAGCCTCTCGAACGCTGAATCTAGACAAGCATCGACCTCAACGAAAGGCCGATTTAAGAAGAAACTTCCGTATGTTTCTCCTTGCGGAGTAACTAAGTCGAAGGTCAACTGGATAAGATATCGGCGTGCTTGCTCATCATGGGCAGCGATGGGATCATCATTTCACAGCCCTCAGCCACGCATGCCCTAGAAACAAACATCGGGGCAGGGTAAGCGCTTATGCGTTTGTCCGGGGTTCCGATTACCAATCGAATTAGAGTCCTAGACAGTAAGTAGCAGTCTAGATATACGCTTATCGTTACACTTTGCATAGACAATGAGGAGTAATATTCTGCCATGGTGGTATACGGCATTATCTTTACTCCGTTGTGCTCATCATCCTCTAATGAGGATCAGAAAAGTGCGCATGAAGGGACTTCGATATGTTCTCATTCCTCCCACTTTAGCTTTCTTACCTGAAGACGGAGAAAGCTGTACTTTCGTCGCAAAGCAATTACGAGCACTTAGGAAGAAGAAGTTCCTTCAGCTGAGACGCATTTCTGTGTAACTAGGATGCCAACGGTCGGGTACGCCGTCGTCATCGATTAGATTGCGTAGGGCGACATTGGCCCGGAATTTGAAGTGACGCTGTCCTGTTACACAGAACTTGATCTGGTCATGAGAGAGTCATTTGGTGCTCGTGAGGAACGTTGATGCTAGAGGTGTTAATATGATCCGCGTAATCTCTATATACCATCGTTGTCAGATACCTTGCGCTTTTACTTGTCCTCGTCCCCCCCACATCTCTGGTGAAATTTTTAAAGGTATTCAAACCGTTTCTGGACTACTCAACCTCCATAGTTTGTGTCTTAGCAACTTGGCTTTAGTTTATACACTTACTGAGAACATAACTCCAGCGACGCGTTTGGCCCACTTCGTAAAATTGTGCTCTTCGTCAGTGCTGTAGTGCGCCTCAGCACTTGGTAGGCTTCATACAACGCCATCGCACTCAGACTCTATTCTTAATTATGGATCCAGGTAGCCGAAGTCCAAATCATGTCGTCAATGTTAGCCAGTGTGGCTTGGGTGAGATATAGCAACATAAGATATACGAGAAAAGGGCCCTTGACTCAGCATATTGCGCGTCCTTGATCGGCTTACAACAAGTTTCCCTATATAATCAAGCTACCGTGCATAAAGGTAGTCGTAAGCGCACAATAAAGACAATATTTATACCTGGGAACCTGGTGACCATGAAGAGCTATTAATAGACCACGTCTGATAAGCAACTCGTCAATAAAGTGACAAGATAATGTAGCCGGCTGGACCACTCCGTATAAGGCTCTGAAAGGAGCGGAATCTGCTAAAGATGATGCCGGGAAGATCTGCAAACCTCACTTTTCTCAAACCAAAACTAGCATCAGGTCTCTTCCGTTTTAAAGACACCTGGGTAAAGATGCGAAGATAATAGTTGCGGTGACTATTGAATGATAAGTTGTATGGTTAATTAAGAATAGCTCTAAGGTTAAAAGTCGATAGCCAAAAGTTTAGTTGTATATCACTTCTGACATGTCGTATTGGCATTGGTTGCAGATGATGTGTATCATTTATGCGTTCGGTGTCCGTCCCGAACCCAATGGCTCCTGGGCCTATGGCCTAAAGTACATTTAGCTTATAGAATCGCTTGCACACCTATTATCGGACCGAATATGTTGGAAAATAGTCTTACAGCTGGACGCAATAAGAAGTTAGTGATGCGCCAAGTATTCATTTCGCCGAACAGGCCAGTCGGCATCCAGAGAGCGCAGTTTCTTGGCTATCCTGGAATTTTTTTCATATGCTGTTGCCTGAAAAAGGTCAAGTGAGGGTAGTCATTCTTGTTGATCTGGACTGTTAATGTGTTGCCTTTTTAGAATTTTCTGGCTGCAGACATTGGGACCTAACAGCCTAAGATCTCCCAGCACTTGCAGTGATCTTAGTCGAAGTACAGAGGGATCTTCCTTCATCCGATTCACCTTATCATACAAGGGAGAAAAGAATAATCTCCTTGATCCAGTGAAATGGCTCACGAGGATGGTCAAATTCTCCTTCGGCGTGTGGCTCCAATTTCCGGACGGCGATCGCAGAGCCAAGACAGGGCGATTTCACACGGCTCAACCTCATCATGATATCAGCAGGAGACAGGACCCGGTGTCACTCTTAGTCAATTTGGTCGTTTCCTTGAAAGGGGTCATATCCCTGTGAACACGGGGGCTTCGAACTGTGGCACTGGGGACCTGATATTGTTTCCTGGAGGAGCAGAGGAAGAAAAAGTAGTAAATCTACCTGCAGACACTATTGAAAACGAGCCAATAATACGTACTAGGGATTTCAAGAGGCTCGGGGCCCGCCCTAGATGGGAAGAAGTGAAGGCTGGGAAGGATGGATCACCTGCGCCCCTCGCGTCAAGTCCAGCGCACGCAGTACCCTCATCGTGCCCAAAATAGTTAAATTCTCCTCCTATCGGCCAGTCCCAAAGGAGGCTACAGGAGAGAAGGAAGATGAGAGGGATCAAATCCTAGAGTCGAATCCGGTAATTGGCCTGGACATGCGATTCCTTTGCGGTGTGCACAAATCTTTATATAAAGCCGGTGTTTTGTCCTTCAACATTCAATTTCCAGTCACTCTAAACACAAAAGATTCAGATTTTTTCATTTAATTGGAGTTGCTTATCTTGTGATACCCTTTGTATTTTCTACATACAACAGCATCTTAATATCTTCGTCATGCGTTTCTTCCAGATCGCCTCGATCGTTGCCTATGCGGCCTCTTCCTTTGGTATGTTAATATTGTTCCTACCGCAAGCCGGGAATCAAACCTTCTAATTCGAATATCAAGCTCTTACCATCACTTCCCCCCAGAGCGGAGACAAGCTTGACTTCAGCAAGCCTTACACCATCAAATGGACAACAGTCGGGTATGTACTTCACTCGCGCGGCGCCGATGCATAGACTGACTTGAATCAATCCTACATAGCTCCGACCCGGAAACGTTCAAGATAAACTTGTTGAACCAAACTGCCGCCAACACCAAGAAAGAGATCGCCAAGTCCGTTAGATCAGCGGATGGCAAATACACCATTGAGAAGCTCTGGGACATCGAGCCAGCGTGCGTTCATCCTTCAATTAAGGCCCTATTATTCCAATGCTCCTCCCCAAGTATTAGTACGAAGACTTACACCTGTCTAGCAACGGATACCAATTCAACTTCGAGTCCGACTCCAAGGAAAACACCGGCATCTTGGCTCAGTCGCAGGTCTTCAATGTGACCAAAGTCGCTGATCCGCCCAAACCAAGTAAGCAAGATTTCAGTAGTACTATCACCAAACCACCACCATCATGCACCAGCACCAGCACCAGAATCAGAATAAGAACAACTTCCCGCCCCTGCATCATCCACAACACTTTCAGCACCTCTTCACCTTCATTTTCATCAGCACCTCGTGCGCCATGGTCTCCATCATCTAGCACCGTTACCCCCTCCAGATCCGTGAACAATAGTGAGTACATCGTGGTTTACACCAGAATGGTCTACTGACATAACTCGCTTCCCATTAATAGCCCATACTTCGGCCACGAACACTGCGACTCACTCCGCCGCTGCTCCGACCGACTCGACCGCCGGCTCCGCGTCACTCACCATCCCCGCCGCCGCCGGTTCGCTGATGCTCAGCCTGTTTGCCCTGGCGCTGTAATTGCGGTCTCGGATTTGATGTGGAAAATGGAAGTGTATAAAGGTGGTATTGACTCTATGAGGTGGTATTTTCTTTTTCTTTTCCTGTCTATCTTTTCATCATGCGCTAGCTGCTCGGTTCATGAGGTACCAAGTTTTATGTGTGTATGCAAGTTAATAACGAACTTTATTCATCATCCTATCTGCTTGATTTCCTCTACTTAGTAGAGCAAGAGGACATGTGTCATACGTGGTGCTGATGGCAGAGTCAATAAGTATGCAAGTGGCCTACACTATCTACCTAAGTGCATTAGTTTACTAGTTTTTGCATGTACTTCGAATTTACATATGATGTATATAAATGTGCACTTATCTTAGCAGGCAAACCTGGGTAGTTCCGCGGAGCTGTTCTTTCGCTTCGTGTTAATATACCAACTTTCACCAATAATCTATTGAATTATGTGTTTCTTACCTATTTCTTGCTTATCCTCAATTTGTCACGCTCATGCTGTTCTTCGGGCCTTCCTTGATACATATTAGCATTTAATGATCGATGCACTAATGCACCCACGGTGGCCGAGTTGGCAGGGGTTTATCCCAGTCTCGTCGATTTAAGGGCTTGAAGGTGTCGTATTTTCCAGGTCTGAGCACGCCCAACGTCTTTCTTGTCAAAGCGCAGTGGAGATCCTATTACTGCGTTACAGATGTCTTCCTTCTTGCTCCTCTTCTCTAACGCTCGCATCGTTCTTGTCTATCGTATCGTTTCGTGTTGCTTCATACACACACGCATATATATATCTCTTTCTATTTTTCTTCGCCTCACATCCCGGTCTGACAGTTGATGGTGCTACAGACTACTATCGTTGTGTTTTAAGAGGAAAGCCTGTACGAATGTGCTTATATGGCACTAGCACATTGAACCTTTTGGCAGTCATTACTATGTAACCCCTCCCCCCAACACATATGCTGCATTAGTTGTATGCTTTGGCTTTGAGGTATTGGCGATGGAGTATGCCTATGTGGCACATACGTAAGCTCTGTTGCATAAAATTCGTCATAGCTGGGCTTTAAAACAGGTCTAACAATGAGACTATAGAAGGAATTCAGGAAGACTAGTCTCAAATCCCAGATCATCAAACCAGCTCAGGAAGTCAGTACTAGAGCCAAAAGTGGCCAGATCCGGTAGATCCAATAGATCCTGCCGAGTATTTTCCCATGGAGACACCACATCGCAAGAGCGTTCTTCCGTTGACCCACCACCATGATCGAGATCTAATATTTGCTCCTCCGATCGGTTCGAACATGACGAAGGCAGATAATTCAAGGTGTCGTCCAGCAATTTCGTTATTCCTTTGTTGAGCTCCACGCACATTCGGTGTGTGTGGCTGATAGAAGGATCAGCGCTCCCAAGCCATGACACGAAGACGCTTAGTTTCCGAATGATCTCGGAGCGGGAGGCGGAGCAGGAAATGGGGATCTCGGCGATCGTGCAACGATGCACTTCGGTAGCAAGAGCGCCCGCTATGGGCAGGCCATTGAAAAGGAACTTTCGCGCAGAGGTTGGATAGGTACGCTTTGAGCAGGGGGTAGGAAACGACTTACGATCCACAAAAAGGGACTTCTGAGGACACTGCCTGCCTGCTCGCGATGTTTCATGAGATCGTTGGCTACAGATATCACTTTCATTGATGTGTCGAGGAGACCTTTTGTATCGTCTTGGTTCTCGCGAGAGCGGATTCGCTCCACCTGAAATACTGTATAAAGGTATTCGAAATAGGCGAGTACAATTGCAACACATGTGCTGGGACTTAGAAATTCCCAGCAATCTGCTCTGTAGTGGTACTGTTGGGGGATTTGTTCCCACAGCTGTATGCACTGCTGGTAGGTTATTCTGTATAAATGTCAGTATTCGTTGTGTTTAGAAGCATTTGCCGTAGCTATACCGGAGTTCCTCGGTAAATTTCGATGATTTTTGCCCCAATGACAGCTCTAGAGTTTGTTCACGAAGTACAGATATCATAAAGCGCACTCTAAGAAAAGTTGCCTGGCGAAATCTACCATTAGAAGCGCCTAACACATTCCACCCGTCAAGTCTCAGTTGATGCAGGAGTTGGTCAGGAGAATCATGCTGAAGTATTGAGTTATCATCAACGTCTAATGGAAGACTGACATCACAGTAACGGTACGGGAGGCGAGGAGGCCGGCCAAAGAGGGTTGCCAGGTTCTTGTCGGCGCGAAAGCAGGCAACGAAAAGCCTCTTCCGAGTCTCTGAGATGAAGAATGGTACGTCGCTATGGGACGAGCGATGTAGGCCCAAAGCATGAACATGGGACACCAAATCCCCAATTAAGGAGTAGGTTCGATGGCCTAGTCGGTTGTTAGCCCATGTATAGAGCTTTCTATTGCATGAAATTGATACTTGTTTCTCCGTAAACATCAGACGCAAGCATAAAATGCAATGTATATAGCCATATCATTAAGTCATTCACATTCTCATGTTGTTTGCAGATTTCAATGCACGCGTTACTCGCTGCTGTCATTTCTTCTGCAATGGCGTCGGCAGTCATCTGCTCTTGATCTTTTATTTTGAACAATTTTGTCTGAGAGGCCTTACCAGATAGTGCGCCTAAGCCTGCGCAGGAAAATATGATGCCGATGAACTCCCATCTTAAGTTTGCACCTGTGAATAGGGTGTAAAAGTCCCCCAAGCTTAGAGAAATATGCAACCCGGAGAACGGTCTTGCTGTATTCTGTGTAATTTTAGAATAAAGTTCTCCTTTCTGCATATCTTTTGCCAAACTGCCTGTCTTCAAGTAGGCCCGGGCCATTCTAAGAGGCTGCAGCACAAGCTGCAACGGGATGACAGTGAAATGGCAATGCTCATAATGACTAATAAGCAGCTCTTCACAGAGCCCAAGAGCAGACAGTAGTTGAACAAGGCGCGATTCCACAAGCGCATGATCACAGCTCCATCGCCCCCGAACGACTGGTAATGGCGGTACAGGATTAGGAGGTTGCTTTTCGTGAAAGACCGACAAGAAGCTTGTTGACCCTAGATAAGTACTCCGTGCTGTGCCATGTGTGGCGACCTCTGCAAGGTTACTGGGAACAGATTTGCTTGGAACTTGATGGGTAGAAAATTGTTTATCCTCGGCGTGCTTGTGTGGATTACGTTTAGGATGCTTATTCGATTTGGTCATAGGAGCTGGATGATAAAAACACTATGATTGCTTGTTAACTCTTATTTTTCTGGTCCATGAATTAATTCTCACCTTTGTGCTGAGGCCTCGTGTCTCACACCTTCTACATATGGGCCTTCTATGGTCACATCTTATCTTTGATATACGACACGGCTCGCAGGAGGTCGGTCTGCCATTCTTCCTGAGTGTGTTTCCCTTTGAAACCCGGTCCATCTCACTGGGATATGTCTTTTAGAGATAAACTGGGCATATGTCTGAGATTGAATTGTGAAAGAATAAGAAAAAAAAAAAAAGAGGAAAAGAAATTCTGGGTGCGACGAAAGGTCAGGTACGATCTTATCGGATTAGATGCAGTCCGAGATTTAGTCCGACCTCTACTCCGAGGGCTAGGGCTGGCGGAATTACCGATTTAGCACAGCTACACATAGCAGATTAGCTTATCAAGGATAACTTGCGTCAAGTATAAGCCCATATTCCTTTTACTGTCCAGTGTGCCTTTTCCATTGGTTTAAAAAAAGGAAAAAGTTAATCAGAAAACCAGATTTATCAGAGCTTTGGTTCTGTTCTTAGAAGTAGATAATGTGTTTAGAGAAGCTTCAAGTCATGTTCAAATGGGTATATCTAGTTACAAATGTACATATATACAGACAAATAGCATTGGCTCGCATAACCGAAATATAGATGGCTATAATGAGCCCATAGCCGAGTCTGCTATGCCTGATCCAGACCCGGTGGCACTGGTGCTGATCGCGGGCGACGACGTGTTACCATTGTAGCTATCATTGATTCCTTCCCGAGGACGATCCCAGGTGCGAATGTGACCTTCTGCTATGTTAGCTATCGTTATACTCAAATGACGTATGAAAGCCATCCATACCTTCAAGAGAAGATGTCATAATTGAGTCCTCTTGGAATCCTAGCCAGCAAATAGGATCATCCCCAACAATTTTAGACTATCGACCAGTTAGAATCCATCCGCTTTGTCCTGAGGCAAGGGGGATACGCCGGGAGGTTGTCGTGACAACGTACCATGATAGGTGGCAACAGCGCTGTCCGAACCCTGGGTTCGACGGGATGACGAACAGCAGAGTCATAGTCATTGTAAGTGTCTGCAGTTCGTTGAGAGTCCGATCTCATTCGGTTGCTTGCGCTGTCAGCTCTGTGACGGTTAAAGTGCTGCGTATTGCTTGCAATTAGGCTGGTGCGCTGTCGAGCGCTGGCTTGGTGCTGTTGCGGTGCAGGTGAGTTAGATATGGGTCCTTAACACAAAATACATAGGGGAGGGGGGAGACGTACTACCCTCGGGCGATGTAACATGCCGACACTGAAATCCCACAATAGCAACCTGCAATCATCCCCAACGCTCCCAAACCGGTATGTTCTCTCGTCACAGCGCCACGGATCGAATGCCACAGCGGAGACCCAGGAGTTATGCCCTTGGCACCGCGCGACGATTTTGCGCTCCGGAAATGACCATATCGTGACCAAATCATCTTGGCCACCGGTCACAATGTATTTACCGTCAGGTGACCAGCAAACGCTTATCAAGCCTCCATAATAACTCCGGAAAATGTCTAGGACCCTAGCTAGTTTGTTAGCTGACCGATCGTCACTCGCCGTCTGTTCCAAGGAGAGCAGATGGCATCAAGATCAAAAGACATACTCTTCTTTGAGATAATCCATCACGCGTAGCGAACCATCCTCTAAAACTACAGCCATATGCCTTTGGTCAGGAGAAAAGGCAAACTGAGAGATCTTCTGATTGGCTAGTTTCCATAACGCAACTGGGTTAGTCTTCTGGTTTCTCGAATTCACCGATTTTAGCACCTGTAACGGCTGTCGACTGGATGCTTTCATCGCCTCTGCCGAATGGTTGCTTATTTCGGGTGTGAAAAGTGCGTCCTCCTTCTCCTTATCATATACTACCAATTGTCCATTGGCATGTGCAGCCATGAACATATTCTCCGACCCAGGAATCCATTTGATATGGGTTACCGGGGAATTGCTGACAACCCCATTCTTGTTGATCCGTGCATACTTCTGGGAGATAGGTTCGTACCAGATTATGTCGCCAGCCGACGAGCCCATGACGATATCAATGTGTGAAGAGCTCTTCGTTAGCTCATTTATATCATGCGTCAACATGTGCGCTTTGGTGAAGAGAATTTTCGAGAGCGGTTCGTCTTTATTCTTTGAGCTAAGATCCAACCACTGAAATGCCCGGTTGATATTGGCGAAAGCGAAAAGACCCTCTGGGTTCCGATCATTGAGTCGCTTGGAAGAAGCCTCGTGAGTGATAACGCGTGAAACGAATGATGAGCTGCTCTTTATGATGTTGTTCTTCGGTTTCCGTCTTTTTAAGCCTTCTTTTGTAGGTGGAGCCACTAATGCAGGGTTTCCATCTGCAAATGGCGGTGCAGTCACCTTCTCCTTCGAGACAAATACGGGCATCTTGTTTCGTTGACCAACACTAACCAGCGACAGCTTAACGCCGGCTGTTGGGGGTGTTGGGACAGTCGCAAGTGGGTTGGGATTTACGACGGGTGCCTCGGAAGGATGCGGAGGGGGAGTTGCAAGATGCAGGTCATCTTTGAGGAGGTAGGTCCCTGTCGCGAAACGAGTATTAGCATGATCCATAGCTCGGTAGCTGCAGAGGTTTGATGCGCATGAGGGATCTTGCGCCATGCCGCAAACGCACCTTCTCCGACCTGCAGTGGACATCCACCCTCGGGATGAGTGATTATGTTGTTGGTCTCCACGACTGGAACCGCCATGCCATTCGACGCACCAGCTGCGTATGCAACCGGTACGGTATAGCGAGGCGGAGGCGGGGGAAGGACACTGGTTTGAAGTCAGCAAGAAAAACGTCGCAACAATGCCGTCATTTAAGGAGAAGTGCAACAAAATAAAAGTTTAAACGAATAAATAATACTCGAAAGCAAAGCTAATTTGAACCTGCTTCACGGACAAACCATGCACCAGCCAATCAACCCACCCGGTAGACAAACAGATAAAAGGGTATAGATAATGGATCTGGGGGGTGTGTGAGCCTTACAACATGGCTGCAACCAGAGACAGTAGCCACAAATCAGTTAATGTAAATGGGCCACTTGTGACACAACGACAGCTGCGATAGGCTAGTCACGCAATTTGTGGTTAATCGTCCCCCAAGAGCGGCACCCAGAATAGTGCTGCCCAAGGTGGCGTGATTTTTGAACTAGAAATTAGTTAATACAGAACAGATGAGGCCATGCACAATGCACAAAAGTCTAGAACAGACAATGACCCTCTACAATCTGTCCTCAATTGATACTAAATGGGCAGGACTGCCAGGGAGTGCTGAGCTGTCCAAAGATGGGCGGAGAAACGATCGGAGTTCCGTCTGCAGCTGGAGGTACAGAGAAGTTATATAGGGTCTAAATACCAACAACAGGCAGAAATCAACAGGTAAGTCTGCCCAATTTCCCGAACCGAAGAAAACAAAACCCTCAAGGGGGGGAGTGAAGGAAAGCGGAGAGACACAAAGGGAGGGGAGGCCAAAGAGCGTTCGTGAGGAGAAGCTTTTCTGGGGTTGGTTGCCGCTTTCTCGCGTGCACGAGGCGGATCCGTGGGGCTTAGAGCGGCTGTTCCAATGATTGATGGGATTCCATATCTTTCTCCGCTTTGCCTATACTAATCTACCTCCCGAACTACTTATCAGATTCCTCTTCGGCATATCGACCAGAAAAAAAGAAGAAAAAGAAATCATACGAAGATTCCACACTTTTGATTATATAGAAATACTCTTTCCTCCTTGAGCATAAGAAAAAAGAACACCAGTTCCATGTTCATTCATCGCTAATTGAATGCCTTGGGTATCTTCCGTACAGCAACTTAAGGATAAAGGATACCATCAAGCTCCGCTTCCACTTACTCTTCGCCAGATCATTACCGCTGCAGCTCCAGCGCAGACCACAGCGCCTAAAGCGATCCCCCAGGCCATCCATTTACCCTCAACATCTTCCTCGCTCCGTGGGAACGCCGTACTAGGCTCCATAGCTGCTTCGGCGATGTGAACAAAGACCTCCTGAATTGAAGTCCAAGTAACACTGACATGGAGGGGCGAGCTCGGCATATTTAACATCGCCGTATATTCGTGCGGTTGATATTCAGCTCGTTGAGTGGTCCGATCAAGGTCTGCCTTGAGAGCAACAAATACGCTCGGGAGCTCCTCTAGATGGGGATATTTCGATCGTAAGGAAGGAATATAGGCAAAGGAATCAGGATCCGATGAGTCGTAGGTGTATACAATCACGTCACATTGGTCCAAGAGCTTCACCTGGTTTTCTAGTATGGCAGGTTCCAATTCTCCCAGCTCATCCAGAATCAGGTAGCATTGTTTACCCCCAGGAAGTTCGACGGTATTTACCGCGGTCCGCGGTTGGATCGTAGGATGATATGTAGTGCTGAAGCCGCGTGCTAGGAAGGCATCGAGAAGCGCAGACTTACCAGAACTAGGAGGCCCAAGAACATGGCCAAGTACAACATTACGACCCACCCGTCCAGGACGCTTTCGCCGCTTTCGTGGCCGGGTAACTTTTAGTGCGGCTGTTGTAGAGAGGTTGCTTCTGTCGGATGATTCAAACCCCAGATACGCCAGGTACTCCAAGGTCGTTTTGGGCGAAGTGAATGTAGTCATACTCCATTGCGCAAGCCAGCCCTGAAGTGTGACATGGCCAGCTTCGTTTCGGACAGTAGAAGAAGGGAATGAGCCGTCTGCCCATGAAGCGGGCAGGCCCGGAGTTGGCGCAAACAACGACGCTAACTCGGCGTCATTCAATCCTCCGTCGTTATCCTTGTCTGATAGGAGAAAGAGGTTTACGAAAAATCGGTATCCTTCCGGCGATAGCTCGGCAGATGCATATGGCGGGACCTCGAATCTCGGATGAAGGAAGCTCTCCTGTAGTGAGAGGTTATCCGTATACTGGAACGCTCGTAAAATAATCCAGACAGTTTCATGGCGTCCTTTCTCTGCATACATCTTGTTCAAATGTATAAACCCACGGCAATCGATACCAGAAGGCGTCACTGAGTTGGGATGTGTCTTCTGAATGGTTTCTTTGATATGCACCAAGTCTTCCTCACTTAACGGCTTCTCGAAGCATCTCATCTGGAATTCCTTGAGCTCCTTATCGGATAAATATCCATCACGGTCTTTGTCATTAAGATAAAAAATACGTTGCAATGCCGCAACGGCTGCCGGTTTCAAAGCAGATTCCTTCGAGTCGAATAAGGGCGCGATTGGGTGAGTGACTGCCTTTTGGCAGAGAAAGAAAGCCTCGTTCACATTACGATGTTCGCGCGCGCTTGTTCGAATGCACGAATCTATTTCCTTGAATTCTGCCATCAACGGTAGCATCTCCTCCTCAATAACTTGTGCTTCACTATGATCCGCGGCAAGATCGGATTTGTTGGCGCACAGCACCACGGGTACATTGACTCCTAAAGAGCGAAAGTAGGGGAGCCAGAATAGAGCGACTCGTTCGTAGCTATAGTGGTCTGAGTATACAAGCAAAATCACATTCGATTTCCGGATCTCTCTGGCCAGATTAGTCCGCTCCTGGGGGAGAGCGGAAGTGTCCACCACTGTAGTTGTTGTGACATTCTCGGGGGTTCCGATCGTAGGAGGGATTGTGATCTGGGGCAAAACTGGTTGAATCTTGTTTGTCACGAAGACTCCCTTCACAAGGGATGTGATGAGGCTGGACTTTCCTGTGCCCTCATCTCCACAAACGCAGATTCGTACTGGAAAGTGTCAGTGTTGACCTTAATCCTAGCCAGTGTACTTGATGGTATCACCGCACCTGTAGCCATCCTAGACAAAGAAAGGCGATTTATGATTCCCCTTTCAGATCATTGCCGAATACATAGTTCATGAAATGCCAATGCAGCACCGTAATCGGAAACCGGGGATTCAAAGGGTGGATCAAGCTCTTTCGGAATTAAGATGCTATTGCGTTGATCCTCGGAGGTTCGGCGGTGGATATGCCGCCGCCTTGCCGCCTCAGGTTTCAATAAATCTTAAAATCAATCGTGAATGTGTAACATGGAATCGAGGAGGGAAAGGTGATATATTTCGGTTTAGGCTTATAATATAGTAATAATAAAAGTAACTACTATCTCATTGTCTTAGGAAGAGCATAACTAGCACGGGACTATATCCTGGAATTCCCACGCGATTTAGCGTCATCCATGAGAAACTGATAGAGCGACCCAGCCGCACTCACTCTCCGATTTAAACTTACCGCGCAGGCTGCTTGCGGAATTTGTTCTCGCCCCTAGGCCGTTGATCGCTTGAGCTTTGAATGATTGATTTACTCCAGGAGAATATTACCATTCCTCGGCCGGAGAAATTCAGTTCTTCTTCATCATCTATTCACATTCTACGCGTCCCGCGGTGATTCATCTTAAACAGTAATCTGACCAGACTCACAATCGGGAACTGCGGGAATCTCGACCTTAGCGTCTCCTCATCGGAACTGACTCCGCAGAACATCCTGTTATCAACTTTTCTGTCGCAGTTGTCTCCTGATACCTTCCCCTATTGTCCTGCCATTTACCTTTAAAGGTTCTAGCGAGCAGAGTCAAAATGCCTCTCGGGATTCACAATCCCTTGCCTTCATCTTTAGGAAGTAAGTTGAATCCACTGACCACCCATGTTTCCCCGCAATTCCCAGAGGGGAGCCTTCGGAGTCCCGTACTGACGGCGTTTCTTCGTCACAGGCGAGTGCAGAAAGGCTGGTAAAATTCTTGCTTCATTTATCGACCCTCGACAAGCTTTTGGTCCTGATAAGGTCATTCCTCCTGAAATCCTAGCAGGTGCCAAGGTAAAGAACTACCATGCAACCACTCAAGTTGCAGCAGTCCGTGAAAAGAAAGTAGCGTCAGAAACTAACCACTGATATTTAGGGGCTTGCGATTCTCACAGTTTTAAAAGCTGGTTTCCTCGGCTCCGCTCGATTTGGGTCTGGCATTGTTGTTGCCCGTTTGGCGGATGGCACCTGGTCCGCTCCCTCGGCTATTGCAACCGCAGGTGCTGGCTTCGGAGGCCAAATTGGTTTCGAGTTAACTGACTTTGTCTTCATTCTCAATGATGCCGCCGCTGTCCGGACCTTCTCCCAGGTGGGAACTTTAACGCTTGGTGGTAACGTTTCGATCGCCGCTGGACCCGTGGGACGCAATGCGGAGGCTGCCGGAGCGGCGAGCACAAAAGGTGTGGCCGCAATATTCTCGTACTCCAAGACGAAGGGTCTCTTCGCCGGTGTCAGCTTGGAGGGAAGTATGCTGGTAGAACGGAAGGATGCGAATGAGAAACTCTACAGTAGTCGAGTGTCAGCCCGCCAACTACTCAGTGGAACTATAAGACCTCCTCCAGCAGCGGACCCCCTCATGCGTGTGCTGAATTCCCGCGCATTCTATGGTAATGCGAGAAACGGGGACGCAATGTACAACGATATACCCGTCTATGATGACCATCATGATGATGTTGTGTGGGAAGGACGACGGGGAGACGCGTATGGAGAGGGTGTCCGGCGGGATCGCACTGGTAGCAATGACGCGGATGCCTACGAGTATCGGGACCGACCCCGTCGTGCAAATACATGGGCCGATGATGTATACGACCGGCCTGCTGGGGGCTTAAACCGCTCATCTACCACTCGTTATCCTCGCAATGATAATTATGAGACTTACGGCCGTAGCCGAAGCAACACAGCACCAATCGAGGAGGACTATGTCTATTCTGACAACAAGCCCAGCCGACCCACGGCACCCAAGCCTGTTTTCGGGCAACGGACGGGGCAAGCCCCTTCTCTGCGTCAGGACCAGGCGATTGCTCTTTACACTTTTGATGCCGATCAGGAAGGCGACTTGGGTTTCAAGAAAGGGGATATCATCACAATCCTTAAGCGTACCGATAAGAAAGAAGACTGGTGGACAGGGCGTATCGGGGAGCGGGTTGGCATCTTCCCTGCGTAAGAAGACATCTATATCCCCGTTAATTTAGGTCTTGAGACTAACTTGTCATCCCCAGGAACTATATCGATACGGCCTAAAAACCTTACTGTCAATCACTGACTGATGCGGAACGAAACGACGATCTAGGAAGTAGAGTCTTCCTTTACCCGCCTCCTTTTTCTTATGCTTTTTTTTCCTCCCCCAGGATCTTTCTATCTTTCCATGATGAAATCGAGCCGAATATGTCGGTTCACGCTGCAAGGCATGTCATACCCTGTCTAGTTCGGAAATTTTATGTTTCAGCTTTTCTAGTGTAAGCGATGGAGTTGTCTTTACACGAAGTGGCTTGATCAGCGTGTTCGGGATGAAACCCATGGGGCGAACGAATTCCAGTGATATTTTGTATATCTGGACTTTGCATGGGCTACCCGTATGTAATTTTCTTTTTTTGTTTTCTTTTCTTCTTTATTTCCCCCCTAGTGTTTCTAGGTTTTGTTATCCTTGCGCATACAGTGAAAGAAATGTGAATTGGGTTGCAGGTTTGGATGATAGAATGAAATTTCCCCTCTACATTACTTTTTATCATTTGTGGATTACATCATATTGCTTCCTTTTTTCTTTTTCTCTTTTTGTTTTCCTGTTATTACCCCAGGCTCTCCTCGCGTTCGGTGAAAGTTAACTACTCGGTGTCCGGTTCATTGGCTTTCTGCAACGGAAGGGGTGAAACAAAGAAGGGACCGCCCACTTCAAGTGACCATCATGGGTCATAGAGTGTCGTCACCAGAAGGGCGAGAAGTCTTCAGCGGACAAATTACCCAAATCGTGCTTGTACATACCTAGGAATACTCTAGATGGATTAAGCGATATCCCATACCAACCCAACTTACTTACAATACCTCGCATCTGTCTGCAATCCATGGGGCAAGACCCGTCAGCCACTGCATGAATTCCTCCGAAGTCATCAGGCGATGTCAGCCAATGAAGGTCACGGACTTGAGGCACGAGACCTGCCAAGTAAAATGTAAAAAGGGAATCAGAAGGTGCTTCCATCAGTTGTCAGAGACCAACAAGGCTGGAAAAGGCATGGCAACATTCCAGAGGATACTTTTATTTTTATTTTATTTTTCTTTTTTGAGGGGGTGACCTTTATTCAAAAGGACATGGCGGACATGCCTCAAGGGTAGGGGCCGCGAGCCTCCGGCCCGTAAAGAACACATGGAGTTGAAAACTAGATGGGTGAAGGATTATGAGTACATCGGATCGGTCAGATGTTAAATCTGACTTTGCCATAGATTGTGATTATGTTGATAGTTATCCACCCGGGAACGGCCGCCTTACGTGGAAGAGAATTACTGACGAAATCTAGATTAAAGTAAACAACGTCAGGTCCTATGTATGTCGAAGACAGAACATTGGGAAGAACCACGGGAGTAGAAATATCAATAGATATCCTATTCTTTGTCAGGGTGCAAAACAGAAAAAGAACTGACGAATAGAGGCGGGGATAAAACCTTCATCACTAGGCAGCATGTCTGGAACCAACGAGGGATGATTGTTTCTTATTCTTTAGTAGCATACATACTTAGTACTAGTCCCCTTGTCGCTTGGCTCCCAGTGGACGACAGCTGGATTAAGTTGCGGGTTTTATATATTACTAGTACTAGTACTTCCACCCTGTCTGCGGGACACGTGAGACACACTTGAACGATCGCAATTACTAATAGCGTCAAGAAGTAGTTAAAATATTTCCATTACCCAGAACAATAGACTGATCCAAATTGGAAAATATATACATATAAATAAGGCTATAGAGATACAAACCTGCTGAGTTATCGGGCACGGGGGATATGCTGATCAACGATCGTCTATCGTCCAGGGCCACTCTGATCGTCCCATTGAGAAAACAGTGGAGCAGAGCAATGTGACTAAGCGCTGTCGTTAAAGGCTGTCAAGGATAAACAAGAAGAGATAGTAAGAATTCGAATGATTCAACATCTTTTTGTACCCAAAGACAAGCTAAAACAAGTGAGACCTAGCTCAAACGGAGGATCTAAGTGTTAGAAGAAAAAAAAAGGAAATGAAGAAAAAGGGAGCAAATGACCCCCTAAAAAAAGATCTGAAGGTACTCCGTACCTGTTTAGTGTATACAATGGAGTAATAATCATAAAACCCCCGATCACCGACTCTAAATCTGGACCGAACCGTTGTTCCTACACCCAACTTAGAACTGAAGCAGCTGCAGGTCTGCTTTTTCTCTCGCCGCCCATCCGCCAACCAGCCGTCCAGGCCAGCCCAACCAACCAGACGGCTTTCTCGAAAACCCCCCCCGAATTGTTATTTCCCATCCTCATCGTCTTCCCAAAACGATCTCAGTCGAACCGAACATTCACCACCCGAGCTTTCTTCAACCTCCTCCCTCTTACGTCGCTTTAACCACCCCCTTCTTCTCTCCGACCCCTCTCAAACTCTCCTCTTTGTTCTAGAAACTCTGCGACAAGCCTCTAAGTCGCCGGATGCCTAACACTCATTCGCATCTCCTCGTCCCCCCGACACTGGTGTTTGTTCCTCTCCGTTGACACTTCTTCCCCGCTTCCATGATTCCATGACCACCCTCTTGTTTCCTACTTTCTCCCACCCTAGTGGTACAGTGACCTCCACGTCCTATCGCTCTTTGGTCCTCCGTCAATTTCGGGTCGTCTTCCTAGGTTTCCGGTCAAACCGCTTTCATGCAGGTGCGTTAATCGACTTTACCCTTACCGTCCGCTAGCTTTTTTTTTTCTTTTTTTTCTCCCTCGCTTTTCTTTTATTCCTTTTTTTTACCTTTCCGTCAGGAATTTCACCCAACCACTTCTTTGGACCTTACTATAGGTTCATGTGTAGAGGCAAGGATGAATGGTTGATCATGGGTCATCCCGAGCCTTGCGGGTTGCATATGAGAGCTCTATCGAATTAACTATTTTAAAAAATGTCTAGGCTACACCGAGCCCCTCTGAGGCTGGCGGAGGATACGCGACGCGGAGAGGCCATGCGTCTCACCTGTCGATTAGTGACCCGAGTCACCATGTCACGGAGGCCATTGGTCATATGTACAACGATGATTACGACAAAAGGAACTCTCAGCGCCTCAGTTATATTTCCTCCCCTTTGAGTGATACCATCTCTATTATCCCTCCGAACCTCGCAGGCGCTGCATCCCCCACCTCACCGCAGTCAATACAATTGCAAAACCATTTAAATTCAGTCAACAGTCATCAGCAGGTGAACGGACAGTCCCGGCCGCCCACCGATGGGGCCATTTCTTTGGATAAGGAAAGTAGCAGCCCGGCATCACCTACTTCCATTGCGTCTCCTGGATCAACCGATACAGCCACCACATCCTTCCCCCTCAACGATATTGATTACGAATCGGACCCAGCTGCTGTGGCCCAAGAGCTCAACAACCTGGCCGCTATCCGACGAATGTCCATGGATGTAGCTGCCACGGGTGACCCTGACCTCCCGAGTTACAACTCAAATTTCTCCGTGCCATCTATTGCGCCCTCCCCTTCGGCCGATGAAAATGATGCCGCTCGATTATTCTGGGTCCCCGCGCGCCTGCACCCGGAATTGGCGCCGAAGGAGTTTAAGTCGTTCCTCGAAAGTAAGACGGAGCAAATAAAGCGAAGATCGGGCGACTTCAATTCGCTGGGCCTAGAACGCCAAGGATCAAGCGGAGGTCTTAGACGGAAAAAGTCCATGCTGTCTCGGCAAATCGACAATTCTCATGGCTACACGGATGGGGCAGAGCGATTAGAGCGGAAACGGTCACAGTCGAGAAGGGATCCTCTGACCCCTAATCTGCAAGAACTTGAGACTTTAGTAGATGACTCTAACCCACGGAGTACCAGCCCCGTTGCTTTGTTAAATGAAATACAGAACCTCGGAATCTCTGCGGACGAAGACCGACCAATCCTTCCGCCTGCACCCCCTGGTCACAGCCTTAGACGTTCTACGAGGACCCAGTACAGAAAGGCCGGAAGTTTGAAGAAGGGAGAAAAGCTCCCATACTCGAAACGACTTGCAAAAGCCTCAGAGGGGAAGGAAGGCGCCTTGGCAACTGCCAACGTGTCCGCTGAACAGGCGACTTTGGGTCTCACCCGAGTGTCAACTGATCCCACCCCCAGCGTAACACGAGCCCAAGCCTCGACGATCTCCGGACAAAGCGCAGCATCGACATCCAACGAGATTGCCAACTCCGCGTTTGAATCGGTCTCGGACCAGCGGCAGTCTGCAAATGACCGGTCGAGCGAGTCCACCTTGGAGATTGGAAGTAAATCGAATGCAACCTCGCCGACACGCCAATGGCACTCGCGTATTAGCTCAAATGGACGGTCGACCTTGAAAATCCCCTCTACAGAACAAAAGATTCCAGAGATCATTGAAACACCACCACCGGAGACTAGTGCGGCACCTATTACTCCAACCGCGCTATCAAGCCCCACCTCTGGGCGTGGATTCAATCAGGACTTGCCTTCGTCGTCATCACCTACCAAGGGACCGGGGAGCCACGATCAAGGTTCAAGCAAATGGTCACTGCATAGCCGCATGCATGGCAAGGATAGCTCGGGTACTCTTAGTGACTTTGCTAATAGTCCTCAGGCCTTGCCCGGTAATAGCACCCGGACGGATGGCCTCTCGTTTATTCCTACCCTATCGGAGGAACGCAAACCAGAGACGAAGAAATCAAAAGACAAGAAGGAGTCGGAAGGCAGTCGCAAGTCGAGCTGGCACTGGCTGTTAGGCAGCGAGGAAAGAGACAAGGAGAAGGAAAAAGAAAAGAAAAAAGACAAAGAGAGTGATGCTAAGAAGATCAAAGCCAAATTAGTTGATAAGGTCCATGAGACAGCGAATGCCCTACCGTCTTCCAATGATTCTGGCCAACGTGGACGCGAGAGCCTTGTTTTGGACCGGCTTGACCCTAAATTGGAAGAGGAACGTCGGAAGGACCATGTTCGAAGGACTTCAGGAGAAGCGAAGAAAGAAAAGGAATCTGGATTGTTCTCCTCGATCTTCGGAGGTGGCAAGAAAAAGAACAGCGGCGATAGTCATCATAAGAAGAGCTTATCGCGAACATTGTCTCCCGAACCGCCAGTACGGGAGCTTCGGCCAGATCTTGACTATCCTTGGACCCGATTTACCATTCTGGAAGAGAGGGCTATTTATAGAATGGCCCACATCAAGCTTGCGAATCCCCGACGCGCATTGTATTCACAAGTTCTACTCAGCAACTTCATGTACTCGTACTTGGCCAAGGTACAACAAATGCACCCACTAATGGTCGCGTCATCGGGATCGCCGAGACACCAAAAGCCAAGGGACCAACAAGATGAGTATTCTACTGGGTACCAACAATATAAAGAGGTTCGTATTATCTCTTCTTTTGTAGCTATGCACCCGTTAACATTAAGTATAGGCCCAGATGCAACATTACAGCGATAGTTCCTACGATGATCCTCAAATGTATGAGTATGGTGATGATTCACACGACTCGTATCGACAACATTCACGAGGCGGTAGCAAACATGGCTACGAAAATGGGCAGGCATACGGTCCCGGACATTACCAGTACGGTCATTCGACATTTGGTGATGATGTCCAGCTCGATGACGACGACGATGATATGTGGTGACAGGAAAGAGGAGCATCCTGTTCATTACTTCAATTCTTCTGCAGTATATTAAATACCCCTGCTTTGTCAAGCCCAGCCCCTCCACAACATTGTACACTGACTACGTCTTGCTCAACTCACTTGTTTTTTTTACCTTTTTCAATGGATGGTAAATACATCCTCTTCCATGCCCAGGAACAGAATCATATGATTTCACCCACCACTGTCTGCTTACTCCCTTGCATACTGTTCTGTCTCATCCCTATATAGCGCACCTTACGCCTGGTGGTATTTTATTATGCCAGGTATTGCTCGGCATTTCCTGTTGCCTTGTATTGGCAATTTTTCCTTGATTTGTTTGCATAGCGTCTGGGGTTATCGATTCATTTCCACTTCTAGTTGTCTTGACAGCTTTGTTTTGCATTTCTATCCTTTCCCTTCAGATGATCCAATGGACTCTCGGCGTACAGTGCTGTATGTGAAGGAGATTGTGCTTGCCCCCTTTTTCAATACCCGAGTTCTGATTTACTCTTGGATTGGTACGTGATAGCATGGCACAGTAGAATGGGCGGGGCACTTGAAGTTAGACCTATGGAAGTCGTCGTACTGTATAGAATATACTTCCTATATCATTGAAACTCAAGTATCTTGCGTGTATTCCTATAGCACTATCGTAGTGATTGCGAATAGCTGCTATGCGGGTTTGTGGATATGGTATCACGTGACTAACGCCATCTAATCTCCCCACGGGCCAACATCATTACTGGCCGCTGCTGCTGTGGCGGTACTTGGTCCTTTCTCGACGCACTTGATTAACTTCCTATTCTATTTCATCTCCTACAACTTCTACTTGATACGAACTTGCTTGACTTTTGCATATTTGGATGGTGATACAAATAGTCTGACCCTAAACAGCAAGCGGAACCATAGCCGACAAGATGGGAGACGCCTACGAACGTGAACAGTACGATACTCCTTTCCTCTCCTGCACCTCAGGGGCAACCCGCTATAACCGACACCATGCTGCCTCTAAAGAACCAGATTACTGATAGATACGTCCAGGCAAAACAACGCCCTCTTGAACTCTTTGTCAAGTAAAGTCTCGGCCCTGAAATCCGTGACTATCGATATCCACGACAATGCCCGAGATCAAGGCACTCTAGACCATACGGTATGTCACCGCCCTACATATTTATCGGCTTCTGAATAATTTTGCGACATCCATCCTCATCAAAACCCACGTTCATCAATACCCACGTCTAGCTGACCCGGAATACAGAACCAAGTCTTCTCCTCCCTGTCAACAAGTCTGACAGGTAGCGCCAGCCGTTTAACCCGTATGGCACGCCAAGGCGATACCGTCGCCGTCCTGAAAGTAGCCGGGATCGTCGTCGCCCTCGGCCTGGCATTATGGGTGATACTGGGGTGGATTTTCTGAGTCGATCGACTCCGCTGTCGTCGATGTCTTTCGTCCTTTTCGACACGCAATCCACTTACTCGAAGATAATTACTATGCCGTGGATAATCTTGCTGGCTCGAGATTGATACCCCGTGCTTCGTGCCATTTATGTCGTCGCCTTTACAGCGTTGCTTCCTCACGCTTCTACATCGGTCTTGCTTCTGGGCTCGCCAGGGCTTTGCTATTATCTTAATCCATCGTGATTATAATATTGGTTTTGCGGTCAGTGATAGTGTTTTATGATCACCAGACACATACCTACTCTTACATATGTTCCCGGTTTATCTTCTGCCGCGTGATCAACTTTTAGGATACATGATTTCTGAAGTGCGGGGCAGGGGTACTTACTCGTGTCTCTCGAATTTTTCCAGTCCTTGCTTTTTTTTTCTTTCCTTTTTTCATTTGCCCTTTCTTCAATTATATATCTTCTTCGTCTATAACTGTATCAATAATCCTTTACTATCCACATATAGAATATCCTACAAGTCAAGAAAGCGGGGCTGTCATGAACCCGGGATTGGCAGATGGAGGTGGAGCAAGAAATGGAGTCACCAGATCTTGATCAGTGGATAAACCTGTACACTATTAAATGCCCACGATATCTGATTTGCTAGAGCTGTGGGCTATGCTTATTCAGTTGACTCAATTCTCCCATTCTCGCAAGTCCTTATAATAGGTGGATTCGACGATCTCAAATCCGACTTTAGCCTATACCGCCCACCCATTCCGTAGCCCAATCTCAATCTGATCCCAGATCCTATACAAGTCAGTGCCCTATAACGGGCAGATGATGCGCGCCAGATAAATTTGGGCATATATTAAGCCCCATAGTCCAGGTTACAGGGATCACCCCGCGGACTCCGCTGGCGACGTGCGTTTGAAGTAAAATGCCTCAGAATAGACCGGGGTTGTCTAAGTCTGATTTTCTATGTTTGAGCCTGTTACAGATCCAGCGACGATGAGAGATTAATCTGGTTTCTTCTGTCCAATCTTTTGGCTTTGGGCTAGTGACTTGCTTGGGCCATTGCGCGTTCCATGCACCGAGGAAAGAGGTTAGTACAATAGTAGCGTAGGAAGTATATGAGTATGCATGGCTTCACATATGTGGAAGAGAGTTAGATGAGAACGTATGTATGTACGTACATCAGCCGCCAACGAGGAAGGAACTGTTCGCTTGGAAATATCAGAGGCAGGACGTAGGTTTCAGGAAATTAATAATGCTTGATCTTCGAGCTTGTTACTAGCCTGTTCGGGCGATCGACAAGTGCCTCTGCGGGAGAATTCTATTCCCTTGATACTATAATTTCATATTCCCTGGGATGGTTGGGCCTGACAAGTTGGTGGTGGGTCTGTGTTGGTGATTTGAGTCTAGAACAACGATGTACATATGTTGAGTATTATAAGGGTCTTGTACCCTTGAGGCTTGCACGTCGGCGTATTTCCCATGGGAGAGAAAAAATACAAATTTTTTATAGACTATGGGCCCAAGCACCCCAATCATCGGGGTGCTGGTTATCAAATGTTGTCATGTCAGGTATAGATTGTGGCAGCGACTTCGTTATATGCCCACGCGGTATAGGCAAGGGTCGAGAGATCTGCGCATATCGCCGTAAATCAGGTAACAAAAAAAAAATCAAAGTTCGAGTAAAAGAATAAACGTGTGTTATAGAAAGATCATCATTGGTTTAGTTATATCGCAATCGGATCCTAGCATAGGCTAGGTGATAGGGGAAATTGCACCAAGGTCAAGGCCCAATCGCACGGTAAAGCCTAGGGAACGGAGTACGGTAGCCCGAATTGATTGCTATCTCGGTGGAACCAGCGGTAACAGTCCGCTGTGGAAACATAAGTCTCCATAGGCATAAGATAGCAAGTAAACTTTTTCTAGCGAGGTAGCGGTCAAAGATTATCTAAAAATTTCTTCAACGGGCAGCAAATGACGGGCAGACGGGCAGCTCCGAGAGAGTGGGTATCGACATGGAGCCTATCTTATTCGGAATTTCTGTGTGCCTGGCGAATCTTGGCAGGCTTGATGACAAGTTGTGTCTTTGTTTCTTGATAGTGCTTAGTTCGAGTGGGGCACTTGTCTCGTATGTCCATTGTCTAGGATAAATTGGTCTCGACGGTGAGAGACATTTGTTTGAGCAATTTTTAGCCAGATTCGTCTTCCAGGGGTTTGTTGGTGAGTCAAGTGGCGGTCCAGCGATGCAACATCCCTGATATCAGATTCGGGCGCCTTGGCACAACTATTCCGGATAGAGACACCGGGTTACCAGCGTATGCCATAAAAAACTTAACTCGGCATGCCGATGGACGTCCACTTCGCGATGCCGTCGGCATTGTGTACTCCGAAGATATTCGCCTACCTTTAGCAGTACAACGTCATGAAACAGACCCCTGTGGTATTCAGTGACGGAGTACATTCTAGCAGTACCCCAGTAGTCCCCTCCCTAAATTACGTCTTTTGACAAGGATAGTAATAAAAACACTGGACGTCAAGTATTCGGGGGGGAATACTCTAAATTAAACTGGCCGTTTCTGCCTATACGTCTAAGAAACCATTATTTAGGAGGGTCATGGGGGTAAGTGATGCCAAACTTAGGGCTGTCCGCAAACCATACCATGATAGCCGGTAAGGATTCCGTGCCCTTGGCCATTGAAACAATTATCTTTTGTGACAATTTTAGTGTGTTCTCAGCTCTCTGATCTGACCCACCCCACTAACTCTGCCGGCTCGGATGATGTGATCACCGCTTAAAGCTGCATGTCGACCCTGGGAATTTTCTGTTCTGGAACGTGGCACACTGAATGTGATGATCGACAGCATGTGCACCTTAGGAAGGTGTAAACCCCTTCTCAATAAAACCTTCCTGCCAACCTAGGTATTCTGCAGGTAGTACTAGTGAACTGTGGAACACGAAGAAAGATTAAAACATAAAGAGTCAATGAATAAATAAAATTGATAAAAATATTTAGTCGTAAATAAGAGATTTCCTCTCGCGACGTATTTCGTAAGGCCAAACTGTGATATCATGGTTTGCGTCAAGACGATCCCTTTGGAGTGGTCTAGGCTATTGAGTAAGCGTTTGAAAGATAGCAGCTCTGGAGCTTCTTTTCTTCATGAGCGTCACCATTACGAGACTGTAATCAACCTTGCGAACTTGATCCGTTGCCCTTGTAAGAACCGGAAAAAAGGTCTTTGTTTTACTTTTTCTAAGATGATAAGGCCGAGGATCCGAGGTAGAGAGGGTTGGGTGATGACCATGGGTTTAGCATGGGAATAAGTTCGTTGTACTGAAGAGTCGGGTCACGTTGCCGATGAGGTGCGAGTTTTCCCGATCACATGCGAAATGTCTCCCGAGACTGCCCGAGATATCTCTCCAGAGATTCTACTCTGCAGCCTTTCCATTCTCGTATTAGACTTGCCATCTAGTATACCTGTACTTGGTATAGCTACCTTATTTGATTTCTGCAGTTTCCAGAGCTACTCTATGAGTGGCTACAGAAGCTTGAATATCGCGCAAAGGCATGACATGTGGATTATAATACTAAGTCCACAAGCGGTGAGCGTTCCGAGCATGCTTCCTTTATCCACAAGTGTCATGCTCGGACCCTCGCATCATGAGTTGTCCCTGATCAACCTCCATTGCTGTATGAAGCATATGCACAAGAAGCGCACAGCTCCGGTGACCATGACGCAGACTACAGGGTGTAAATTGAGTTCAATCCCCTGATCAACATAATAATACTTGTCAATGAGTTATGAATCATTTATACAAATCATTACGTGATCATCAATTGTAAACTCAAGACACTATGAAGTACAGACTCATTGACTGTTTATAAAAATAAATATCGATGATCTAATCATTTGACCTCGCAAGGAATGTGTCACCCAGAAGAAGCTCTTTGTTGTTGATCCATGATGTATCGACTGGCCTAGAATGTCGATGGTGGAGTCATCGATGGAAAACCAAATGAGAATTGAGCTCTCATGCCCACCACAAATCTTGGTTGGCAAGCTGAGCTTAGCTTTTACCTTATGAGCTTCTTCTTGTGTCACTGTCAAAAGAACACAGTGTAAAGACTAGTAGGGGTTGTGTCTTTTCCTTTGATTTTTTTTACCTTACTTCCTCCGGTGTACGGGATTACGAACTGTAAGATTTGTTTCAATAGACTCTTATCAGTATATGATGGTCAGCTAGCGAGATATCATGCCACCGGAATTCGCTGCAGCCATAGCGTGTTTAGGATTGATCGGATATCAACTTCCAGATGAAGACTGAGTTGCAAAAGTACCTGAGTGATAGAGTTCAGCCGATGATGAGCAGATCATCCGGTGGAGCGTTATTTATTTTATGATGAAGGCAGTGACGAATACTACCATCCCACAATCCGTCTGGAATTACCAGGGAGAGATGCCGTGTAACGCACCCTGCATACTTACTGCATACTTACTGCATACTACTACCCACTGTAGGGATGGCCTGGATCAATTAAAAATCTCACTGCCGATGATGATAGCCTGATAAGTTGTTGGTAATAGCTATATGTAGGTACCTGCCGGATGGAGGGAAATTAAATTAGATATCACGCAAGCATACTTCCGATTATTCCTCCATTGTTGTCCAGTTCCCTTGTGATAGCCAACCCGGCTAAGCCGACTGCCGCCCTATGGCCGATCTTACTAGTATGAGGATAACCTTCCGAGACCTGGTACTAAAAGACTGGCGATCCCAGCAGGTCGCAAAAAGTAATCTTTTACCTATTCATGCTACATTACTTGCACGGGATAAGGGGTCAAATAAATACCACCGACTATCTCGCTTAACCTCTAGTTTCTTTTTCTTGAAAGGAAACTGGTCACAAACAGGATACCATCTCTTACCAAGTATCAAACCTTGTATCCACTACAAATTCTCCGGTATGTTTGGCATGTAACGTATTCACATTACCGCCCTTGTTCCTCCATATGGATTCCTCCGCTTCCAATCTCCTGCTATATTATACTCCTATAGCAAGCACTCTTTCATTTCTGCCTGCTCTATATAATATATTATTCACTGGATAACAACTATTCTTCTCTCTCTCTCGTTCTCTTTATCTCTTTCTATCTTTTACATAGATCCGATTGTCAACCTCTTCATTTCAGTAGGATACTGACCCTTGCTCAACTATAGCCCACAATCTCCCCTCCGCCCCTTTTGACTGCTATCTTTATCGTCCAGCTTAGTCAACCTGAATCAAAACGATCGCATCATCTCCCAACCTAAATACTCACTCTGTCGCCACTCCGGGACAAAAGAAAGGAACTCCGAAACCCAATTTTTCAAAGGCGACGGAACCGGCTCCTGTGACCCCACTGTCGAACAATTTATCTCTCTGGTGGGACCCGTCGTCGACCCGGTTTGCCTGTAAATCTGGTCAGTGACCGGTCGATCAATCGCAGGCTCCATACAAGAAAAACTTTCCGTTATCTTGTGTCATAGGCCTTTTTTTTTTCTTTTTTTTTTTTAACCCAAACGCGCGGCTCCTAGGGTGCCTTTTCTTCCCAGTCCTCCCCATCTTCTCTCTCTTTTCACCTATCTTTCAATCATCGGCTTTTCAACCTTTTCCTTGAATTCCTCTACAATCGCCTGGCAGCTGCAGATTTGCGGCTGTTAGTAGGAACGCCATGGCCCTAAGTTTTTTCAGTGGTGGGGGCAGTGCAAGCCATGCAAAGTACTTCGATATCCGGTGCGTTACATCCCGCCGCAGACGTTTTCGGAAATCCACATCCTGTCGAAACTGGCTAACATCGTTTATTTCTCATCACAGTCTAGACGAAGACTATATTGTTTTCCGGGGCGGAGAACAAGAAGCTGCCAGTGCGCATTTGAGCGGGAAGCTTATTCTTTGCTTATCAGAACCCCTGTCGATTAAGCATATTCGCCTTCACCTCACTGGCATATCTCGGATTTGGTAGGTAGCCTTTCCGGATCGTTTAGGTAGAGTCTGGTGACTAACCGGACCATTCAGCTGGCATCTGCCATCCAGTTCTGCTGGTGGCGGTAGGAAATCGTGGAGAGAGCGCGTGATTTATGAGAAGACATGGAAATTCAGAGACCCCGGCAAAAGCAAGACAGAAATCTTGCCGGCGGGCAACTATGAATATCCATTCAATCTCGTCCTAGAGGGCAACATGCCAGAAAGCATTGAAGGTCTCAGCGATACCTACATTACCTACAGATTCAAGGCCGAAATTGGACGTAAATATGCAAAGGATATCATTGTCCGAAAGCCATTGCGTATCATTCGGACTTTGGAACCTAGTGCTCTTGAACTGGCTCATGCTATGGTAAGTGGCATTTCACCTATGCGTTCTCATTACGTATCGAGTTGCTAACTTTGGTTGCCTTAGTCTGTGGAGAATATCTGGCCCAACAAGATCGAGTACTCTATCAGCACCCCAACTAAAGCCGTTATTTTTGGAACCAGCATCCGAGTTGACTTCAAGCTCATTCCACTGCTGAAGGGCCTCAAAATCGGACAGATTGTTTCCCAACTGATTGAGAGCCACGATCTCACCCTAAACCCCGAAGATCCTGATACTATTCGCAACACGTACAAGAACACGAGGACTATTCTGAATGACGAGCATGAGTTGGACCACGATGATGGTCTGGAAATCATTGACGAAGTGGCAGAAGGCTACCAGTTCTCGCGTTTTTTGGATCTTCCTAAAACGTTGACCCGGTGCCTACAGGATACGGATACGAAGGGTATTAAGATCAGGCATAAGCTTAAGTTCCGCGTTCAATTGCTAAATCCTGATGGTCACATTAGCGAGGTATGACACTACCCTCGTTGTGTTTGACCACGACGACGATACTGACTGTTTTTGTTACAGCTGCGAGCTACGCTTCCTGTGTCTATCTTCATTTCTCCCAACCTTGCGATTGACGAGAACAATAATCTAGTCGACCAGACTCCGCAGTCTGCTCAACGGGCAATCAACAGTATCGCTCAACAGGCACCTCCGTTGTACGGAGAGCACCAGTTTGACCAATTGTATAGCGAGCTTGATCCTTCTGGTTACCGAACTCCCGGAGCTGGAAGTGGCCCAGGCACACCATTTGGCACTCTTAGCCGCAATCTCTCCACCGAAAACCTAGCTTCTATGAATGCCTTGACGAACACTGATATCTCTGCGTCTGCCCTGCATAGCCGTCTCTCTAATCTCTCAGACCTTAATACCTTGCGACCCCACCAACCATCACCCACCGATCATGAAAATTCAGCCGATAACGAAAGTCGACGCTTAGGAGTTCCTCCAGACTATTTTGGGCCATCGTCGGGCTCCGGTTCCCATACACCTTCGAGCCCAGTGCTTTCGCGAAGACCTTCTGATGAAGTGGATCATGAGCACGTTCCATCTGGAATGGCCACACCGTTCCACCCTCAGTATGCAGAGGTTGAGACCTTGAGTCGTGTTCCGAGTTATTCGACTGCAGTTCGTACAACTGTTCGCCCCCATGATTTCGAGTTACCTGATTATGATGCCGTTGTCGCGGAGGACATTCCCGTTCTCTCACCCCCCCAATCCCCCCAGCAAGCCTATATTCGAACTGCTGGGCGTGGGTCCAGTCAATTCTTTTCTTCCCTGGACATACTTCATCATCGGCCAGCCCTTGCCCACGCTCGTTCCTCCAGCCACGATGACGATGACCGAAGACTGCGACTCGTCCAGGCCAGGGCCAGGGTTTAGGCTCAGGAAGGAGGACGGTTTATCTGCATAACAGATGGAGAGCTTTCAGTTCTCGGCATTCATCATGATTACGGTCCTGTCGGCGCTGGACGCTGAGAGGCGCTAGGCGCGCTACATTTCAGAGACTCTCCTAATTTTACGATAGAAAGCATGTACCTTATTTCTTTTGTATCTATATTAGACCGGGGATTGGGTGCTCCTGGGTGCTTTTTCTTTCTTTATTATATACAACTTATAGACGTGGGAAGGAACGGTTTTGCACATCGGCGTTTACTAGAGAGATTGGATTGGGTTTATACAGCATGGGACGGCTCAGGCCGATGATACGCATGAGTTACGGCGACTTTTTCTTTCAAGACTTCAAGATACCTCTTTTATTTCCCTATCTGTACCTGTAGCATAGCATTAACGCTGCGGCAATGATATCTACCTATCTCTCAAGCTGACTATAATCGAAATCCAAAAGATTCCCTCTGCATTTTATGGGTCCATTATCGAATCCCTGGTCATGCCATGCTATGTGTGTACTTCAGATGATTGTGAGTGGGGTACATACCAAGGTTGATGCAAACGTCCAATAGTTTCTTCAGCTTTCGCCACCGAACTGTGGCTGAGCACACCCGCCCTTAACTGCTTTCGGATAGAGACCGATCGAGCCATCGGCGTCGTTCGAATCTCGATCTGGTTCATTCATTCTAGATGCTGATTAGAGAGATGTGTAGGTTATATGTGATGTTGTGATGTTGTGACGCAGTGTGCGTCGATTCTACCAACCTGGACTGTATATACACATATGGACTGTATACACTACAGGATACTCTGGACATTCAAAAAGGGACATCAGGACAGAAACGAATTCCGATCGAGCAAATTGGGTCTAAGTAAGTTATTGGAGTCTCCATTGTGTTCCTGACAGTGACAGAAATGTGGGAAGCAAGTAACTTGGAGCTGAGGGGTTAAAAAAAAACGCTAAGGAAGCGGTCGGTGACTTCATCGTCTGGCGCCCGTCGATCATTTTTCTTCCACCTAATAAGTCCAGGACATCCTCCTTCTTTTCTCCTCTTTCTTTCTTTCTCTTCTGCGGACCATTTTGACAATTTAAATCTGGGTTCACTCCAGTTGGATTGATTAGATCGAGTAAGTGCCGAGTACTCTATTTCTAACCCGTCTTCACTTTTGCGGAATATTCGTGACCCACATCTCCCACATCTCCCCTCACTTGGACGGATTCGAAAATGGAGCCTCTGACGAATAATGGTAGCTACAGTCTCGACTAAATCCATCCGCGGTTCCGGTGTTCTCTCCACATAATTTCCTCCTGTGATCGAGTTGTTCTATCGCTCAGCTTCAGTAGACATCGCGCATCGCACATTTACCCCGCAATCATGTCTGCCACAAGCAGTCCCGTGGAGGCGAAGCTCCCTCATCGTTCCTCCACCCTCACGAGCTCCATTGCCCCGGATCGTCGAGCCTCTATGAGTGACGATGAGGCCATTCCGGATTCCGATAGCAGCGAGGTACACCTACTTATGACTTCCGGTTGTTTTATCCATAGACAATGTTAACGTGCAGGTCTTCGCTAGACTACGAACCTCCTTAACGAGCGTTTGCGCGCCTTGAAGCATATGTGTGCTTATCTGGAGGACTATGTCAGTGTGACTTCGAAGGTTCAGAGGTCGCATTCGAAGGATTATGAGAAAGTCCTGAAGGTATGTGGACGCGATTACGATCATCTATTAAATTATCGATATGTTCAGGTTACGCTGACAGCGATTTGCCATGAACAGACTGTCAGCGATCCGCTGAGGGAAGGACACCATTTTTCCCAGAACGCTGGCGGAGTGGCTTCTATGTTTGAGAACCTCCGCGCTAATACTCAGGTATTATTTATCACATTTCTCTTCAGTTTACCCTCGCCATTAATGCATTGATAGGGAATGGTGAATATGTACCTTGATACAGAGAAGAACCTGAAGGGATCCGTGCTCCCGACCTTGGAACGTCTTCACAAGGAAATCAAGGCTAAGTCAAAGGAACTCACCGGCGGTGCTTCCAAGAGCGCAAAGGCTGTCGACAAAGCACGATCTGTCACCCAGAAACACATTGAGCTCCTTGCTCAACAGACCGCATCTATGGATGCTGCCGCAGGAAACAAGCTTGAGCAGCACCACGACCCTTACATTTTGCGCCGAGGTGTCACCCATCGCCTGAACAAGCAGATCATCGAGGAGAACAACAACCGCAAGGACATCATTGCAGTGCAGAACAACTTCCAGCAGTTTGAGGCACATGTCCTGCAAACTGTTCAGGGGGCCATGGAACAATTCACCCAATTCATGACTGGCCAGCTCAACCGCCAGAGCACAATGTACCTGGATATGCTTGGTTCTGCTCAAAAGATCCCCCCTGACTTCGAGTGGGTCAACTTCATCACGAAGAATGACGATGTCCTTATCAACCCGGATGCGCCGCCGAGGACTCTGTCCAACATCACTTTTCCCAATATGGATCACCGTGCGACCAAGGCACTGATCGAAGGGTCTCTGGAACGGAAGTCCCGTGCCATGCTCAAGGGCTATAGCTCTGGCTACTACGTCGTCACCCCAGCGCGGTACCTCCACGAGTTCAAAGATGACGACGACTTCCGCCGCGACCCGGCCCCGGAGCTGTCTCTGTACCTCCCCGACTGCGTCATTGGCGCGATTGACGGCGTCAAGTTTAGCGTGAAGGGCAAGGATGTCTCGGGCGGCAAAGTCGGCAACGCATTCCACACCACCACCGAATTAAGCTTCAAGGCACACACCGCCAACGATGCCGAGAAATGGTGGTCCGTCATCAAGGATTGCACCCGTGGCCCGATGCATACCACCGCCGCTGCCACCGCCGCCGCATCCTCCCAGCCGGCAAGCCCTGCCGTTGCCCACCCGCCAGCCTACTCAGAGAAGGCAAACGAGGCAACAAGCCCCGCGCAGGCCACAGCCCCTGAAATCGCAACCCAGGCCACGTCACCCACGCAGCCTGAGGGCGAGGCAACAGCTCAATCTCCCGTCTCTCCCCCTGCGGTGTCTCGGACGGCTAGTACGGCTAGTGGACACTTCCACACTGCTCCGGGTGGAACCGCCACTGAGAAATCATGAGTCAGTTCATTCCTTACCTTTGTCCATTGCGGTTTTATCGTCTATAACCATTGCTTTGAATTCTTCCTCTTTCTGGAAACCAGAGATTCAGCGATATACCTTCTTTTATAAATGCTTTATTCTCCCTCTCCCTGTTGACAACTTAGCAAACCTAGTCTAGGTACCTGAACTCTTTTCTGGTGTAAAAATTTTTAGTTTGCTTATAATATTTAATCGGTTGAGCAATGCTTGTTGAGTCCACTTAGTCGAGTAATTCACTAGATGTTCGGTGCATTTTCTGTCCAAAGATAAAAAAAAGGAAGAAAGAACCTGTCGAAACACGGCGTTCATAAACTGGAAAATTAAACAACAAGACGCTTCATGACGGGAGTATCGATCAAAACAAAATCAGAGGCTAAATAACAAGTAGGAGGCTCATATAGCTTATGAAAATCTTACAGAACAAATGAAGGGTAATAGACGCTGTCAGTAGTTAGAGAAAAGAGAGACGAATGACATAAGCTTAGAAGTCCTCGGGACTCTCTAGATCCTCCAATTTCTGGCTGAGGAATCTGCCTAACGCTGCAGATTTCGACTCCAGAGCGAGCAAGATGGATGGCGAGGATGAGAGGTTGAGACTCGCCAGGCGCGCAAGGTCACTGCTTCGGTCGATTTCGTATTGCGTCTCAAGTTGCGCGTCTGTTTGCATGTTGGCCTCGCTATGGATTCGGCTGATGCTGTTGGGCGTTCCGTTGGTAGGGGTTTGGTTGTTAGAGGTGCCGTTAGTGCCAGTTCTAGGCTCATTCAGGGGAAATTCGTCCGCGACAGGGTTTATAGAGCTATTCTGGGCACCGTTTGAAGGATCAGTCTCCCCTTCGGGCTCCAATTTAGACGGTCCGACGGCGGCAAGGAGCACTTTGTCTGCTATTCTGGTGACAACGGCGACAAGTTCGTCGAGTTCAAAGACAATAGATCCTACATCACCTAGAGATACGGATTGAGCTGTCACGTAAGATGATGGATGGCTGGCAGGGTTTACACCCGTGAGGTTACCACTGGAAGCGTTCTTTGCGTAGGCTGTGTACGCGGCCCCGTATGTTGCACTTAAATTCCGCAGTTGCCGGGATGGAAGGGACGAGGCGTATGCAAAGATGGCACCATTAGTAGCAAACACTCTATATAGATGACAACCCGTTAGCATGATTATGGGGGATACGACGATCACGAGCTACTGTACAGAATCGTGGTGATCTCCGGCGGCGAAAGGTTGTCCTCTAACAGGTCGCCGAGAGCCTCCGCGTCGATCATCTTGATATCGGGAAGACCTGGAATCATGACGCCGGCGTTATCGATATCGTCTTCGAACTCTTTGTCTTGGAGGATCCAGTCCCGAGGCGGCGACCAAGTACAGTCTTCGGGAAAGAAGAAGCAGTTGTCCGAGTAGTCACTATCGTTGTGATCGTACTCGATCGGTTCTTCTGAGCAATCTAAAAGGTTTTGGGCGTACTTGAACTGGCTTTGTGCCCAATACGGACAGTGTTGTGCTCCGTAGAAACCAGTAGATTTTTGAGTGGAGCAACCAAATCGGACTGGAAATTGATACTCAGCCATTTGCGTCAAGTAATAGTAGTATAAAAAGTACAATCAAAAGCAGTTTAGAAAAATCTAGAAGCATAGGGGTGTGGAAAAACAGTCTTTAAAGGTAAAAGAAGGGAAGCTAATCTTAGGTGTATAGCGCACCACACGATTCATGGCTCAGACGTGGGTTAATTCAAGCCAGAAGATGGGCTGACGCTTCCATACCATGATCAGGCCTAATGCCACGTAACCCATTGCGAGAAGGAGTTTATTAACACAGACTCCAACGAGCTTTGAGAGCGTGGGGAAAGTAACGGTGGGGGATGTAGGGCGGGTTGGGTAGGGAAGTAAGTATGCGAAATGTAGTTGGACAAAGCCACAAAAAAGCAAGCAACCCGAAGGAACCCAATAGCCAGTGAGGCTTATGCCAGTCGCGCATGTGGTAGGGTGATCTAAGCGAGCGAAGATCGCTTGGGGGGAAGTCTGGAATGAGGGAAACAACAAAGGATAGAGGACAAACCTTGCTCGAAGGATAGGGGGCCAACGTTTGGGTTAAGAATCCAAAGTCCGAGTTCCAATCAGATTATCACCGGCAAAAGCGGCCGATTGGACGTCAATAGTCAAGGCCGACAGAGTCAGGGGGGATATACTAGTCGTACTAAGTTGTTGAAGAGCAGAAAGAGGATGATTATGGATGCTCATAACATCACCCGATTGGGTATTGACACCTTCCCGATCAGGCCACCGCCTTTGGCTCCTCAATCCTGGGCCGAATAGGCCTAGCGTTTGCACCTGACATCGAACTTCTTGCTCACTCCTCAGTTGGGAACTCTCCCTCAAATTGCACGTATGCTTTTATATTTCAGGTGGGATTATATATAGTAATACAGTTCCGCTAACAAGCTGCTGAAACTCATGTATAATACTCTATTCAAGCATCTATTCTTATACTTGTTTTGGTACTATATCATGTTGTGTTGATCATCTAGAATGAACCTTACCGGAGGATAATGAGCTGAAGAACTACGATGATACTACCTTAGTTCCGTTCCTCAAAGGGTCCATTGTTTAAGGCTTGACTCCGTAAGTGCTGTGTATGGAACATATCGTACCCTTGTTAATATTGCCGATCATTAAAGGAGGGATTAGTATGCGCTAGCTATCGGCAATATGCGATCACGTGAACCAGCCAGATATTTGTATAGATAGATGTTATATAGTATTCTGACCAATTGTCCACCTAATCTCCGAGCAGAAAGCTAGAAAAATCCATGTGAGACCACTGATAAGGCATATTATATATTCGAACCTGATTGGAGAGACTGTTTCGTATTGGACGGGGTAAACTCGGCAATGAAGATTTGGAGCCACAGCGTCATAGGATGTCCCCACCTTTTTTTTTTACTCCAAGTTCTCTCCTCACGTTGCACACTAATCAATAGAATCAACCACAACCTTCGTTCCCCTCCTTACCCCTCCTATTCTCTATATGTTCTCTTTTCGTTTTCTCCCATCCTTTCGCACATCGTCCCCCAAGGTCCTCAACCTAAGCTTTTCCACCCTACCAGGTACGTGCATACCAGCTAACCATAAGTTAAGATTTACCCCACAATGATCTCAGCTATTGACACATTACAGGGACCAATCGATATCTTGCAACCATGGCGACTGATACCTCCAAGTATAAGTTCAATCGTTAGTCTATCTTCGGCCCTTGGGAATCGAATTCAAGGCTGACAATGGCTCTACTTTGATAGACACTATGATCCGGGTCAAGGACCCGAAGAGATCTTGTGAGGATTTCCCCTATACCATGAACGAATTTTTAACCTTACTTACCAAATCCCTTTGTCTTTAGTGGAATTTTATAAATTCCTCGGACTGAATCAGATCAAACACCTCGACTTCCCCGAAAACAAGTTCTCACTCTACTTCCTCGCATACGATGGCCCCAAGTCCCTCCAGGGTGAGCGTCACTTCACGGATCGCAATGCCGTCCTGGAGCTCACCCACAATTACGGCACCGAGAATGACCCCAACTACAGTGTGGTCAACGGTAACACGGAACCCCACCGCGGATTTGGCCATATTGCTATTTCGGTTGACAACATCGAGGCGGCCTGCAAGAGAATCGAAGATGCCGGCTATCCTTTTCAGAAGAAACTCACCGATGGACGCATGAAGAACATCGCCTTTGCCAAAGATCCTGACGGTTACTGGGTTGAGATCATACGTCGCCACAACGAGGACGTGGGTACCACAACGGATCCCGCCAACTATCGATTCAACCACAGCATGCTCCGGGTCAAATGCGCAGAGACAAGTTTGAAGTTCTACCAAGAGGTCATGGGCATGACTCATGTGCGAACCGCTGAGAACAAGGATGCAGGGTTTAATCTCTATTTCTTAGGATACCCTGGATCCAACCCTAAGGTACAAGAAGACGCCAAGAATCCTGTGGCCGAGTGGGAAGGTTTGCTCGAGCTCACCTGGAACTACGGCACGGAGAAGCAAGAAGGACCAGTCTACCACAACGGTAACACCGAGCCACAAGGATTTGGCCACATCTGTAAGTAAACCTGGCCTTTTACCTGATGCTCGCGAGGACCATTGTCACTAACACCGCCGGACTTGCTGTAGGCGTTTCCGTTGACGATTTGAATGCCGCCTGCGAGCGTTTCGAATCATTGAATGTTAACTGGAAGAAGCGTTTGACCGACGGACGGATGAGGAACGTTGCCTTTGTCTTAGACCCCGATGGATACTGGATTGAAGTGGTCCAAAACGAGGGCATCAAGCGCACTGGCGATTGGTAATCTAGCTCCCTGTATGTAAGGTATAGCGCCTGTAGTACGAGGGCGCAAAATTTTATAAAACATTATAGTACCTGTATTAGCTTTCAGTGAAAAACAAACAAGTAAGAAAGGAAGGTATCAGGTGAGAGCGGGAAATTTTACCTCAAAAGGTGGATAATGGGAGTTGCCTCAAGTCTCATAGGGCAAATGAAGTGGGGCCCTCTCTCCCCGCCCAGTAAGAAAAGCCCATCAGTTCGAGTGTTTCCAGATCTTCCCCAGAAACCACCTCCACACGCCAGCTTTCACGCTGCCATGTTAAGCGTCTTCATCATTTTCGTCGACTTTGCTATGAACATGTATTCTGCTAAACCATCCTCTGTAGATGTCGGCTGACTGATGCTCGCTCTTCGTTTCGTGAATTAGCCACCCGGAGAGAATTTCTTCCCTACGCTTCCCGCCACAGTAACCTGTGCGATGGAGCCCCAGGTAGAGAAGCCCAAGAGGGCGCCTCGCAAACATGTCACCACGGCATGTGTTCCTTGTCGGGAGAGCAAGATCAGGGTATGTTCAGTTTTGTTCATCATCACAGGACCTAAGTTGTATTTATCCCAGCTGACAAATCTTCACCAGTGTGACGGAGCTACTCCGCATTGCCATAATTGTGAGCGGAAAGGCAAAGATTGTAGATATCAACATGGCGACGACAAACGGAAGTATGTTTAGCTTTTCACTCTATGTTTACTGCTGGCCCATTTTGAAATGCATTTCGTGTCTTGAGTACAGCATATCTCGCATTCTCGAGAAGGCAGGCAAAGCTGGGATCTATGCTTGTGCATATCAGGCAGGCGCTGACTGTCATTCCTCCAGAGTGTCTCTACGTGCTGCCACGGAGCTATTTTCCGCTAGAATAGATCAACTGTGCCAGTTTATTTACGACCAGGGGCTGGAACCGCCCCCAATGAGACCCGAGGATGAGTCGGGCATTAATAGAGTTTTGGATACGCTACAAATCCCTCGCGGACTGGCGAAGAGAAGAGAACCCAGTGTGACAAATGAGTTAGCCTTCCCACAAAAAGCTGTTGCGCATTCTCCGGCCCACGGCAGCCCTCAAGCCAACCCGCCCCTCGATGGGAAGTTGGATGCAAGTGAGCGTCCCCTGGAGGTTCCTTCGCCGCCACAAAATGCATTCTCTAACCAGACGGTTGTTTCATCGGCCCCGAAAGGCCGAGAAACAGTGAATTCTCTCGGGGTTAGTGCTGGTCTTTCCAGCCACTATGTTCCTGCAAATTGGGGGTTTACACTTCCAACGGCGGAAAGTCTGGACACTATTTACGCCAACTTAAATGATGGCACCAATGTTTCTCAGGATAATAGCCTTAGCCCGGACAGCCTTCAGTTGACTCCAGATATGCAGCAGCAGCCAGGAGCACTGCTCAGACAAGCGCGGTACGACAGGGATTATGAATCAGAGAGCGGCGAGGAAGATGAGGCAGAAAAGGATGTTATCGAGCAAATTTCACATCGCATCGGCACGCTAAAAATTGCGGGTGATGGCCACCTTCGCTTTTATGGGGCGACCTCAAATCTCAATTTAGTGGATGTTTCTGCGACCCAGCAACGTCAACGTCCTGATGCACGAACAGTCCGCCATGATGGACAGGACATTTTAAATCATTTGCGGGTTGGGCAGCCCGTCAACCAAGCGCTTGAAGACCATCTTGTGGAGCTCTATTTTACTTGGCAGAACACGAGCACGTACGTGGTCGACAAGGATATGTATATGATTGCTAGATCAAAGTGGAGGAATGAGTACGATGACACGCCATTCTATTCGGAAGTGCTTACAAATGCAATGTATGCTCATACACTAGCCAATTGATGGTATTACAGACTGACAGAATCTTAGGTGTGCTATTGGAAGTGCGTTTGAGGCGAGGTATCACCCGACCTTTATTACTTTCCCAAAGTCGTTGTCGGAGTTTTTTGCGGACAGGGCGAAAGCTCTTCTAGAAATTGAGCTGGACTCCCCTTGTGTGGCTACAGTACAGGCGCTTGTGATATTGAGTTCCCACGAAGGATCCGCGAATCGAGACGCCCGTGGATGGCTTTATAGCGGTATGTAGGGACGATCGAGAGATCGCTAAACCTGGAAGGCTGATTTGGTCTAGGGATGTCCACGAGGCTCGCGTTTGACCTCGGCCTGCACATTGACATGACACCTTATGTTGAGAAAGGAGAGATAGGAGCATTTGAAGCTGATGTGCGGCGAATAGCATTTTGGGGAAGCTACACCGCCGATCAGTATGTTCATTCGGGCTGTAGCGACACATTTTCATGGTCTGACTTCGTTACAGCTTTTGGGGCTTCTACCTGGGAAGACCATTCCGGATGAACGCAGGAGACATCACCGTTCCGAAACCCGCATCTGATCTAGGCGCAGAGAAAGAAGGTATATGGTATCCTTACGGACTTCCAACGAAACAGGACGCCCTGAAGCACGGCATAAGGAACCCAAATGAACTGATCAGTAGACAATTTGCCGTTCTTTGGGAAATAATCTCACCTGCGGGCCATATCTTGTGAGTTCTCCATCGCAGCAGAGCACGAAAGGAATTGATCCATTTTCTAAGATTGTGCTAACATGATGTAGGTACGGTTGTTCTGATATTCCTCGGCACGATCTTCAAAGGCTGTGCCATAGGGTCACAGATGACCTGTTTGCGTGGAAAGCGAATCTGCCTTCTATTCTAAACCTTAACCTTGAAAATGATACTATTCCTCAACTTCCTCATCTCCTCATGCTACAGTATGCTATGCATCCTCCCGGACTATTTTAAACCTTTATAGTAAACCCAAGCTGACTGGTATGTAGTATGCAATACCACCAGATCGTCATTTTCACGCACAGGCCTTGGGTTTCAAAAAGTTACATCCAGCCGCGCAGTCCTCGCCAGGGGCCGGGCTATCATCATGCCCGGAGAATGTGCATTGAGTCCTCGATAGCAATTGCACGGTTGCTCCATATCTACGAGAAATTCTATACTTTCCGTCGCATGAACAACCAAGTCGTTGCCATCATATTTAGCGCGGCCTTGATGCTCCTTTATGTCACCATCTCTAACACTCCCCACCCCAGCAAAAGTCCGAGCGACAACAGCAACAGCAATGCGGAAATGGTTGCCTACTTGAACCTTTGCTTCCGAGCATTAGACGAACTGGGCCAATCATTCGAGAATGCTAAACGGACCCGTGACTTCCTGGTTAGCCTGCAGCGAAGGTGGCAGGCCCACATGCGCAGGTCGGGTTCAGCTCTGAAGCGCCAAATAAGCAATCAGCCATCATTGCAGCAACTAGCGAGTCTTGGCTCGGATGCAGATGCTTCAAGGAAGAAGACACGAATCACTGCCCCAAATAACCATATTACCTATCCAGCCTCTATTACTCCAACGTCTCAGCCTACTTTTTCCGTTCCTAATCAGCCCCAACCACAACTCCCGGGGCAACAGTCTTTAGATCCGACTCAACTGGGGGTGCCTGGAGAATTTGACTGGATTCGTAACTCAGATCTGCAGTTGCTTTCTGGTACTTTTGGGGACAACGGTTTCTCCCAGATGAGTAATGTGAATGCATTCGGGGAAGAGCCTGCACTGCCCAATCTTTCCGACATTGAGCCTTGGTGGGACTCGCCGAATGGGAATAATGCCTTTGGAGGGCCTTCTTTATAGACTTATACAATAGAGAGAATAATATTTGTTAACAATTTTGTCAAGGACGGCACTCAATACCGCATGTGCCGCCGCGCGAGAATAGTATACAAATTGTACGTGGTAATCGCTTTCTGTCTCCCGCTATACCTATTAATATTCCTTTGCACATATACACTCAAGTATATCCTTATTTCATCCACACCTCACCTGTGGGAGCAATCCTTTTTCCAACATACTTGTCTTGATAGAATCATTTCAAAAGCTATGTTTTTCACTCCTTTAGAACCCAAGCAATCGGCTCCCCATTCCAGTTCAGTTAAGACAGCAATCTGCCAAACAACACCCGTCGCAACCAATACCTTCATCTACAGCCCTTCCCTATCTCTACCCAAACACAGCCCACACTCGATATGAAACCTAGCTCAAGACCACCATTTGTTTACGAAAAGCCTTGTATTTAACACGAGAAACTCATCTGACTCACGTTGACCGGACTAGGTAATATAGGATCGAGCTCCTTCCACGGGAAGTGTGCCGTTCTGTCTCATGATTCATTCATCGCCACCCGAAAGTGAAAAGAAGCTATCTTGGCAAACGAGGACAGAGACTCAGGTGTCGCTTTCCTAAAAGTTAATTGACAGAGTCGCCTGGGGTTACTTGTATCGGTTAGATTGTAGGTTGGCCAGGAGGATTCGGCTCTGTGTGCCTGTGAGGAAGAGACTGAGACTGAGGCTGAGACTGAGGCTCGGGCTGAGAATACGAGGTCGAATTTGTAGACTCATTGGTATGTGTGCTTCGGCATGATCTAGATTGATATCGTCGAAGCGCCGGATAATGGATAGAGATGTGGGCCGGTAGAACTACCCAGGTACAGTACCGACTTTCCTATCGGACAAGAAAGGAAACTGTCAGTGCAAGAAAAAAAGAAGTCGGGACGACGGATACGGAGTGATGTCTCGGGTGTGCGCTAAATGTAAAATTAACTAACCATCATGTCGTGTGTAGTCAGCGAGGGAACCGACTAACGTACACAACCACCGAGTGATGCACTCCGTATTTCCATATAAAGTCGACATTTTTCAATCCTGTATATTCAACCATTTGATCCTCATTTTATATGATATACTAGATATCTTTATTTGGCATAATAACTAGCCTGTCTATTAAATATTTATATAGTGTAGTGTATTAAATACCTGAGTAATATAAATTACACTGTATTTTTTCCTCATTGGACTGTATCTAAGACTTCCCTTGATCTATATTAAAAAAGGTAGAGGACATCAACATATACATATATATATATATATATATTTATATACAATCTACTGGCTTAAAACAGACTTGACTGAGGGCTGCATAGTTGAGATATAAGGAATTGAAAAATGTCAATTTTATATGAAAATACGGAGTGCATTACTCGGTGGTGTGGATCACTCGGTGGTTGTGTACGTTATTTGTCATTGTAGTCATTGTACAGAAATAATGTGGTGTGGCTAGAAAGAGATACTTGGGTAGCACGCCCAATCATACATTATTCAAATAGTTCCTGCATAGCCGTAGTCTGTCAGCGCTAATTTATAGCAAGGCTGCACGAGGCATGTACCAAATAGAGTATGTAAGTGTGGGGTGGGGGTGTTGCCTGGTGCCTAGAATGCCTAATCGGTACGGGACTGTTTCCGCAGGCAGATCCTGCCTTAGGAAATGATTTCCATGTCTGTTTTAAGGTTCTGGACTGTGGGTGGGTTTTACAACTGTGTAACCAGATTGGGCTTTTATAAAGAGCCTATATTTGTATGAGACGTGCTTGTTTTGTTCCAGGTGGTTGATTTCTAGGGGGTGATAGAACGCATATGTGTTTGTGTTGTTTGCACGGTTGTCCCGATTGCGAAGCCATGGCTGGGCGTTCTAAATCCAAGGGCAGGGTCCACCATACAGTAACAAGGTAATTCCAGAGAATAGGAGATAGACGGACAGTTACGGTGACTTGTGAAACTGGTGATAAAGGAAAAATGGCAAGTAGAAAGAAAGAAAATAGAGAATCGGCATAAAGGGGGAAGTTGCCACGAGAAAAGATGGAATTGCCACCGCTTTCACTCAATTCAACATCTTCAATTCTCCGGAATGGGATGTGCTAAGGAGAAAACCCTGAACTTTGTTTCGTTGCCCGTGATGTCACGCTCGTCTCCGTCTGGACTGAGACACAACAAGGACTCTGGAATCTGTATCCAAGAAATAACCGTCCAAGTGTGCGCCAGTTCCCGATTCCCCTCGTTGTCATCGTAGATACAAAAACTATCCTGAATCCCACGAGAATGGGTTGAGACACGAGCCAGATTCGCCCTTTGCGTACCGCAGAAAGCACAAACTTCAGCCGCAACACTCTATATATCTACACAGCCCAGCCCACCCTCTTCACGAGGCATTCCATCTACTTGAACCCCCCCCCATCTTGCAGCTTAATGAGAAAGATTTTTGCATGAGATTCTGCTCAAGATGACTGACTCAACTGGCTCGACGAAGTCTCTCCTGGACGTTGTGAGAGACGACACTTTCACTGACTTGTCGGACAAAGACGCCGTTGACCTCTTCAAGAATACCTTTGGGCCTGAGCTCGAGCATCTGAAGAAGGCAAGTCCCACCGTGGAATCCAGTGCCATAGATTCATCTCTCTGGTCTCCATCAAAGGAAGCCTTCGGTAAGAATTTCCACGAAGTCAATCGCACGCTCGTCAGTATGCTGGCCATCAAATGGGTCCTGGGTGGCGACTACGAGGCCTTTACCTGCGGCCAAAATGAAAAGTCGAAACTTCGGGAGGACTCCTTTAAGACGCTACGGAAGTACTGCCGCGATCGATTACCCAGCCCAGAAGACAAATACGCTCTTCTCGTCGCAATGATGATAGACGACATTGGGAAGGACAAGAACCTCGCCAAGGAGGTAGGAATACCCGACAAGAACCACGGGGAAGTGCTCCTCAGAGCCGTGGAGATGGACCGGGTGCCTGCGATGAGGACCCTCCCGGACCAAGACAAGAAAGCAGATATCATCCAGAGCCTCAGGATTGGCTCGAAGCTGGATATCTCGCAACTGGTGCAGGGGGAAACAGCCCCGCACAGTCTGCTTGCTTTGAAAGATGGCCATAAGCTGGAGAAAGGTTTCAACATCAAGGCCATGGTGACCTTTCTGGATGTCGGAGGCGCTGCTGCGCATAGCAATCCGCGTGGGTGTACCGTGATAACAGAGCCCATCTTCCGTCACTACATGAAGGCGATCGAGATTTTGGATGACTATCGCAAGAGGACAAACCCCAACTGGCCCGAATGCTACAATGACTACCTGGATTACCGTGCTGGTATCTTGAAGGATAGAGAATTCGTTCTTCTGTCTGTCAGGGACCAAGAACAGCGTGCTCTTCTTCGGCTTCTTTGCATGGGGCGAGTGGAGACTAAGGAAGATGCAGAGCGGTTCCAGCGCGCTTTCGAGAATTTGGCAGATCCTTTCAAGAAGAATCTGGTGAACGGGCTGAGTGTCAATGGCTTTGGGGATGGTACCGCCATTCTTCCCTATTATGCACCCGGGATCCTAGTGGAGGTGCTGAGGAATATTTTGGATCCAACTGAGGACAGAATCATTCTGCACTTGTCAGTCTTCATGCGCTTTCTGGCTGGAGTCTATGGTGGCTCTAAACCGGACCCTACCAAGGAGGATGGCCTGGAGGAACGGGACTTGGCACAGGTGCAGGATCTCGTTAGGAGCGCGAAGTTCAAGGAAGATCCAGAATCGTTGGCGTTAGAAAAGGTCAAATAGAGGCAGTGCAAAAGGCGTAGTACTTTTATGATTGTCTTTTTTTTGGGCGTTTCAGTTTGTCCTTTGATTGTTTAGCGGGCTCAAGAAGTTCTGCTTGGCTATGGAGTTAATTAACCGATGTCATGACACGCTAGCACTGTTGACATAGTGACGACAGATCATGGAAACGAGTCGATGATTGATAGATAGATGAATGAATTGAATTGAAGAACTAGAATTAGGAGGCCATCTACAAGACCGCCGTAGCCCTAAAAAACACTTGCTGTCAATCGCTAAAAAGTCAAAGAAAGATCCGTAAGACGAGCCCAAATTTATACAATTAGTTACTTTCCAGCCGACTAAAGGAAGCGCTTTTCAGTGGATCATCCATGTCAAGCGAAGCACCAGTGTCTCCCTCAGATACAGACCGGACCACCTCAAGCGACAACTGCGGATCCCTGGAGTAGACCCGTAAGCCCACGACACACACGGCGTTCCAAGGGTCGCTGGTGATCTCTTCTGGACAGCCATTGGATGTCGAATGTGTCATCCTCGGCTCTGCTGGTTCTTCCGGGGGCATATCAAGGTCAGGGTCAAACTCGAAGCCCTCCAGCAAGTCCAGGTCTTCCTGGTGTGACGAGAGGTTTGAGAATGATGACTCTAAATTCGTCTGTAATGACTCACTCTTCCCAGTGATCTCGGTCTCCGAGACATGGACGCCGTTGCACTGGATAATGGGAACACTGCCATTGCTGGCAGGCTTTGTTTCAACACCATCGCCTGAACCGTTACCCGCCTGGGACGGCGATCGTACAGGCCCCTCAGTGAGAGCTTGCTCGATGGCCTTGTTTCTAGCAGCATTGTTGTGTTGTTTTGCAAACAGTCTTTCTTCTCTTCTATTTTTCCGGGCGGCCATCTTCTGATTCCAGATCCATTGCTTCTGCAGCTTCTTCCTGGTTGCCTCGATCTGTTTCTGCCTTTCTGCAGCCTTGCGACGCTGTTCTAGTTCCTCGCGTGCTCGCCTTTCATCCTCCGTCTCCGTTACCATACCTTTAGCATGTGCCAGATCGTACGAGAGGCCGATCTGAACAAGCTTTTCTCGTTTAACTGGCGCCAGGCGGCTTACGACTTCCTCTGTCGATTCCATACTATCGTTTTTGTAAGCAGTGACTTTCATCAGGATGTGGTAGCGACCAGGTTCGAGATCAGCTTCCACGTTCACGGATCGACTGATCAAGTGGCTGTTCTGACTGCGCACCATGTAGTCGTCTTCACCTTCCTTCTGCACCCGAAACTTAAGGACAAAGCCATATTCACCGGCTAGTCCCTTGAAGTAGCGCGAGTCCAACTGTTTTGGTTAACAAAGCCTTTGACAAGGTATGAATGCTGAAGTAGCCTGAATATAGGAACCTACCTGGGAGAGGACAAGGACCACAGGGCCTGCTTTAGTCACATTCACCACAAACTTAGTGCTGTGATAGCCTGCGGACCATGGTACATTAACGGTAGTCCATTGCTGTGCAATAGACCATTCAGGACCAAATAGACGGGTTCGGTCAAAATGCTGGTACTTCTTGAGAAGGTCGTTATAGGAGATCCAGAAGAACTGCAGAATGCGCTGTTAGCATGCAAACGTGATACCTGAAATTTGGAAAGCCATACGCCATCATTACCAAATTTGTGGCCCAATTTTTCCATCCATTCTGGTGTCCATTGCTCTGATCCATCACTCCACGCGCCAGTCCATTCTTTCTTACCCCAAGGATTCCTGGTTTGGGTGAGCAAGCTATACAATGGTACAGACTTGGATGGGTATACCTTAGCCGAAGCAAGCGCTCTCCATCGATTTCTTTTGCATCCATGATGGAATATGAATGATTCTCAGAGATACCCTTTCTATCTCGCGGAGGGCCTCGATATTTCGGGTCCAGCCAGTTTGAGAACAGACCGGTACCACAACCAAAGAGGAATTCTTTGTTGACTTGCATGAGCTCCTCATTCCAAAACCTATCTTTGTCTAGGATGTCGCTCGACATAATCTCCGAAGTAACGCCTCCAGTTAGATCTTCAATAGCCTCCCTGCGAAATGTCAATTTCCGCCACAATCCTTGTCTTAACATCTGTATCACTTACCCAACAAAACCGCCTTCAATGGCCGAGAAATCACCATGTGCTTTAGCGTAAGCTTTCTCAAGTAATGGCAACCAAGTTTCGTTCTCATCCACACACCGAGCGAAGTAAAGAGCTCGCGATCCAGTCTGCCAGACCTTGCGATACTCTTCTTCTGTGTCAGCCCGATTGATGTCGTCCCAGATTGGTCGTTCATCGACTGACTCATCGTAGTCGGCCGCTCGTAGGTAGAGCTTGTCATCTACGATACAATGTTGCCAATCACCATCTAGAAAGCGTAAGTATCATTCACATCACCAAATAGATCACCATACCTCGATAGAAGACGAATCCGTACACCCCAACCTTCTCGTTCCGGGCCACGCAAATCTGCTCGATCAAGCCATTCTTATTACCCATCGTACAGAGGGCAGCCATGAACCAACAATCCCCATCACGACCTTGGCGTACGTCCGAAGCAGTCGGTCCATTGACGAAAAATTGTGGCTTCTCAAAAATTTCCTGAGTATTTGATACACTTGTCAGATAATGATCTGCTTATGATCCTAGAAAAGAGGGGTGTGTTATAAAACTCACAGTTACTCTTTTCACGCCCCTTGGACGCATCTCGATGTTTTCACCTTCAAGCTCATCCAAACAGTTCCTTGTCCCCGACTTGAGATCGACTTCTATGTCGAAGTGCGGGTCCGTATACTTCTGGTTTAGTCGCTCGCATTCTTTTACAATGCGATCGACAGCTCGTCGACATTCTTTTCGGGCTTCCTCGTAAGACTTGCCTGCATTCTGTCCTTGGATCACGCCTTTAGGTACCCTTTCCGCCTTGGTTCGTGCGTAAGGGTTGTCCGGGAGCACCGTATAGACCCTTCCCGGAAACTTGGTGTTGAACTGGTTCCAAAACTGTCGCAGGGTCTCTTGCGGCGCTTGGCTTGCCCTGCGCTTGCGACTACTTGAGCGTGTCGAGAGTGGGGGAGTAAATACCATGTCGCCGAGATCGTCGTCGTGGTCCATTACTGCAAGTACCTTTTGAGTCCTCCTAGGTAATGGTTTAAGTCGGGTGATGATGAGATTTACTGTGTCCCGGAGTCGCAGCTATGGTCAATGAGGCTTTTATAAGCGAGAACTTTTTCAGCCCCACGTTCATAGGAGGGAGTTGGAAAAACAAGGCGCCTTTAATCCATCACCTTGAAACAAAGGCTTCTCGGGGTCACCTCGTGTTGGTTCCTGAGGCTGAGCGAATCGGACTGATAAACTTCGTACACAGCTCTCGTCCCCAGTGCGCTGTGATACCACATGGCTAAGAAGCCAATCAGAGTGGCTTGGATATGCTGTCTAAATTTTAGTCCGGAGCGCCTTATACGCAATAGCTGGGTTTAGCCTGTCGCTTTAGTTCAGATTTCCGGCCATAAGCGAATAGTATGCAAGCTGCGCTTATGCCGAACACTTTCTAGGCCGTTTGAGTCAACGGGCTGACTGAACTCGCTGACAATAGTCAATTATATAGAATTTGGCCCCCATTTGACATCTTCAAAAAAAAAAGGAGGTATTGTCATACTGATCGTTCCGTCTCAACTGATCGGACACCCCATGCTGACGAACTACTATATTTAAATGCAACACGACTAACTTCCCCTATCTAAGTAAGCGAGGAAAAAAGCAAACGTGAGGGGGGAAAAGCCTTTGCGAACTGCGTGGCATATCATAATATGGGCATATGCAGGGAGATGGGTACGAGCGCTACTTCAGCAGACACAGCCGACGCTCGTGTCTGGTCAAATCTGGCCATTTGAAAGCCAAGTAATGCCCAGAGCAGAGATTCCTCACGAAGGGTCGGAGGCAGTGCAAAAAAACATCCACGACCAAGCGCCTGAGTTGTCTAGCAGAGCTAGAAGATGTAGCAGTTGATGTTATTGGACCATCAATTTACCACTAGACTAGTTGGAGTGATAGTCGGTACACTGTTGAAATTGACAGCCGAGTTAATTCTTGATTTCTCCACTCTGAAATCGTATTCACTCAGACCTTCAGAAGAGAAAGGAGAGCGAAGGAGTCGTTGAGGCTGAGTGGAGACCATGGATGGGATTGCAAACCCGTGATTCAACACGTGCCCCAGGTGCTTACAATATTTTTTTGCTTATGCCCCCTTAGGGACTTACAAAGTACATTGAAAAGGTTAATAAAAATTGGGTATGTACGCATACATCAAGACAACACTCCTTGCAATATCCAGTGACCTATTCTCTTTCCTGCCAGACATCGCACCATAATTAACGCCATGAACAGAGGGAATACAAGGCAATCAATAAAAAACTGTGAACCGAACGACGAGAAGTAAGAGAAAAGAAAAGAAAAGGGCATACCAGCATCGGGGATATTCGGTGGGTAGGCATAGAGATGAAAAAGAGAACGGGGGTGTTTTTACGCTATAAGTATCATGGCCCTGAATATGCCGTAGCCACCCACATGAATATATTATGTGAAGAGAACCTCTTTTAGTGATATCCGTTCCTGCGGGTGCGACCAGAATAGTGGGAGCTACCGAGCTGGAAGTATGGGTGCATGCATGCCTGCTTAGCTGAGAGTCGTCGTGCTGGGTCATATTCTAAAAGGGCGTCCAAGAGATCAAGCCCGTCTTCTTCTAAGCCAGGAACAAGCGCGCGGGTTTCTTCACGCTTCCATTTGGGGAAGGTCGGCTTGTAGTCAGGGAAGGAGGTGACACCAGGCCAAGTATTCTCGTCCGGTGTACCAAGCAGTCTGGGTAGAAAAAAACAGTCAGATACTATGTCGCTTTTTGTATTCAACATATGGAGTGTGGGTTAGCATACCGGAAAATTTTGAAGATTTCATCGATTTCAGAGTCTCCAGGGAACAACGGCTTTCGGGTGCACATCTCGGCAAAGATAGCTCCGCAAGACCACATATCAACGCCCGTGGAGTACTGGCGTCCGCCAAGTAGAATTTCGGGAGAACGGTACCACAAAGTCACAACCTAAAAATAATCAATACCAGTTCATGACAGAAGTAGTCTAGCTTAGATAGAAATACCTCATGAGTGTAGGTCCTCAAAGGAACACCGAATGCCCTTGCTAGTCCAAAATCGGCCAATTTCAGGTTGCCGTCACGGTCGATCAAGAGGTTCTGAGGCTTGAGGTCTCGATGCAAGATACGGTGGCTGTGGCAATAGCGAATACCCTCAATCAGCTGAGCCATGAATTTCTTGACCATGGCTTCTCCCAGGCCCATGCTTTTGCTTAATCCAGACCCATCCGGAAGTGCTTTGCCGCGTCCACCTTCGCTTACAGGAAGAGCCTCCATGTATTTCTTGAGATCCAGATCGAGGTATTCGAAAACGAGATACAGTTTGTGGCCATCTGCATGAACAATATTGAGGAGTCGTACAATATTAGGGTCGCTCATTTCCTTCAGCAGGGAAATCTCACGGATGGCCGTGCTTGGGACGCCCTCATCTTCTGCCTCCAACCGAATCTTTTTCAGGGCAACGATGCGGTTAGGATGTGTGAGCTCGCGGGCCTTGTAAACAACACCATAGGTTCCTAAACAAATGGAGTCGAGTCAATTACAGAAGAGCTTCTCAATTGCAGAAAGGGGGAGATCAAGGGTTGCAGGCCCAGGGGGTTATTTCTTCGGAGCCTTACCCTCTCCAATTTTCTCGATTTTCTGGTAATTTTCCATGGCGGCTATGTAAAGCCCGAAGGACAGCGTTACAGGCTTGGGTCAAGAGAGGGATACTAGATCAGTGTCTCGTCTGAGCCACTGAAACGCGGGGCAATAAGTAGAAATGTACTGTAAAATAACAGCGTTGTGTTGCCCGGGGAGGAAGCGAGAAGAAAAACAATAAACGGGGGGTTTTTCTGGCTGGCGTCAGATAGCTGTTGGTTGAGGGAATGGTGGTCAACGGTTAAAGGAGGTACAGTATGATCGCCAACTAAGCTCCAATTTCGAGCATCGAAGGATTCTGACCAGCCAATTCCAAAACCTGCGTTGTCGATTCGATGGATCACTTCTCTAGAGTCTTTTCATGCCCGTTCGGTGGTGGGGAGCAAAGGCGGTCAAAGTGATATCAACAACAGTAAACAAAACCCGCGTCTGAAGGCGGTGAACACCTTGACCGGCTGATTGCCTATTTTTTTTTCTTTTTGTATGTGCATCCATATGGATAGAAAAAATTCCAAGAAGAAGACTTCATATCTTCCCAATAGACCCTGAGATCTCACCTATGTAATTGTCGTTGGAAAGATCGAGGGTTATGCGCTTTGAGATTAATCGCACTAGTATACTAATGCTTTAAATGCAGTGAACTGATTCACCGGGTATCAAACTGCATACTCTCTCGCTATGGTTCACATTAAAAGTTTTAATGCACATGAGCGCCCACCAGAGGCCATCCGTCAACGCTACAAAGAAATTCAAAAAGCGACACTTTCGGAGATAGCCTTGGACAATAGGATTATCGATCTCCAGGCTCTAAACCCCGATAAGCTTCAGGGTGGCATATCTCTTGCGCAACGGCTGTCGGTTGAGCATATCCAGCCGATATACCAGCAATTTGTACGTTCATTCAAAAAAAGTCAAGAGGATGGAGATACGCCTAATAAGGATATACCAGTTTACACCCATCGGTCCGTCTCTGGTCAGCATTTTGCCCTAACGCTTTGTCAAGTCTTGCAATTTCAGCTCCTAACGAGTGGTAGGTTTGCAAATGGTCCCATCATTGCTCCCTCCAGGGGTGCAGATAGAACTTTTGTCTCGATTATTACACAGAGATCTGTCTAATACAGAGCATCAAACCAACCTTCATCTACATTACAATATGACTTACCCTGGTCAAGCGGAAGATACGCTTGCTGAATGTGACGCAACGTTGTCGTCGGCTAGTAATATCTCAAAGAGAGCTGGTATCCTGTCGTTCTTTGAAGATAACCCGACTCGTGCCATATACCCGAAAGACCCAAACGTACATAAACCGTTGACCGTTCAACAAATCTTAAACAAGAAGCTCCGATGGGCAACTTTAGGCGGCCAGTACAATTGGACTACCAAACAATATCCGACTGAACGCCCACCGGCATTCCCGGAGGATGTTGCAAATGTGTTGCAAGCAGCATTTCCACAAACGGAAGCTCAGGCAGCCATATTGAATCTTTATTCCCCTGGGGATACTCTGAGCCCCCATCGGGATGTCAGTGAAGAGTGTGATGTTGGCTTAATTAGTGTTAGCTTCGGCTGTGACGGCCTGTTTCTCATCAGCCATGATGATGGGGAGGGCTGTGAAATTGTCCGACTTCGCTCTGGGGATGCTGTTTACATGGACGGCACGTCGCGCTTTGCATGGCATGCTGTGCCCAAGATCGTCCCAGGAACATGTCCGGAATGGCTGGCCGATTGGCCATCGCGTGCGGTTGATGACGCAGACACTTCAAGATACGACAGGTGGAAGGGCTGGATGTCGGGCAAAAGAGTCAATCTAAATGTCCGACAAATGACGGTCACGGATACTCACAGTTGAACTTTGCCATAAATTGATATGGCACAGGAGCAGAGGAAACATTGTCAGCATACCCCAACCACAAACAAAATATACATAGAATTCTCCACTGTAGATATTTAGAAGCAAATCCACTTTATCTGTGCACATAAACCACATTCCGCCTCTCCATAACGTTGGCCTCTGCCACGAAGTAGCTCAGCTATTCCCAAACGAACGTGTCAACACACTATAAAAATGCTAATAATATGCCCAGGGAGATCTCTTTCTATTAACGTCCCTTTGCTCAATACTCTGCCTCCTACGAGAAGTTTCGCCAATGTGCTTCTCGCCGAGATCGGACTAATTCATGTTTATACAATTTACTCCGCCAACATATCATCAGACACAAAAACAGACTAAAAATAACTATACCATTCTATATAAAGATAATTATTCAAATAAAATCAAAATAATTTAACCCACGGATCAAACAAACGAGACCAATGCATATGGAAGTAAGTCTACGCCCCCGAATCCAAGCTCTGCGCCTCGCACATTTTAGCATAAATACCACCTTTCTCAACCAATTCACTATGCCTTCCACACTCGACGATCTTGCCTCCCAAAAACACAAATATACAATCCGCCTCTCGAACAGTTGAAAGCCGATGAGCAACAGCAACCGTTATTCTCTCCCCACTTGTCGCAGCTTGCATCAACGCCCCTTGCACAACTCTCTCCGACTCCGTATCGAGCGCACTCGTCGCCTCATCCAAGAGGATAACCCGAGGATTCCTGATCAAGGCCCTTGCGATCGCAATCCTCTGTCGTTGTCCTCCAGAAAGCTGGCTGCCGCTTGTCCCGCAGGGCGTCTGGAGCCCGTCCGGCAGCGAGCAGATAAAGTCCCATACGTTTGCTGCTTGGCAGGCATCTTCAACATCGGAGATTGGAGCACTAGATGACGCTGACGGTGCCATGTCTAATCCATACGAGATGTTCTCCATTATACTCCCCGGGAACAGTGTCGGCTCTTGTTGCACGAGAGCGACTTGTTGTCTGTATAAAAGTGGGTTCATGCTGTTCAGTGAGGAGGAATCGACCCTGATGGTGCCTTGTGTTGGATCGTAGAAACGTTCTAGCATCGAGATCATCGTGCTTTTGCCGCAACCTGAGGCGCCCACTAGCGCTACAAATTGGCCTTTTTGAATCTGGGTATTATACCATATTAGCTTTGTACCTCTGGTATTGCGAAAAGAAAAAATACAGTAATAGTAAGGTAACCTTTTCGGGAATACGGAAATGAAGAAGATGATAAGAGGGCATACGTACATTAAAGGATACCCCCTTCAGGACACGAGTATCAGGCGCAAGTGGATAGGAGAATTGAATATCCAGAAATTCGATGTTTTGGCATCTGTTTAATGGCCCTTTGTCTCGGTTTTCTGGCGTTTCTTGGATCGTAGGCGGTAGATCTGTTATCCAGAAATAGTAGTTTGCCGCTTCATTGGCTTTCGTGAAACTACTCGAAAAGCTGAAAAATTGACCAGCAGCTTGGCCGGAGAAATAAACGCCCATAAAAGATATGATAAACTGGTAAAACGTGATGTCTCCGTCGTGGATCAATTTGGATCCCCACCTAGGACCACGGTCAGTCTAAATCATCGAGGGAAGGTAGCAGACAATAGAACTAGAAGCAGGAAAAATAGTATCAAACGGAATCGCACCAAAATCCTAACCCAAGAATGAAGTATTCAATAGACTGGGTCAAGGAGAACCAAATCATCATGGTGAATAGTGGGCCAGTTGATGTTCGAATGGCATGGTCAAGCTCATCCGTATACTTCTTCAATATTCTCTCCTCCATAGCGAGTGAGGAAACTGTTCGGATAGCAAGTACCGCCTCCGACGCCAATGAAGCACTCTGAGAGAACCTCTTTCCCATATCGGTATCCATCTTCGTTTCAAGGCGGATGCGAGCATAGCCTGCCAATAGCATGGGCGGTAACCCGACAAAGACACCCATGACACCTAGTTTCCAGGAGATAGCTAGAGCAAGGATGCTAGACGCAAGCACGTTAATACCAGAGAGAACTACAAGGGCGATGTTAAAGCCCATAAGCTCTAGAATAGATTGTGGATGGGCATCGAGTCGGCTGGTTAATGCTCCAACTGTATTCTCGGATCGGTCGAAGAAACGAAGGTCTTGTTTGAGTATGGAATCGAAGAGATCGCGGCGGAACATCTTGCTGAATGTCTTATGGCTCGGGTTAATAACCAAGATCAGTGAAAAGGGTTAGATGCGTACTGTACCTGTGCGATAACGTTTGTGGCCCAACCTAGACAAAAGTAGACAACAATGCAGCCAAGCGACATCACAAAATACATCAACGCAATGAAGTTGCCCCGTTCAACCATGTTTGGGGAAGTGAAGATATCCATGACATTTGCTAGAAGTAGTGCTTGACCGGGGAAAATGGCAGCTAGTAGAACAATTAGCTGGTTTTATAGGCTATAGTGAGAATATCATAGATTACCTCCTGAAGCGCAACAAATAATAGTAAGAAAATACCAAGGCCTAAGATTGGGTGTAGATATAACCAACTTGGTTATACTGCGAAATATGCCGCTCCGTTTGTATAGTCCAAAGTCTTCACGGTGCTGCAGCATTTTCAGATGCCGTGCCTCAGCCGTCTCGTATCGCACAAGTGACTGGACAAGAACAGTCTCTTTGTCAGGTATCTCGTCAGTACTTTGTTCCGCAAGATCTGCTGATCGTGCTGCCGACAGATCTTGTGCCTTGACTAAACTCGCATATGCACCACCCCTAGCAACTAGCTCGCCATGCTGACCTTGTTCAACAATCTTACCTTTCGACATCACCACAATATTGTCGGCGTTGCGGATTGTTGCTAATTTATGAGCGATCACTATGGTTGTTCGATTCCTGGAGGCACGATCCAAAGCCTGTTGCACGATGCCTTCGGCGTGTGGATCCAAAGCGCTAGTAGCTTCATCCAAGAGGAGGATCTTTGGCCCAGAGATGATGCTGCGGGCAATGGCAATTCTTTGTTTCTGTCCACCTGATAGAAGGCCTCCTCTTTCGCCAATTGGCGAGCCATAACCATGTGGCAGGTTCATGATGAAGTCGTGCGCGAATGCGAGTTTGGCTGCGTCTTCCACACGTTTCTGCTGCTCTTCAAATGAAGCTGCCTCCCACGGTGTACCGATAAGGCCGTTCGCAATGTTCTCAAAAACGCTTCCATTGAAGAGAACTGGTTCCTAGTTATTATTAGCCCCGTTTCGAGGTAGCATCATGAGACTGTTATTTACCTGTTGCACAAGCCGAACGTTTGTGCGAAGCCACCTTAGATTCAACTGCGAAATATCTGTACCATCTAATCTTATTGAGCCGGCCAAAGGCTTATACCATCGCTCGAGGAGCCCGACAATTGTACTTTTACCAGACCCACTGGCACCCTTGTTTTCCGATACGGGTCAGCGCACCCTTGGCTTGAGTATAGAAAGAAGACGATCAACTTACGACTAGAGCAGTGACTTTTCCCGCCGGGACATGAAGGGAGAAATCCTCTAGCACACATACGTTTGGGCGGGATGGGTAATTGAACCTAACATGGTCAATGTCTATAACGCCATGGGTATCCTGGGGCTTATCCCCGGATTCGTCGAGCGGGTCGATCTCAGATTCTCTGTCTATCAAAGTAAAGAGTTCGGCTGCTGCGCTAGCCGCACGAGTGAACGTCACCGCATGTGGAGCGATCGATGTAATGGTACTCGCCGCAATGACCACGGAGAAAAGGACTCTGTTTCTCGTTAGCAGGGAAGAGTGGACCAATTTTATCAATACTAAGAGAAGAGGGGTAGAAAGGATTACTTACGTGAAGACAGTTCCTATGTCTGGAATGTCCCCTCTGTGAAGCATGTGTATGCCCTGCCAAAATGCCAACCCCATTCCAGCATATATGATGAAATAGTCCGCCCCGAACAGGACGCCATACAATGCATTTTTCTTCATTCCGATTTTAAATGCGCTTTCTAAGTACTGTCCATACTTTCGGAGAATCCTGGGTCGAAGGCTGAACGCGTGAACGGCTCGGATACCACTGAGAATATTTTCAGTATATGATGCTGCCTGAGCGTTAACCTTGAGAATGTTCGTCTCATAGCCGGCATCGATGATCGAAAGACCCCCACCAACGACAATCAGAGCCGGAACGATGCAGATGATGATCAATGTCAGCTTCCAATGACTGATAAAGGCGAGGATAAAAGCTGCGATGAACGTTGCAATCGCCTGGATGAAGATCCCCAGTTTCTCGGAGATCCCGGAATGAATCAACTTGCCATTGGACGTGGCTTGTGCAGATATCGAGCCACTGATTCCTTGATCGAAGTACCCCGTTTCCTGGCTGAATGCAGCACGGAGGTATCTGTATCGAATGTTTCTGGTCAAATTGTAGGCCACGTATGTGAGGAGGGACGAGTAGACGTATGTACAGCCAAGCCGACCTATCCCGATATAGACAAAGTATAAACTGGAATACACAGTATTTGTTAGTTTGGGGTGAAATGCTTCTGGGGTATCAGAGGGGTAAGGCCTCACGAGAATTTGCTGACTTGAGACATAAAATTCTCTGGAAAACTAGTGCCTACGGTGAAGTCACTGAGAAGAGTCATAAATTTTCCCAGCACCAGATTGACCATGGCCAAACTGATGCCAGAGCCAATTGAAGCAAGCAAGCTGATCACTCCAAGGACATAATCCATCGGCTGGCCGAAGGTGAAGACTCTCTAGAGATATTCAAATATGAAACAGGTCAGTCTAAACCTGTGCAAATATTGGAAAACAGGATACACTCAAAGCATACAAGGAAGCTTCTGAAAGTGGAATGGCTTTGGGTGTCTTCATGTTGATTTTTGTCTTTAATGGAAGATTTTGGAGAACCAGCGACTGATTTCTCCATTATTGAAGAATAATCTGATATAGTTCTGAAGGTGACCAAGAAAAAAGCGGGGATTCTATAATCAGGTAATCATAGCGGACAATGAAGGCTTATTATACGATGATATTTGCGTTGTTGTAGGTATCTCCAACACACTGAAGCTCAGGGAGAGAATAGTCTAGACTTAAATGTATGCCGATGATTCATATTCAGGCAGTTGTATTTAGCTTTAATACGAGACATGATCTAAGCATTTAAATTCAATAGTGACCACAGTGGCGGACCAAGAGAGGACTCAAGGGATGGCCCTGCCAATGGTAGAAATACTCAGATAAAAATAAGCTGTGGCTGTAGAATATCACGAACAATAAATGATAAGACGGAGTCGCGCGATGCCAAGAATCCGTTGCCTAAGCCTGGAGGACGGGTTCTTGGCATTCCGGGATCCCGAGAGCGCTACATTTAACCAATGATAGTATACTCCGTTGCATGCTACTATGGTTTTCTCTACTAAGCTTACAGTATTCTTGTCCCCCGCCAACACCTCACCTTACTTACCACCACACTCGATGCTCCCCCTGATATCCTTCCCGCTCCGATTATTATCACTTCGGCCCAGATGGAAGCAGATTCCGAGGATCTCCTGACTGATGATGTCTCCACCCTGGATAACCCACCTAAAGAAGAGCATGAAAGAGGGTTAGAGAGCCAAGCACGAGCTGTACAAAAATATTCCTTTATTTTAATTCTATGTAATCCTTACCAGATCATTTGCTGACCTGTGCTAGTGTAACCGCTGTCGACAGCGAAAGGTATGCACTTAGACGGCACCTTTCCTCGTGTGGAACTAGTGACTTACATAGGTACTCCATTCACCTTTCTAGATCCGCTGTGATCGCTCTGTTCCATGCTCACAATGTGTTCGAGCAAAGACTCGATGTATGTACTCTGGACACTATAGACCTAAGGAGAAAAGGCAACGGGTTTTGATTTCTGCCCAGTAGTGAGTACTCCATCCCTTTACTCAGTCTCTTTAAGTACTCATCCAGCTTCGATAAGTGAACAAAGAATGGAATATATGGTACAGAAGCTGGATGAGCTTAGCGAAAAGGTAGCCAAGCTGAGCAATGCTTCATCTATCTCGTCGGGCTCTCAACAGCCTATATGTGGGCAAGTTCTAAATGATTACCCATCCGTATCTGCATCTCAAATCCAGGCCAATATTGAAATGAATAATTGCACCGTAACTTCCAAAGCTGAATACGAAGGCGGATCGTCACTGTCTGCGCACGCCATCTTTGCAACAAGGTATCTCCAAGAGGTGGTCAACAGTACAAACTCTGCCGAAATTGCGCAGGAGATGACCTCAATCCTCGATACGTTACACGGTATAATTGAGGACCAGAAACAACAAAGGGATAGTCTTGAGAATCTCTACCCACATGCCAAGCCCATACCTCCTGGCTCTAGCACAAGGCATCTTCCCATGCCCCCGGTTGAAATGACTCTTGCGTGTTTGCGAATGGCTAAAGGTACACCCTACAAGATCATTAGTGTTTGTTTATTGACTGGTTATTTCGTTAGAGAATCCTAGAATTCTGCGTTTCTGGCTCATCGAACTGGTCTCCGTTGCGCAGTTCAACGATTACTTCTTGAGAGTCTACTCCCCTGGCCCAGCCACAGATGCCGATATGATCATAGTCAACGGCGGTCTTTACTGGTTATTCTGCGAGTGTGCTAGCTTGTTTGAAGATAAACAGGTTGCAGAAACCTATACTAACCAGGCTATGCTGTGCCGGGATAACCTTGAGACCGTTTTGTCAAACCTCCCGTTTCACATGCCAGTCACCCTTGATGTTGTCTTTTCTATGAGTATTGCGGTAAGCCAAACTTCACTCCCCCATTGTATCTGCTTTACCCAAGATTGGGAGCAGGTGCTAATTTCTTTTCAAGACAACATACTGTCTCCAGATGGCGAAACCGTCCGTGGCATGGAGCTTCATTACCACAGCATCCCATCTGTGCCAAACGCTTGGTCTCCACAGCGCCCACGCTCTAATCGCTGACAACCCAGAAGCCAAAACACACAAGTTACGCTTATTTTGGTCCGTGTACGTCTTGGAGAAAGCACTGTCTCTGCGCCTAGGTCGGTCATCAACTTTTCGAGATGAAGACATCACAGCACCGCGGTTGACTCTGGATCAGAGCGTAGAGACACTGTTGGTACCTAAATGGATCGATGTAGCATCTGTTCAGGGCAAGACCTACGACGATATCTATAGCCCCAGCGCTCTACTGCAACCGGTAAACACCAGAATCTCCCGGGCAAAGGCTCTGGTGGTTGAACTGAAGAAAATCATGGAATGTGAAGATGAGTTAGAGGTAAGCACTACCCTTCTATCCTGCCGTTGCTCAAGGCCAGACTCACACTTTTACTTGACTAGCTAATTACTTCTTCATATAAACTAACGCATCGTTCCAGCAAAAATACAACAACGCAAGACGCCATGCTATCGGCGACGCCCTTGACGAGATTATCCAGCGCTCCGACAGGGTCTGTAACTTGTCTCTACTATCCCTCATTTACCGAGGGATACCCCCTGAAAAGCCCTCTGGAACCGCTTTTTGCGACGAATGCATAGCGACAGCCAGAGAAGCCCTAAGGGAGCATGAAAAATGCGTCTCCCTCATTCTCAGAACCCCCTGGGACGACAGCTTCCTGGAAATGTACATTAACTGGTTAGTCATTCATGGCCCCTCTGCAGCAAATAGCTAACATAACCACTCAGGACTCTGTTCCAATTCCCCTTCTTCCCGTTCATCGTCCTCTTCTGCTACATTGTCGAGACGTCCGAGCCCGACGACCTCCAATGCCTAGGTGCTTTTGTCGAAGTCCTTCAATCAATCCGTTCCTCCGCTATTTACAGAAGCTGCAAGAGTCAAGTCCGTCTTTTCCGAGCTCTATACGACGTAGCAAGAAAGTATGTGGAGGTGAAGGCTAGCACTCCCGGAGCACAGATAGATATTGCGAATAGCAGCATGGGTTCTCATAATGCGGATATAAACGCCGCAGGGCCTAGCATAATACCTACATCGTCGTCGCTAAACCCGGGACAAGCTCCTAACATAGGAGGGGTGCACGGTGCATCTGCGGCCGGGTTGCCTACCCCGTGGGTTGGGAGTGGGCAGCAGTTATTAACGCCTATGACGGGGTACGGGCCGAGTGTCTACGCTTCGGCGCCGGCGCAAGCAGATTTGAACAATAATATGGGAGTAGACTTGATGGGAATGGAGCTGGGGGATTGGTTTTATGAAAATCACCAGATGTTTCGGTTGTTGGATGATGGGCATTTCTGGTGAGTATTTGTTCTCTGTTCAGGAAAGTTTGATTTACGTGTATGACGGGTTCTTGTTACATTTGGAACCTTATATTGGATACGTAGCGGTACTTCACTGGTTATGTATGGACTCAATAAATTAAGTGTAATGTTCAGGGTTAGTATTGATGGGGATATATGATAAGTGGTCTGGAATCTTATAACCGAGGTCCAGAACAGCGCGCAGCTTTTACACGGTTGCTAAGCCGACGTTTAATGGGTTACGGTATGGGGAGCACAACGTCAATTGCGCTCACAAGGCGCAATGAACTAGTTGTCCATGTCTTGCGTAACAGATAACCAAAATTGTACCAGTACATATCTATTGAGAGGGTCGATTAATCAACGATACGAAAATGACCCCGCAACCCCACCATCTTATTAAGTTCGAAATAGGAGTTGCACCGCTAGTTCATCCTCCCTACTCAAGTATCAGGCAACAAAGGGGTAAGATCACAAATATATTAAGTAACCCTCCGATCTCTTGTATTGATTTCATAACACAGAAAAATATACCTTGTACGATACCTCCCTCATAGTTTACCATGACTATCTCCACCTGGGAAGAATTAGGGGACCTGAAACGCCGATCTATCTTGGAGGCGATCCCTGCCAAGTGGAGGTTTCAGCAGCCTATTCCCCCAGCGGAAGAACTTCGTGATGTGACCGGTTCCTATATTCAGCAGTTTTTGACCGCACGAGAGATAGAGATTACCGAGACTGATGCGGCGGGCATTGCCGAGCAGACGACATCAGGCAATTGGACTGCGGTTGAAGTGACGGAGGCCTTTTGTCATAGGGCTGCGCTTGCTCACCAGCTTGTATGTTGTATGCCGACTCTTACTGTGTCTATGGTAATACTAAACTGATACCGTAGGTGAGCTGTCTGCATGAGGTATTCTTTGATGCGGCAATTGAGGACGCAAAGAGACTCGATGCATACTTTGCGGAGCATAAAAAGCCGGTTGGGCCACTTCATGGTCTGCCAGTCAGCTTGAAGGATCAATTTCATGTCAAAGGAGTCGAGACGATGATGGGGTACGTAGGATGGATTGGTACATTCGAAGGCAAGAAGGGTGATCTGAGAAGGGCCACGTTCGAAAGTGAATTGGTCAAGGAGCTTCGAAATCTTGGAGCGGTATTGTACTGCAAAACCAGTGTGCCTGCAAGTTTGATGTCGGGTGAAACGGTCAATAACATCATCTCTTACACTTGGAATCCTAAGAACCGACTTCTATCCAGTGGAGGTAGCTCAGGTGGTGAAGGCGCATTGATCGCGCTAAGAGGGTCCCCTGGTGGATTTGGAACCGATATAGGTGGAAGCATACGTGTCCCATCTGTGTTCAATGGGGTTTTTGGAATCCGTCCCTCGTCCGGGAGGATGCCCTATGAGGGCGCTGCAAACTCGATGGACGGTCAGAACATGATCCTGTCTGTCGTTGGACCTCTTGCGACTACTGCGCGTTCTCTCACTCTCTTATTTAAGGCTGTGCTCAGTCAACAGCCATGGTATCATGACCCACTCGTGCTGGAGCTGCCATGGCGCGTGGATATTGAAGAGAAGACCCGAGCTCTTATAGAGCAATCAGCTCGAGGCTCTCCTTCTCTTTCATTTGCTATTATGCGCCACGATGGCTTGGCCCTGCCTCATCCACCAATAGCTAGGGCTGTTGAGATTGTCGAGCAAACTTTGAAGCGGTTGGGCCATAAGGTAACACAAACCTTGAAGGATTAGGATTATCACTGAGATAGGCAGACTGACACACGCTAGGTCATAGAGTGGAAGCCACCATCTCATCAGATTGGTACGGATATAGCTGTAAGTTTCTAATCTGTTCCATCAGACTATGTTCGAGATGTTGATTGCAGTAGATGAAGGTCTTCCACGCCGATGGCGGTGTGGATGTGATGCATGACTTTGGGTTGTCGGGGGAGCCAAAAGCTCCACAGTGTATTGTGAAGGAGGGGCCTACACAAAATGCCGTAGAGATCGCTGCACTCAACGTGGCAAAGCGGCAATATCAAAAGCTTTACATGGACTACTGGAATAGCACAGCTGAGATCACCGGTACTGGACGCCCTGTCGACGGTGTGATCAGCCCGTGTGCTCCACACGTTGCCGTGATACCCCAAAAATATTCTAGCGTTGGGTATACCACAATCATTAATGTCTTGGATTACACGAGCGTTGCGTTCCCGGTAACTCATGCAGACAAGACAGTTGATGTGCCTCAGCCGAGAGCCGAGTTCCTGAGTGACATGGACAAGCTCAACCATGAGCAATGTAAGGTTTTTGCCTGATCTGATACATCCGGGAAGAGTTACTGACGCCAAGATAGATGACCCTGAAGCTTACGATGGTGCCCCTGCTGGTCTTCAAATATTTGGGCGGCGGTTGGAGGAAGAAAAGATGCTGACACTAGCAGAGTACATCAGCCAAGAGGTGAGCTTACAACAGAACAAGGCGGAGCTTGAGACACGGTAGTTCATGACGTTTGAAGGGAGAAAGGATGAGTTCTTAAGATAGATGGTGATCCTTCCAGAACCCATGAGATCTTCATTGTTGTCTCTCGAACTAAAGAAAATATCCCGAAGTTGGACGACAATGTAAGTTTCTGCCTCGGTTGTTCAGAGCAGTAGTTTGTTGTTCTTAGTGTCAGAGTGACTAGTAAGAACTAGCTCCCGCATTGTCTTGTTACACTCCAATGCAAGAGATCTTTAATTGTTTCATTTGAGAGAGACATTTTTTTTTAAAGATCATGCCATACAGGTTTGGTTGTTCTTTAGATCGGAGAAATAAGAGGCTGGAATATCCCCCACAGCAAAAGCTTGGCGGTCGGTTGATCGTCACGTTCCCTCGTTATTTCTCTCTCCCTTTGCTCCTCTTCCTCCCCCTCGATTAAATACACTGATCGATCAGGGATCTTTTGGTCGTGTCCCTTACATTCAAAGATTTAGTCATAGCTTGCCCACCGCCAATATCCACCCATACTTGACACTTTGTCATGCCTTGAAGCTCTGTACTCTTGTTGGCTGGCGATTTATCCTTTGTTTCTTTAAACGCGTCTTTCCCGGTCCCACTGCGATTCTACATCTGCCACAACAATTGCGTCCTTGTGAAACATGGAAGAAGGCGCGTCTCATCGTCCGACTGAAACCCCGGAGGGCTCTGCTGGGGCCGAAGATAATACCCCCGGCGCGGGAAAGAATGCGGCTGTCAAGGACCGGAAATGTCAATACTGTCACCAAGCGTTTACCTCTTCTTCCTTGGGTCGTCATTTAGACCAGTTCCTCTTCAAAAAGAAGCCCGATGGGGTTCACGATGTCGAGGAAATCCGGCGCATTCGAAGTGGCATTACGCGACGACAGGCTCGTACCTCGTCCGGCAAACGGGATACTCCTGAACGGACTACGGGAAAAGGCCAGTTAGATTCATATCACACTGGCGAATCCGGGACGAAGTCGCGCGATGGGGTTAGAATGATGTTCAACACTCCCACATGGCATGCGACCGGTGTCATTAACGATATCCCCAACCCAAGTCAGTCGCACGACGGTCCTGGTGCATCGCGGTTTCCCTCTTCGCAATCCCGAGTACCTAAGCCTCTGCCCGATTATGCAAGTAGAGGCGCTAGCGCTAATAGCCCTGATACAATGAGGGCGCTGGAGCTGGCCCTGCGCGAGGTTCTGGACAATATCAAGGCTGCAACGTACGTTTTGTAGTCCACGTCGCTGGTTACCTTGTTCTGTTTTACTTTGCTGCGTATCGTTATACTGATTAATTATACTTGTTGCAGGTCAAGAATGCGCCCTCGAATGTCTCCGTTTGATTTCGATATTCAGTCGCAGACGTTTCCTTCACTCTGCCTGCAATTGCTACCCCCGCCCCCGAGTTTATTCGCAGCTAGCCCGTTCCCCTCACCTTCTTCCTTCCCGCTTCAGCCTCCTGGAGTAGAACATGTTGAAATAGTGCGACAAGCTCTCCGTGCCCAGATTGACCAGTGGCAGTCAGATCAACTTTCTACTGACTCTATCAACAACTCTCAGCCTGGGAGGCCAAGTATTGGTTTGGATGCGACCATGATCGCCCGAAGTGCACAACAGCATGAAGACATCAGTCTGCGGCACCTAGAATTGGCATTCAAGCATTGGGCTTCACTTCCTCCTGAAACGAGGCGAGATGCATGGCAGCTAGAAATTACCCGAGCGTTCGCCCGGGAAATGGAGAAGCGCAAGTCGTTGGATGACCAGCTGGCTCGTGTCCAACAAGAGGCGAACCAACTTCGCGCCCAAGTAGAAAGATTAGGCTCATGTCAATGGCCTAGGGAATTTGCTCTGTTCCCTCCAGATACGTTACCACTGCCTCGGGATGTGGCCCGCGAGTTGGATACGAACGAAAGCAAGATCAGCCCCGATTCGTCTCGCTGGGACTATGATAATGTGGTCGCGAAGTGGAAACGGGTAGTGATGCACGATAAGAGCATGGGTCGTGTCGGAGTTGGACGGTCCAGTCCTGTGCTAGACGATAATGGTTCTGCGGACAGCAAGCGTGGTAGCGATGAGCCAGTAAATCTTTCCAGACCAAGAATATTGCAACCTCCAGCGGCATTGAGTCCATCGGCTCCTTCGCCAATCCAGACAGGCGAGCCATCCGCGTCTTCTAGCCAACAGACTTCTCCATATTTACCACATGATGCCACCCGCAGCCCTAATGCCGGCCCTCAAGCCAAGCGCCCACGCCTTATGAACGGACATCATTCAGCGACCGCTGCCGAAGGAGCCAGTAGCCCCTCGACGAATCAAAATCCCCCTGGAAACTCCAAGCCATGGCACCCTCAGCAATCTCTTACCGTTTCTAACCTCACTGGGCCCTCGGGTCCTACTCCTCCCCCGTCTTCCTCTGGCACATGATTGCCCGATATCTCAAAAGTTCAATCACATTATGTCCTCCTCTATACTCCTCGCTCCACTTGTCCCTCCGAGTCGCAAATTGAATGCATTGATTGTTCCCAGTGCATTCAAAAAGTTTGTCGCTGCCTACTTTTGACTTTCGAAATACCAAGGAAGATCTAGGGTATCATTACTGGCTCGTTATATAGTATAGCATGACCGTCGTCGGGGGCATATACGGATACTTCGATAATTCTCTGTATAAGTCAGCTTCCTACTAATGTAACTATAATCTTCAGTGTATGTTCGGGCTCAGCTAGTGCAGTTCGAATGCAACTATGCTGTGCTGCACGTTCAATCCAAATTCCATGCCCTTGATTTATTACATGCAGGCTCCCTTATATGCAATTAACGACGCCGTAGTATGCAATGACACGAGAATTCCTAGATGATATTATATAAAAAGGAGCATTCGCCTGAAAGTGTTTTTGATATCAAGAAATGCACGGTATATTTAATAAATAGCAGCCGGTGATTCACCTTAGTGCAGTGACTAACAACAAAGGATATCCTTCCCGTTGTTTATTTGACTGGATATCGCATTCGGTTGAGACCATTTCCATGCTCCAAAGAATCTTGAAAACTGTGGCTGCAAAGAATGCAAGCGGCGCTATGCGGCTCCAAGTCCGGTATTACCGATTCTCACAACATCGACGGCGTCGTGATCATCCTCGACTCCTGCTATAACTATATTGTGACTAGGGTGTACACCAGTCATGGCAGAGTCGTCGAGATACTTGCGGCCTTTGACGAGGATAGCGAACTCTCATTTGTCCCTAGTGTTAGGGCTTCACTCCCGAGCAAGCTATACGCCGAGCTTCTCACAAGAAAACAGTCCAGAGCCAAGGTTATTAAGCTTGCTAAGCCGATAGCCCATCTTCGTGAAAGCTCTCCTGTCAAAGAGTCTACGCACCATATCCTTGTTGGAGTCAATTCCTTACGTCTTTCCCCACCTGAGGGTACTGAAGAGGTCCCCAACAAGGGGGAAAGGGGAGAAGCTGGACAAAGTTCCGGTTATATTTTTTATCAACTGTGGACGTGCTACCGGCTAGTTTTTATTTTTATTTTTCTTCTTTCGAGGAGCATATATCCGACACGAATCTAACCTGATACAGCTTTTCGCTAGCTGCGCAGTGATTATTGTGGCCGGTATATACTTCCCTTGATTAGGTGTGTGTCAGATACTGAATTGGCTTTTGGGCTTTTGATACGAAACCGCATAAACGTGAAATTTTGGGGAAGTCTATCCACTGTACATAAATGTGGTTTAATCAGAATCCCACTTGTCCTACGATTCTACCCGAAGAGAGAGAAAAAAAGGATTGGACGGACTCTGTACAATTGGTCGTGTTCATAAGGATGCACTCGCCAACTTCCGTAAGCTTTTCTCCAATTCTCGAACCATTGGTCCCGAGGAACCCACGGCATTTCTGTATGTGCAATAAGTGCAACTCAGCCTAATTGTCGCCTCGGGTGATTGAATGCAAACCTTTCCCTTTGGTCATCTGACTGTGAGTATAAGTCTTGTCCGAAGGCATTTGCGAGAGGACTTTACTTTGACCCAGGCCCTACTGCCCGCATAGCCTTGACTCGAAAATCCATACCGATAGAAAGATTTGATAGAGCTCCTCGCATAGTACATATGGATGGTACGCCATATGTGTTCACGTTGAGGCCCTCACATCGCGTAGATGAACAAGTACAAGGAAGAGGAGAAGGGGGTGGAGATGGTGGAAATACTAGGGGCGAAGAGGGCAGTCTCTGCGATGACGCCTCTGTGGATTCTTGGAGAATAATAGATAACCTGTCTTCCACAGGTATTATTAGGCTTAGATACTGAATATATAGAACCGTGTGCAGGACGTCGTATAGTAACTAGTTTTCTCACTCCACTCACCAGCTGCACTCAAGAGAGTAACGAGAAGCAGGACACCGTCAAGCCAAAAATATTCCCCTCAGACGGACAATGCTCTTAGAAGTAACAATCACGGTGACTTACATCTTTTACGTTCCGCCATACGATGCTCAAAGAAAAAAGATAGAAACAAAAATCCCCAATAAAAGCCACTTCCACACTCTCAATCCTAAAAGACAGAACAAATCCAGCATTTTCCCCCTACCTGCCTCATTTCTCTCTCCTTTTTCCCATCTCTCTGTCCCTCTCTTTGCTCTCTCCTCTCTCTCCTCCTCCCTCCCAACAACAATAGTCTCACCTCCCCATTCCCAAACCCCTCCTGTCCAGATAAAAATGCCAAATAAAAACTACCTACTCCATAACTACCTTCTTCCTATACCTCGCACACCTACACCTAAAACAAAACCGCGTGCTCTTCACCCTCACAAACCGCGTCAACCGCCCACGATAGCACCGCGGATTACGCTTAGAGACGCCCTCCCAATCATCCCAAATTACCTTCTTGTTGCACCTTCCGCAACCATAGTACTATCTGCCTCTATTACCATTCCTATTGCCATAGACCTGTTTTCGTTTCATGGAATGACCATAGCATTTAGGCCTTTTGCCTGCGAAGAGTCGGCCTGACCGGAGACTTGTTCGGGCGATTTGTCGGGGGAGAAGTTGGTTGCACATTTTTTTTTGTCAGGCTTTGGGCTAACACTGCACGATCGGAGGGGTAAAGGGGAAACGGAGGAAACGAAGTGATAAAGAAGAAAGAGAAAAGAAGATGATGGGAAAGGAGGGGTTACTCAGACTTATATACTACCACCTGTCAGGGTCATGTATGTACTCAGTAAGCAGCAACATAACAAGGTGTCGTGGCTACCAATAAGGATCTAGTCTCGTATCATTGGCTTGGGTAGCTTTGCATTGTCACCATTTGTAGCTTTGACGGTGGTTAATTGGGTGAGTTGATCAGGCGCGTCTTGGACGTGGAATCATGTGCCTGTTCGTGTCCAATTACGATGGCGTTAGAGAAGAATATCATTAAGACGGGAAGGTCCTGGAAAAGCTGTTATTTACTAGTGAGCATTATGAATTGATGGACTTCCATACGTACATTGAGCTTATGGGCCCGGCGGGATCAAGACATTGCCTAGAGGTTTGATGTAGATATTGTGGTATTTTTAAATGCGGGTATGCTGCATAATAGATAAGAATAAACTCGAATATCCAAATTCAATGTCACGCCTGTAGTCCCTTCTTCGCTCTCCTTATACTAAACCACTTCTTGATATCACTTACCCCATGGAGATATAACCATGAGAACGCATACACAGCTGCAAAGTTGAATATAACATAGGCCGAAAAGATGCCCTGTTACGGAGTGGTCAGCTTCCCTAAAAGCTCATATGTGTAAGGAAATGGAGGCGATGGAAGGCTTGCACTTACATAGTCTCTCCACTTAAGAGAATAGTATACATTGAAGCTGTCATTGGCCTGGCAGGTCAATTAGTCATGATATGTTTCGAAGAAGATAGGCGGGTGTGGAGGACAGGGTATAGCTTACGAAGGCATCACCACTCGAGTACGGGCAGAAAGAGCAGAGCCCATTCCCCACATCACGTACGTATCCTCCGACTTGCTGCACAAAGCGCCCAGCGTAGCTTTGGCAAGTCTCCCCTGGGGGGGCACTGAATTGTGACTCCTCCCTGGGGGCGCATCGGACAGGGACATTATGTGTCACGACGCCGAGGAAGCCTTCCAAGAGGTAGTGAAAAGGGGTAAGCCAGTACATCCAGGATCGCCAGAACGGGATAAGAGCTCTGTACGGGACAACCACTCCACAGAAGGACACGACAAATATAAAGAAGCAAGGGACGAGGAGGGAGGCAAAAAGTTCGTTGGGTGCGAGAGCGGCGATGAACTGGCCGAACCCCACATAGAACATCTCAAAGAGCATGAGAAGCATCCAGACGTAACCTGAACTGAATGAGTCCCGGGGAAACCAAACACCCCAGTACCTGTTGCGAGCATTGTGAGCACCCGAAAAGTTCACCTGAGCATCAGAACACTTGACTTACCAGCAATTAAAGTAGAGGGATCCGGCAACAATGGAATAAGGTAATTCTGGGAGGATGGCGCTGGTCACAAATGCAACCCATGAGTAGATCTTGGAATTTGCCTCGCGAGACTCATAAAGATTCCGGAAATGGAGGAAGCGTGGTTGCAGTTGTTGGATGAGGGGTGGTGCTATAGTGAGCGTCATAAAAATGGAAAACAATCGAGACTGCATGTCAATGTAACTGTTCCCCAAGTGCCAGAAGGTAAAGGTGTTGAATAGGCCTGTGAATATGTGTAGAAGAAACTTCCCCTATACGGTATTGATTAGAGGCCTGTATACCTAGAAATGCTGTGCCCACGTACAATATTATATTCAGGAGATCTCCAGTAAGCAACAAATGCCCGTTTTGTTACTGTTATGATCTGCACCCAGATAGGCATTGCATAATGACGGTAGTTGTCAGCATTATGTTGCTGACTCTTATTACGGCGGGACTGAATAATACTGTCGATTTCATCTGTCAATTGTTTGTTCTCGTGACTTCTAATCCATACTTCAGACCAATCCTGCCCCCTATACTCAGGGTTCCCAGCACCTATGACCTCAAGCATGTACTATGTGAGATGTTAGCTAGGAGAACAAAAAGACCCAAAGGAGATTATTTCAAGCAGTACCTCTGCAGGATTCGCATGAGGCGGACATTTCTTGCCTCCATTTCGCTCAAAGTAACTAATAAGTTTACTAGAATCATGCCCCAGCTCGCCATTATAAACCGTCTTGCCTCCACTTTGCAGGAGCAATAGATCGTCAAATTGTTCGAACACCACAGCCGAAGGCTGATGAATCGTACACAGAATTGCTTGACCGGCATCTGCGAGCCGTCGAAGAAACCGTATAATATTGAGAGCAGCCAGAGAATCGAGACCGGAAGTTGGCTCATCCAAGAAGAGCAACAGCTGCGGCTTACTCGCTAACTCGACGCCGATAGTCAATCGCTTGCGCTGTTCCGGGCTCAAAGACTCTGAACCCACTGTGGCCCCTGCGATTGATCGCATTTCCAAGAGGTCGAGGATCTTTTCACAGTAATCATATTTCTCATGGATGGATATCTCCTTAGGCTGGCGAAGGAGCGCTGAAAATCGTAAAGACTCCCTTACGGTAGCTGTAGGTTCGTGGATATCCATCTGCTCGGCAAATCCGGTTGCTCTTTGGAAGCTATTTGGAAGGGGCCTGAGATCATAGGTTAATTAATAGGTAAGAGAATCTGTGCGGGTAGTGCTCACCTTCCATCAACCAAGAATTCGCCAGACACGACACCAAATTTTATTCGCTGTGCTAGCGTATTTAGAAGTGTAGTTTTCCTATAGATCGCAAGTTAGCCGACAGGATCTATCCAGTTGATAGGTATCTACGCCAGATACATCACTAACCCTGCTCCGGAGGCACCCACTAAAGCCGTTAGTCTTTTTGGCTTGACTGATCCCTGCACATTTTGCAAGAGCTGTTTCTCTCCACCTTTGTAAGGTATCGTATAGTTCACATTTCTCCAAGTGAAAATGGATGTACTCCGAGCAATGCCAACGACTTTCTCTTGATAGTCTTCTGGTGCATTCTCGTTCATGTTATCGCTGATGCCGTTTTCTTTATATCCCTTTTCCACATCTTCTGGAAGTTCATTTTTCTCAAGGGCCTCTTTGACAATTTCTGGCTCTTCGCCTCTTTTGAATACAGTAGCAGAGCTACCTCCTTTGTTAGGCTTTTGCAGCTCCATCCCGAGCATAGTCAACACAACGAATAGAACTAACCACGCAACTATGATGCCGAAATTGCGCCACAGGTGAGACCTACTATATGTGAAGGCGCTTTTGATATAATTAGAACCTTGAACAACTAGTTGGTCAGTACTGGACCCTTGAATCGCACATGTTTGATGACCGGATGATGCATTTGGACCATCTGGAACAATGCTTGGTGGTTGGCATTGAATGTCCAATTTATAGAACTCGTTTGACATTACTCCCTCAAAGGCATACTGTACTGGGTTGATCCAGATGAGCCACTTCAGCCATTGGTGCATTTTCCAAGGTGGGATAAGGTATCCTAGGGTTAACATTAGGGCTGATATCATTGGAAGCTCGTTTCTGGCCTCACCTGTATAAACGATGAGGGCCTGAATGGCAACGCCAGTAATACGTGTGGCTTTTTGTTCGTACAGTTAGCACGCATCCTACCTGATAAAGGAAATGCATATCCTTAGCATACCAATATCGAGAGAACCGCATATCGCTCCAATAGTGCGAAAAAAGGAGTACATGGTCATAGTAAGAATAAATATAAACAGGAAATTGATAAAAAACTGGGAGGCGGTTCTTGAGAGGTTGGCCATGCTAGACATAATGGTCAGTGGAAGCACATCTATCGAAGTACTCTTGAGCTTCGTGGAACGCACAAATACACTATCAGTTCGAAGAGTGTAACTTGGATAAATATTATTGGAATGTCGACGATCACTTGAGCCAGAGCAAAGGCAGAAGGTCGGTAGAAAGAACTGAGCCTGTCAATACACTTGCTTAATCGAAGGCGGCGCCATACTTACAAGCTTTTATGCTTTAACAAAATTTGGCGATGTGTGAAGAAAGATGTTAGTTCAGCTAGCGCGAGTAGAGCATTGAAGAGCAACACATAAAAACAGACTCCACCACGAAGAAACACGCCGGCACTAAATTGGATATCAGCGACGTATACGCCTACAGTCATAGTAACGTTGACTGACCTCGTAGGGGGTAAGTCATAGAAAAGCGCCCCGGTTATTAGGGCTTGTCCGGTCAATATCACCCACTTGCCAATTAGGGTCTTCTTGTCACCGTACATGATGAGAAATTGACGATGAGTCAGAATGACAACCTGGTGATAGAATGAAACGGCGTAATTCTTGTTGGGCGATTCTTTTCTAGTAGATTCACGTTCTGGGTTCTGAGATTCGAGTTCTTCCTCGAAATCCTCGATGTCAGTCAGGGAGGCCGTATAGGTATCACTCTTGCGGTAAATCTTCTGGAGTGCATCCACTGTTCGCGGAATACGGCCTTCCCATCCTTGCCGGACACGACGAGCCTGTGGGTCAACTACTGATAGTAAGAAGTCTGGGGTAGTCCATCTAGGGGCGCATTCAAAACCCAGGTTCTCAAAATAGAGACGGGCAGATTCGGCACGGCCATAGTAGACACATTTGCCCTCTTCAATGAGGAGCACTTTGTCAAACAGGTTATAGAGATTCTCAGACGCTTGATAAAGGGCCACAAGTGTGGAGACATTTGCCATATCTGTTAGGCTCCTCAAGCTCTGCACATACTCCAGCGCCGTACTTGCATCCAATCCTTTTGTTGAGTTATCCCAAGACTGAGTAGATGCGCGCGTTACGAGTGCCTCTGCAATAGAAACACGCTTCTTCTCGCCTCCGGAAATCCCACGAATTAGTTCATCACCAACTTTTGTGTCAAGGGCATGTTCAATCCAGAAGAGCTTAGCTATGGCAGATAAGAATGTTTCCTGGTATTCTTTTCGAGACTCTCCAGGAAGGCGTGACGCTTTGTCAGGGGTACGTGTTTTCAGAGCGAACAACAAAGTATCTCTTACGGTCAAAGTTGGGTAGTGAAGATCGTCTTCAGGATTATAGAGTACTAAGACAATCAGCGATCTATCTATCCAGAGGTTCAACGAGGAGACATACCCTCAGAGCGGTATTTATCTGCCATTGTTTGAGCATCAGCACCCCCGTAACGTACGTCACCTTCAACGCTTCTATAGCCTGATCTCTGATTTCCAATCACTTTCAAGAAGGTAGAGCACCCTGAGCCAGGCCGACCAAGGACAAGAAGCATTTCCCCGGGTCTAACGCAGCCCTAGGAAGAGAATATGAGATCTCCGATCTGCATGTCTTATGAGAGCCTTACTGTGAACTCATCTATAATAGTCCGCAACGGAGGTTTCTTCCTTCCCTGAGTCAACAGACTATTAATCATTCGAGGTAGAGCGAGTATTACTTCGGAGTTGGTCTGTTGAATAGCGGCTCCCTAAGAAATATAAGAGTTCTGACTTTCCCTTTGGCATACAGTAAGACCTACAAGGCCAACTCCTTTCACAGTCAAATTATGCCATACGACTCCGGCATGCCGTGTTTTTTCCTCGTCAGAGTTAACCTTCCTCTCTCGGCCAAACATTCGTGAGACGAGTTTCACGATCTGGGCCATATCTTCAGTTCCTTCCGAGGCTTCTCCAGATCCGCTGGTGCGTCGCCGAGAAAGCACACGAACGATCTCATCTTCAGTGGGATATCTTCCTAATGAAGATCGACTTGATTCCTCGGTTTCTTTTGACCCTGTATTCCGGGCTAGTCCTGTATCTGAAGGTTTGCTAGAACTGGGGGCCGATATAGACGACACATCAGAGGCAATATCCTGCGACGCACGCTCTTCCCGTTGGGAGTTCATCATGGTGTTACTGTTGATGGAGCTCCTTGGGGGAAAGTTATGCACTATCGGTTGAATATAGCCCTAAAACTTGATACAGAGTGGTGCCAATCCTAAGGTGTGCTGAATAAGTATCCAGATATGCTCAGGTGGTATTGGAATTGAGCTTGGAATCATGCAAAGAAGGGAAATCGCATCAGATTGAGAATTCGGAAAATCAAGATTGTTACTTTTGGTATGTTGTATGTAGAGGCATTCCATACGATGAATATCTAATTCGTATGAAGGTCTCACTAAGCATTTGTATTTTCTCCATGTGTCTGTTATGTCAATCGCTTGATATATATAATTGGTACGGAGTTAAGCAGGTCGGGTATGCTGAACTCCGGTATTCCGAACCATGGAATGGATAACGTCTTAATTGCAAGAGGTTCGTGTTGTTTACGCGGGGAAAACTTTGAACGACCATGGGTTAATACGGAACGTGATCACGATGAAGTCATGGGCTTCGATCTCGGTCTTAATCGGTGGTTTGTCTTCCCGATGCTGTATTCTCACAAGAATTACTTCATACTCCAAAGATATTTATGAAATTGTCATTATGCCAGGTATTAAATGTACTAGAAAACCTTAAGAGCCGTTCCCAATGAAACTTCTCCAGAGCTTGAACCTTTATATGAAAGGTTACAGTAGAGTTAACTACTGACTGCAAGTTGGAAACAGTCAAAACTTCGACAATTTGTCAGGCTTTCAGAGGTTAAGTTGGAATGAAATGCTCTTTCGAATGGATATTACAGCGCGGCTGATAATTGGTTCTAGGTATGTCTAGCAAGACGTTTATGCAGTATGAATGTTCATGTCTGTGATTCTATGGTCAAAAATTTGAATATATTCATGCCTTTTACATGAACTGACTAACCGTCTTCGTTGTCGAAGAGTTGTATATCTAATAGGACAGAAGCCTTGGTTTATCTTTCATCCTGGTCGGTCGGTTTAATAACCCTTAAATATCTTAGCTATGAATTCAGCAAATCCATGAATTATCTTTCTTATGGACACACTCGGCTCACATATGTATGGAAAAAGTAGGCAGTTTTAAGTATGTTTGTCATTAAGTCAACGGAACAAGAGGCGGTCAATCTTGAACATCAAATTCTGTGCGTAAAGAATGTTCTCATACCCTGGTGCCCAGAGCTAGGCCAGAGCTAGGAGCCAGGTGACAGTGTTGTGCAACTGATGGAAGTGACTATTGAGTCGAGCCACGGTCACAAAAGATGTCCAGAGCACCTTTAGTTTAACAGTGAGGTTGGCTCATGCTTGACACTATTCATATTGAAGTGAATTATCGGAAAGTGCTCAAAATTTGACTATCTTATTTAGAGCATTTGACTTTATAGTTCGCGTATCTCGATACCATTATCCCATTGTGGAGCGTTGAGGTGAAGAGGTGAAGTATGCATTCACGAGTTATTATCCAAACCGGATACTGTTGGCAAATGTCTTTTTCTGCTGGGTATGCTACTATATGAAGCCTTCAAAAGAGAAAGCATCTTATAAATCAAAGCAATTAAAATTACATAGCCGGGAAAGGTTCTAGATAACAGCTAGTTTTGTCCCAATGCTGGTAGTTTTACAATTGATTTGTAACTAGTGGCCCTTTTACCTTCTTGATTTATAATACGCTATCTTTGCAACTACTATAAGAAGCTCCCTCATAGAATACCTTTTGCTACAACAATTGATATATTCATTACAGTATAAGGTAATAATATCAACTATGCCCAAAGTTCTCGTTACAGGCGCCAATGGCTACATCGGAAATGCCGTAGCTCGGGCTTTTGTTCGAGCAGGTTGGATCACATACGGACTTGTGCGTTCCAAGGCCTCAGCAACATCTTTGGCCGCGGAGGAAATCATCCCAATAATCGGCAGTATCGACGACGTCTCTTCGCACGAAAGTATTCGTGATGAGCTTCCAGCATTAAATGCCATCATCTCTACTACAGAAAACATCAACGATTACATCCCGCACTACAAAAACACAGTCCACCTTTTGCGAAGCTTGTCTGCGGCTAGCACTGCCAATGGCGTCCGTCCCATTGTCATCTTCTCGTCTGGCTGTAAGGACTACGGCATTGGACCACATTATGATGGGGAGGCCGGATTGGCACCTCACACAGAAGAAAGTCCCCTTAACCCTCCCAATGTTCTTGCCGACAGAGCACATTACTCGCTGAAATTCCTGGACCACAAGGACGTCTTCTCGCCTGTTGTGGTCCGACCAACGAATGTATATGGTAGGTCCGCTAGTTACTACCGAGGGTTCTTCGAAGCCGCGGCCCAGAGTGCCAATACGAAGCAGCCGTTGTTGATACCGGTGCCGCCCAGCTCGATCTGTCATGCGCTCCATGTTGACGATTGCGGTGATGCCTATGTCGCTATTGCGGGACATGCACGCCGAGAGGAAGTCGAAGGGCAAATTTTCAATATCTCTTCAAGGAGGTATGAAACCATTGACGAGATTGCTAAGGCCCTGGTTATGGAGTATGGTATTACTGCGGGATTGAAGTATGTTGAGCTCGAGTCATTGACTCTGGCTGAAAACCCGTGGCCACCAGCTTTGATCGACTTCCCACAATGGACGGGGTCGGCGAAACTAAGGACTGTGACTGGCTGGAAGGACGTTCGTCCTTTATTTACCGAGGCATTGCATACCTACCGACTAGCCTATGAAGCGGCCGCCGTGGCGGGACATGAAAACATTGAGAAGATGAAGGAGCGGGTGGAGTACTTCAAGGCCTCAATGGGACGATGATACCAACTTTTATTTGTGTTTATTTGATATATATAGCGTTCATACCATTTGGACGGGGCAATTGAGCTCCAAATAAATATTATCAGTCGATAACAAGCTATTACAACCAATTATTATAGCCAAGGTATGCAAGCGAGAGAGCTAAAACAATATTATAAGATGGTTAATTAGTTAGACCTGTTAAGAACCCGCTGCTCGGCGCTAGATATCATACCGGCTTTTTAAGGCAAATAGCAGAAATCAAGTAATCAACTCCCTGGGGCTAGTAAATTTCGATAGGGTAGTACCTAGCATCATCACACACGGAGTACCTAGTGAACTGACGACGTGACTGGAGTAAATCCCTGTCCCGTGTTAGGGCAAAATCCGGAGGCTGGGACCAAGCAAGTCCCTGGTACCTGGACTTCCTAACAATTAGCCTGACAGCTTATGTATCAGATACCCAATCAACACCTGCATGCAGACCCACACCTCTACTCTAACTACCAACTAATGATACTCCATACAGATAGCTAATCTCCAACCGTCCAGCCACCGACAAGGACTGAAATCAACATGGCTGGGCCACGTCGTGCTGCCTCGTTTTCCCTCTTATACTCGAGGGCCCCATGCATCCCATTTTCTCTTGGTCTAATATCCCTTGGAATGTTTCTGGGGATTTCTCGAAATACCTTTACCTTATCTATCCATCTATCAATATCCCAATAGATTGATTTACAATTGGTCAATATATCCAATAGTCCTCTCTCTATCCCTTCATTGTCAATCCCGATCGACATATCTCCGCCAATAAATCATTTATCTCATATTTATATTATCAGCGGAAAAAAATGGTCCAAAAAAACATCGCCATCGCAATCATCATCATCATCCTCTTCCTCATCCTCGCCATCGCCGGCTTTGGAATCTACGCCATGCAGAACCACGTATCATTCTTCTCGAAGAAGAGGGCCGTCGACGAAGAAAGTGGAGAAGAAGGGGGATAGTCTAGTCCCCTAGCTTCCGTTACTCAACCTATCTCACTCGTATACTCCGCGGCGCCACAATGTTGCCTCCTCAATTCGTATCTCGGGATCACCCGATCCGGGGCCAGATGCCCATGTGCCCCTACCGAGAACAGACAACATCTGAGTCGATATACTGCTCTTAATTACCTCCGATACTTACTCCTCTTAAATCTTTCTGTGCTATACAACGACCTATACGACGTGGGTTTGATTATTGAATCACGACTATGATGAAGGACTTTTTTTTATGCTGTCTATGGTTATGTGTTATGGGTGTGTGCTACGATTTATGTTCTTTGTTTGATTGTTTGGGGTGAACATTTTTATCTTCTTGTTGATGCTTTTTTTGGAAAAGTATGGTGTGTTTTTGTTGCTATGTGGTTATAATCTGGTTTGGGTTATGTTGAGATGATATTATGATGTGCATATTTTATGTGGATGGGGTTGTATGATAATATGCTTAGATTATTTATGATATCTTTCTGTTTTCTTGAATGAGATAATGAGATAATGAGATGAATTTTATGTCTACGTGATTGTTGGAATATGGAAAGTGCCTTGAAGATGCGTTAGCGTAAGTTGATAAGCTGTGAGTAAAATGATATCATTATATTTTACGGAAAATGTTCAGCATATACTCAGTCTAAAATCACAGTATCAACCAATGATCTTCAGTCCGCCCTTGGTCTTTCCAGGCTTCCTGATCCCATCGTGCTTGACTTTTCCTCCACCGTGGCCACCTCCCGAGCCACCTCCGCCGCCGTGCCTTTTCCCATTCTTCGCGTTAGCCACCGGACGGACCTCAGTAGTGGCACGACGGAGTAAGACAGGGTGTGACCCAATATACTTCCCTTGCATTTCCCTTGCAGCCTTGAAATAGTCATCTCCATCGCTGAAACTGACAAATCCGTATCCTCTGCTCTTTTGAGTGCGTTTTTCGCGGATCACACGAGCTTTCTGGACTGAGGTGTACTTCGAAAACGCCTTTAGCAGTGAGTCGTCTGTGACCTCACCGGCAAGGTTTCCTACAAAAAGACGGAAATGTGCGGGATCCCATTCCAAAAGAGAAGAATCGGTCCAGGTTTGCCCGCCGCCGGAGCGGACAACGGTATTCTGTGACTCGGGCTGGCCTGTAACGGGTGCAGGGGTGCTTGCTGCCGTCGCGGGGCCGGATGGTGTGTTCACACCGGAGCCGGTGCCTGGTATCGCGTTTACGTCTCGACGGCCAGGAACCTTGCCTGGTACCTGTGTTTCGTCTTTATTCGCATAAGCACTTTGCCACTGTGCGATCTGTGCTTCTGTCTCCGGATCTAAACCAGAATCATTGCGTCCATAGTTCCTCCCGCGCGTTCCGTAATTGTTTGACTGGTCAGCTCCCGCAGCGGGAAAAGGATTCTGAATCCGAGGCACGGACGGACCATATGTGTTATCATTATACTGAGCAGAGCCATAGTAAGAGGCCCCACCTTGATATGTTTGCTGTGGTTGTGAATAGTAGCTACCATAGCCTGCCGTAACGGGAGTGGAGTATCCGGTTGAGGTTGCTGGTGGAGCGGACACGACGGGGCTACTGGTGCGGTATGACTGAGTAGAAGCTACCGAACGCGGCTGGAATGCAGTGAAAGCATTGTAACCAGCTCGGGGCCCGTTGCCGCCATAGCTACTGCTGGTCCCTGCGGACGCATACGATGGTGCAGCCGAGTATGCGGGTTGAAAGGATGCAGGGGAAGGAGATGCTGTGTTTGGTGGCCGCGGCGGGAGCGACGACGGCGCTTGCTTCAGACCTGGAGGTGGCGGAAAGGACATGATGAATGGAGAGTTCGAATAGAGACGATAGATGTAATGCGCCGTATGCAAATTAACCAGACACGTACCTTCAGGGCTTGACTGACGTAGCAGTCTCACGCCAGACGTCACGCCTGAAAAGGGTCCTGAGTCCTAAAAGAGACTAAAAATCGATGTCCCGCGAGAGTTATACGATTGTGGAGGAGGGTAGGTAGTATGCGAATGACAGAGATAGTTGCGTTGGACGGCAGTATTCTAACCTAGCCCTTCAAGATATGGTATTGAAGCTAGATACCAGCCAATAAGTGATGAGAATGTAGTAAAAGCAAGAGAACGTTGTCAGGGTCAAATGTTCGGGGAGTCGAGATACAACTTGGTGATGAACTTACTAGCAAGCAGATCTTGATCAAGGTTCAAAGCGGCGAAGAGTGTTACATGGAGTGGGAAAAAAGACGTATATGGTCTGCCTGGTCCGCCGTAAAGATTTACTTATCATCGGGGGAAATTTGTTCCTCAGCCACACCCAATGAAGCCACATCTAGTCGGCATTTCCTTGATGATAGCGTCATTCTCTCCTCAGCCACCAACAGATTTGCACCCCCACCCTATTCCTCTTTCGGCAAGGCAATAGCCGACCCTGAAGGTGGTCAGGTGTTCCTAAGAGTGGGATAATACTCCCGTAAGCTCATTCAAATCCATCCCACGGCTAATGAGAGTTATTATCTAACGGAAGACAAATTGGTTGCCGGCAGATAAAGTCCGATGTGACAAAATTCCGGAGGGAACGATTTATGAAGTTGTTGGTCTTGGATGGGGGGGGGTTGACTTGATCCGTGCCTAAATTTGCTTCACCGAAGCGCTCTGGGAGTATCCGTAGTACAGTATAGTCTTTGTTTTTTCTCTCTCTCCCTTTTTTCTTTTATTTTTTTTCCCGCCCTAAACAATCTACCCTGCGGCTGCTTTTCTTTTCTTTTTCTTTTTTCTCTTTTATTTTTGGTTGCTCTCCTTCACTGCAGTACTCCTGCTATGTTGCCCCTCCATATGCCCCGCCATCCGCACAGCTGCAATACTCCGTCATCTCCGACGCAAGCTACTCATGTACGGTTCATATGTGTATAATTCTTTTTTTTTTATCTGCGGATGTTCGATGAGATTACAATCGTATAAGCATTGTAGACAATCCAACAGTATTTTTTTTAGTTTTTAATTTTACTTTATTTCTTCCCCAGGATCAAATGTAACAAATGGTTATTAATCAATGGTTCCTATCCGTGGGATTCCCGTATATACTAAGTACCAACTATTTCACCGGACCGGACGACTCTGCTCCTCATGTCCTGTAACTGCCCCGCCTTTCGTCCTCTTCTGTCCCACCGAATGACGGAAAGGTTGCTCCGTAAGCCGTCCAGTGCAAGATTTCGGCTCTGACATCTTCGAACTGCTTCTCCCTTTTCTTCCGTTTCTTCTTCTTCTCTTCCTCCTTTCCTCTCCTCTTACATATATCTTCATCCTTCCATCTACCGTCTTTTGGGGCAGTCATATCGATACTGCTATACTTCCCTTATCTTTAATCCTCCCTCAAAAATCCTCCCCACTCTCTCATAATGGCTGACCAGGCAGTGTAAGTACCCAAGTACCCTTGAGGTCATCATTCCGTATTGCACTTCCGATATCGTCGTCCTCTGGTGGATCTTCCCAACAATACTCGCGCATTCGTTGTGGAATCTTTTTGGGATCCTGGATAACCAGAACAATCGATAGCTTTGCGACAATTAGTTGCATGAGGTTCTGCTTCTTTTTCCAGTGTCACAAGCTGGCAATGGAACTGGATCAGACCCAGCCTCATGCATCTACCCCCTTCATTTACCCTCCCTTTTGTTTCTTCACATTCATGCCGTGTTTTTCACTTGAAAGGGGAATTTGACCACTGACTCTAGCGCCCGCTTGGCCGGCATCAATGTCGGCGCACCGGCGCGTCCTCTACCTAGTGCTGACTTCGGTCTGATCGGTTTGGCCGTCATGGGCCAGAACCTGATCCTTAACGCTGCTGATCACGGTTTCACTGTTTGCGCTTTCAACCGCACAACCTCCAAGGTCGACCGCTTCCTTGACAACGAGGCTAAGGGTGAGATCCGAAAATGCCCGGTAGTAGTTGAAGAACGGCTGGGGAGGCTAACAACCCTCTAGGCAAGTCCATTGTTGGTGCTCACTCCATTGAGGAGTTCTGCGCTAAGCTGAAGCGTCCCCGTCGTATCATGCTCCTGGTCATGGCTGGAAAGCCCGTTGATCAGTTTATTGAGTCTCTTCTGCCCCACCTCGAGAAGGGTGATATCATCATCGATGGTGGTAACTCCCACTTCCCCGACAGCAACCGCCGTACCAAGTACCTTGCCGAGAAGGGCATCAGCTTCGTTGGTAGCGGTGTCTCCGGTGGCGAGGAGGGTGCTCGTTATGGTCCCTCTCTCATGCCCGGCGGTAACGAGGCCGCCTGGCCCCACATCAAGGACATCTTCCAGAGTATTGCCGCCAAGAGCGACGGCGAGGCTTGCTGCGACTGGGTCGGTGATGAGGGTGCCGGTCACTTCGTCAAGATGGTCCACAACGGTATTGAATATGGTGACATGCAACTCATCTGCGAGGTATGCCCATTTTGCTCAAATTCCCTATCAACTCGCTCAGAATCCTGAGATCCTAACGTATACTGTTTTTAGGCCTATGATATCCTCAAGCGCGGCGTGGGCATGCCCGTTAGCGAGATCGCTGAAGTCTTCGAGAAGTGGAACAAGGGTGTCTTGGACTCCTTCTTGATCGAAATCACTCGCGATGTCCTCAAGTACAACGACAACGATGGCACACCTCTCGTTGAGAAGATCCTTGATAAGGCTGGCCAGAAGGGTACCGGCAAGTGGACTGCCATTAACGCTCTCGACCTTGGCATGCCCGTCACCTTGATCGGTGAGGCTGTCTTCTCTCGTTGCCTGAGTGCTCTCAAGGACGAGCGTACCCGCGCCAGCACCCTTCTCAGCGGCCCCACTCCTGAATTCACCGGTGACAAGCAGGCTTTTGTCGATGATCTGGAGCAGGCCCTGTATGCCTCGAAGATCATCTCCTATGCCCAGGGCTTCATGCTCATCCAGGAGGTAAGCCCATTCTAACCTACTTCTTGCCCCTAGTCCTGGCTCTCAACGCAGATACTTACAAACCCTGAAAACAGGCTGCCCGCGAGTACGGCTGGAAGCTCAACAAGCCTTCCATTGCCCTCATGTGGCGTGGTGGCTGTATCATCCGCTCCGTCTTCCTCAAGGATATCACCAACGCCTACCGCAGCAACCCCGACCTTGAGAACCTTCTCTTCGACGACTTCTTCAAGTCCGCCATCACCAAGGCTCAGAGCGGCTGGAGAAACGTTGTCAGCAAGGGTGCTCTCTGGGGTATCCCTACCCCCGCTTTCAGCACTGCCCTCAGCTTCTACGACGGATACCGCACCCAGAACCTTCCCGCCAACCTGCTGCAGGCTCAGCGTGACTACTTCGGTGCTCACACCTTCCGCATCAAGCCTGAGTACGCCAACGAGAACTACCCCGAGGGCAAGGACATCCACGTTAACTGGACCGGACGCGGTGGTGACGTGTCCGCCTCGACCTACGTGGCTTAAATTAAAGAAGGATATGATACACTGCGCTGGACGTGAAGCCCTACCCTGGGTCGAAATGGTAATGTGATAGGACAAAATTGTGAGAGTCAGTTGAGCTCTCTCGAAGCACATAGAATGATTACGATAAAAATTTAAAAAGAGATCGGTTCATTACCATGTATTTAAATGCTTTTAGTCCGCTATTTCTTAACGGAGATGTACTGAACGAATATGATGTTTTTGATGGTTCACGATGATGGATAGATTAGAGGAGTGCAGAACACTCGAGTTAGAAGGGAATGTAGAAAATCATCGGCTTATGGAGTAGATTAGTCAAGGAGCTGGCTTGGTTCAGACATTCGGGACTGAGTGTGTTTGATATAGCAAGATAAATGAGGGCAACAATCATCACGGTGCTGTCTCCGCCCGAGCTAAACTGAATTGGGATTGATTGGTTGGGAATAACGTTCGACCTCACCCAACCTAGGAACCGTCAGTCATCTCTTCCATAGTGGGTTAGCTGGCATCCTTTGACGGTACCACAGCTCTCTTCAACTTCGCGCCAGCAGTCTGAAATCGTCTGCTCAGCCATATCCTTGTCGACGGACTTCTTTTCTCTTTTCATCTTGTCTCTGTCGCTCCTTTTCCTTGCCAGGTTCCAGGGTTCCGGCTACGTCCCACCTTGCTTAGTCGGGGCTCCAGCTCCTTATTGTTACTGACAATCGACAGTAGCTTATAACCCCCCTGGCCGGGAAATTGGGGTTCTTTTCCTATCTGTGCAGGGCTCGCCTAGTCTAGCGTGCTGTTTTTCCTGAGCTGCGAACGCAAGGCGACTTCTTATTGTCCCTTCAAGAAATCTAGTCGCACTGTCGCATAATCTGGTTCTGGCTCTCCTTTGCAATCTTAGTGACGAAGTTTTGAGGATTGCTTAGTCCCAGAGGGTGTCATATGGCAGAGAAAAAGCGCCACGGTGCCGGACCTAGAGCATCATCGCAGGGAACTTCTGGCCCTACGGGTCAGGGAATGGCCGGAGCTATGGTGCCTTTGGAGGTCGCTTTGAGCGGTGCAATTGGTGCACGGTAAGCAGCTAATTTTCTTGAAACACCGCCTGCTGCGCAGCCTTTTTTTGAAAGGGCGTCATCATTTTCTGGGCCCAAGACACTCTCGTGAGAGCCAGAATATCATACCGTACCGGTACTAACGCTATTCTCCTCAAATAGCGTCCGCATCACCACCGCCCCTGTGTCTTCTACAATAGAGGGCACTTTGTTTACGGCATGCCCTATCACGAACCTTGTCGCTGTCAACACTGCCGCCGACAATAAGCAGACTGCAGGCGATTATCGTATCATCCCAGTGTCGCGTATACAGTCTTTCCAACTTCTCTCCCTCGCGCCATCGTCCCACAATGCAGATGGACCGTCTTTCACTGATGCGGTACCGCCCGTGCATGCGCTCGATATCCGTGCTTTGAAGGCTCGAGAGGCTAATGCTGTCGGTAAACTGCACGAGAGTGAGGCGCGGCGTGGCAAAGGTGTTACCCGCGAAGCCCAGGATTTATTCGATGCTTTCAGTCGCACAATGCCCACAAGGTGGGATGGAACCAGCATAATCGTGGCAGATGCAGTGGCAATTGCCGCCCCCTATCGTGTAGACGACTGCCGGCCATTGGTGGCAGGTGACACGGCTGCTCTTGCCCGAGTGCGCAAGGTGGTATGTGGGATCCTCTTCTTTTTTACTCCTTTCGGTGAATATGTCGTGAAATGCTAATTACATGTAGCTTGAAATGGAGCGTAAGAAGATTGAGCTACGCAATGCCAGTGCCTCAATCGGTACAGCCAACACTTTTTCGCGGTCGGCTTCCGCAAAGGACGTGCGACACCCATCTACCAACCCCAACCCGTCTCCAGGGCCCGGTGCTGCTGGACCGAGAAAGGGCGGTTGAGCACAAAGACTTTCCATTAACTGCTAAACTGAAGGGCCTTCTTTCCATATAAGTCGCATAGGATGAAACCACCCACGAGCGCGACAGTGGGAAATTGGGGAGTACAGAAGCAGAGGGAATGAATTTGTTCCCCTCAATGTCAAACATACTTAAAAGGATCGTACGGAGCTAGAGTTGAAGTAACCACGAGTGAGGTACAACGAGATATACAATGAGGCAAGGAACCCTGGATTGTTTTAACACAGAGAGTATGCAGGAGTTGTTTGGTGCTGTGATACATGGTCGCCTCCTGTATGTGTCCTGTATATCTGCAGCCTGGAACTTTGTTGCATCGGACGTGATAATGGGAGGTATCTGTTTGGATTCGAGCCTGAACGTACGGTTTGGCTTGTCCATTAGAATTTACCCTAGAAAAAAGACCTTCATGAATGAGATGACCGACTTTGCATTTTTCTTTCGTTCCTCGTCTACTGCACTAAGGATGATAAATACCAATTCTGCCTAAATTCTAGACAAAACCCCAAGCATCTGGGGGAAAGAAACCACAAGGAACATGGAAATAGTATAGGTACTGTACAGTACACAGTTGGCCCAACACAATGGAGACCCCCCATCCCTACCAAAACTACAATAACTAAAAACCAACCTAAGGACACAAACTAAAGTCAACAATCCACTCTACTTTGAGCTAAATCATAAATGATCTTCACACGCACCCCTGCAGCTATTTCCTTCCACTCAACTCCCCATGAACACACTTATACCCACGCTAATGCATGCATGGAGCCTGAATGCCGACGGCGTGTTACCCGTTTGTGCCCCAGTAAACCACCACCACCACCACCAGGCAAAAAAAATTGAATGTACGTAGGACAAGGAATTTGGGGGATTGCGCCCGCGTTAATTTTCGAGTTGGGGAAGGATGCTAGTTTGGGGGCTATTTGGGGCTTGCTTGCTTGCTTTTCTGGTTGTTTGGATGGGGGGATCCTGGGATGTTGTTTTGAGGGTTGGGGTTTGGGTTGAGTTTCGCCGTTCATATAGGTTGGGTTAATAGTTTGGGGAAGCCCGTATGATTATAAAGATGTTCAAGAGTGGGATCTACATGGTTCGTGTACTTGATGAACCCCAGTCACGGGAAAGTTCCAGGAACCCTGTAAAGTCTGCTGCGTGACACTGAGAACTATGACATGCTGTGGTTGGTGTAAGATGTGTTGTTGAAGGTAAGAGATATGATTTAGCTATCAGCAGAAGTAGAAGAAGTAGGCTGGCATCAATTGATGAGATTAAAGATTAAGGATCTCTAGCTCTAGCTGTTGAGTCTACTCTAAATAGTAGTGTACTGTGAGGGGTATTATATAGATCTGAAGTATGAGTTCAGACTCGGAAAAGAGCCGTCTCATTAATGACCCGGGGTTAACTGTGGAACACCGACATAGTTAATTCCACTGACAGGTGTACTGTCGGCCTTTCAGAAGTGTGCCATATAAAAAAAGCCCTCGATATCCTCGAAGAAGGCGGCAAATCCAGGCTCCTTTGACCCATATTCATATTAGGGCATTATACCTCGCTTTATATGAATTGATGTGAATGTATCAGTCCTCTTCCTTGTAATTGGTCCGCGGTTGATATGTGTTCACGGTAATGTCGAGCTTCTTATACAATCTAGTTTCCAGGGCCATTATTGAGAGAAGCAATGATGAAAGAGAAAATTACTCCCGACGCGGGGTATGGTTGCAACTAGGAGCGGCCGACCACAGGCATATTGACCGAGAAATTATATATTCTTTTAATTGACTTCGGCTCCCGAGCTGCGCTGCGAAACGACTAGTCCAACAAAACCATTGTCGCTCGCTGGCTGGCTGGGCTGGGAAGCCCAAGTGAGCTAGGCGCCGGTGCTTGCTTGAGGGCTTTGCGCCCGAGTCCGTTCGTTCTTTCGTGGCAAGCGGACCAGGGAACGGCATGAAAGTCAAAAGACAGGTCAGCACATGTCATCCAAGGTACAAACATTCCTTGCTAACAGGGACACAGGTATGCAAATGTTTTCCATGTCATCATACCCTGTTGGCATGATTTTAGGGGAGATTCTCAACCAGAAAATGAATCATATAGATCTCGAAGGGGAAGGCCAATTGGAAGCGATTATCAGTAAACGAAACCGGCGGATAGGTTTCCTGGGGAAGCTGGAAACGACATTACGGTGCTTATCCTTGCCGAAGGTCTCGAGAACGTGTGGTGATGGAATCACAACATCATCACTTCTCTTTGTTGGATATGTCATTGTTCTGGATCCCAGTGGGTTTTGGCTGTGACGAATCATAAGCATGAACACTTGGGACGGGACCAAAGAAGACCTAAGGCACCACGCCAAGAAGTCGGTGTGCAACGAGATGGAGTCCTCGACGGCTCAGGCAAAAGAGAAGAGCGATGCCTAATAGGATCGTGTTCTTACACGAGAATCTTCGAAGAATGATTTATCTCATTTACCAGCTTCAATAGTGCGAGTTAATCGACCATCTCGTTGAACCTTGGACTCTTGTCGGCCAATCGTGGGATCAACAAAACAGTACATAAGGCACCGGCAGACAATAGATGGACGACCCCGGATCGTCCGGAAAGGGACCAAAAAAAGCAATTTAATTTAGGTCCCAAATATCTGCAACCCCCGCTTCACAAACGAGGATTCTCGGAAGATGAGAGGCCCAAGAGCAAGATACCATGCACAAGACCCTGAGGACAGAGGTGATTAGTATCAAAACAGTCTAGTAGGAGTTGTGGCTGGAAGGAATATCATAGTTAGTTTGTCCCCTCTTTGTGATTGCTTTTAATTTTAATCCAACATAGATCGGATTTGATTTGATTTTGATTTCTCATCCTGGAGGTCGTGTGAGTTCAGTTGGGACTCAAAATCCAGACGGGTTTTGGGTTCGTATTCGCATATCTGGTGGCGGAGGTGGAGAGTAAGATTAAGACCAGGGAAGAAGTGGATTCGATAAATCAATAAATCATGATAGCAATGCCGAGAGAGCATAAAATTTCCATTCAGGAGAGGGTCTAGTTCGGGTCTAGTGTCACTCTAGGTATTGATGTCTCTTGACCTGCAACAACTGCTGACCCTGCAAAACGACCAAACCAAAATTCTCCTTTCCTAGTCCCCCGTCCCCCGAAATATTTTGTTTTTTACTACTTTTTGATATTTTCTTTTTTATTTTATTTTATTACTCACTTCCCTGGCAAATTGACTCCCTCACACGCTCCTTACTACTATTACGACATCAATTCACGACAGTTTGAGTTTGCAAAGCTGCTGCGTCGCTGTGCTGTTGTTGCTGCTGCTGCTACCCACCATATGCTTCTTCCTATCGGTCGCCCTTGCATGCTCCCCCGGGCTTGTCTGGCTCCTTTTGTCCTGAATTCCTTTCCTTTCCTTTCTCTGACCCTCCCTCTCATTTGATTAGTTCCCTTTTCTTCCAGTTTCATCTCCTTTGATACCTATCCAGGCCAGTCCTGTTGATTTCCACACCGATTCTCCTCGTTCCTTTCGGACTTATACTCCCTTCCGTGTCCATTCTCAGTTGCCGCGACAATTGAAAGTTGGACCGTCCAGAGTATATCACGCCGTGATCTACCACTGATGGAGTCTTATACATTCTAGCAAAAACCTTCTTTTGTCCCCCCTCTTAACTTTTTCCTTTTTCTCTTTCCCTTTAGACCCTCCCGTTTCTCAGCTAGCAGGATGGGTCTATCTCCCTCGGGAAATCACCATCGCCGGCGGAGCTCAATGCTCACGGCTACCGGGGGTCCCTCACAAACAGGCCCGACCGAGCAGAGGGATGACAATCCGCGGAGCAATGGCGATTCGGTCAACTATAAACGGGACGAACAAAAAGCCGCGGAGGACGCCGACGTGTCCGATCTTTCGTCAATCGCCGAGAGCTCCGACGACGACCTTCAAGATGATGAGGAGACCGGTCTTACCTCAAAACAGAGACGCCAGAGACGGCGACGAAGAAGGCAACGGAGACAGTTGGATGCTCGGATCGCCGGGGTCAAGTCTTCCAATGATGTGTTCTCGGTTGGACTGGCGGATAGAAACGTGATGAGGAAGTTGACGGTCAACGCGGGGTTGATTCTGATGTGGTATTTTTTTTCGTTGGCGATATCAATCGTGAGTTCCCTATTATCCCTTCTGACACAAGGATTGCGTGGCGGGACTGAAACAACTGACCTGGGCGGTGTGTGCTACAGTACAACAAATGGATGTTTTCCGAAGATGATGTAGTTTTTCCCTTCCCATTATTTACCACCAGTCTGCACATGCTCGTCCAATTTACACTCGCATCGTTCCTCCTATATATGATCCCTTCGCTTCGTCCACGGGCACCTTCATCGACACCTTCCGGGTCACCCATGAGACAGCAAGATGCGTCCGATAATAGTGTCCTTACCAAGGTTTTCTATTTCACGCGCCTAGTCCCCTGTGGTGCAGCGACTTCCCTTGATATCGGGCTGGGAAATATGTCTCTGAAGTTCATCTCTCTCACATTCCTCACCATGTGTAAATCATCGGCTCTCGCCTTCGTCCTCTTATTCGCTTTCCTCTTCCACCTCGAAACCCCGTCGGTCAAGTTGATTTTCATTATTGCGACAATGACTGTCGGTGTTGTCATGATGGTTGCAGGTGAGACTGCTTTCAACATGATTGGCTTCCTACTAGTTATCGCCTCTGCTTTCTTCTCAGGCTTCCGATGGGGCTTGACACAAATTCTTTTGCTGCGGCATCCGGCCACGGCCAACCCTTTCTCTACCCTCTTTTTCCTTACCCCTGTCATGTTCTTCTCTTTAATCACCATCGCGCTGGCCGTGGAAGGGCCCTCCCAGATATTTACTGGCTTTGTCGCTCTTAGCGACGCTCATGGTGGTTTTTTTGCGACCTTTCTCCTCATTTTCCCGGGTATCCTGGCGTTTTGCATGATTTCGTCCGAATTCGCACTACTCAAGCGTTCCTCCGTGGTCACATTGAGTATTTGTGGTATTTTCAAAGAAGTTGTCACGATTAGCGCAGCAGGCGTGGTCTTCCATGATCAGCTCACGCTTATAAACATTGTCGGTCTAATCATTACCATCAGCAGCATCGGTACCTACAATTATATGAAGATCGCTAAAATGCGTGCGGAAGCTCAAAAGAGCACGTGGGAGCACAGTCCGGATTCGGACTCGGAGACAGAAGATTCAGATCCCTCCAGAGGTCGCAGGGGCTACCACCGGGTTTCCAATCCAGAAACAAGCATGCTGCAGCCATCATCGGGCCAAGATGGCAACCAAAATGTCAACATCACGCCACCGGATGATACCATCCTGGGTCGACGGTCACTCCGGGTTCGAGCCAGCGGTGCCAGCAGCAGCACGCATGGGCTCACCATTTCCACGGCCAATTTAAGTGATCATGATAAATCATTCTCCCCGCGGGTGTCTGCACCATCTCCCTTGAAATCTGCACCGCCGGTCGTGCTATCCGCCGAATCTGAGCTCCAGAGAGCGGTGCGAGGCCTCGGTACTGGAAACCAGCTTCAATCGTCGCCTGAGAGAGCATCCTCCCGAGAAAGACGCTAAGTTGGATTGTTGGATTGTTATCCCATCTGTAGCGGTTCTTTCGTATTCCTTTCGTACTGGACGCCACTGGTCTGGTTGTCCTGTACCTGCACCTTGTATCTTCGATCTCCTGGCATCGCTTGGCTTTCTTCGATTTCGTTCCGATTCGACTGGAATAGTTACGAGGAGAGATCGGTATAAGTACTTGGACCCTTCATGTTCAAGTGCAAGATTATATCGAACGTGCGTTCATATTGTTTTATAGCAGGAATTGTTGCTGGCACTTCAAGGAGAATTGATTTGAAGTGCCCAAGGAGTCTCTCATACATTGGCAGAGTCTCTCGTATAGACCGTGATTTGTGTGATACCATGTTTACTATTTGTTCCATCAAAACAGGAGATGCATTAACATCTTCCAACATTTAGCCCTGATATTTGTGGCTTAAAGCACCCCTACATACAGAATACCCATTTTGATTACAATTCAAGATCTAACCTATCTTGAATGACATACTCTACGGAATCCTGTAAAATACGGCATATATATAGGATATTCGCGTTGGAATCTGATTTGAATAGCATGTAACGTTACATTACACGCCAATGTACTTTGTTACGGTACAAATACATATTGTAAAAGTGATGGGCAAGATTTGTTCTTCAGAGAGTAAATTATATACAAGTTCGCTATTACTCGGTATGACTTTGGCATCCTTCATCTTCACTGTCCTCAGCTGAAATTTTCTTCGCTTTGCTTTTCCTTCCCGCCCCTTTCATCACGTCCATCAGGGTTTTCTGGTTTTTCTTCCCCGGACTCTTAGTTTTCTTTTTTCCCTCGGTTTCTAGCTTTCGTTCGTACTGCTCTTGCTGTTTCCCCCGCATCTCACGGCCCTCCTCAGCTAATCGAGCCTCGAGCGTACGGAATTCGGGACTTTCAGGGTCCATTCCGATCAGGGATTCGAGCAGTTCGATCTCCCGGGCCCAGACGGAGGGATCGGCAGCGGTAGGCTCCTTAGCGCTGGCCGGCCTTTTTGGTTGTTTCTTTTTGTTGTTGTTGGTAGCACTGTTGCTATCTGCGTCATCGCCATTTTGGGTGGAGTCCTTCGATATCACGGACACCGGTCGGTCAATAGGTGTTTCAAGAACCATGGGGAGTCCCTCAAAGCGAGGTTCATTCATGACATTGTGAAAAGCCCTGAGGCCCAAGAATCCTGTCCCAATGTTGGCATGGAGATCACGTTTACTACCTCGCGGTGCTTTGGAGTCGTTCAGATGAAGGGCGCGGAGATGCTGCAGACCGATGACCTCTTCAAATTCCTTCATAAAAGCCTTGAAACCTTCCGGCGAAGCCAGGTCGTATCCTGCAGCAAAACTATGACAAGTATCGATGCAGATTCCGATGCGGGAGTGATAGTCGCGCGGGATCATGGCAAGGAGGTCGCGGAACTCTGTTAATTTGCCGCCAATTGTGGTTCCATGGCCGCACATCGTCTCAAGAACTGGTGTGACTGTTGAAGTAGCAGCAAGGGCATTTGTAAGTGCTTTGGCAAGTCGTGATAAGGCGTCGGAGAAGTTGCTCTGGTTTGCGCTACCTGGACTGTTTTATTGGTTAGCTTGGGTATAGACGGGAAATACTACAGAGTAGAGTCGGTTGTTATACTTACTGGAAGTTATACAAAGTTATACCGAGTGCTTCACAGCGACGAAGGTCATCCAGGAAAGAGTCGTAAGCTTGCTTCGCCTTGGCTTTATCTTCTTGCGCCAGATTCACGAGATATGAGCCGTGAGGAAGAATATGCTTTGCACTGTCATACTTGTGCTCTATGCATAGGCGACGGAACTGGTCTCTATGATCATCTTGTAGGGGCGGGTTGTCCCATTTCCTTTGCGACTTCAAGAACAAGGCAAATGCGTTGCCGCCAATGTGCACACTGTTGTTGATGGCATTGAAAACACCTTTGGCTGCACTGACATGAGCCCCCACGCACATACGCAGCCCCTGTGTCCTAGCTCTCAGCGGCACCATCTCAGATTCCTTTTCCTTCTTAGTCTTCCTTTTCTTTGACACAGTTGTCGTCACTGTCGTCTTCTCATCCACTTCTTCATGTTTCGCCGTACTTCCCTGGTCAAGCTCCTTTTTGATCGAGAGCTTTGTTTCCTCCTCGACTTCTTCTTTCACAGGGAGGGCGACACCGTCTCCGTAAGCTTTGCCTTTTGATGTGCCTTTTGCACTCTGCGACTTTTGCCCCCAGGAAGAGGTATTTTCTTCGTTGGTTTCAGATTGGCCAGGTAAAGATGAGTTTCCTATTATCTCGGTAGATTTCACCCGTTTCGACCTTCTTAGCGGGGATTTCAGCTCGGGATGGTCATCAACCTTCCGTTTGTTGGCTTGTGGACTAGTGCTTTGGGGTGGCGATTTCGAGACAGCTATGGATGCTGCCTTACTACGGGATCCACGAGGAGGCATAGCAACGTGTATCAGGGCTTTGCTAATATGTAAATAGCCTTCAACTTTGTTTAATTCAAAAAGGCAGGCCTGTATCCCGTGGTTGTCGATAGAGGTGTCAGTAAGAGGTAATATATTTGTGCTGGTTTTAAGAACGCGCTCGGCTCGGCGCGTAGCCTGATGGACCACCGATAAGCTGATAGACCAGCTGTAATTTCAATCCGTGACTACACACACCAAAGTGAGATACCGTTTATGTCTACAGAGTACTGCGCTCCTCTTACAAAACTTTTGTATTTATGATACACCTTTCATCCTTAAGAGTTTGTTGGGACTCAGAGGAACTTGGCTTTTGATGGTACAAGAAATTACAGCGCTCCCTGGACCTTTGCATACAGAACTGTCTCACTCACATAGCTGATGTGCTTACTTAATATTATGGCTCTATCTGTCTTTGGACTGCTAAAAGTTTGGAATAAACTAAATTTATGAGTTAAAGGCCCTGTTGACGAAACATGAGTCTACTACCTGACTCGAGACGGAACCCCAATATCGCCCAATATGGCATGGGTTTCACGTGATGCGTTACCGGGACGACGGGGGCATGATGTTTATCGATAAACTTGTTGGTAAAAGAAACTCCACTCCTTTTTGAATCCTACGCATATCCCTCACCACCATCGACGACCCCCGACCGAACAAAGATACAACACTGACCTTCACCTCGCGAAAATTGGACTTCTGTGGCTTGTAATTAGAACACATATTCAAGAGACCGTGTTTGGACGCAACTAAATCAATCTACCTCGCCGCCATGGCGGCCCAAGAAGAAATTGTCGACTTCGACATCATTGAAAACCAAAAAGAGAATATTCAATCCTTGCCGGGTGGTCGCTCAGCAAAAGAGCTAGCTCGAATCTTTTCGCCAAGAGGCTCCGAAGACAAGCTATATTCTCCATCGCCGAACGAAACGAGGACCGTTAACGATGCCATCAGACAAGACTACGAAGCAGAACTGCAGGTAATAGGAGAATCAGACGATCCGCTCGATATTTACGACCGCTACGTGAAATGGACTTTAGATGCATACCCTTCTGCACAGGCCACCTCTGAATCAGGTCTTCTCCCATTGCTGGAACGCGCAGTGAGATCATTCCTGAACTCGCCTCATTATAAGGACGATCCTCGCTATCTTCGCTTATGGATCCATTACATCAGGCTTTTTTCTGACTCACCGAGAGAAACGTTTGCGTTCTTGGCACGACATCATGTTGGAGAAGGGCTCGCGCTATTCTATGAGGAATTCGCTTCCTGGCTCGAAGGTGCAGGAAGATGGACGCAGGCAGATGAAGTGTATAGACTTGGTGTTGACCGGGAGGCTCGCCCTGTTGAACGACTGGTTCGAAAGTATCGTGAATTCCAACAACGTTATGAGCAGCGAACACAAGACAATGGGCCGTCCTCTCCTGCATTGCCTGTTGTCCGACCAGCACTGGCTGCCAAGGTCGACCCATTCTCTGCCGCGACAGCTTCGTCACCAGTTCCCCAGGAGCAACGGCGAGCCCCAGCCGCAGGGTCGGCCCCAAAGACCAAGTCTGGGAAGCCGAAAATGACAATCTTTTCTGACGCCGATTCACCAAGCCAGCCCGCCGTTTCGGAACAGCCCAAGGGATGGAACAGTATTGGGTCGATGCATGAACGCCGGAAAGAAAACAGGATGGAGGCAAAACCATGGGCTGGGGAGACACTCAAGGCTGGAAAGAAGGCTGCCCCGAAGGAGAAGATGACGATTTTCAGGGATGAGGTGAGCGCAACTATTTGATTACCTTCTGTTTTCGATTTCCGTATATTTACGATCACAGGACTAATTGGTGGCATGAACCCGGTCTGGTTTACGATTATGTGTATTCAGTCAAATCAAAGTTCACATCTGAAAGAATCAATGCAATCAAAGCAAATTCCAGAACATCGTGTAAGGGAAGCGATAAATCCGCGTACTGGAAGACGGGAGCGTGTCTTCGTCAATCTTGATGCAGTGTACCCTGACCATACGAACCCAAAAATTGAGGTCAGTTTCGAAGAGCTTCGAGCCATGCATCGTGGCTGGATGGACAAGAAGTGGTTACCCCACAAAGAACCTCTGAGGCAGATATCTGGAAATGAAAAATTTATTGGAATTGATCCAGCGAAGGCGCTGCCAGCGGAGTTTGATGAGAAGCTGACCATCAAGGACACCGGCCTATCGGCACAGCAGCAAGTCGCTGATGCTAATGCTCACCACGAGGGAAAGGCTAGTAAATCCCGGAAATTGAAGCTTCGCGAAGTTAAGGGAGAGACGCAGACCGGTAAGGCTATTTTGGACTATACTCTTTACCCATATGTCCACTCTCCTTATGAGCGATACTAATTATCTATGCAGTCAAGATGAAGTTTGATTCCCCGACTGGAAGCAAAGTTCGTCGCAAGAGCACTGCTGAACCAACAATGACAATCCATACTCGCGCTGCGACGGATGAGATTTATAGTATTTTCAACCAGCCACTCAGGGCAGAGACTGAGGTAGCCGAAAGTAGCGATTTTGATGATGATGACTATACAAGTGCCGGAGAGAGCACCGTAACAGGACACATATCGGCCGCCTCCAGCGATTTCGGTGACGATGAAACTACGTTTCACAAGTCCTTTGATGAAACTGTTGGGGATGGTTTTGACGATAACACGAGGGCTGAGAGTTTTGTAGACGGTGAATGGACACATTTCTCTGCTGCAGGTGATTTAGCTGCTCTTCATTCACCGAGGTTGACATCGAATCAACACATAGATGACGAGGACAACATCGACATCAATGATGCTGAAGTCAAACAAAATAGGCAGCGGTTTATACCAGAAATGCCCGACGACTATAATCCACCATATGGCCCTTACCGAGACCCTGCTATAGTTGCCCAGAATCGCTTACCATTCATGACGCCGATCGTGGAGCAAACCGAGTATTCGCTATCCATGACGGCCGCCAGGAACCAGCTATACAATGCGAAAACACCATCTAAGCCTCGAATGGGGGATCTTCTGGGAAGTCCACTAATTGAGGGAACTCCTCCTCAAGCAGACAACACCATTAGCCTACCGGAAGATGTTGCTCTGAGTCCCACAGCAAAGAAAGCATTGTCTAGCGTCAAATTGTCATCACCTTTTGGACGTAAACATCGACAGGGCCCGATCATCCCAGATGCACAGTGCAATCCTACGGACAAGGTAATCCGGAACACAATCCTTGCAGCGTTAGACCCACCACTTGCTTCCTATGCAGGATATCATGATCATATGGAAACGGAGGCTCATTATGCCTCTGATATTCAAAAATTTATGAAGACTCAAACAAAGCGTTCTCGAAGCGGTGACGAAGCATCGTTTGAATTGCCGATCCTTGAACTTCCCGGCGCGGAGAGAAGCTATATCATCAGACGCGAGCTTGGAGCTGGTGCATTTGCACCTGTATATCTAGCGGAAAGTATCGATAATTTAGCCTCTGATTCTGAATCTGAAGATAGCACCAGCGGAGGCTCACAGCTGGCCCACAGTGACAAATCGACACTGCACAAGAAGGCTCGTTATGCGTTTGAGGCAATCAAAATGGAAGTCGGCCCTCCAAGCCCTTGGGAGTTCTATATGATTCGGACTGTGCATAACCGCTTGAATCAACGACCGGAGTTAATGCGTTCCCTTGACAGTATAATCGATGCTCACGAGCTGCATGTGTACAAAAGGGAAAGCATTCTTGTTGAAGACTATCGCGGCCAAGGAACTTTGTTGGACCTTGTCAATCTCGTCCGAAATGAGCAGATTACAAGCGGCCATGCAGAAGGAGGCTTAGATGAAGTCCTTGCCATGTTCTTTACCGTGGAATTATTCCGCACCGTAGAGGCGCTTCACTCATGCGGTGTACTGCATGGGGACATCAAAGCCGATAATTGCCTTGTCCGGCTCGAGGAGAAACCAGAACCTCTATCACTCATCGATCTCGGGGATGAGAACTCTTACGAACCACGCGAAATGCACTACTCCCCTCGAGGCTCATACGGTTGGCGCAACAAAGGCCTTTCTCTCATCGACTTCGGTCGTGGTATAGACATGCACGCATTCCAGCCATCAGTTCAATTTGTTGCTGACTGGGAGACCAAAAAGCATGAATGTAACGAGATTCAAGAGATGCGGCCATGGACCCATCAAATCGACCTTTATGGACTTGCAGGTACTGTCCATGTCATGCTTTTCGGAAAGTACATCGAGTCCTCTCCTGTGCGTCAAAGTGAAGGGGCATACCCGGATGCCCCTCGAACGTATCGAATTCGAGAATCATTGAAACGGTACTGGGAGCGGGAGATTTGGAGCGATGTCTTTGATCTCCTCCTGAACCCTGGCGCAGAACGATGGGCTCAGATGGAGCTCGAGGGAAACAACAACCCGGCTGCAACACTGTTCGACGAAAATACACTCAGCTCCCCTATTTTCCCCGTTGTTAACTCTATGAGATACGTTCGAGAGAAGATGGAAGGATGGCTAGTCGCCAATGCAGAGAAGAAAGGTCTCGGTCTCCAGCTTCGAAAGCTTGAGGCCATATTTTCCGAGAGAAAAAAGAAGCTTGAAAGATCATGATCTCTTTCAGCACAATGATATCTTCCTGGCACTCTGTATCTATCTTCTAACGATTGCTTCATGATCCATGATCCTCTATATCTCTTATCCCTCAAGCGTTGGCGTTTTGGTGGAAGGGCAGACTTGATGTCCCCCTATTTGGCGTGTACTTAATATCACTTCTTGACCATATTCTAATACATATCAAAATCGGTTAATGTTCTTAATCTCGCAATCTGTACAAATTTGAGTAGAGACTGCTCTTTATCCTACAAGAGCCTTTGATTAAAGCGAACGGAGTCCTAAACTCCGCCTTTAGCCAGAACATAATATACGATGTTCAAGCAAAAGCTACGTACCTACCTAACTAGACCATCTATGATTAACAGATATAAAAAGGTTAGGCCTACGATAACTCTGACGGAAATACTATAGTAGAGCTAAGCAAGAAAGGAGAGAAAAGGAATGGTTCATTTCAAATATCAACTGCTAGTTACTTCAAAACATCGGCTCATCCTCATGTCATCATATCAAAGTGTCTGGTTCAGTTCCTCTAGAGAATGCAAGATGCAAGAGATGGATGAAAGCAAGATGAGAAACGTAATAAGAAACAAAATCGAAGGTCAATGGCAATGTATTCTTTCAAAGATAGGAGAGAAATGTGAGTGCATATGGCAAAAGATTGGGTTTATGTGGGGCGCTTTTCTTCTGGATCAATGGGTAAAAAGAAAAAGAAAAACAGGGTCCACGTGAGACCGCTGATATAAATGGATAGAATGCAATAGATAGATAGTAAAAAGGGCAGAACTGTAAACAGAAAACAGCCATCGAGTAAATGAGATTGGAACTGAACGCTGCAAAGGCCACAAAACGCTTCATAAACGTCACTCAGCAGCATCATGGTCGTTTCGTCTATGTCGTTTCAATCAATATCGGCGTCTCTCCATTCCAATCATCACGCATGCTGAGAAAAGATGCAACACTGCTCATCATAAGACAAAACAAACGGCATGATGATTTTTGCATGTTGGCGGAGGGAACTCCAGTGGGAGATAGAAAAAGAAATGTGAAAGGATTGTTCAAAGATAGGCGTAGGCGGAGGGTTTTTTTTTTCTTGTTCTTTTCTTTTTGATTCTCAAGATAAATTGATGTAGTCTGTGATCTGTCGAGATATATCTTTAAAGAGTGGATTGGTCGGATTGAGAGAAAAAGGAAAACCAAAGAGCGTGGTAGTGCAAGTTCGGTGCAGGAATCCGGTTCAGCTAAGACCAGAAAATGTTGTCAACGGAGTAATGAGCATCCATGCTATCCAGAGTGGCAGTACATTGGGTTGTTCGATAGCCAGTGTTGCTATTGTCGATAAAGAGAAAAGAGTAAAGAGAGAAAGGAGAGTGATTGGTGTTCAAATTGGAAAGAAAAGAGAAAGGAGAAATTGGGGAAGTTCTGTCCACTCGGTTCAATGATCGGCAATAATGACTCGTACATATCTGTTCAGCGCTATTCTGAACACGATGCAGCCTTCACGGAGTCCAACATTATAATAGCATACGGTTTGCCCTGTGGCAGACATTCCGTCTTTTATCAATATGAACGTGAGAGTTTTAGTTGTGCTTTTTCCTTTTTTGGAATTTTTTTTAAATCGTTTTGTATCGTCGCCTGTCTCAGATTGGAAGCGCAGGAGAATATCGTTCTTTTTTCGTTTGTATTGTTTCGATATCATTAGTCGTGAAGGCCATTTCTGTCATTATTTCGCGTGGATAGCAGAGCCAAATCCACTATATAGATCGTCCAGGTCATTAGTCAAAGAGAAAATTGAAGTCGGCAGGGTAATCAAAACAGATTCACTGCTACAGGCTCTTCAATTGCGAATTGTATGTGGCAAAGGCACTGACAGGCTTATCGTCTTGAGTAAGACATATTCAGGATCTGCCTCCGGATTCGTTCTGCATCCGATAATCCTGGCTCAATTGGATCATACGGCAGGGTGTCCGAGGCTTGTTGTCCGTCAACCTGAGCCGTCTGTCTGGCCTGAGGCAAAAGTCTACGTGCAAATGGCTCCGAACGAGATGGCGCATGTCTGATGAATCTGGCCGGTGGGTCGCCGGCTCGCTTAGGTGGCTCAACCTTGAAAGGGGAGCCCAGTCGTCTGATGGTCTCACCGCTGAGGTTCCGCAGGTGCGTAGCGGGCTTTTCCACAGGGCAACTCTCCTCATTTCGAGATGAGGATGACGGTGGAGAAAACAGCTGATCAAGGTCTCTGGAACTCACTGAACTCATTGTGGCTCCACGGTTCCGGATTCGTACACGACGCTGACCATGGTCATTGAGCTTCCCCTGCCGGAAAAGCTCCTCCACGTTACGTCGCGTTTCTTCATCGCTTGGAGATTCCGCAGTTATTAATGGATCATGAGCAATGTGATGATTGTCCACATTCGAGAATAGGTCCATACGGGGAGGGGATCGCAACCGAGAGCCAGTAACATGAATGGTCTCTCTTCTGGCTCTGGGCGTATGGCGTTGGACTCGTTTTCTGGAATTACTTGGGCCCCACGTGTGGTAAGTGAACGGAGATCCCAGTCGAGGTGCAATCTCCCGTTCGTCAAAGCTAGACGGTCTATTCGCAAATGGGTCAACCGCACTATGAGCAGGATTGCAAGGTACGGGCTGGCTGAACCATTTGCCACTTCCATCTTTCGGTGATGGCTCCTCCATTGCAAGCTGTGTTAAGGGTCCAGGAACTGAGCTAGAGACAAGAGATATACCTAAATCTCGCGTGGCATAGACAGGTGTGCTACTTGTGGGAGCCTCTGCTTGGGAGGATTCACGGGAGGAGCGCGAAAGCATGTCTAAGAAAGGTGTCGGGCTTCGGGACATCATTAGCCTCTGGTAGTGAGGTGCGATAGAGAATTTTCTCTTGCACAGATACTTTAATCTCCGTCTCGTGGACGCCTCCGATTTGGGCCATACAGCCTTGGGAGTGTCGGTTTTCGGAGTTGGTGTTGACTCGCCGCTTCGGCATTGTTGCGATGTGAGTGGAAACTGTTTCTTAAGTCTGGAACGCATTCTTTCCCATGTCTTCTTTGCCTCACGGGCTACTCGGTGAGTGACCCCCAGAGGCGGGATACTGCCGGGCGTCATTTTGAAGGGGGTGATTGTGGGATCCTGAAGGTATATCTGGTATGTATTCCATAGGTGATTATCCATATCCATGGTCCACCGTTCTCTAGCCGGGAGTTTGTTCCGCCGGAACCTGGGCACCGGAGTTGGTTCCACGTGTTTTGGTGGTATCTCAAGGAAAAATGGATCCAAACTATCACTTTCCATGCTTGTACAGCTTCCACCTATTGAGTGTCGGGATGCAAATGTTTCAATTGACGAAACAGAAGAATCAGACAGTTGCGAACAGGCGGAACCAGGGCGCTCAATTGCCTCTCCAATGGCCTGAGGATCATCTGTAGACCAATCTCCGGTGGGTTCAGAATCGACTGGGGCTGCGCGGATCTGGGCGGGTGGGGTCTTTAGAGCTACGCGATCCCGCGGAGGGGCCAAGAAGCGGTCATTGCTTGTGGGTATTGTTAAGCACGTCTTAATGTCTGTCGTATCGCGGGAAGACGAAAATTCAATGGATGGTAGAGGAATATCGGATGGGTTCGGGTGGAAGGTACTGAAGTTATATTCAGCCCGCGCAAAGACGTCCGTTCCTGAGCGCACGCGCGACCTGCGCAAACGGCAACTGGAATGGCGCGGGGGCGGCGGCGGGGCGTCCAGCTGGATTGAATGGCGCTCTGGAGTCCTGGGCTCGCCTATTGAAGGAAACGTGAAGTCTTTCGGCAAGGTGCGCGACAGACCTTGCCGTCGGTGAGTCATGGTGCGCAGTGTTCCCGTTGTATCTCTCACTGGTACAGGATCAAGTCGGGTAGCGATAGTTGAAATTATCGGTCGATTCGTTCGTGTCAATTCCAATCTTCATATACCTATATCATTTCGCTTTTTGAAAATCCTTCGCACGCCCTGGATGGAATAACCTTCAAGCGCCAACTTTTAATCCAAGGTCGCATACGCTCTTTAGCTCAATTGAATGCGCACCCGATTTCCTATTCTAGCAGCCCACTAGATAATTTTCGTTAAGGGACGAGAGAGTAGAGTGGTTCAAAGAAAAAATATTTGTTTTTCGTCAACGGTGTAGCGTAGCTTACTCGGTCAATTTCAAGGTGAAGCTGACCAGGCGCGTAATTCCAGCAGGGGGGGGGGGAGTTCGTTTCGTTAATCGTGACAACAAGTAAAGAAAGGAAATCAAACTCGTCAAGGTGTGAGTGGTCGGAAGGATAGCAAGCGATCGTATTTGTGTGAAAGTCGATGCGATGCGATTTAATCTTGGCTTGGGATCGCAATCTAAGGATTCCCGCACTCCATCTGGTACCTGAAGATAGCCGGGACTATAGAGAAGAGGAGACCGTCATTGACACACAAAAACGCCAGACCAACACAAAAGAAACGACAAGGAAATCGAAAGGGACGGGAATTTACGAGTCGCGCGCTCGTAAGATAAAAAACAAATAGTCAAGGAAAATAAAAAAGAAGCAGCAATGATGGTGCACGAGGGAAGCGAGGGAGAAAACGGGAGAGGAAAGGAAGGCAAGAAAAGGACGGGACGGGAGGATCACGCAGAGGGGGCAGCGCCTAAGGCTGTTGTCCCCTAGAGCCTAAGGCGCCGGGACAGCGCGAAGAATCTAGCGGTGCGCAAGAGTGTCCTTTGGCTGTTGCTTTTGCAACGGTCTCCACTCAACGGAGCCCGAGTAAGGATCAGACAAGGGACCACGTCAAGCACTAACAGCCTTAGTTCCAGAGGTAATTAGCTGGCGCGGAGGTTAATTTAATAATCATTTAAGTCAAATTCACGTATACTAAAAGGAAAAAGAAATTGTTCTTAAAATTAGAAAGAGAAAGGGAGGAGACTGACAGAGAGCTGTACCCTTATGACTATTAAATGTATGCAGCGTATCAAACTTTCAGTATCAACAAATCACTGGCCGTGAAATGGGAAATTCCCAAATAAATAACGAAATTGATGCCTTGGTTCTGTGGAATGCGGAGAATTGTTGCTGGTCAAATCCACGATAATAAAAATAAGAAATTTATTTTTTATTTTTCTTTTCTCGACGGCAAATGCAGGTTTCTACATAGAGAGAAAATTAATAAATTCAAAAGAAAAATTAAATCAGGATAATCTGTTGGAATCTGCATAGAAGAAATCACCCCCTCATGTTTCTAAAAAAGGGTTTCATCCTATTTACTTACTACTAGTGGTACTTCGTAGTAGTACTTAGAGCAAGAATTAGTACTAAATGGCTGGTCATATTCGTCCGCCTCAACGCGTTGCCCAACCATTCCATCGAACAAATCATCCAGATGGAGTCAGTTATGACCTCAAGTTATGCGGATCAAGAGTCATAATAAATAAATCCTCCCCAGCTGAGTGTCGGAGATGGTTACTCGGTCTTGAATTTTATTTTCAAAGTTTTCCTTTGTCCACCCTCCTCTAAGTCTACTCTTTTTTTACAGTACGATTCTTCCCCAACGGTAAGGGTGTATGTATATACGGAGGAACTATCATCATGCACTCGCCAAACAGCGCCGGCAAATCAGCTCACCGATCGACCATGGCTTTTGTCTTTCTCTCCTACCCATTGGAGAGATGCATGGAAAATCCCACGGACAAGGATGTGTACTACTGATGTGACAGAGAAACCAAAAGTGCGCGTATGATTATCAGATCATCACAGCTCATCTTCACACAGCGTCAACTGATCCCCATCCGGTCATGGGTGCAATTCAAAAAAAAAAAAAAAAAAAAAAAACAGAGCCCACCCACAGCAGAAACAAAAAATAATAATAAAAACAATAATAATTTCATAGAACCTTGTGATCAAATGTCGGTGGCTGGGAGAAATTTTCAGACCAGGAATTTCGCAGAGAGACGCTGAGTGGTTCGTGCCGGTGTCATGAGAGATTCCAAGTGGTTTCGAAACCTCGAACTCCAGTCTCTTGCAGAAGCGTACTCCACCGCCGTGGTCGACGAACCAGCAGAGACTGGGCTTGCATTAGTCTGACCACATCCGACATAGGGAAGACGGAGAGACGCGACTAACCGCCTCGCCGATGAAACGTTTGTTGGATCTTTCCAGGCCGCACGAGGTTCACGCAAAGTGCCGGTTAGATATATGTGTGGGATGCAGAGGTTCAAATAAGATGTCGTTTTCCCGAGAGGGAAAAGAAGAACGAACAAGCGATAAGCCAATGGATCTTTCCCCTTATCGGCCCCTCAAAAAGGTTCAACGCGGGGAGTCGCGAGTCGACGCGTCTACCACGCGTAACCGCGCGTCTGGTAAGTTACCGTATCTCTGCAGGTCTCATCCAATCATTTATGACTGTTGTCTCCACTGGCACTCTGGAACTTACCAAACGGTTACACGAACTCATTTCATCCCGATATGGTTAGCCTGTTACCTGAGGCTAGCAAGCTTATGGAGTCGTAGCCTTCTGTTCCTGACCATAATCGGCACTATCGATCACTACTAAAAAAGCATGGAACCATGACTCGCTCTTCCTATCACTAAAACTCAAAAAAAAAAAAAAAAATATTGAATCCAGGAGGTTGGGGATGGATCTCAGAAACCCACCGTCTCTCCCATCGCATAGACCTATGCAGGAACTGGGTCAAAAAGTCCACCAGAATATGCTAATAATATCAACAACCAATATATCGGTCTCATTTGAGTTTTTTGGGACGATAATTATATTAAAAGAGTGGTTCAATAGCGTGCCCCTCCAATATATACGCAAGATACGGGCCTACATTTAGCTTGAATCCACTCAGTATGGTTCCATTGACCATATTGAACATGGACTCAATGCTGCATTGGGGTGTTGGTTTCCTTTTCTGGGGTCATGCTTTGTTTTGATACTCTCTCGAACGTGCTGCATAAGCCCCTTACTTCTCATGTAAATGCACCAGTAAGTTCCCAATAGTTGCAGTTGAAACCATTGCCGCAGCTGCAGTGATTCATCCATGGATCATGGAAAATCATATGTTTACATCGCATAAGCTAGACTAATGACGAATATCTAACTTCTAGTAAGCGATCTTTTATATGTGTGATAGTAAGCACTAATGTTGAAGGACTTGCTCCACCGCTTTTACTAGTGATCCTGCCATGTTAGATGGATTAGGTTGATTGGGGTCCAACCCCTTACATGAATGTTGTTCTCTCATTGGCAGGGTCTTGTTGTAAGACACCCATCCATTCGATGACACACACATACACAAACCACACATCCAGTGGACAGGTGTAGGCGAAACTTAATTATTCCTTACTTTGTGTTTACAACAAAGGTCTGCGTTCATACTTTCTTGCCAACTCCAATAACATCCGGTCATCAGAAGACAATTCAAGGCATAACAAACAATCATGGCTAGTCACCTGTTCCTTCTCCGAACACAGTCAAGTCGATCTCTGGCTGCCGTGATTTATAAAGGAGCTTCACGGTTGGGTCGCATATAACCTCAGTCCCATGCAGAATGGACTTCGGCCGGCCAACGTGGTCGGCAAATTTCCAGTCGTATTTCATCAGCAGATGGACAATGAAGATTTTGATCTCATTGGCAGCGAAAAAGCGTCCAGGGCATGCATGCATGCCATGACCAAAGCCAAGATGTTCTGCACTGGTCGTGACAAATTGATAGCGATGTTCATTACCGGCCTCCTGGCGCTTCTTGTAGAACCGAAAACCGTCGAATGTCTTTGCATTGGGATAAATTGAATCATCTTCCATAATGTGTGCCGAAACAGCTACGCTGGCGCCCTTGGGAATATGAGTCCCGTCAGAAAGCACTACTTCTCCCGTTGCAATCCGATTGAGAAAGGCTACGCGAGAGAGAGAGAGAGAGAGATAGCCATGTTAGCAAGCTCCCGCTGTGGTTTGTTTTACCCGAATCGACTGATTCAAGCCACTTACCGAAAGTCACAGGATTTGTACGTTGGCTCTCCTTCAGGACACTATCCAGCAGCTTCATCTTAGTAAGACTGGTCTTTTTCAGAATGCCATCCTGTTCCACGACGGCCTTGATCTCATCCCTCAGCGGTTGGAAATATTCCGGGTGGGCCGTCAAGTCATACATGACATTTGTTAACATATTTGACGTCGTGTGAATTGCTGCCACAGAAAGACCGATCTGCGCTATTGCTTCGTTGAAGGGACGGCCTGCAGCAACCTCTCGGAACCAGTCGAGGGCATCTGTATGCGTCCTCGGGGGCTTCTCTAGCAGTTTGCCGTCTCGGATCATATCTCTCCTGTTGATTTCTTGTTCGACAATCTCAGCTGCCACCTTTTGGTGATGCCGAACCTTCTGCATTGATGGCATAAACCAGTGCACAAGTGGTCGAGTAATTGCCGGCCAGTCTCTGAGATCGCGAGCAGCTTTGAAAGCGTCGATGGTATAATTGACGGACACATTCAACCATGTTTCATTTCGACAAACCCTTTCCCCTAAAAACACTAGAGACGAGAGTCGAGCCACCATATGCGGGATTTCCTGCGCGAAAATGAAGGGCTCCCATTCTACCACAGAGCAGTTACTATCAGCCAGTATCTCTTTCTTCCTTTGTTATCATGCTACATACCATTGGATTTGGGTAGCTTGTCCATCAACACAGCAGCGGTCTCCCTTGACAAAGGAATAGTCAAATGACCTACAGATGAGACAAAGTCGTTTAGTCAACAGAGATATCCTCTGAGATAACGGAAGGTTCATACCGAGCGTATGCGTGAGTTTCTTATTGATCACTTCCAGAACAACCTCCTCCCTTTCCGTCCCATCAAAGGGCTCAAACCCCGGGATCTCCCCACCAAAGAAGAGCTAAGATGGTCAATAGTTGTCTTCACAGACTGATAAAAGTCACTACCTTCAAAACTGCATCCCTAAAGTTTAAATTTGGATGGTTTTTGACCTCATCCACATACCTAGGGTGCAGAACTATGGTCGGGCCAGAAGTAAACATGGCCTGAAAGACGGTCCTTCCCTATCATATATATCAAGTGTCAATGACCTTTATGCCCTCTTTGAAACCTTGTCTTTGTTTTCTGTTTATAACAGGAGAAGGGATGTCCCCATACCTGACTGAAACCTTGCGCAAACAGATCCTTTGCGGAGGTGACGAAGCGCTTTTTGGCCTTGGAGTTGGAGATCTCCCATCTACTCCTCCCAACGAGGGGAATTTTACTATATGGCAGGCCATCTGCGAGTTCCCTGTAGAAGTGAAACACAAATGCAAAGGCCAGGGCCACTGCAATACCCTGGAAGAGGTAGTGGCTTTCCAGAACGTCGGCAAATACAGGCATTGTATAGCGGGCCTCCAAAGTCGAGACGCAGCACCGTTCTCAGTGAAAGGATGTGTCACTGATGATGGAACCTTATATACGTAGGCTAACCACACAACCATTGTTCCTCTGGCGCGGAATCCGTTACACCGAGGTGGGGTATACATTCAATACGCTGAATACGACAAAGAGGAATGTTCAACTACAGGGAATCAGGTATTACAGTGGCTCAGCATGGCACTGACGGTGGGCCGAGAACACCAGTCAACTATACCGTCACACTATTCTCCACCAGAAATCTGATCCTTTGTTTGGTGCATGGGGTCAAGCTACCCATGGCCCAAGAATAATGATAGACAGTCCTGTTTCCTAATCTGGTATATCGTCTTTTTTCCAGGTTCTCTTCATGTCAGACACGTCCATTAATACGAAACCTAGTCGGAGTATTATTCACAGGGTTTTCAGTGTTGCCTAAGAACAACCATCGTCTTAGAAGAGCATTGTCCAAGGCAATTCCCATTAGAAGAGAGAAGCTCCTGCAGTGAATTGAACTGAGCAGTCGCATCTGAATCTCCATGATAGAAGAAGTGGGTCACTCGGCAGATCAGAGATGACTTACCCAAAGCCCCTGATTTGTTCGCTTAAAAGGTCTGACATTTTTATTTTGTCGATCGCAGTGCGATTGGCTGAAGACCAGTGTTTTCCACTAAGTGGGCGACGATTCCTGACTATCGAATACACGTCGCTCTCGCTATTGAACCTTCCAAACGACTCGCGAACGAGTAGACTGCGTGGTTTGAAGCAAGGGTAGAAATGGTCGGTCAGAAGCGAAATAGTGGCAGTCAAGACAGGGGCTCCCCAGATTGCAAAGCACCTGCAGTGATGGCGCTCCGGACAATAAAATTGAACGAGTGACATATTTCAACGGGTATTGCACCCAGATGAGATCTGTTGTTCGTTGTAGTTGTTTCTTGTTGGAGAATGAGTTACAGATCAAGGTGCCTTATCAGCTTATCAAAGATTATCTCGTGACGCCAAGATGTGGTGAAATGCGGGGGAAGCTCCAGGTCACTTTAAAAAGCTATCTCTGTTCCTTCTCTAACCTTATTTTCCCTCATCTTCTAGCCCTATTTTGGTTAAACGGTCTATATTAGCAGAGGAATTCCTTCTAGGATTTCCCTGACTCGGGCTCCATTAATCTACCAGCCATGGGAGACTTTGGCCCGGCCGTGCCGGCCTCCGATGCGGAGGTACCTCGTATCGCTCCATCACTCTCGACAGATCCCGATGAAATCTCGGTGTTGGTCACTGGGTTCGGTGTAAGTGTTAAGCTTCACTTCATTCTTGGCGTGTGCCCTCGTCCTGACACAATACCTGTTAGCCATTCAAGACCAACATAGTCAATGCCTCGTACTTGATTGCTTCGTCTCTGCCAGAGTCGGTTGACCTTCTCTCGGCCAGTCCTTCGGAAGGCTCACTTCGTCGAATATCAATACACGTTCATCCCTCGCCCATCCCGGTCGCTTACTCTACAGTGCGGACATCTGTTCCAACCATCCTAGAGGATTATGCCAAGTCTCATGGAGGTCGACGACCAGATATAATACTCCATATTGGAATAGCGGCAACAAGATCATACTATTCGATCGAGACACAGGCGCATCGAGACTCCTACCATCTGTCCGATGTCAAAGGCAGAATTGGCTACGAAGATGGAGAGAAGCTATGGAGGGAGCTCCAACTCCCCCCAGTGCTCCAAGCAGGTCGTGCCGCGGATCCTACCGGTGTACCACAGCCCTATCTCCACCCCAAGCCGCCCAATGAAGACTTTCTCAGCATGTGGCAGTCCTTTGTACCCTCTGCAGATATCCGGATATCAGAGGATGCCGGACGTTACCTTTGCGAGTTTATCTTGTACACAAGCCTTGCACAAGCGCTGCAACAGGGCCAGCACCGAAACGTTGTGTTCCTCCACGTGCCCGGATCTTGCAATGATGAGGATATTGAGAAAGGTACAGGTGTCGCGGTCGGGTTGATCAAAGCTCTTGCTACGTCCTGGGTCGGCGAAAAGGTATAGAACCGTATTTGGATTGCTGATATCTTTTTGGAAAGCACGGGCAAGGGCATTGGGCGATATATATGCTTGTATTACTATAGCATGATGCACTGTCTGGTTTCTAAGTTGGATATCCGTCACTACATACCTTCCGTTGTCTAGAACTTTGGGGACCGTCGTTCCCGATATACACGTTTATCTTGGAGTTGAATATATATATACCGCTATTTACCTCCCAACAGCAACTAAAGGCTACTAATTGCTTAGTTATGTCATAACCTTTCCCGCGGGGAATGTTCCAAACACCTTTCCGCAAGCATCACTCAAATCCCGAATTCAATGACTAACAAAGATGGTCTAGACGGTCGGAATGGAACCCTCCATATAACTCTCCCCTTCTATATCAATTCCTGGTGTCTCCCAACCCTAGTCAGTTGGACAAGCTTACTCATCCTCGGTCACTTTTCCAACGACTAACTTAAGATATAAACCGCAATAGAAACAACAAGTAAACTAAACAATACCTATCCCCAACCCCAACCCTCCCCACCAAACCAAAAAACAATAAAAATGCCAGACCTCAAAGCCCTAGTCATACCAGCCGCAATCCTCCTCGCCCTCCTCTCAATCCCCCTCCTCTTCCCCGAATACCTACCCTGGCTCAAACCCCCAAAATCCAACAACCTCCACAAGCAAAGCAGCGAAATAACTGCCCTACGAATCTACCCCATAAAATCCTGCCGCGGCCTCTCCCTCCCCAAATCAACCCTAACAATGCAAGGCCTCGACCTCGACCGCCGCTGGATGCTCATCGACGCCAACACCAACACCTTCCTCACAATCCGCCAAATCCCCCAAATGACCCTCATCAACACCGCACTCTCCCCCGACGCCTCCACACTCATCATCACCTTCACCGGCCAACCCAAAACCGTCCGCGTCTCCACCCGCCCCGACAAATCCTGGCTGGAAACCCACACCACCCTGTCCCAAGTCTCCATCTGGGATATCCCAACCGACGCCCACATCTACGGGCCAGAAATCAACAACCCGTTCTCGGAATTCCTGGGCCGGGAGGTCTGTCTCGTGTACAAGGGTCCCACGCCACGGGTTATGCGCGGGAACGGGGATCCGCGGCTGCTGGGTCGGACGCAGAGTGTGAATTTCCCCGATGTGCATCCTGTGCTTATTGCCTCTGAGGCGTCGATAGGGGAATTGAATAAGAGGCTTGTGGGAGGCGGTGCGGAGGCGATTAGCGTTGAGCGGTTTCGGCCGAATGTTATTGTTAAGGGCGTGGTGCCGTGGGAGGAGGATAAGTGGAAGGTTGTGAGGATTTCCAGAAGTGAGGGCCACGGCGAGGGCACCGGGTTGGATGTGGATGTTGTGGCGCGGTGTACGAGGTGCCAGGTGCCGAATGTGGATCCGGATACGGCGGTTAAGCATAAGACGCAGCCGTGGAATACGCTTATGGGGTATCGGCGGATTGATGAGGGGATGAAGTATAAGCCTTGTTTTGGGATGTTGAGTGCGCCGAGGAGGGAGGGGGTTGTGGAGGTTGGGATGAGGTTGGAGGTGTTGGAGGTTACGGGGGCGCATCGGTATGTTAAGGGGTTTTGAGGGCTTGGGAGTGTGTGTATTTGTTTGGGATTAGCGGGTTTCTGTATTGGGTACTTTGTAATATCATGGCATTGCTATTTTGGATTAGAGTAGTCTATGTACGAGATTCATGCGCTTGGGAAGTGGTAGGTTCTGCAGCCTGTTCAGTTCTTCATTTGCTTGCTGGCGGAGACACACCAGTTGTTCCACTCCGTGAAGAAAGAGGGCTGGACGTGGCATTTTTTGCTGAGGAACTGCTGCTTCCGGGTGTCAGCGTAGATGTCCACAATGCCCGAGATGGTTTCCTTATCGTGTGCTACTAGAACCTTGACCACGAGAAGACTTGCCTGGCTGCAAGCCGAGGCGTGGGAAGGCGGACCACTGTGGTGGGCCTCCTTGTGGATCGAGTTTAGAAGCTCCCAGACGGGCTCGACAGACTCCAGCTTGGGCAGAGCAGATCCCTTGCACAGTCTAGTGTAATCGCGCAGCACGGAGTTCGCCCTGTTGGAGATCTGCTTGACGGTGGACTTGCGAGTAAGACGCAGAAGAGGGAGGAGCAGGTCAAGAGCTAAGAGTTTCGAATGGCATTTCTTCACGTAGATTTCGAGGAGATCGAGAACCCGGTTCTTGAAGTTGACCATGTTCTCCTTGGCGCCTTTCTTGTCCTTCTTTTGGTTAAGAGCATCCCGGCGCGCCTGGAACACCTTGGCGAGCTGTTGGTCTACCTGTTCCATCTCGTCGTCGTTCATATCGGCGTCGGAGTCTTCGGAGTTCTCGTCCAGGTCTTGGTCTGCACGGTGCGTTCCGAGAGCTTCGGCGAGCTTGGCTTCGAAGATGGCTTCTTCGTCGTCGTTTCCGTCTTCGTCTTCCTCTTCGGATTCCTCATCGTCGTCTTCACTGTCATCGTTGCCCGAGCCTCCTGCCTCAATGACCTCAACATCACTGTCTTCTTCATCAACGTCCATCATGTCTTCGTCTCCGTTTTCATCTCCTTCCCCATCCTGCTGTTCGAACATTTCTTGCTGACCCGCAAGACTTTCTTTCGCTTCTAAGATCTGGGAGCATGTAATTAGTCTTGACGAAGTTTAGAAGAGAAGAGAAGCAAAGAAAAGCACATACAGAGATCAAAGAATCTAAACCATTCTCGGAAATCTTATCAGCGAAAGCACCGAAAACTTGTTCACTCATGCGACGGAAGAGCTGGGAAGGCTTTGACGCGAAACTCAAAAGAATCTCCACCAGCGCATCAGATGCATCGGCTGTCTCTTCCTTCTTAGACTTCTTGTCTGCGAATATCTTTGAGAAGCAGAAATCAAGTTCGTCGAGCATAGAAACGGCATCAGCATCACCGTTGTATACCTGAAGGATAGTCATAGAATAAAGAAGCTTGAATGCATCAACGCTAGCAGAGTCACCCTTCTTCTCCTGTGTACTGTTAGATAGGAATCTCGATAAACCAACCAAAAAATAATAGGGCGAACTCACCGTGCTTGACAATTTCTTCAGCGACTTGAACGCGCTTTTCACTGAGTCCTGTAGAGTATCATCCATAGCAATGATGAACTTTCCATACTCCTCCGACTTGGCCGCATCGCGAATCTTGCGGACTACTGCATAGGGAAGCTCAGTTGCGTACTTTTGGTTGGCGATCAGACTATTCAAACATGAGTTAATCCTGCTCCGGAAAAGCTCTTGGGTCTGTTCAGTTAGGGCTGGCTCAGCAGCAGCCTGGCCATGGCTTTCACCGTCCTTCTCCACAAAGTAGGCAAACCGCACAAAAGTGAACAGGATGTGTTCAAGCACATCATAGATACCATCTTGGGCCTCGTCGTTAGCGGAGGCCCGAGACCTAACAATCGATAGGAGCAAACCAGCAAGGAATTGGCGGCTTGATGCAGCAGCCTTGCTGTCGCTTGTTCCCGGGCATGTAATGAGTTTTTCGAAGAGGGGCACGATCTGTTTCAGTGCATCCAGATTGGCCTCGACCACGATCTTCTCTACCGTTTTCGTCTTGGTGGCCTGGTCAAAGTTTACTGAGCCCGCTGAGCCCATCAAACCCTTGATAGAGGCTGCAGCAAACTCGGGGTCTTTTGACACACGTGCCTGGATAGTCTTTGCGGCCTTGACCGCCATCCGGTGAAGGTAGCGGTCTTCAACGGCGAGTTGGTTTGTAAGGCACCTCACAAGGTTCTTTGTGAATACAAGAGAAGCCAGTGGCAAGGGAGTCTCATTGAGCACTTTATTGAAGAGAAGGAATCCCCAGTACTTGCGCTCTTCTGATGATGAAGCAGCAAAGAGACCATCTGAGTAGGTGTTGGTGTTAGTATCAACAGAACATTTATGGAGTAGACGGGGAGACTTACTGTCGACGACCTCAGTCCAGAAATCAATGAAACTAATCCGAGAGGTCTTCGATTTACTCCACTTTGCGGAGGCTTCACCGAGCCTAGACAACACGGCGTCCCAAGCAAAGTGAAGCTTTGAATTCCACACCCCCGACTGCTTGGGGTTGTTGCCCTGGTTTTCACCCTCGGTCTCTGAGGCCGATGATTCTTTCATAACTTTGGCCAGTTGATTCCTTTCCTTGGTGTCCAGTGGATCATCATGCTTCCAGACTTTACTGGGAAGTGTAACTTTAGGGAACAATTCATTGGCTGCTAGCCAAATAGCAACTCCCTCTGGCGTCCGTGCCAGCTCATTCGAGCACAAGCGCTCCAGAGCGGATTCCACAAACTTTGCGTCTGCTTTCTGGGCAGACAATTCATAGATACAGCGGTAGATAATCCAGCCACATTCTTCCCGGATCCACGGCTTCTTCTTGGCCAGGTCAAAGACCAGATCTAGCAGCTTGGTCCATTCTGAGAATGGCGCCTTAGGCTTGAAAAGAATGGACGACTTGATGATAGCCTCTGCTCCAAACAGACGTCCAAAGTGATGATCTCTTTGTTCCTTCGGGGTGATATTAGCGACGAGATCGGAATAAGAGTATCTGCATACATACCTGACCCGACTCGCTTCCCGAGGCGCTAGACTGTGCCTCCCAGAACCTAATCACTCTAGGAATATCAATTTCTGGCGAGTCACGGGGGCTAGAAAGGACTTGAGAAAGAATCTCGGTCAAAGCGATAGAAAAGCCAATGCGCGCAGCTTTTCGGCTACTACAGAGGCCACGGAAGAGCCTCTCCAAAACCTTTTTGATTTGTTCATCCGTGGGGTTCTTGTCGGGTGTGAACTGTGATACCAACGCCTGCGCAGCTTTCAATCTGATCTCATCCTTCTCGTTGGCGAGATCCTCGTATATCTCTACCAACTTGGTATCAACGTTGGCTGGCTCGCGGCGCCTCTTCTTACCACCGGCCTGATTTTGCACCATTGCAGCGGAGTGAGCACAACTTCTCCAATAATACAGATCTCGTACAATTCAATGACACTATAAGAAGAAAAAGGACTCTTATAGGTTCGACTGCCGTTGATTGGAAATTTACAATGAATTGTCGATGGTTTGACCCAAACGAAAAATCATTTTACGACCAGCTTCCTTACCGGATGCGGTTAGCTTTATCTGATAACGGGAATCGATCACTGTTTTGCTATTGTCACCGCCTACTACTTTCCGTAAGACTTCCATCTCTACTGCAACACCAAAACAGCTACCAGTACGAGTTTGCTATCCTAGATTCCCCAATAATCTACATAGAAAGCTTAAGGACCGTATAACAGTAAGCATAACGGACGACCAGATATTATTGTTCAAGAAACGAGTAGACCAAGTTCATAGTCTAACTTTGTCCACGGCCTAGGCCACTTTTCCTATCTTGCGATAACTTTGGCTTAACCCACTGGATAAACCTTAAACGTATATTCTTAGACCGTCAGGTATGCTGTATTCTGGGATCCTATCTAAATCTTCAAATACTGGTATGAATGATCATCGATAAGGGATGTAGCTAAGAGTCATAGAATCTACTACATTAAAAGCTACTATTCGATATGATATTAAGGCTTTCACACCCCGGCCAATGTCAAGTAACCTCTCAATATACACGGTATTCAGCAAGTCCTTCATCTTAATAACAGCCTTACACTCCCTCCCCCCCAAACTTTGATCATCATACACAACCTGACAAGGCTGTCGAACCGCCTCAATATCATAGAAACCGACAGAATTTCCCACAACCGGCTTCACTATTCCCTCCTCAACCCACCTGCTTAGCATATCCAAGTCGTCACCATTGGGATCAGTCCAAATATACTCATAGGGAACACTCTGCCACTGTGCCCACATTTTACAGACAAAATCCCGCAGGTTGAGAGCCATTCGTACATAGACCGATATAGCCGGGCTCTGCTATAGCTGCATCATATCCGAGTTTCGTAGCAGATCACCAGACGGCAATGTTGAGATAGAGATGATGCAACCGCCTGGTCGCGAAAGCGGGAGGCATTCTGTTGAAAGGCCTACCGTATCAAACAGGAAATCTACGGAGTGGTTCGGGAGCACAGCTTTTGGATCTTCCCTTCCTATAGTCGATTACTGCAGAGCCAAGGTCAGTAACTGCCCGTGAAGATATGTTGTCTGGAAGCGCTCACTCTGACCAACTGTCGAGTCACCTAATAATCCTTTGACTTTCGGGATTTTCGATGTGGACACTGTTGTGATTACTTTTCCTGATTTGAAGACGTTTTTGGCTAGCTGGCATGCGTACGAGCCGGTTCCGCTTACTGCAGGTAACATGTTAGAAGGGTTATAGATAGTTAGGGTAAGTGGGTACATACGACCAGCACGAATAAAGGCGGGTTTCCCGGAAAGTTCACCATCAAATTTCCGGAGAGCCTGGAGAGCAGTCAGGGCAGCTAGAGGGAGTGATGCTGCATCCGCAAAGGAGAGCGAGGGCGGCTTGAGAGCAAGATTTTCTTCAGAACAGATTACGTATTCGCTCCATGAACCTGTCTAAGGGATGATTCAATAATCTGGTCTGATATATGGTGGCGTTTTCTTCTTGTATATATGGAGCCCGATCAGACTCTGGGAGTCTAGTGTATACAGCGTCCCCGATCTTGCATCGAGTTACCCTCGAACCGATTTCAGGGACGGTTCCTGCACAATCGTGGGCGATCTGATACGGGAACCTGTGGTTGGTTAGATTATGGGGGTAGCCGGTTTGGTTGGGATGACAGGAACGAGATTTCTAGTACTCTTTTCAAGGCATCGTTGGCCTTTTTGACGTCAATTGGGTTGATGCTGGCGGCATGGACTTTGATGATAATATTTGTCTGTTTCTTGTGTTCAGGTTTGGGCTGCTCGTAGGATTGGTATTCTGAAGGTGCGGAGTATGAAGTTATACCGATGACACGCATTTGTTGCTCATGGTAGATGTGAATGAAATAGTAGTTACATTTATTGGGCGCTAAGAAATGCTCTCCTCCATTTTAATAGGCAGGAGACTAAAGCTTGTATTTAGAAGCGTTCTTTGCAGCTCAGCGCATGAGAAACTCAAGTAATACATCATTCGACTGTTGTCTCTAACACCTAGCATGTAAGTCGGGGAAATAGACCTTCCGTTGTTCAAGGAACAAGAGTAGTATCTTTTAGCCACGGATTAACTTCAAGACGAAACCAGTATCACTTATGAGGCCCCACTCAGCTTCTCACAAACATGGAGTAGACCAACCATGGCAGCGAAGTAGCAAATCATCGGCAGATTTTGATTGACTCTATAAGTCAATTTACTCAGGATCAATTATAATTATATTATGTCTTCGTTACGGAAATAGGCTTCTATTTTCGCAATATACATTCTATAGCTTTGCTACTCTCAAATGCATCTATTTTGAGACTACCATATGAATTCTCCTATTCTCCACAAACTAATTTCAAATGGCCTTTTTCAGGTATGGAGAGTTTGATATGCCTTAATTACCTGGTCAATACATTTGACTTATCCGGAGACTACGAGGCTCTCAGTAATGTCCACGAGCCACCAAGTTGGTTATTTCAGCATGTATCATACTTCATGAACACGTCTCTAAGTGAGACCAAAATTAGTAGGAGCTATTATTGTCAGAAGGATAGAACTAGAGAAAACATAATTCATCATTTATCTGATTGTGAAGGAAACTAACCTGATGGAATCACGGAGCAACACTATATCTCGTCGACATATTCGGCATCGCGACTGCCCTCTGATTAGGACGGTGCAGGTTTCCGTGTATGGCTTCGACATACACGCAATCATTTCAAATATTCGAAAGGCACCTACAATAAATGTAGGAAGGCATGGGATTGTCAAAGCCACTGAGTTGGGTAGCTACTACTACTAGTAAACCTCTGTGTGGCTGGCTGAATTGGAGTGAAACGATAGATATAACTTCCTTCTTTCCCCAGATTATGGCCTACTCTGGTGACCTACTCAGATCATCTTCAGCATATCTCCCTGATTTGGCTTTTACATTACAGTCGTAGTCGTAGTTCGTAGTCGTAACCAGCCCATCAATCAAATACTATTAACCTGACTGAACCTAACTACTGAATGTTTAGCTATATAGGCATCTCACAAGTGAGGCAGAATCTAACCCGTATGCCATGTAAAGCTGTTAAATCTTTAACGCAGCAGCAGGCATATGAAATCGGCGTATAGCTGCAACGAAAAAGAAACAAAAGAAACGAAACAACCAAAAATGCCTCCCATAGCACCCTCTCACTGAATTACCATTATATAGGTGCGTGGCCGCATTTCTGCCTCCCTGATTCGTTCCTTCAACATGGACTACACCTAGTGACACCCCAGGCGTATTGTGTGGCCATCTAAACAGCGCCTTCCTCGTATACCCCATATTCGTCTGTTTCCGCATGCACGGCAAGTTCTGCCTCACGAAATTTTGCCAATAGTCCTGTTTTATGCATGTATTTGGCAGCATAGCGGGTTGCACGCGGGTTCCATAGTACTGAGGCCTTGTAGTTGTAATGCCATTACTTGGGTTAGAGGATCAGGGTCCTCAAATCTGGGCCATGAAGTTGCAATTCTCTGATTTTGATGAGAAACACTATTGTCCCTTATCTTAGTGATACTCAATAGACGAGACATCAGAGTATTCGCTCGGCATATAAAGCCTTACATGGTTTGCAAAGACAACCTAAAGGGAAATAATATCGAAGGTTTCCTACCATATTCTATGGATTGGTTAGGATATTCTCTGGCGTCTTCGCCGCTTCAAAGTGATTTCGACCATGATAGCTATTTCTCGATTGACAAGGCCGGACACCTTGTACTTTAATTGACTTTGTAAGATGCACTCATGCAGTGGATTCTGGTAGCAAAAGCGGATCCAAGATGCAATACGTCAGTGGGGTGGCTATGCATATCTTGTTGTCTGATAATTTACCACTTATTCCAGTGTCCGTAGAGGCCAGGATGGGTATATCTAAGTCAAGCACTGGCATTTATGAGAGCAGAGATGAGGAAAGCTTGTACATTTCGAGCCCTTGAGACTTGGACCTCATTTGGCAGGAGAACCCACATTTTGTACTATGTCATAAAGACTATTAATGATATAAGATATATGCATTAAGGACGTGGACAAACAATGATATATACGAAATGCGCTTAGCTCACGACGTCGTGGATATGGTATATTCGAATGAGTCCAGACACAAGCCGTTTCTCTAGACATAGCTTTTACTGAATATGATTTACAGTTTTAGGGTCAAGTAATCTTGCCAAAAGAGCTGAGGTTTGGGGCTGTCAAGACACTATCTGGGTTGAACAGGGCAAGGAGGCGAGATGTCCACCGTTAGCTGTTCATAGACTTGACGCTTCGTTACTCCATGAACCAGCATACCATACCCCTCAGCGAAAAACTATCAACAGACACTCCAACAAATACTTCTCCACGTGCAACAATGCATCTCTATCTCAACCCCTCAACCAACCCCCCGACTCCATTCCCAACCCGGATAAACCCATCCCCAAATTGCCGACAGGCTCATAACCCCTTGCAACTGCCCGACAACGCTTGCCCTATACCCAACATAAAACCCCTAGCAATACGATCCACGATCAGATAATACACCTACGGAACCAGATACAGATACAGGTAGTACAACCATAAAGAAGACCCAAAGAATCCTTCCCCCCTTACTCCCAGGTGTATAGTCTATCTCCCAAGAATGCACACTATTACACCCTATCCACACTCTAATCGACCCCCATCAAATGACAACGGACGAACCCCATACCAACCATATCCGCCGAACCCACCCGAACATTCTCCAGTCTCCAATGCGCAGCTGCCGTTGGCCTGTTCCTGGAGTCCGGAATGACAAGTGGGGACTGTGGCATGTGGCATGTTGTACGACCTGTTTTTTCCCTATGCCTGTTGCAACCACGATAGGAAACGCGATTGAGATCCGGTCGTGAACTCAATCGCCGTAGTCCGATGGAATGTCTGCATTGCATGGGTCGGTACGATAGATCCTTTCTTTTCGAGGTTGGTGGCGCGCCCCAGCCCTGAGCGGGAACCCGGGCTGTAGATTCAGGACTCGGTTCAGGGTATCAAGTGAAACACCCACAACTCTATTAGTTATAGCGATTGACTGGTGGTGTGTGCTAAATCAATTCAAAATCTCCTATCAATCGCATACCGGCTAGCGAGAACTGGGTGAGAATTATTTGAGCTAGAATATGTAGGTAATGAGGTTCTCCACTTCGTCCTGTTTGTGGTGAAGATTGACCGTTGGATTGGGGTCCACTGATGTGCATTTTTACAAGAATAGATAGGCGGAGTAGACTATAAGGCAAAGAAGGTGGAAGAGCTTGGTTTGTCAGTGAGGTTTTTTTTCTTTTCTTTTCTTTCTTTCTTTCTTTTTCCTTTTCCTTTCTTTTTTTTGGCTGTACCTGAGAACCTATGAAAGGGGTAAGGAGATGCAAGGGTGGTGGGGATGTTGATTATCGGGGATTTTGTACGTGTGGTGCAGGAGGGATGTTTTGATGACTTGAAGGGGATTGTATTGCTTTTTGGATGTTAGGTGCCCTTTTTTCTTTTCTTTTCTTTTCTTTTTTTCTTTACTAGAGCTATTTTTGGGGAGGTGCTTTGGGAGCTCCAGGCTGTGGTTTTTGGATTCGATAGAGGGTTGATTCTGTGGGGGATTGATGGAGAAATAATAATCTAGGGATGGGGAAGAAGATGGGGTAGGAGGCGCTCAATCTCCGCTCTGTTTTATCGATTCTTACTTGCATACACGCATTGATGCTGTGAGTGTTTTCCGTTTCTAGTTGCCCTCGCATGAAGGATTGATGACTTGGTTGAGGGGTTCGCGCACGAGATCTTCTGGGTGTTATACTACTAGTATGTATGTACACGGTTTGGGGTGCTGGTAACGGTGCGTGGCATACAGACTTACAAAGATGAGAGACCGTTATACAATGCAGTGTTATTGAATTGTATGGAAATTGTCACGAATAAAGCTATGCGCAATTTTGTACATACAGCAGCCCAGTACAGCGAGATCAGTAGTGTACATGCGGGTGGGAAACGTTAGGAAGCGGAGCAATATGCATGAACCGGATCAATATCGAGTCCTAATCAATGATAACAACACAAAACAGTCGCCATATGCAGGTTTTAAGACTCGATTGATCGAGGGATGGAAGTGGAGTGAATTGCATCAAGATCCGTGCCAGATAGGAGTTTATTTTTATTAAGCTTTGAGCTACTTAACCTTCGGTGCCTGCGTTATGTATGGGGGGGTTTATTGATCCAGGGAGTGTAGTACAGCTCCTAGATTAAGGCTAGATGAAGACAATAGGTGAGATATAGTGATACGATTGTTATCAAAGAGTCGCTAATTGTTAGTTTATGCAGTAGTAAATACTAGAAGTAAACTAGAGCTAAAGGGTGGTACCAGATATCAGCAGTGTTTGGAACAACGCACATGGGAGCGGGCGGCAGAGCGCCAAGAATGTTCGAGGCTGGCGAATAAGGAGCCTCATTTCGCCCGAGACAGTCCATACCCGGTTAGTAAGAGTAGGGCTAGACTACAGTGGCTTGCTAATGAGCAACTACTAATAGCTCTGCCGATCGCCCCCCGATCTAGGTAACCAATGGGCTATTGCGAATTGGGAAGGGGAAGAGAAGAGGGGTTGATAAGGGTTGTTGATGTTAATCTTGGAAAGGTGACTATCGGATCTGGGATCAATCTCTGGAGATGCGATCAAGCGCAGGGTGGAATAATTGGGTAGAGTCCACACGTGTAGTAGTTTGGGGGAAGGAAAACAAAAAGCAAGGATCGGAGGAGTGAAAAGAGAGATCGGCAAGTAGAGTGATATCATTGATTTGGTTTGGTTTTTGATTGGCAAGGTCACGGGACTGCGCATGCTGGTCGCGTCTCCGGTTCCAAGGATCACTTTGTTTACTAGTCATGGAACCCATGGGACAACATGCTACCTTAATCGGTCATCTGTATATACAGAAAAGAGTTGTTGACGTCTAAGACTCTAAACACAGCACAGAGTCCTTGGAAACAATAATCATGACACCCGCGGGGACAAGGAAAAGCTGGAAAAGATGCAAGAAAATCTTCCCCTCAGGTGACATCACCGTCCTACCCACTTGGCAATTGGGCAATATTTAGTAACAAGTTTCAAGTTCACCATTGGTAAATTCAAGTAAAGTTGCAGAGACACAGGGTAGCACGAGCGCTAAAGGCGCCCAGGCGGTCCAATGAGAAGTCTCAAGCTAGGATAAACCCCGCAGAAGGACTCGGGCCAAGGCTGTGATGCGACGGCCAGACCGAAACAATTGAGGTGATGGTGATGCCTTAGTCCGGGCCTCGGAAATGTCTGGATTGGTCGTCAGCTTGCAATCAATGCAATGCGCAGCACATGGTCCTGTCACGGCGGCTATGAGGATGGATTATAATCCTGGTCTCTTGCTCGCGACTAACCTCCACCCCTAGAGGTCGGAGGGCCCGAGATACGATGATAGTCACCACTAGTCCCCCCCTACTCTACTTGCCGACCGTGAGATCCCAGCTGAATGTCAAGCGATACCCTAAAAGCTTACAAGTTCCGCTATCGGGCCAATGCGAACATGTGCTCAAATTAGATAAGAGGGAAAAAACAATAATAAATGAGGTGAGTTCGGATGTAAATGAGGATTGTTATTATTACGATTATCAGCTCGGTCCATTGTGACCCGGGCGCCTAGAGCGAACGGAGGAGCCTCACCACAGCGATTTCCGAGCTATTGCATAATAATCCCTCAATTCGATCCTCTCTAGCTCCGCTATGGCTCCGAGCTGGACCGGTATAATTAATGGTGCCAATTGGTGTCAAGGGTGAGGGGCCACAGCGTAATAGGGTAGTACTTCTTCACGAGGCTCAAGCGAACATGATGTTCCCCTATCTGTGGCAGTGTAGGAGCTAGGAGTTCGAGATAATTGAGATATTTGAGTAGTCGCAGTATCTACTTCAACAGGTGGTAGTATCTTTCTATCCCCAGTGGCGATTACACAGCACGTGTGGGCTCTAGACCGATAGATAATGCACGATCGAGGAAAGCCGATCCATTAAAGCGGGGACCTTAAGAAATTTAGGGCGTCGCTCAAAGTAAATTAAGTGACTTGATTAGCCCCTCGTAAGGTGACGTCGTCAACTGGGGAACTACTAGTCGTTAATACTGTACCATACCCCACATCCACCGCTTGGAGGAGGTCAGCATAATCAAATGCGAGTGATAATCCTGTATGAATTGACAACGATGAATCAATAAGGAGGGTCCAGTATGGGAGGGGGAAGATAATAATAGGAGCCTTACCAGGAAAGATATTACTTAGGTAGTAGCTAGGGGGAACGATACCCCTAGCCAAGATTGGCAAGGAATGCTAGAGTTGCCCTAACGGGTACTCTGCAAGTAAGGATACACGACGACTTCAATGTATGACGAACAGGTCTGCGGGGAGGACAGTGCACTTGAAGATAGACTGCAATTGGTTCTGAAGGTAACTTATGCTCATGCTGAGTATTTTGTTTTCGTTTTCATTTTCATTTTCAATTTTTTTTTCTTTTTTCCTAGCTCTGTATTGCTCCCTACTCTTCGGGTACCCTTTGAATGGCGTGTTCCGTGACCGTAGAGCCAGGTGTTCAAGTAGAACTGCATGGTTGGTACGTAGTCCGTAAGTTATTCTTCCAAGTCATCTGCAATTTTAAATATCTTCAATGGACATCACTACTGCTTATGGTGATATCCTTGGCATGCTGGACGGAAGGGCATCCATAAGGCATTGCCCCATTAGGCCAATCCGATTATCTCTCCGTGGTTTCTTTTGGAATAATTGAGATATTAAAATTTACAATTCCTCCCGTAATGCGGCAATCGATCCCACGGGCAGTATAGTCATATTCTGGTAGAGGTAGGAAGGAATTTAGGGAACTAGTCGACTCGGAGATTTAAGTCTTTGGTAGCTATACAGTATTGAACCTACTATTGAAGTAACTACTGAGAAGTTTACCGTACTACAGGTACCTTCAAGTGACAGCCTACCGGTTGAGGGCAGTGAAATTTGACCTGGCAATCCCGTTCCTGACTCTCAGGCTCCGGACAAGCTCTTTTTTCCGACTGAGTGGAGTTGAGTGGAGATTTTATTAGATTCGATCTGTCTTTTTTGGGATTCTTTGGGAACTGGAATTACTGGGACCCCTAAAAAGAAAGGACGGCACAAACGGAAGGAATAAATTTTATTATTGACCTATCAAACCTTTTATTTTGCTCTCAAAATGCTATCTTTTTTCTTTCTTTCTATTTCTTTTTTCTTTCTTTCTTTTTTTTTTTTGAAGGGAAATGGAACTACATTGTAGCCGTTGGAGAGTGACCCTTTTCTCCGACTAAGACGGAAAGTCAATGGTGAAACTGCATGGATTTGCCTAGCATATGCCAGGAGCTTAAAATGGAAGACAAGGAAGAGGATGAATTTCATCGGTCGTGCTAGTAACCTATGGCTACCTACTATTCTTTTCAAACGATACCCAAATAGAATGAAAAATGGAATAAAAAACCGTTTCTATAGCAAATGGTGGTTGTCACACAACATGTAACCTGTCAAAAGGAATGCGCGGTACCGGATGAATTGACGAAAAGGGGAAAGAAAAAAAAAAGGGAAGAAAGAGAAGAGAGGACCCAATCTTTAGTAAAAGAAAGGAAAAGAAGAAAGAAAATCCTTCGGTAGCCCGTGAGACAGGCACGATCATGCCTCAGCCAGCCAGGTGAGATTTGGTACGGGTGAAACAGTAAGGACGCTGATAGGCGAAGGGTTGCTGAGCACCCGCTAGCGTTGCTAATGGCGGCAAGGGAGTCCCGGCAACGAGGGAGCCCGGAGCCCTAGTCCAGTCCTCCTTGTAAAATGTACGGGTACCTACTTGGCTCATACTGTACGTATAGTATGTATGGTACCTGTACCAGACCTTATGATGTATGTACCCTGTAGGTCCCTCGGAGCCGCAAACCGCACCGGGAGGTTACCTGTGAAGTACATGTACATACGTCGCGATGCTGTCAGCCCTGTTAGTTTTCGTTTGCGTCGTTACGTAGCAGATAATAGGAATAATAAACAATTCTAATTTGGTATTTGATAAATTTAGTGGAAATGATTCATTATTTTATTTTATTTTATTATTTTTTCTCTAATAATTCAGTGAACAAGGATGTTCTCTACAGGAATAGAAACTACCAAAAGTATAGATAGAGAGGATAAAACGATGTAAGCGTACCATTTGGAAGGGCGGGTTTGAAAGGAAAGAAAGAAAAAAAAAAGGTCAAACCGGTTCGACACAGGTTTCTGACGCAGGCTAACCAAACCCGCCTAGTACCAGAAGCTAACCTGTCGTCGCTTAAGCTCTTTCTGAGCATCTGGAGATCCATCCCCACTTTTGCGTTGCCATTGCAACAAGATCATCCCTTCAGCTTCACTTTCTCCTCTTTTTTTCACTTCTTCTCTCTCTTTTTTTGAGGCATTCTGAACATCTGTCCATTCTTCTCTTAAGACCCGCGCTGTTCCTCGTCCCATGATTCATTTTTTGAGCTTTCCTCACGCCCAATCCCGTGTCCAGCCTTCTTCAAACCCTCTTCTTCGGTAAGTTTTTCTCCAATGCATTAGCGTACCAGTTGTCTTCCCTCCCCTAATGCCGTGCTGCTGCTGATGTCAGGGCCATGCTAACTTAGCCTCCGTTGCTCATTTTCCATAGCCCCTCGTCCGTCTCCCTCCGTCTTCGATTTTCCCGCCAACCTTGACCATCTCCGAATTACTTTTGTTCGAGGGTTCCGCCAGCCATGTCACTCTAGACGCACGGCTTCGTTACGAGGAAGTGCCGCTACATGCTGGTTAGCTGAGGGTTTCTGAAGCTGTTCTTCAACGAATCAATCAGAGAAGTCTGGGTTCAACACTCCGCGATTGGGCAATAGGAATATACAGGAGCTCGGTGGTGACCGTTCCGATAGAGACGCCTCCACCTGCCGTGTAGTATATGCCGGATAGATAGTTTGCGGCATTGCTGTCTTCTACTTCTCTATTTTGCTCCGATTTTACTTCTGCTTCTTTCTTTTTTTTTTTCTCTTTTAAGGGTCTCTTTCAACTGCGGCGTTCTTGCGGATTTTGAGGCACTAGGGAAGGACAAAGAATTCTGCAACAAAATGGAACAATCTTCCCCGTTGGCTGCTATGCAGCCTCCTTCAGTGCTCTTTGGACACTGCTTTCGCTCGGATGCTCGGACATCCTATCCTTCATTTAGTCCCATGGCTGGGCTCAATCCAAACAGCTTCAACTTCAAAGATTTATCCATGAAAAGAGGCCATGGCGCCGATTACTTCAATGTGAAAGGCTCGTCTCCTACAGCTAGCCTTGCTGCGGATCTGTCTCAAAATTTTCATATCGACCAGAGGTTTGTTATGCCCTTTGACTAAGGGTACCCAATGGAACGGACTGACCGAAAATAGTCCTCAGCTAGCCACTCCCCGGCGGTCTTTGTTCTCCTCCAACCTGTTTGGGAATGGTCACAGGCGTGGTAAGGGTTAATGTGTTATAGTACATGACGGACCTGGTTGCTCATCAAGATTATAGAGGAAACAATGACAACACCTCCGCTGTCTTCCTCACCTGCCCCAGCAATGGATATTATGGAAATGTCTCCGCTACCACACAAACCCCCGTTTAACAATTCGGAAGCTGAACTGCGCACCCCTACAATCGAGATCTCGTGTATGGACACGCCCATGAGGTCTAACGCTGCCAGTCCGCTACAGGATTCTCCCTTGGTTACCCAGAAGGAAGGCCAGCATGAGTAAGAATTGAAGCTACGGATGGATATGAGAGATCTTGATCTGACAACCTATTTTATTGCAGGAGGAAACGCCCGACGTTTCTCAGGCCCAGCCTAGCGAGAAGCAAAGCTCAATCCTTCCAATTGGGGATGACCAAACCCGCTCCGGAGAGCCAAGCTCCGCCGTTTAAATTTCAAAGCAAGGGAATTAAGACCTCGTTGAGCACCTCGGCTTCGTTGGAGGATATGTTTAATGAATCACCGCAACGCGAACGGCCGTCATTGAGGAATCATTCGGTCCATGGTTTGGTTAACCCGCGCCTGAGACCCACGTTGGGCAGGGAGACAAGCCATGTTCGTGGAAATGGATCTCCGTCTGCAGCTTCAATTCGCAAGAACTCCCACCCCATGATGCGCCCTCGTAAACAGTGCCGACGTTCGTTGAGCATGTTTGAGAACCCCGAGGATGTGATGGTCGAAAAAGAGGCTTCTTTTACATCAAATGCACCACTTCAGTCCATTTGCGACATCGAAGGAACCCCCAGCCTACAATTGCCTCACTTCTTACCTGAGGACCAAGCTGATACACTGCCTCGCATCGACAAAAGCATTCTCGTGGACCTCATGGATGGGAAATTCAACGACCGATTCGACAATGTCCTGATCATTGACTGTCGTTTCGAGTACGAATATGAGGGAGGTCATATAACTGGAGCTGTGAACTACAATGACAAGGACAATCTCGCTGCGGAACTGTTCACTAGCCCGAAGCAGAGGACCGCATTGGTTTTGCACTGCGAGTACTCTGCACATCGCGCCCCTATTATGGCCAAATACATCCGCCATCAGGATCGTGCTTTCAATGTGGATCAATACCCACACCTTACCTACCCGGATATGTACATTTTGGACGGGGGCTACAGTGGTTTCTTTGCTGAGCATCGGACGCTGTGCTTTCCACAGAACTATGTGGAAATGTCTGCCAAGGAATACGAGTTTGCCTGCGAGCGTGGCCTCGGAAAGGTCAAGCAAAGGTCAAAGCTGAGCCGCGCTCAAACATTCGCCTTCGGTCAGACATCTCCCCAGATGGAAGATAGTCCCACTGGGAGGTGTCGGAACAACCCTGGTGACCGAAACAGGTTGTTGGGATCTCCATTTGCGGAGAGCCCCGTCTCCGGTCGCTTCCCCGGCCGCCGCATGCTTTCCTACTGATAGTCCTCGCGGACTGTCCAATTCAATTTTCTAAGCCAAGGCTCAATATAATGACGCTATTGAGCATGGCGCTATGCTATTACTGCTTGATTGCTGAGCAATTTTTCGCATATATCAGGAGACTTCATTTTGGATTGGCTGTTTCTTCCACCCAGTCAGTCGGATTAGTCCTCTAACAATATTGGATTGCACTATGGGGCTTGGACACAATGCACCTTGCTATTCCAACGTCCTTTCCGTTCGTTTGTTTACTTTCGGTTTTATTTCTCTTGGCCCGGTTAATAGAGCCCTCGCATTTTGATGACACGAAAACTTTCGACTCTACAATTACACCTTTCATTGGCCCGCCATGAAACGCTTGCCAACACGGCTCTTGGCTCTCTTCTTTCAGCCGCATTGATTCTTTCCTTGATCTCCGACCACCGGCCGCAAAAAAATTTCCTATGTCTTGAACGATTTTCCTACGTCATGCACCTATCGACCTTGCGTTCGGTCTGATCACTATGATACCACGCCATTATCTGGCCCTTCCTCTTCTTGGATTTTTTTTCCCTTATCTTCTCCTTACCGTCTTTTAATCCACTCCCTATTTTCCTGTATAACTCGCGAGGGAGCGAAAAACCTCCTTGCCGTATACTGTACATATTGATGTGCGGCTCGTCACAAAGGCGATAATTCACCATGCACGACGGTGTCTCCTAAGCCATCATTGCCTTGTATGGGCATATTCGATCGCGGTGGGCACGTCGATGCAGCTGTACATACATACACACAACTCCCGGGTCCGTGAGCTGACATCTAATGGGAAAGCCGGGGTATTGGGAACTAAAGATAATTTCCTTTGTTGGAATGAAATGAAATGACTTAAAAAAGAATTTACTCTAGTCCTCCAATCGTCTAAAATAAAAATTTCGAACTAGGGCAGTGGTCGTAATAAGGCCGCGATTGCTAGTAGCGCCGGGTAGCCTGAGGCAACCTTAATTTTTAGTCTCCGCCGCCGCCTTCAATTCCTCTCCGTCCCTCTGGCCCAATGCTACGCGTGTATCATCACACCTTCTGCCATGGACATCGATGACATCCTCGCCTCCGTCGATCGCAACGATGTCTCTTCCCCCGAGTCCGCAGCGCTTGACCACCAGTTGCTCACTCGCTTCTGGGTTGCCGAGCGCGGCGTCTCCGAGCTCTTACCCTGGCCAGCCACCCTAATGGACCGCACGATGGAAAGAGTGCGCAATCAGGTAAACCAAACCCAATGGGTCCTCCCCATTCCTCCCCCAACCCCATTCCCCCTGGATCAAGAACTCATCAACCTCACCCCAACCCCCAGATCGAATCAATCGAAGACCTAGCCGCTTCCTCTTCCGTTCCCCTCCCAACATCCAACTCAAACAACACCGCCAACAACCCAACCCTAAACCTCAAACTCTCAATCCTTCAAACAGACCTCTCCAGATCCCAATACCTAATCCGCTCCATCCTCCGCCAACGCCTCTCAAAACTCACAAAACACTCCATGCACTACCTCCTCCGCGTCTCCGCCTCCACTCCCTCCCAACAACAACCAGACCCCTCCCAACCCAACAATACCCAACAACAACCCGAAGACTCCATCCCAGACCTCACAGCTGTGACTGATCCGTCTCCGCTCTCGCCCCAAGAACTGGCGTTCTTGCACGCGCATCAGACGCTCCTGGCGGGGCATTTTGGGGCCTCGTTTCTCAGTTCGTTTCCGCCGCAGTTGAGGCGTTTGGATGATAATGCGGGGGGTACTAGTATGGTGCAGGGGCCGGATGGAAGGGAGGTGGTTTTTGTGAGGTGTCTTAGTGAGGGGGTTAGGGTGGTCGTGCCGCCTGGGGATGGGGTGGAGGTTGAGACGGAGGGGACGGAGATGCGGATGGGCGATGTTTGGGTTGTTAGGTGGGAGGGGGTTAGGGGTGCTTGGGAACGAGGGGAGGTGGAGGTACTTTGAGACTTTTACTTTTATTCTTGGTTTTGTTTGGGGGTGACGGTGGGGGGAAGGTAAGGTAGATTGTGGAGGAGGGGAGGATTATGTTTGTACATACATGTGTAGATTGCATGGTGGCGTTTGGGAGGGGAGTTGATTTATATTGATACCTCTTGTTTTAATCTTTGATTTTTATCGTGTAGGTTGTATATGGGTGCTTGTGTATCTTGTGTATGGGGCATGTTGAATTGGGGATGGAAAGTGGACCATTTCTCATTTCTCGTTTCTCATTTCTTAGATCTAGATCTTGGGTTGTTTGCTGGTTCATGCATTGTATAGCTCAGTGTGGAGCGTTGGTCCGCCATTAACCTTACACTAGTAAAAACTCATCGGATCTCCGAGGATGCAGTAAAAGACAGTAAAAACGCCGAGACATGATCTATAGCATGAACATTATCCGCCGTTGCGCCTGACCGCTAAGCCCAAAATCTTTGTCCATGCACACGAACAAGAACGCCCAGAGAGAAAAGCAAAGAAACTGTCATCAATCGAATAAAACGAGTCAATCTATTTTGCCCAGGGGGAGTGGTAGGAGTACGATCATGCGACGTATCCATATGTAGGCGGATCTTCCTCAACCCGCTCGAGATACTCGCGGTCGATCAGACTTTCGATGCGCCGCTTGATCATGTTCACGTCGGGAACGAAGCGGGCGGACAACTGGCTTAGAACCTCGCTCATAAGTTTGGAGTGGACGAGTTTCTTCCGTTGCCTGAATGGTTGGAATGCAATTAGCTTCTGTCATGATCAGGTATAGATGGAGGCACTTACTTCATGATTCGCACGACTGCAGCTTCGATGCTGGCGCCGCGCTCATCACTCATTCGCTTCTCTGTATCTTTCCGTTGGTCTTGATTCTCCACCTTGTTGGCGCTACCGCTGACAACGCCAATGCGTACTTTCATAAATGGACTCTGGAACTCGTGGTTGAAAAAAAACTTGTCGGTGGGTTTGACGTCCTTGCTCATAGGATCCTTCTTCAAGACCCGGGTCTTAGGCGCGACTGCTAGCGACTGCAAGTTACGAATCAAGTCGTGATCCGGAACCCTTGTCTGGGCTTGTATCTCTTCATATGTGAGAAATTCGCCTTGAGGCACATCGTTGAAAAGTAATAGGATGACCATGGCATAGGTGGAAACATTGAGTTCATGTCGTTGGACTTTGCCGTTGGACCTATGGAAGGTAGCCCGAATATCTGCCGTGCCCATACTAGCTTGCCATGATAGTTTCCGGCCATTGTGCTTGCTAAGATAAAACTGTTCAAAGCTTTGCTTCACCTTGTCAATCTCCTTGGGGAAGATGCAAGCAGGCTGGGCTTCCCCACCCTTGATACTAGACATGGCTTCCATGGGCCACATAGTACTGGTAAGAACATTGATTTCTAAGTCGATAGGCTTCTGATCCGGATCACCTGCCCGCCGCATATGGTTCTTGTAGCTAGTAGTCAAGTCCTCCGAAACCGTCATATCCTTGAACATGGCTTCTAAGCGTTGGGTGAACTGGTTGCCGACTTCCATCTTCATCTTGGATATCATCTGCCGCTCCGCATCCATGCTAACCGAGCGCTTCATAAGAAGACGCCGAGAAAGATGCTTCTTGTAGTACGCTTCGAAAAGGTCCTTGTCCTTCACATAGCGCAGCAGAGTTATGCCGTTGTCCAAGAGAGCATCCACCTCGGTTTCCGTTTTACCCTTGATGCCCTTTTTCAGGTTCTCATCAAAGAAGAGTGATAGATACTCGGAGCTGCGTGTATTTGAATTGATAAACTGTGAGAAGCTCGTCGTAATGGCACTTTGCATCGTTGGGTCGGACCTGAATGATTCCTCCCAAACCTTGTCGAATTTGTTCTTCAAGCCTAGTACATCGTCAACCCACTTGATAGCAGACACGGTCTGCTGATTCATGGGCTTCTCCCTCTCAGTGGGTTTCTTTCCACTGTTATCGCCCTTCTCTGCCGATCTTGTAGATAAAACTTGGCCTGCTGCAATTGCCGATTTGTTAATTTCGTCTCCCAGTTCCACAATGCGCTTCTGAACCGCAGCAGTTAGAGGGCCCTTTTTATTGTCTACCCTTGCGCTCAGTAAGTAGACATTTCGTAAAACATCCATGCGGTCATTGTCTAGCATATTCTTGATACCGGTGCCCTCCAGGTTGATGACTTCCGTAATATTTGAGCTGATCAGCTCTCGATCTAGTACCTCTTTGATTTTCGGCTCTGAAAGAGGTGATAGTGTAGAGAGACAGCGCTCTCTTTCCTCCGCTATGCGATCAGATGCAGCTTTACAGAATGCAGCGGCGTCTCCCATCTCCAGCAGCCGTTTTCCTTCTGCATTATAGAAGATCTTGCTCGTCTCTAGGAAATCCGGTTCGAACATGGTTAGATATAACTTTGATGACTCCTCTTCTGTTATGGTTTCGTAAAGACCCTCGAGCATATAGATGCAATGCCGAATCAGCTGCCGGTTTATCATCTGACCCGACCTTTCTAGCTGGATCATAAAGAGCACAGTAGACTTGAGCACATCAGCAACCGTAGATTCCGTATCGGAACGGGCCGCAGAGCGTAACACATAGTCACGAAACAAAGCCATGGAGGCGACGTATATCGAAGGCTTTTTATGGTCCGCCGAGATGACTCGATCCTAAAACAAGAGACCCAGGTCAACTTTGGTATAACAAACACATCCAGCGCGCACAGCCATACCATGTACATGAGAACGTCTGTAATCATTCCCATACAGATCTGATGGTCCTCCCAGGCCTCCCTCAATACACTCAGAAACTTCTCCCCGGTATCCCGCCGCTCGTTTTCTTGATCTTGTATCTCGACCTGGTCTTTCGACTGCAGTAGCATGGATGAGATGGCTGAAGTCACCCATTTCTGTACTTCGGTGGCGAGCCATTCTTTCTCTAGCCTTTTCACCCGCTCATATAACTCCTCACCGCGCATCGCAAGCACCATGTTGTAGGCGTTCCGATATAACTGCTCGAAGGAGAGGCTGGATGCATCTTTCGTGTGAATCTTTTTCAAAGCCGTTGACAAACCATCCCAGTTCGTCTCGAAGTCATCGGTTTTGTTGGTGTTGAGACCCTAAGACATGCTCTGTTAGTTCAGCCATTTTGATATAGTGACACTTAGCGAGCTCTATAGTCCGAACCATCGCCGTTGACGTAGGACTCGATCCTACTGCTATAGTATTTGACAAAACAGGATAATGGATGGAAAGGAGATGACTTACCCTCCGCGGAGCGCGGATCTTCTGCCTTGCTCTCAGAGACATCTTTTGATGATACAATAGCACACTGCCATTCACTTGCCCGCTGTTCGTTCTTGCGCGCGGGGCAAATCAGAGGAGCTGCTAGAAAGGACTCGGGAGAACACGGATTGAGCGGAGAGTAAGACCTATAAATGGGCTCGTAGAGCTTAAAATAAGGAGATACCGTGAGACATAAGCTCCTTTTCGCAGCTTGCAAGCTTGATCGAAACCGAGAGGGAGAGAGCGAGCAGCAGAATGAAGGCCGCGGAGGCCAAAGAAAGCTGGAAAAATAAAAAGTCCGGCGCAAGTCGAACCCTTTCTCCGTCATTCCCACGACCTTTCCTTCAACTTCCCCATTCATTTCCTTGGGTGATCAACATTTCCAATAATTCCTCCCCATCGGCTTTATATACCTTAATTCACCACCCTTATTCTCACCGATTTCATCATGCGCCCATTCACCTCTTTCCCGCGGGGCCTCCGCGCCGTTTATAGCTCTCTTCCCCCCCGAACTGCTATCGCGCGCTCTATATCAAGACCTTTTTCACAACTGATCGGCCGCTCTACATGGCCATCTCCTGTACTTTACTGGTCATCTGTTCAAATCTCTCTACCAGCTTCTACTCCACTCCGCCACAACTCCAGCTCCGCAAGACCCCTCACAGATCAGGCCGCTGACGCCGCCAGAGATGCGGAGAATGAAGAACAGAACAGAAAACGCCGAGAACAAGAACCAGCCTACCAGATCACCTTCACCTGCAAGCCGTGCGGGGAACGTTCTTCTCACCGTATGTCTAAACAGGGTTATCACCGTGGAACGGTCGTGATCCGTTGTCCGTCCTGCAAGAACCGTCATATCATTAGTGATCACCTCAATATCTTCTACGACAAGAAGATGACATTGGAAGATATCCTAGCTGAGCAGGGAGGGAAGTTGAAGCGGGGTTATGTGGAGGGCGATATGGAGTTCTGGGATGATGGATCGGTGAACCCAAAAGACGGCCAGGAGACGAAACCAGATCAAGGACAGTTGCCATAATTTATCTGTTCCGGTTTCTGACTTGATTTTGATTAATGATACAAGACAAAGACTGTTTGGTGAATGTGTTGAATTTGAAGGGTTGCGCTACAGCCTAAAAGTCTGCATAGAGTCGCGGGTTCCAAAGAGATTCGGGCATAAAGGCGTTATGGGTTGTCCCTTTTAGATACCTCTGAGACATTATATGTATACACTCTGCTCCGATATGTACTATAGATTTGATTATAATTTCGATGGAGATATGTTTTGTGATTAGGATTTTCAAATAATCTATTCCTTTACCCTCCCCTCAACGCCTTTTTTTTTGTAGAAACCAGTATGCAAACATATACATTCATAAAGAAACCCCACTCTATTTCTTTTACCATCCACGTCTTCTGCCCCGGTGTTCCATTCCCTTCTCCTTTCTCTTCTCACGCTTGCGGTCGTTCTTCCGCTTCTTGTCACGCCCGAATCTCTCGGGGTCCGTCACTGCCTCGATACGTCTCTTCACACGACGGCCCTCACGTTTCTCCTTGATGTTCTCTTGGACAAGGGCCATTTGGTTCACAAATTCAGTGGTACCCAGCTTCTTCTGGATAAGATCCAACACCTCATGGCAGTTGGACACAAGAGCCTTGTACGATTCTTTGAAGACCGGGTCGGATGAACGGGGTGGCGGAATGGATGAGTCGGTCATATGCTGAAGAGGGATAAGGATGATAGGGATAGAGGGCTGGATCTGCTCGGCATCAAGGTGGCGGCAAAGAGATGCTAGAAGACCAATGGAAGCGGTCTTCGGGATCAAAGATTGTGCTCGAGTGGTAAGCAATTCCCGACGTAGTACGGAGGACACTTGCTCAAAGATATATCGGATAGCGGGTTTAGATGAACCGGTTGCCTGTTCCTCCTTGTCCTCGTCATCGGCGTCTTCGCTGTCGCTAGCGTCTGATTCGGTAGCCTTGTCTCCCCTGCGAGAAAACTCGAGGCCGTTCTGAGCGCAGCACCGGGCAATGAAAATTATGTTGCGCACAGTTTGCATGGCAAGCTCCTCGCTGACGGCAGGGGTCCGAAGACAGCGGACACTGGCACGGATCAACTGCAGCATCGCCTCTCGGTCCAGGGCCAACCCGGCGGCGTTCGCCAATGGCAGTGAGCTGTAACCATTTGCTGCATTTGACTTGGCCAGGTCTGCAAGCCAAGTTCCAACAAGGTTCGACGCGCATGTTTTGACCCAGGCATGTGGATAAAAGAGACATTCCCGAATAGCAGTCCAGTTTGTTGTGCTTTCTTTGACCAGTCCGATCGTAGGGGCACTCTTGCAAACTTTCGCGTAGAGCTGGAGAGAGAAGTAAAGTGTCTGCCAATTACCTGTGTCATCGGCTTTCAGCACTGGCTGCATAATGCTAGGGAGAATCTCTCTGACAAAGCGGGCCTCCTTCTCCTTCTTGGTCTCCTCTACCTCGAAGTAGATCCGCATGGCCTGTAGTCCAGTGCTGGTCAAAAGCAAGTTATCTGTTTGTTCCAACCAGGAATGAAGAGGAATGAGAATGGTCTTCATTGTTTCATTGTCTGCCCGACTATAGAACTGACCGAGCAGGGCTCCGGCTAGCTCTCTACACTCAGGAACATCATCGTTTGCCATGACGATGACCAGAGGCAGGAAGAACGTGCCAACTATGTCCTGAGCTAGTTCCTGCCCGGTCTTGGACAGCAGATTATGGATAGCCTCCATGACCGATTGTCGACCGTCCGAATGCTTGTACTCCAGGTTCTTGGCCAGGAAAGCCAGTTGTTTTGTCCACCGGTTCTTGGCCTGGGGAAATTCGATCAGGAAGTGGATGTAGACGCCTCGCGCTAGATCACGCGCAGAGCGAGACTGGTTGGTAACCATCATGGTAGCGATATTGTCAATCAGTTCGTACATTTCAGGAACAACGAATTTCCTAGACATGACAGCCCTGATGAAGTTGAACGTGATGCCTTGACGATCTGGCTCCTCGATGTCGGAAGTTAATCGCTGTAGAAGGTATGCAAGATGTCCGTCCCTTAGCTTTATGGTCTTTCTCTCCCGTAGCATGGCTGCAATCAATTTCAAGGATGCCTGCGCAGCTTCGGTGCTTGTACTCGGCGCCTCCTTGATTAATTTGACAGCCTCGGTGAGATAAACGTGAGAGTTATTATCAATCTCAGGCAGAGGAAGCTTGATCATTGTAGAGAGCAGTCGAAGAGCAGAAATCTTGACTTCCTCCTGACCCTGGACCAAAGAATCACCAATAACAGGGAGAAATCCAGCCATGTTCGTCGGTGTAAGCAAGGAATCAAATTTGCTTAACACCGAGCGAAGAACATCAAGGGCGAAACGAGTCAACTTGTGGACGTAGGAGGTAGTGGTGCCTCGCTTTTCACCTCGCTTCGCACCATGAATTTTAATCAAGAAGTGTTCTTCGGCAGCAGATACAGCTCGCTTCTCAGTCTGCTCTGGTTGTTGGTATGACTCCTTAATGACTTCGTAACAGAACATCAGGATGTCGCGACTCTCTGCGCCGGGGTTTCGCAAAAGACCAACACCGATTCGCCGCAAAAGCTCGTCAGCTTTTCTCACGATGGTAGAGGTCAGCTTCTCTCGGAGTAGGGACTGCAAGGGCCTGATCAAATTCGCCAGGTTCCCAACAGTAGAGTTCTTTGCCAGGAGTTCCATGGAGTCGTAGCTCTTGTTGCTCTTGACCTCCTTCATCTTGCTCACGTAGTCCTCTGCATCCTTCTCCTGGCCAACAGTACCGAAAGTATCATCCATTACCACAGAGCTCAAATCCGCCAAACAGTAATCCAGGTCTCCTTGCTGAAAGTCATCCGTCGTAGCTACAAGAATGGAATGGACAGTGAAAGACAGAACGTGCAGTTGGTAACCCTTTGTGAGAGTAGTCCGGAGCTCCTTGAGTATATATCCAAAGTACACTGGACCCATCAATAGAGCGATGTCGTTCAGGGTCTTTCTGGCAGTGTCCCGGGCGTCTTGAGAACGGCTCTTCAGAATACTGCAAACATCCAAAAGGACGGGTGGCAATCGAATGGTCATATCTTGCTCCGGCAACAGTTTCAAAAGCTTAATGACGGTGACTGCAGCAGGCAAGCGCAGGCTCATCTGCGCTTCATTTTTGTGGTGAATAAAATTGGTCAAGAAAGGCGTAAAGTTGGTGGTCAACTCGGTTGCCACCTTGGATGCAGAAGGGATCGACCGAGCTAAGTTACATTGAGAAGCCACTGAAGTTTCAACTCCTTCCATTTCATCTTCAGTGGTCGTTTTGGGTGCACTGATTTGATTCATCGCGGTTGTTAAGGCATCTGACATCCTGCCTAGGAGCCTCAAGACGTTCTTCTCCATTTCTGGCTTACTCTGCATATAACTTTTATATCTGCGGAAGATAGCTCTGAACTGACTCCAGTCAAGACATTCTGCAAGAGCTCCAATAGTTGCCACAGCCTCTGCTATCAGATTGTGGGTGGCCTCATCAGCTTCTTCATCAAACACAAAGTGTTCATTGAGAGGAATGAAAATTGTGCTAATATTTGAAGCCTGCAGTTTGCCTTTGGATGCCTCGCTGGCAAGACGTCGTAGGGCTCGGAGACGGCGATGCTGTTGTATATGGAGGACATTAGTGAAAAAAGAGGCTTCGTCGTCATCATCAACAAGTAGGTCATGCATGTCCTGCACGTTTGGTCTGTTAGGATTGAGCTTGACGAAGTAGCCCAACGAAGAGATAAACTCAGCCCGGATAAGTTCTGATTTCTGCCTAACTCCATTCTGCAAGGCAGGGAACAAAACATCCTTTACAAGGGGCTCGAATTCCTCTAGGTCGGTGTTGGTAGTAAGAATAGCCCTTTCCATGAATCTTTTCAATCCAAACGAAGCACTCGATCTGATGGCAAGTTCCTCGTCATCTTTGACGTGATAGAGCATATTATAGAGGATAGGCCGCCACTGACGAGCATTGAACTTCTCCCAGAGATCATCGTTGACTTGTCTGAAAGCCTGCAACCGACGTTCGAAATCAACCTCCAACTTCTTTCGAGAGATTGAGTTTAAGTCTTCACAAAGAGCAGCAACCTTGGCGAGCTCAGGGTCATGTTTGGCAAAAGCGGCGAAAACCCTGGATAGAACCTCTCGGTTCGCTTGATCCCTGAAGTAGTCGAACAGGGAAGAAACTGCTTCAAAGACCTCATGGAAAAGCTTTGAATCCTCCTTGGGGTCATACAGAGGCAAAAAGTGCTCGAGGATCCGCAGCAGACCAGATTTAGTCTTTGGGGACACGCGGTCCGGAGGTTGGCGGAGAAGATACGTGGTTATGCTAACCAAGCTGGAAGTTTCCTTAGATGATTCGACACATGGGGCCATAATAGAAAGAGCTTGAACCCCAGATATCAAGACCAGTCGAGAAGGGCCCCGCTTCAACAAATTGCCTAGATGAGAAAGGGCGTGGTCTAAGTAAGGTGCTAGAACCTCGGAACGGATCTCGTCAGCCGGGATGTCGCCCATTTTCTCCTGTTCTTCGAGCTCCTTCCCAGTAGCGAGTCCAACTAGTGGTACCAGGATTTCATCCATAATAAACACCTTCACTTCATCCCGGGTAGAATCCACACTAAGACAGTCCACGATCTTCGTCAGTAGGGTATCATTATGTCGGACAAGGTAAAAGGACGATTTGGGGGTAGCAGCCCAAGTACGGAATAGTCTAAGAAGACCAGAGATGCCCTGAGTTGTTTCCGTTGCGAAATTTTCGAGTCTGGGGTTAATTGCCTCGTTAAAGATCACACGAACAAAAGGTGTCCAATCTCGTTCCGGCGAGATGGAGAACATAAGTTCCAAGCACTTGATACATGTAGATCGAATATTGCGCAACACTGTTAATAGTTTCCCCTTCTGAGAGTCGACCACATTTTCCGGTTGCGACTTTTCCAATTCTCGACATGCTCGAACCAGGCAGTATAGGACCACTTGCATGGACTGCTCCGCATAAGGCGCCATCCTGCTCTGTAGTGCCTCGAAAACCGTTTCTATCATCCTTAGCAAACCCATTTGCCTCCTTGGACTAGCCAATTCTCGTGTGAACGCCTCCTGCTCCACTTCACCACTCTGAATCAGGTGAACGTCGCCAAGAGGCCCGAATGAGACCCGCATGAAGATACCAAATTCATGATCAGGCAACTGAGCCAAAGCCCTCAGAACTGCCTTTCGTCGTCCTGCTTGACCAGCTTGACCTGCACTTGCGCCAGCCTTTGAGATCATTCGCCCATAGAGAATTCGAAGTAGAACGGGAAGCAGCTCGCCCCTGTGACCTTCTTCAATCATACTATCCTCCCCACCAACGTGAACGAATACAGAAAGCTCCTCCCTAAATCGCGATTCATCAAGAATATTCAAAAGGTTTTCCTTGTACGGCATAATATTCTGCGATTTCCAAGTAAAGAGAGCTTTGAGAGCAGACTTCTGAATTTCGGAATTTCCATGGCAGAGCAACCCAAGAAGGGCGTCGTGCACTTCCGAAGCCCTGAATAGAACGCGGGGATTCAAGTACTGACCGAAAAGAGCAAGATAAGCTAGTCGATCATGGAAGCCCCAAGGGACGTAGGACGTGGAGTCAGAAGATTTTGAATCAGTAGCAGAAGTGATATCTTCTTCATCGCGTGTTGCCCAGGACAGGAACAAGGGAACAACCTGGCGAGACCGTTTTTCGGCGATGTTTGGTGCAGCATTAAGGACACGTAAGGCTTGAGTTCGAGGGGCAGCTGGGATAACCTCTGAGAAGTGATGGTCCTTCTCAAGGCGCTGGTTTAAGGTCGAGAAAGCCTCGGGAGCCTCGAAATTCGTGGTGCCGACATTTTCAACCTGGGCTGCATTGAAGCATTGGTATTCCCCAGCCACGAACGAGTCCGTATTGGAGTCATCTTCCTCATCTCCAACGGATGGTGTATACCCTTTCTCTTGAAGCCACTGGATAGCCAGATCCGAAACTATCTTCTCTCCATCTACGTGCTCACTAATCGACTTCAAAGCAGCGGCAGAGTCATCCCACAGTGGAGCCATCTTCTTTGAGAAAAGGCCAAACAAAAAATTTGGAATCAACCTAGACATCCATCTCCTCGAAGCAACCTGAGGATAGGATATAGCCATCTTACGTACGTGCATAGACAGCTCTCTAGCGGACTGCAGTGTAAGGGGGCTTTCTTCAACTTCGATAGCCAAAGAAATCAGGGAAGGATCATCGCCAGAAGCTTGGATAATTTCCCGAAGGAGTTTAAGGGACACAAGCCTCAACTCATGAGATGGCCCGGCAAGATTCGTAATCAATACATCCGCAAACTCACCCAAGGCAGGCTTGTTCAGGTCAAGTTCTTTGGAGCAAGCCGAGACGTAGGCCAAGGTTGCCTCGAGGAAAACAGGTAGGCGAGAGTATCTAGAAGCTATGCCGCTAATCTGGTCCCACAGACTTGAGTCGACCTCTCCACAGTTCGATGCCAGCTCCACATAAGCTTTGAAGCCTTGGCCAATGAAGAACTTGGTCGAAAGTGACGGTTCAGACTCGTTGGTCTTCAATGCGCGAGATAGATGACCATGGAAGCTTTCGGTCATGTTGGGGAGGAGAGAAGGTTCTGTGGATAGGGATAGGGCACTGGGAAGCTTCGAATATGCATTAAGAAGCGTTACCTCCGTAACGCTAGGACGCTGAGCTTCCAAAGTCTTCTTGATCCTGGCTTTCCAGGGTGCCGGGCATGTGATGTAGCCAGGCTTGGAAACTTCCGAAGTTATACAGCCAGCCTGATTCAACCGAAGCAATATCAAACAAAGTTCGTATTCTCGCTCTTGCCACGAAGAGTTGACAAACCTAGTTTCAATATTAGTATGCACAGAAATAGAAGACACAAAAAGGAGATTCTCACTTCTGGAAATAAGGAAGGACCACGCCATGGAACCTCTCTGCGCCCCACTCAGAGAAAATGGCGCAGAATGACAGGAAATAGTTTGAGAGCGCATCGCTTGCTACGGTGTCCATGATCGAACGCATAAACGGTAGCATTTCATCCATGGGAGACACCTGAAGGGCATATGCCACCCCGGTGAGAAGCTGGTTTGTCGCTTCAGCATACGCACCAGGCGCAGCCGCAGCAGATTGCAGCAAGAGTAGCAAGGTCTGGTGTACCGTTTTCCAGTTCTTTACTCGCGAGCCTTTGCGAGTAGAAATACACAGGAAGATTAAGCGGCAATATGACTTAGCCTGTCGTGTATCGGCCTTTCGGCAATGGACTTCAATATGCGACTTTATCGTGTCCAGTATTGGTTCAAAAGTGTCAGAAACTGTATTATGCATGATGTTGATCAGGATGCCGCTCGCAACGTCCAGACCCAGGCTACTACGCAAGTCATCATCTGTAGGCACGTTTTCCAATATGCAACTGAAGATATCAGCGCCATTTGAGTGGAGACCGCTCTTAACACCTTTAATAGCGTCAGAAAACATAGCCATCAGCCCTTCCTTGTATATCTCCACATTCTTAGACTCCGCTGCCATTTGACGCAAGTCGTCGAGTAGGTATGAAACCGCACGCTGTAAGGGTGTACTGTTCTTATAATAAACTAATCCTGCTTTTCGGATAAGAAATGACATCGACTCTGCGGCAAACCGCGCCACAAATGGCTTCTGGCGTTCTTTTCCGAGATACGGGGTCATGATGCTTAAAAGCTGTCTCAAGTCCGGGACCAAGAGCCGGGAAAGGAATTTGAAGATCCACGCAAGACAAGAAAAGCACCATTCAACCACCTCGACTTCAGGATGAGTAGCAGCGATGGAGGCCACGAGGGTCACCGAGGTAGCGAAATGCTTTTCGAATCTCACTCCCAGATCCCTGGCAAACTGAGCGAGGAGACTCAGGAGCGGCTCCATAGACAAATGATCCCTCTTCTCAATGAACTCCACTAACAACCCCATTATCCTGTCCTCGTGGTACAGGATCTGAACTAAACTTTCGCATAGCGGATTAACTCGACGGGCGAACTGCGTAAAATTGTCGGACAAGTTCAACTCGGTCCAGTGATCGAATGCGGATCGGAAATGTGACGAGTTCTCATCCCCCTCATCTTCACCAAAGCTTGGCCGGCGCACACGGTGAATCGGATCGATCTTGAGTTTTGCGACGCGCTGCGAAAACGGCTCGAATCGATAGTTCTTAGTCGTCTCTGTTCCTTTCTTCAGGCGTTTCACGGACTTTGACCGCGAAGCCGACGACGCTGCAACCATCTTTAGGAAGGATGGCGAAGAGACGAGGCAGCGCCGTTTAGAAATATTTATATTCCAAGTGTGGAATATATCTGGATAGTATATTATTCTAGACAAAAAAATTCATCGGCGCCGCAGTAGCGTTATTCCGTGCGGAGATTAGCGGTGCTTGCAGGCTCTCCTCTAGCCTTATTAGGCTAGTAAAGATCACGTGGAGATTAAGGTTGGTCCAAGCTCCATAGACCGTTTCTAGCAAAAACCGACACGACGATAATGACCGAGAGCCGGCCCCGTACAATTTGAAGTTCATAAGGTGACAGTTTTAAATATAGGGCTTGAAGCCTATATCTATCTTGGACTAGCTACAATCACACCTCAAGAGAAGGATTGACTGCGCAGTGTACTATGCTTACAACGACCCTTGTATCATAGTACTGAAGCCGAACTACAAATTGAATAATGGCATCCAAGATGTGAGTCTGGACGCTCTCACATTTCCGACCCTCTCAATCCACTGATACATGTCCCAGAATTGTAATTGGCGGCGTTAACTGCCAGCTTAAAGAAGTATTCACGAAGCTAGCCAAACTCCAGGCCAAGCAAGCTTTCTCATTTGCTATTGTTGTCGGCGACCTATTTGGCAGCTGCTCAACCGAGCAGGAACTAGATGAGATCTCTGCGTTGTTGCAAGGAAACATTAATGTGCCACTCCCAACCTACTTCACTCTGGGTAGCCGGCCTCTTCCTACCAGAGTAATTGAAAGAATCGAGGCCAACGACGAAGTTTGTCCCAATCTCTACTTCTTGGGCAGACGCGGCACTCTGAAAACCTCTGAGGGTGTCCGGCTAGTCGCTCTTGGTGGTAAACTAGAGACAGAAAGTAAATCATCCGAAAAATACCATTCAGGATACACAGAATCGGACGCCAGGGCCCTCTACGGCTCCCATTGCGCCGATATCCTGATCACTCATCAATGGCCGAAGGGAATCCGCACGCGCTCTCAGGTGTCCATACCGGACGAAGCGACCAAGCCTGAAGAAGTGCAATGCGTTGCAGACCTTTGCTCGACCTTGAAACCTCGCTACCACCTTTCATCAGCAGACGGCTTCTTCTACGAACGGGAACCATTCTTCCACATGCCCCCGGAAGACAACCCCGAGGCAAAACCCCTAACCCGCTTCATCAGTTTAGCATCTTACAGCAAGACCTCCAAGCAAAAATGGATGTACGCATTCACACTAGATCCCAACGCCCCTCCAGCCTTGACCATCCCAGCCGGCGCAACCGCTTCCCCCCTTAGCCCCGTCCAGGCCAAACGGAAACCACTATCCAGCCAAAAAGAATCGTACAGCCGTTTCGCCGTCGATGATGACTACAACCGACCTCGCAAGCGTGCTCGCGGTCCCCCTCCAGGCCCAGACCAATGCTTCTTCTGCCTCTCAAACCCCAACATCGCCACCCACCTCATCACCTCCATCGGCAACGAAAGCTACCTAACAACAGCAAAGGGACCCCTCCCAACATCCAAAACCTTCCCCTCACTCGGCTTCCCAGGCCACATGCTGATCATCCCCTTCACCCACACCCCGACCCTAAACACCATCACAGAGGAAGAAATCCGCCTCTCAACCTACACCGAAATGCAACGCTACCGCAAAGCACTCCACGCCATGCTCAGCACTCGCACAAACCGTGCTCTCGGCGCCGTAACTTGGGAAGTCAGCCGCGGCAACGGAATCCACACCCACTGGCAATTCCTCCCCGTGCCCGCCGACCTCATCAACCGCGGCCTCGTCCAGGCTGCCTTCAAAGTCGAGGCAGAGAACCTGAAATATCCCAAGTTCGAATCGCCATCGTCCGGCGATCCCAGCGCCGAACCAGGTGATTTCTTCCGCGTCTGGATCTGGGGCGCTTCTTCCTCTACCGAGTCATCTGAGGATACCGGGACGGAGAAAACACTTCTTCTTCCCCTCGGTCCGGAGTTCCGCTTTGATCTCCAGTTCGGGCGTAGGGTTATGGCGAAGCTGATGGAGCTTGAGAGCCGGATCAATTGGAAGAATGATGTGCAGTCGCAGGAGGAAGAAGAGGCCGATGCAGCTGCTTTCAAGGATGCGTTCAAGGAGTTCGATTTTACTTTGGAGGAATGAAGTTAGGGCTTTTTTGTTTGGATTTTGTGATTTATGTGAATATAGAATTCTTCTATCGCTTCTTCAAAAATAAAGGAAAGGGTGTTAAGTATACCAACGATGTGTGACCTTGTGGTCGTGCTCTTATATGTATGTACTGTATCTATACGAACCAGAGTTCTGGCTGCAGCTCGGTGAGCGATCCGGTAGTATGAGAAGAAAACCTATCTTGCTTATTTATAGTACTCTATTCGGCATTTGCCGATGCGAATATTACTGTATTGGCTTTAACAGATTGTATCCAACTCTTTTTGAGGTTGGCTCGGGAAAGTAATAAGTTTAGCACAGGCTACATATCCCGTTCCTAGGGCTACAGAAAGCCCAGTACATGTGTTTTGTAAAGACTCGGTATCTCCCTCGTGGATTCAATATAAGCTAAGGATATACGATCGAATTTGAAAGAAAATCAAGCAGGCAGAGTATGGCGTGCCGTTGGTTTATACTGGACAATGGCCGCGGCCGGTCCGAAAACTTCGACTAGAAAGATAGAGTCACCCGTGTAGAGCTCTTGAACGTTGTGAAATTATCATGGTCATCCGAAAATACATCATGTGGAGGTTCCGATCAATCATCTATCAAAAGAATTGTATGTACAAACATGAGACTAGAAAAGCGGGGATATCATGAGATGGTCTTTTACATCACTCAGATAGAGATAGAATGTGACAGCGTAGAGAGAGAAAGAAACAGTAAACAAGTTTAAAGGAAACCCCAGAACTATCTCCAATTGGTTGTAATGGTCAATGTACATTGCCGTGATCAACACCCATAATGTACGAGGTTCAGGTTGTTCTTTCTGTACAGCAAAACCAAATGCCCAAAAACGCCATAGAATTGCCCACCAGACGAGCATATGTACCATATCTCTAAGAATATAATGGAACCTAAGATTCCAGGTAGCGCGAATTGAATCATCACACGTTGTACAATAGCGCCAACTATGTCGACTCTATATAGAAGACATTACAGAACAAACCGGCTTGGGAAATTGACATTGATACACTGAAGTCACTGGGTGTCGTGTTCAATTGATCACAGAATCTCGAATATATCAATAAGGGATGACTAAACATCCTTGGAAGAATTGGGAACAGCCTTCCGTCCGCTTTGTAGGAGGCTCGGGGGCCTGCCCGAGTCATGTATCATTTCATGAGGAGCGGGACTGGATGTGAATGGCGGAGGTGGCGACGAAGGAATGGAGGGAGACGTGTCCCTAAAAACCGGTTCGGTGTTTAACGGAGGAGGCATTGCCCTGTAAGCAGGTTCAGAATTGGGAGGAGGCATTGCCTTGTAGGCGGACTGAAGGTTAGGAGGCGGCATCGCGCGGTAAGCGGCTTCTTGGTTAGGGGGAGACATCGCCCGGTAAACAGGCTCTTGACTGGGGGAAGTCATTGCTTGGTAGACTGGGGTCGAGTTTCCAGGGGTCAGGGCTCTGTAAGACGGTGCGGAGTTCGCAGGAGACATCGTCCTATTGATAGGCGATTGATGGATGCCAGGAGATGGTTGCCGATATGGTATAGGACGAGCGCCATCCGTGGATAATGCCATCCCAGGCGCATGGCTGATGGCTGGGGATGGTTGACGATACGGTGCAGGAGAAGCATCAGCTGACGGCGAGAGGGCTGTGCCAATGGGCATATAGTGGGGTTGAGACGCATATGCATGAGAATAATCACCATAGGATTGTTCATATGGTGAGACGGGGCCAGGAGACGCCACACCGGGGGAACGAGTACGGTAGGCGCTCTGGTCATCGGGGTAATAGCTAGAAGAAGTGAAAGCCGTGCCGGTCCTGACAAGTGGAGGAGGCCCCATGTAGGCACCACCACCTCCATTTAATTGTGGTACAGATGGCGTTCGCCGAGGTTTTTGGTTGGAAAGGTTCAAAGGTTCCATCTCCATTGCATCCTGGTGGTGGGAAGGGTCTTCGACCCTTTTGGTTATAGCACTATCCCAAGTGGGCATCGCCGGCAACGCATCCTCATTGCCTTTCGAGTTAGCAGGGCTCGGAGGATTGTCAAACCGTGCGACCTGCGCTCCACGATATGTAGGGAGAACCGGGGGTGGAGGAGGTTGATAAGGATTGTTTACCGGAGGCGGAGGCATTTGTGGAGGGGGTTGGTTATATGGCTCATCCAAGTATTTTGGTTCCTTCTTTCGACGAGGAGATGGACAACAGCATGAACAACACCCGCAACACTTGCAGCATTGTATGCCACAGCACAAGCAGTTTATTATGCATGCCAGAATAGAGATAACAATGACCCCACCGACAATGATCGCAACGATGACAGGCCATCTAGATCGTAGGAGTCAGATTGGCAGATACGGCATTTTGTAGAAGCAGAACACAACTCACTTGCAGTAAGATTTGGCCATGCAATTGTCCCAACTGGATAATGTCTCAGGAGCGGACTTGAGGTCGCTCACAAAGTCCCGTGGCCATATCGGGAATGGCGTTGTATCCACAGGACTCATTCCGGCGGAATATGAATCTCAGATTGGGTTCTCCAACCCCACTGTCAATAGCAATAGTCCAGGCTAAATGCGACCGTTCCTTATTCAGATGTCACTCTCATAAGGCAATCGCGATTACACTGACATGCGACAGACATGTGCTAATCCAATCGACCGTTAAGAAACCGGGACAACCCACAGCCCAAAATCTTTAGGTTGTTTTAGTAGATACAAGTCCCACTTGCATCGGCGAACAGGAGAGAATGAGCGGTTTGGTTTGCGACGTCGGCACAGAATGTTGAAAGAATGCAGATTCTGAATCTTAGTATCTTGAGGTACGAAATACTGTTTCCTCACAAAAGCAGAAAGATAAAAATATCACAATAAAAAAGGAATGATTGGAAGAAGAGAAAAGTTTAAAGAACGGTGGTGCCTGATAGTTGGTGCATCCAAAAGCTATTGCAGGGCAAAGGGCACTGCCTCCAGGGGCGACCGAGGTTAGTTTGGGTGACAATATTTCGAATGAAAGACAAGGTTGGCAGATAAGGAGGGACTGGATTCAGTTGCCCGCAAGTACAGGGTTGGAAGGGCGAGTAGAAGGAGGGAAGGGAGGCAACAAGGGCAAATACTAGAGAAAGAAGGAGACGAAAGAAGGTTGAATAAAGGGAGAGAGAAAGGGAGAGAGAGAGAGAGAAGTTTTTTTTTAACAGGGATCAGCGCATGAGAGAGAACCAAAACGCTCATCACAATTGTCTGCGATGGAGAAGAAATTCGGTCCGGAGCCGATCCATGTGTTCTGTTCTAATGGAGTATTACATACATACATCCAGGTAATAAATACCCTCCCCTCATGCTCCTCCAGTGTGTTAATCTGATCCTCTCCCAAATACTCCAACTTCATTGGCAGTTGCAGAACTCGCAGTGTCCACTCGATCATTTTAGTACAGAATACGGTATATAAGCAAGCATAGAGTAGATTGCTTGGAGACTCGTGGGTCTGATACCATCGTCAATGTCTTTAAATGAGGTTAAATTAGTTTAAAGGTCTTTTTCTTCCTAGGCTTTAAGCGAGTTCCAACTCCAAGCCTATAAAAGAGGAATTTTACATCTCCACGGGCCAATGGTTCTGTAGGAAATTAATTCCCTTCTAGTCTCATTTCGGTGCAATACGAGGACACAAAACTCAAGACATCCACTTCATGAGATTTTAGGGATGATCAATACCTTCACATCTATTGGGAAATAATAAAATACAGAACCGACGCCTCGCTAGCACCTCATGAGATTATAATTCGCATACCACGAGTCAAAATCGCAGAACTAGCCTGTACAGATTTTTTAGCGAGCCTTTTAAGTTCAGAGAAAGTCGAGATCGTAATAGCCCTGGAGGTCATTATAGTAATAAATAAGATATCGAGGTATGATAACAAACAGAAAAGGAGCTCAGACCCATCATACATGCTCTCTGCTGCATTCTCCTTGCTTGATTTTGAACAAAGAAGCAGGGCGCAGGAGATTCCCAAAAGTTGACACCAACGCCTTGGATAATAGAATGCCCATCATGCGATCATTTCGAGTTCGGATTAAGGTCTCATTTAACGACTACTGCTCGCGAGAGACAATTATACTTTGTTGGCATTTGGAGGAGTGCCCGGCGGTGGCTGGTAGACCCGATCGCCTCCATTGTGGTACGCGTGCGGCGGGGACTGTAGTTCGATGCCCGTTTGCTGCCCTCCGAAATAACCGTAGGCTTGCGGTTGGGGGGTATACTGAGGCGGTGGCTGTTGTTGGTAATTGGGGTCTGAATAGTAAGGATGTTGTTGTTGTTGTCCATAGGGAGGCGGGCCAGCAAGCCAACCAGTGCCGGGATGGGGTTGAAGGCCGCGAGTGCGACGGCGGCGAGCGTTATAGCATCTAACAGGACGTTAGCCTCATGCAGCTTGTAGCCAAGGAAGTGAGTAACGTACGCAAATAGAAAAAATATGATGAAAGCACAACCAACAATGACGGCAAACGCTACCCAACGGCCCCAGTCATACCAGCTACTCGGTCTGCAGACATAGTCTCCCCAATTATTAAATTCACTACAAACACACTGTTAGTTTTCTTTTACATTGGCTCTGCTGCCATCTTCCAGTCTTGGATATACTCACCACTCTCGACGGGGGTAGATGACACCCATGGTGATTGATTGAAAGGCCTCTTTACCCGAGACAGACGGTAAAGCGGAGAATGACGTCGATCACTTGGATGAGAGAGAGCGTCTGTTGCTGTGAATTCAGCAGGTTATGAGAGTCAAAACAAATGAACAATCCTTCAGAAACGAGATTGCCAAAATTCGAAGAGCCTTTTGTGGTACAAACGAAAGAATTCGGCCAGGGCCAATGCAAGGGGAAGAAAAGAAAGTGAAGTTCTTGTACGTTCTGAAGGCAGCAACGAAACCACGGGAATGGCGCGGGTGAAAATTATGGAGACAAGAAATTGGGACTTCCTGTGGCTGGTGCTTGGCGGCCTTACACCAACCCGTCTGGTTATTCTTGGGTTACTTCCCCGGTGGGTAATAAGAACTGGGTAAGGATGCGCAATAGGGCTGGAAAAATAAAAGAACAGGGGGTAACTTTACTTTTAAATAATAATAATAATATGTCTTTATCCCTAGGTCTTATTAGAGAACTTCATTATTATTCTTGTCATGCCAAAAGCCCCTGTAATATTTATACCTAAACACACGGTGAGTTACTCCGAGTGGCAAGCGAAGAAGAGTTTCAGTCGCCTCGGTATTATTTATTGGATGTATAATCACGTCTAAGCCACTCAACAAACAACCTTAAGTAAGCCCCCTATGTACTCTCCGTAGAAGGAGATCAATAGTTTGGGAATGGCTGTGTGTGCTACTTCCGCCCGGTTACTTCGGCTCGTTAAACCTTGGAGTCTCATGATCGAGTGTGCACAGCCTACATGATTATGAATGGTTTCGGTTGGTTTCTATAAAGTATTGGGATTCATGGTGTTGAGTATGAGTAAGAGATCTTATGTAGCGCCTTAATAATGTCTTATACTCCCGACAAGTGAGAGCGTCGCACTGATATATCAAAATTCCTCAAGTTCAGCTGTTGTGAGTTATTAGTACAAACATATGACAGATAACCTGGTTTATAATTAATATATTGGAAAGAAAATGGGGAGGAAATAAAGACCAGTCAACTCCGAATATCTTATACTCGTATTTACTGCATGGTTGGCCTCAAGTAATTGGATTCACTGCAGGAAGAGCAAGATTAAAAAAATGGAAAGAAAAGAGTGGTCCAAATTAATTGTACAGTAGTAGTACCTGAACCAGATCACTCCACTGTATACAACTCCGTACTGCAAATTGAATGTTACGATCACCAGGTCACTTTGTGACTGATATATTCACAGGGGTATATGGAGTGAACAGTGATTTGCTCGCCATGGGTCTATGAATAAGGTCCCAGGAAAGCCTTTGAACTTTCGCAGGTGTTGTTGGCGGGGTTGGATTTGCTGGTTCGCATGGAGGGCTTGATTAGTTCCCGTCTTCGCATCTGCAATGCCAACGCATCAGTTGGTCTGTGTGCTTTTCCTCAACACGATCCTCATAAATAAGACAGGCGCCGGTGGCTCTGTTACCCCCCTCGCTTGCTTTTTCCTTCTGCCTTGTCCTTTGACTCTTGTATTTTCTACAGAATCGTGGATTGGCCTGGTGTTCACCAGCCCAGATACATCTAATCCCCGAACAGCCACGGATTAATGCTCACATTAGACATTGCTCTCGAACTCACGTGCCTTCCATCTCGGGCATCACAGATTCCAAATCCACACACTATGATCTTTGACCTAAGGCCACTAAAAATTACACAGAAATGGGTCATCATGCAACGAATGAAATTAACAAGGGAAATTGGATGAATGCAAGAACCCAAGACCCCAAATAAAGGTAACAAGTAAAGAGACAGAACAAAGAATTGAACATCAATGACGCTAAAGCTTAATGTGCCTGGTTCACATCGTCAACATCATTACATCGGAGGCTGCAACCCAAGAAGTTGCGAGTCTACAGAAATTAGGGGCTCGCAGCCTGAAAAGAGAGCGTGAAGCAGGACAGACCCTGCCTACCTGATGTTCCCGCAACGTTTATCGACTGGCTCGGGCAATTAACCAATGCAGAACGGCATCGAGGTTAGTCTCTTCTTTGGCACTGATACCATAGCAGCTCACTTCGCGGTGGGTAATGGACTTGAGGTCCATCGCATCAATCAGTTCATCGACCGACAGTTTATTTGGAAGGTCGGACTTATTCCCAAGGACCAAAAGCGGAATACCATCTAGGGTGGACTTGTTCATCAAGTCGTGTAGCTCATCTGTGGCAACCGGAAGTGCAGCCCGGTCTGCTGCGTCAACTATGTAACTGGCCTGAATGTCAGAACAGCGGCAGCGGCAGCGGATCCATTTCATAGAGGACAAAGAAGACGGCTTACACTATCGCATTGACACCACGGCAGTACCGCTCCCACATTGGTCGGAACCGTGGTTGGCCCCCTAGATCCCAGCTGGACGGCTGTTAGCGAACCCGATAGGAAATCAAGTGCTGGTACACTGACCATTTCAAGGTCACATGGCCTTTCTGAACCCGCTTCGTGTTGAAGCCAATGGTGGGGATGGAACTGTGGGGGGTCTTAGCAAGGAAAATGACAACCCTTGCGGCTAGGCTAGGCCTACGCGCTGACTTACTCTACAGTAAACTCGCCTCCCTACATGATTCGTTTGGTCACGTTAGCGACGATGGTCGAAACAATACTTGTTCGGTCGGTTCGGGATGGACGGAGGAGGCATACCGCAAGCACACGCAAAAGCGACGATTTACCGGCATTCTGAAGCCCGATCATGGTGACATCCATCTCCGTCGCCCTGCAATATTGAAATCCACAATACCGATCTTAGCAGGCCGAACCTTTTTTTTTCCTTTTTATTTTTATTTTTTTTTTTTTTTTGCGGGGACGGGCCGGGGAACTATTTCCGGGAGAACCGCAACAGCAATGATTTATTGGAACAGCGGCCCACTTACCAAAACATCCTCAGGAGCCAGTCATAAATCGTCCGAAAGATACCCGCCATGTTTCGTGATTGAAGGCAAAAAAAAAAAGGAAAAGGGAAAGAAAAGAAGAAAAAGAAAAAGGCCTCAAGGTTCGATATAACAAGAAATCAACCAAAGGGGAATGAAGCGAAAGAAGAGACCAAGAACGGTCGAGGGGGAAAATTAACGAAAAGAATGGTTGATTGTTCTTTCGTGAAAGTGGCGACGGTGGGCGAAGATATTGAGACCTAGGATAAGAGTTTTGTAAGGTTAAGAGTGGGGATGGTGGGTTTGTTGAAAGGTCTTGAATCCCGCGACTCCGGCGGAGCACCCAAACAATGAATGTAGTCAAATAAGAGGTGAGGAAGAAAACTTGAAGTAGGCCTAGTGGTAGTGAATTTGGGGGAAGGGAAAGAGACGGCGGAAGAGAGACCTGAGGTCTGGAAGAGGAACGACACCGAATCAAGTCTTTGAAGGGGGCGGCAGAGAAACTCCCCAGGCCTAAAGCGTTGCGGAGAGCGGCAATCTTTTCAGTTTCAGGAGCTTTCTTCTGATGAGGGAATAAGGAATGATATTTCTTCTTTGATCAATGCCTTGCGGTGAAACTAATCTGCTCCGATCTATGTGCACGCATGACCGCTCGTTCTGCGCCGCTTTGGAGGGGAGCGCTTAGTGGCCCCTATCACTCATTTCCGTCAGTCTGGACGAGGTCAAAGTCCCTACAGGAGTTAGTCGAGGCCAGTGGTTTGGTCGCACGAAGAAGATCTTGAAATTGCTAGGAGGGAAACGAATGATAGCGATTCAATTAGTAGGTTCGAGATATTATTTGTAATTGACGGTGTATGCGCTTTCCGGTCTTATCTGGATCCTGAAGAGGCAGCAAAGAAACAACAAAAGCCATGAACTACCACAACGAACTACTTCAATAACGAATGCCCACGAGCTATCGGTGTGTTTGCCTTGTTGCCTAAGGCGGCGTCCCGTCCCGCACATAGGTCCCGTGATGCAAACCTTGCATAACGTGCTAATCCTCTGTTCTGCCTCAGTCAGACGGATCGGTCTTCAACCTCCATCTATCAGCACGTGATGATATCTGTCCGCCGGTTCCACCTCGAAAAATTTCCCGGTCACAGCGACAAGAGGCTTCATTCAGACCAGCGCTCGTACTGCCTATTGTGAGTCTCATTCCCTCTGGGTCACTCGGTCATTCTTTGTCCCTCTTCATATATATCTGCGACAGGGGGGGATGAGCTCTTGAGGTTAACCCAGTCATATTCATTCACTCTGACTGGAGCCTCTAGTTGTATAGACCTAACCTATAATCGAACTTTTTTTTTTCCACCTCCGATATTCCGGGAAGAAAAAACGTTTTCATCGGTCCAAGAGCATACAGCCCACTATGGCTCCTGCTAAGACAGACACCACTTGGACTGTCAATTATGATGTTCTTAGACGGGAGCGGCTTTTTAAGAACCCTCCCCAGGATCATACCGCTTATCCTTCACTAGCAGCCTCTATCAAACCGCACATTGACTCTTTCAATGCACTCTTCGAAGACAGCAAGGTTTTAGAGGCCGGATTGAAAGATATTGGTACCAAGACATTCATCGATGGAGAAGCAGAAACGCCTGAGCAGAAGAAGGCCCGGCAGGCAGAGGGTCGAAAGGCACCAAAGCGGAATAAGCTCCACGTTCGCGTCAAAGAGGTCTTTCTTGAGAAACCCGCCATTCCTCCGACAAACAAATTCACCACTCGCAACCGCAATATCTACCCATCTGAGTGCAGAGAGAGACATGCGACATATCGTGGCAAACTGCGCGCAAGGATTGAATATCGGGTTAACAATGGGGACTGGATGGAGTCTGTTAGAGAGCTGGGTCAGGCTCCTATTATGATGCGGGTAAGTGGTTCTAATGGACTTCAGGCAAGATTTCTTGTTTCCTGACTGGGCTAACACGAGCGTGGCAAACAGACCAATCGGTGCCATTTGGAGAAGGCGACTCCCGCGGAGCTGGTTGATCACAAGGAAGAGTCTGAAGAATTGGGTGGCTACTTCATTGTAAACGGAAACGAAAAATTAATCCGAATGTTGATTGTCGGAAAGAGGAATTATCCAATGGCCATTGTTCGCGGCTCTTTCGTTAAGCGTGGCCACACATATACCAAATTCGGAGTCCAAATTCGATCCGTTCGTCCTGATCAGACATCTCAAACTAATGTCTTACACTATCTGAGTGACGGTAATGTTACTTTCCGTTTCTCATGGCGCAAGAATGAATATCTCGTCCCGGCGATGATGATTCTCAAGGCGCTGGTTGAGACGAATGACCGCGAAATCTTCGAAGGACTTGTTGGTAATGCCTCTTCTGAAGGAATCCACAACACTTTTGTCACGGATCGCGTGGAACTTTTGTTGCGGACTTACAAGGGGTACAACCTACACAGCCGCTCCGCCTGCCGGTCTTATCTGGGAGAGAAGTTCAAGCCTGTCCTTGGTGTTCCTATGGACATGTCTAATGAGGATGCTGGCACAGAGTTCCTGCGCAAGGTTGTCTTGCCGCATCTTGGTAACCAAAATGTCACCGAAACTCAGGACTACGACAAGTTCAAGTTGATCATGTTCATGATTCGGAAACTCTACGCTCTTGTTGCTGGTGACTGTGCTCCTGACAACCCCGATGCCGTTTCTAACCAAGAGATTCTACTTGGTGGTTTTCTCTACGGGATGATCTTGAAGGAAAGACTGGAGGAATGGGTCAGATCTTTTGGTCCTATCCTGAGGGACTGGAGTATGCGCAACCACGGGGCGACATTCACCGATTCCGCATTCGAAAGGGACTTCTTGAGTAAGATTGTGAAGCGGTCAAACGAGAACATTGGTGGTGCGCTGGAGTACTTCCTGTCGACCGGTAACCTCATCAGTCCGACAGGTCTCGATTTGCAACAGACCTCTGGTTACACGGTCATGGCTGAAAAGATCAACTTCTATCGATTCATCAGTCACTTCCGAATGATTCACAGAGGAAGCTTCTTCGCACAGTTGAAAACCACCACTGTCCGTAAGCTGCTTCCTGAAAGTTGGGGCTTCTTGTGCCCAGTCCACACACCTGATGGATCGCCTTGTGGTCTGCTCAACCATCTTGCACATAAGTGCTTGATTGCCACTAGTGATATAGATGTTTCTCACCTCCCAAGATTACTAGTCCAGCTTGGCGTGCGTTCTGAGTCATCCGTCTCGCTGGAGGAAAGTGTAACGGTTCAGCTGGATGGCAGGATTATTGGTTACTGCTCACCGAAACAAGCTCGTATGATCGCTGATACCCTGAGGCATTGGAAGGTTGAGGGAAGGCACAATGTCCCTCGAGAGCTGGAGATCGGATACGTCCCTAACTCTAACGGTGGCCAATATCCCGGTATTTACATGTTCTCTCAAGCGGCTAGGATGTTCAGAGAGGTTAAGTACTTGCCTCTCGACGGACTTGATTACGTTGGACCATTCGAGCAGCCTTTCATGGAAATCGCCTGCTTGCCATCTGACCTTGTCGCGGGTCTCTCGACGCATATCGAGTACACGCCGACAAACATCCTCTCGATTGTGGCTAACATGACTCCTTTCTCCGATTATAACCAGTCGCCTCGTAACATGTACCAGTGCCAGATGAGCAAGCAAACAATGGGAACTCCGGGCACAGCTATCGACTACCGTACAGACAATAAGCTATACCGCCTGCAAACAGGACAGACACCGATTGTACGTCCTCCGCTGTACAACGCGTATGGTCTGGATAACTTCCCGAACGGTACGAATGCGGTTGTCGCTATCATCTCATATACGGGCTACGACATGGACGACGCTATGATTATCAACAAATCCTCACACGAACGTGGATTCGGTCATGGTACGATCTATAAGACTAAGGTCCACTCCCTTGATGAGAAAGATTCGCGGAGACACAAATCCAGACGCGAGATCACAAAGTTGTTCGGATTCGCTCCGGGAGGCGAGATTAGGGCCGAGTGGCGTAACACTATTGACGAGGACGGTCTTCCTCACATCGGTGCTAGGGTGAAAGAGGGCAGTCTCGTAGCTGCATGGCATAACGTGCGTTATGATGCAGCTTCGGACACCTACGTGAATGTCGATGGTATCACGCATTTTGTCAAGTACAAGGACGCCGAGGAAGGATACATCGACAGCATCCGTATCATGGGAGCCGAGACCGGTATTGAACCATGTCAATCCCTCAGCGTCAAGTATCGTATCCCAAGAAAACCTGTTATTGGTGATAAGTTCTCTTCCCGTCACGGACAGAAGGGTGTTTGCTCTCAACTCTGGCCCGCAGTCGACATGCCCTTCTCCGAGAGTGGCATTCAGCCCGATCTGATCATCAATCCTCACGCTTTCCCATCCCGTAAGTTTCCATAACCTGGTCTTTCATCCACCAAGAAGCCTCAGCTGACTCATGACCACAGGTATGACAATCGCTCAGATGATCGAATCAATGGCCGGCAAAGCCGGTGCTCTCCACGGCCACCCCCAGGACTCGACCCCCTTCCAATTTTCGGAGGAGAACACAGCCGCCGATTACTTCGGCCAGCAGCTTCGCAAGGCAGGCTACAATTACTTCGGCAACGAACCCCTTTACAGCGGTATCACCGGCAAAGAGTTCGCCGCCGATATCTTCATCGGTGTCGTCCACTACCAGCGTCTCCGTCACATGGTTAACGACAAGTTCCAAGTCCGTACCACTGGTCCCGTGAATTCCCTGACCGGACAACCCGTCAAGGGTCGTGCCAAGGGAGGTGGTATCCGTGTCGGTGAGATGGAACGTGACTCCCTCATTGCCCACGGCGCAGCATTCATCCTCCAAGACCGTCTCATGAACTGCTCCGATACCCAACGTGCCTGGATCTGCCGCGACTGTGGCTCTTTTCTCTCAACACAAGTCGCCATCGCTGGTGGCTCTAGCAAAGCCCGCAGCCAAGCCGCCGCCGCTGCCGCCGCGAAGGCCGCTTCTAGCCAGCTTACTCAGGGTGGCGGCTCTTCCGGCATCGTCCGCTGCAGACGCTGCGCTCGTGAAGCTGTCTTCGATGACTCCCGTGCCGTTACCTGGGAAGATGGCGAGGGTCGTCGCTACGTTGGCGGTGATAATGTCACCGTCGTCGCTGTTCCGGGTGTGCTTCGGTATCTGGATGTTGAGCTTGCTGCAATGGGTATCAGGATGAAATTCAAGGTGGACAATTAGTCATCCTTTTACTATGAGATTATGTTGATTGCATCGTGTGTTCAAAGCGGAAGGGGTAAAAAAAAAGAGGACCCTGTCAAGGTTTCACGTTGCCAATGCAAAAGCTTTGTATAGATGGGGAGTATTTAGCAATGTCTGGTTCTTGGACGCGTCCGTATCTGTATTTATCTGTCTGGGCTGAATTTTTTGTTTAATATATCATAGCATTATTGTATTTTTTCTCCCTCTAGCTTTATACTGAGTTGTCATACTATATTGTCCAAATGTACAATACGAGTAATGGTAGAAAAACCCTTTTTTCAAGTTCAGCTCATTATTAATGGATAGAGTCGTACTCCTGCTAACGATGGGCGAAAAGGCAACAACTCATAAAGAAATATCTTGTATGCCTACGTAAACAGAATAGATATATCACGTCCACTATGAGAAACCATCTAAGACACTACATATTACAGTTCCGACGTAACATTTGAGAATTCGCCCTTCTCCAGCTTCGTCTTCCAGAAGATCGGGTTCATGTCGTCGAAGCCATGATGCACCCATCCTTCTTCCTTGACGTGGTACAGGTTGATGAAACCACCCGAGTAGGCGTCACGGTGCATAGCAGCCAGAATACTTCTCCGGCCGAGCTCAAGGGCCTCCTCCTCGGTCAAGTCGTACCGGTAGTTGGCATCCAGCACACCGTAGGCGAATGTCTGACCAGATCCAACACAGAAAAGGTTGCCCGGAAGGCGGGTACCGTCTGAGTCAATGTAATAAAGAGCGGGTCCTTCTTGAGGGGTCATCTACAGATTGAAAACGTATTAGCCCGGATTTTGCCCTAGGGGGATCCTACTGGAACTTGACGGTTCACATACTCCTGCCAACATTGTTCCCATGCTCAGACCGTATCCCTTGTAGGCGTATGTCAGGTTGGCGAGAATCTTCGAAGCAGCTGCAACAGTGATGCGGCGCTTGTGACGGATTTCTATTCATTATTAGTATCAACGCCATCTCATCTCGAGAAGAAGAGAGGAATGCCAAGACAGCTTACCATGAAGTGTGCACTGCTGACTCAAATATCTGAGCCAGTATTGACAATCCTATAAAACCGATCATCAGCGCATTGTCCCAAATCGCATCAAAAAGAAATATAAAGCGCCGTTCATCATCCTAAACATACCGCAGCACCTCCAGCCATAGTACCTAGGAGACCGGGAGTCGGAGCATTGTTCGGCTTATCCTCACCCCGACTCAACCGCGAGACAGGAATAACCTTCTTCACTGTCTGACTAGCAATCCAATTTCCAGCAGTGGCTCGAGAGTCTGTCGCGACAATCTATAGTGTTGTTTGTTAGCGGAATACGAGGGGGACCAGCTAATTGAACGGCGTACAATTCCGCCCTGGAATCGGAAAGCTAGTGTCGTCGTTCCGTGGGCAAGTTTAATGGGACAGCTTGGGTTCGAGTGATCATCGGTCATAGCACGGAGCCATGATCTTGACTAGGTAAAGAAGTTGAGTTAGCTAGGGTCTCTGCTTATCCGGTATAATATCCCGGCGCTCTAGCGTTGGGTAGGTAATTTGTAGCATTGCTGCTACGCTGGGCCCAGCGCTGAAGTCACACATAACCTTCATTGGGTGGTAGCTCACGTTGTCAACTGGAGGAAGGTTGAATTTCAGTGAGAGGGGAGGAAGACTCTCTGTGAGGTCATGTTGCTCTTGTTCGGAGTAGAACTCATTCTGGTGGACCGAACGGCTATATTGGGCAACCAACTTATCCATGATGGGCGGCTGTCTAATTCGGAATGTTGGAAAGGATAAGAGCAAGCCGTAGTTGATATACAAGCGTAGAGGGAGAAGGGTTGGGATGGAGGAGGTTGAGGTTTCTGGGCGGGAGAGCGAGAGAGCTTCCCAGATGATGCTGTAGCTCCGCGTCACGCTGGCCGCCTGCGGTCACGTGGGTCGCTTACTTCCACCTTATCGTTCTTATCAATGCCTTCATACTCTGTCCATCTATCATACTGTCTCAAAAGAATAAATCCTTTCTCTGTTTAATTGATCCGAAAAATAACCAGTGCTTACAGTCGCATACTAATTATACATAATAATGGAAAATAACAGCAAAGAGGATAAACAAACACAAAGATACAACTATCGACCGGCTTAATATGGAACAGCCACTGCTTGAGGAATGCCCAAGGCGGCTTGGGGCTGCTCCTGAAGCTTTTCCCGAGCAGATCTTACTTCAGCCAGAATAGAACCATCGTTATCATCTACAGCCTGTGTCACCTCCGTTCCTTCGGTCAGTTCAGTGGAGGGCTCGTCAAAGTGCCTGGTCGGATCTGTAATGGACTCATGAATGCTTTTATTGGAGATGTTTTCAGTGGCCTGATCAGGTGTGTCTGTGACAGGTTCGTCGAAGCCTCTGGCTGCAATGACGGACTCAACCTGTTCCTTTGTACCAGGAATGGTTTGACTAGTGTCAAGAACTCCAGATGTATATCCAGTAACACCGGAAGCTCCTCTATCCACGCCCCTCGCCACCTCTGTACTAGATTCTCCTAGGTTTTCTGCTCCAGTGACAGGGTCAACCCGTTGCTTAGTTCCAGGGATGTAAGAGATGGCATCGCTGGGCCCACCATGAGTACCATGTGTGCCTCTGACTGGCTCTGCAACGGGCTCTTGGAGCTCATGAGTTTCGGTGGTAGGTTCAACCGCTTCCTGAGTTCCAGGGATATACGCACCAGTGTTGGGAGCCCCAGATGCATAGTCATGGGTGTCTTGAGCGTCAGGGGGATATCCACCAGCATAACGGGCCTCGGAGACAGACCCGGTAACATCCCTAGCTGAGTCGGACATAACAGCGCCGTCTTCTTCGTATTCACCAGCAGTTATTGCCTGGCTTTCCCGAGCCGCACGAGCTGGAAGGAGTGTGCTATCATGCATCTGCCCGGCCGAGGTCGGGATAGGCACGGTAGTACTCTCCCAGGAGCGGAGGTCTCTCTCAGCATCCATGATAATTTGACTCGCCATATCGCCCCGGTCATAGTCTTGCCGGGGTTCTCCTGGGACAACAGGAGAGTCATCAAGGATACCAAGGAGGCGACGGGCATGGCGGGCGAGCAGAATGTGCTTCTCGCCTCGCTCGATAACTGCCGCCAAATGAATATCGAAAGCCTCCTTGAGCTTGGACCTGGTCTATTGGGAGCGTTAGCACATGCCTCAGTTTGCACAAATGACTAGCGTGGGGCACAAACCATGTTGGTCAACTGGGCCTCGGCGACCAAACTCTGCGCTTCCGCTCTCACAAGTTCCTGTTCTAGAGTCTCTAACTTAATGCTTTCGGGATCCTTGATCTTGAGCTTCGCGATATCGTCCGCAATCTTGGCTCGATGATTGCGCGACGGTTGAACTGAACTCTCCGTTTCGCGAATGTGTTTGAGAACAGTACGGTACTCCTCCAGGTAGGCCGCGAAGAGTTCCTCTTGATCGCCCATCTCAGCCAGCAACACACCCAGTTTATCAGTGATGTCCGAGACAGCGTCGTCTTCCGTGGCTTCACCCCAGTCGGAGAGGTCTTTCGCGATAGACACGCGCTGTCGACCGGCCTTCTCGTAAGCAGCAATGGCCGCGTTTTCGTTCTTGATCAGGCGATTCATTCTCTTGCTCAGTTCGGGCTGCTGCGTACCACGCAGCGTGGAGATACTAAAGCGGTTCCGCGAAGGAACCGAATTCCTTCTTCGAACGGATATGTTTCGATTCCTAGCTCATGTTAGCCCAGGATTCAATTCCCACGATCTGGGTTTCGTACATAATTGCGGGTGAAGTAAGTCACAAAACCTCGAGGTTATTGATGCCCAGCACGATAGTTCCTCAAATGTGGCGACAACTAGATTCGTCGAGCTACTGATAAAATATAGTGCTTAAAGATTGCGCCTTCCTCGTTTGGACCAATATAGCTTAACAAATGATATACACGATATAGGTTCACTGATCAGCACTGGGAGTAAGCTAGAATTATGTTGTAGTTGGACTGATTGAAGGTGTATTGCAGGACATGCTTCCACTTATGATAACACCCAACGGTGGTGTTTATTGGAACTGACGTCATGCGGGATAGACGGAAGCTTTTGAAGTCATTCTGTCCGCTTGCAGTGAATGCAATGTTATGAAGAAACCTGTACCGTGGGTGGGAGATGCGCTTTGTTTGGCGTCCAGTTCTCTTCAAGCTTATCTGATGGATGGGTCGGGATGAAGTCATCCTATCTCACTTTATACCATACCACATAACACGGATATACCCACCGACTCCCTAACAAGAAACAATCTGCATTCGAATCTGTTTAACAAAAGGGATAGAAAGATGGAAAAAGCATAGAAAGTAGAAAATCTTACAATAAAAGAATAAAACGCTTCCTCACCAAAACAACCACAGCCCAACCCGAGAATTCCCTAACCAAACCCTAACTCCAAAATAATAATCATAGAATCAACCACCAACGACCCCCATAACTCACATCCCAGATTCCCCAATTCACCTCCTAATATACTCCACTTCCTCCTCCCACACAGGCCTCCTGTCTCTCACCCTCCGTACCTCAGGCTCGATATACTCCACACACCGACGCTCAGGCAACGACTCCCGACTCCCAAACCACCACCCTTTCCGCCTCGGCGCCAGACCGAGCGATTCTTCCAAAGTACGCACTCTCCTCCTCGACACGGTAGTATACGACGGTCGCGGAGATTCGCAGTGGTGAGAATGCGAATGAGAACGTGGCGCATGGCGTGGAGGACAGACGATCGTTGAGTTGTGACTCGAGCTGTTGCTGCTGCTGCTGCTGCTGCTGCTGCTGCTGTCGCTGCTACTACTGCTGTATCTGCGACGACGGTGAGACGGGGGTGGGATTGAGACACGCATAGGCGGGTTTCTGTATTCGATGATGCGGATGCAGGGGCCTTTGCCTTCGTCGACTTCGAGGAAGCACATGGTTGTCTTTTCTTTTCCTTTCCTTTTTTCTAGGATACTGCAGTCAAGGTGGGTTGTAGTACTATGTATGGTTGAAACTGAGCGTAAATATGTGTTTTGCAACGTTGACTCGAAGATATTGACTTTTTATGCCCTGTTCTGGGTCTCGGTATAGGTTGTGTTGGGTAGATGCTAGTGAGGGCATAGAGAAACATCGATATAGAAACCATGTAAATTAAATTAGTCCGTTTATCTGCCTAGTTAGTATCTATTCTTTATACCCCAGTACATGGGGGATACTGTTTCTTGGTCGAGTCATCTATGCTCAGTCCACTGATATTGGGAATCACTTGATCAGGGCTTGTCATGTGGATGATCGGATCTGATGACTTACTCATTCATCACTGTCTATGTCCGTGTAGGACAGAGATATATGTATACAGCAGGACAGGTAGTAAAGGAGAGATATTTCATGGATGATTAAAAATAGATGGTCGTTCTGGCGCGTGACTAATAGTAGTAGACCTTCAACTGTGTTTTTGGTGGTTGGTACGGATAGTATATATATTTGTATGGGCAAAGCCGCGGGTTGCTATTGCGAAGGCAATAGGCCGCTTTCATAGCCTCATTTCTCTTTTTCACTTTTTCTTTTCTTTTCTTTCTTTTGCTGCTTGTTTGTGATACCCATCTAGTCGGAGTTTATTAGTTCGTGCTATTTGTTATATCTTTTGAAATTGCTTATATTTTTACAGGCGTTCTTGCCAGTTTGTTCATGAGTACATTACATTCTATATCACCTGGTACTACTGGTCATTTAAATATGTACATATCTATCCACCGAGGCCTGAATTGTGCATTTGACAATTGTATATATAAGTCTAGCATCTGTGTATAAGCAGGATAACTCCAGCTAGTATTGATAGCCACTTCATCAATACATAGACATAAGCGTAGCTTGCGTGCAAGCCACAGTCCAGCACCGGATGGAGTTCAACGCTGCCTTTGTCCAGAATAGATAAATGTAAATTGGAGCCTTCAAATACATTAACCGTTTGTGTTAAAGCGCAAGGAAGTCTCGTAATAATGGCTAGCTTTGACAAGGTCGAGGTAGCTCAAGTACTATGTATCCCAGCGACTGACGGTGTGCTCGTTGCGCTGGAGAATTGTCTATTTAAGTAAGAATCCTTAGAGAAACCCTAAGAGCTCTTATAGTATAACTTGAACATAGGTATCACTAGAACACCCTATTGCAAAGGTTATATATAGTCTCATTCCTACAGCAGAGAATATCCCTGCCCCAGCACGTTGTTCAATCCTATTTCCCAATCGTCCCAATCTCTAACCCAACTGCTGCCAATAGCTCCGGGATTTTCTTCACAGCTGTCCTGCCCCATTCTTTGACCTGGTTATCCAAATCATCCTAGTTTACTAGATAAGGAGTCTTCTTATTCTTCACATCCTTCGCTCCCAGCGTCCACCCCTTTCCCAAACGTTCATGATTCCACCTAGCATGTTCCCATTCCGCGAGCTTCTCAACCTCACATTCCGTCAGTGGGCGCACACGAACATTACTATACCTAACCGACTTCTTTCGAATCTCACACCCAATAGACCTCAGCTTCGCCGAAATATCGTCAGCCTGCTGGCGATTGGAATCCTTCAATTCCTCCGGAAGTCTATCCCACGGCGCCATATTAGTCTCAAGCTCACTCTGTTGCTATCTCCGATAGTTGTCATGTATGGTTCTGGCGATCCCATCCCGATAAGAAGACTCAAGCTCCTCAGACCGTGGTATCAGAAACGTGAAAATCGTCAAAGGGTCCTGCGGTAGCGCAAACAAGCAATCTGATGACTTCCAATCTTCATCATCCAGAACCTCATCCGCTTTCCCCCCACTGCCGGAAAGAAGATATACGCCAACCCCCAACGCCAGCGCCATTTGGTACTCGAAGCCGGAAACATTGTCCCCACCGATTCCGAGAACTTTCACTTCCGAGGGATGGATCCCGGATTTGAAGATATCGGACCATTTCTGGAGGGGTTGTAGCGCGGAGAATTCCATGCTGTTCACTGTTCGGATCTCGTAGTGTTCTTTGTCTACGTGGATCCCCTGAGGGATATTGCGTGGTAGGTATCCGATCAGTGTGATGCTGCGGGATAGAGTATCGTTGTTGTCGATGACGTCGGCTATGGTCTTGCTTATACCTTGTCGGATTCCGTCGCAGATAATTGTGCCTTTGAAGTTGCTGAGGAATGGTGTGATTACTTTGGCGTACTGGTTTTCTAGGTCTGTGTCTGCAGTGGGGTCACAGTTCGAGCCTGAGATTACCACTACAGGTTGAGTAATTGGCTTATATCCGAATGGGGCAGTGGGCATTTCGCCAGCCTTTGCCGTCGAGCTCAGTTCTAACAGAGTCAATGGGATTTCAAGATGTGGTGGGCCGCCTCTGGCATGCTCTAGCTTTCTCACGGACTCGGCTGCTTGATCGATGGCGTGCGTGGTGTAGCTGAGTTCAACGGCTTTGCAGTACGCCGTCAGGCTGAGATCCTGCTCGCCAAGTAGAAGGTGGAAGAAACCTGCGTTGTAGAAAGCCCAGGGCAGGTTTATCTTGACGTCGATCTGCTGCCGGGAGAGCTGGATGGCATTGTGGATGATTGGTCTCAGATAATCCACGACTGAGAAGTTTTTGTGAAAATCTATTTCAAGGCTAAGGAAGCCTCTTAGCACACTGGGGCTGGATGGCTCTATGGAAAACGCGTGACTGTAGCATTTTCTAGCCTCTGAATCCCTTCCCTGACGTTCGTATGTAGCTGCAAGAGCAGTATAAGGCTCTACATCGGATGCGGATGTCTCAACAGCACTCTGCAAGTAATGCTGCCCTTCGAGAAATTCACGACCCTTAGGATTATCACACCGCAGTAGACAAATCAAGGAGCCGAGACGTAGAAGAACGGCTGGGTTCTTGGAGGCTTTCTGCTTGTCGAGCAGTTGGATAGCAGTAGCCCAGTCTTCCTTCTTGTCAAGCTCCAGAGCCAAGGAGCCGATCTTGAAAGACAATTCAACCTTCTCGCGATCCGAAACGGCGGCTGTATCGAGCACAAACCTAAGTAGCTCAATCTTTTCCCGGATCTGGGAAGGACTCATGTAAGTCCCATAACTAACAGAGTACTGTCGCAAACCGTTCCGAATACGCGAAAACATATCATCTGCATCCTCCAGAAGCGCCGCAACGCAGAACGTCTCCCGTTGGTATCTCACAGGCATCTCAAAATCAGGTTTATACGCGTATTCATAGGACACATCGGCCCAGGCATGTTCCAGCAATGTCCGGATCTGGATCTCCGCCCGGAGATTCTCCATATTGCACAGGTCCTCACAAGTAGATCCCAAGTCCTCCGGTGCAAATCTGACAATGTAATGCACAGACCTGTAGCCGAACTCCCCAGGTTTCAAACGGCTCGTGTGATCCGCGAAATTCTTCGCATCGGTATTGTAGCGCTCCTCGATCAGCTGGCTCACTGCCTTGGCTTCATCCGTTGTATGCGTTATGATCCGCCCTCCGCATAGATCAGTGAACTCACCACAAGGATTCTCGTGCGGTTTTCGAAAGATTTTCTCCGCGAAACTGGGGACGGACTTTGCCCGGGTTTGCACGATTGCGTGTGGCGCAACGTCGATTATCAGCGTTTGGAGCTCCCCGTGCAAGAACTCTGAGAGCTTTACATACTTTGGGTAGTGGTCCGTCGCGTACTGAGTTATCTGAGTAGATGCGGTTTTGTCTAGCTTTGGCATCTTGCGTTTGCTCTGGTTCCGCCTCTGGGATGTGAGTGTATGTTGGCGATTGCTTGTATACTATTGATCATGTGGGCTAGATCTACGCTCTTGTAGTCGCCTGAGGCATCACCTGGTGGTTTTGATACCACAGCAGTAAAACTGAGCAAACGTCATAGCTGGATCTGGAACAATTTTGTAGCAGCCAGTGACAGTAGCGAGGAGTCATACGACACAAAAGTTGGCGTTAGTTGAGTAGCCCTACTTCTGTATAATCTGTGGAGTATTGATAGGCCGGTCTAACACAGTAAACTCTCACAGCTGACGCATTTCAACAATGAGGTTGGCCGTGTTCCAGACCTGTGAAGGTGGGTGGCGACCGGCAACCCTCATATTCTGTGTTTTGCGAGCATAGCCGCCCAAGTTGTCATAGAGTTTTCGAAAACTTGGCTCTAGACATAGTTCCTCACTTAAACCCTCCACGATACGTACAGCATACGTATTGTTGTTGAGGGTCCCATTTAGCACCCTTGTTGCTGGTAAAAGGACCTGGAGTACTTCTTCTTTGATGGGAGATTGCGCTTGACCATCAGTAGTATTTTGTATGCGAGAGGATGCTTTGGACGCAGAAAGACTGTACAGACAATTTTGTATACAAATATTATAATGTATACGTTGTCCAGAAACTTTTGAAGTGCTGAGCTCTCAGGTGAACATCTGGATAGGAAACAGCTTACCAGCAGTTGTGATGGCAACACACATAGTCCTTTGTATTTGAGGTCGAACAAACGCAAGGAACCATACGATGAAAAGTTTCAGAGGGAGTGTTCGGAAGTCAGTGTCTCTATCACTAGAATAAATTCATATTATGTTGAAGTTTGTCGTTGGAATATCAGCCATCTCAAGGACCTCTCCATGCATGATACCATCGACATAAGCATCTCCGACGAGCGCGACGAGCGCGTATCCGGTATAAACATCAACTGGTGTATCTATCTCTCCTGGGTGAGGATATAGTGTCTTCCTTGGAGACGGCCGTAATATAAATGGAGATTTGCCTCCAAAGAGGATCACTACTTCATCCCCTGGGGCGGTCTCAGGTGGACATAGGCCTATGTATTTTTTTCTCCGATATAAAGACTCGCTGTCCGTTGCATGCTCTTCATGACAAGAGTTATGTATCTTTCCGCCAACTTCGTCATGAGTGGCTGCAGCCATGGGTATTCGGCGGGATATCTCTCAGTTGAGCCACGTATCAAACATTCAGCATACAAATGATAGTATTCCGGATGAAGACTCGGCTCCTCTTTGTCATCCAAATAGCAACCAGCAACCAATGTCCGGCCGAAGGAATGCCATAAGTTGTTTCCCATGGCATACCTCTGTCTCGGCCGTTGGAACGTGGTGTCAACCTATAGTTTTCGTGCCATCTGATCACCAAGCTGATTTGAGGGACGCTGTTCACATATAACGTGTACTTTGTCAAAAGCTTTGCCGTCCAAGCAAGGCAGCTCCCATCTATAGCAGTTCTTTCGTATCGCGACATCTCCCATTGGCCAAGTCCCTGCTGCTCTGAACTTGCTATTGTGTACGCTGAAATACGGCCAAAATGGCCTGTTACAGGCACACTCCCATGTCCAATCTGGTGCCCATGATGGCCAATCTGGAATGGAATTGGGCGTGCCTGCAAATGCAATGCTGTCAAGTGTCGATGGCCAGTTGTTGCTAACTTCATATTCAATGAGCATCGCCGGGATCGCAGCCAGGACATACCGTGCGTTAGCGTGCTCTTCTCGGCCAAAGTCTTCGGCGGGAGTTCCATGAGTCCAGAGTGCTTGTGTGGCAAATATCCGGTCAATATGGTTAGTATATCCGAAGGGTCGACATTCAGCTATAGTTGATAAGAGATCAAGACGAGCACAATTCTGTATCTGTTGTCGAATATTCGATATTTTGACCACGCTGGCCATCCCGTACCAACGTAACTGAAAGGGCTTTGTCATATTGCATGTTTTTGATATCAATTCCCAGTCGATAGTATTCTGACCCAGCATAAAGACGACCTCTTGGATAACCCATAGTCGATTAAACCATCGTAGCCTGTAGAATGGCCATAGTTCTGTGTCCCATGCCCTCGCTTCTTCGCCATTATCTAAAGTCGCAAGGCGTCGACTCAGATTCAGTCCTTTTAGAGTCTCTGGTGTTGCGTGGCTAAGCCATATGATTGTCATGTCGGCTCCTCTGTAGATCCTCCATATGTAGTGGAGCTGGTCGCGCTTTTCCTCCCAGTTGGCTTGGTTGATGCATATTTGGTCAATCCATACCCGTTGGGAATTGATTCGTGTTCTAGCTTAGACAGAATGTCGACTAGGCTTTGTGATACGTGGAGGACAGAAGAGTGCCCATTTGGGGAAATGACGTTGATCTCTTGATCTTGCTGCTGATGGCCCCAGGAGTAAGAGATCGCAATATAGTTGGTAGCATCATCCAGCGGAGTATGGAGGTCGTTGCACTGTAAATGACGCCCTGCCCTTTCACTCTTTGGTAAAAGGCGGACAAGCCTGATCATCCGCTCGCTTTCAAGCGGCCTATGCTGAAACATCTTGCAGGAAAGATTATCCCCGCATGGAAGGGATCTTGAAGCCTGATGGTAGAGCGGAGTTTCCCCTTGTTGCCAATTGAAATGGACGGGCAAGATCAAACTAAAAATAATATCAGTAACTCCTACAAATATGTTCCGTCTCCTTAGGGATTTGTGAACAGTTAATCGGTGATTATTAGTATGGAACGGCGCTATATTCAGTCTCCCCAAACCCATGGATCCTGGTACAAGGTGTAGTTAGTGTGTAAGGTTCAGCGTACGGGTCAAACCACAATTTCGTCAATGGTCAGATCGTTAACCCCAAATCATTAGAACTGTCTGGCCCGGTGTTCAGAGTTCATGGAGATTGACTGAATCAGTATGGTTCCTTCAACCGGTTCCTACCTTCAGAGGCTGTTGTTGACTTGCCTTAACACAAATAAAGACGGATGAAGTAGCTGTAAAAACTACTAAGTAGGCAGCGATGGAAGGCGGAGGTGGTTGTCATGTGAGTAGTCCATACAAGGCTTATAACTTTGAGCACTACTAAGGGTTGTAGAAGACGGCATTTGTGAGGTACAGCATTCGTACCCGGCTATTTCAGAGTTCACTGAAGAAATCTCGAGAAGGAAAAGAGACACTAGCAGTGCTGTTGTCGCAAGTGCTGTTTTATTTATTAACCCTAAGAGACCCTATCTTTGGCATCGTAAAATTCAATAGTCGTCATGATCCTATCGTCTATTATACAGTACAATGTATCCAGCCAAACGCCGACCGATGTAGAATATGTAAAATACACAGCGTAGAAGTTGAGGTTAATGAGCAATTCAAATCATACCTCCGGTCCGGTATCAGCATCAGCCATTTCCTTGTCCTGAGGTTCTTGGGTATCTCCAGTGTCCTGCTGTTGACTGGTATTATGTCCTTCCATCTCATTCTGGCCTATCCCATTGGATTCGATCCCATTTGTCACGATGCCGTTGGTTTCTGGTGGAGTCTCTTTCTCAGCGGCTTCATTCTCCCCAACTTCTTCGACCTCCTCGTACACCCGCACGGTCCCGTCGATTCCACAGCTCACCATTAATCGCTTGTCGCCCAGCGTACAAGTATCAACACCTAATACCACGCCTGAATGGCCTTCAATCCGTTGCAGGGCCTTTTTGCTCACTACATCCCAGCACAGAACAGCCCCATCCTCGCTCCCGCTCACAGCAAATGCATGGGGTGGTGCTCCCCGCACGCCGAATGTGCCAAATCCACCCGACAGGCTGTATTTTCGGTTGACGTGACCCTGGTAAGTCTTGATGCAGCGCCCTTCAACGTAGTTCCAAAGCCGTACGCAGTCGTCCAGCGACCAGGCTAGGACAAACTTGCCATTGGGTGAAAACTTGACCGATGTGACTGGGGGGTTGTCCTCGTGGACCAGCGTTCGCAGACACTGGCCCGTCGCCGTATCCCAGATTCGAATCAGGCCATCCGTTGCGCATGATACGACTAGGGTGCCATCCCAGACGACGTCGATCCCGCCGACTGGATCGGAGTGTGCGGGGAGGGACCGCATTACGGTAGCGGAGCGCACATCCCAGAGAAATACTGCTTCATCGTAAGAACCGCTGACAAGCATGTTGCCTTTTGGCGAGAAAGCAATCTGGTAGACGTAGTTATGATGGCCAACAAAAGGGATTGGATGTGCTTTGCCCTATATAACACGTAACACTTAGCGGGGAATTAGCACAAGGAAGAGGCGGAAGAAATACCGTCAACACATTCCACAGACGGATGGTCTTGTCATCCGACCCAGAAGCGATGGTAGCGCCGTCCGGACTCCAAGAGAGAGTTGAAATGCCTGCCAAATGGCCCTCGAATGTATGAACGAGCCTTCCGGTCAACGTATCCCACACCTTGACAGCTCCGTCGGCACCTAGAAGCGATCAGCAGCCAAACAAGGTAACATACAATGCAATTCGACACCCACCTCCGCTGGCAATCATGGACGAATCCGGCGAAAACCGCACAGTGGAAACTCCCCGCAAGTGACCTCGTAACAGAAACTTTTGTTCATAATTGATCTTGTCCGGTTTTGGCGGCGGCGGCGGCGGAGGCGGAGGTACAGGCGTGGGTGACCGATCTGAGTATGGTTGATCGGGCTCTACATCTCCTTCTCTAGGGGTTTCATTGTCGCCCCCGTCGCCGTCTACTTCCTCGTCTTGGTAGTGTTCCGATGAGGGCCCCGCGCTAACTTCGGAGGGCGATGAGCTGCGGCCCCGGTTGCGGGAGCGCCAGTACACGTCAGCGTCTACCGCCAGCTCATCTGGGCTTTCGGAGCCGCTGAAACTGCGCAGGCGCGTATTTGGACGCTTTGGGGGGTATACTTTTTGTAAGGACCAACTTGCGCGACGCCGTTCTGCTTCGTCGTGCTCGGAGCCCGCGGCGAGTTCGTCGGATGAAGACTCCACGGGCGACTGGATATACCCATTTTCTCGGCTTGGGGACCTATCTAGTCGACGGCGTTTGGAGCGGTGGTTAGACCCATCCATCAGATCAGGAAATTTGAAAGAACTTAAGAGGACGCGAGAGATTGAAAAGGAAACAAGGGCGCAGGAGGAACAATCGGGCTGGATGAATCTATCGCGAAAGATGCAGAAGAATAATAACCCATAGCCAATGGGAGGCGATTATCAGAGGGCGGTGACGGTCCGGGAATGCGCTTATTGGCGTCATTGAAAATCAATACGTTTCTACCAAGTTTTAGCATTGAATTGGTCAAGAACTAGATCCCGACATGCGTCTCTATGCGTCTCGAGCTGTTTAATATCTAATAATTCATAACATTCATCCCATAATTTTCTTCCTTCCTTTCTTCCCTAATAGTGCGCCACCACACCACCATGTCAACCCATTCCACCGGCTCCTCCGAGGCCCCCTCGCAGATCCGCATCTTCACCCTCAACTGCTGGGGCCTCAAATATATTGCCAAATACCGCCACGAGCGTCTCTCAGAGATCGGTCGCCAGCTGGCCCTGGCTGACCCTGCCCCCGAAATTGTTGGACTCCAAGAATGCTGGACACAACAAGATTACGAGAGTATCCGTGAACAGACCCGTCACCTCCTCCCTTATGGCAAGTTCTACTACGGAGGGATCATGGGCGCAGGGCTCGCCATTCTCTCCCGATGGCCCATCGAAGAGAGCTCCATGTACGGGTATCCTCTCAACGGACGGCCAACGGCCTTCTTCCGTGGCGACTGGTTCGTCGGGAAGGGTGTCGCATGTGCCCGTGTACGCTTCGGTCCTGGAGTCAGTGATGTAGCCGAAGTGTTCTGCACACATCTCCACGCGCCCTACGAGAAAGAACCTAATGACTCATATATATGCCATCGGACAGCCCAGGCCTGGGAGATCGCGAAATTGATGCGCGGCGCCGCAGAGAGGGGCCACCTTGTTATCGGATTGGGCGACTTCAACATGCTGCCGTCGTCGTTCGCCCACCAGCTCATCCGCGCCCATAGCCCCGTCCAGGATGTTTGGCAGGTCGTATACCCGGACTCATCTGTGGGTGCTCCTATCGACCTAGTCGAGCAGAAACGAGGCAAACCTACCCCGTCGGCCGAGTTCAATCTTCACGTGAACGGTGCCACATGCGACGGCAAATTCAATACCTGGAGGTGGTCTGAGGAGGACCGCAAACGGCTAGAGAAAGGGGAGGACATTGTTGTAGATAAGGATGCCCCATGTCCACGCGGGAAAAGGCTGGATTATATCTTCGTTGGAGACGGTGGATATCCTCCATCCTTCCCTGCGCCTCGATGGTCTGTCCAGTCCGTCCAGATCGGCATGACACAGCGCCATCCCACGCTTCGTTGTTCGCTGAGCGACCATTTTGCTGTCGAAGCGGTTATCACCCGCTCTCCTCGTGATACCAAAGCAGACAATTCAACAGAGAATAAGCTTCACCAGTCCGTGGCTCCGAATACGGCCTTAACGCCGGACACCTACGATCGTATCATCGACATGATTCACACCTATGTCCAGCGTGAACGGTCCCAGCGGCGTTGGCGAATGGCTCACTTCATCCTCTCGATAGTCGTCTCCATTGGGTGCTTTGTTGGGGTCTGGTGGACGGGCGATTTGCCGTATGTGGCGTTTATCTTAGTTTTAGTCAGTACCCTGAGCTTCGGAGCTGGGATCTTGGATGGGTTGATTGGAGGCATGTTTATGTCAAGTGAGCTGCGCGCGCTTAAGGAATTTGAGTGGGAGGTGCAAAATGCGAAACAGCTGGCTGAGAGGAGCAGTGGGCCGGAGAAAAAGACGGGATAAGATGAGCGCTGTATGACTGTCACGGACGGACGATGAGTCGACATCAACGTCCTGTAACTTCTTTTGTATTATATCTGTGACATCTTTGCTACATATAATTACTCCAGAACGTCCTATCATTGTATAGGACACTTATCGTTCGTGCATATAGACTACGAGTCAACGATTTTATTCAGCATTCAGCAGAACTAGTACATAAACGTCATTTTCCGGTTGTTCAAAACCGGAACGCAATCCAAGCCACACTCAGCCCAAACAACCAGTGTAGAGATCACTCAGCACACTCGCGCTGACGCTCGTCGAACACCTTCAATGCCTCCTCGGCAGCCTTGACACCACTGAGAACCATGGCACCAAAGGTAGGGCCCATGCGGTTGAAGCCGTCAATTTCAGACAATTCCATACCGCCGATGATCAAACCCTTCGTGACCTCACGGGTGTTCTTGACGATAGCATCCTCGGCCGCATTCATATCTAAACCACGCATGCCGCCTAGCTTGTCAACGCTGTTCATGGACACCAATCTCTTCGCGCAGAAGGCGCCGAATGGACCATCATGGCCAGTCGTACTGATGATGATTGGGGCGTTGATGGTGTTGGGATCCATGCAGGAATGGTCGTCGTGGTGAAGGGTGACCAGCGTCCAGTTGACGACAACACCGGCAATACGGGTCTCCTTGGGGTTGCCGTTCGGGGCTGGACGGGTAATCAAGTCCTCAACAGCGGTGGCGTTAAAAAGCTTGACATTGGGGAAGGAGAGCACCTTCGACAGGAGAGTCGAGGTGAACAGGGAGGCGTGCTTGACAACAACGTAGTTTGGGTTCTCGTCTTCTTCATAGGGGACGCCCAGCTCGTTCAAGAAGACCTCTGCGGGACGGCGCATGATCATAGCAGAGAAAAGCTGGCCACCCAACCAGGCACCACCGCCTTTTACAAAGTCAGACCTGGAACGTTGAGCACAAGGCTATCATCAACTACTAACCGGGTGAGACGCTGGCCTCGACAATAGCAATCTTCAAGTCCGGACGAGCCTTGGCCAGGACGTACGCAGTGCTCAGACCGCAAGAACCGGCACCGACAATGACAATGTCGCTCTCGGCGTACTTATCCAGGTCCGCAAAGTAACGCCTGGTCATAGCACGGGAGACCTGGCTTTCGCGGATAGGCGCGAACTTGAAGTCGTCCCACTTGCCGCTGAAATGGTCGAACAGCTTGGTCTGAGAACCTCCCTCAACTGGAGCGGTCTCAGGAACCACAAGCTTACCCTTGAGGCCGGTGGGGACCACAGCGGGTTCGTACATAGCAGCGGGGGGAGACATCTTGTTCAAGTAATAATGACTGCAATTTGTTAGCCATTCCATCAACCGGGGGAACGAGGGAAGGCATGATCCTTTTCGCTGGTATTATCCAGATCAAGTTTTGGCCGTATAATCTCAGAACGGACCCAGTCCATTGACACCATGTCTCATTCGGTCAAACTCCGATGGGGAACAAGTGCCAATGGACGGGAACGAACACCGGCCCACGCCCAGACGTTACCTGAGATACCTTGATCATGAGAGTCCAGCCAAAAGTAGTCCATGACTTCCATCCTGTACCCTGGAAAGGGCCAATCGATGAGTGTATTTACATTGTTCGTTGGTTGGGTTGAACTATGAGAGATGGTTAGTTATCCCCAATCACGAAATGGTTATATCGAAGGGAGGAAGACTTGTTCAATTTCGTCCAAGGACTTTTGCTTTTGCAATTACGATGTGTGCGATGAGAGTAAGAAGAAAGATGGCGGGGGAGGGGTAGGAGGGGTTAATTTAAATAGTCAACGTGATAAAAGCCACTATACCGTATGGATCAGCGCACTCCGATTCTCTCCGTCGCTTCTCCTCCTCTTTAGCTTTGGTCGGTGAGCCGGCCAAGCAACTGGAAGTGAAATCATCATGACATAAACCGATCTTATCATTTTGTTACCAATGGGATTCATTAATCAATTCTCATTCCCTCAACTGTTGACATCCCGCAAGCCGTGATGCGATCCACTACGCAGCGGTTATCTAAAAACAGTAATTGTCCACGACTATCGAACTTGAACCCTTAGCAAATTGTTACCCCCACTCGCACCCCATAATCTTTAATCCAGTTCTTTTTCTTTCCAGCTTTCTCGACCTTCTCCGCCCTCTCCTGTAAGCCATCAAGCAAGACAGCAGCAGCAGCGACATCCCGATTGCATTGCACTTTGAGACGGAGTAAATCGCTTTTCTCTTTCTTATTCATGATAGACTCCCATTCAGCCTCCAATTGGATCCTCCAATGCGTTTCCGACACGCGGCCGGCAGGATGCACCTCTCCAATTAGGGTCGCTACCCGACCCAAATACTGACACCACCATGCCTCCTGCGCAGAGATGCACCGACTCAGTCGCCCGTGAAATATTTGGTCTGTAGGGGCCAGATCCCCCGCCCAACGCTCGTAGAGTACTAGGGCAATTAGGGCGCGTTCGATGTGTGTTAAAGTATTCACCGATGCCAGGATCCCGGTGGTTGTGCTATGCAGTGCAACGGCTGAGCGTGATTCGCGAGGCACTCTGGAGTGAGCAAAAAGTAGGTTTGCAAGCGCACCAAGCAATTGAGGGGTGAATGTAACCGGTGCGTGGCAAGACGCTATAGGCGAAGACGACGTAGGCAACGCGGATGTCAGTAGCTCTCTAATCGCATCACTGGACAGGGATGCATATGACAAGCTTGCGGCCAGGAGAGGATCTTGCGCGCGAACCTCCTGGGGCATCTGGTCGAAAAGAAAGCCCTCTCGGATACCCCCTTGGCAGAACTGAACGTGTGTAATATTCGGCAATGCGTCCATTATCACATTGACCAAGACAGCTACTGCGGGGATCTGTGATGCTCGTCGCTTCGACACACCGAATATCTTCTCATCAGAGTCAGAAACCACGTCCAGCACAGAAACAGTATTGTGAAAGTCTCCTCTACGTACCCGAAACCCATTAATGATGGGAATCGGATAAGGATCAACCTTGGACTGCTTCATGAGCACGTAGCCCCAGCCCCTGAATCCCCCTCCACAGAGGTACAAATCAAACCTCCCGAGAGCCTTCGCGGTCTCCAGCAGAAATTCGGGAACCTCAAGAGCCCGATATGCATCCTGAAAGTTCCTCGTCATTTCCTCCTTCAGCAACTTCTCTGCTTTCTTCCCCTCTCCCCTCGCCTGCTCCAACCGCTTCGTCAACGCAGCGGCCCCGTAAGGGAAACTGAACGAACCCCTTAAGCTCGTAGTAACTACCCCATCCTTCTCAACAACCCACGTAATCTGCGTACTGCCACCACCAAGATCCATTGCCAGCCCAGCTACAGAGGAAGCGCTGCTGGCGATCCCTAACGCCCCAATCCGTCCCTCATCCTCTTTAGACAGCAGAAGCACCTCCCACCCCGTCCGCTCCTTGATCCGATTGCGAAGCTCCTCAGAATTCGGTGCCGTCCGCGTCGCCTCCGTAGCAAGCACGTTGATATTCGCCGCAGGGACCCCAAAATCCTCACACGTAACCTGAAATCGGACCAAGCGGTCCACCACCTGATTGATAATGACCTGAGGGATTGGACCTCGTGACCCAGAGGAAAACTGTGCATCGTAAAGAGAAATCGCAGCCCGGTCCTGGTAAATCGTGGGCATTGTCCGAGCTGTAGGCGGCGACGTGTCGGTGATAGAGAAGCGGATTCCATTACTTAGTGGTGTTAATATATACTTCTGGATCTTATCGAGACGGAGGAAGAATTGCTGCGTTTACCTCCCCATATCTACTATCCCGTGGAGATTGGCCATGTTGGCTGTATATATTGTCTACTTTCAAAGTTAGTTGTGATGTGAACTCGGGAGGGAGGTACGTACATGCGTTTCTGGATAGCTTTCTTTTAGTTGTTGCTGATGATGTGCTACTTGGCACTATATCTACTGTCGAAGCTATTCAAATGTTCCTTGCTAGCACGGGGTCTAGAGCGGGAAGGAAGTACAGGTCTATCGTAGGAGGGGTAGATCAAGGATAAGCTAAGTTGTTTTACGAAGTGGAACTGATTGAATTGTTACCCCTCCATGTACTTACTCGTATACTCTCTGTACATCAGCACCCGCGAAATACTATACACGTCTAGTCCAAAAAAAAAGTGTTTAGATGACATGTAACTGCTAAGCATGAATATAAAGGGCTATAAAAATATTTTTGTTTCATCCGTTTAACATCTTAACAGTCGTTATCGAATCCATAATTCAAAAGGTTCACATCCCATTCGTTATATCATGAGCAATCATTTCCAGCATCATTAGAGTCATGTACTGCCGCTACAGGACGAATCGGAATCCAGCGCCATAGTTTTCTTCTGCGATGCCTTCGTCTTTATTCCACCCCCGCGCCTCCCGCTCGGCCAGCGTGCCGTATTGTTTATCTAAGCGACGGTTCTCCCATACTAGAAGAGATCGCAGAGCGAGTGCAAGGACCGTGGTGAAAAACATGAAGGCTGCGCAAATAGATTGACCGCGGATGTAGCGCGGTGCGTCGCTTTTCGGGAAGACATTTGTTCCCAGGAATGGTCCACACTGGCCGATAACATTAAGGATGACAATGCCCATTCCACGTCTTGAGTCCGACCCTTGGTTATCTGATGGAAGATCAGTCAGTACTGCAATAGGGGAGACTGGAAGATGGGGAGATGGGAGGGTACTCACTTAGGACCCAGGGGAGAATGTTCGCAATCGAAGGGAAGACGCCTACAGCAGCTAGGAACACGCCGGCGTAACGAGCACCAACAGACGTGCAGGTCGCAAGGAGAACATAGCCAACAGCCCCAATCAAAGACAGACAAGCAATCATCAAGCCGCGCTGCTGTAGCCGATCGGCGACCCAGGTGGTGATGAGTGTGACTAGAAAAGAAGCAAAGTAGGGCGGCGCCGTAAGCCCTTGGGCGTTAATCGAAGTGAAACCCATGTCCTTCAAGATTGTGGGAAGGAAGACGGGGAGGGAAGAAAAGCTAACATTGCAGCTGAAGTACATCAGCTGGGTCACAATGTCAGTCAGCTGTGGTGCGCCACGGTACTCAAGTGCCACGGATTCAGAACCAACATACCGCAGTCATCCATGCCTTGACATCTAGAAGTGTCTGGCCCAAGCCTTTCCAATCGATTTTAGTAGACCGTTCGCGTTCGCCATTCTGCCGAAGACTTCTTGCTCGAGCAACCTCTTTTTCTTCCTCGGTCAAGAACCGAGCGGACGAAGGGCTATCGGGCAAGAATCGCCAGGCCAGGATGGCAGCTAGTAAGGATGGGCTTCCTTCCACAAGAAACAACAACCTCCAGTTTGCTAATTTAGAGTGTCCGGAGGTAATCCCGTACGCAAGAGCTCCCGCAAATGTGTTTGCCAGAGGCGCGGCCGATACGAACAGACCACAGCGGAAGCCGAGTTCACGGCGGCGATAGAAGAAAGACAATAAATAAGGAGTTCCGGGGCCAAATGCAGCTTCGGACATACCAAGAAGGAACCGCAAAGCCATTAGTCCTTCCCAGTTCTGAACCGCGGCTTGACAGGTAGCCACAATGCCCCTTATGGAGGGTTAGAACAGGCTGAGCGCTACGATGAAAGAGGAATACCGGGGACTTACCAGGACAGAACAGTGATAGCCGCCCATTGGTGAGGCGGCATGATCTTCCACATGAATGCCGCAAATTCGAACACGACATATGCGATATAGAAGATCGTCAAGAGCCACGAATACCGATTTCCGGTCAGATTCAAATCCTCATCCATTCCTGCGATCTTTGCATTTCTTCGGTACTAGTCAGTTTTGTAATATTGGAGTCATAGGACAGCGCTCACGTACCCAATATTACTTCTATCAAGAAGAGAAAGAAGATCTGTTGGTGCGTTGTTAGGCACGCGTTGGAAATAAACGTCGGCTTAGGCGACTACGAGGAACGCGAGGACGCACATAGAAATCCCATGAGAGTGGGAACCCTAACATCCAACTTCCTTAATATACGCGCCTCAACGGTAGGATCAATGTTCACTACCGTTGGAGGGATTTGGGGAAGAGCAGTTTGCACGTCATCGTCGTAAGTCGGCTGCTGCTTTTCAGAGTCATACATAATGGGAGCCTCATGTATCTCGTCATCCAGCGGGCGGTTGCCGGAAGGGTCTTTCTTTCCGAAGAATCCCATGGGTGACGTTGGGATGCGAAGGCGAAAGAGGGGCGAGTAGAAGAATGGACAGTAGCTTACGGAACTGAAAGAGTGTGGAAGAGCGACAGTTTTCTTTTATAGGTGCGATCATGTCGGAGAATTTTCCTAGCGAGCAAAGCCATTATTGAGTCTATTGGCAGATCAGCAAAAGTTAACCGGAAATGGCACAAGTGCCCACATGGGGAGTGACGCCATGTAGGGAAGAGAGCTGAATACCGGTGTGAAGGCAAAGTCCATTGGGTAAAGGGGGTAGGCAGTGGGGTCAATTGGCTTGTCGAGATATCTCTAGACTCTAATTGTTTCAATCACAATTGGAAACAAGATTATGCATCAAGCATGGGGAAGAGGGAAGTACGGGGGGTAAGTAGTAGGAGTAATTCGTCAATGCAGAGGAATGGAGAGGGTACCTTTCCGAGTTAGGTTTGGCGTTGGTAAAGCTTGCGCAAGGCTTGTCCGTAGCAGTTCAAAAGCACTGGAGGCGGGGGAAGAGGGGATGAGATGGCTGGAAGACAGTTCAGATTGTCGTATGTAATACGGAGTATTGATGGATGCACATATGTACACACTAGTGTCTAGTACACATACTAAATCTACTGACATGATTGACATGCTCTTCCCCGAAGTTTACACTATATTCCGGTCCTGCTAAGATTTGACCGACAATTGTAGTATGTATAGAGACTATGTTACGCTGTCAGTGGGGTATTGAGGAGGCTGGTGATCCGATGCAAGGAACACCACCATTGTATCAGACCTTAGACACATATGTTTCAGTAGTAATAGTAGTAGTAAGAGTACTACAGGTACTAAATAGCTGTACAAACACCCGCCCCGTGCTCTCTCCTACCTTTCCAATTTGAGACTAGTTGCCATCCCCACAACCTAAATCCACCATTCTGATGCCTTACAGTACAGGCGCCAAACTTGCGTTTCAGGTCTGCACCGCATCCTCAATCCATCCATCCACCGTGACCTTCCCAAGTTCTCGGCGAAAGGAACCTCAAATTTCCGCGTCGCGTTCGCAAACGCATTTGGCCGTTATCCATTCCACTGTTCCGTCCCGGCCATCTGAACCCACCAGGTGTCGGATGTACTTCCTGTCATCCATCGCATAGGGTCTGGACTCTTTTCGCAAACACATTAATCATTTCCTCCCTTATTGCGACCGCGTCTATTCACAATGGAGGATCCAGCAACCCGTGTCCCCGGGCAGTTGGTAAGTCGATCAACCAATTTAAGCCTCAATTTATTGGCCCAAGGCCCAATGTCTGATCCGATTTTGATCATTACAGTTGCCGCATATGCATCTGGTGTCGCGACATCGATACCCGCTGATGCACATGATGCCCACAGATACCGTTGTCGAGTACCTCCTTTCCGCACCTAAGGTTGTTCGTGAGGCGCAACCGATGCATTGGACCTTCCTAGATGGGCCCCAAGATGGAACTGTGATGCTCACTTGGCAGCCCCTCAACCATCTGGGGACGAACTTCGCTAGCGATGGCTACGTGTGGGCCGACGTGGAACAAGCGTTCACCTTCGAAGCTCGCGGTTACGTACGTAGACCCGATCTCTAGTTCCTTGCTCCCTGCTGCCAGGATAATGACTGACATGAGAGCGCATAAGGTGGTTGAGATGTGGCTGCACCGTAGTGGCTATCATCCGCCAAATGAATCATTAGCCATGCATTGTCGCAGACGTTATCGGTTGCTACCTTCGAAGAATCCAAATCCAAGCATGCCCCCGCCAGACCCGTCGTTATGGATCGTTCACTACTCAAGGGCGCCTCCTACCGAGCATATTCCAGCCAACAGAATCCCCGTTATCCCTCAAGTCCAGACTATGTTAGCCCAGCGCCGCTTCTTGCAGAGCCAAGGCCAGCTTGCCCGCAAGGACTTCATGTTGCACGACCGCAATAACTGGCCGACGATCAATTTTCCCCCACAGGCTCCCCCACAGGGCTTTGCGCAAGTTCCAGGAGCTTATCCGAATGCCATGGTCGGTCGTCAACCGTATTATCCCCAGCCAGGCCCAGGTGTGCCTGCTCCGGCAGCAGGAGCGCCACCTAAGGCGCCCCGCGGACATCGCGCTTCATCGGCTGCAGTCAACCCTGCCACTGCCGACTTAGCTCTGGAGGACGAAGATGTTTCTACGGGCGATATGATGGATCTCCTTACCCCACGGGAAGTGAGCAAGATGAGATACCAACAACACCATGAATGGATGGAGGAGATATTTGCTTCGCCGTATGCCATCAGTCAAATCACCCCTGTCTCTCTTGGGTTGGGGCGAAAAGGGGAGCTGGAATCCTTGACGGCGGGCTTCTTTGATGCACCTTCCGGGCCTACTAGCGGGGAATCAAAGGATGCCGGTGATTCTGCTCAGGCTACAAAGATGGAGCCTGCTAAGGCGGAGGAGTTCGCTGATCGTGTTGCTAAGAAGGTAGCGGACATGACTGCCGAGATCGAGAAGCTAAAGAAACGGCATGCGCGACGGATGGAGAAGTTTAACCGCACCTCATTGCTTAAAGATGCTGAACTTCGACTTCGGGAGGCGGCAGCAGATCCTAATGCCACAGGATCGGAAGTTTGGAGATTAGAAGGCCGCATTGAGATTCCCGCAGAAGGAGACGAGCCCCAAACACCACCTGTTTCCGAGCCAAAGGCTAAGTACAAGGTGGATGATGTGGTTAGGGAGCTAGAAACCTCGTGGAACAAGCAAATTGTGCCTGAACCAAAAGTTTCCTGTGTCCAGAAGGGAGGTCTATTAGAAAAGATTGAGCCAGAACAGAAGCCAGAAGCTCCTGCTGATACTGATATCGACATGGGCCACGCAGACAGCCATATTCTCGACCAGTTTGGTAGTCCACCGCCCGGCCCAGGTCAAGGGGCTCCAATCATTAATCCCGCACCAGCTCTACTGGCGAATGTGCCCGGTACATCAGAAGCCCCTGGTGCCAATGTTGCTGCACCGCTACAGGCAACAGTTAGCGTGCCCCAACAGGGAGCGCCTATGCCCGGTATTGACGTCGAGATGAACATGGGCGATGCCCCGTCGTCCAACACAGCTGTGGGTGAAACAGGAGATTGGGTGATGGTCAACGATGAGAAGAAGGGCCCAAGCGGCAAGCCAGCCGTTGCCGATACCTCCATACATGGAATTGAAACTCCAGGCAATGGAATACAAGGATTGACCCCCGGTAACGCAGTTGGCGACAATGGCCTTGACGGTGCCAACTTTGACTTTACTAATATGGACAGTGCGGGCGATGCACTTGCGGCGTATACCGAGCAGAATGAAGTCCTTGATCTTCCGGATCTGGAAAATTCAGCGTTTGGTGATGCATTCCACGCGTCAGATAATGAAAACACCCACCATCATGATGCGGATGATATGGCCTGAAACACATTATGTGGGTCTTGATATTTATTTATGCTGGTATACTACTATGTGGTGTTGTGGTTTTACGGTTAGCTCGGCGCCGGCTATGTTTCTGATTTACAAATGGATGAAGAAGCTGTAAAAATAAGACTTGGAACTGCAAATTTTCTGATGATCATTTAATTTGATTCTGTATCTGTAATTTTTTGCTGTGAGCTACCCGTAAGTAATGTCAAGACAGTCCATTAATCATAGCGAGCAGGGAGATGACAATACACAGATATGAATAGCATCTACAACGCCTTAGATAAAATAATAGCACCTAACACCACCACAGTAACTATGTGATTGTCTGCACTTTCACCACTCTGACTGGAAACGAGAATATGACTATTAGTGCAAATGATAATAAGTGCTCTAGAAACAGTTAGGAAATATCCCTATTGTACAAGTTGATTCCCGTCTCTGTCCTTTCCACATTGGGACTTGCCCTAATATAAGCCCATTCAATCACAGAAATGATCAATATAAGTGAATGCTCGCTGTGGCAATCTATATTTTTAACCTTCAATAATTTTACAAAGCGAGCTTAGACTCACACCTCTAGTCTGCAAGAGCCTTCCTTATAATGAGAAAGAAAAGAAGATGACTCACAAACAGCTACTTGGAGAACAGCAAAATGCATAGATCATTATCCTTCCGAGCTGGGACTGTGAACGGCCCAGGATATTAAAAGGGTCTTTTTCCCCTGGTTTCCCAGACAGAAAGTTGCAATCATTACTCGAATCTTCTCCCATCAAGATCTATTATCTCACGCTCTACCTTACTCTTTGTTAGCTATTTCCCTTGACGAAACATGGATACCCAACGCGAAGTCCCCCACAAAAGGTGTCCCCACTGGAGACTGCTCCGCGTCCCGTGAAGAAGCCCGCCAAAGAAGCCACCCCAGGTGATCCCCATACGACTGATGCCGTCTTGGCTTCAGGAAAGGAAGAAGACTTCTGCGTTTCCGATGAGGCGGGGGTGGGCTTCCCTCCGGAGGAACAGGCGGGAAAGGTCGAGGAAGTGGAGGGTGGGTATTGCTAACGTTGTCAGAGTATCGACATAAGCGCTGCGGACTTATCGGATGGATAACTGACGGAGAGTATGTGTTCAGGACCAGCTGCTCTCCTAGACAGTGTGACTCAAATAACTTGATAGAAGAGCTTTCCAATTTATTCGATTGGGATCTCAATGTAGAGGAACAGGCTAAAGTATATGAAATGGGGAATGTAATGTCAGATGAAGTCTTCAAAGAATGGAGACTTGAGTACTACATGAAGCGAGGATTCAGAACAGCTAAGATAGATAACGAGAAACGCTGGCCGCAATTTAGGCTTGAGAGTAATCCAAGTTAAAATGCGTTACACCCCTTGTTCTCCCTTACTTTCCTTCTACAAACCCAACGTCCTCCATACTGTTCAATGCAAGCTTTCCATATCCTCTCGTGCATGGAGCTGCTGCAGTGTATTGCTCGGTCGGAGCTATTGTTACCTATCAATTTACCTGGGCTTGGAAATTTTCCTGGTACATAAACTGAATCCAGAGGTACTTGGGAAGACACAGCATATAGAGATACCACTTGTAGCCCTCACAAGTATTATACATGTTGACGTTGAAAGAGCATATGGGCATGTGCAAATCATGATACAAATGGCAAGTCCCCTGTCCCATGCACATGAATTACTATGGAGGCACTTCAGTTCCATAAGAGCCCGTGAAACCAAGTGACACGGACAGACCATTATGAACTGTCATTCAAAATCTCTGGCAGGCAGCCCTGTCTCTTCATCTGCTATCCCAGCCAGTCTTTAAATCAAATTCATCTCTTCTTTATAGACCGCACACGATTTTTTTTCTTTGTGGTCTTGCCAGAAATAGCAGCCTGGTGCTACACAGGACATGTACATGGCCAATAATATTTGCCTTATGAGCTATTATTAGTACGTGGCATTGATTCATATAGTGTCTAGTGATCTACTGGCCTCAAAGATGGCACTGCGTCATGTTCTTCTATCTTTCTTGAGCTGCTTGTGTCCTTGGCCAAAGTGAGCGCATTCATTGACCGGTCAATGTCAGTCCCACTAATAGGAGGATAATAGTAGGATTAAACATATTGAAAATTTTTGTGAGCCATCTCCTTAGACTCTGACTAGGTCGAGTTTAAGTGAAGGGCCAAAGATGGGCACTAATGAGCATACGTACCATCTTGTTCTCCGCCATTACTGGTGAGGGACATAAAGAGAGTGAGGGTATAATGCGTGCTACTTCCAGATATGCCATCTCATTTCTCTCCCGCAACAAAGATTCCCTGTCATCATCCTTTGAGATTGCCCTAGAACCATATTACCTGTTCCAACTTAAAGATAATGATAATTTCGACTTGTACAGCAGCCCTGTCGGCTAGTAGATCATTGATTTTGGACGGTTGAATCGAGAGGCGATCCCCAACTACTGGGTGCGGCATCATGTATATGTACAAGTATCGTTTTGGTTTCTCTGAATGGTAAGCTTGCAGTATTTCCATAAAGAGCCCGGATTAGAGGTTTCCAAGTGAGTTGTGTTGAATGTTGGGTTTCTCGAGTTTCCATGCATGGTTTTTACCCCCTTGTGTTACTGGCTATGTAGATAATTGACAGCTCCAGGTTGTCTTCTTGCGGCTACTCGTCGGATTGGTGCCCTACAAGGGCCTTGTTTTCAGGTCCATAAAGCAGGCATGGGAAACCGAACGGGACTCGCGTGCTTCAGATGTTGCCTGATGTATTGATATCATGCGGCTAGTTCATGGACCTCTCCACGCACGTCTTATGTTGGCATATGTGTCCTACCAGAGCGTCATTTGGAGAGAAGGTCGTACGACAGAGGCTGAAATGATCAAGTCAAGGGTGCTTTTTTTTCCCACCTGCTCGTAGATGTATGCCTTTTTGTTCCCCACAGAAGCTTACTGTATAAGTAAGACCAAAAGCATTTACGTCCGTTCTCAATATTATCCCTCTTGTAGAAGGTGAAGAATTTATTTTTTGTCGTACCGCACTCAAAAAGTGGAGCTGGGCTGGTCAAGGGTCTATATTTAGGGTCATGTCCCAACATTCAAGTACCTTGTTGGCACGATATATTATAATCCAAATGAGGATTGCTGGTCCTGCGTGGCAGACAGACAGGTAGGTAGGTGGCAGGATAGTCAACGGACCATATTTGTTCCTTGAGGAAGTGGGGTCAGATAGGTGTCCTGTTCTGTAGAATGAAGGTCATGGGAAGAAAGATGAGGCTGTTTGTAAGTAGGAAAAAGTGGCTCTTACAAGACAGCATGAACAAGAAAGAGAGGTTTGTCTGTTGCCTATATGGGCTTTGGAAAGGGTCTAGGAATTCAATATCGACTGCGTAAGTTAATTTCTAGTAAGATAGCTCTTGAGGAATGGAATCTATCTACTTTCACATTCCCTACAGATCTCTATATAGAAGTATATATATACTTCCCAAGAGGTGTCTTCTTTTTATCAACATTTTTTATGAGATGAAGCCGATATAAAAATTTTGATGTAGACGTCGAGCATTCCTCTGATCATGAGGAATGGTGCCCTACCCTGAAGCCCTAACCACCACCTCCGTCCAATACACTTACACCCAACCAGCAGCCCCTACAATCGCAATGGAGTCAATTATCTAGCGGTGATTGTGAAATTCTATATAATATTCAATACAACCCCAGAGTAAGTCTACAATTATGATACATTACATTATATAAAAATTGAGTATATTATGACCATAACAAATCATATGCAACCGAACATGGTATTCATTACAAATGTATAAAATCGCCGAGGCAAATCGTTAACCACAAGGCCAAGTCTTAACTAAGTACCTAAACACCTCGGAAAATACTACTGATTTATATTCAAGAATTGATTTCTTGTAGAACAAGTCAAAAACGATCAATTAGATGACTAACCAGTCATTGAACAAGAAAGAAGGGAAGGAAGAGTAGACTAGAAAGAAAAAGAAAGAAAAAGACAACTTAGCCCCCCACTGACCGACAAAACTACTAGTATCTCTAATTAAATCTACCGAAACCCCATCCTCCATAAACCAACAATGATCAATTACCTGAACAAGAATAAGAAAAAATGAAACCGAAAACCCACCAATCCCTTCCTAGAACGTTCTTTGTTTGTCACAGATGTAACAATTCCGTGGTTTCAGGGCGAGGGGTCGACCAATGTGCTTGCATCTCCGGGCCGAGAACCATGGTTCTGCGTCAATAGTTTGAGCACATGTCACTTTACATTTATTGGTTTCTGTGGAGGAGTTGCTTCTTGTTACTGATTGTACCCTCTTGTCATTTAGTGCGAAATAGTACACTGAACTAAATGTCTTGGATAAGAGGTCTAGAAGCGTTGATGAAGAGTTTTCCTCACAGAGTAACTCCTAGATACACCGGATCCCATGGATCGGTAACCGAACCCAAGTAAACAATGCATCCTACCCGTAAACAAGAAAAGAAAGAAAGAAAAAAAACACCAGTGACCGATCCTTTCCCAATTTTTTATCCGTTGTTGTAAGAAATATTTACCGATAGACCACAACACCCCAACTCAAGAGAGATAGGTGTAGGCCTTTCCACTGGCGCTCAATTCACTACCCTCGAGCAGATAGCCATCGGCACACATGAAGTAGGCATACCGACCGATTCCGCTCTGCGAGTCAAGCCAAGGGATGACCTCGTTCAGGAAGTCGGCGGATTCCTGGGCAGACGAGCCGGCGGTCATGGCACTGCTGAGCGCGAACTCGGTCACCCAGGTTTCCTCCAGTCCGTACTTGGAAGCGAGCTCCTGGGCTTGCGTAACGAAAGTCTTGAATTCGTCGGCCGATTGGCCGTACCAGTGGACGGCCAGCACACTCATGCCGCAGTCAGTGCAGGCGTCGAGGAACTGACGCATCCAGCCCAGACCCATGTCGTTGCCGCCCCCGTTGGTCACGGAGGGGGTGACCAGCTTGGCCTTGCCGCTGAAGGGTGTGATGTACTTGGTGTAAGACTGGGCGGCGTCCGAGGGAGACATGCCGGCTTGGGCGCTGACATCGGGCTCGTTGAAACCCATGATGTAGGAGCAGCCGCTGGCGAGCACGGTCTGGATAGTGTTGAACCAGTCGCCGAACATCTTGCTGCCCCAGAGCATGGGGACGAACTCAACCCCCGAGGGCAGGGTGCCGGCGGCAACCATGTTCCAGTCGTAGGCCCAAGAAATGGCACCACCGGTACTGAGGGATTCCACGGTCGAGGCATCGTTGTAGGCAGCACCGCGCTTGCTAGAGGAGCGCTTCGTCACATGCATGTGCGAGTGCTTGTGGGCATGTGGCGCGGCCACGGCGGAAGAGGCCAGGAGACCGGCGGCTAGGAGCTTGGTGAAGGAGACCATTGTGATGAGATTGGAACTTCGAATGGGTTGCAAGAAGAGAGAAGACCGGTTCTCAAGATAAAGAAGGTCAGAGTAAAGGAAAGTGGGGCTTCTCAAAGGAATGACTTATTGACCGTGCACGGCACAGGACAATGTGATAAAGGAATGTGATAGAGAAAGAGGGTCTGTACTGAAAGAGAGAAATACAGAGAGAGTGAGATGTAAAGAGAGAAGAGAGGAAACGAGGAGTAGGAGGTGAGGGGGCGAGGGCCTAAAAAGGGTTATATAGGGTATTAGGTCCCCCCTCCTGTCCTCTTGCCCTACTTTTCTTGTCTAGTGGAAAAAGAGCCCTCTCTTTTTTTCTTTTGCTCTTTACCTCTATTGAACTATACTCTTTTCACCTTTAGTGAGTTCTTCATTTGAACTAGTATCTTTTTCTTGGACTTCTTATGAGAACAATTAATTCTATTAGTGGTAGTATTTATTATTCTGATTGCAACACCCCACCGAGTTGGAGTTCCTGTACCTGAGAAAGGATCCACGGGATGCAGGATTGGCATTCCATGGCTCCGGCAATTGGGAAAATTAGGGCAGAGACACAAGTATTGACCCTTCAAACAATAGTACCTTTTCCTTTATTTTTTATTTTAATTTTTTTTTTTTTTTTTTTTTTTTTTTTTTTCAAACGGGGGAGTCTACTCATCACACGGTGGACTAACAGATGGGGTATATAAAAATATCCCTAATAAAACGTTCCCCCCTATATATTTTACACCCAGTCAGACCACTTCCGAGATATCCAATGCAGGTACACTTGTCGGTGTGTGCGTGTGTACTGTGTACTTAGTCAATGCATTGGTCCCCACCGGGCTGGATCCATTCAGACAGTCCAGGCCCTTGGTAGTACCGAGAAGCTGTACCGGGTAATCCTCGATACCTTCCGTCTGTTCACACTTTACATATGTAGACATCACATACATATCAGATGAAAACTTCCTGGATCTATCTCAATATTCTGACATATCCGCCACTTCCCCAAAGACCGTCATGATTGATGAGGGTGAGGGTGAGATAATACATACAGGTAATTAGTTAACAGACTACAGTTAAGCATCGGCCGGTGTGCAGACTAACGGGATCTTAACAAGTCCAATCACCGTTTCTTAGCGCCCCCCAGCCATCTGAAACACGAACTGCTTTTCCGATCCTTGTTAGAGAGGTGACGTGTGCCATCCGCGCCTCTCAATATATTGATCGCTTCACCATATCCTATTTTTGGCCAATGGTCTACTGGCCTATATACGGATATACCCCCTATGTTTAGGCAGCGATGAGAGTACCGTATCGGATTCCGGGTCGGTCATCTTCCACGGGATGCCCTCTTCTATTTCCTTTTTTTTTTTTTTCTCATGGGCGCCATGGCTTGAGAGAGGGTCCCCTCTCACTCCGGTATTGGCCGCTGTCAACCAGAAACCAGGCCCATTGGATTTCGAAGTCCCACGTCCCAACTTGCCCCCTCCTCAAAGTCAGTTTGTGCCAATGACGACGGCACAAATCCTGTCCGGTGGATTATTACTACTGGAGACGCACATGCTCTAGCCTGTGGCGAGAACATTCAGAGATTTCCTGTCAAACGGTCCTCCCTGTTAAGACAATTAGTCGCCAAAAGGAATGTTCGCCGAAGTGTCTCTTACTCGTTCGGTGACATAAACACCCATTTCTTGCATTTGACCGGACTCGACCTCCCCACGTCATTTTGCAGGCGGAGATTTGTTATCTCTTGCGGGTCGAATCCAACCGGTAGGTTATTGAAATCGTAACCGACCTAGGCTCTGGCAAAAGTCAGCATAAGGCTGAGCAAGGTCTTCCACCCTGGCACCTCAGGCTGCGACGCGACGCTTGGGAAGTGAACCGTAACATGCTCGAGCTGCGAGGTAGGCCGGGGCTTCCCTCGTATATTTCGCTCGGCCAATCAAGGTTCCATCCAAGCGGGAGACGCAGAGTGAACACGGCCTCCGAAGAGACTTCACACTGGAAGATAGGGGGAAGAAGGCGAGGGGACGGGCGGGGTGGCCGCATCGCAGCCCACAAGAGGGTGAATAATGCTCGGGCTCTTACCTGAATGATTGATTATAAGTGGATAGTGACAATCGTATCCTAGTTGAACGAGATGTAGCTGGCCGTAAACGTATGTATATCACTGGGGGAAATTGGGTGGTACACGGCCGACCGCCTGATATAGGCAGGTCGCAGGACCATCACAGACAACACTCAAGCAATACAAGCAATGAAATAAAAGGAATATTGATAAGAAAATAATAAAAAAATATTTAGGATCATATATGCCAGATAAATGTAGGAAAACAGTGGTATCACAACTCATAAAATGCATAAAATACAACATCAATCTTTCTTCCGGCCGTCGAGCACACGCATCACATCGGAAGCGCTGTCCTTATCCCCTTTCTTCTTCTTTGGTCCACGTTTTCTCTTCTTACCCCCACGCTCTTCCAGTACCACTTCCTCGTCTTCATCATCCTCAACACGGCTACTACCGAACCCAAGGTCCATGTCCATTGCGTCCAGCTGCTCGCGTCGTCGGGCTTCTTCGAGGAATTTCTTCCTCCGGAGAAGAGTCTCCGAGTCCACGTCTTCTTCTCCTTCCCCAGCATCTTCCTCTGCGGAAGGCGAGGCTCGTCGCAAGGCAGCGGCCCGTTTGAGGGCAGCTAGTAGAGTAGGATCTTTTGTAATAGGATTCAAGCGGTCAGCATCAGCGGCCTCATCGGTCGTAGATGTCGAGAAGTAGTTGCGTGGTTTGGCCGGTGCTTCACTAGAAGACTTCTGTGTCTCCTTCGGAGCTGTGTCCTCGGTAGTGCGAGGTGGTTTCCTAGCGACTTCACCATCCTCATCTGAGTCCGACGAATCATCACTCCCTATATCACCCAGAGGATTGTAATCCGCACCAACGCCCGCAAAGATATCATCATCCTCATCCTCCGACGGGGCAGCCGGCTTCGCCGCAAGCTCCGCCGGAACCTCCATGCCCAGCGGCTTCGCATCCTTATCAGGAGCCAAAAGACCCGCCGCATTCGTCTCCCCAGGCTTATCCAACCATCTCACCTTGCGCTTCACCTTACCCTCAGCATCCGTAATCTGCAGAATCTCCTTCCGCCTCCCATTCTCATCCTGCTCAACCCACCGCTTCTTCTCCGCCTTCGAATCCCCAATCCGCTTGAACTTCGACCCTAAAGCCGGCTCCGCTGCAGCAGCTGCAGCTTCAGCTCTGGCAGCCCTCAACTCCCTCAAGATCTCATCCCTCGACTTCCGCCCAGGAGGCGGCGCCATATTCCCCTTCTTCTTCTCCTTCTCTCTCGGCGCCGAAGGCAACTCCCCCGTGTCCCCTTCCACCAACCTCTCCAACTCCTCATCCACATCCCCCACAGCCTCCTCAGCCTTCTCCTCTTTCTTCTCAACATCCTCCCCAGCTCTCACGCGCCTCAACAACTCCCAATCCAGCCCTTTAACCATATGCGTACTCTTCAAATTCCCACCCACCCCCAACTCCCCACACAACTTCTCAAACGTCTCCCTCTCAATCTGCCCCAGTTTCACCATCTCCTCTAACGCCTTCACCCTCTGCCCCAAATCATCGCTACCCCCCTCACCGTCCTCCGCCCGCAACCGCGCCGCCCGGTCCTCATACCCAGCAGGCAGCTTTGTCCCCTTCGGCGCAGCAGACGACCGGAACCGTTTCGTTGCTGGTTGTCCGTCGCGTCGGTATTCGGCTAGTTGGCGCGCGAAATCGGGGCCTGTTACTGAGCGGCTGGAGGGATAGGCAAGTTAGTTTTTTTTTGTTTCATTTTAATTTCTTTTTTCTTTTTTCTTTTTCCTTTTTTATTTTTAAAGGGATACGTACGGCGTCATGGGGATACTGGAGCGCATTCGGGAGCCCAAAGCGGGCGTTGCGTTTCCGGTGCGGGTTGCATCCTTGGGGGAGGGGTTGCTGTTGGTTTGTTGGGGCTTATTTTGGTCCAGTATGAGCCGGCGGAATTGTTCGTTGTTCATCTTTTTTGATTTTAGTTTTAGTTTGGGTGGTATCGAGGTAAGGTGTAGGAAGGGAGGGTATATGTATGTAGTTGAGGTGGGGATGTAGAATAGCGGCTCCGAGTTAAATGAGAAAGGAGGGGAAAATTTAAAGAAGTAGAACCATGGGCACTCATGTGCACTGTCTGTACATCTTTGCTTGAGGGTATCACTGGTAGAAGTGGTGGGAAGAGTGACAGAGAGAGAGAGTGGGAAAGCTGTTCGCGGGAGAAAAAGTAGGAAAGGTCGGGGTTCTTGGCATTTCCGTCGACGCAACGTTGATTTTAATAGTGTCACCATGATCTATGAACGACGGATGTATAGTTTGATTACTTCACTATAATAGATTTTATATGTATGTTGGCTCTGATTGTGTCACTCTGTGTTTGTATAATGTAAAGGGATATGATGAAATAGCTATAGCTATATTATCGGAGAATCATACGTTTGATTCAATAAAAAGTATGTATCGCAAAAAATGAGATCATTAAGAATCAATCATGCAAAAAGAACAATCAAACGACTTTTCATCAGGGCATGGGACTAAAATGCAAAGCCAGTCTCAATTACACTTGAGACATCAAGACAAGTACAAGAATGGGTAGTTCGCTCCCTAGAACCTCTTAGATAGTTTCCCATCCTCCGTTGTTAATGTCAGCTTCGAGTTTCCGGCTGATCGTCGCGGGGATGCTGTGCGACAACCATACGTCACGGAGAAGTCGGTCGTATCGTTTTTGGTTAAGGATCAATTGACGATTGCGGCGAAGGCCGGGGTCCACTTCTCCATGGCGATCCAGGTAAGGTGCGTAATGCCAGGAGCCATGCTGGTTGTGCAGATACAGCACTGTGCATTTGCGGATATTGATAAACAGTCCGATATTCTTGCCACATCTGTGTAGAAAGGTGTCAGTAACCCATACAAAGAGTGCCAAGCGTGAGAGAGGAAAAAAAAAAACATACTTTTGAATGTGCTGATTGCAACCGCCCAGCTTATTTTCCATACAGCACACAGCTTGCGAGCAGAAGATATCTCCACAGAAGAGGCAGATACTTGGGTCGCTTAGTTCCTTCTTCGAATTCGGGCAACGCCTCCGGTTGGCCTCCTCAATCAAGCTATCATAGTACTTAGGAAGGCCGACCAATTCGAAAATGCCCGGATGAGGGAGACTAGGCCATAATTTGTGATCGCCAATGCGGATGCCTGAACGCGAGGCGTTCCAGTGGAAGATCCAGCCCGATATCACAGCGTCAAAAGGACTGCCGCTCTTCCTAGCCGGGTTGATAGATGCAAAGATCTCATCGACTGAAGGAAGATGTAGAGCCTTAGTAAGACGGTCCAGCTCCGAAACACCCAAGTCGTGGAAGCCAGTGTTCGGGAACTCAACGCCATGCTGCACGTTAAGTAGGATGACAGTTTTGCGGAGGAAAGCCAATGCGTAACTCGAGACTAGACGTCTCAATGCAATGACCACGCCAGGCGTCGCGGAGTCCTCACCGTCCTTCACGTAGCCACTCTCTGCGGGGAATGACGATCCTTCCGCCCGTCCGACTGAGTTCGACTTTAGCTCCGACACGACGCAGTTGAAAAACCGCCTGGTAAACTCGTATCGCTCGTCAGACAACTCTATGTCCAGCAAATAGTGTGCATCACCATTCTGAGCCAGTTCCTCCTTCAGTCCAAGGGGCCACAGAATGTAGGTCACGGCGACTTTGACAATCTCGGCCACATAGCACATTTGGATGAGGTGGCGAATGTCAATATTGAGAACAGGCAATAAGGATAAAGAGCATTCAGCCAAGAACACGAAAATGTCTTTACCGAGCAGTGGCTCAATTTCGCGGACATCGTCAAGGAGCGCCGTTCCGCTCAAGCAAGGATGGCCAACGAATAGCTGACAAATCTTCTGACGATGCATCTCCTGAGATTCCTCGGCGGAACGATTGTTAGGTCCGCTGCTGTCATGCAAGCACCCCACTGCGGCATAGGTCAAAGCCGTCTCGGCCAAAACGCGGAGATGGGTCAAGGTCAATTGGGGGATCTTGTCTAATAGAGTTGATCCTGGCTCCGATTCGACCCCACGCTGTTGGATCTCAGCCGCGGCGATGCTGAAGCCGAAGCTCTGGAATAGTGAATCAGTGTGGATGAGGTCATCTGTCTTGATAGTGTCTGGGTGATGACTGAAAGTTGAGTAAATGTGGTTCAACCTGAGGGTCTGCTTGAGTCGCTTGTAGATCTGAAGCAGCTCAGACATTGGGCTGTCTCCCGGACTGGACACCTGCTGGAGAGGGCTGACTGCGGGAATATCATCCTGAGATGGGAAGATGCCAGGAACCGGCATCCTCGCCGGCGGGACATAATGCGTAGTCGATGGCAGCGGAGACGTCATTAATTGCTCGGTTTTAGAAGCAAGAGGGGGGACCAAGCTCTTGTTAAGGTAGTCAAGGAACATGTCCCGATACGGCTGTTGCTGTATTTTGTTCTGTTCCATGAGCAGCGCATGATTCCTTGGATGGGACAGAGCAGATTTGACTTCCCCCATGATGAATTCATTGAAAGACACAGCTGTGTTTAGCACACCAGGATAGGACTCCTCCTTACCCTTCCAGGTTATAGGTAAGAATGCATTTCCTAGGGCCTTGCACAGAGGGCATACAAATTCGTTGAAGTTCAGGCGCTCGGGGTGATTACGCGCGATTTGTTGGCTCTGGCGTCGTTGGGTAGCAGTGTAATAAACTTCAAAGCACGAATAGTGCATGATGTGCCCACAGCCCGTCGTGACAGGCCCACGCAAGGCATTCTTTGCATTGAAGCCTTTACTCAGCCCGACCTTCTCGCTGATGACCTCCCCGCCCGTAGAATCAAGCCGCTTAACAGTAGTTCGGTTTTCACCTGCGACTCCGAAAGGCCGCAAACCTTCGGCAGACTTATCCAAGCTTAAGGGCGTCTTCAGCACTTCCCGAATCCAGTCGGGATCCCGTATATCTGTTTGCCTCATAATACTACTATCTTGCACCAAAGCGAAAGTTCCATAGAGTCTAGAGTCACTAGTTTCCTCCTGACAGAGAATACAAGTGCCACTCGGATACTTCCAAAGCTTAGTCTCAGGGGCAGCCTCAGACTCAGACTCAATGTCGCTGAAGTCCTCCTCTCCCCAGTCAATCGCGCCTTGGCTGTTCAAGAAGTTTTGCTGTTGCTGCTGAAATTGCGCCATCACTCTTGCCTGTCTTTCAAGAGCTTGCTTCTTCTTGATCTCTTTCTCATTATCGGTGTCGATGGCAGGAGAACTTGTATCTACCCGGTCAAATGGGAATTTGAGCGAAGCTGTGGCAGAGGCATATGCACGGGGGTGCCTTTGCCAAAGCTTTTTGAGAATGTGACGGATTTTAGGGCCACAGGCCGAGAACTCATTCATGATGGAAATCTTCTCCAGCAGGCCAACAATGGTCAGGTCACCCACCTGGGTGGCTCTGGCCTTTGTCAAAGCGTGAGATACGAATGATTCCAGGGGATCTTCCGACATCTGGTCCTCATCGGTGCTGTCTTCTAGGGCAGCAGCAAGTATCAAATGTAGAACAACTTGCAAGAACGTCTCGACCCGGGTGGGGGGGATATTCGGTGTGCGATCCTTCGAGGAGACCACGTAATCAAGGCATTGGTGAACGATTTGAGCAAAGAGCAAGGTCCGTGTGAAGCGTGGAAGGTCAATGAACGCCCCGGAGGTAATCGGCCTAAGCTTGGGTTCAAACACAACATCGGATGGTTTCTTGCCTGTCTTCTTCGCCATCCATTCCTTATATATATTCTCCGCTTCATCTCGCTGGTTTTTAGTATAGTGAGCGCTATACGGATCGACTAGATCGAGGTATTGGGACTTAAGCTCAAAGGTGCCGGTGTCGTTCAGCCCTTCAGGGGGACGGAACCCTGCTACCTCTTCCAACATGTCCTGGAACATATCGGATTCTAGTAGCTTATCACTGAGGCGAGTCGATAGATCTGAAAATGAAAGAGGCTTGAAGCACAGAACGTGTGCAATGTCGCGGCGAATATTTTCACGCATCGCGGCATCGCCATCGTCAATAGCTGCAAGTGAATTCCGATCCGTCAACAAAATAACAAGCAGATGGACAAACTCCTCGGCAACGTCAATAATTTGGTTATCCTCGTAACCAGCACGAGGCATGTAATTTCTCGTCATCCAGTCCACCATTCCAAACCTATCTGCAATGGATGCAAGGACCCTGCTTGGGTTACAGGTGACTAAGGCTGTTTGAAGAAGGAAGATATCGCGATAGTACGCAAAATCGCGAGAGGATACGCCACGGTATTGCGACATCTGATGCCGGAGGCTGAGCCCGTTGCGAACCCACATGCCGGCTTTCATCTGGGCTAGCCAGGCGCAGACCCTGAGAGGAAAGTCGAACATGGAAAGAAGCAAATCTTCCGGTCCAAGACTGCTGTCATGAACAAAATTGTCGTTCGCAATTTGTGCTGCCTCAAGCAGAGCATCACGCATCAAAGAACTGCTCATGTTACGTCCACATTCGAGTAGCCAGGAGAGAGTGTAGTGCAATGCATGATGGAAACTAATAGAGCCCCGTTCAACAACAAAGTCTACGACACGATGGCGTGAAACCTGGCCGGGATGGTCTCCCTCGAAGTCAAAGAATGGCAAAGATTTGAACCGAACGTACTCCTTGACTTCTGCTTGGTCGAAACGTTTGCGCTCAATTCCAGTCGAGTGGACGACTGCAGATACAGTAGCCACTTTAAGTGCTCGTAGCAAGTTCTGGCCTCCATCCGTCTCAGGGTTACGAAATGCCTCACAGAATTGACGGCAGAGCCTATTAATCTCCCGCATGAGGATCGATGCGCTGATCCAAGCGTCCGTTTCATACTCCACATGCTCTCCTACGGCACGCACGTTGGGGCAGATACCCTGCGAGAGTTTGACCAGGTCCAGGAACTGGCAGAGATACTGTTCCTCATTCCGTACACGGACCTGTACATACTCAGACTGCAGCAGATACCGTAAATCCAAGAAAAAGTGGTATAGGCGCCTGTTTGTCACGGAACCAGCATCGAATGCCAACGTTGCATTGGGGTTTACTTCGTACGGCTCCCCAACCTGCCTTGTAGTCAGGAAAGTATACAAGATCGACATGACCTTTGTCAAAAAGTTCCCCCGAAGGACAATTTCTTCCGTTATGGAAGGTGTAGTAAGAAGCTGTAAGGATAGGTTGACAATGGAGTGATCTGGCTCTCTATCGGCTATCAGGTAAAGTTGTGCGAGTGCGGTGTAAAGAGCAGACAATCGCAGGCCCATAATACGCTTAAACTGAGGAACATTAACCACGGTGCCAATATAGAGATCGCGAAGATCAGTACGCGTCTTCTTCCAAAGTCTGAGGTCGAAGAGAATCATCCAGTCGAGACGCGTGCGTTGCCACAGATCTTCATACGCGGGGATGTTGTCGCCTCTCGTAGGTCCTGATCTGACATGCCAATAACTCGGCGTCTTTGCCGGGGAAGGCTTGACCACACCAGATGGTGTTTTGGGGATGGAGACGAAAGATGTCGAGCCTTCTTCGTGCGTCTGACTGGAGACCGAATCGTTAGGAGCATGTTGCGATTCGTTTTCGATTCCTTCTGCTTGCGCTTCCTGTTCCTCCTGCTGCGGTTGCTCTTCCGTGTCAGGGTTTTGTCGCTGGCGAGCGAATCCTAAGAGAGTCTGGATAGTATCCAGAGCATTATCCGCATTTTCCATCACCATATCTTCGTCTTCGTCCTCAACTTCCTGGCGCAGCCTGTTGAAATCCATTTCCATTTCATCATCTTCATCGTCAGCATCATCATCATGAGCTTCAACATAATCTTCATCGTCTTCGCCTTCGTCATTCACACCTTGGTCATTGCCATTGTCGATATCCTCATCGTCGTCATCATCATCCTCCGTCGCCAGTACAACTCGGCCCTGAGGCGACACAGTGAGCATGACCGTGCGATAAGGTGCATTATCCGACCTCTGTTGGTCATCGATGCCTTTCATCCCAATATCTGCATTGAAGGCTCCGCTGCCGCGGCGCCACGGGCTCAACAGTTCCTCACAGATAGTGTGGCGTAAAATCTCATTATCTTCCAGGACACTGCATCCGGAAATGTCCGCAAGCCACTCGACGATCGTTCCACACATCTGCTCGCGAAACGTGTCCCGAGCGGACCGAATCGTAACGGTGACCTTAATCTGTTCGATGATCTTGGACACGGCCAATAACCTCTGCAAATCTTTCGAATACTTGACTACACTTCGTCCGATGTCATTGGTCTCCTGGGCCCTATCATTTCCAAAACGATCCCGCTCTCGACAAGCCCGACTCACTTGAATGGCGACATCGCGAATAGTGTGCTTCTCATCATTCCACAGCGCGAGTGCAAACTCCGGCTCTTCCTCAGGCTGGTCACCCTCACCATACCACCCTGGGCGTAGCCGCGAGGCCTCCTCGTCCTGTCTGATACCTGCTTCCGTCTTGGGCAACCGCAGCTGTTCCGGCGAGCAGGAGATGACATCAGAGAAGTAGTCGAGCGCTCGAGCGATGGTCAGGCGGATGTTATCCACCCAGTCCCGTGGCAGTTGAGCCTGCGCCCGTTCCTTGCCCTTCTTATCCCCGCTATCGGTATGGATCGCACAGAACAGCGGCAGTCGCCAGGCCTCGTCATCACCACAGTCACAGCACCCGCAGTTCCCCGACGAGAGCGAGATCTGGTACTGGTGCCCGGTATGGTCGGATGAATCAAAACAACGGCTACAGAGCACGCATGTGTCATCCGCAGCGCAGGTAATGCAGCGGTACGTCGCCTCCCCAGCTCTGAAGATATGACCACAGCGCTTTCCCCGCGCAGCTTCCGTATATTCCGCACCTTCCTTGGCGCCCTGGGCTTCTGCTAGTTTCCACGGTCCGGTTGGAAACCCATCCGGAAATAGTTGTCGGAGGCGTTCTTCGTTGTGACCAGTAAGCGAACGGAAGAGAAGCTCGAGCAGATCTTTCTCCGCTTGTGGGCCGTAGCGGTAGTTGTGCTCAGAAGGAAGCCGCTGAAGGCTTTCACCAAGAATCCTCTCACATTCTGTAAGCATCATTTATCGTCTCTAGTCTGAGAAGACGAGGCCCATTCAGTTGTCAAGGGTATGGAGTGGTGGGATGTCGGCGAGCTGGGAGCTCCGCGTGGCGGGACGGAACTGTGGTCCGGTTTGTTCCACCGCGATAAGGGAATGAACAAAAAGTCTCGAGAGCGTGGAGGGCTCTTCAGTGAGAGGCTGGATCGTATGTGCACAGCGAAGTTTGATTATATCCAGGTGAGCCTAACTGAAAAAGAACAAAAAAATATGGAAAGGAAGAAAAGAAAACCCTGTCAATTAATGCTTAGTGATCCGACATTCTAAAGAGATCGATGTCACTGTGGGGGGGAAGATTTGGTGGGATTAAATGGGAAAACACCCAACGGCAAACCCACCCATTAAGTCTTTTGAGTTATGAAACTCCCCGGCTCTTTCATTGACTCTGAAAGTAAACACAGTCAACCGACAAGGGAATGGAGACAAGCAGGAAAGTGCATTTGTAGAAGAGACGGATTGGAAAGTTCCGTTGCAGATGTTGTGGTGTTTGGGGATTATCCTTTCTACTTACTGGCATCGAATGACCGCTCTCTTGGCGCCACTGCCACCCATTGGCAGGCCATATTCTCCCCACCACCGAGAGTATAACTAGACAACGAAAGGAGTATATAGAGACAAGACACGGTTATTGCTTAAGGTTGCAGGAAATCAATTCAGAGGTGAATACAGAGTTAAAAGATTCTATTTCATACAAGACACACGCAGCATATACCAATGTCTCTCCAGTGCTCGGCTCTAATATAACATGGGACCGACATGCTTCCCCAGGATTGCTCCATCAATTACTGCGACTGCTTTACTCATCATCCTCTTCCTTGACGAGGAACTTGTGCTTGATGTCCTTCCATTGGCGCTGTAAGATTCGTTAGTGCTATGGTCCTTCACGGCATCCATCCAGAAGAGTCGAAAGTTAGAGACATACGCCGCTGTTCATGGTATCCCAGATACGGTTGGAACCGGAGTCAAAGGCACTGTTTGTGGGAGGCAAGTCAGCAACCGAGAATAAGTGGCACACGTTGGATCGACACGCACATCTCGAAAGCGAAGGCACTGGCGAAGATGGCCGAGAGGTAAACAGCGTTCCGGCGGAACAGGCCCCTAAATACCGTCAAAGCAATCACAGGTTAGTGAGGCGGAGCTATAGCCAATAAGGCCATTATTGGGGGATCCGGGGATGGGAGACATGCTGGTAGAGAGCGGAAGCAATCTGAAGCGGTAACTTATTATTAGCCATTGAACATCACTGGTCAATTCCAAACAGGGGCCACTTACAGCGCCGGCCATTGTGACGGAGTGGAATGAGGAGAAGAGGGCGGAAGAAGAAAGACAGGCAGCAGGTGAAGGGGACTATGTCACAATGGAGGAATGCGAGGTTGAAGTTTCGAGCCGACAAGTCGGCCGGGCGCGAAAAGCACCAGCGGGAATCACCGGGACGCTGATTGGCCGGCCGGAACGAAGTCTGCGCAGAGCCTCCGAATGTCCGCCTTAGGAAACCACGAAACGAACTTCTACAAAATTATTGTCTCACTTCTCTCGCTTCATAGCCCGTCGTCTTTTAGTCTACACGCAAGATCGTCGGCACCAGTCTACTTTCCCTTTCTACGCTCCCTCCGAAACGGCCGGAGAAAAGCATTAAAAAAAATACCCCGATAAGCCGGTGATCAGCGCAGTCATGGCTTCCACGAACTCGGGAATCACCACAGACGAAACCACCGGAGAGCGCTTTATCCCCTCTTCGCTTCGGCCCGATGGCTCAAAACGCCGCGAAATTCGTGTTCGGCCCGGTTATCGCCCCCCTGAGGATGTGGAACTGTATAAGAACCGCGCTGCAGAAGCCTGGAAGAACCGTGGTAAATCTGGGGTGCCAGGAGCAGAAAGCTTAAAGAGTGACAACGACACAGCCACTAAAGCAGGCACCGCTGCCAGCAACAAGAATGCCAAACGGAGGGAAGCCAAGAAAAAGGCAAAGGCAACACAGGATGGAACGGCTTCTACCGAGGGCAGAAACCTGAATGAAATCGAGGACTGGCGTGTCTCTGCTTCGAGCGCCGATAAGAAGCAGCCTGATGGATCGGACAAGGCAGCTGCAGGGACCGAAGAGGCGGCCGACCCAGAGGCGGAGAAGGAAAAGAAGGCGCGCAATCTTAAGAAGAAGATCCGGCAAGCACGCGACTTACGGGACAAGAAAAACCAAGGAGAGTCTTTGCTGCCTGAACAACTGGAGAAGGTGATCAAGATTCAAGAACTCATCCGCCAGCTTGATGCTCTTGGGTTTGATTCCAATGGTGACAAGAAGGACGGTTCTGCGGGAAAAGAGGATGTCTGAAACTGATACGGTGTATTGTCGATCAGGAATGATATTTCAATTCGGCGGTTCTTCCAGAGGCCCTCTTATTATGGACCGCCTACCTCTCGCACCTTGCTGTCTATATTGGTAGCCGGAAGGACTATTATCTCAAGGCGCTTTCGAGCATATCTGAGCCTGTGTTTCGCAGAACCGCTTTCTGCGAGTAACACAAGGACTGGCCGCATCGCGGTTGCAATTTGAGTCTGAGCTGCATATACACCCTCCAGCTTACCCACCGCTTATCAGATTATCGAGGAACTCAAATATGGAAGATCCTAGCGACTACCTTGTCCCTCTCATGACAAAGGCACTGTCCTATGGACTTAGGGTATCAAGGGTCTCCGACCATTCATATTATATTCTCACTGTGAAATTTGCCTATTTCTTTCTTCGCCTAGAACTTATATGCATTTACTGGTCAATTCGAACCCACTATAAGCGACTCGTTACGCACTATGTTTACAGAGACAAGTCTGCAATCTGTCGAGCTCTTTTTTTCTTCCCATGTCGGCAAGATTAGCGTGAGTCTATATTATATAGGATATTATATAGGATCATAAAGTTAAATAGAAGAATAGTCGTCTCAGAAATGTTTGCGTTCGGATCTGTACACTTCAGCCCACCGTACAGGAGAAGTAACTATGCCACCCTCCAACTCCCATCTTTCATAGTCAAACCTCCTCCAGGGGCGATCGCCGTCACCGGGGCCCAGCTTCCGAGCGCCGACGCCGTACGACGCGGATAGATACGCCTGCCGGATACAATCAGTCACACCAACACCATTGTACCAACTTCCTGCCAGTGTGAGTCTGTTATTGAGCTCGTGGCGTGTAGAACGCGAGAGCTCACGCATGCGAGATAGATGCCCAACAGTATACTGAGGAATGGCATTCCGCTGTAGCCGACTTCTTGTTACAGTGGGCGCATCCGTAATTCCAAGATGCCGGTGAAGCAATTTACGGGCCATCGCAACAGCTGTCTCATGGTCTGGATAGTCTGATTCCTTCCACCCATCCCACCAATGGCCACCCATCATCACTGTAAGTTTAGTTCCTGGTGCAGTATCTTGACCGACACTAGAATCGGACCCAAATATGACCCCCAATGCCCTTTCGGGATTCTGCTCATAAGGGATGGACCGCGGGATCAGATATCCAAAACCGCTGACCGGAAGGAGGTCCGGGTTTGGATAATACAGGTTGACAACCATAACCGTTACCGCATAGTTGTGCTCTTGCAGATTTCGAATAGTACCTTGAGGTAGTTTCTGGTCTTGCGTTGTGAGGTTGGCGAGCTTCTTTGCGAGATCAGGAGCTGGAATTGTGGCAATCACGCGGTTATGGACTCGAGAGCTATCCTGCCCAGATCCAACCTAAGGAGAACCTATGTCAGCGGACTGCACGCGGATTGTAAACCACATGCTCTTCTAGCAACTTACAACCAAATCGTGAGTAGTAGGGTTTTGAGTAATGGACGTTACGTCCGTATTCGCCAAAACATCAACCTTCTCAGACTTGTTCAAAGCACCAACTAAAGCATCGGAGAGCTGACCCACACCCTCCTTCAGCGTCAGAACGCTTGTCTTGTTGACAAGCGTCCGCAGGCTTTTCCAATAGGATCCCGTTTTCTCCTGTGGTACGGTTTCGAGGGCCAACAGATCATCCATGAACATATGCCTGAAATCCGACATTAGAGAGTTAATATAGCCTCCGATAACTCGGCGGTCATCGTTCTCAAGGTCGCGGAAGCTACCCATGATTGTCTGTGCGCTTAGACGACTTATATCACCCGCATAGATGCCATGGTATAACGCTGAAACAAGATTGTCCGCCACTTGCGGACATAGCCGGCGCGATACAAAGTTGGCAATGGATTCGTCTGGTGTCCTGGACTCCGGGGGGGCACGAACCGGTTCGAGGATAGCACTACCAAGTAAGCCCTCGAAGACCGGCTCACGTAGCATAGCATATAGTGGGTTTGTGATATTTTGGATCGGGCCGGCATCGGGGTCCGGTGCAGGCATGCGAACGAGGTGATCGGGGTAGTAGATATAGCGATTCCGTGCGGCAGGCGACGACTTGCTCGTCAAGAGAACATCATCATGTAGTCCTAGTTCGACGAGCTGTCACAGCGCGTGATACCCATTAGCACTTTTTCATCTTTCTAGAATAATGCAAACATATGGGGTCCTCTTCACACCAGATCAAGAAGGGGTAGGCACGCGGGGACTGAAGTCCGCAAGGTCCGCGGGCCATACTCAAAAACAACGTTCCCACCTTCGACCGGAATCTTTTCTGACAGCAACCAGCCCCCTACACGAGGAGTCTTCTCATAGAGTGTGACCTTGGAGCAATTGGGGTCCTGCGATAGTCGATAGGCTGCCGTGAGGCCGGTGATGCCGGCGCCAATGACCGCAGCATCGTACGTTGAGGTATGTGAAGAATGTCTCTGGCCGATGCGGGCGAACGCCAATGGCGTGCGCAACCCCCTAAGTGCACGGCTAGGGGCACATGGTAGTCTCATCTCCACAATTAGCGAGGGTTGAAATGTGAATGATGAGAAAAGGGGAGCATTGTTAGAAAGGCAAAGGTAGAAGAGATGGTTGACTCTATCAGGTGAGCTTCTGCAAGAGGCTGCCGACGGCCGGCGGTGTAATTGCACTGAAATTACCTAAATTTCACTGACCAACCGTACGTAGTCATTTGGATATTACAGTTGTTTTTCTATAAATAAGTGTCCAAGGGGAAGGAGAAAAAGCCATGCGAGATTCCATGATATCAAGGTCTATTTACAAAGCCAGTGTAATATTCTCTCTGCCAATCCTATAGATAAAATCAAAGCTAACGCCCTTCCCACCAGTCACCCATCGTCCGCACTGAAATAATACATGATATTAAACCACATGGGGAATTTTGAACTGTGACTTCGTCAAAAAGAAAAAAAAAAATCGTAGAGATCGCTCTTCGAATTATGTCGTAATCTCTTGGCTGGTCTGGGAAGAGCCTTCCGGAGCGCCGGGTTTGATCAATTCCTCTGCACCATCCTCATTGGAAACGAATCTCCTCTCGCTCACATGCGGCTTTTGCTGCCCATCAGCGGTCCATACCTTGTCCGTAAACGCCCCTTTCTGGCCCTCGGCATGCTTGTAGGAGCACGAAGGGTTAAGACAAGGGTTGAATTTGCATGGGGTCTGGACATGAGTGAACTTGCATCCCTCAACCGAGCAGTCGGCGCCATTCCGGCATAGAGGCATCGAAGGATGTTTAAAATGGCAGTGTGGGTTCGCACAATGAGGGAAGAATTTGCACAGCTCTTCCGCTTGGTGTGCCGACTTGACAGCTGGTGAAGGATGACGCGCGGTACACTTCCTGTTCTTGCAAGCGGCTCCGTAGGGGCATGCATCGGACAAATCAATGTTAGTACCCTCGGGGGCAGCCGGCGACTGGTGTGCAAAAGGGCAATCTCTCCGGGTACAGCGGAGGTTAAAGCGACAAACGGAGTCCGTATTACTTTCATCCTGTTCTCCGCCCTGGTCTGTCTTCATGTCCATTTCGGTATCGGCGTTTTGTTCGTCTCGTTTGCCAAAGTTTCCATGTGGCCGACGTCCCTGTTGACGTTCCACGCGGTCGAACAATGAGCGACCCTGCTGCGGTCCGTTCTGTTGGAAAGCTGGGTTGATCGCAGGAGACACGAATCCCGGCATAAATTGAGCCATCATCCTTGCTTGTTCTTCAAGTAGAGACATGAGCTGCATCTGATCATGTGGCGTCATGTTCATCATATTCCCTGGGCCACCCGCCATGGGATTAGGCCCCATACCCATTCCGCCCATTTGACGTCCACTTTGCATCCTTCCCCCACCATGCTGATGGAAGCGACCCTTTGTATGATCACGGCCATGAGAGTTGATCCGTCCACCACCACCTTGGCCACGAACGCGATGTAACGCAGAGTCGTTGCGGTCTAGCTGTCTGTTTATTTGATTGAGCATCCTGCCCCTCCCACCTTGACGATTGTTGCGCATCGCCTTTGGTCCTGTGGGTCTATTATTATCTCTGTTAGCCCGAGTTACCAGCGTAGAGCCAGTGGAAGCAACCCACATCGTGTCGTTCGCAGCTCCAGAGTCACCCATGCTCAAATCGGCATCCATGGTACCATCTCCCGAAAATCCCGCATTCATCTGTTGAATTGGGGTTGCCTCCTGGTCGTTGAATGATGGAATGGCCTGCGCAGAGTCGGTCTCAATTGAAGGGAGAACACCCCCGCCGTTGATCTGTTGATTGAGGGTCTCGACCTGGTCGAAGAGCCATCGCGAGAAGTCAAGGGCTTGTGTATCTCCTTCGCCTAGTCCAAGGAGATCATTTGAGAGTTCGCCAGCGATCTGTTCCTGTGTTTTGCCATTGACAAGCATGAGGATCACGTATTCGGTTAATGCTGAATCATCGCCGCCATCGGAGCTCCATCCCATTTCTACTAGTTTCGGTTGAATCACATTACTCAAGGCCTCCGCAAGGGGGGTGCCAACAGCGACCACCGCAGTCATCGCGAAAAGTTCAGACAGTCGAGATCGGATCGAAGGGAATAAATAACGAAGGGAATCGAGAGGGATAGTAGGACTCGGGCAGCCCGCTGAAAAATCGGTTGGGGAGTCCTCTCTTGCCTTGCCTGGCAAATAAAATCAGACGAAGACTAATCTGTGGGGGGTGGTTCGGAAAGTGGAAGATCACAAGGGTACAGCAATGAGTTCGTTGGTTTTTTTCACTTCATGGCAAGGAACTTTGATGATGATGAAAGGTGCCAATACCCACCAGCCACAAGGTCACGTGTACGTCTGGTTGCCGGTGGCGAAGACAACACAAATACTTTAGTCCATCGTACCTAAAAGGGAAAGCGGTACGTAACTCACATATTCGAGTTACGAGTATTTATATCTCTACTTAATTGGGTTTCCTTTCTCGTAAAATATTCTAGTAAAATACACATAAGAGGGTCTACCGTTATTATTTGTCCTGACTAAGTAAATTTCGGTTTTGGTAAGATGATGAGCCATAGAACTCATGCTGCTGGAGACACATTTCTCGACAATGCTTGCTAAGAAAGCGTACAAAGCATTCTGCCCAGGTCCGCTTCTGCTACGCAGCCTTGGTTCCGACTACGGAGTACAACTCGTACCTTTTACATTCCTCTTTCTCGCGGTCAGATCTTCATATATTACAATCCACCCAAATAGGAATGACTGTATCCCCTAAGATATCTCTAAAGGAAGGATGTCCACATTCTTGCGAATCAATCCATCACCCATTTTACTAATACTGTTAAATTTGTACATCTGCAAGTGAACAACTTCCCCCGCAAGATATATATATCTACCGCAGTTCTCAAGGATATTCTTTATAGCTTGGCACTTAGTCTAGTACCACTTAGTGAGACATCCCAAACAGGGATCATCACACCATCAAATGGCCTTATTTCGTCGTCCCTGAACTATTAACTCATGTAAAGCCCTAAAAAGGCCCATACATACGCCACACCATGAACAATTCATCAACCGAAACGGCAAGTATCCAAATCCCCATCCAGAGACCATCACAAACATGTCGCCCTGGAATCCCACTCTCGAAAATGAAGGTAATTCAAACCTAGACTTCATTCGATCATCACTCTCCTCTAAAACATGGTTTGGCTTTGACCTCGACGACACACTCCATGAGTTCCGGAGGGCATCAGCCCACGCATCGTCAGCTGTACTTACCGCAGTCTACGAAGAAAATCCGACTATAAGCGTCAACGACCTGCTGATGTCTTGGACATACCACTCTGAAAGACAGCAGGCGCTTTCGCCGACGGTAGGACTTCGATCGAGTACCCCAGAGAACGCTTCTCCCTGCTTCTTCATGGCCGTGGACTGGAAACATCGACAGAAAGATTAGACCGTCTCTTGGAGACCTACGAAAGGAATCTAAAAGGAACCCTAACGCTGAAACCAGGCTCACTCCGACTTCTCCAACGGATTAAGAGTCTCGGGAAGATAGTTATCGTGTAACCGAGGGTCCGCAGGATGCGCAGCAGTGGACCGTGGAGGAGCTTGGGCTCTTGCCGTATATTGATGTGCTTGTTACTACTAACGAGATTGGGATATCGAAGGTCGACAGGTTGTTTCCTATCGTGTTGAGGAAGTATAGTATTCCCGCATCGAAAATTGTGTATGTTGGGGATAATGAGAAACGGGATGTTGTTCCGGCTCGGGGTGCGGGTATTCTGGCTGTGTTGTATGATGAGAAAGGTGGTTGTGGGTTTGATGATACGGCTGCGTTTCGGGTGGATTCTCTGGAAAAGCTGGAATATCTATTAGGTTAATTGGTTAGACAGTGGGAATAGATAGACAAACGGTTGAAGTTATCTTGGTTGGGTCAATTCTCGTAAGGGGCATCAAGACTACGACCAGCTAACATAGCGAAAGACTACTACTGCATAGACATGTTTGTGAGGTTTACAATGCAAAGCCTACGTCATCTATATATTGCTTACCGAAATCAAAGATTACGGCGAAGTATGGTTGCAAACTTAGAAAGGGAATGTGGATATGATATCAGGGGCGTTACCGACGAGTTGATATGTACCATGGCAAATCATGTAGGGGCCCGGAATAGTGACTCCTCAACCTCATGCTCAGTTAGATCATGTTAGAAGTGGCTTGATATTTCATCGATGACTCCTAATATTCATCAATTGGTCATAACTTCAGCTGCATTACTACAGAACTCGTTTTGGAATGATGAACAAGGGGTAATGAAAGGATGTCTTGAATACGTTGACAGTAAAATGATTTGTACCATACCAACATAAACGTTGCATACAGATAAGATGTCTATGGTATGAGATCGACCCCTTTGCATATTCCTTTTTCCTTTTTCTCGTGAATGGCATTCCACTCTGGGATAACACATCGACATGCATGGCAGTCGGCACCACCTTCCGGAACAGATCCTGTGGACGAGAACCGTTCATTGGTGAAATGCAATGTAGATCACACTAACGTTTCAAATACCGCACATTCGTGCGCTTCCAAATCATAGCGACAGAGAGTAGTTGCGCCACAGAGAATGCCCCGGCGAGCTTCACCTGCTCACTGTAGGCGACAGAGTAGGCCTGGCGGATACGAAGCTGTGTACCGGGAGAGAACAGTCCGATTGCGTCACTGGAGGAAATCACTAGGCCCAGTTGCTCTGAACTCAGAGTCCCTGTCAATCGGTTCTTCAAATAATTGTGCAAGATGGTTGTGGATGCTGCAACGCCGAGGACACCACCGAGCATGCGCAGCTGGAGTCCGGTACTCAAGGCGATAGATTGATCTTTCTCCTCTACCACAAGCGGCGCCATCATATAGAATACCGCCACGCTGGTGCCCGTTCCTAGTCCCGCTAGGACAAGGTATCCATACTGCGCAGCTGAGATCTTTGTTGAAAACGGGGTCTCGGAGAACAGAAAAAGACCGACGATCTGAAAGGCTATACCTCCAATTGCAATATAGCAAAATGGGATTCTAAGCCGTCCCACTAATATAGAGCAGGACATTATACCGACTGGGCTGCTTAACGCATAAGCTAAGAATCGGACTCCTGCACCCATCGGGGAGCAGCCATTGACGATCTGAAACCGCTGAGGGATCATGATGATACTGACGGTCATCGGGAGGCCCGTAGTGAAAAACCCACTATTTTACGGTTAGTAAATGCCTGAGAGGTATAAGCATGGGTGAACAGCTACTTACAGCGCAGCCCCAAGGAATATGCGGTTGTGAGCCAGTCTCCAGGGGAACATGGCGTAAATATTCAGATCCCGCTTGCTAATAAGCCACTCCCACCAGATGAAGACAACCCAGAAGAGCCCTGAAATGACGAGAAAACTGATCACAAGACCGGATGACCATGGGTATTCAAAATTGCCTTCCTGTAGGGCTGCAATGGCAAATGAGCACGCAGCTAACAGAGCCAATGCGCCAAGGACGTCTGCGCGCCGAAGAAAAGTTTTAACTTTCAGACCAATTTCATGGCATGTAGAAGATACTGCAGTTTGGGTAGACGAATCATAGGGAAAGTTGGCTGGCAGCACGAAAAGTAACAGTATCAGGGAAAAGGCACCTGCCGGAACACTGATTGCTGTCAGACTTGGTTGATAACGATTGAATTGAGGAGACGGTACTTGCACAAGAATACCCAGCGCCAATTGCCCTTTTCAGCAACAGCACCCCCAATCAAGGGACCAAGGGCAAGCCCTAGAGACAGAATGCCGCCAGCGACGGAGCTGATGGTATCGTATTGTCGGTATGGAACTATGCGGACGAAGGAAAAGAGCGTGAGTGAGTATACACCAGCGGCGCCTATCCCTTGAAATGCACGGCAGATGATTCTGTAGATTTTAGTTATTTCTATACTCAGCCACAGCAGTAAGGGCCATCATCGAACACACAATTGACTGAGACTATGCGCACCACCACAGCCGCCGGAAAACGCGGTGAAAATAGAAAGAGATGTAAGAAGGCTTGTCTTCACCCGCCAGATGTCACCAATCTTCGACCAGATCATAAGGAATCCTATTGTGAAAATGAGTAGAGAAACCTTGTGAAACGATAAACCGGAATGAGTACCGGTATAAGTGAGCAAGTAGGACGTGATAACCCAACTGCTTCGACCGAAATCCCCTAAGTCATTGGTGATAGTCACCAAGGACGTGCTCACGATAGTAGCTTCAATGCCAGTGAGAAATAGAGCCAAGCCGAGACTGATATGCACAGGTAGAATATAAGGTTAGCAAATTTGAAGCCCTCTAACACAATAACCAAGATATTTCTGTACCCAAGGGCCCCAAGGAAAAGGCGAACCCCGTGTAAAGCACCATCCCACTCAATAGGTTCCTCGCTGACGCTCTCCCTAATACCCTCCGGGGTCTCTTTTTCCGGCATAGTTGATTCGCGATCCGGAAGCTTTGACCGACGAATGAGATATAAGGTCATAAGGTATGACCAAAATGCCGCAGGATGCTGAGTGTGATTTAAATCTAATTATCTAGTATGATCATAGGCCATAAATGGATAAACCTGAAGATGGAGCCGTGCAACGTGTGATTGAAAAAAACAAAAAACCAACAAAAAAGAAATAACAGGCTGAAATTGGGGAATAATCATCTCTGCGAAGTCCAAGAGGAGGATATGCTACGTCTATAAGTCGCCTTGCAGCGAGTGAGACAGTACTTCTTATTCTTTCATATCGATTTATTGGCTTGTAGCATCCTAACACTAGATTGGCCCCTACTATCCTGCAAGGGGCATCACCTCAACGAGGGCTTCCATCATTCATTTATCCTGGACTTGGTAAATGGCCCTATTAATAATCTTTGAAATGGATACCGTGTCTTCAGCTGAACTGGAAATTTCATGACCATTTGCGTGCACGAAGGTGGATCTTTTGTCCGCATTACAGAAACTCACAGCCCGTTGTGCCTCTCCTTTATGTGGGTCTGCTGATCCCCAGATATGAGCAGTAGGCAAATCGAGTACCATACCTACCTGGGCAAAATCCAAATATGCAATGCGGTCCTCGTCCAATGCGTTGTGATCGTAAGGCTGTCCGGCATTTGAGAAAAATATCGCCACTTTAAATGGCGCACCATTGGGCCCACTTCCATTCCTAGATCGATACCAGTTTACCAACCATGACAGTGCCATAGTTGCCCCCATGCTGAATCCAATGATTCCGTCGAAAGGGCCCTCCTCCTTTATGTACTCCTCAAGGTCATGAGCAGACTTCCGGCAGGAATGCGGCTGGTCAGGGTCACAGAAAGTGAAAGTTTCTTCGTCCGTGCTCATAGTATCCTTAAGTGCTTCATTATTATTAGAAAATTGGAACTTACGAGGGGGCAAGATCAACATACATGACTCCCAGGGTACTACCCCTTCGACAAAATCATAGGTATGCTGGTCGCCAAGCTCGTATCGAATAGCCGCTGGGCATGCAGTCAGCTTTTCAGGACCTGTTACAATGTGGCTTAACGCATTGGTAGATTTACCTGTTTGCTGCTCAAACGTCTGAGTAAGCAAGAGTATGAGTGTCTGTTCTTAAAGAGTTCGACTCAAACTCATGCAATAGTACTTGCCTGAGAATTGCTTCCAATGCCATGTAGACTGGAAGATGTCAGCCAAAGTAGTCATAAATTGTGGTGTCGGCGAATGTACCAGAGAAACCGCATTTTTGCTGAGAATATTAAACTGGAAAAGGTCGGAAGGGAGATAGATATAAGAGCTTTGAAGCGGTTGACACAATCTTTACTACCTCCTATGTCTTGTTCCAAAGGGAGAAGAAAGGTGATTGATTTAGGGTGAGACAAGCGTGGTTTAACCAACTCAGTTTGAGCTATATAGCCATAAAAAATTTATAGACACGTGGATTACTTCTTACGGCAGGAATCAAAACATGTACAGGACAGCCACGAAGGCATTGAAAGAGTTTATTCAAAGTAACTGTGTCTGATGCGATGCTTCACGGAGAAGATATTCCGTGACAAGGATACCACGTCATATTCAGCCAATATTGCATGCACTAGTGCTTATCCCTTGCCTTGTTTTCTTTGATTTCTCAAAAGAAAAGGACTACCCTACTTGAATGGGAAGCCTTATGGGGGCTGGAATGGTGGAGAGAAACCCCTTGGAAATCGGAATGGCCAACTGAGGTAGTTACTAGTCCATGCCAACCTCGATATTGGCCCCGAAAGGTGGTAATCATCAAGAATACGAATTCTCGATGTGTTGGGGTGATCAGTTATTGGTGTAGGCCTCTGCAAAGCAAGTGACCAATGTGATGTGGCTTGCATGGAACTTGTGCAATATACCTATCTTGAAAAGTCAATACTTTCCAATAATGAAGATACGTTACTCTTCACTTGATCTTCAAGCGTCTACGATCAATCCCGATTGGGTAGAGCTCAATAGCGATATGATAGGGCATATATACCTGCATACTGGAATATCCTCCGGCAGGCAAGTGACGTGGCGGGGCAGTGACAAGTGTACAATACATTCTCCGATTCACACAACTGGCAATGAGACATAATGCCAATATTGACGTAGTTATGCTCGAGGTCTAATCGCATGTAACCGAATTTAGAGGACACATGCCTGTCTAAGTGTCTGGATAGCATGCAGGAATACTACATACCGACAATCACCCTATAAGTTCGCAGGACCCGCGGAGTGTCTGCGGACTTAGTACAGCGCTACAATCATTTGTACTTGTTCATAGTCTGCCTAACTCTTATGATAACCGCTTTATTTCAGATTATATATCTTAATCATGGCAACATATCAAGAGCAGAGCTTGCCGCCGCTTGCAATCATTGGTCTATCGCTCAAGTTTCCCGGGGACGCGATAACACCAGATGCCTTTTGGAAGATGCTTCTGGAGGGGAGGGCCACCGCGAGCGAGTTCCCATCGGATCGGCTCAATATTGGCGCATTGCATCATCCAGATCGTGAGCGTCTAGACCACCTGTCTTTACGAGGAGGCAACTTTATGACTGGAGACTTGGGCGCGTTTGACGCTGGATTCTTTACAATCAATGCCACCGAGGCAGAAGCAATGGATCCGCAACAGAGGTTAATATTAGAGACATCTTATCGCGCGTTGGAGAACGCAGGAATTACCGTCGAAGAAGCGTCTGGCTCTAAAACGTGTGTCTTCACCGGAAGCTTTTCTCATGATTATCACACGTTACAAGTCAAGGATCCCATGACATTGCCAAAATGGCATGCTACTGGGACATCCATGAATATGCTGTCGAACCGCGTTAGTTGGTTCTTTAACCTGCAGGGACCGAGTGCTACTGTTGATACTGCCTGCTCTAGCGGTTTGATGGCGATTGATTTAGCCTGTCAATCTATATGGAGCGGAAACTCTTCCATGGTATCTATCACATAACTATACTAGCAACGCCCACAGTCTGCTAACTCGCTGGATAGGGTTTAGCCATTGGTAGCAACACAATCCTGTCATTGGAAATGAGCCTATGTCTTGATAATCTAGGCCTCCTGTCGAAGGATAGTCGCTCATATAGTTTTGATCAACGTGGAAATGGCTATGCTCGAGGTGAGGGCGTTGGCGTATTAGTGATTCGACCTCTGGAAGAAGCAATTGGCCATGGTGATACTATAAGAGCCGTCATCCGATCCTCCGCTTCGAATCAGGATGGACGCACACCGGGGATCATGCAGCCTAGTGGTGCCATGCAAGAGAAATTGATCCTCGATACTTATAAGAAAGGAGGGCTTGATCTAGCAACGACGCGATATTTTGAAGCTCATGGAACAGGTATAGTAGAAAGGTCACTGGTTGCCACGTGGAATCTAATATGAACAAATTTTCTAGGCACAACCGTTGGAGATCCAATCGAAGCCCGCGCAATTGGAGGCATCTTCCGCAAATACCGGACAGCGAATGATCCGCTTTACATGTAAGTTTGGTGGATCCCATATCGAGGCTATTACCAATGCTGAGACTCAATACAGAGGATCTGTAAAATCTTCCGTTGGCCATTTGGAGGGCGCAAGTGGTGTGGCTGGAGTGATCAAGGTTGTTCTTGCCTTAGAAAAAGGAATCATTCCCCCAAATGCAGGCTTAGAGAAACTAAACCACCGGATTGACGATGAGTTCTTTCATATAAAGGTCTGTGGCCGTGGGCCATAATACCTTGTAAGCATTTGCACTAATAACCGTAGGTCCCTCAAAGCCCCGTGACCTGGCCTGTTGTTGGATTGAGAAGGGCCTCAGTCAGCTCCTTTGGCTTTGGCGGATCCAATATTCACATTGTGCTGGACGATGCCTTGAATTATCTCCAGACCCATGACCTTAACGGAAAACACGATACAGCTGCCCATCCCAAGGTCCCGTGCTTAGACTATGGTAGCACAAATGGGATACGGGAAGAATTATCCGATGAGGCAAAGGTGCTTGTCTGGTCAGCTGCAGATGAGAACGGAATTTCTCGCATTCAAGATAGCTGGAGATCGTACTTCTCATCACTCCAGGTCCCAGATAGCAAAAGGACAGCGTACCTGAATAATCTAGCATACACACTAACTAGTAGAAGAAGCCATCACTTATGGAGAACATTTGTCACTGTGAAACCATCGGATGACTGGTCAGTAGTAGTGGATAAATTTGCTCGCCCATGTCGGTCGGTCTCATCGCCCAATCTGGCATTCATATTCACTGGGGTGAGCCACCTTAATCCCAGTCCAATACAATGGAACTGACTTTGGGTAGCAAGGAGCACAATGGTACGCCATGGGTCGTGAGCTCCTTAACAATTACCCTGTTTTCCTCCATAGCATCCAAGAAGCCAATAGGTATCTCCGCAGCTTGGGATGCCAATGGGATCTCTTAGGTATGTCCACGCCGCATTTCGAGAAGTGATAGCAGTGATCTAAAACGGAGTGGATGCTTAGAGGAACTCCAAAAGCCGGAGGAGTTGTCCAATGTAAACAAGACAGAATACAGCCAGCCGCTTTGTACTGCACTCCAGGTTGGCTTGGTTGACCTTCTCTCGCACTTCAAGATTACACCCAAGGCTGTCGCGGGCCACTCGGCTGGGGAAATCGCAGCTGCGTATGTTCTAGGAGAATGCTTCATGATCCTTTATTCGCATAGTCTAACCCAATATAGGTACTGTATCTCCGCTATAGATAGACGCTCCGCTTGGAAAATTGCTTTTTACCGTGGGAGATGGAGCAGCCAGTTAGAGAAATCTAGCTATGTGAAGGGGTCAATGCTAGCGGTAGCATTGCCCCCAAAAGAGGTTGAGCCATACTTCGAGAAAATAGCTAATAAGTACGAAATTTTGAGATTGACAGTGGCGTGTATCAATAGCCCTAAAAGCGTGACGATATCTGGCGAGGAGACGCAGATTGATATGCTCAAATCAACTCTCGATGTACACGACATCTTCTGCCGAAAGTTGAAGGTCAAGGTTGCTTACCACTCGTTCCAGATGCATGAAATTGCGTCACAATATCGGACCGCCATGGGGAAGCTGGACAAAGGCACAGAGAAAGGTACTTTCGTGGAGATGGTGTCCTCGGTCACAGGCACCTGGGTTAATCCAGAAAGCCTGAGGGAGCCGGAGTACTGGGTGCAAAATATGGTTTCCCCGGTGAAGTTCTCCGATGCTTTATCTACTCTCTGCTCAAAGGCAGAGACCCCTAAACTAAAGCTTGATCGGAGTCATCGGAGGGCGCTGCAAATCCATCACTTAGTTGAGCTTGGCCCACATTCAGCGCTCCAAGCCCCTATTAAAGAGAACCTGGATAATTTAAACCGACAGTCCGTTGTATATTATTCACTTCTGGTGCGGGGCGTGCCGGCAACGGATACTGTCATGACAATGGCTGGCTATTTGCATGCAGCTGGATACTCGATTGATCTTGGAGCTGTGAATAAACTGAATACTTCTGGGGAAGAAGGCCTGTTGAAGTCACTATCAGATCTTCCGGAATATCCCTTCAACCATAGCAAGACTTACTGGCATGAGAGCCAGATAAGCAGAAATCACAGACTGCCTAGAATAGGTAAAAATGACCTTCTGGGTTCACCAGATCCTAACTGGAACCCTCTTGAACCACGATGGAGGAATATTATCAGGTTATCTGAAATGCCCTGGGTCCGAGATCATCAGGTGAGTCCCTCCACATTGACCAATTTCTACTAGAGATGAATGCAAGGAAGCGATGCCTGCAGTGTGTATATGATGCGCTGACGAGAATACCTTGTGTTGGTAGATCAACGGTACGACAATATACCCAGCAGCTGGAATGATCGTTATGGCTGTTGAGGCAGCCAAACAGTTAGCAAGCGAGGGCCGTCGGATCTCAGGCTTCAATATCAGGGACGTTGCTCTCCATGCTGCGATCCCAATCCATGGACAAAATGAGGTCGTGGAAACAGCATTTAGTATGAATCCGGTAAAGGAGCTTATGTCTGCAGCATCACATTGGTATGAATTTCGACTCTACATGAATACAGGTTCATCGTGGGTGTCGAACTGTACAGGCTCTATCCAGATGACGTATCATCCAGAGAAGCCAGATCCTGTGGACAGTAGCCACCTGCAACGAGAGTTAAACAGCCAACAGATTCAGTCATATCTACAAGCGAGCCAAAGATGTAGCTCCCACGCCCGAGTACAGGAGCTCTACTCTCACCTGGAAAAATGTGGTTATGGCTATGGTGACGCATTCCAACGAATCGCTGCCTTGAGTGTCGACCCAAATGACTACACATGTGTTACTGGCGAAATAAGCAACAGCCCGTCAACCCTGAATGAGACAATCCACCCTACAGCTCTCGATGCTCTAATTCAGACGGCTCTTTGGCCCACGACAAGATGCGGTGCCGAGGTCATACCAACCGCCATCCCAACGCACATCCGGAACATAGCGTTATCTGTCGATGGCCTCAATGTTTCTCATGGTAACTTAAAGGTCTACACCAAGGTAGAAGCATCCACAAACTCAGACATATCTGCAAGCATCACTGCTTTTGATGATCAACTAGGAAGCGCAATAATTACTGTGGATGCGCTGAGATGTACCGCAGTTAATGATGGTGTAGGACCCGAAACAAACCAATCCGACAATCTTTGTCATCAGATCGAATGGAAGCCAGAGATCAGGTTGCTGAAAAACAATGAAATTGACCAGGTCTGCCGAAAGGCATACGGGGATCCTTCAACGCCCGAAGATTTCTTCACGGGAGTGGACTTCATACTGCTTGCGCGTCTTTTAGAAGCCCTCGATACCCTGACCAAAGGAGCCCAGACGCCCAGTAAGCCGCACTTTAAAAAATATCTCGAATGGGCAGCTACCCAAAAGAGGTTGTTGAGCGACGGTCGCCTATTATTTTCCTCGGAACCTTGGAGCAGCCGTTTTCATGATGCGAAGTACATCCAGAATTTAGAGATATGGCTTTCTGAGAGGAACAAGCAGGGGAAGTTCTTGGTGAGTATTGCTCAAAATCTCACAAAACTTCTGTGTGAGGAGCTGGACCCTCTAGAATTTATCTTTACTGGTGGACTCATTAACGACCATTACTATGATGCGGTAAGTCCGACTCTGCGTATCAGTCACACCTAGAGCTAACCCATGAGGCCCCAAGCTTGATTGTGCAAACAGTTCCAGGCGAATAACGGCGTACCTCGAGATTCTATCGCATGCAAATCCGCAGATGAAGATCCTTGAGATAGGGGCAGGAACAGGATCCGCTACTAGCATATTCTTACGAACATTGGGGCGCGGGCAGGATGGTGCAAAGTCTCCAAGATATGCTCACTGGGATTATACGGATATCTCACGTTCATTCTTTGGCGAGGCAGCAGAGCAATTCGCTAGAGAGGCAGATCAAATGGGGTTTAGCACCCTCAATATTGAACATGACCCAGAGGAGCAAGGTTTCGAATGCGGCACATATGATATGGTTGTCGCTTCGTTGGTATGTAACCCAGCTGTGTTCTTCGCCTCTACCGCTCTAAATGCATATATTAAGACACATATTTATAGGTATTGCATGCCACGTCGGACTTGATTAAGACGTTAACTCATGTCCGAAGGCTTCTCAAACCGTAAGTTGAAATGAAAGCAGCCACCCCTTGAGGATCGTTGAGTTTGCTGATAACCGCGATAAGTGGTGGGAAGCTGATCATGAATGAAATGACTAACCCTGCCCGTTCCGCATACGTGTTCGGGCTTCTTGAGGGATGGTGGCTAGGTTAGTTGAGATCGTATCAGGGACTAGTGATTGGATCGCTGACATAAAAAGGACATGAACCCTATCGCTCGCTGAGCCCCTGCATAGACGAGGCACAGTGGCATGCGCTTCTGACACAAACCGGATTCTCAGGATGTGACCTTGTCTTCCCTGACTTTGAGGAGGCAACCTGCCATGAGAATTCCATTATCATCACCACTGCCACCCAAGAGTCCCCAACGGTTTCCGGACGCCCACATATCCAAATAGTCCATGATCCGACTGACAGATCTCAAGTTGAACTATCACAGTTACTCGTTCAGGGATGTCGCGGGCTTACAGACTCAATAGTTGAATGTGTCTCGCTTGATGAAACGGGGTCTTCTGATGATTTGTTAAGAGTCTACCTGCTCGAATACGGCACGCCGGTACTGTCTGAAATGCACGAGAGTCTGTATACGAGACTTAAGGCTCTCTTCCTGTCACCCGGGTCCACTCTTTGGATCACTGGTGGAGGGGGCAAAGACTTTGGGCAGCCGCATCTTCACCTGGTTGAGGGTCTGTTTAGAGTACTGGATGAAGAAGACAGGAGCCGAGATCGCTACATTCTTTCGCTCGAACGCCAACAAACGGAAGGATACCCTCACTCTCAGCTAGTGCTAAATATCATCTCTCATATTCTGTCCTCAGACTCCCCCCTTGTTGATATGGAATATACCGAGCATCAGGGGATATTGCATGTTGGGCGCATAGTGAACCATCCGTCTCTGAACAACGCCATTTCTGTTCAGACAAACTCACAGAAAGCCATAATGAGGCCACTCGGCTGTGGAACCCCACTGAGTCTTGATGCTGCATCTTCCAGCATGACGGGCGGTTTCCGGTTCACCGAGGCCGAATGGAGCGATCGGCCTCTTGCGGCCAACGAAGTAGAGCTTGAGGTGGGCTGCGTCGGTGTCAACTTCCGTGACGTCCTTGTAGCCCTGGACCAGCTTAACATCGGGAGTATTGGTTTAGAATGCAGTGGTATTATTACGCGCGTTGGTACAGCCTGCCGCAAGTTCAAGAAAGGAGATAGAGTTGTCGGTTTCCTGCCTGACTGCTACTCGACACATCTCCGGTTTCAAGAGTCCGAGCCAGTCATTCATGTCCCTGGTGGGGTTTCACTACCCGCTGCGGCCACTATCCCCGCAAACTTCATTACTGCATATATGGGGCTGAAGGAGCTCGCACGAATCCAGCCTGGGGAGTCGGTCCTAGTTCATTCCGGGGCTGGCGGCACAGGCCAAGCAGCAATACAGATCGCAAAGCACTTTGGAGCCCAAGTCTTTACTACAGTCGGGTCTGAAAGCAAGAAGGCATTCCTCATGGAAACTTATGGACTCCCTGAGTCTCATATATACTCCAGCAGATCGACGTATTTCTCCAAGGCGATCCATCACCGAACCTCAGGAAAAGGGGTTGACATAATCTTTAATTCGCTCTCCGGTGAAAGTCTCCTTAAGTCATGGGAATGTATCGCCCCGTACGGAAGATTTGTTGAGATCGGCAAAAAAGACATTCTATCAAACAGCAAACTCCCAATGGCCCAATTTCTAAATAATACGACGTTCATCGGTCTAGACCTGGGATATTGGGCAAGGGACCGCCCGGATGCTTGTGTATCTGCATTAAATGCGATCTTCGAGTTGCTCGTCGAGGGAAAGTTGCAACCACCCAGCCCGGTTACCACATATGGAGTCGCAGAAATAGAAAAAGCCTTCCGACAAATGCAAGGTGGAAAGCATCATGGCAAGCTAGTGATTGAGATGCGGAAAGACGATTTGGTTATGGTTAGTTTGAGGATATATCCACGCCTCATTGTGTTAGTATAAAGCTGGCTAACTTGTATATCAGACGGTATTGAAGCCTAAACCGAACTCTCGGTTCGACTCTAGCGCAACGTATGTTGTCTCGGGCGGACTAGGCGGACTCGGTCAGAATGCTGTTAACTGGCTGGTGACTCGTGGGGCGCGAAACCTCCTCCTGCTATCACGGTCTGGTGGAAACAGTCCCGAGGGACAAAAGCTACTTGATAAACTATCTACTCAAGGAGTAAAAGTCCTAGCTCCAGCCTGCAACGTCAATGACACTCAATCGCTGTGCAGATCGCTTGATGAATGTCAAGCGCACATGCCCCCAATCAAGGGCTGCATCCAGGGCGCAATGGTGCTACACGTAAGTCATACTCCTCAAGAGGTATTTCGTGTACTAACACCACCGTAGGATGTTTCATTCGAAGATATGTCATACACTGCCTGGCAAACCGCAGTTAGCCCTAAGGTGCAAGGATCATGGAACCTCCACGAGCTTCTTCCACGGGGAATGGACTTCTTCATCATGCTGTCCTCGATAAACGGAGTGATTGGATCTAGAGGACAGGCAAACTACGGTGCTGGAAACACCTTCCAAGATGCACTTGCTCGATACCGGGTTGGAATCGGTGAGCGGGCGACCTCCCTTGATCTTGGCCTGTTTACCTTTGCCGGCGCGATTACAAAGGATCCCAGACTGAGGGAGATGGTGCAAAACAACTCGGTGTTGGAGCCAGTCTCTGAAGCCCAATTCCATGCTCTGCTTGACTCCTACTGTAATCCTGCGAAATCTCTGGATTTAGGTCTAAACTGTCAGACTTCAATCGGTATATTTCCAGCGGTAATGGAACGGGGCGCAGGAAGAGCCTATTGGCTTGAAAAACCACTCTTCGGATTCCTGAAACCTAAGGAAGCATTCCACGGTGACCAGCTCGGCCAGGGCCGTGGTGTGAATATTGCAGCAGCGTTTCAGAGCGCCGCATCGCTGGCAGAAGCGACCGCGTTGATAGTCGAGGCCCTGACATTGAAACTTTGCAAAGTGTTATCACTTTCCGAAAGCGATATCGACAAGGACAAGCCGTTGCATGAGTACGGCGTCGACTCGCTTGTCGCCGTTGAACTTCGCAGTTGGTTCTCGAAGGAGATGCAAGCTGACGTTGCCGTCTTCGATATCATGGGCCGTGCTACCGTTGCTTCGCTCGCCCAGCTGACCGCTGGTCGAAGCAAGTTGGACAAGGAATGGTCTGCATGAAGTGAGGCGACAACTCTATCTAGCTCATAGGACAATAGGGGATGTATGAAAATTGAGGCGTTGTAGTCTGCAGTCCCAAGTAGCCTCACCAAATGATCATCCAAGACCTCTCAATTTTTAACTATATGATTTGGAACGAATTCCTGTATGTATATGCACAATGACATCAGAGATAAAGATCGACAAAAATTGGGCTTTGGGTTCTAGCCGTTGATTAACGTGAGGGTTAGGAAGAGAGGCAAGAAACAAGGCAAACTTGACGTGGCAGCTAGCTACTTGTACCAATCAAATCAAGTATGGATCCCAGATGGTGGCGAGAAATGAAGCGATACAACTATGGTCTCTAACTTGATGTTCTTGCCAGGCAGGAATCGATATCGCATGGTGTGTTTACTCCCTGCTAAGGATTTGCTAGACGGAAGTAAAGACATCCGAAGGTCCGGTGCCTTAAAAAAAGAAGTGATGACTATAACTGTCGGCCTGATTGGGGCGTCCACGTAGCGCATTAACACCCAATAAGATAGTCATAGATGTATTATTCTAGTGTCCCACCAGTTCGAAACAAAAGATGTATACTTATAAATTTAAAAAAAAAAAAAAAAAAAAACAAAATTTCATTAATATTTTGAAAAGGCCTATCCTAAAAACACGCTATGCTATGTAAATAAATATGAGAGACCAAAAATAGAAAAGTCCACCCAAAGAGTGTATCGTAAGAGGTAATAATAATAAATCATAGCCACCCAAGGACCACGACCAGCTACATCATTATGCATGCACTTTTCCGGCTCCTCTCATGGGCCATCTGTGTTTCCAGCTCCATTAACCGTAATTCATAATCGTCCTTGGCTCTCAGGACTCGGATATCGGCGTCTCGCTGGTAAAGGACTTCTTTGTGGGCCATTTCCTGTTGATACATCGTCTCCCTCTCGGCGTCCCGTTGTTTGCGTAGCTCGTCGATGTCCATACGTAAGATGTTTTGCTGCTGTTTGTTGCTATTCAACTCCTCTTCGAGCTCTGCCCGGACAGCTGCAATCTCCTTCTTATGATTCAGGTCCTGTCGCCGTTCAGCCTCCTTCATCTCTTTTCGGAGTTCGTTCAGCTGCCTCTCGTATCTCGCCTTCAACCGCTCGACCTCTGCCTGAACTTCCTTGCCTGCTGCCGTCTCACCTAACGACTTGCCGCTGGCCATCTCTTCCTGGATTCTCAGTGTGACATTATGCGGGCGGCTCAGGATGTACTGGATGATCTCGGTCGCAGAGGTGATTCCATTATCCTGGCGGAAGACGCGGCTGCCATGCCCAATCATCTCCCCCCAGAATTTCCTCTCCGACTTTAGCTGGCCCTCGCGCTTGACCTCCTTGTCAGATGGGGGATTGCTCCACATCGTTGTTGCAAGAACAACGCCGCCGAGACATTGCTCGCCGCACAGTTTCCTGAACATCAGGAGATTTCGGATGGATGCCCCTCCCATACGGACGTCCTTTATTCGGTGGAGATAGATGATCCCGGCCAGCTTGATATTCTCATTGTACGAGAACCTCAGCCAGTCAGCAATTTCAACGAGAACGTCCGTATCGGACCGCGTGGAGTCGTCAAAGCCGGGCGTATCGATGAGGAATATTCGCTGATTGCCGATTTGCGCTTTGTGGATACCCACTTCAGATGTGCCTGTCGCATTGTGGTGAGTAGAGCACTTGTAAGCGAAAAGAGAAGCGAAAAACGAAAGAAGTAAGAACGAAGAAAAGGACTCACAAGACAGTAAACTATCCCCCACGAGGGCATCTTGGTTAAAATGAGAGATAAACGTGCTCTTCCCAACACCTGTGATCCCCATGACTGCGATGACGCGGTCGTTTGGACTATAGATATCAAGTAAAAGAACGAGGTGAGTAAGACCATGAGTGGACCTTTTTGGAATATGCATCGAATACGTACGTGATATCCGGCAGCTGTACATCGTCATGTCCTTTTCCATAGGATCCTGGAGATGCTTCGTCCCCGGAGAGCTGAGACTCATAACCTGACTCTGACTCCGAATGCATCTTGAAATTCAATCCCGGAGCCGTTATAGTGGAAAATAAGAGGGGGTTTTAATTTGCAGTATGTCCGTAATGAGTGTCTGTGGGACTTAGAGAAAAGGCTAGAGGATGTTTTTAAATTCTCCGGTTCTTCGCTGAAGACTGGAAAGTGCATTTAAGCTAGATGGAATGATCATTAGCCCTCTTAAGCCCATCATGGACACGGTTTCACTTGACGTGTCATTCTGTCTAACCCGTTTTTTGCTGCCTTATAATATTTATTAGTCTCAGTTGCGTAATGAGAAGAGTAGGAGAAAAAAGAACAACAAACACCGAACCCACATTGCTTCACATGTTAGCTGCGCCCCAGCTTGCCTATGGTGACACGCAGCGAACAAGGGAGTGAAAGTGGGAGCGTTATGAGTGGTACTGCCAACTCAGCTTGGGTTCTGAGACGAGGCGAGACCAAGAACAAGTCAGAAGGTGCAGCTGCCTAGGGGCATCAAGTTGGGCCTTGACCATTGCCTAAGGCCACTTCCCTCCTTTCTTTTTCTACACTCTTATCATTTTAGATGTCCTGAAATATTCTCCGACATCTCTCTCTCTCTCTCTCTCTCTCTCTCGTTTGTATTTTTCCCTCCGAGTAGCTTTCAAATATTTTTTTGGTCATTCCAATTTCTTAGATTTGATCCAAAAATACATCCTCCTATCGACATAGGGACTTGACTTGACTATCGATTCAACATACCACGATGTCGACCAAAGGGTACTTTTCAAAACAACCAGGTATACGCAGAACTTCGACCGAACCAGTGCCCAAAACAAAGAGACGAATATCGGTAGCAGTGGAAGAACCATCTCCGCGGCAATCCAAGGACGAGAATCCCGACTTGCGAGGGAAAGACCAGTCCCAACAGTAAGAAAAGCCAATCATCTCTGAAGACTCGCTGGATGTTAACAACATATCCCCAGAGAGGATACTGTCGTAATAGCAGTCATGGGGGTCACTGGATCTGGAAAGAGCTCCTTGATATCCCTCCTCGCCGATCAACCCGTCGGGATAGGGCATAATCTTCAATCGCGTGAGTACGCTCCTTCCATGGTTATGATGGAGACAGTACTGAAAGAATGAGCTTGCAGACACCACCCACATAGACATGTTCAGCTTTACGCACCCGGAAAAGAAGAACACTGTGATCCTTCTCGATACCCCCGGATTCGACGATACCGACCGCTCGGATACGGAGATCCTCAAAGAGATTTCATGCTTTCTCGCAATGATTCATGAGAAGCGCTGGCGTCTCGTGGGCGTTGTCTACCTGCATCGCATCACAGATCCTCGTCTGGGAGGGTCTGCAATGAAAAACCTTCACATGTTTGAGAAGCTGTGTGGAACCCGCAGCTTCGCCGGGGTCGTGCTGGTCACCACCATGTGGGAAGACCTAGGACCAACAGAGGCAGATCAGGCAATTGGGCACCGGAGACAAACCGAACTGGAGAATGAATTCTGGAAGACCATCATTGCAGAAGGTGGCAATGTCATGGAACATGACGGTTCTGCAGAGAGTGCCTCAACCATTGTGTCTTCACTGGTCAAGCGAAATGAAGAGGTAGTCTTGCACATCGTGCACGAGCTGGTTGATGAAAGGAAGACACTGGACGAAACGGATGCCGGTCAGTACGTCCAGGCAGAGCTCTTGAAGATCAAGAAGAAATACGACAGGGAGATTGCCGACCTTCAGGAGAGTATGGAAGAGGCTATGGAGGCAAGGGATGAAGCAACCGCCCGAGCGATCAAGAGAGAGAAGGAAGCTGCGAAGGCCAAAGTGGCACAAAAAGCTCGTGAATCCAAGGGCCTCAAGGTGTCGATGTCGCAGCTCGTGCAAGAAAAGATGGCTGAGTACCATGCTCGCGCCACTGAGCCCGATCACCACGACGCTTTCAGTGGCCGTATTGCGGACCTGTTCGAAGAACTCAAGTCGGAGGTGCAGGAAATGAAGCATCAACAACAGTTACAACAACAGATGCTTACTCAGCTCTCACAAACGCAAACCAAGGAACAACGCGTGATTGAGACAGTAGAACAGCCAGAAGGGGGACAGGAAAAAGAAGAAAATAAGTCCGGTGGGTTGATGGGATGGTTCTCCAGACCCTTGAGTGGGTTTTCACGATTTTCTTGAAGGAATATGGCAAGTGGCAAGTTGAGGGGAAAGAGTCCAGCGATCTAGGAAACTACACTCTACTACTTCTATTATGCATATAAATATAGTATAATAATTCAATCTATAGGATCTTCCTATATATTGCTGTACCCGCTCGTACTATATATCTCATTCAGGTAGCTATGCTTCCATGATCGAACAATGATCAAGTATGATGATCATATACGTTGTCATACATACCGAGGTTTGCCCTAACTATATTTAAGCACTGTCAATCAGGTTATATTTATCCACGAGTAACACAAACGCGGGGACTCGCAAGGCTTTCTCAATCGGGAAAATTCTCTAGTGCAATGCGGGGAGAAGATCGAGAGCCTTCTTTATGGCATAGCGGTTTATGCAATTAAAGGCTGCGATGATCCCCCAGGCTTTATAGCTTCTATAACGACTGACAAGGAACCCCGAGTGAAGTGTTGTACATAGTTCTTGAAATCTCAACTTCAACCTGAAAGAACAGCACACTCGCCATGATTGAAGCCTTGATTAACCAGTCAACACCTGGGAAGGCATCTATCTACTTTCTCGGCGTCTTCCTTCTATTCTGTCTAGTACGAAAAGTGTAGGTATCAATAGAAGTCAACTGGTTAGGTAACAGGGCCCCCAGATAAAATTTCGCCTTCCATAGGGCAAGCTGTCCCATCACCTTCTTCTATGTCTTTATTCAACTAATATGGCCATATAGCAATGGATTTTATCTACAAATCTTTTCTTGCGAATAGGAAGCATCAAGACCCTGTCTTCTGGGATGCCGCAATCACAACAGCGAAGGGATCGTCCTAAACGGATAATCCCAAGACCGCCGAGCTGTGCGCAGGTGTCTCTAGCCGATTTATTTTCACGAAAGACCCTGAGAACGTTAAGGCGATCCTCGCGGGCCAGTTTGCAGACTATGGGAAAGGTGGATCCTTTCATCGAGACTGGAAAGAGTTTCTGGGGGATAGTATTTTTGTCACAGATGGTGAATTGTGTGTGGTCTCGCTCGCGACATCTGATCCGACCGATGTTTGTTCGAGAGCGGATCGTTGACACTGAGATCTTCGAAAAAAACATGTTCAACACCTTATCCCTCTGCTGTCGGAGGGAACCTCGCCGACTGGAAGCCGGATTGTGGATGTTGGCCCTTTGTTCTTCCGCTACACACTGGATGCCGCTACCGATTATCTCCTAGGCCAAGGCACAGACAGTCTGCAAAACCCGACGACTCTGCTAGCGAGGCATTTGGCTACGTACAACGTCGCCAGGCTGACATATTCCGACTCGGCTAAGTGCCATCTTCCATGATCAGTGAGAGCTCTTCACGCCTAGAAGATCGGCTAACCGGTCTATCCAGCCTCTTCAACTTCATCCTCTCCCAGAAAGAGTTCCGTCGCAATCTCAAAACCATGGATGACTTCATCCAACCCTACATCGACCGGGCCCTCTCCCTATCTACCGCTGAGCTAGACCAGAAAATCTCCAAGAAAGACACATTCCTCGACTCCTTGGCCCGCTTCACCCGAGACTCCCAAGTCCTACGAGACCAGCTCGTCGCAATCCTTCTCGCAGGCCGGGACACAACAGCCGGAACGCTCTCCTTCTGCATCTTCGAACTCTCCCGAAACCCTGCCATGGTAGCCAAACTACGCTGCGAGATCAAGTCCCATCTGGGCCTCGGCACCCAAGGTCGAAAGCCCACCTACAACGACCTCAAGGACATGAAATATCTCAACGCCATCCTAAACGAAACCACGCGTCTCTGCCCGGTCGTCCCTTTCAACGTCTGTCAGGCCCTCCGTGATACAACCTTACCCCGTGGCGGCGGCCCAGACGGGCCCTCCCCTATCGGTATCCGCGCCGATACCCGCATCTTGTATTCAACCATGCTCATGCGGCGTAACCCCGAAAACTATGATCCTCCTGGCTCGTCTAATTACTTTGATCCGGAGAGGTTTCATCCCGAATGCTGGTTGTCTGGTTGGCAGCCTAAGCCTTAGCGGTTTATCCCGTTCAATGGCGGGCCGAGGATCTGTCTTGGCCAGCAGTTTGCTAATATTTAACGTAATTCCCAACCGAGCGCCGCACCTCACGTTTCTTGCGCGGCTGAAACTCTCGCTCAGTTCAACCACTCACCATGCCACCAAAAGCGCGTACAAGTTCAAATAATTTAGCTAAGAAGGAGGGATGGATCTTGCTTGTAGTTTCCGCTATTAAAAAGCAAGAAATAAAGTCAATTTGTGAGGCTGCACGCATCTTTAATGTCTCTGATAGAACAATACGTCGTCGTTTAAATGGTACTCTATCACGCACTGGACAATGCGCAAATTGCTATAGATTGACTGAAATACAAGAGGATTCGCTTGTACAATAGATATTATCTATGAATCAATGTGGAGCAGCTCCCCGGCTATCTCAGGTCCAAAATATGGCCATTCGCCTTACAGACTCTGATTTTAATATATCTCAATCAATCGGCAAAACTGGGTCAGCAGTTTTATTAAATACCATAGTAAGATAAAGGCTATTTATTCTTGTCAATATAATTATCAGCGTGCTAAATATAAAAATCTAAAGATTCTAAAAAAGTGGTTTAATCTCATTCAGATCACTATAATGTAGTATAGTATTGCTACTGTAGATATCTATAACTTTGACAAGACTGGCTATATAATAGGTCTTACAGCTACTGCCAAAGTAGCTACTAGATCTGATCTATATAGAAAATGTTTTATGTACTTTTTAAGCTACTGGTGTGATTCCATTAGCCAGCCACCTAACCACTAGGCTAAAAGCTCAGCAATTGACTACTTTTCAAGTAGTCAACCTGTTAGGTGGCATATATATAAGGTGGTCCTATCTCATACTAGGAACCACACTGGTATAGTTCTATTTAACCCAGAAGAGATTCTCAGACGCCTTACTATAAGACTTAAGATCCCTACACTATCAGGCAGTCAATTAACTAATTTAGTACCGAAAACACCCTATAATATCAAGCAGCTACAGAAGCAGACAACTATAATTAAAAAGTTACTAAGGGACTGTACACAGAGCCCTTCTTCTCCTACAAAGTCTGCTTTGAACCAGTTAATTAAGGGATATAAAATGGTATACAACAACGGGGTATTTTTAGCTTAAGAAAACCAATATTTACTGGCTACAATCAATGAACTATAGCAGAAAAAGAAGCGATCTAATCGCCAAATCACCCATACTGAAGGCTTCTCAGTCCAGGAAGCTTGGGAATATATACAGCATGAAAATGAGGTTAAAGAAGCTCAAGATACTATACTTACAGATCAGGAGCTATCTCCAATAAGGCCGCGCGTACGAGCGCCCCCGCGCTGTAGTGATTGTCATATTCTAGGGTATACTCGTAGAAAATGCCCTAATTAATAGCCTAATTCGATTTTATATAGAAATATGATTGTTTTGTTGATATTGGCCCTAATAGTTCAGCCACGGGCAGAATTTTATACCTATGAGGTGCGGCGCTCGGTCGGGAATTACGTTATCGAGATGGGGTATACGGTGGTTAGGATCCTTCAGGCTTTCCGGGAGATCAGAGCTTTTCCTGTTAGGGGGAAGGATGCAGTGGAAGACCCTGTTCTTCGATTCGAGGTTACGTTGAGTCCTGGGTCGGAGTTGAATTGACTTTTCGTACGAGAGGGTGGGTTATTATCTTGAAAGCATGAGTCAGTCGGACTCGCTCCACTGTTTGTCTCCCTATTTAGTTAATCACATGCCTATTTTGTTTCGTTAAATTACGGTAGTAAATCTAGGATTTCTTATCATGAAGCTGTTATTAACAAAAGCCTACCTCTAAGGCCTAGGAATGTACATATGAAGTGAGTGATACAGTATGTATTAAGATATAAACAGGTCAGATGGGCTCAAGTCGACAAAAGGGTTACCTTGAGCTTGGTAAGCTTCTTCAATTTCTGCAAGATCTCGACCCTCCGGAGCTCCAGGTATAGATATTCCTCATCAACATCGTCGAGATCACTGCAGATACTGATTAAGGGGCTCTTTGCCGGGAGGAGACTTCCGTTAACCTTTGCTGGAACCATCTGGGTGGTATTATTGTTTTGAACGGCAACAGGAGCATCCTTCTTTGGTTCTGGGACAGAAGACGGTACTTTGTGCCCAACCCATCCCTTGCTCATATTCACTGCTTTTTCCCAGAGCGCAAACGATTCGGCGCTTTGCTGGCGGCTGATCCTAGGCTCAAAAACAGCTCCGCCCGCACGGTTGATATCACGCAACTCAGCAAAGTTTCGCCACAGTCCAACCGCCAGACCGGCAGCAATTGCAGCACCCAAGGCGGTCGTCTCGCGCATCTTAGGACGATAGACCGGAATGGAGATCAAGTCCGCTTGGATCTAGTTGTGAGGGGTAGGTTAGCAAGGGTAGGACAACGACCCAAGAAGAGATTTGTTCAAATAGGGGGGCTATTGAAATTGAATTGCAGCGATGAACGTACCTGCATGGCAAGATCCGAATTACTCATTCCTCCGTCAACTGCCAGCTCGGATAGCGCGTGGCCACTGTCCTTTTCCATCGCATCTAGGATGGCCTTAGTTTGAAAGCAGGTCGCTTCGAGAGTGGCCCTAGCAATGTGGCCTTTTTGAGTATACTGCGTAATTCCGACTAACAACTGTCAGAATCCGGTCAGAACCATATGGAGGGTTTATTGCTTACAGATGGTTCCCTTGGCGTCGTCAATCCAATAAGGTGCAAAGAGGCCGCTAAACGCAGTGACGAAGACACACCCTCCGTTGTCCTCCACGGTGAGAGCTAGATCGTTGACTTCTTTAGATTCCTTGAAAAATTCTAAGTTGTTCTGGAGGAACCTGACACCCGAGCCACCGACAGCGATGCTCCCTTCTAGGGCGTATACTGGCTTTCCATCAAAGTGATACGCCACAGTGGCTAGTAGGCCATGCTCGGAGATGACTGGTTTTTCGCCGACATTGTAAAGAAGGAAGCATCCCGTACCGTAAGTGTTCTTCGCCATGCCTGGTGAGAACCCTTTCTGGCCCACAAGTGCAGAGGACTGATCTCCGAGACAGCCCATTATAGGAACGCCCGCAAGAATTCCATATGAGAAAGCTCCATAAGCTTTTGTGTCCGAGGATGGGACGATCTTTGGCAGATGGATCCTTCCGCGGATACCGAAGAAGTCCAAAAGTGAGTTGTCATACTCGAGGGTCTCCAGGTTCATGAACATGGTCCGCGACGCATTTGTAGGATCAGACACAAACACATTTGCTTGGTGGCCACCATTCAAACGATACACGAGCCATGTGTCAACTGTTCCAAACGCCAGGGTACCTCGTTCGTAAGCGTCTTTGACACGGGGAACATTTGCAAGCATCCATAGCAGCTTAGAGGAGGATGAGTAAGTTGACAAGGGAAGGCCACAGATACGTTGTAATCTGGATGCCCCCGGCTTCTCCTTCAACTCGTCGACAATGGACTGCGATCTAGTGTCCGTCCATACGATAGCATTGCACAATGGCTCGCCGGTTTCATAATCCCACACCACAGTGGTTTCTCTCTGGTTGGTAATTCCAACGGCTTTGATATCATTGCGGGAATATCCACGAGACTCGAATTGTTTGACAGCTTCCTCAACGCATGTTTCAACGGAAGAGACAAGATCAATTGGATTATGCTCATGCCATCTGAATAATGGGTTAATTCCATGAAGTCGACATTTAGAGAGGGAAGAGGGGGCAAAGAAATAAAGAGAAAAAAGGACTAAAGTACTTACCCTGGATTGGGATAAATCTGTGGAAACTCGACCTGATGCGATGCCACAGGCTCCCCTTCACGATTGAAAATCAAGAACCTGGTACTAGTTGTACCCTGGTCAATCGAGCCTACAAAGATCTCTGACGGCTGCATAGCTCGAGCGCCTCGCGACCAACAGGATGCTTGAGCTGTGTAACAATCTCGGGCAGCCCTTCCAATTGATTGACAACGAAAGCGACCAGGATAGGTGGAAAGACGAGTAAATCCGCGAGCCCTCTGAAGCAGGAGCAGAAGCATCGACCGCGGAGAGTAACCTGTCATATTACTTATACGATTCCAGATAACCGATGACCGGGATAATTCCTTCGGTTTGATTTTTCCGTTACATAGTGACCGAACTGCGGGGAACGCGACTTAAGATCCGGGGGCGACTAATGAGCATCAGGATGGAAAGCGACAAGATAAGTAGCGTATGTATGGGTGGCTGAGCCGAACCGACGCTCAGGCGAAAGGTAGCAACAATGTCACTCATTCGCTGAGGTCATAAAGTAGGGATGATGAGAAAGTTGGATTCTCAACTTGAGCACTGAGCATGGATTAGGATAGGGGGCATTCCATACCTTTTCCAGCGAGTCGCATATGCTGAGATATCTGTTAGTGTAAGAGAAAAAAAATCCCCTCAAAAAAAAGAAACGGAGGGCACCTGACTTGCCTCCTTCTCTTTTGGTCCAAACCGCAAGGGAGATAATTCCGATCCGAGAAAATCAACAAATTGAATCCCACGCTTTCATGAATCTTTTAATATTGAGATTTTGTCAATCACTTCCCTGGGTGGTATGACACCTTGCAGGTGCAGCTTTTCTCCTGCAAACTTCGCGATCGTCGCTTGTGGAGTCCCAAGTGATCCACCCCCACAAAATAATTCCCTCCCCCCAACGAATTGCGGGCTTTTCTCAACCATGACTACTGTACGTCCGATCGATATCTCCCAGAACCTGGAGACATTCCAGAACGTTGTGGAGCAAGTCGCATATGTGACAGTCGACCTCTTCATCGGCCTCACAGAGCCGCACTGTTCACCAGAAAATTGCATCCTTTTCCTTTATAAGGGAAACAATCACCCAGTTCTAACCAACAGCAGCAGGAACCAATTAACCCATCTGGTACCACCCGAAACAATCCAGACTACGTGCATTGCATCAAGACAGAACTATCAATAAAGCCGAAGCCAATCTGGAGCCCCTCCCCGTGCCACCAGCGGTGTGAGAGGAGCTACAACGCCTAATCCTTGCTCTCTAGCTACCACCCAAGCATGATGACGGGGTAACACAAATCTATTAGGCTTTTTCTCTGCAATACCATTCGGTAAACAGTCTCAGAGCATGACTTGAGGCCAAATCTAGACTTCTTGTCATTGGTGAGGTCTGTTACGCACCCTCCAAATGGTGTGCCTCTGAAGAGTGCGATTAGGCAAGTTGGGAATGTTGAACAGATACTCCGTATGTACACGGCGTTTCCAGAGGAAATTGTATCCTCTTCCAGCTGACAAGACTCCTCAACAATCTATTGCCTCGCTTTTCGTATCCCTTTTTCGGGAATCGAGCATGCATCTCATGCTTTGACCTTCCCAAGGCTACACCTCAACCGGTTAAGTTTTTCATCTCAAGCTGGCTGGATCAGCCTATCCCATACCGCTCTGGCTACGGACGATAGTGTAGCCGTGGCTATGCGGCGTTATGTTCATACATGTCTATAGAGGAATACGGCAGGGATCAAGCTCCTTGATCATAATATCAGAGTTGAGGACATGGTCGGAGTTATTCACGGCCCATTCATTAAGGGTATAATATCACCCCCAGTACTCGAAGGCAAATTCACGCCTCCTGTAGAAATCCGACGTCATCCTTATAACCAGACATCTTTTATCTCTTACTGTAGCCATGAAGCAGATCGTTGAACATAGTGACCACCAGGAGGGTACGCATGTTACCGTCCACTCAACTGATAAGTCTGTTTCTTCTCCGCTTGGTGTTAGCGTTAGTTCAGATGAGAGGGAGGCTCTTCATCCTCAACTTCTATGGGGCAGAGTGAGGGGGTACATCCGCGAAGCCTCTTCCGAGTTCTTCGGCACGATGATACTAGTTCTCTTTGGAGATGGAGTCGTCGCCCAGGTAACTCTGAGCCATGGCGAGAAAGGAGATTACCAGTCTATCTCATGGGGCTGGGGGTAAGCTCAGGCCATCCATGAACCCATCTTGTATACCTTAACCAACTGACTCATCTCCATTCAACCTCTAGCCTTGGAGTCATGCTCGGTGTCTACGCAAGCGGAATATCAGGATCCCACATCAATCCCGCCGTGACCCTTGCCAGCTGCATCCTACGCAAGTTCCCTTGGCGCAAGTTCCCCATCTACGCAATTGCCCAAGTACTCGGGGGCATGTGTGGCGCAGCCATCGTCTATGGCAACTACAGATCGGCCATAGATATCTACGAAGGTGGATCTGACATCCGAACCGTCCCAGGCTACTCGAAGACCGCGACAGCTGGCATCTTCTGCACCTACCCAGCCGAGTTCATGACCAGGACGGGCCAATTCTTCTCCGAGTTCATCGCCAGTTCCATCCTAATGTTCATGATCTTCGCCTTGAAAGACAACGGCAATCTTGGTGCCGGGCCCCTGACACCTCTCGCCCTGTTCTTCGTCATCTTTGGCATCGGCGCTTGCCTCGGATGGGAGACGGGCTACGCGATAAACCTCGCCCGAGACTTCGGCCCCCGTTTAGTAACTTATATGATCGGATACGGTCCACAAGTGTGGACTGCTGGCAATTATTACTTTTGGGTATATCCCCTCTCACACCCTATTATCTCAGGATCCATTGCCTCTGAAGGGAAATCACTAACCGATAAAATAATGGCCAGGTCCCCATCATCGCCCCCTTCCTCGGATGTACCTTCGGCGGTTGGATCTATGACATGTTCCTCTACACCGGCGACGACAGCCCCGTCAATACACCCTACATAGGCCTACGGAGACTCTTTCCACTACGTCAGAAACAACACAACTCAGGAGATCATGTATAGCCAACTAAGCCGACAAATATACTCGCAAGATGTGAAGACTTTGCTGACCGCCCTGACCAAGACCGCGTCAAATCTCCCCACATATGCCATCGCTAAACAAGACGTCAATACAAGATGAATTTGAGTTAATAAAGCCGAGTTGTAAAGCGTATACAAGTAGTTAGTGCAGATAGTGGTTACCAATGACAGTACGGATAGTTCTCTTATTCACCTGAGGCCGGATAAATATCAATGGAGATCTACATTACTTTTTCTTTTCCTTTTCTTTTAAGTTTAGTAAGGATTGTTGTCCCGCGGATGGAATGTGTCTTCATATTGAGCTGTATTATTTATTACCACGAGGGAGAGGGTCTTATGACCTGTCGTCCTTACTGAATGGATACTACCGTTTCATTCTTGGCTTCTTGATAGAGTGGTTTATGGTTTACAGTATTTTTAAAGTTAGGACTAATTTAGTGCTGACCGTTGATGAGAATTAAGTGCGCGCCACACCGGCTGGCCGTGATCAATACTCGTCAGCCATGTAGTCTATACTTCCTTACTGCCTAAGTTACCTTCAGCTCCTCCCGGGCAAGTGAATTCACAGTGGTTGGTGGATTTTTATTGCATTGACTTTGGGAAGCAATTAATACCAACTCCAATTCCGTATAATACATAGCTAATGGTCATTATAATCGTGCTAACAAAGACACCTGCGAGAACGTAAAGGTGCAGTGTATGTACATGTGGCGAACCTTGGTCGTGACAGTCGTGACCTCATATCCCATACCCATCATGAGTGCACTTAGTAAGGAGCCCCATCTAATTCATCCCGGCTGTTTAAAACATCTCCGTCGCACTACTCGTCACGGCTAAGGAGCGACTATAGACATAGGGGCGTCGAACATAGGATTAGCAGCCTCTATATTAGGAGCTATAGTCGTCGATGCGGAGTTGTTTCTGGCGTAGCTAGGGCCGCTCACATTAGTTGTAGCAAATGGAGGGCCAGTAAAAGTCGTTTGGAGGAAATGATCAATGCTGAAGTGCGAAGCGATTGCGTTGGAGAGATAGTCGGCTGTGTTGATGTGACGTCTGCAGCCGTGGCAGTGGTGGTTGTACGCATTAAAAGGATAGTTGAGTAAATAGAGGTAATGGTCGATTGGGCTGGAGAGGTAACCAACTGCGTTTGCTTTGGCAAGCTGGTCAAAACGCCCGTCGAAATGGGGGAGAGTCCATGTCGTGCTTCTAGTGCCAGAGCGGGAAACTGAAACCCGCGAGGAACGCGATGACACAGATGTAGATGGGTGACAAGACTGTTTTTATATCACATAAATTTAGTGGTCGTTCCCAGATGCAAAGGGGCTCGGGCGATGCTCACTCATTGAAGCCGCGCTCGGCGGCTGGACTTGCCGGGAGCCAGAAAATGTCCAGCCACTCGGCAGAGGACCCGGGCCCCTCGAGTCCCCTGGAGATGCGGTCGTCGCTCTGGGAACCCAAGGCCACACACTCGGTGTCACAAAGCTCGATGTTTGGCGGTGTGTTCCACTCCAAGGGATAGGGATGCTAGCAACGGTTGAGGTGATAGCCGGAGCAGACTCCACAGAAGAGATAGACTCAGCGGCGATATTACCATTGATTTTTCCACCCTGAGACTTGATTGACTGCCACGACCCACTCTGGTCACCATATGAGTATTCGGTGCCGGTTGAATAGTCGGTCACCTTGAGCGACTTCAAGTACATCGTGTAGGGGCCGGCATCGTAATCAGTTTTTCCGCCAGCCCAGTCTTCAAGTCGGTTAGCTTAGAAGACAATATTGTAGGACATACAATGGTGTATCAAGCGAATACTCACCGATAGTACCCTGTGGGTTATTGGGATCACCACCAGCCCAAACTCCAACTTTGACCATCATCGGGGTTTGAGGATATTGGTTGGTTGCCGCCGTCTCCGGAGTCAGCACGCGAACGGTCTTACCATCAATCTGCCAGACAATCTGTTGACTAGTCCAATCGATAGTGTAGGTGTGGAAATTGTCATGGTTTCCCACGTTATCATGGGTAGCACCACGATTGAAGCTATCGGTAATTCCCTTTCCGAAGTAGTTACTTTGGACGTAAACATTATTGCCCCCAAGCCACTCCCAGTCAATTTCATCCAAGTCATCTGACTGAAGAACGGCACTACTGACAATCCCCGTGCCTGGGGCAGCCTTTATCACGAATTCGACATGCCCGAACATGATGTACCAGCCAGATTGTATTAATGGGGCATCCCCTTGTTTAGCCACTGTGAACTCGACACCATCGCTGCCAAACGTTGGACTTCCGACCTCCGCGAAATCGGTGGAACTACCTGAGGTGAAGTCCCAAGTACCTGACGTGCCCAGGGCGGGCTTTGGAGGACATGCTAGTATGTCGTTAGTCTCGGTAAAGTATCAGGACCATTAAGACAGAAAACGCACTTTTGCCCAATGGGTTGCAGTCTGAAAATGTCTGAGCTAGCACGGGTCTTGGAGTAAAGCAGAGGAGAATCGCCGCACTAATTATGGGCAACTTCATGATGTGTAGTAGAAATGAAACAAACAATAGGAAAGGATGCTGAACACGCACGTTTCAAACGTGGAAGGAGGAAGACTGTCTTGCGGGTAGTAAGAAGTGAAGATCTAGGAGTTAAGGTATAGAGGAAGCAGAAGAGTGGATTTCCGCAAATCCCAGAGAGAGTGAGAGTGCTCTCTAACCAGAAGTCCAACGTTTGAGTAAGAAGTACCTGCTGGTGTAGCACTGCTAGTGCTAGTTAGTGGCAGCAGTGCCTACAAGCGCACGTGCAGAATTACTCAGTTATAGGAAGGTGCAAGTCAGGATATTGTCAAGGCAGCCATTACTGGGACCGAATCGTAATAGTATAAGTAAACAAAGGTCCATTTTATGTGGAAGAAAAAGTGCGATGGTCTTCAGCACTACTAGTCGCCCAGCCTCCTCACTTTTCCTGTGCTTTAGCTCTACATAATCTTCCTCGGGCAAATTGATTATCTTGCCCGATTGGGCCGTTAGCGTGATGGTCACGGGTGGGAACCTGACATCGTGGCCCTGACTTAAGACCTCTCATTGGCTACCCGAGTTAAAGCTGTGCCACTGCATCTGTGGCGGGGCACCCATGATTGGTTGCTGGCCCAACAGCTCTGTTCGAAGGGACAACTGGGAGATCCCGCGGTGTGGATCAATCGAAAGTTACAATATCGGTACCTGAACAATGAATGTTTGTTTTAACTCTAAGAGCAGAGTGGTGTCCGCTCCTATAAGCAGTGAATAATTACCTTAGTAGTACTGTTCTGGGTGTCTGTCTGAGCCCGACTGACGTTGCAAATCACTAACTATGATAGGCTAACTGTATGTACATGCCAGTGCAGCAACTCAATCGTGCTATTTACATTCCACCCGATTAGTGTGCAGTACTATTCATGTCATGTCATGTGCTACTATACAGGCGACAGCTCTTGTACAATTGCCTCAATCTCCCTCATAATAACTTGCATAATATAATCCTTTTTGCCACCAAGTAGACAAAATCATGGAATCATGAAATCATAGGTTTCATCACCGCCCGTCCGACTCCACCCCCAACCACTCTCTTTTCAACTTTGCATGTACTCCGTCAATCCTTGGCTAGACCGCGGGACTCTCTATGAATGCGATGGTACTATTATTATATCAAACCTTCAGAAAGAAAGGAAAAATGTGTTCCTGATTTGCCTAGTTTCCTCCCTCTTTTGGTTAACTGGCACAATTTTCATTTCTTTTTCAACCTCGCACAGTCCATTCGGTGTATCTCCATGGCAACAACGAAGCCAGTAAATCAAAGCATTTATATGCAGTTCTCTGTAGCATTGCACTAAACATTTCAGCTGACCCTTCGGTTTGAACAAGTATTTCATGTTTATTTATTCCCTGTCCCTCGACCTTCAATGAAATTCTACTCTACCCATTCTTTCTACTGCGTGGACAATCCGACTTCGCACAACATCAGCCCTACTGTACAAATACCAGTACAAAGGCTCTAGTAAACTCATGTCGCATCAGTTCTCATAGAAATAAAGTACTCTGTATTCTATATATCAAGCAGACCTGGAATCATAATAACCAACAGGCCTTGCCGCTCCGACATACCTGGGGTTAATCCTGGAGGAAGGACGGTAATTTGTATATAACCCGACTACAGCCACGATAGTACGTAACAAATACGAACAAATAAGGGAGGCATGATGAGAATTCAATGGGACAAACAGGATCATTGAAAGTTTGAATAACTAGATAGTGAAATCTGGGCCAGCGTACTTTGCTACTGCTTCGCCAATATGCACTCCATTGTGGTCTTCGACAGGGCACAAGGAACACCAAGATTAGCATACTACCGGAGCCTGCTGTTGACCTATTTCGTAGTTAAATTATGGTCTGTTTTGACACAAAAGGGAAGTAAAAATCTGAGCATTTCTCTATGAGTATGCCTTAGAACTTTAGAAAGGTGGATCATGTTCTGAATGCACTTGGACTCCCGAAGGCTCTAATGGACATTTGAACATAAATCTTCTTGTCTCATATGGATAGGAGGCAGGATCAGTGGTGATGATAGTATGTAGGATTGCTCACTGGCCCTCTTTTCCCGAAGGCAGTTCTTGATCTCAAATAGTAGCAACTTTACGACAACAGAGTCCTGTTTGATGCCTACACGCTCGCATAGGATCCCAAAATCTATAATACTAAAGAGAGCCTCGGACACAGTTCTTGAGTTCTAGATCTTCTCATATATATCTTGATTCCGACACAAGTCCTTTTAGATACAGAAGGAGAGAGCACAATAATGATATTTCAGCGCTTCTTAATATGAAAACTAACCCTTAGACATCAGTTAGCCAGGGCCAATGTTTGCCTTGGAGGCTGCAAATCATTTATCGTTACTCTCCCGAAAAGAAATACGCGTAATGCCGGGAGGTGTTCACTGAAAAATGGCCTTTAGAAAATTTCTATCATGGGGTTATTGGAGAAGACCTGATCTCGAAATAGGATTATTGTAAAGATCGTCATTGTATACAGAGAGCGGTACATAAAAATGATTACGAGTGCAGATACATATATCTACAGATGGACTCCGCCGCAAGGTCTCTAGAACCAAGGTGAAAATTCGCCACACCTTTCAAGAAGGCCCCTGTAGCATCAATAAAACCAGTAGTCATATACATGGCCCTGTCTTAAACTGGAGGAGCACACAGTAGGAGTCAACAGATCAAGGTTCAACTTGCCCGATTCAGCCATGGTGTGTGTACCCGCCGAAAGAAGTCCTGTCGATCCAGTAACTCACGTGATCATTGTCCAATGATACTTTTACAATCGAGATTTTGGAGATGAGAGCATTTGGAATGAAAATAGCTCTATCTACAGAATATCTCTTTTTTTTTCTCCTTTCTCTCTATTAGGGGTTCATTTCTGATGTTGACGTTGATTCAAACACTGACATGCGTCACAAGTTCCACATCACTGGCTCCGATGAGGCTGGATTTGTCTCTGATCGAGATGCATGTAGTGACACCTAGTTAAGCGGCGGACTGCCTCTATAGGCCATTGCCATAGAATCTAAAATAAAATACTACAACTAAGCATAAGATGACTTCCGCTGGTATTGAGATGTGCGCTGGATGTTTTGAGGGAAAAGACGCGTCACTGTAGATTAGGCAAAAAGGCAGCCTCCGCTTTGGATCTCCGAGTCCTACATATTTGGAAATTTAAACACGAGGTTTTTGAGGAGATAGACAGTCCCTTTAATTTCCGATACGGTTGGTTGGTCATGTGGCTACTTTGCCGCCGAATGTGTGCGGGGGCCTCAAGTGTCAGTAGGTACAGTACTTATACTCCTTGATTTCACAGAGCTAACACAGTCAAAGTCTGAGAAGAGGAAAAATAAAGTAACAACGAAAGAAAAGGGAGAGCGGGAGGGATCTGAGAGAAAGAGAATAATGAGGGATGAAAAAAAGAACAGACCAACATATATTACCGACATACATAATCGAATCACTGTAATTTGGTCCATCCAATGAATCAATCCCCGAGTGTCCATATAAATTAGTACTGTAGTCGAGGTTATTTACCCATCACATCGGCGACCTTGTGGGTATGCGTGAGAGGGGGATGCTGGATTGGTTGGAATGAACACAAGAACCGTGATTGAAGCTGTTGGAAGTGAGACAGAAGTCAGTCAGTTGTAATGACGGATGTACCCGATACCGTACATCTATGTATGGGTTTCAGTAACGTCACTACCAATGATCCGACAAGGCATTAGCTGCTACTATTGAACTTTAGTAAGGAAGACAAGGACTGTTGCACTCAGGTGCAGAATCACCATAGATTTGATTCCAAATAAGATTATACATTAGCTGGGATAGAGATTGAAGTCATCATTTTGTAATGACTGGTACAGAGTACAGGTCATCACCTCCAAACCTACATACTTCATACAGTACATATTTCATACATGCATACATACATAATACATACATAATACATACATAATACATACATACATACATACACTCCAGATCTCCAATCTAATCGTCAGGGTCAGCACAGACATTCTCACGGACCATACATCAATCACAAATGGCCAGTGGGCTGACTGAACTTAAATATCTTCCTATCACTATCTTGATCTAACTTACAAACAAGATCAATTGGGTAATCTTGTAAATATAGATAGAAAGCAAGATATACGTCATGCTCCCCGACACAATACTATAGAAATGGCGAGTAAGAAGGCTAAAAGAATACTATAAAAATTACATATTTTTTGTTGAAAGCCCTGAGTAGCATTAGTTCTACAATGAGTAAGTAATTGACGGGGTTGTGGTGTCAGAAAGAGGTAAGGTGGGAGGTTGTTAGTACTAGTCTTAGGTAACTTGTAGCAGTTCACTCTCTCCGGTTTAGCGCCTTCTTGTGGCCAGAGCCTCAACGACGTAGCGCAGTCACCACCACGCCCATTACCCATTACCACTACTCCGGCCACCATCGCTCCCACCACTATCTTCCATCGCCAACCTGCTAAATCCCAACCACTCTTTCTACTGCCGGACCTCATCCATGCCGGATAGTGTCTTTTAATACCTCTGCCCGCATCTCGTATCATGCTTTTTTGGGCTTCTCTCCCAGAATGTGCGATGGCGATTCTTGACCAGTACCGCTCGCCCCCCAGAGCATGAAGCACCCGCCGTGCCCGACGCTAAAACCCCGTGCAACGACAGTCGCCCTTTTCAGTGATATAGTGATATTTCTCTCTCTCTCTCTCTCTCTCTCTCTCTATCTCTCCCTCTCTCCTCACGAGATCCTTGCTTCATTTTGTATATGTGTGGACGTCACTTCGCCTCAATACAATTTATATAGCTTCTACCCGCACACAAGCTCACCATATTCCATACTCATCGCCAGCCCACCCTCCTCTATCGGACTGACACGCGCTTTATCGCACGGCATTTTACGATCTTTCCTCTCCTATCATTGCTGATACCCTTGTGGCGAAGAGTATTGATGTTGTTCCTCCTCGCCTAACATTGCGATAACTGCGCCGACCGGCCGCTTTTTTGTCAACGGCTACGGAATATTTAGGATATATTGAAACATGGCTTTCCAGGGTGGCGAGCTGCCGGAAGGCAGGCGTAGCTCAGAGAGCTCTGGAGGAAATAGTTGGCTATCCCAGGAGACAGTTAAAGACAATCAAACCAACCGCTACCAGCGAAATCATGCTATGTTGAATGGTCGTCTTATTTCCCCGTTCACTGGGTTCGCGAAAATGGATAGGTAAGAATGTCTTGTTGGTTCACCTCACTCAGATCTTGTATCGAGTACTATCCCTTACCGATGGTTTGCTTTTTATTCCACATTTGCCCGTGGTCCTGAACAGATGCTCTACGTGGTTGAACGGTGGATACCCCAAACTTCATTATACCGACCCCTGGTGGAATATTACTTCTGTCTGTCATTTTACGGAGAGTCAAGCTTTTCATTCTCTCCTTCAACCCTTGTAATCAGGCCAAGGTGCCTTGCATAGTCATTGTTTTCATGTTTTGGTCCCTACCCCTCCACTCTGAAATCTGCTCAATGTCTTTTGACTGTGTTTATGATTCATATATACACTTATCAACAGCATCCGGTGATCAGAGTGGTGAATTTCCGGTTAACAGAAGTGCTAATCCTAGCCAGGCCTAATTCGCAGGGTCGAAAGCAGCCGCCCAGTTTGGGAGCTCCAAATGACTTGTCCACGTCAACATTCACCTGGCCTTCTCCAGACGTATCCCCGACAGATAAACGCAAGGATTCAGGATTCACAGGTCACCGGAAATCTTCGGCTACTATAGGACCGGATGATCCTGGCCCTCCGCCGACCTCCAGTTCGAGCCCCCGACTATCATATCCGAACCCCAGTGAATTGGATTATTTTCAACAAGACCCGAATGCATCATTTTCTTCTTCCCCCAAGATGTTACCAGGAGATGGCCATGGTACATTTTTCCAGGATTATTCGGAGCACGAAGCATCGCCAGCATCGGCTACCTTTCGCCCTGGGACAGGACGCACCTACGCGAGTGAACCTGTAGATTTAGATTATAATGGGGATCATCGACGGCCATCTGTTGCTAGCGCCACGACTGTTAGCAGCCAAGGTTCCAAGTCTAGTACAGGCGGTCGGTTTCGGAAAAAACTGCAAGGATTCTTTGGCGATGAATACGTATCTGGCGATCCAAAACTGGAGTCCGATAACGGCGTTCAGCCTCCTTCGATAAGATCAGCGCTGAACGAGCAGCGCAAATTTCGTGAGAGGGCAAACTCGGATGGTGCACGAAGTCCACCGCCAAGGCTCCCTGGCGAATCTTCACCACAACGCCCTAGACCTCGGACCCCTCTTCCTTCTAGTGAAATCACTCCTTGGGTATTCCAAAGCTTTAATGTAAGATTTTGACTATCGCGCTTATAGGGTGCCCCCCTCACATATCACCTTTTCCCTTTCTGCCGTCGTCAGTCTAATTTTGGCGAATGTTAATCCTCTCATCGGTAGGACATCCCGCAATATGGCGAAGCCCCTGTACATGAAGCTCCTATAGGAGCCGATGGCCGCCGGGCTGCCGCCCAGATCGCTAGATGTGCGCAAAGAGACCAAAGCCGACGACAATTTAGTGGTCACCGTCATTCTCGCAGTAAAGAAGAAAAACCAACTGTTGCCGGCGATCTGGCGGGGTATCCAGCCCGCCCAGCAACGGGGCGTGATGATCTTACTCTCGGTCTGCGACCCTCCAGGGAAGGTAGTCTCAACAACTCAGCAATGAACTCAACGTCTACTCTTGTTCGCTCGACTAGTCCTACACCGAGTATTCAGAGTGCTCACTCTCGGGAACAAGGTCAAAGCTCTCCCGGGGCCCAAGTGCCGAATAAGCGATCGATATTAGATAAAATCCGTCGACCGAAGGGTCATGGTCCTTTGAAACACTTTCCTGGGGCTAAGGGAGCACAAGAAGCCACTAAAAGTTCCTCAAAACTCGCGCGACGAGACGCCTCCCCTGCTAGGAGAGGGCGACAGGGAAGCCTTGAAGGTGCAACTACCCCTAGAACTGGGGATGAATCGGACCGGAAAAAAGACGGCAGAGGCCTGGCTATCGGCTCCGCCAAACTACGAGGTCGTCGAGTCTTGGGCACCGATACGCCCATAAGAGATGCCAAATCATCAGAAGAGCAAGAAGGCATGTATGAGCTTGATACTGACCTTTCACACATGGAGGGTATTGTCAGGAAACGATCCCCGCAGCCAACAGTTGACAGTAATCAGCTAGTCGACGGGAATTCGAAGGAAAATGAGGAATGGAGGAAGCGCGATGGACTGTCTACTGGCCACTGGGATGCTCCAGAGAGTTGGCACGTTAGGAGACATGGTGATGAGAATACTGCTGTGCTTCCAAGCGGAGATACAGAAGCTGCTCGTACTGTGCCTGAACCAGACGGCGCTCCCTATTTCATTCGAGTCTTCCGTATTGACTCTACTTTTGCCACTCTATCGACCGGCCTAAATGCCACTGTCGCCGATATCCTGGTCATACTTGGTCGGAAATCGTTCCTTACAGAGCATCTCAACAATTATGAGATCGTAATGCGAAAGAATGATCTATCTAGGCAGCTTGATCCGACAGAAAAGCCAATTCTCATGCAAAAGCAAATGCTTGAACAAATTGGGTATACTGCGAAAGATAGGCTCGAGGAAATGGGCCGTGAGGACCATAGCTATGTGTTGCGCTTTACGTTTCTTCCAACAAAGCTAAGCGGCCTGAGTAGTCTCCAGGGCGAGCCAGGCTTCAACCGCTATCAAAAGTTTAGCAATGTGGATCTCCAAGGCCGGAGTCTTGTCACCATCCCCATCACTCTCTACAGCAAAGCTTCTGAAATCATTTCACTAAACCTGTCAAGAAACCTGGCTTTGGATGTCCCAAAAGACTTTATCCAAGGTTGTATCAACCTGCGCGAACTCAAGTTTATAGGGAATGAAGCCCTCCGTTTGCCTGCTAGTTTCAGTCTTGCGAGTCGGTTGACTTACCTTGATGTCTCGAACAACTACTTGGAACAGCTCGATCATGCTGGCCTTGATAGGCTTCAAGGTCTTGTCAGTATAAAATTAGCAAACAACAAGCTTACAGCGCTTCCAAGCTACTTCGGAAACTTTGCGTACTTGAGAAGTTTAAACATATCCTCAAATAACTTCCGGATCCTACCCGAGTTCCTTTGCAATCTCAAGAGCTTAGTGGACCTCGATGTCAGCTTCAACAATATAGCCGAGATGCCTTGTATTGGGAAAATGACGACCATTGAGCGAATCTGGATGACGAATAACGTTTTGAGAGGCCCCTTGGACAAATCTTTCAACGATCTCGTCAACTTGAAGGAGATCGATGCGAGGTTTAATGAAATCACCAATATTGACAACCTATCCCAGTTACCGCGTTTGGAACAGTTGCTGATTGGCCACAATGCGATTTCAAAATTCAGAGGGTCATTTCCGAGACTGCGGATTTTGCAACTGGACCATTGTCCAATGACACAGTTCGACATTGACGCCCCTATGCCCACCCTCACTTCACTCAACATAGCTTCTGCAAAGCTGGTCCAGCTTCGGGATTCCCTGTTTGAGAAAGTGCCAAATTTGACCAAACTTATACTGGACAAGAATCATTTTGTGTCTATGTCGTCCCACATCGGCAAGCTCCGGAGGCTCGAGCACTTCAGTATGATAAAGAACCCGCTCGATGCGCTTCCTGCAACCTTTGGGTGCTTATCAGATCTGAGGTACCTTAACCTCAGGGAGTGTAATCTGAGTCGGTTGCCCCCAGAGCTTTGGAATTGCACCAAATTAGAAACTCTTAATGTGTCATCGAATGTATTAGACAGTTTTCCGAAGCATGGTTCTCCGATGCCTCAAATCCCTGGTGAGCCGGTAGTTGGCACTCCAGGAGCGTCAACAACCAGCTATGAAGAGTTAGGCCCAGTTGAAGAGGAAGAAGGCCGTCGTCCTAGTCAAGCATCTGGCAGCGTCCTCAGCACTGGGGGCTCACCAAACGGTGCCGGGGGTTACCGAAAGCCTTCAGTCGCATCTTCCCTAGGTCAAAGCGGTAGGAAGGTGTCCACAGCGTCAAGGTCGCTGAATGAAGGAAGTCCATCCTCCAGGAAGGACTCGAGCTTCTCACAGCTCGCGACAACTACGTTTAGCGGATCTCTGAAGAATCTATTCCTAGCCGATAATCGGCTGGAGGATGACATTTTTCGAGAGCTATCGTTGCTCACAGAGCTGCGTGTTGTGAACCTTTCTTACAACGAGTTAACCGAGCTGCCTCAGGGTCTTCTGAGACGTTGGCAACACCTGACCGAGTTGTACCTCTCGGGTAATGAGCTAACCTCACTTCCATCCGACGACCTTGAAGAAGGTAGCAATCTCAGAGTCCTTAATATCAATGCAAACCGGTTCCAAGTTTTACCAGCAGAACTATGCAAAGTCAGTAGACTTTCCATTCTGGATGTTGGGAGCAACTCTTTGAAGTACAACATATCTAATTGGCCCTATGACTGGAATTGGAACTGGAACCGAAATCTGAAGTACCTGAACTTCTCCGGAAACAAGCGCCTGGAGATCAAACCGCACGTTAATTCGTTGGTGGGGCCGCCGGTGAACAATGGAACTGACTTGACCGATTTCAATTCCCTTACTTACCTGCGGGTACTGGGTTTGATGGATGTTACTCTTACAACTCCGACTATTCCCGAAGAACATGAAGATCGCCGTGTGAGGACATCCGCATCATTAGCTGGCTTTCTTGCTTACGGTATGGCCGATTTCCTCGGCAAAAGTGAACACCTTTCTATCATTGATATGATTGTGCCACGTCTGAAGCCAGACAATGTGGAGACGGTTGTGGGGATGTTCGATGGACAAAGTCAGTCTACCGGAGGTTCTAGGATCGCTAAGTTTCTACATGAAAATTTCCTCCGTACTTTCTCTACCGAACTACGCAGACTGCGACGAAATGTACAGGAGACGCCGTTGGATGCACTGCGGCGGGCATTCTTGGCCTTGAACAAGAACATGGCAGGGGCTTGCTACAAAAATATAAATGATCAAGATGTCCGGCGATACCACGATGACGCACCGGACCAAAAGGGCTTGCGGCTTACCAAAGACGACATTGTATGTGGCGGAGTCGCAACTGTGTTGTACCTCCATAATATGGATCTGTATGTCGCTAATGTAGGAGATGCCCAAGCAATTCTTGTTAAATCTGATGGCTCCCTGAGACAACTGACCCGAGTCCACGACCCCGCTGAGCCCCAAGAAAGGGCAAGAATCCGGGCTGCTGGAGGTTATGTCTCTCGCAATGGGAAACTCAACGATGTCCTTCCCGTGTCGAGATCCTTTGGTCATTTTCATTTGATGCCCGCCGTTATTGCGGCTCCTCATACTCTTCATGTTAACCTAACCGAGCAGGACGAGATGATCATTTTGGCATCGAGAGAACTCTGGGATTTCGTAACGCCGGACCTAGTTGTTGACGTAGCAAGGGCTGAGAGGAGAGACCTAATGATCGCAGCTCAGAAGATAAGGGATCTGGCTATCTCGTTCGGAGCCAACAACAAACTCATGGTTATGATCCTTGGCGTTGGCGATCTAAAGAAACGTGACAGACAAAGCAAGCTGAGAGGCACAAGTCTCTCTCTGGGTACGCCTGATGAACAGATCATTCCTAGCACAAAGCGCACCAAGAAACCGCGTGATATGCCTGGAGACTCCAGACTAGCTCGTTTCGACTATGTGGATGCTCCTGTAGGAGAATTAGCTATTATCTTTACGGATATCAAGAAGTCAACCAGCCTTTGGGAGACTTGCCCCGATGCAATGCGCTCTGCGATACAAATCCACAATGACATCCTTCGTCGACAGCTAGGTATCGTTGGCGGATATGAAGTCAAGACCGAAGGAGATGCTTTTATGGTTGCCTTCTCCACAACCACGGCCGCTTTGCTCTGGTGCTTCAATTGCCAAATGCAGCTCCTTGAAGCAGAATGGCCGACGGAGATTCTTGAACAATCCCAGTGTCAAGTTCAGTATGATATGGACAACAACGTTATCTTCCGGGGACTTTCTGTCCGCATGGGTATACACTGGGGCGAGCCTGTCTGTGAAAAGGATCCTGTGACTGGCCGCATGGACTATTTTGGGCCAATGGTGAACCGTGCCTCTCGTATCTCTGCTGTTGCGGATGGCGGGCAGGTTTTTGTGTCCTCGGATTTCATGAGCGATATCCAACGTAACCTAGAAGTGTTTGCGGATAGCGAACGTGCGGCTTCGACTGGTTCAGAAGAAGGGTATGCGGTGGATAATCTGGGGTACAACATTCGTCGCGAACTCCAACAACTTAATAGTCTCGGTTTCGTAATCAAAGACCAAGGAGAACGGAAATTGAAGGGTCTTGAGAATCCCGAGCCCCTTTACCTCATTTACCCTCATACTCTGTCGGGACGATTAAGTATTATGGAAAAGGATGCGGCAAGTGACAAGAACGTCCCAACAACTATCAGCAAGCACTCCCAGCTAGAAATCCAAACGGACCTTATCTGGCGCCTCTGGGAAATTACTCTCCGCCTGGAGAGACTCTGTGGTGCGCTGGAGTACCCGGGCGAAGCATGGCTGAAGGAGCCGAACGTGGCGCTTTTCAATGTTGTTAAAAACCACGGAGGGGAGCTTGCTGACTCGACTGTGGTCAGCTTGGTTGAACAACAAGTGACTCGTATTGAAGTGACCGTCAATACCCTTGCGATTCGGAACATGCTACGGCCATTCAGACCCCATGACCGACTCAACGATCATGCCGTGCCAATCGGGGAAGTGTTGCAAGAATTGCAGACCCAACTTGCAGAATACAGGGCTCTTAAGGAGCAAAATGCTGTCAGTGCTGCTGGCATCACTGGCAGGAGTCCAACTTACACGGGGACAGACTTGGCATCTCTCAAGGACAGCACTAGCTCTGTATCGTCGTCCTTTCTTCAGATGAGCATCCCTGCTGATGACGTGAACAGCTAATTGCTTTTGTACTCACACCTCGCATTTCTTTACGTATCTCTTTTTCTTTTTTACCTACCCTACCTAATCTCACCTTTTCTCGTTTCTGCCTCTTTATCTACTGCTGAGCGGTGCCTCATGGGTTGGTTGGATAGTCAGCGTTCAGAAGCATTGACAGGAGCTAAGGTGGCCATTGCTTTTCCTGTATCCCAATTTACTTTCGATTGTAGTTGATCTGTCAGTACAGACATGATAATGAACTGGTTTCACATCTGATTACATCTGCACTCTTAGGTTGAACTGATGATACTGCTTCCTTCTTTACGTGTTCCTATCAAGCCATATAACACCCATCAGGGGCTCTTTTAGATGTTCCTATCTAATGCTCTCTGGCATTTTGCCGTCCTACAAATATCGCCTGGTTGCCTTGACGCCACTTAAGATTATATCTATTTCAATCCCTAGCCCCATGGTAATTATGAACATTTATGCGTTACACTTACCATGAAGAAATTTGCACAATACTACCTCGTTGGTTTAGATATCTTACTACGTAAGGGGTACAGATCCAGAGATCACAAAACAGTGGTTGCTGCCTTAAGGCACCAACAGGAGTCACGGGCGTCTTTGCTTTTGATTGTTGTTCTGATTGGGTCTCTGGTCAACCCGCCCGCCATCGCGGATTCTTTTCTCTCTCCTCAATTCCATTTGTGTGCCAATTACAAGGAGCCTCAACGACTTGCTCTGACTCTGAAGGATAGATTCGACTCTTTCGAGTCAAATCGTGAGTTACTCCCTACTACTTACGTGGCTACTACTAGCTCGGTCACTTCGCGTTCGGCCCCGCTTTGTTGCCCTGGATACCACAACTCTCAACGTGTGCCATTTGTCATTTGACGAATTGCAAACAGCGATACTCTTTGCCCAAAAATTTTGAATGAGCGTCATCATCTACATTCGCTCCTTTACCGATTAAATTTGCTGTGGTGATTATCGCGACAACCGCTTCTCACCATGGCGGATGATATGGATTATCTCTCCCCTGACTTTGACCTCAATTCTCTTACGGTACCACGCCTCCGGTCCATTCTCGTCAGTCATGATATTCCATACCCGGCTTCCGCGAAGAAGGCACAGCTTATTCGGATCCTGGAAGATGAGGTTATACCCCAGGCGAGGAGATTACTTCGGGAACGAGAGCGAGTGAGACGTACCAGCGACGGAATTACAGATATGGGAAGTCGCGCGACGTCAGTAGTCAGTGATTTCAATGATCGACGTGAGGACGAAAACAGAGATTCCATGCCTCCCCCACCAACACCTTCGACCGTCTCTACCGCAACTGGGGGAAGGCGAGGACGATCGAGGATGAGCACACGGGCCTCGACCGCCGACGTTGATGATAGAAATATTCCTACTACGCCGTCGACGGCTACTAGACGAACAGCACCGAGATCAGAGTCGAAACGCATTCGCCCATCTGAACTTGAGTATCGCCACGATACCCCCACAACACCAGTCGCCGCAGATACCGTTACTCCTCGAAAGTCGGCTGCTAGAAAGCTACGGAGAAGCCAAATGACACCTTCGACTGAACCGGAAACTTTTGCGCCGTTGATTAAAGACGAGCCTAAAGAAGAGAGCGTGTTTACTTATGACAATCCATTCCAAAGTGGAAGTTCTCCAGCTCCCCGGTCCGATAGGAAGCGAAAGAGTGGTTCAATGCTCCCAGCTGAAAGCCCCGCCTTGAACCAAGGTTTGCGAGCCAGAACAGCTGACGCGTATCTCAAGCAGGAAGACGATGCTATAGTATCTAGGCGGTCTTCCTTCCAATTTCCAGCCTCGAAGCTGGGGTCGCCCCATAAGGAGCTTGAACCTGTCTCGAATGAAGATGAGAGTGAGCTCAGTGCTGGAGAAGAGTTTACACCCGACGAACAATTAGCATTAGAAAGGGAACAGGCGGACATGTGGTACCCTCCTACTACCCGCCCGCAACGAAAGCAAGGTCCTGCGAGTCGCGCGGCCCCTTGGGTGATTATATTCCTGCTTTTCACTGGTTTTGGCGCTTGGTGGCGAAAGGAGAAGATCGAAATTGGGTTTTGCGGCATTGGAAAGCCCACTTGGTCATTGGCGGAGACCCGAATCCCTGAATGGGCGAATGTCCTAGAGCCACAATGTGAACCATGCCCTCCGCACGCATTCTGCTATCCTAACTTCGAAGCACTCTGCGAACATGACTTCCTTCTCAAGGCACATCCTTTATCGCTAGGAGGCTTGGTCCCACTTCCTCCGACTTGTGAGCCAGACAGTGAGAAGGCTCGACGCGTCAAAGCTGTTGCTGATAAAGCCGTGGAGGAGCTGCGTGACCGACGGGCCAAGTGGGAGTGCGGAGAGCTCGCACATGATGGTGAAGAAGTAGAAGGACCAGCGATCAGTGAATTGGAACTGAAGCATGAGGTAGGGAGGAAGCGTCGGAAGGGAATGAGTGATACCGAGTTCGACGATTTATGGAAGGGTGCGTTGGGTGAAATCATCGACAGGGACGAGGTCATTAGCCAAACTAAGTCGTAAGTTACTCTGTTTCCCCCTCTGTCATTTTCTTTCCCCCACACTAGACGAGCTTCCATGCTAGTGTCAAAGGATTATGGTTCTGACGTGTATACCGGAACTAACAGAGGCGACACTACTATTACAGATCATCTTCTGTCCTCACCCTCACCTCGACATCAGTCAGCCGGCTCCCCCTTACGTGCGCCTTCCGCCGCTACATCAGACTCTCTCTCCTCGCGTATCGACTCCCTCTTTCAGTTCTAATTATCTGCGCGTGTGCCATGATATATGCTCGCTCAAGAGTCCTTGCTCATCAGTCTGATATGGCTCGAGTTCCCGAACTAGTAGCCACTACGCTCGATCGCCTGGCGACACAGGCCGCTTTACATGCTCGTGGCAAAGCCCATGAACCGTACATTCCTATCGGACAACTGCGCGATGATGTGCTTCGGTCTGAACTGCGGGGCAGTCGGCGCGAGGAGCTTTGGCGACGGGTTCGCAACGTGGTCGAGGGAAATGCGAACATTCGAGCTGCAGTGCGAGAGGGTCGTGGCGGTGACGTTGCCCGTGTATGGGAATGGATCGGAGGCATCGGCAGTGTTCGGGGAGATGAAGGGTCCTCGGCGCTGCAGCATTTGTCAACCTCTCCTTCTGCGCACAGCCCTCATCAGATGGATGGCCACGTCAATCTACATCGTAGATGGGACGAGGGGAGACCTCTTTACTGAGAACCTTTCTGTATTTTCTTCGCTCCTTCCCGCTCCCCTTTATTCCAAGATCTTTATTTCTCTATCATTATCCGTGCCTCTTTCTTCTCTTGTGATTTCGTTTTCTCCGGTTGGAACGGGCTTCCCCTACCTTGTTTCTGAACTTTATGGATATTCTGCGAGATAGTGGAATCGGACCGTGATAGATGGATTTTCTTTCTATTACATTTCTTGTTTCCTCTCTTTATTTTCTTTTCCCTTCGATTTTTAATTCTGGTGTCGATATTACGTTTTACGGCTTGACTAATTTCTTTTTTTGGGGACAATGGGATTCTTCTGATCTGATGAATAATACGACATATCCTTAATGATTGGTTCGGCTGAAACCGAGTTGTCCTCATACTCAGTACCTAGTACTAGTACATAGCTACCTAAAATAACTAACGAACTATAGTATTCTACCCTCCCCAAATTGGCAGTGGTTCAAAATAAGCCCCTCATATGAAATTGGTAACGAACCTCTCCTGGGAGTGGAGCGGAAATTCGCCACAACTGCCTGAACCACTGGTTCGTCATCCATGGAAAAGGAGCTTCCTTCCCATCGTTAAGTAGTTATAGGTACCCACGTAGTACTACCCAAGGTTTCTATACATCCGACTTGGGCTACTGCCCCGATTAGGTAACCACCTCGTACAAGACCAAAACAATGACAGGTCCTACCTAGTAGAATATCAGGACCGTGCTTAGCAGTATGGAGGAATTCGCTGACCTTTCAGGTCAACCATAAGTTCGGTAGTCTCCTGTGGTCATTTTGGTCTGATTCTCCTTCCCTATACCTATTCATTTCGTAATACTCTCATCATGGGACCCGTGATGAGAGGGGTCTTTTGATCTCGCAACAGTTCCCTGAGGTTCTCAAGGTATTATTCCTCTCCATGTTAGGTATAAGAAGAGTAAGTATGGACCAGTCGTGACGATCGCCAACCATCCGGATATCACGCTATGCTCTACTGGGATTAGTGGCATCAGAACTGACGGACAGTGGTGTCACGTGCTGTGAATCTTGTGTGGGAAGCGATGGACGCTTGTCCTATTGGGTGGGTGGCCCTCGTGCGGGACAAATCAGCTTACATAAACGCCAAGGCGGCTATGTAACAACAACTGACCTTTACAATCTTTCTTCCGCGCCATCTCTTTCAAACTACTTACCAACTAATTAGTACTATCTGAACATAGCTGCTTGACCTGAAATTTAAGTTAATTACTTTTGAAGCAGTAAATAAGTGATAGATTTTTTTTAATTAGAGATAGCATATCTAGTACCTCTACAAGATCAGCAGCGGTTGTCTTAACTAAAACTAATAATCAAGACTAAGTAGTAACGTAATCCACGGCCGAGCCGCGAATTTTTTTACTACACCCACTATAATTTAAAGCTTTCAACCATGTTAATAAGATTCAACCAGCCTAAATAATAGTGGAATGTGAAGCTATTTACTAGGGCAGTTTCTTATAGTATATCCAACTATCCCACAGCCACTGCAGCGTTGCGGAGCTCGTCGTCAAGGCACAGGTATAGATTCCTCGACTGCTTATCAAGCTGCTGAACGCGATTTTAACCTTCCTGTACCATTAAAAGCCTATCATTCTCTATTTTAGCATATCTTCTAGCCTTTTTCTTATTTTCCCGCTTATTCTCAGCTCGTATAGTCCTAATTTCTTGCTGTAAAAGAAGGTTAGTACACATTGTTATTTGCGCGGCTTTTTCAAGATATTGAACATGAGTAATTGGACTACTAGAAAGCTTCTGTTTTGCGCTAAGGCTATTCTGTAAACTACGGACTTTCCGATCTAGTTAATGAGTACTCTGAGAAGTCTGAAAAGCAGAGAAAATTGAGTCTTCAACTAGTGGTGGTGTTAGTATATGTGGTTGAAATATAAGCTTAGAAAGAATATGCTCTTGATTAAATAGCTTAAGCCCTGCCCCGGCAAAACTATTACAGATATTTGCTAAAGTAAATACTTTAGCACATACTTTAGAATATAGAGATAGAAAGTCTTCTTTATCAATATAATTATTACTAGAAATTATATATTGTTTAATAAGCTTTCTGTACGCGCGTTTGAGTGGGCCAAACACACCAATATCAAGTGGTTGAAGAAGCTGTGAGGCATGGGCAGACATACAGAGACAGATAATTATATTCTACTTACAGAAGTTATCAAATTCCGCAGTCAAATGGCTACTATGGCCATCAAGAATAAGCAATCGCTTAACACCAGTCATATAGCACTTAGAGTACGGTTCAAAAATATGTTTTAGCCAGCGAAGGCCTATTTTATCAGTTGTCCAGCCATTCTTGCTAGTAGCAATCTACTAGTCTTTAGCAAGATTAAGTTCTTGGAACCAGGCAGCTTGTTGATAACTTGCTTTAAGTATAATGACTGGCGGTATATATACACCTTTTAAACTGACTGTTTCAATGATTGTAACCCATTCATAATTACCCTGAATGACTCTGCGCGGTTACTCACTGCGATCGGCTGCAGTAATAACTTTAGAAATAGAGCAGAGTCCTATTGTAAAGCCAGTCTCATCAAAGTTCCAGATACCATCTTCACGTATACTGTGTTCTTGAATAGCTGCTTGTACGGTCTGGAATCAAGATTTTGTAATCTTTGGATGTTCCTGCTTTGCACGTTGATATATCATATGTCTTGTATATCGTATATATAACTCAGGACAGCGTTTAGTAAAGAAATAAGCCCAGTTAACTCCAAGAGATGCAGTAGAATCTTATATCTGTTCACGAAGTAAAATCTGCGCCATTCCATGCAGAAAATTTGGTTGGATTGGAAAGCCTCGCTTATCTGTATCTAGAAGCCTTTTTATAAGAACTCCCTCTTTAATAATAGTCAATTTATGACTATTGGCGCGTGTTCCTGGCCGTGGTTTAATACCAGCTAGCTGCTTGTTACCCCTGGGTATTCGGGCAGGAGCTCTGCGACCAGTTAGCTGCGCTTGCGTAGCGAGGGTCAAACCTGAATGATAGAAGCCACTATGATTCAGTAACGAGAGACGATGATGCCGTGAGGTGACCTAATCCAAGGTCCGATCGAGAGACGATAACTAATCCGTGGATAGCTCAAGTCCAAATGGCCAGGCCTATCAAGTACGTATACTCGATAGTTGAAAGAATACGAACGAGTTGAATGCTGGACTTGACACTAAAGGTAACTCTGTAGTAACAATTGGAATTGATCACGAAGGACTAAACTAAGTAGACGGATGAATGTCCTTATAGATCCTATGGTCATATACCAATCCGTATACTATGGTATATACTATATTATACCATATACCATATCACGTGGTGGCTTGTTCGGGTAAGCGCTAGTGTTGACAATATCCGATTCGTAGAGGAACATATATATGGAAGATCATCAATATATTCAATGGGAAGTGTTATTTGGACCAGACGCTAAACTAGAATAGGTCAAAAATACACTGCGTATTGGAAATACCAAATATTTGCCTACTGCCTAAGTTAAGTCCTTTCTATCACAGGAGAATTATATGGTACACTAAAATATTGTAGCAAGTAGAGAGAGTTTCTTTTATATAGATACAATATTATACAACTCCTACTAAGGCTAGCTAAGATATCTGAAATTTCTATATAAGTGCTTAATTATATTATAACAAAAAATCTTTAGATAAAAATTAATATAAAAGTTTTAAAAGCAAAAAGTAGATAGACAGATAGTATTACCAATACGCAGTATATTATATTCCTGTTCCAGTCTAGCGTCTCGTCCAAATAACACATCCCTATTCAATATTTAATATCGTGAGACCGGAACCTTTTTTAGCTCTTATAAGTGGAATAAACATATCTGGTTCCTGTTTATCTATTAATTAGCACGTAGTTATTAACTGATTTAAAAGTAGTTAGAAAATCATACCTTTATTTCAGGGGGAGTTTCAGGGCCTGATTCGACAAAATCATCGTTAATGCCGATTGGAAGGTCGAGAGAGTTCAGATCATCCATTATTATAAGTACTTAGTAACCGATTTCTAACTACTTAGTATTCAGATAGTCTTGAATAGTTAAAGAATTCAAAACGGAAATTGAATTCCATGTGTAGGTATTGGTATTTAATGATCTGGTGCGGGACAAATCTGCTTATTAATGACCTTGGCGCTCACGTGCTGAGGGTCTAGGTCGCATAAGCTCCTCGACTAGCTCAGGCGACCTGTGTACACGTATGGTCCAACATCTTGTTTGATCTTCAAGATCGAGTAGAGGGCGTCAAAACGTGCTAAGAGGGGAAGGACGGCGTCTCCATGATTATTGGATTCGACTTCAACCCAGACTTGCAGATCGATGTGGTACCGTGTTCGACCGATTCTGGGGGAAAGGAACCCTGCTGGTTTAAACTTGGGTGACTGAACTATAACAAGACAAGATGACCTACAAGGTCAGCCGATCCTTAATCATTATTTGGGGATGATCGGGGATCATCTCAAATGAATTATAAAACCTACTCGATGAGGAGCAGAAGGAGCTGCGGGCTAAACCCTTGGACTTCTACTTGTTTCCGTGGATTCGTGCACCGCCCAGGCCCAGCCTATCAAGTCATCTGGATAGGATCCTCAGTCAGACATGGTACAAAATCAGGTAGGACTACCTTGCTTGCCTGCATGGACAAGGACCCCAATGTTATGCGTTACACCCTTGGTTACATAATTTGATGGCTCCATCATCTCCAGTCGCTACACCGATATAGCTCGGTGATTTTGCAGAGCCTAATGGTGTCGTACCTGGAACTGTTGTCGGCGGTCATTTGGGAACGGGCCGTGAGCAGCACTTTTCCCCCGGGGGCCGAGCGAGGGAGTGAACTCCTCTTCCTTCCTCTTTCATCTTTCCCTTTTCTCTTTTCTCCCTTCGCCCCCCCGCCCACCTTTTTGGCTCTTTTCCCCCGCTTAGGTTTTGATTTTTTTCTTTTACCCTCTTCTGTTCCTGCTCTCTTTCTCTTCTTTCTTTTCTTCTTTCTTCTCTTCTTTTACTTTTCTTGCGTTGACATCCCTATCTTTCCTTATGGCTAATAGCAGTCAATGCAAGCACTGCATAAGGATCAGACTGAGTGCTTAACACTTCACTCATGATCCCTTGATCGAGCATGATCGGCTCAGATTCCTTAGGATAGATGCATCTCCTTGTGAGGAGCATATTAATGAAAAGTTCGGTTGAGAACCTTGCCAGGCGCCTTTCTGGGATTCCTTTCATCTCAATCTGGTTTTCGTCTTTTGCCGTGGACTTTCTCTTCCCTTCTAAATTGATATACACATTTATAGACTATGGCCCACCAAGGTCCATCCAGGCCTTTTCGCCCCATTGCACCGAGAACGCTTCCAGATCCTGTACCGCCGCCAACGCCACGCTCACTAGGAAGTGGAGTTGAAGAGATCAAGATAAGGAGAGCATCTGCAGCTTGCACTGAGTGCAAAAGACGTCGAACAAAGGTACTTGTCTTCTTTGCCTATCCAACGGAAGAACATTTTATTTTTATTTTATTTTTTCCCCCCCCCCCTTGGTTTTTCCTCGCTATAATAGCCGGGCTGTGGCTCGCGAATTCTTCCCATTTGAAATTTCTTTCCTGTCTTTACTTCCCATGAAGCTCTAATCTCGATTTTATGTTGTTTTAGTGCAGCGCAGACACCACCGGCCCTCCCTGCGCTGAATGTGCACTCCATGGACGTGATTGTGTGGTCGATGAATTCGCCGACAAGCGGCGCAAGGTTGCCGCCAGACGTGCCCAAGAGGAACTTGGATACTATCGTGGGTTTGTCGAACAACTGCTGAAGGCGATTCGGTGCGGAGAAGAAACAGACGTGCAAGCGATTGTTGCGGTCATTCGGTCGGGAGCATCTCACGACGAAATCCGGGCCGTTGTTCGAGGGCTCCTTCGTCGGAATGTGGAAGAGGAGGAAGATATGCCTGACGGTGTGGGGCAGGGAACAGAGACTGATGAAGGATCCAAGGATGTGACCCCGGATGGCTGGTTCAATTAAGGACGTTGAGTCCCTGAACCCATGAATTGATTTTATGCATAACGACCACGCAACAGCTTGTCACTATCGTCTTCCCTCTGCATCTCTACTGTTGCATTAATTCTCGTGCGGCTGATTGCTTGAACGCAGGGCTTGTTTGTCTGAAGGCTCCTGCCGGCTTATAAAAGGACATCAAGGCCCTGGGAGACTTGTTGCGCACTTTGCCAAGCCTTCTAACGACATTTTTCTTTTCTGTTTTCCACATCTGCCTCTTCCTATCGTCTTCTAATAATCTCACTTGTCCCCTCCCCTTGTTCCAGGGGATACCGCCATACTCAGGTCACGTCAGAGGGGAGGATTCGCGAATAACCGAGCCATTAGATTTGCCTTACAAGGTATCAGACCCACGGAACCTTCTTTTACTCAGTCCACGGTGAGCTTTCCTACGGCAGGAACACAGATCGGTCGTCACATTCATCGCTAGTGAACGAAACATGGTTATCAATCGTCTATTCAGCAAAGCAAGGATTTACAATCAAGGTTAAAGCAGGAACACCTCCGGACCCCATCCCGTGGGCAAGGATGTTATATTATTTTTCTTTGACGGCGATGAAGCACTGGATTTTGCCCTCGGTACACGCATTAGTGACACAAATTGAAAAAAAAAAAAGAAAAGAAAAGAAAAGAAAGAAAGAAATCCAGCCCGCTATACTTCTCCGAAACGCAGCTCTCGTATGGAATATATGGGATAGATGATTTGTTGGTCCCCGATAAAGATCAAGGTACAGTCTAGCTCGGCGTCCTTGTCGACGCTGTCTGGGCTTTCAGTGGACACGAGAGGACGCGTGTACTTCTCGTGCCTCATGGCGCACTTGATTCTACCTCCCGCTTGATTACCGCTACTCCAGCATTAGGCATGTTTCTCAGGTTGGTACCATTAACAAGCCAACGGTAGGCCATTGATGGACACACCCGTGTACACCCCAACTTGGTCCTACGTATCTCACTACATCATGAAACCGCTAAAATAAATCTCAAGGTGGTGCGGACTTCTCGCAGAAATACAACGCATCATCTCGTTCGTGGACTTTGTTCATGAACTTTGGGTTCCACTGGACATCGTAGCCTGGGTTCTCGTTTAGGGCTTTTAGTATTATAGTAGGCCTTTTGAAAAATTGAAGTTTATTCAGAGGTTACAAGGAGGGCCTCCGCAAATGCAGCTTTTACTCAAGCGTCTATCGGCAGGCTATCTATCCTTATTAGCGATTCTGCATTTCGAGTTCATCCGTTCATGGTCAGCTTGAATATCGGTAACACTAGTTTTCTTCCCCTGGAGAAAGATGCCTTGAATTTTATAACCTCCTTTGTCTACTCATGGATGACTAAGCGAAACAGGTGACCGGCCTTGTTGATTCAAATTTGTTTCTCTCTTCCTCTTTCTCGAGATCTACCTGCTGCCATAGCAAAGCATTATGTTAAGATCACTTCCCATCCCCTTCGTATGCTCCCAGCGTATCCTACATAGTCTTTTCTACCTTCGCAAGGTATACCTTCATCATGCTTTTGTATACTTCGGAAGTTAACCGCTTCGGCTCCGGATACTCTTTGCCGGAGTGTGGAGTCACTTCCCCGCACGTCGACGATGAAGTACAAATCCGTTTGATTCCCGGAAATTTCTCCTGGATGAGAATAATCTGTTTGAAGTCTCTTCCACTCTCACTTTTGGAACAGTCAGGAAAAAGGAATAAGGAATAGGCGGGGCTATAATTCATGCAACCTTTAGTAGCTACTACTATCAATCCCTACGAAACTAAATGGTAACCAAGCCCGTCAGGGCGGACACGCAGCCTCCCACCGGAAATGATTGTCACACTAGTTTGACCATCGATATGCGGCGGCCCACGGAAGCGCAAAAGAGGAAAGCGTCTGAGCCATTAATAGCCAAGCCAGGCAATGCAAGGCAGAAAGTTACGAGAGCCTGTGATCACTGCAAGGAGAAAAAGACCCGATGCACCGGAACACTTCCGTGTATGAGATGTACGAGACTGTCACTTTCTTGCGAATACAACGCGGCCTACTCTAGGGGCTTGCCTCCAGAACCCCTACCAGTGGCTGACTACGGAGGCCAAAATCATGTTCTCTCACCAGCCCATACTACTCGGAGCCATTCTTCTCCGCGGTCGACAAGGAGCTATTCCCGCAATTCAACTCGTCCGCGCCAGCAGTGTAAGAGTCTCGCCGAGATTTCCAGTCGGAATTCACCTGACCCCGTGGTCACTGATTTCGAGGGTAACTATCTTGGCCCTGCATCGGGGGTCTCATTTCTGAACCGTGTCTGGCGCCGACTACACCAGGATGAAATACGGGCGATTCCCGGCGAACTGCAGAGAGAGCCATCCTCCAAAAGCACGTCTGTATTCATGTTCGGAGATAGACCCTATTCGGGTGATCGTGAGGCTGGCTTTACCCTTCCCTCATTTGGGAGGGCCCGAGAGTTGGTTGAGATATACTTTGACTACTCTATGGTTACTTACCGCTTCCTACATAGAGGAACCGTGGAGGAGTGGCTGAATCAAGTGTATGAAAGCAATATCTCATCCGTGAACCCACCGACTGGTCCTATGGTAGCTAGGGCTGCTATTGTCCTTATAATATTTGCTGTAAGCTCGCTTTATGAGGAGCTGAAACCAGACAACGACACTGACGTTTGGAATGGAAGGTAAGCACTTGTAAACCCCTCCCCACCACCCCCTCTTTTTCACATCTTCTTACTAAAACACTAGCCGCTTGTAGCGAGCGATGGTACGCGGCGTCAAAATACCTGTTGTCCCTGGAGTCGGGGCCCCCCCGGCTGGAGTCCGTTCAAGCAAGGCTAGGGCAATGTCTTTATCTGCTTTCATCATCCCGAGCTAACGAATGTTGGTATGCCTTTGGGACCGCGCTGCAACTTGTGACAGCCTTGGGTCTGCATCGAAAGTGCCCTGCCAAGAAGTCAAAGAATGCAAATTCCTACCTGGAGCGTGAAATCCGTAAACGGATCTTCTGGAGCACCTACACTCTGGATAAATACCTTAGTGTGATGTTTGGGAGGCCTAGATTAATGCATGAGGAAGACCATGACCAGGAACTTCCGGATGAGGTAAATGACGAGGATATGTCCCAAGACGACGCGCACCGAAGGACAGGCTCTCCCGACTGCATGATGATTGCATCTGTACTTCACTACAGGTTTGTCCTTCCCTGAATGCCTCGTGCTGAACATGCAACTCATGAGCTTGTTGTGTAGACTGGGCCGCGTGCTTGGTGAGATTTCCCGACAATTATATACGATCAATCCGCGATCTCGAGAGCCACCCCTCGATATAGCTGTGCGGCTTACTTCGGTGCTAGAAGAATGGAAAGAGACCGCACCACCATTATTCAACAGTGTTCGGGCAACAAGCCTTATTCCACCCCTATGTAGGCAAAGTCAAGTATTGCAACTTGCATATTCGCATGCGATCATTCATGTCACCAGATCATTCCTCTTAAATGATTTCACAGATCTCAGTCGCAGACCGCCAGTATCACATCTCACAATAACGAGCCATGTGCAAAAATGCATAGGGGCTGCCGAAGACGTCATGAGAATAGTGGACACCCTCGGCAAACAAGGCGTCCTAATCCGGTCATTTTGGTTCACCCATTATGTGTGCTTTTGTGCCATCACGGTAGTGTATATATACACGATCCAACAATGTCAACTGTCATCATATCCTGATGCCTCACGAGGTACGGAGGATAAGAAGGATCTGTGTTCGCTATTCGACCTCGCGGAAGCATGTCAGCACCACCTTGCTGAGGCTACTCGCAAGAACTGCCCAAGCCGCCGCTATAGCATCATTCTGGAAGAACTTAGGTTGGAGGCCCGTAGACATACCGGCTCGTATCTGTCTCTAGATGCTCCTGGATATATTTCACAAGCCCTTGGGTCTAATGCTGTCCAAAATCACGACTCTACTGTCCCAAAAAATACTAAGACCGCAATTTTCTCGCAAACTCTCTCGCCAGCATCTGGATCTGTGAACTATGCCGACACTTTCCCGCCGCCAGGCCTAATTTCAGAGTCCTTCGACTTTAGCGAGGATTTCGGGCTTCTTGAAAGCTTGGAAGGGCTGAACTGGTGGACTCAATTAGATTCTTGGGCACGTACTCTTTTCTTCCGAATTTTAATATTGCTATCTACTGACAGGGAGGTTAGGCATTTTCAAATCTTTCGGCAGAGCCCTCAAACCTGACTCTTTGAACACCGATGCTTATCCATCACTATGATTGTTATGGGCTGGAATACCTAATGTTAGGAGTACACATTTATGCCCCTTCAGGTTCCATCAGCGAAGAGAACTCGAAGGGTGCCACCCACCCATAATTCGTAAAGCTCTCATGCCACTTGTTCCTCTAAAGACAGAGGGAGTTGTTGTAGAAACGAGTCGTTCAACGGGTCTGCAAGAAGAGTTGTGATCGTAAGGTCTCATACTGAACTTCAAATTTAGGGCTTAGAGTCATTGTTTCTGATGTTGGGGTCCTATCCAATCCGAGTGTCAATGATTGCATGGGCCCAGGTTTCTTTATAATGTACTATACGTACCTAAGAAGTGGATGCCATCGTACTGTCGGATAAATATCCGGGCAACGTTGACCTTTTCCGACTGCACCATGATGAAGCTTATCCTAAGGGACGAGGACCCATAACGATATCCTTCGGTCATAGGTGGATCGAAGAAATATAAATAATGCATCTTCCATCACTCTACCTTCATCTATATCTGAGGCTTGGAGGCTAAGAGAAACCCTATTTGCAATATGTTGGAGTCTACAAAGACGAATATATCAAAGATGCTGGCGGCAAACACTCCCCATACCCCAACTTTCTCTCGGCCGTTGTTCAACGATGCAAACTTCACTCATGATCCGGATCGGGTGCCCTTTACCGTCGATGAGTTAGTCCGAAACCGCGCGTCTCTAGGATCGGGGCAACCTGTGATATGTTACCCAAGGCTCGGCATTGATTATGTGGACTATCCTCTACGCCAGCTAGACATATTTGCTTTTCGCGTTGCCGGTGCAATAGCAGCTAGAGTTCCGCCTCGAACTTCCTCGGCGGAGACCCCAGCAGTTGTTTCCCTATTAGGCACGTCCGACCTTAGTTATCTCGTGATGCTCCTTGCACTGGCGAAGCTGGGACACACGGGGCTACTTCTATCAACCCGGCTCTCCATTGAAGCCTATGTGTCATTGTTGGAACGAACGCAGTCCCGGCATATCTTCATTAATAGCTCTTTCCAACCCACTGCTGAGGAGCTCAAGCAGCGGCTTCCGGATTTGCAAGTAGACGTGATACCAGCACAGCAGTCCTTCGATTATCCAATTCCGGGCGATGTTGATACGGAAATGGTCCCATGGCTGGACCCTGTGGCCGAATCCAAACACTTGGTGTGGATAATCCACTCCAGTGGCTCAACCGGTCTTCCCAAACCGATCTACCAGACCCAAGCAGCTGCCGTCAGAAACTATTCCGGCCACATGAATATGTCTGGATTCATCACTTTACCCCTGTACCATAACCATGGCATTAGCGTTCTTTTCCGGACGATCTACTCATCCAAGAGGCTCTATCTCTATAACGCTGAACTGCCGCTGACCAGACAGTACCTACTTGATGTCATGCAAGCACATCCTCTCGAAATCTTCTATGGCGTACCATATGCGCTGAAGCTGCTGGCCGAGACGGAGGAGGGCATTTCGGCCCTCGCACGGTTCAGGGCCGTTATGTTCGGAGGATCCACATGTCCGGACTCGCTAGGAAATCTGCTTGTTGCAAACGATGTCAACCTCATAAGTCACTATGGATCGTACGCATCCTTAAGCATAAATACCGTTGACCCATTGCTAACTGAAAGCTTAGAACGGAAACCGGTCAACTAATGACCTCCTTCAGGCCGCGGGAGGATAAAGAATGGGATTATCTAAGGCCATCAGATACTGTGAAGAAATATCTGCGGTTTGAAGAACGGTATCCTGGAATATTTGAACTGGTTTGCCTTGATGGCTGGCCTTCTAAGGTCATGTCTAATCGACCCGATGGATCCTATGCCACAAAAGATCTCTTCTTGAAGCATCCGACCCTGGAAGCGTACAAGTACTATGCTCGGCTAGACGACACGATAGTCCTTGTCAATGGAGAAAAGGTTAATCCACTTGATATGGAAGGAAGAGTGAGACAACTTAGTACTGTCTCCGAGGCTATTGTCTTTGGAGCGGGCAAGGCTAGCATCGGGCTGGCAGTTGTCCGTGCGCCTGGTACAGTCTCTATGTCAGATCAGCAGATTGTTGAGAGTATCTGGCCTGCCGTGGAGAAGGCACATGAAGCAATGCCAGCGTACGGCCAGCTCTCGAGAAGTATGGTTCGAGTACTACCCGAAGATACACAATACCCTCGCACAGACAAGGGGACCTTCATCAGACAAGGATTTTACAGGGAGTTTAGTAACCTAATTGAAGAGGCATATGAGGCAGAGGATGCTATGACTGGCTCGCTTCTTCTATCTGAGCCGGAGCTCAAGGTTTTCATCAGGGATCGACTGCACGACCTACTGTCACATAAAAAGGTAGATGACCTGACAGAAGATGCAGACTTTTTTGCTCTCGGGATGGATTCCCTGCAAGCTACTCAGCTTCGGTCTATTCTTATGAGGACGCTCAACACGAATGGCCACAAATTAGGACTCAATGTGGCGTTCGAACATCCCACAATCAGTTCTTTGGCTCACTATCTTTGCTCCCTCAACTCTGGGTCTTCAAGTGAAATTCAGGCTGTAGAGGACCAGATGGCGGAACTAATTTCAAAGTATAGTGACTTCCAAAAACATATTCCTGTGGCGAATGGCTTGGAAGGAAGATATATTGTACGCTGCACACCAGTCTTCCCCAGAGCCCAGAGGCTGACACAGTACAGGTCATCACGGGCGCTACAGGATCACTAGGGGCTCATGTTGTCAGAAAGCTTTCCATCCGTTCAGACGTACAGAAAGTCTACTGTCTTGTTCGTGCCGGCTCACAAATTGAAGCCTACGGTCGCTTACTTCAATCCATGCGCGGCCGGCGGGTGTATGATGGTCTCGCCGATGCTGCTAGACAAAAGATCGTCGCACTTCCATCCAACCTGTCCCAGTCTACACTGGGACTCGACACTGTAACATACAACACCTTGACCAAGGAGATAACGGATGTCATTCATTGTGCCTGGTCTGTGAACTTCAACTTGCACCTCAGTAGTTTTGAAAGGGACAGCATAAGAGGGCTTAAGCATCTTCTCGAGCTGTGTTCCAAGACACAGCGACCGGCACCGGCCTCATTTAACTTCTGCTCTTCAGTCAGCGCAGTAGTAAACACCGCAAAAGACGACATCCCCGAGGCTCTTCCACAGGAACTCTCCTATGCGCAAAACATGGGTTACGCTCAATCAAAGCTTGTCGGCGAGCATATATGCATGAGAGCTGCTGAGCAAGTGGGCATCTGCGCAAGGGTGCTCCGAATCGGCCAGGTGATTGGCGACCTAGACCATGGTATCTGGAACGCAACAGAAGCTATTCCACTTATGCTACAAAGCGCGACGACTGTCGGAGCACTCCCGAAACTCAACGAATCACCTCTGTGGCTCCCGGTCGACACTGTCGCGGGTACAGTTATCGACATTTCTCTCTCTAGTGCCTCTAGTACCGCGGTCACCGAGCCCGACACCGACCTGTTCTTCAACATCGTCAGTCAGCACCCGTTCCACTGGACAAATGATCTCCTCCCGCTTGTTCGCAATGCGGGACTTGAGTTCGAAGAGCTCGAGCAGCGGGACTGGTTACGTCGTTTGAGGGCCTCGAATCCGGATCCAGTTGCCAACCCTCCCATCAAGCTTGTTGACTTCTTTGCCAGCAAGTATGACACCGATCAGCCTCGACGTTCGTATCGGTGGCATACTGAAAGGGCACGGAAAGTATCGTCCACCTTGACGGATGCAAGACCATTGGACCAGGAACTTGTGAGAAAGATGATCGGGTATTTCCGGAAGGAATGTTGGTCTTGAATTTGAATATCATTTTTACGTAGTATTCCGAAGAGTGATATTTAGTATCAAACTATTGCACTATTTCTTTTCTACGGAAACATTTGAAGTTGGGAGTTTTCCTTTCTGAGTACCAGAGGTGCTCCAGCTCGTCCTGTTTACCTCACTCTACGTAGACAATGCTACTATTTGTGGACAGGATCTCAACTCTTTTAAATAAGAGGCCGTGTTGTCCCTGTGTGTCTTGCACTTTAATAGAATCAGACTGCTGCTATCCTTGATTCTGTTAAGCTTGCTGGATATGATACGATTGAAGTAAAGCCCCCTCCCCCCCCCAAACAAATTGGAGTGTTTGATAGGAGCTCTTGTCGTTCAATTCGGTTCATATCTGTTACAAGCGTGGAAGTAGACATGGGTTCCTATGGGAATAGATGTAAAAAACTCGCGATCTATTTTCAAGATTTCAAATTATGCAATCTGATTGGACAGAAAGTGAGTAACCGGGAATATCATATCGGAAAAGGTTTAGTGTTTCGCTCCTTTGGGCAAGTTACCCTATTAAGGTTGCCGCTAGTGCACCCGTTCACGTGTCTGGGATTAGTCCGATTGGTGCTTGTACTTCTTCTACTTCCTTTTATTTCTCTTTTGACAACTCGACTTTGAAGTCGATCTCCCTTGGACCAGTCCTTCGTATGCTGTGTTATGGAAAGTAAAATTACTCTCAAGTCTTTATGCTGCATGATGTACGACCCGCTACCCCCACGGCCTCGAAAAACCAATATTTATAGAAGCAGAAGCGGCTGCGTGCCTTGCCGGCCGAAGAAGCGCAAGGTATGTATAGTATCAATATATTAATTAATATGGTAAGTCAGAACAGGTACTGATTCTATAACTGCAAGCGTGATGAGTCTGAGCCACGATGTGACCGCTGTGTCCGTAGAGGTGCTTGTTGCTGGTTTCAGAAGCAGCTTCTACGATTTCATTCCGTGGGTGCCCACAACAGTACACGTTCCAACGATATCAAAGGCAAATCCGTGGGAACATGCTTTGGCTCTATCGAGATACCCTCCGATGATATGCTCTCAGCAGGAGCTCTTTAGCGACAATCCCACTGTATACACGAACAGCTGCTCACTCTCTTCTAAGGAGTTGACAGCCGATCGCACGAAGCACCTTCGCCTGCCATCTAGCGACGGACGAATACGTGAGCCGGGCCCGGTGCCTAAGAGGAGGTTTCAACTACCTTTGCAAAGTAATGCTGCAGTTATGACTGCGGAGCAATTATATCTTGCTTATTTTACGCGACAGATGCTGAACATGTTCCCGGAAAGTGTCCGTGGGGTTGCCTCTAGGATTACAGGGCTGCCTGGCCTGCGTGAGGCTGTCATCGCACTCTCGGCTGCCCGACTGGCATATATTGAAAGTGAATCACGGCTGTCGCCGACCACGACGGCTTTTCTCGGGAGACCTCGCCTACAGTACTTTGTCGAAGCCCTTAGCCGCTTTAACTCGGCGGTTCAGCAGATTCGAGCCCATACTACGGATGTAGAGAACGTGCTTGCGGCAGCCATACACTTATCTTTTTGAGTTGGAAGTAGGGACGTTCTGGGGTGTCAATTGTCATGTCGTAGGTCTCGAAAAACTGCTCATGCTGCACCAGGATGTCTTGATGATGCCCCAATACGGCCGGACTCTTTTGCGTGCCGGTATTTTTCTTAGGATACGAACCTTATTCTTGCTCGGTCCTTTCTCGTCGCTAGGCGCTGAACCTACAACAGCAGGGTATCTTCAAGGTCTTGTCCATGAAATAGCGGAACCACAAGAGGCGATGTACATAAATATGACCAGGGCAGTATCAACGGCGAGGCGCCATATTTTGCTGCACTGCATGAAAACGTGGCACATAGTAGCCAACAAGGTCTATAACCGCTTTCAAGACGTCTTTATCCGGTCTGCAAGAACCCCAATCCTGCCGAGCACAACCGAGGGAAGCGAGGATGTTTATATGACCCTGAAGGAGTTGAGAAAGCGCAATCATGTCGTTTTTTTGGACTCAGGCTTTGAACCACTTGACGCCATGCTTTCGAATCCAGCAGAGGAATCGAAGTCCCACCAACCGGGGCACTCTCTCGATATCCCCAAAATAGACCCAGTTTTATTTGACCGTTGCGAGGATGCCATTTTCTGCGCTGTATACGCTGTAGCACAGGTCTACTGTGACGGGGAGCTTCTGGAAAGCCTGCTTTACCAAGATCAGTCTGAACTCGGCGCTCATGTGGTCCATTATGTCAGGATGATACTAGGTATCGCAAAAGGATATGACCCAGCGGGCTGTTTCTGCGACAGAGTTTATAATACGAATATTAGCTGGGTGCTGATCCTGCTAGTCTTGCGCTGGCCGACCCGGGAGGTCGCGGTCTACCTCAAGGACAAGTTTCTTCCGCGTCTACAGCGTGCGAACGATATGCGAGAGGACGTATAGGTTCCTTGCAATCTTTCTCACGGATTGTGGATGCGTTGGACACAGAGACGAGACGTGACCGCAAGATCTACATATTGCAAACCGAGTACACGGAATGTACGGAGCGGGAGCATTTCTTCCTGATGAACCAGGTAGAAGGGCATGCTATCCATGGACGGGACAGCGAAGGCCACTTCTTCGACGACTATATTCCTACTTGACACTGGATTTCGCTGTGAAATGTTACCCCCTAGAATTTCCTTAGGACGGCTAATTAAAAGGTACCTGAGATCAACCATGAAAACCCTCTCTGTCTCTCACTTACGTCCCCTTCCCCCCACCCACTTCTCTCCATCCAAAGCGAACAACAAACCCCTACTTCAGCCCCTACCAATATTCACCTTCTCCTTCCTCCATAACCCCTCCAGAAACAAGCTCTTCCCCCCTTTCAAAAATTCCCTCCCACAAGTAGCATAATACCCCCGCTTCAACCTCTGTTCTTCCTCATCCAACCGATCCTCATATGCAGTCTGTCCCCGGAAGAAAATACAACAAACCGTGATACCCTCGAAGAGAAAACTGACCTTGTCAGCTTTTATTTGTCAGATTGGATATCCTGTAAATTTTTATTAATACTTACACTCCCAAGATTATGGCCGGGATACCAGCCGTTAAGAACGCGCTGGTTGGCTTTTCGCATGTGTTGTCTGCTGGGCAGTCATGGTTCATTTGGTAGGAATTTTTGCTGCATGCGAGTGGGCAGATTGGGTTTTTGGGATGGTGTGGTGTTTTGTTTGTAAATGATGTGGGTGGAAAGGGATGGATTGGTGGTGTCTGTTGGAGGTTTTTATGGATATGCTTATGTTTTGTCTATTATATATATATATGGATCTAGGGCTTGGCTTGGGGATCCTGGACCAGGGCTAACCAGATGGGGTGGACGGGAGCGCTGGTGCTCTGTTATCATGTTATTTATATCTGGTTTGAAAGAGCTGACTTGGCCGGGGCTATTTTAGGGTAGGAGGTGGGTGATTGGAAGATTGGATTTTGTTGATGTGGATGCTAGGTGGGTATCTCAAATGGTCTTCTACATATTTACTGAAGTAGAGTATTGATGTTTGAAAAGAGTGAACCAATTTAGTATAATGTAATGGGGATAAAAGTTCAATGTCATCATAAGGATATCGACGTAACGGTCGTCATAATATAAACGGATACAAGTCAGAGAGACATATACGTAAGTGGGTTAAGAAAAATCCACAGGAGGCAATCCTCTTTCCTCCAACCCCGTAAAGATGCTCTCCTGGAGAGCTTTCAGAGCATCATCCCATGTAACTGTATTCTGGGAGCTACTGGCCGAGCCTGCGATGGGTCCTTGTCCGCTCGTTGGCTCGTCAATCTCATCTTTGGCATCTTCGACTAGCCACATCAACCAGCGGACGACCGACACAGCTTTGTCGACGTCTTTTTCTTCGACGACGACACGCTTCACGTACCGAACGAGGGATTCTACATCCTCGTCGAAAGGACCATCCTCGACGAAGGCCGCGTGCCAGGCACCAACGGCATCTCGTAGATCAGGCAAGCTGGACAATTTCTTGGAAGTGAATGTGGGTCTTTCTGGTAAGGGTGGTAGACAGATATGCTTTTGTTGTACCGAAGATGCAGAGGCTGATGGCCTGTTTTGTGCTGCTCTCTGGGCTGTTCCAGAACCGCGACCTGGACGTTGTAACATGCGGGATCTTTTTTGCTCTTCAAGCACTTCGCGACGGATGTCTTCTGGCAGTGCTGCAAGGAACTCTTCGGACACTCCATCCTGTTCGACCGAGGGGGATGCTTGCCTCGTAGGCAGGACCTCATCATGGCTAGCTGTTGGAGTTACAGGTCTCGTAGTGAGGAAATTCGACTGAGTGAGTCGCATGTTGCCGACAGCTTTAGTGCTTGGGCGACCCCGTTTTCTCTTCGTCGGCGTGGTTGGCTTCTTCAGTTTCAAAGTGCCAGAAGAAGAAGAAGGACGAGAAGTCGAGGTAGTGGATGCTACAGGCTGTGGGCCAGTAGTCCTTGACGATTGGCCATAATAACCAAGGACTTCGGCCCTTACATCAGCTGGTAAAGCAGCTAGAGCTTCTGGATCTAATTGTGACTGCGGAGGTAGCTCCGTGCCATCAGACGGTTGCGCTCCTCGAATTGGAGGGCAAGGAGACGCAGACCGCGAGTCGTTGCGAGGTTTCGCTTGCGATATAAGCTTAGATCGAATATCATTTGGAAGTTCAGCGACGACTTTCGGGTCAGGCTGCGATGGCATGAGAAATTGAGTCCCCAATATATTTAGTGGTTTGTAATTGCTGTCATTGAGTGACGGCGCTTCAACAACGGATTCGGCCTCTCCTTTACGGGGACTATCGAGATCATCGGGGTCATGGCTTTTTTGTACGCCCTTGCGAGTCGGAGATGCCTTGAATTTGAGCTGTTGTTGGCTGTTCCCGAGATCTCCAGTGGCTCCAGACTTGAGAGGTTCTAGTCTGGTCATTTGTACTCCGAGACCTCTAAGATCACCAGGCGAGATCGCAAAGCTTCTCAGCATGGAAACAGCCTCTTTCCCCAGCGTTTCTGCTGCATTGGTAGCTACTCCGAGTATTACGCTCTTGTTGAATACATCGCACTTCCCATGGCCTAGATGCTTGACTGGTTCTAGGGGTGCATCCGCTGACCGCCGCATGACTTTTAGAGTCAATTGCTTACCTCTGACTAGATTCTCAACGAGCCTCCGGTGTAATTCTTCGCATAGGGACTGAACAAATTCTTCGGCCTGACCCTGGTTAACGAAACGAATACCCCAGTTCACTTCGGCAGAGACGGATTTCCTCAAAATCTCTGTTCCAACTTCTGTGCGATCGATCCCACGAGCATAATCCCAGATCTTCACCCCAAGTTTCGGCCCAAGGGTAGAAGTAAGTCTTTCCCGCGAAAGTTCCCATACATCCTTCACAAGCTTGACGCCGAGTCCCTCAAGTTTGGATCCCAGACTGTATCCAACACCTGGCAGATCCTGGACAGCCAAGCTCCCAATGAAATCTAGAACAGCGTCAGGTTTTAGTTGGAACTGACCAGCCGGTTTCGCTTTGCGCAGAGCAACCTTCGCCTGTAAAATGTTGCCACCGATTCCAACCGACACAGCGCAGCCGGTTTCGCTCTTCACAGAATCTCGCAAGCTTTGGGCAATCTCATCTGCTTTGGCTTGTTCCCGATAAATCGAACCCTCTGACACGCCCCTCCCATCCGAGCCACCGGCCTCCAAACACAGCATGGTGATATCAACGAGGGCCTCGTCGATACTCACACTTTGCACAGTTCCATCTAGAGAAAGGATAGCGCTGTAAAACTTTTGACTTGCATCTTCGTATGCGGGGAAATCATAGGGTAACACCTTTAATTCAGGACATGTCTGCAGGGCTCCCTTCATCCACATTCCATTCTTCACGCCACGTGCACGAGCCGCATAGTTACAACTTGCAATTTCCGAGCCAGAGCCCGTGCCATGCGCAACAGCCACTGGCTTTCCCTCGTGTTCCGGATGTTTCAAAGTGGACACAGCCGCAAAGAAGCAGTCGAAATCCACATGCATGATGTATCGTCGTGCGCCAGGAGCCCGTTTCTTTCTTCCCATCTGAGACTGTGATTTTTCCTTCGTTGCTGCCTGGAGCTGGGCCTTCAGCTCGGCTTTCCACGTGGACAAATGATGCAAACGAGATTCCCTGTAAAACTGTTGCAGAAAATCTGGATTGACCACACTGGAGCTCCTCATGCGGGGGTCCGATAACAATTGAGCATTGTATTCCTCGGACGTCATCTCCGGCTTGGCAGGAGGGGAGGAGGCATGTCTTACGATTGCTCTAGGGGTTGGTGACATGTTACGAGTGGGATTACAGGACGTATCGCTTATACTTGGTTCCGGCCCTTGCGCTTGGCCTTCGTGAGACTCCTGGAGAAGGGGAGCTTTGCCTGTTTCTTCCATGGAGCTAAAACTCGGGAAATCGCCGTAATCTGACTGAGATCCAGATTTGAGCGGCAGGTCAGCCTGATTATGTGGCCCAGCAATGGGTGATAATCGCTGCCCATCATCCTTATCCACTGTATCCACTCTTTTTGCCTGAGGGGTGTACGGGCTGGTCTGTGACTGATTTTTGTAGCTCGACAGCGGAGCATTTGATGGGCTGAGGATGCGACCATGGTCGAACTTGAGAATTTTTTGAGACTGACCCTCATCCACCACCCTGAAAGAATCCCATCGGAGTAATCGCCCAGCTTTGATACTCTCAACCACCCATGCCGGTTTTACAATTCGATACTTGCGAAATTCCTCCCGCTTCTTCGGTGTCAGGGAGCTTGCGATGATATGTGTAGCAGCCGTCTTGCCATCCAGATACTGAAGGAAACCGCCGCCATGACTTACAATCAGGTGATGAAGATCCTGTAAGGATGGTTGGGTGTAACCATTGACGTGCGCCACCACACCTCGGAAGATTGGGGGACAATCGGCGGTCAAGGACCGTATCTCAGCATCTAGATTCTGTAACTTGATCTTTTTTCGGCGCATATAATCACCATGGTTGCCGAAAGCTGAGGCCCCGTATTCTTCGCCCTCCTCATTCTCAAAGGTATCTAGAAGGGAGCAGTTAATGTTACTAAGGTCATTACTATTTTGAGGAGAGTCATGGAGCATACGGGTTGCGATTCGCTTGCGCACAACACTAGAGTTTGAGTCAAGCACCGAGCCCATAATGGGCTTGATATAGGCTCATGATCAAGCCAACCAGTGGTGCAAAGAAAGAAAGTGAACAGAACAACGCGGTGGCGCGCGAATTGGACGGTTGTCATGTGAGGCGGTGAGCTGTGAGGCGGTCAAGAGCGACAGAAGAAAAAACGGCATTGAGGCGGTGAGACAGAAAAGCAAAAAAAAAAAAAAGTGGACCCACTCATGCTCCCTTTGGGATCCACAGTTTCAGAGACTAGTCTTTTCACTGGTATCAATCAAAACTTTTCCTCTCGTCGTTTCTGTTTTGCTTCCTTCTTTTTTCTTACCTCATCCTCTCACCTTAATTCCTCCTTTCTCTCTCTTATCGCCCCTAATATTTAACTATGTCTGGTGTTCAACCTGTAGCAGTGTATGCCCTCAGGGTGCCTCCTGGTACCCTGGTGCCCGCCGTGCCTGATGCGGCTGCTATGGTAAGTGATCCGTGCCTGACAAACATTGAACATAGAAAACCAAATCTAATGGCTCTGTAATAGTTCCGTGTGAGCATGGCTGCCATCGATCCTGACGAGGAACCCGACTTCGATGGACATGACACCAACAAGCGCCCCAGAGCCACCCTCAAGCTCATTCGTCCTCCTCCTGGATTGGAGCTCGAAGACGACTCGGATGATGATGACTACGAGGACGTGGACTCTGAGGATGACTCCGACGATGAGGAAGTCAATGGCGGTCCCAGCGACAAGGAGAAGGCTCGTAAGCTCAAGGAGGTCGCTGCTCTCAAGGAGATGGAGGAAGCCATGGACGAGGACGACGACGATGAGGATGACGATGAGGATGGAGAATTCGACCTGAAGGCCGCTATCTCGAAGCTTGTTAAGGGCAAGGCCCCTGCTACTGATGATGACGAGTCTGATGGCGAGTCCGATGAGGGCCTGGAACTCGATGAGATGGTCGTCTGCACATTGGATACCGAGAGGGTACGGTTTCTTAGGTTACCCCCACTCTGAACTACACTAACAGCACCCATTACAGAATTTACAGCAGACTCTGGATATCACTGTCTCTGAGGATGAGCGTGTTTTCTTCAAGGTTACCGGTACTCACACTGTCTATCTGACCGGAAACTATGTGATCCCCACCGATGAGGGCCGTCAGGGTTACGATGATGAAGATGAGGAAGATGAGGACTATGACCTTTCCCCCGACGAGGACGAGTTGGATCTGGACGAACTCATGGGCGAAGACGAGAGCGATGATCTCGATGGTCTGGAGAACCCCAGGATTACCGAGGTTGAAAGCGAAGAGGAAGAGGCCCCCAAGCTCGTTGATACCAAGGGAAAGAATAAGCGCTCTGCCCCAGCCGATGAGGAAAAGCCTGCGAAGCAGGTAGCTAACAGCGAGGAGGGTCTGAGCAAGAAGCAGCAGAAGAAGCTCAAGAAGAACAATGGTGACGCTGCTGCTGTTGAGCAGAAGAAGGAGGGCAAGGACGGAAAGGAAGCCAAGAAGGTCCAGTTCGCCAAGAACCTTGAGCAGGGTCCTACCCCCTCCGGTCAGGATAAGAAGCCCTCCGAGCAGACCACTGGCACTCTTGGCGTCAAGGAGATCAAGGGCGTTAAGATTGACGACAAGAAGCTTGGAAAGGGACCTGCCGCCAAGGCCGGCAACACCGTCTCCATGAGATACATTGGGAAACTCGAGGACGGCAAGGTGTTCGATTGTAAGCGATTCCCTTCACCTGCGCATTCGTAAAGCATTTAGCTAACGTTATTACTTTTTTAACAGCCAACAAGAAGGGCAAGCCTTTCAGCTTCAAGCTCGGCAAGGGTGAAGTGATCAAGGGCTGGGACATTGGTGTTGCTGGCATGGCCGTTGGTGCCGAGCGTCGCATTTCCATCCCCCCTCATCTGGCCTACGGCAAGAAGGCTCTTCCCGGCATTCCTGGCAACTCGAGGTTGATCTTCGATGTCAAACTGCTTGAGATTAAATAGACGACTCGTCCGCACCATGTACAAGGTTGCATATTAGCTTGATGTTTGGTTATCACGGTGGCTGTGCTGTCCATATGGATTTCGATATGTCTCTTTCTTCTGTTGTTTCTCACTCTGTCAAAAAAAACGGTGTTCTAGGGGACTTGAATTTTAGTTTCAATTCGTCAGTGTCTTTATTGTTGCTTTTTTTTACTTCGTTTTCTTTTCTTCTTGTTTTGCTTAATTGTGATATCCGACTTGTTTCTTTCTTGCACCGTTGTGCATGTATACAGCAGGGATGAGGATATTGCAAAGCAAAGCGTGTATCTTCCAATAGAAAGGAGTGAGAATACTCAAAACCTGGATCCATAATACTAGTATACCACTTCAAGTTACTATCTATGATTATATCAACGGTTTCTTGTAGGTTGCTCTTCCACGTGAGTCGTAACTTCCTTAATCGATAATAAATGGATCTTTAACCATCTCTCTTCCCTCTTCTTTCTCCTCTTGCGATAAAGCTCACCACATTGTCGCTTTCTGTTTGGACCCTGTTGGATCTGCCATACCATCTTTTAACTATGCGCATATGCTACCGGCATACAGGGTCCAAGGATCATTCATTCCTTTACTGCCGTGATCAACCCTCGAGAAGGTCATTTCTTGGAAAGGCAATTATCAAAAAGAACAAGCCTCATCCTTTTAAGATTTCAGCACCAACTGACCATCACTCTTGGTTAACTCGGTTATTATTGTTCATCTCATCATGTCGGGATCAGCTTCTGATGCCTCCACCGCCCACCTGGCCCGAAAAGATAGGATTCGAGTCCGTCTCGGGAGAAGAAGTTCCAGACTATTATCCTTACTTGGTCTTCGGAGTTCTCCTAATGGTAGGGTCATTGTACTACAACACTATCCCATTAACTGTAACCATCGGAGCTGATCAGATTGGCTTAGGCCCCAAGACACTTGCTGTCGAGTCAGACCCTCTTTCGAATCTAGAAAACAACCGTCAATCATCGCGGTCATGTCAGTCTATATATATGCAAAGAACACAAGTATCTTGTAACACAGTCGTTGGAGAAGTCGAAGCTGGTCATGCTCACCCTGCAATTATTGATTGTCATAGCTCGAGCACGCCACTTGGATCATCCGAATCTCCCCAAAGCCAAAGAGAAGAGAATCACTGTAAAACAGAAGCTGAAATTAAACTGCGGCCTTTGGGCGAAAATGATAGTGGAGAGCCCAAGATTCTTGGTAGAAGGAGGAGTCGATCTATGCCAGCTGCATTTACCCAGCTTGTATCGCGCAAATTGACGACTACGTTTGGAAGCCCAACCGTAATTCGCCGTTCACGTCGCCGTCAACGACCGAGTGTTCAGATCGCCAAACTCCAATCGGAGTCGGTTCATAACCTCAACAACCAAGGCGATAGTGCCAATGATAGCTCCGACTCCTCTAGCCCGCCTACCAGTAGCGGCTCACCATTGAGGGCTAATTCAACACCTCCTACCTCCGAAGAGCCATTTACATCGCCCGATGGAGTAGAGCACTATGATGATGACACTGTCGCAGATAGACATGGTCTAGGACCTTCGAAACTGACCACAGGTAGAACACTCACTCCAATTGAGGAGTTTCCTGGCATGTCGCCAACGGTTCGTACCGTCGAAGCTGTCGCTAATGCTAAAGTCTTTTTCGAAACATATTTCAGGTCAATCTATTGTGACACAAACCCACGTTCACAGCGGCAACAAGAGCTCGAGCATTATATACATTCGTTGCCTCTAACACTCGAGGAAAAGAAAAGAGTGTGGAGGAATTGGATTGTTCAGGAGCAGGAATACCTGCGCCAATGCCGAGTACTCAAATCACGCTTCCATGGTATTGGTCACGACGAGACGGTGTCAGTCGCTGGATTTGAAGTTCTCAAAGTACTGGGTAGAGGGAGTTTCGGGGTCGTTCGTCTGGTTAAGGAAAAGAGCGCAAGCGAGGGATATAGTGGCTCTACTGCAGCAAGGAAACCGTTAAGTACTGTACCCAAAAAAGCGGACATAACCTGCGAGAGCGAGAACTGTCGTCGGAGAGCTATGGTGGGAGAGAAAAAGGACGTGTTTGCCATGAAAGTCATTCGAAAGTCGGCGATGATACGCAATAGCCAGGAGGGCCACCTGCGAGCTGAACGGGATTTCCTTGTAGCTTCCACAACGTCTCGCTGGATCGTTCCTCTGATCGCAAGCTTCCAGGATACAAATAACCTGTACCTTATCATGGATTATATGATCGGCGGAGACTTCCTTGGCCTCTTGATGCGACGATGCATTTTGCCTGAAGATATCGCTAGATGGTATGTTGCAGAGATGATATTGTGTATCGAAGAGGCACATAAACTTTGCTGGATCCACAGAGATGTCAAACCAGATAACTTTTTAATTTCCGCCTCTGGACATTTGAAGATATCGGACTTTGGCTTGGCTTTTGATGGGCACTGGGCCCATGACCAAGTTTACTACAATGATCACCGTTACTCTCTAATGAGGAGGCTTGGGATTCAGGTTGACGGCGACCTTGAAGACCAGAAAGAACAAAATAGAAAGGTAGACCAGACATTGCCAAACGATAGTGAACAAGGAGTCACCTTTGCGCCTCCGCCCGAAAATCTTCTCGAATGGCGTGATAAGCACCAAATGCGAAGGTTAGCGAGGAGTGTAGTTGGCACCAGCCAATACATGGCCCCTGAAGTTATTCGAGGGCATTTGTACGATGGAAGGTGTGACTGGTGGAGTGTAGGGATAATCCTTTATGAAGTGAGTCTTCAAGACCCGAAGCGTCTGCACTCTACTGACGTGCTCCACTCAGTGTCTGTATGGCTTTACACCGTTTGCTTCAAAAGATCGAGACAGGACGAAGTGGAAGATCCATGTAAGCTATTCACTGTATTTTGTCGAAACCGGCCAGGAATTGACGCCCCGTGTAGCATCACCTCCAGACATTACATTTCCCCGTACACAGGCACACAGACAGACTCGTGTCAACGCAGGCAGGGGATCTCATCAACCGCTTGCTTCAGGAGAAAGAATACCGGCTCTCGTGTAACACTTACAGGCAAAATGATCTTTTCATCCCACGATCAGCGGCGAGACATCTCTTATCTAGTATAGACCCTCAAGGCCGGAATTATCGGGGCCGGAGCTTTTATGTGTACCCTAACGATGCAGCTGACATCAAAGCTCATCCATTCTTTCGTGGTATCAAATGGGAAAAGCTTCATCAATCTTGTCCGCCATTTATCCCCAAGGTCAAGGGCTGGGAAGACACCAGATATTTCGAAGATGCGGATGGAGCCGCTGGGAATGACGAATTGTCAACTACTACCGATGCTCAAAATTCTGCCGATGAGTCCGAAGGGGCGGAGGGTGGACCGAAACCCATGCAAAATCCGCCAGAGCCTCCGCAGGACCAGTGCTCGTGTAAGGGACCTAGTCCTGATGAAAACACCTGGAGTGATGCAAGAGAGCCTCCAACGAAGGGTTTGGAGAAACAAAAGCAGAGGAAGAGACCGCGAGACAAGATGTTACGAGACAAAAGGATCCAGAAGACTGTCCTCAAGATGCGCAAGGAGGGAGCATTCGTGGGCTATACCTATCGCCGACCCAAAGCTGTTGCGATGGCTTTCGCACCTGAAAGAGGTCGGGTCTACTTATCACGAGGAAACCTATCTGAACTCTATGGATAGTCGCATATGTAAGATGTTAAGGTGTCCTACCATGGACCGATTACCAAAGGGTGGTTCACCAGCGACTGCTAATCAAGCACAAGACTGCCATGTATTGTTAGAGATTAAAAGAGAACGATAAATCTTTACAAGAACCCAAACCATGGGCTAAAGTCATATAAGTTGCGTGTATTGGTCCTGTGACAAGGCACCGTATCATTGCAGCTTAGTATCATAAGTATCAGGGAGTTTCATAATCACAAGGCCCGACAATACAGCCAGAAGTGTTTCGAAGGAAGTAGAGGTAATTCGAATAAAATGAGTATAGTAAGGGTATCATAAACAAAGAAAGGTGGCTGTGACCTCACGGAACTTGTCCTACTAGAAGTTTCCTGGTTCAGATGGCGGGAGGGGCGCCCATAGCGAAGGCAGAATCGCTGACACGATCTTCCGGTTTCATAGTGCCGTTGAGGAGGGGGCAAAGCCTGTTGATTGATACGAGATTTGAGAGGTTAGCGTTCAGCTGATTTGGAATTTGACTTTCTTTTTAGATTTAGGAATGGGTCCTTGAGGGGAAATTTGCGAAACAGGGGCCATCTGCTCATCGAGATTGTTGCCTGAACTTGCAGTAGAGATCTGAGGCATTGGAGCAGGGGCTGGTGGTGTCTTCGCTCTTCTCGACCTTGGACGAGCAGAAGATGGGGATTCAGGGGGTTTGAAAGAGGGCGCGAAAAAGGGGGGAGGGTCTCCATCAGTAGAAGGGAGAAGGACCAAACTAGGGTCTGTAGAGGGGCACTTATGAACGCACTTCTTGTTGGTCTTGATGTGACCGACTTGGCCGCAGTTGGCACACTTGCGTTGAGTGCCTGCGCCTTTGCCACTGCCACTGGGGCCTCCATCGGCCGGGGAATCGCCGGCAGATGTTCGGGTCGCTCCTTTCTGTTTCTCGCGCGCGAATCGTCGTTCTTTGTTTCGGTTGAGACGGCTCAGTTCGGCTTCGAGTCTGTCTAGTGTGTGAGTATTGCTTTTCTTTAGAGGTCGCAAGCTTGGATAAGGGTGTGTGTGCGTGTGTGTGTGTGTGGAAATGACATACAGTTTCTTGTTGCGAGAGTCCACTTCTGGATCGCCTGTCGGTTGGAGGTTCTCGAGCCTATGACCGGGTTAGTTGGCGATGGCAGCGCAGTTTACGTGTCAGTTGCCCTTACTTGGTAGTTAAAGCTTCCACTCTGTGGCGATGCTGTATGTAGTGGCGAATAACTCGAGGATCCCAGACCATAGTTTCTTTGCTGTATATTTCGCCCTTTTCGTCTTTGAATTGACGGACGATACGCAAAACCTTACCTCTCTGATCCGGCATGCTCATCTTGCTAAACTGGCTTGTTGTTTCGTCGTCACGGCGGCCTGGGGCTGGCGTAGGAGCCTCAGATCGTGGGGTAGGCTTATTAAACTCCTCTTCCATTTCCCGGTCGATGTCACTGTCATCATCCGAATGCTCGACTGTTGACGACAGGTTGGCTTTTTGCGTATCCCAAATTCGACGGATCGAGGTTTCATATGACTTCTGCTGCCTGGCAACATTGTAGCTGTGACCGCCCAGCTCTTTTAGTCTCTGAGCATCTAGCTTATCTTCAACACTTTCACCGACGGCCTTGAAGCCACCTTTCATAGAAGTCTTGATGAAACTAAAGCCTTCGCCTCGGCCAGTTGGGTCACCTTCTCCATGTAGTTTGAGCATAGCCTTGCCCTGAGATGCCAGAAGGAAATTACGAGTGGCTTTCCAAGGAGCCATTTGTTGCTCAAAGCTTTCTGTTTCCTCATCGTTATCCTCTTCTCCCCCAGTTTCAGCATCGTTGCCATAACCCGTGTCATGTAGGTGCTGCTGGCCAACCTGCATAGATTCTAGGAGACATACATCTTCGGGTTGTACCCACGACCGAATAACATCTTGCTCAGGAACAGGCTCCAGTGGCACCCAGTACTTTGAATCTTTGTCATGCTGAAGGAAGTCCTTGACCTTCTGACGATTCTGCATATCGCTAGTGCCCGGGATGTGAGCGGTAACATCACTGATCGAGAGCCTTAAGTCCGGACTTTTCTTCAAGAGGCGGTACACAAGCATCTTCATGCGATTCTTTGCAACAGTCGTCACCTTCCGTGAATGAGGGCCAGGGACATCCACGGAGGGGAACTGTTGACCGGCGACAAACAAATTCTCAATATTTTTGACAAAGTAATCACTGCCCCCCGAGCCAGTGCTACTACGTATTACCAAGAAGTCTGTTGATTTGGCCACATGCTGAAACAGCGGAGCCCGATACATCGAGTTGGAGATGGCCGGGGTAATCTCACCCGGATCAACGTGGCCAAAGATAGAGAAAGGACTCTTATCCTGAGGGAGGAGAACCGCTGTTTCACCGATTTCGGCTTTTGGACGCGTGGGATCGTCCATATTTTTCCGGCGGTAGTAGTTAATGATGCGATTGGACATTCCAAAATTCGATAGCATAACAGGAACTTCCTCGGAATACTCGACTAGTAAGGCACTGGAGTTGTCGGCCAAGGAAAGTGACTTGGTGGAATTGTACAGAGACTTGACATCCTTGCCCCTCTGATGTTTCCGTTTGATGTAGGCAGTGTTTTTGAACCAACAAGTCTGACCGGGGCGGAAAGACAAGGCCGGGCGATGGAAAGATCGCGCCTCGGCTTTGGCAAGCTCGGTCTTATAGTAGGGCCATTGCAAACGAAGAGCTGGCATACTGTGCTCGAGGGTGACATTGCCCAGAGTGCTTCGGACCTTGTTCTGATGGTTTTGTTTGAGCATGTCGTACGCTTGGTCATTTGATATGTTATAGCGTGAGGTCAGGCGGCGAGTGACGTTGACATCCATTTCATCGCGATTAAGAGCTGCAATAGCCTTCGGCTTCTGCGCTGCAGATTCAGGTCCACGCTCGTCGAGGAGAATGTGAGGGTCATTCATATCCACCGTCACCTTTTGAGCGATACGAGATGTTGCCCGTTCGGGGTCATCTACCAACGGGACATCAATATGAGAGAGGGCGATTAAATCCGTTGGATCTCTGCCAAGTTTGCGTTTTTTCACTGGACGAGTAGTCTCCAGAAGCCAATCATCTTCAGCCTCTTCTGTCGTATCTTGGGTGACAGGCTCCTCAATATCCATGATAGAAATATCGCTCTTGACATCCCAATCTGTACAGACAACACGAAGATCATTTAATGTGATACCCCCAGGGAGCACCTCGTCACTGTCTGTGTCGATATCAAAGTCTTCCTTAACTTCCTCTTCTTCCTCTTCTTGTACAGCTTCGGTAACAGCCACGACTCCCAGATGCTCTAACTCCAACGAGCGTTTATACACTTGACCGCCTGATTTGAAAGCCCTTTCCTGGTCTTGGGCAAGCTCAATGTTGACCTTGCTAGGCAGCACGGGTTTGGGGGGCTTCGGAGGCTGCTTGCCGAGAAAGAAAGCCTTCTTGTGGGGGATGAGCTCAAGAAAACGGGGAAGGGCCTTGCGGTCGAAATTAGGAAACAGAGAATGTAGAAGCTCTTCAACATTTTGTGGTGGTGCAGGCGGATTGTCCGGGCCTACAGTAGACATGGCAAACAGAGCTTGTTGTAGCTTCCATGCCCGTAAAGATGCCGGGTCCATGTCCTCGACCGCAGGACCCATACCTTCACCGTCCAAGGGTTCCTCATCTTCTTCCATGACCATGGGCTCCGGCTCGGGGGCAGGCATCTCAACCGTGCCTGGGGCCGGTGGAAGCTGTTCATCCTCCTCGAACAAACCCCGCGTAGCATCAGCGTGGTCTGCACCGGGAGACGCAGGTGCTTCACCGAAAAGGTCGTCGAGCTCATCGCCGCCCTGGGGTTGTGGTTGTGACTTGTCTCCGAGATCTCCAAAGAGATCTTCTTCCTCTACTTCAAATAGGCCTTTGACCTCGTCATCCACCGCTGCCTGTCCATTCTCCACAGGGACCTGAGTCCTCTCTTCCTCTTCAGGAAGTTCGTCATCATCAAAATCCTCGTAGTCCACCGCGTCATCAGCCTTTTCGCCAGGTTCTAGATCCCGCTGTAAGAAATCGAGGGACACGGCGCCATCGCCAAGGGGCCCGTTCATCTGGCGCATGACATTCTCGAAATCGGCATCCTCGGCATCAGATGCCGAAGGGTCGGTGGCGTGAGGCATTTTGAAGGTAGCAAGTCGACAGGATCGAACGACCAGATCTAGGGAATAACACAGCGAGCGAGTGGGACAGGTCGATAGTCGGCGGTGCTCGGACAATTGAAGGTTATGAAAGGGCGCACATCGAGAACGACGGTGTCTGCGGGGAGAACCGGTCAGACGCAGAGATACCTGTGACCGAGGAATCAAGTGGGATTGAAATGAGGGAGTATTGGTGTTCAGGAGGGCGAAGGTCGGAGAGGAAATAAAAGCGATTGCGGTTTGAATGCAAAGGTAAAGACCGAAAAGAGGCGCGACGGGTGAATGATGGCGCTAGGCCATATCAGGCAATCAGCTCAGTATCAATATAGCGAACAACTTTTAAGAGAATTCAATGATTCAATGATTCGTACACCCGGGACATGAGTATATTTTAATTCTACTAGAGTACTGCATCCTCGAGTACGTGCACTAGTTGTCCGCCAACCACGGTCATACAGTATGCGGGGGTATGATAGTCGTTATACAAGTTCATGTCAGATCATTAAATACCTCATAATTAATTCTAGGGAATCTATTGTTAACCATACTGTACACTAGGATCCAAATAGTCTCGGTGGCGACTGAGACTCGGAAATGACCGTACATCCCTATCCAACAGTAACTCCGTCATAGTAATCAATACAAGCCAAGAGACAAGAAGTGTTCGAGTTATTCGAGCTTAAACCCGCCGTAATAGATGCAGAGTGCCTTGCTAGCACCTTCCATGCAATAATGCATCACGGTCGCCTTTTCGCCATCCTTCACTAGTTTCGCGAGCTGCTTTAGGTCCGAGGTCCGAGGAAGATAGAGTACTATATGCTCAGTAAACAAAGCATATTCGCCGTACAACGTGGACAAGGAATACGGTTCCATCGTGCGAAGGTTGAATATCGTGTCGGAACGATAGCCAGGGCCTGTATATTTCAGATTCAAACGCCTTGGAAAATATCGGATAAATAGAAGGAATTGAAAACATACCACCCCATGGAGGGCTTGCAAACAGAACACTGTATGGGCCCAGTTCCTTGAGTTGATCATTCACGATCTGAAGACTGTCGCCCTCAAACCAGGTAATTTTGTGATCGACGCCATAGATCTTCGCATTGTGCTTTGCGCACTTCAAGACGGCGGGATTTTTCTCGATCGCATAAACGCGTTTCCAGCGACCGGATAGGGCAAAAGCAATGGTATTCCCACCCGCTCCAGCAAAAGCATCGACTAAGACACTGCGAGACGCTGGTGCAGCGCTGGCAATATGCTCAGCTATTTTACTGTAGCGACTATATTAGTCCATGATACAATGTAAGGAGGAAACAATCTACTCACTTAGCGACCGGCTCAGGAGTAACACCAAACCATGCATCGTCTGTCAGCCATACGCCTTCGTCATACTTGGAGAAGATTCTATAGCGCTGTGCCCAATAGCTGCGTAGGATTAGTTACTAGTTGTCATATCGGGTGAAGCGGTAGCAGTCGTCGCATACTTCTGAATATCCCAGGGAACTTCTCCCACATGGCTGTAATGGTGAACCTCCGGCGGAGGCTCCTCCGCAGTAATATCCCCAGACATGACCGGAGAGCAAAAGGAGTAAAGTATATGTCACCTGGGTAGCGCGTAGATTATAGATGACATATCATAGTTGGGGTGCCTAGATTTCATACAGAAATCTACCACCGATAATCATTAATCGAGGCCGATAAGTTGATAACATACCAAATGAGAGTTTGTCTGGTTTGCAACTGGGCAGCACTCCACATTGCGATTGTGTTTACACCACCACCAGTGCTCTATTTCAAAGCAGTTTGATAGCACCTCAACTCCCGAATATAATTCTCGCCAAGTCAGGTCATGTTCGGAGCTCTAAATCGTTTTATCGGGCGCCTGGACTCCGATCCAGCCCAGCAGCCTCGAGCCACCACTAGCGATAACGCATTTGGCTTCCAAGTCCTCCGCAGCAAGGACTCCGAACTACCCCTGGAGCCATGGTTTGATTTCATTATTGGGATCAATGGGCGTCTGATAGTGAGTGCAGTTGCATCATCTGTGGCTCGATATCATGAGCTAACTGCGTCATTACCAGGACGATCCAGACCCTAATCTCTTCGCGACAGAAGTTCGCAATTGCGCCGGATCCAGTGTGACATTTGAAGTCTGGAGTGCAAAGGTGAGCTCCTCTTAGATCCTGCCCATTTACCCTCTCACTCTCACTAATCGCATATCTTACAGGGTCAGAAGACACACACCGTCTCTATTCCAATTTCCCCCACCAATCCTACGCTGGGTCTCGCCTTGCAGCTTGCCCCTCTTTCATCTACACAACATATCTGGCATGTCTTAAATATCCCGTCACCGCTCAGTCCGGCATACCGGGCAGGGCTACTTCCACACTCAGACTACATCATCGGGACACCCAGTGGAACGTTACGGGGAGAATCCGCGCTGGGGGAGTTGGTGGAGGACCACCTAGACCGAACACTAGTCCTATGGGTGTACAACAGTGAGTTCGACGTAGTACGCGAGGTGGAGTTGGTACCTACCCGGGGCTGGGGTGGTGAGGGTGCACTAGGGGCTGAGCTTGGGTATGGTGCATTACACAGACTACCCGTTGGGTTAGGCGAGGAGGTAGAGGGCCCTGGTGAGGTAGTATTTGAGACGCGTGACGATGGCACCTCAACCCCCGTTCTGAATCCGATGAATCCGGCTCAAAACCATGGTGTCGCACTTGATTCAACGATTGGCGGCCATTATCTGGTCCCTGCCAATATGGCCGCGCCGCCTCCCCTGGCGTCGCAAGCACCACGGAGCCTTTCTGCGTCACCAGCGCCCAGCCAGTCACCTGCTGCGCGGCGCGGCAAGACCCGCCATCATGCTATATCGCCGAACCGGGCATTTGATGAATATTTTGCCGAAGGGGAAGAGAAGAGTAGAGAACAGGACTATGCTCCGTCACGGAAGGGAACGCCTCTACCTCCTCCGCCGAAAGGAATTCGGTCACCGCCACCTTCAGGCAGCCCCGCGCCGGCGATGGAGTAGGAGAATCAATTCTTTTGATGTTTAGATATTCTGGGTTGTAGCGTTTCTTATTTGTAGAGTATTACGAGTCTGCGGAGTTACGACGGTCAACTGGGGGTGCGATATACCAATGATGGATTCCCAATTTCAGTCTATATTTCACAGCAGGGCGACACGCCACTGCTACTACATTGCGTGATATAGTCCAAAAAAAGGAGTGCCAAACAGGGGGACCTTAAATCTAACTGTTAAAGTACACATATGCAATGGAATTTAAGGCCAGCCAAGCCGAGAGTCGCAGCACGGGCTCCAGATCGCATCCGCTACAAGGAAAACAATTGAACAGGGGGAGGGGAGGGAGAGAGATAAATGCAGAAATACTAGTGGCCCTTGCTGACCAACTCCTCCAGCTTCTTCCGGATCTCGCCGATCTTGTCTTCCATCCTGGCCCGGGCCATGCCGCTGTGTGCCACGCCAGTAGACCAGATGTGCTCAGCCCTTTCACGGAGGTAGAGATGCTGCTCGGCAATGGCGGGAACCTTCTTCTCGTACTCCCATACCAGGTCGGAGATGTTGCGCATCGTGACAGGCAGGAGGGTCCAGGCGGCCACGGTACCGAACGCGAGCGGCGAGAGAGAGCGAAGGAAGATCCCACGGTTGCGGCTTACAATGGAGCCGGCCATGGCGGAGACGATGACATAGGCTCCGCCGGGGAGGAGATGCTCGCCCGACTCAGGTGATGGGGCCAACGAGGCGATGGTGTTGGTGAAGGCATTCTCGATGTGGAGGGCCCGGGACAGGAAGTTGTTGAAGCTGTTCTCAGCGGCAAGGGAGTTTTCGTAGAGGAAAAGACGGGCTTGTCGGACCTGGGCCGTCAAGATATCTGTGGGAGTGGGAGACGAGGAGGAGGTTGGAGAAGACTTGGGAGGAGCAGCAGGAAGGGTCTTCATGGGTTCCGGGAAGTCATCATAGATTGGTTTTCTCTGCACAAATTCCAAGGGTTAGAATGGTTCTTTTGAAGCGCGTAAACCAGGTTTCTCTCAGCCGCGCGAAATTTCGGTGGGATCATACAGTGTCCTTAGGCTCCTCTGCGAAAGCGGTTCGCCGGGGATAGAAGGCTACACCTCCAGCCAGAAGTGTGGCAGCGATGGGGGCCACAGCCCGCTAAACCGAGTCAGTCAGGAACATGAAGACTTGCAGTAGATTACATGGAGTGTACCTGCTGAAACATTGGCCGAAAGGACATGCTGCGGGAGGCCAATGGACGAAAGAAGGACGAGGGAGTTGATTTGAAGGTCGTCTTGAGGGCTTGTTTGAAGTTCACTGAAAGCGTGACTATGCCAAGACTTTTTTTCGGCGGGCGTTCGGCTGTTCCTCCGTCATTGTCCGGGTCTTCTTTTCTGCTACAACTTAACTATCTACTACTTACTACTTTACTTCTTAAGCGCCCCTTCTCTTTTTCATCTTTCGTTCAATGTTATTTACCGATTTCCCTCAAAACGAACAGTCACTCTCATACACATCTCATGCTTAATTAAATCTCTTTCCCCCTTCGCTCTTATGGCAGGACACATGCTGATGCCGCTCCGGCGTCGGCCATGGACTTGTCGGGCATGTCTGCAGCGACTGCAGCAGCCTCGTCGATCCCTGGAAACGGCCACGTCCCCCTCCTCCCAGTCAGCTGTGTACGATTACGCCCCTACGAACCACTCGGCCCAGAAGAAATCCCATGATGAAACCATCCGACGTATGTTCGACTCTCAGCCCTTCTGGAGGGAGTTCTCGCAACGGAGCGCCACTCAATCCAAGCCCACCGGGTTAGTGCAGAACCAGTACCTCACCAATCCCGATGGTTTTCGCGCCTTTGCGAATATCTCCCTCCAGAGATGTCAAGCGATCGTCTCCAAAGTCCTCGCTGCTTCCACATTGGAGGAATATCGGAACATGGCTCGGGACCTCGACCGGCTGAGCGATCTACTCTGCCGAGTGATCGACTTGTCAGATTTTATCAGAGTCATCCACCCTGACCCGCGTGTGCAGGAGGCCGCTACGCAGGCGTATGCGCTGATGTTCGAGTACATGAATGTGCTGAACACCACCACAGGGCTCAACGCGCAGTTGAAGAAGGCGGCTAGCAATCCGGATGTGACCTCGCACTGGACGGAGGAGGAAAAAATCGTAGCGCAGATTCTCATCAAGGATTTTTCCAATTCGGCTATTCACATGCCACCGAATGAGAGACAGCGATTTGTGAACCTATCGAACGAGATCAGTCAGCTAGGGTCAAACTTTGTTAATAGCGCCGAGCCCGCCAAATCGCAAGTGGTCGTCGGAGCTAATAGTTTGCGGGGACTCGATCCGATTCTCGTCCAGCAGATTCGACGATGGAACCGTACGGCCTCTGTTCCGACGATGGGGATGATCCCACGACTCGCGCTACGGTCCGTCCACGACGAGGGTGTCCGGAAGGAAGTCTATCTGGCGACCCGAACGTCCAGCCCGCGCCAGCTCCACCGGTTGGAGCAACTATTCAGCAAACGGGCGGAGCTCGCCCAATTGTCGGGCCACCCCAGCTTCGCCCATATGACCCTCAGCGATAAAATGGCCAAAAGCCCTGAGGCCGTGTCGAACTTTTTGACGGCGTTGGTGGGCAGCAACCGCGAGCATGTCCAGGAAGAACTGGCGCAGCTGCAGGCGATGAAAGGTGCGTCCCCACTACAGCCGTGGGATCACGCCTACTACGTCAATCAACGCGTGCTGCAGTATTCACAGTCCCGGCGGTCGCGTGAGCTGAGCGCTGTCCCCGAGTTCTTTTCGCTAGGCACAGTGATGCAAGGGTTGTCGCGGCTCTTTGACCGCCTCTACGGTGTCCGGCTCGTCCCGCAGGAGACAGCTGCGGGCGAGACGTGGAACCCGGACGTGCGTCGATTGGACGTGGTGGATGAGGCGGAGAGGCATATTGCGGTGATCTACTGTGACCTGTTCTCTCGACCCAACAAGCATCCCAACCCAGCCCATTTCACCCTGCGATGCGCCCGGGAGATCTCCGCCGAGGAAGTGGCGGAGTGTGCCACGATGGACCACTCGGCTCACCCCAACGACGGGATGGCCACAGCAGTGGATCCGCAGACCAAGACCCTGCGACAGCTGCCGACGATCGCGCTGGTGTGTGACTTCGCTGAGCCGCCTGCGACCGGTGCCGGGCGGCCGTCCTTGCTGAGCGAACATAGCGTGCGGACGCTGTTCCATGAGATGGGTCACGCGCTGCACTCCATTTTGGGACAGACCCGGCTGCAGTCGATCTCCGGCACTCGGTGCGCGACCGACTTTGCCGAACTGCCGTCGGTGCTCATGGAGCGATTCGCTACCGAACCCGCGGTGCTCTCGATGTATGCCCGGCACTGGCAAACGGACGAACCGCTGTCCGAGAGCATGATGCTGAGCATGGAGAAGGATCGCCTGGCCCACGGATCGATCTACGGGGCCGTCGAGAATGAAGCCCAGATCCTCATGGCGCTGGTCGACCAGGCGTATCACTCCATTCCCGCGGACAAGGCCGGCCAGATTGACAGTACGGCGATCTATCACCAGGTCTCGTCGGCACACTCCAGTCTACCCGACCCGACGGACAGTCGACCGCCTACGTCGTGGCAAGGGTTTTTCGGCCATCTCTACGGTTACGGGGCGACGTACTACAGTTATATCTTCGATCGGGCGATCGCCAACAAGATCTGGGAGGACGTGTTCCAGGCGGGCCGGGCTGCGGTGGATCGCGAGGCGGGCGAACGATACAAGAACGAAGTGCTCCGCTGGGGTGGTGGACGTAACGGGTGGGACTGCGTGGCCGGGGTGTTGGGCAGTGGGAATGCAGCCAACGCCAACGGACGACTGGCGGAGGGAGGCGACGAGGCCATGCGGGAAGTCGGTCGATGGGGCTTGGGCCGGGATGGAGTCTCGGGCTAGCGTTAGTACTAAACTACAACTACTTACGATAGACTTATAGATCAATAAGTAATACTTTTAAAAGACCAATAATTGTCCAAAAGATCCTTGGGAGGGATTGAAAAGGGTAAAACATGTCTCACAAAAAAGCCCATCCCAATTCGTCCTACGCAAACCAATCTCCCTCGACAACTCAAAAGAAGTCTGCTGACCACGTTACATAGACATAAGAATTAAATAAATTAGGAATGGGTAGCGTAACGGTCAAGAATAAAAAAAAGTGTAACCCCAAAAACCAACCCAAAAGCCTCGGCGTGCATTGAACATCTCAAATGCATGTGGCCTTTTTTTTTTTTTTTCTACTTGGTTTCCTACTATTGGTCTAGAATACTACAATCGTCCTAAGAACTACTACTAGAAAAGCTCTCTAATTATGGGAATCAAATCTCGGCATTTAATTGCGGTGAAAAGTCAAAAATAAATGAACAGAAAGGAAAATGATTTATAGATATCGCAGGAATTTCCTCTTCTCGTATCATTTATTTACTTATTCTTTCTTCTACTCTAGTCAACCTCCCCCTTCTTTTTCTTCATCAGAATCATAAATTACTTTATTTTCCCCTAGGAAACCCTCACTGCCTCCTTACCGATCCAATTATCTGACCAGACAATAAACAAACACCTCAATTAATATTATTTTTCGTATTTATCTTCCCCTATACAAAAACACAGATACAGTACATACATGCCCACCACAACAACACCAACTCCAACAATCACCACTATTCTACTCCCAAAGGAACCAAGGTTCAGAAAAGAAAAGAAAAGAAAAGAAAAGGGGAAAAAAACAAAATGCCCTCCATAAAAATCCTCAACTCAAACACAAACACCACAACCACCGACTCCGCCTCCTTCTCCACCTCCATCTCAACCTCCACCCTCCCCTCAAAAGAAACAACCACTCACTCCCTCACCCGCCGCACAACTCTCACGCACCTCTCCCGCTGGGTCTCCCGGAAGATGTCCCGCCAGAAACTAGGCCCGCACCAGAATCCAGAGGAGGTGTCGCCGGAGCAGGAACTCGAGTATTCGGATGCGTATGCGGCGTACCTGCGGGCGTTTAGTGAAGGGAGGGCTGGTCCGGGTCCTGGCCCTAGTCCTGGGACGGAAGTAGGGGAAGAAGTAGAGGGAGAGGGAGAGGCCCGGGGGGGTTATCCTGGGCATGGGAATGGGAATGAGGACCTGGATCGGAATGTTTTTGCTGGGTTTGATGCTGCTTCCCCCTCTGTTCCTAATGGGGATTACTTTTCCGGGCCGCAAGCGGGGAAAGGGGAGAAGGAAGAAGGCAATGGCAATCGGGATGGGAAGTATTCGTTTCTACGACATGTACGGTCCCGGCAGAGTGTTCGTGATCGACGACGGTTGGGAAGCTCGGATGATGTGCCTGCCGATCAGTTGTTGGATTTTCGGCCCATTGGGTTCTATGGGTTTAGTCCTTTGGCCGAGGGGGAGGAGCCCGTGTCGCCGCCGCCGGGCGTCAGGACGCCAGCTATGGTTGCTCAGGAGAATCGTGTCGAGAGGGAGAAGAGTCAGGAGCAGAATCGGCAGCAGAAGAGCGGGCGCTCATCGCAGAAAGGGTTCTGGGCGCCGTTGCGAGCACTATGGCTACATCTGCGTCGGGCTCAATGAGAGCGTGTCGCGGATAGCTTTTTTTTTTTTTTTCTCCTTGTTTTACTACTACTACATTGTCTCTAATACGGCGTGTAATTGCTCATTGATACCCCTGAATAGGATCGAAAGGTCATAATTAAAATATCATACTGGTTCCTTGTTTGTTTTTGGCTTTTCCCTCTTCTTCTGACACGGTAAACATGTCACTATATAGTACACTGCATTAATCAGGTGACCCATGACTGCACACATAAGAAAAAGAAAAGAAAAACGAGATAAGGAAATACAACCACAGTGGCAGCCCAACGCATCAGCGGACAACGCATCAATGGGAGGGTCAGTCCACACTGGAATAAAAGAAAATATGCATGAGCGGCGATCACAGCGGAGGCTAAACAGGGGTATCCTGAGCTCTTATTACATACAACTGCATAGTTAATACAAGAAGAACCGGAACGGCAATCCAATCAGAAACAAAGGAAAAGGGAAAAGGAAATAAGCAGAGGTCACGCGCAACCTCTTAAGCGGTTTTGATGATTTACCTCGATCCTTCGTCTGAACTGAGTTCCGGCTGCGGAGTCATCGCGGGGCTCCGTTCAGGCGTCGCTCGTTGTGATACTTGAGCAAGTTCTCGAATGAGTCTATGAATGATGATACGCCAAGTTAGTCTCAAGACCCCGTCAAATGATCCAAAGGAGGTTCACCCACCGTTGGTGTTCATCGTACCAGTCATCGTTGGCCGTGCGGATGTGCTTAAGCTGTTCCTGAATGCTTGCTATCTGCAATACAACGAACTCAATTAGTACTCCTGTCTGCCGAGGGAACGGACCATGCTACGTGAAAGGGTGATAATCAGGGATTCTTCTGGGGTACGTCGACGATAAACGGGGAGGTCCCACCGTTCCCTCAATGGATGAACCAAGGTCCTCACCTTCCACTGTGGCCGGACCTGCGTTTCCTCCAGCAGGGGCCTTCTCGTCTTCGGCCGCCCACCGGCTGGTCTCAAGACCCCCCTTGGCACTGTCTCTCTCGGCCTTCAGCGCCGCCACTTCAGCCTCGAGCTCGCGGATGCGCTTGCGGCTGCTAGAGATGGCCGAATCCACCTCTCCCAATTGGTTGAGCAGCGACATGTTCTTGTCAATCTGGTCGTTCAGGTCCCTCTCGCCTTGCATGAGCTTCTCGTCCATCGCCCGGTTCTGCGTCCTCAGCTCGTCGAGCTCGATGTGGATGGCCGCCTGCTTGCTCTTGAGCTGCGACAGCTCCTCCTGGGACGCCGATAGCTGGTGAAGCACGGTATCCACTTCGGACTTGGAGCTATCTGAAGCCGCCACAGATTTTTCGAGCTCCTCCACCCGGCTGCTCACAGACTGGTGTCTCTGCTCCCACTCATTCTTCTCGGCTTCGATCCTGGAAAGCTCAGCGCCCTGCTTGCTGGCAATTTCCTTGGATTCAGCAACAGACTGCTCGGCGTCGGACAATTTCTTCTCCAGGTCCGCAATGGTTGCCTTCAAGGCGTCCAAGACAGAGCTGTCCTGCGCAGCTGCCTGGGCGTGAGAAAGCTGTTCATGAACCTCGGCGAGGGCCGCGGCGTGGGACTTGTGAAGCTCATCAAGTGTGGCCTTGTTAGAGGATTCCAGATCAGCCCGAACGCTAGAGAGCTTCTCTTCATGGACGGTGAGGAGCTCTTCGATTGCCTTGTTGTGCTCAGCGTCAGTCTCCACAGCCTTGGACTCCCGAAGAGCTTCCAGCTCGGCCTGCAACTGGGACTTGATCTCGGTGTACTCCTTCTGGAGCTCTGCAAGCTCCTTACCATGAGCCTCGGTGTGAGAGGCAAGCTCGCCAGCATGGCGTTCGAGGGTTGACTTGAGCTCAGCTTCGAGGGTCTCGACCTTCTGCGCGTGGCTGGCCTCCAGTTCACGATGGGTAGATGACAAGGCGTTGTATTTCGTCTGTAGTTCACTGAGGGCTTGATCGAGAGATCCAGATGCATCGGCCTTAGCCTTCTCCAGCTCTGCGGCGTGTGCCGCCTTCAACTCCTCGAGGGTCTGGGAGTGTTTATCGGCGGCAGCAGCCGCTTCCTTGAGATGTTCCTCCAGTGCCTTCTCCGCTGCAGCAGCCTTCTCTTCGAGGAGCTTCGAGTGCTTATCAGCATTAGCAGACGCTTCCTCAAGATGATCCTGCAGTGCCTTCTCCGCTGCTGCGGCCCTCTCCTCGAGGACCTGCGAATGTTTGTCGGCAGTAGCAGAGGCTTCCTTGAGATGGTTCTCCAATGCCTTCTCGGCCAGCGCCGCCTTCTCCTCGAGAGCTCTCAGTTGGCCTTCCTGCTCAGCATCCTTGGCCTTGGTCTTGCTCTCGAACGCGATAAGACTTTGCTGCAAAGCTTCGGCTTGTTGCTGTTTGCTCTGAACCTCCTCCTGGAGGGACTTGATCTCGCCCTGTTCGGTCGATAGCTGGGACTCCAACGCGCCGACCTTCTCCTTCAGCTGCTCAATCTCCTGGACCGCGACAGCATGGGCGGAGTTGGCACCCTCCTCCGCTGATTGTCGCGCCTCGCTAAGGGCTTGTTCCGCCAGGTCAAGCTTCTGCTGAAGGGCCTGCAGCTCCGCCTGGTGGGCGGCGTTCAGTTCGCTGGTAGCATCTTCCCGGCCCTTCTTAGCCGCGGTTTCCGCCGCCTCTAGGGCTTCCCGGAGTTCCTGAACTTGCTGGGAGTGCGTGGTGCCGGCCGATTCGGCAGTTTCCTTCGCAGCAGCAAGTTCTTGGGCATGAGTTGTGGCGGCAGAGGCCAGGGCTTCATCATGCTCCGCCTTCAGCTTGGCAACAGCAGCGTCATGAGCCGCTTCCAGCTCCTTGATCTTTTCGCTTAGCTCGTTCGCAGCGGACTCACGGACCTCCTGGAGCTCGATCTGCAACTTTTCCAAGGACTCCTTCAGGTCTGCGATCTCCTTGTCCTTTTCGGCAACTACTGCTGGAGTCTCTTCATTACCCTTGGTAGCTGACTCTGCCTCCGTAAGCTTAGCATTCAGAGAAGCAACCTGTTCCTCGAGTGTAGAAACTGCCTTTTTAGCAGACTCCTCCGCAGCGTGAACTTCCTGCTGCTTGGCTTGATTCAATTTCTCCATCTCCACGTTCAGATTGGCGATGACTTGATCCCGGCCATTCAACTCCCGCTCAAGGCCATCAAGGGCTAACGCCTTTTCTTCCTGAAAACCTTTGGTGGCATTCTCCAAGGTATTTCTTTGCGAATCTAATTCCACCTTAAGGGACTCAATCTGCTCCGCATAGGCAGCTGCGGAGGCCTTCTGTTCCGCAAGCTCCTTTTCCAGGGCCTCTAACTGCGCTTGATGGGATTGCTTCAATTCCTCCAAAGCCGCAGCAGCCTGATCATCTCCCTGAGCAGAGGCTGACTTAGCCGCTTCATCTAGGTCTTTAAGGGACTTCTCTTCCAGCTTCTTACGCGTCGCCTCGGCCTCTTCCAGCTGGGCCCGTAAGACCTGCAGCTGCTCTGCATGATCCGCTGCCAGTCGCTTAAGTTCGGCCTCATGCTGTTCCCGAAGGGTCTTGAGGGCCTCGTCGTTGTCCTTGGAGCTATCCTCGGCCTGAGACACGGACAGCTGGACTAATTTCTCATTTACCGTTTCCAGCTCCGCTCTCAGGCTCGCCACGGTTGCCTCACTTTCTGACAATTTGCCTTGGAGGGAGTGCAGCTTTTCAATGTCCTCCCCCGAGCTCTTGGTGACGGTGCTCAACCTCTTCGTTGCGGTCGAGGTTGGCCGCGTGGCCGTTGAAGAGGGCCTAGTGGCAGTCCGCGTCGCGCTCGTCGAGGAGCTTGACGGGCGAGCAGTCGAAGTTGTCGTCGGCTTCGCCGCTGGTCTTGCAGAAGTGGTGCTAGTTCGTGAGACAGAGGATACGGAGCTCCTCTTCTCGGCCGTTGTAGTGCTGGCAATGCTGGACCGCCGGTCGTGAATCGAGCTCGGCCTGACCGGTGCCCGGGTGCCCGGGGTTCCAACGAGAGACATGCGTTTTGCAGTACTAGAGATCCCCCGCTTTTCATCAGCTGAGCTCACGGCCGATCGGGATTTCTCATCGGCGGAGCTGCTGACCGAAGCGCGAGATCGGTGCGAGGCAGTCGTGGACGTGCTGAGAGGCTTGCGGACTGTGGTCGTAGTGGCTGGGCGTGTAGGAGGTTTGTTCAGGGTGCTGCCATTGGTCGACGCACGCGTCGTGGACGTTGTCTTCGGCGGGCCGGACATGGAGCTGGGCCGTTTGGTGGTTCCAGATACGGGCTGCTTGGTGGCCGTAGTCGATGTTGGGCTCTTCTTCACCGGGGAAGCTTTGGCATTCTCTTTGTCTTTGGAGACATCCGGACTAGTCAGGGGACCCTCGCTGCCGGACATGACGGTCGACTCGACTGGGGTCGCGGGGGGTGCATTTTCGGTGTCCACCTCCACGGGAGCGGGAACAGGGACAGGCTCCTCGGTAGAAGCCATTGTGCGTGGCCGGGAGTCGGGATTGTTTCCAGAATTGGTGGGCACTTAGGTAGGGGAGAAGCGATGGGTCTTGAACGGCGGTCTAGCGAATTGAGACAGTCCACGTTAGTTCTAGTGGGCAACCAACAAATCGAGTGATTGGGCCATGAGCCCATGCAATGTAGGAACCATGCTCAACCACGAGCTCACCCAAACGCAAGAACTTGCGGGGGTTAGTTGCATGTGGCTTGCAGGACGATCCATGGCATCTGTTCCTCTGCTCTGGTCGAGGCAATGGCGATGGCGATGGAGAGAGGCCGGTGCGGTTCTCCTTTTATTCTCCCCCCCCCCCCCTCCCAATTCACTCCGAGCTTCCCCTGAAGACGTAAAAAAACATTCAGTACTTACTCGATAACGTTCTCGACCGCCTGAAGGGAAGGAACTATGTCAAAGTACCGTGACTACCGTACAGTTCTGGGATATGGCAAGTTGCAGACGCGTGTTTTTGTCCTTTATCCCGAAAGTGACGATATAAACAAAGAGGCACGGGGTAAGAAGAACGGAAGGGAATTAAAGAGAATATACTATTAAAGAAATTAAAATGCTACAAGAAAAGGAATAGAGTGGGAGGAAGAGGGCGAAGGCAAAATGAAGTGGTCGACGTCCAAACAAGAAAAAGAAAAGGTGTAAGTAAAGTCAAGAGTACGAGCAGGAGAAAAAGGGACAAAGTAAAGAAAGGTTCAAGAGGGGAAAGCGGGAGTGGTGCCTGAGGTCTCCAGTCTCCTCAGGCGACGATCCCCACGGGATCGCCCAATCGGTCGGGATATCTTTTGTCATGAGACCAACAATTGCGAAGTTAATCTACTACTACTGGAGTATCTTTTGTATCTACGGATTCCTCGGATTGGATGAGCGCAGACTAGGTGTTGACGTGGTCGCGCCCCTCAAAACATTGGTTCCATGGTTCAGCCACACTGGATGGAGTAGAAAGTGTTTATTTACTATCAATGAATTCGAATTCAACCTTAGGGGGTATATAGAAATAAAATCATCCAACAAACGCCTTGCCTACATCAGCCCATAAAGCTGACATCAATCTTCTCGTATACTCAAGAGCCACTGCCACCGTTCCCGTCCTTCTTCCGTCTGGAGTTCGTCCGGGTCTACCGTCGAAGAAAGAAGGTTATCATGCAACTGTCTGGCCTTATTGCGTACACTTCGGATCGTCCGCCCGCGAAGCTGTTTCTTGAAATGCTCCAGTATTTGGACGTAGCGATTCCGACCTGGAGAAGTGAGCATTTCGATATTTTCCAGGGGGGGAGATTGCACATAGCCTTACCCTGATAACGTTGCAATCCATCAAGGAGGGCACTGCCCTCCTCCTCCGTCCATCTTTTACCATACTTTATGGAGATGGCAGGTTTCGACGCCGGGAGGGGCACTCCCTCCCTAAATAAGTTCTCCTCCAAGGCCCCGATGAATTTCTTAAGGGGGCGCTGAAGACGATAGCTACGGCTCTTGGACGACACGTAATCTAGGCGTACGAGACCGTATATCCTCCCACAGATTCGATGAAACACATTTAGGACGCGATGTAGGTGATTGTAGGCCTTGGGAAAGAGTTCATCTCCTTGGTAATAAGCTTCGAAACAGGGAAACATCACCCCCACCATTCCGGAAACAAGTCTGCATTCAAACTCGTCCACTAGGTCTATACTGCTCGGTTGGCGTTCCTTATCATCTTTATGATCGTAGGCATCGTCCAGAAGGGAATCCGCCTCCTTGGTAATAGCATCCAGGAGATAATCACAATCGCGCACCGTTGCCCGGGGAGGCCTGCGCTGGGCCTGTAGGTAGTCGACAATGAGACTATAGCTTTCTCGTAATTCAGAAGTTAGTAAATCAAAGTTAGCGAAGTACTCGGCCATAGACGTTCTAGTAGATTCTTTCAATGTGCGGGCCTCATCCACCAAGATATCCCAATTCGCCTTCTGGCCACCAAATTTGAGCGCCTGCTCCAACCACGGTTCCTCCTCATCGGTGAATGCGGATTCATCGTCAGATATGGCCACCACATGTTGCTCGCGGTCACTTGAGTCTTGGCGGCGATGGAGAGGATCGTTTTCATTTCTTCGAGGGTTCACGGAACTAGCTTTCTGAGATGCCAGGACGCTTCTTCTACGCTGTCCTTCAGCTTCTGAATCCCGATGGTGCCTAGAGGTACGACACCTTTTGCTTGGTGGCATCGGCGGTTCCTCTTCTGACTCAGAATAGCTAGAGGGCCTGGGTCCTAGAAGGCGATCTCTTAAGCTACCCTCATCATCTGACGGGATGTAGGCGGACGGCTCTTCCTCGACAGGAATGTTCCCTTGGTCTTCTCCGTCGCTCTGAGGTTCTGCATGACTAGGTTCTAGATCACCATTCAGGCTCCTCGATTCTGTCCGCAGCGGTGAAGATCGGGTCATGTCCTCTGATCGAGGATTCCGTTCAGAGGAAGCTTGCGAATGGGCTGCCGATCCCTCCCTGTCCATCGAGCTCCTAATGTCTGCAGCCGGGTTCACAACAACAGCAATGGAGCTTCTCGGCTGTTCTTGTGCACTCAAAGAATCATCAAAGCCAGAGCGTGACTCATCTGCTTGCTCTATTGAGAGAGCCCGCGGTGTTCCATATTGGCTTTCAGATTCGTTCTGTGGTTCACTGCTCGACTCATCGCCAGCTTCATCTGACCCCCAGGATTTTTCCGAGGGTGAAGCTCGGCTTTGTTTTTGAATATCAAAAGGGGACAGTTGGTTAGAATCATTCGAGGAACAAGGGGAGTCGTGACCACCGGAAAAGAGCACAGCCTGGGGAAACTCATCTACCCGGTGGTCTTCATGGACATCCACATCCTCCGGCCCTCTTTCAATTTCCTCCTGGTCGTCATCGGATGGCTCGGCGATCTCCTCGTCGGGTTCCTCGTCTTGGTTCTCGTCGAGACCATTCTTAGATTCATCCTCCGATCCGTGTTCGGGTTCCCGGTGCGATTCCTCATCTCGATCCTCTCTCCAGTTCCCCACTGTATCTTCCTCTCGACCTTCCTCTCGATATCCTTCCGAATCCCCTTCTAGATCTTCCTCCCCAAGCTCCACGCTCGCAGTCAGCCTCGTCCGATGAGAAGGAGTAACTTCACCACCAGGTTTCGCCTTCAGCCGCGTCGATCTGCGGGGAGTCCCAGGACCCAATAAAAGGGAGCGTTTGGAGGGAGAAAACCGGTCATCGTCGTCGGAACTAGGAACGTCGAAGATCGAACCGCTTCGCGTGAATTGTGTGTGGCCAATCTTCGCGCGGTGAGACTGGCGGGGGCGGTAAGGGGGGCTGCCCACATTGACATTGTTGACGTTGTTCAGGATATCCAGGGCTGTCGTCGTCGAATCGCGTTTTTTCCGTCGGGGCGCAGTTGCTCGGGGCATGTTGATCAATCATTCGGCAGTTCGGACACTTGTGATGGTGGGGGAGGATTGAGGAGGCGACGACCTGAGGTCATGAGGCGAAGCTGTGAAACAACATTTGATTGTTTTTGCGTTGGGGTTGGCGGCGCAACAAAAAACAAGCGTGATAATTTTAGATTCTGACAGCTCTGGAAAGGTCTAGGCTCTCGTCCTGCTTTCCTTTTACCTTCAGTTATGTGTTGGGATCGTTATTTGAATTAGTTATCCGTGATGGGTGAATCGTCTGGTTGAATAGTATATTCATTCTTTAGGATTGAGGTGTATGTTAAGGTTAGGGATTAAATATTTTGCCAACCGCTACCGGAATATATATTGGATGTACATGATGTATATTGAACCCTAGAATGAAACAATTTACCGGAATTCAACAAGATCAAGGTGGAAATAAAAACCAGAAAAAAAAAAAAAAAAAAAAATTAGCCATTGATGTCTATCGCATCAGAGGAATTATTATCGAAGAATAAATTTGCCAACCTATTGGCTAACTCGTTCAAACTTCAAGAGTTTCAATTGACTACTAGTAGCTTGACCAGGATCAACATCCATGGATATTAGGTAGGTACTTAGTAGTTCCAACCTAAGTAATGAGAACAGCTGATAAGGAACAATAGACCAATAACCATTGGATCAGTAAAGTAGGAGAGATGCGTGGGCCGACGAGAAAATGTGATCGAGTTAGGGTCAGGATATAGATCCGTATCATATGATAGAAGCTTGTCAGGGCCAAGCCTTTCATTTGTAGAAATAACCCTAGGTCTCTACCAGGAGTAAGACCACCATCTTGGTGACTAATTAGCTGATTGTGTGGTGTCAGCTAACTGCCACTCGAGTTGCCTAATGCCACTATCCTGCTGGTGACTCCCCGTGAACCAGTTGGAAAGACGTAATGTTGTACTAGCTGTAGATATCCATAGACAACAATTCAACCCCTTCGCATCTTTCCCCTTCGCCGACTCAGGATGGTGACGAGCTGTGTCCATTATTAGATTTTAGTCCGATGTGGGCCTTTGTTCCGTGCTACTCTCGCAAAATGATGAGAAAAGCTACGACTAATTTTGTGGCCGGATATTAGTAAATAATTCAAACGACACCCTCCTTTGAGGTTGCTAATTAGATCTCAGATCTTGCGGGCAGCCTCTTCTTGTTCAATATCTGGCCAATAATTGCGAGCATGTAGTTCAAGTTTGCAAAGGCGAGGGAGTAATGGGCGTATGTCTCCCTTGAATAAAGAAACCAACCCAACCTCAACCGAATGGTATCTGACAAAAGATCTAGTGGGGAAAGCTCCCTCATAATCAACCTCCGCCTCAACAAGATCCAGCACGAGGCCATCCTAATCGACAATGAAGATATCAGCAAAATGCCCCGCGAAACTATCCGCAGCCGACTTGCCACCTTGCCCCAGGATCCAATGCTGCTTAATGGATCAATACGTTCCAACATTGACCCACTGATATAGCAAGCGATGTCTCTATTATCTCAGTTCTTACCGAGGTCGGTATGATGAAGTGGGTTACCTCTAGAGGGGGACTAGACACGGCACTGGACACAAACAGGCTCTCTTCAGGAAAACAACAACTCCTCCCTGTTGCTCGTGTATTATTAGATCAATCGCAAATACTGGTTCTCGATGAGGCTACGCCGCTGGTTGACCACGCAACCGAAAGAAATATCACGGACCTCGTTAGGGAGAAGTTCCAGGATCGTACGGTGGTTGCTGTTGCGCATCGTTTGCGCACGATAAGACACTTTGATGTTGTCGTTGTGATGGAAGAGGGGAAAATCATTAAGACTGGACTACCTACTCAGCTACTACAGGACCCAGGTAGTCGGTTCAGAGATAAGTGGTTGAAGGAGGGCGGGGACCCCGTCTAGGTGAGATATGAGGTGTCGCTCACTGTTCAATGTTCAATGGTACAATTGCTGCGCATACTTCGGTTCTATACGCCCAGGGTGGACTATGATAAGAAGATTACTTCCCTGTCGAGCTCACGACATGCTAGATTGTGAGAACCTGTGCAAGGTTTGAAGAAGCTTTACTATCCTATAAACCTCATGCATTTCTACGGCACCTCACTTTACCGCACAGCCTGCTCGCCATATCTAAGATATGTTCTTCTTAAACATTAAAAGACTTTTTACGTACTCCCTGTTTCAAGACGTACAAGTGTTTTTACCTTCTACAGTTCAATTATGCTCACATCGGATATTCCTTGCACATTGCATGAGGAAGCTTTTGAATATCGACTCCCACTTATTTCCAAGAAAACGAGAACGTAGACACCTTTCCTCATCAGTCTATTTATTGATTATGAAACAGGGGTCAGATTTATTAGTCCGTGGCATGGGGTTCCCCGACGAGGCTGAGAAATAGGTGGGGTTCCAGACAAGCCCGGCGGCTATAATAAGCGCCTGATAGTGCAAGAGACAACACATATTGAGATGTTGTGCGGAGGTTGTGACTCTAGTTTGTTTTCCTACATACAATTTAGGATACTCCCTACATAAGGCTATGTGCATTGAGGTAATTGACTTTTCATACCTTGGGGCATCTCACCAGTAAACCAAAAACTTATCCCGACGCCAAAACATCGTTGCCCAGCGGCATCTATGTTTGAAAAATGAAAAAAATGGGAACCTCGTTGCCGCAGCTAGATAATTCCGAATATGCCGTCGGCTGGATTGCAGCCCTACCGCATGAACGAGCAGCTGCCAAGGCAATGCTTGACAAGGTACATGCACCACCACGGCATAAACACTCCAAAGACCACAATAGCTATACGCTAGGATCCATCGATGGTCCTAATGGTGAACATAATGTGGTTATTGCCAGTCTCCCGTCCGGTCGATATGGGACCACGACTGCGGCTACCGCTGCTCAGCAGATGCTCTCCAGCTTTCCTAGCATTAAGTTCGGTTTGATGGTTGGTATTGGTGGAGGTATCCCAAGCGATGATCACGACATCCGACTGGGAGATGTTGTGGTCAGCCAGCCGACAGGCGCCTTCGGAGGCGTAAGGCAATACGATTGCGGGAAGGTCACTGCGCGTGGATTCGAAGAATGTGGTGCACTGAATTGTCCCCCGGAGGTTCTCCTCAATGCGATGGGTGAACTCCAGAGCAACCATGAAATGATGGGAAGCACATCGATACCAGCTATTTTGGAGGCCGTGTACCAAGCGTATCCAGCAATGGCAGACTCACGGAGAGGACCGGCTTATATCTACCAGGGTGTGGAAAATGATCGGTTGTTCTGTCCTGATTATATCCATATGGGCGGCAAGAAAAGTTGTGAGGAATGTGATTGCACAAAAGAAATCCAGCGTCCTGAGCGACTGGACCAAGAGCCTTTTATCCACTACGGCACTATTGCGTCGGGCAACAAGGTCATCAAAGATGCAAAAGTACGTGACTTGTTAGCGAAGAACTGTCTTTGCTTTGAAATGGAAGCCGCGGGCTTGATGAACCAATTCCCATGTCTTGTCATTCGGGGCATCTGCGACTATTGCGATTCTCATAAAAACGACCGGTGGCAGAAGTATGCGGCAGCTACTGCTGCTGCGTATGCAAAGGAGCTCCTTCAAGTCACGGATGCCTCGGATATACAAAATACACCAGAGGCTCGGAGTGTTGTTATGGACAGTCGTAAGTTGTAGCCCTGCCTATCTTAGCGAACTGTTTTACCTTGGCAGCAGCAGAGGGTACTAGATAAACCCTCAATATGTTGCATTTTAGTCCATCACATGGAGCCCTCCTTCTCTTGTATTCCACTAATCCGAATATGCAGTCTTGGAGATCAAAACAATCGTCAAGAACCTTACTCGAACCCAGGGACAGAAAGATTTGTTCAAGTGGCTTTCTCCTCTCAATCCCTATTCTAGACATCTTGAGAACCAGAAAAGACGAGTGGAGGGTACAAGTACATGGATCTTTGAGGATCCAAGATTTCTCGATTGGTCATCAGAAAAGCCCAATTTTCAAGCGTTGTGCTGTTACGGTGACCCAGGCGCGGGAAAAACAATTATATCGTTAGTATGAAACGTTTCCAATATTATATCTAGTATGCATGTTAACGGACTTGGAAAGGTCTGTGGTAATCGATAGATTACAGGAGCTAAAGCCTCTCGGCTCAGTTGGACTCGCATACCTTTACGGTGACTATCGCGACCAGAAAGTGCAAACCATCGAGAATATCCTTGGGGTATTGGTGAAGCAGTTGTTAGCTAGATTGCCAGAAATGCCCCAAAGTCTTTTGGACCTATACGAAGAGCGCGTCAAGCAGGAGAATCCCTTGAGCTTGCCCGATGCAGAGCGGTTCTTCGATCTTGCCTGCGAGCAGTTCAGCAAAGTATTCATCTGTTTGGACGCACTCGATGAACTGAAGGACCAAAGAGGCCTCTTGATGTGTTTGCATGATAGACCGACCTCAGTGCAGCTATACATCACTGGGAGGCCCCATCTACAGTCAACTGTCCAGAAATATTTCAAGGAAAATGGTGATATTACCATCAAGGCACATGAGCACGATATTCGACTATACATTCAGCGTGAGATTGGTGGACCCAACGATATTGAGCCAGATGCTATGGACGAAAAGCTGAAGGTGGATATTGAAAACAGAATTTTAGAGTCGGCTAAAGGAGTGTGAGTGGCCGAGTGTAGTCCTTTCGGCAGTGTTAATATGATAGCCTAGGTTTCTATTACCTGTTATGCAAGTCCACGCTATCCTTCAAGCCACAACCATACGACGCCGTGAGGATGCTTTGAGGACATTACCGTCGAATCTCGGCGATGCTTTCACCAGCACGATAGTCCGAATAGAACAACAGCCAAATGCACAATCAGAGCAGGCAAAGAAGATCCTTGCTTGGATCCATCTAGCAGAACAGCCTGTTGGAGTCAATGAGCTTTTGTGTGCACTTGCAATCGAAGATGGTGATAAGGCTTTCGACCCGAGAGGTATTCCTGTAAGAGGAACATTAATTAATTGTTGCCAAGGCTTAGTTGTGTTTGACCACGAAGCATGCACTGTACGCCTGGTCCATTACTCTTTCCAAGAGTATCTCAGCCAGCGAGACCAAATGTTCGGTTTTAGTAAAGCACAGTGGCACAGCCGGATTGCACGAACATGTCTGACATTCCTAAGTTTTACATCTGGGGCGGTGGAGCAAGACTGCATTTCTACCACACTTATGCCCTATGCTGCTACTAAATGGGGTCATCACCTCCGGAAGAGCGAGCACCTGCAGGAGGCACCGTTAGAAGTTGCACAAGAATACCTCGGCATCGCATCAACGGATAATAATGTAAGTCTCCGTGTACTGTACAGGGAAATGTATGGAGGACGGCCCAACGACGAGGATGCGCATGCTACGGTTTCATCTGCCCATATCGTAGCTTTTTTTGGTATTTATGGCCTTATGCTTCATCTAGCTCAAACAGCATCTGGTATAGACTCCAGGGATATTGACGGCCAAACACCATTATTATGGGCTGCGAAGAGGGGTTACAAGCCAGTAGCCAAGTTACTAATCGATAGCGGTGTTAGACTTGACCCTCGAGATGTTACCGGTAAGACACCGCTGATGGCGGCATTGAAGTCCGGACATGAAGCAGTGGCTTTGCTGCTGATAGAACACGGCGCCGCGGTCGATACGGTGGACAATTTCAATAATGTGCCATTATCATTTGCCGCCGAGTATAGATGTGAAGCAGTAGCAAAACTGCTGCTTGAGAAGGGTGCTTTTGTGGACCCTGTAAATCAGTTTGGACTAACGCCTCTCTTACTCGCTGTCCAAGGCGGATTCGAAGAAATCGTCAGACTACTTCTTGATAGTGGCGCTGCGGTGGAGGCATCGGATCGGTATGGTCGGACACCTCTTTTATTTGCTGTGTCCAGTGGGCTTGAGGCAATAGCGAGGCAACTCTTGGACAAGGGCGCTAATGTGGAGGCATTCGACCATAAATATGGTCGGACCCCACTGATATGGGCAGCAGCAGAAGGATATGAGGCAATAGCTGGACTGCTTATTAACAAAGGTGCTGAGCTAAATTCAGTAGATGCTGGTTTCGCTTGGACGCCGCTTGCGTGGGCAGCAGTCAACGGATTTGAGGGCATAGTAAAGCGCCTCCTTGAGAGCGGCGCTGCAGTGGATCCTGTTGAAGTGAATGGGTATGGCCGAACGCCATTACTATTGGCGGCGGAGGCCAGGAACGAAGCAATTGTCAAGCTCTTGGTTAGGAAAATCGCTGTAATAGACTCGACTGTATCATTGGGTACAGATTTAGTGTTACGTGTTGAAGAGAAGGGACTGGATGCCCTGATGGACTTTCTAGGGTTCACAACTGACCATCGGGGTCACCGATCAAAAAGGATGGCGAATGCCAATGACCCGATCCATATGTACTTTGAATAGCATGATTATCTTGGCCAAAAGGTGTGAGGGAATGACGGTACATAGAATATTCATTGGAAGTCAACGATCATTGCCCGAAACGGGGTTAAGTGGATCAGGTGCTGACCTGAACTCTAAACTCAAATTTATCTATTTCGTCATAAAACCAAACAACACCTCCTACCACTTTACAACTGCATCTGTTTTGGTCCGCTGGAAAATCTAATAATAATCTAGTTGAGGCCAGTCCATCACTAGTTAACTAAGATGGCTCCAGACGGGTTTCCAGTCCGTGTCCTGTCCACCATCGACCCTTCGGTGGGGCACACTTTTCTCCAGCCCAGAAAGAGAATCCACGAAACGGGCGATGTCTCGGAGTTTCTCTGCTCTAGGGCTTATGTCGATATTATGACATTCATTTTGCAGCTAAACAGATCAATGTTTCCGACTAAATTATCTGCGGACGAAGTACAATCGTGGCCTTTAAAGTCGGAAGTAGTTGAGTTTCCCGCCCCCGTCCGACGACTACAGCAATTACTGTTGAAGCTTGAAGGACTCCTGCATGCAACACCACTAGTGGGCGGGGAAAGGAGATTTGCCGACCGTGGCTACCAAAATTGGCACGACAAGGTGAAAGAGAATGCCTCAACCTTCTTAGAGGAGTGTTTACCGTCGGAAATTCTACATGCCCCGTCCTCAGACCCGGACGGACCAACGGCAGAGGTAGAACTAATGGAATACTTTCTTGGGAGCTGGGGGAGTCGAGAGCGGATGGACTATGGGACCGGCCACGAACTGAGCTTTCTCACATTCCTAGCAGCGATTTGGAAGCTAAACGGGTTTCCAAAAAATAGCCCCGGCGTGGAGGAAAGAGCAATTGTGATCGGTGTAATAGAACCGTGTGTATATTCGATCCTACTTGCATGCGGATGAAGACTAACTCATGAGTGGTCTAGGTATCTGGAACTGGTGCGGGCTGTTATTAAGAAATATAAATTGGAGCCTGCTGGTTCCCACGGCGTCTGGGGTTTGGATGACCATTCTTTCATCCCTTATATCTTTGGCTCGGCACAGTTTAGTCCAGCTATATCGGAGTCGGATCCTGTACCGGAGGTGGGTTCATTACCCAGTACTCCAGATCCTGAAGGAGTCGCGAAAGCAGATATTGTAGAGAAAGAGCGGAGAGTGAACATGTATTTCTCCGCCATCGGCTTCATATATGATGTAAAGACAGGGCCGTTCTGGGAACATAGTCAGATGTTATATGATATATCTGGGGTCCGGGCTGGCTGGGCCAAGATTAACAAGGTCAGCCCAGATTGCAGATTTCCGTACCTATTGGCTAATAATAGTTGCAGGGTATGATCAAGATGTACAACGCTGAAGTACTTTCTAAGTTTCCGGTTGTGCAACACTTCCGCTTCGGCTCGCTGTTCAGTTGGGATCGCGACCCGAGCGCTATTCCTCCGCCGCCCAGAGCCCACACCTCATCCGGACAGGAAACTCAACCAAGACAAGCCCCTCCATCAACACGGCAAGGTCCAGGTCCAGTAACGAAAGCTCCTTGGGCTACCGCATCGCAGAGTATTCCCCCACCATCAAGCGGAACCGCAGCGCCATGGGCGACTGCGAGAGCTGGTGGGGCGCTCTTTACGTCTTCTACCCCTCCTAGAATCCCACCAGCACTTCCTGATACCTCCAGACTTCCGCCAGGTCCAATGGCTCCTACCAGAGCTCCCAGGGCAAGTTCGCAACCAGCGGGGCCGGCTCCCGCTGGTGATTCCAAGGATTTGGCTACTAAGGCTCCTTGGGCGAAATAATATGGCGATACGATATGGTTATTGATGAAAAGCTACTGTTCTTTGCGTATATGAAATGGCATTATATACCCCTATTACGAGGCATACATACATCAATGAATCCGATATAGTGTACATGATGCTCGGGTTTGCTCTTCCATCACAATGTAAATAAGAGAACACCAAGCCGATGGGGTATCATTTGTATCAAACGCCGAGTAGATGCAAAACTCCAGTAATAATACAATCATTCTGAATCCGAAGCATAAGCCACCAAGGCAATGGACGGTTCCGGCGTCTTGCTGGCGGATTTGATCACTTCAGTGGAATGCTCTTGCGGTGCAGAGGACACTCCACCCTCACTATCTGCGTTGTCTTGGTTTTGGTTGTCTGGTTTATTCATGTCCGCTTTGTTCGATGCAGCTTTGCGTCGTTTAACCTCCGGCTGCCAGGTGCTCCCATCATGGTTTAGGAAAGGGTCTATCACGGCGCGAGTATTCCCAGTTAACTCATTGCGAAACATCGCTTTGCGCTCCGCGACAAGATCCGCCGTCTTCTTCCGTTTCCCGGGCTTGCTCTTCTCAGTTGAAACACCCTTAGTCTCAAACATCGGCCGCGTGCGCGCTGCAGTAGCCTCATTACCCGTGCTAAAGTCCACCAAACCAGCCCGCAACCGATCCTCCTCCGTTTCATCCACAATATCAATCCCCAGACTCATCTTATCCTTCAACGCCTCCCTCTTCGCCTCGATACCTTCCCGAGTCTTCCGCTCCGCGCGAAACGTCCTCCGCAACCGTCTCGACATCTCATACGGATCATCCCAATCCCTCGACTGACGCTCCTGCAACTCCAAGATCCGCGTCCGTCCCTCATCAACCACCTTCTTATCCTCGACCTTCCCCTCCAACCTCGCAAACGGATCCGAAACCTCCTCCCTCCTCTCCCCAGGCAACTTGATCACAATCTCCCCATCCCCCCTCCTCTCCTCCCCAGTATCCCTCTTCCGGCCCCCCTCCGCAACCACATACGCAGTATTCTTCGGATCCGTCCGAATCTCAATCCACCCCCCACACGCCGGATGCCTCATACGGAAACTATATATCGGCGTCGAGTGATAGTTTCCGATCTTCTTCTTCTCGGCATTGAAGCGCACGCCTTGGCCGATGATCGTCTCGTGGGGTTTGCAGGTCGTGCACCAGACCGCAAAGGGCATTTCGAAGCGAACGGTTAGGGCACCGGTTGTGTGGAGGTGGCGGGCGCGGGCACCGAGGGGGTGTTTCTTTGCGAGTTGGTTACCGCTCATTAGACCTTCTTGGTCTGGGGGGACGTAGCGTCCCATATCTGGTGAGGGGGTGGGTTAGTTTGGGTGGTGGGTGTGGGTATGGTTAGGTTGTGGAAGGGGGGGTGGGGGTTCTTACTGAAGCCCTGCATTTTGGAGGGTTGGGGCTAGTTTAGAGCTTGTGAAGCTTGGGATTGTAGATTGGATTGGCGTAGGTTGGAGTTGTGCTTGCTGGAGCTCCAGATGGAGACCAGTTTGTGAACAAAGTGAAAGGTGTTGGTGTTTGAGATTGATAGTCTTTCCTTATCGCGGGATTGAACGATAGTTATGCGGATTAGTCAGATGGGGCTGTGCGTGCATAATTGACCTTATGCATTTAGTAGTACATATAGTACATATGTCTAACTGTCAATAGTGATTGTTGCCTTCGATTCTTTTTGTTATATAGGTCCATGCATTGCTTTCCACGTGAGGAGGCGATAATTGGAAACATTATAAAGGGAAATGACTGGACAGCGGCGGGACTCCACTATTATTCCCCCTGTATGGCTTTATCATGTATTATCTCTCTAGCAAACATACGATAACATGTATGGGAATCACAACTCTCGCAGTGGCTACTCCTCGGATTAGCTATACTCTTAATGAGATAGGTAGAATTTAGATAGCGTAATTCGGTAGCAATAACGCCAGACACCCTAATCGGGACACGCATAAAGCAACCGTTGATCGAAACTGTCCACGCCATGCAAGGGGGAGAGAATGAAGGGTGAACCCTGCCACTACACCAACATTTAAGCATAACCACGAGCTCTGGTTTGTGGAAGGAAAGCCAGCGAATTGAATGGCTTGCTTCCCCTTTGTATAGAGCAGATCCTGTCGTATTCGGGTTCGATCGGAGTACTTTTGCTCGGATCGTTAGTATGCTGAGCCCAGTCCGCGAACTGATCCTGCCATCTCCCCCACCTTAATGCCCTCCTCAACGGCCCTACAACCGACTTTGATCTGGCGAACATCATTCAGGTCAAGCAGTACTAGCTAGTTCTCTTTTACCAAGCCTCCCATGGCGGGCGACCACGAGGTATCTCCCCAGCGTAGCTCTACTCAGTAGTGTCTGTGTGCATTAACCCTAGACCTAGGATTCCTCCCCAACCTCAGACAGCGACTGGGCCTCGAGCGATGATGCATCGCTAGACGTAACTACTCTAGCTTCAAGCGTTCTCAATTATGTGTAGGTACATACTTCACTGCTCAGCTACACACTACCCAGTGTCCACAGCCAACCCTCCTAGATACCCAATTACTAACAGCCCCCAAACTTCCAGATACAAGGTAAGACTGGCACAAATCACCACATACCACACACTCCCAACACCAAATCCCGATTGCAGAATGGCCGGCGATATCATGCCTACCGCCCAGGCACGTATTTAATGGTAGTACCAGCCCTGTCTCCCAAGCCCCCACGCAGGCAAATGGCTTAAAAGTCAGTCAGCCGAACGACGACGAGGAGCAAGACCGAATGGACCTCCTCCACCACATCTACGCCCTGATCCTCGACGGCGAGCTTCATCTCGCTCCCATCAAATCCCATCCGGAGCGAGTCCTAGATCTTGGAACCGGCACAGGAATCTGGGCGATAGATTTTGCCGAGTGAGTACTGGATCCTTTTCTTTTTTTTTTCTGCTTGATTTGACTTGGTGAAGCTGATATATGTCGTGGGGGGTTGTAGTCAGTATAAATCCGCAGAAGTATTAGGTACGCTGACCCGCTGCACTACAAGAACCGTCGATTGACTATAGAAGGAAATGATCTCAGCCCTATCCAGCCTAGTTGGTAAGGATACATACCACCACCCCAGTCCTTGTCTACCATCTACTGTCCACATTCTAACCGCCCGCGAAAAACGCAAAGGGTCCCCCCAAACTGCCAATTCGAAGTCGACGACTACGAAGCAGACTGGGTCTACTCCCGCCCGTTCGACTACATCCACGGCCGTGAACTTGCCGGCGCAGTCAGCAACTTCGATCGCCTCTTCCGCCAGGCCCTCACGCACCTCAAACCAGGCGGGTACCTCGAGCTGCAAAGCTTCCGCGTCGAGGTCTACGCCGACGACGACTCGTTAGACCGAGCGCCCTACACGACGAAAATGTGCGCCCTGATCCAAGAAGCAAGCGCCAGGTTTGGAAAGCCCATGGCGAACATGGATGAGTGGGCAGATAAGATGATACATGCTGGGTTCGAGGATGTGACGTGCAAGATCTTCAAGGTGCCAATTAGTCCGTGGCCGCAGGATCGGAAGATGAAGGAGATTGGGAAGTATTTTCAGGCGCAGCAGATGCAAGGGATTACGTCTTATGTGCCGGAGTTGTTGTCGATGATGTTGGGGTGGGGGAAGGAGGAGGTGGATGTTCTGATGGCGCATGCTAAGAGGGAATTGGTGGATACGGCTGTGCATCAGTATGGGAAGTTGTATTTTGTTTACGGGAGGAGGCCGGTGAAGTAGGACCTTTTCTCTTGGGATATTAAGTGACGATGGTTGGAAATATAATTGATTTTGAAATATGCAAGTTGTGTCTCGCTCTTGAGCGTTGAATTTGTAGAGAAAGACGAATTCTTTTGATATTGTGGGAAGAGCCCCGAAGGTAAGTCGTCTAATGTTGCATGGAGCCGCACCCAAGTCTCAACAGAGTGAAAAAGGAAGAAAGATGGAAGGAAGAAACTTCAGTAGGAGATCGGTACTCTTGGCATGGGCTCCCTGGTAGTCCAACGGGGCAGTGTTGAAGAGAAGGCCGTTAAGAACGATACTGAGCATCAAGGCGGCAATAAACCACGTGCTGAAGGTTGGGCTTTCTAGGTTGAGCAGAATTTCAAGGACTCTGTTGCCATAAATGTCACCTAAAATCTGGTGGTTCTTCTGGATGCCAATGTATCCGGCTCTAGGGTCAGATAAGGACGGAATAGGGATATCCTCAAGCGCGTAATCGGCGGGACGATTGTCACAACTGTCTCCTCCTCTCCTCCTGGTTCTGGATTCGGGCCATCACATACACGGTACCCAAGCCACTGCAAGGGTTCACGGAGTCGGCCTTGACGTGGGCAAAGTGACCATCATTGCGGAAGGTAATAGCCCATCAGTTCAAGAGGTTGATCGACATAAGGCCACCAAATATGAGAACCTTGAGACTGCGCACGCTGGCAGACTTGGCCTTTTGATCGAGGATATTAGCATTGCCTTTGCCGCTACTCGAGACTACGTTTTTTGCAACGCCATGGTCGATGCAATCTTCTTCCAAAACCTTGCGTAAATCGGCGAGGCAATTGATGCGGGTGCTCTCACGTTTGAAACAGAGAACAGCCGTGTAGAGAGTAAATTGAAGCACATAATCGAATAATAAGATCCAAGCTACGAGGAAGCAGTACTGTTGGAGACCACCCCGTACTCCAGAAGAAGCCCCCCCAATGGCTAGGAGTCTGATTTCAAGTGTCTAGATCTGGATAATGTCCTAGCCTTGAGCTTTTTATGGTAGTGGCGACGGCATCCTGAGTGTTCATAGACTGAGAAGCAGTACGATGGAGAGGTCGGCACTGTCCGAGTAAACATAAGCCTCAAAGCCAACGGTCACTGCAATGAACGGAATACCCTCGGATATCAATCGGAAGTTGATCGGTATGTCGAACTTCGTCGTCACTACGAGGCCAAACATGAAACCTAGTGCTCCAGAGAAGAGTACCGTGGCAGCGAGCCGGAACTGGGAGCCTAGTCATCTCATGGAACAGAAAAGCGAGATATATGTCAAATGCATGCAAATGTATCCCGGAGTCAGAATCGCAATACCAACACTTGATAAGGTCGAGAAGAGAGGTGCACCCATCGTTCATCCAGGGCTGAAAGGGTTGCCCGACTTATCTGCCACCGTTAGACCTTATGATCTATCTTCTAGAAAACTCATCATCTACAGGGGCAGGGTAAGTGTGAGAGATGACGAGTTAGAGAAAGAACGGAAGAGCTCATTGGAAGAGATCGTCCAGCGTCTGTGCAGCCAAGTCCCGAAAGAGGAAAGCCGTCTGCACGAGATGTTCGGCGGAATCTCGGGGCATGCAGACATCGTCGGTTTGCCACTTCCACGCGGCTGATTCACTTAGTCGAACAACGTGGCTTCCTTGGAGAAAGACATCTGTATCCACCAGACCCGCAGCAGTCTGGGGGTCTTGAAAGGTATCGAACAAGGTGTGTTCCAGAAGTTCAACGTTTCAACGTACGTCGTACTACTTAGGAGTGCGTATACCATGATCGTATAGAACGAACGCGTACCAGCACAATGAGAGATGAATTGGCGGATGGAGATAAACCTGACGCCGCAGCCAGTTTGACTCAGGATCTAAGGCACCTTTTGCTGATCCCGTAAACGACCGAGGTAGCCATTATGACAGACCGAAGGTGTGCCGGGAATGGTCACCTCGTGGTTTCAGACTTAAAGGATTCTAATAATTATACAAGGAATTTCTTTGATCAAATCGGAAGTCTTTGGGTGGATTCCGACTCGGTAATCAGGGATCGAGATCCCACGGTGGCTTGGTTCTGCCTCTCCAGATGAGATACCTGGTCTGTAGACATCTTATCTTCTATAAGTCTCCTTGAATAGAATATGGACCAACGAAATTAGATCACTATGAATCAGACCATAGGAAAGGAACAAGGCCAACCACCGTTCCTCTTGAAGATAGAAACTTGATTCGCTAGTATGTACATACTGTCAGTTCTGAGCCGCTCAGTAAGATGGGAGTATAACTCCACAGATATCCGCCTCATACTGAGGCTATTATCTGCCGACATTCGCGGCGTTTGAAGTGGCACTTTTAACTCCGCCATGGGTGGGAGAAGAAAACCTAGAAGTTCGAAGTACTCCAGCCCCCACTTGATACCTCGTCAATATTTGCTGTGCATTAACAGCCGTGGGTAAGCGTGAGGCCAAAAAGGAACCCGAGCGGCCCTATCGGGCACGACATTCATCAATGAAACTTTACATCCTGCAGAATCCTACATTTTTTTACCTCGCATTAATGCATTCTTTGAAGATGTTACAGCGCTTGGCACGTAAGCGTCTGGAATCATTTTGAGGATTCTCGAGGTTCTTAATCAGCGCCATGTACGCGGGTTCTGCATAATACGCGGTTCCCGCAGAATTCGACCGTCGATAACTTCTGCTGCATGAAATCAAGGCCAAAAGCGGGAAACGGGCCTATTAGATGCAAATTTCCAGACTGATGCAGAAACGTGGCTCTTATTCCCTCGGATGTTTTATCATAGATATACCCGCATGCACCCCTGTTCTTTCGTTCCCAAAGGGCCTGAGAATGAGTCCTTAATGCCCTGTCGATCAGATGAAGACTTTACACTTAAGATGGAAGGTAACCACGACGTCGCCGAAGAGCAGTGGATGGCCTTGCCACTATTTAATCGAGCCTCCTCTCCGGACACTTCACGAAACGTTTCGACATGCTATGACCCAGAACCCTTACCCGAAGTACCACCACTACCATGGTTTATGGACCAAACAAGATTGGGTGGACTCCCAGAGATGCCAGTCCCGTGGCTTATGGATACTTCTATGCTCGGACTCCCTTCAGAGCCGTCCATATCATGGCTCATGGATTCTCCCAGCCTCGAAGAACCGTCGATGCCGTGGATTATCGACTCGTCGGGCCTCAAAACCCCCCCAGATCCGCAGATCCAGTGTTTTATCCAGACTCCTCTTCTTGAAGCCCCCTCAGACCCCCCTACGCCTTCATCCTCACGCATACGAGAAGGGCCGCCGGCCCCCCCCTGGCGCGACGAGCCGATTCTTTCTCGCCCCGGAAGCAGCAGTCGCCATCGAGACTCGCCCCCCGAGCTCCTACCAGACTGCATCACGCCTCCTGATTCGACCTCTCTCGCGCGTGCCAAGTGTCCGTTCCCGGGATGTAAATCGACGGCGCGTTTCGCGACGCCACGAGACTTTCGACGGCACTATCGCCAGCATTTCAAACGATTTTTCTGCCATTATGAGAACTGTCCCCAATCGGCGCCTGATCCACACAACCCTAGTAAGCGAGGATTTGCCACTCGAAAGGATCGCGACCGGCATGAAGCTAAGCATAAACCGGAAATCCGGTGCCAATGGCGTAACCAGCACGGCGAGCAATGCACCAGGGTCTTTAGCCGTATGGACAATATGAGGGATCATGTTCGAAGGATTCATCAGCGAAAGTCCTAGAGAGTCGATGCCCTCCCACCGTCCGTAGGACTCCGGAAGTCTTAAACCTTTGTCACAATGTGACGGTCTTTGGATTCGCCGATGCTACCCAAACTAATGAAGATTAGCCGCTCTGCAGTCCATACCACAAGCCTAACAGCATTAGGTTTATCTATCAACACGAGGCAGAATGATTCTGGGTTGGCCTGACGATACGGCCAGTTCTTGATCTATCCTTCAGACTATGTTGATATAACATGTGTTCACTTATACCCCCCACCAGGAATTGCACCTTTATGACTTAAGTCAAATAGCACTCACGCCTCTCAGCATGGTTTTGTTTGGGATATAACCGGTTTCATGGAAACGTTTGTGTGAAGCTTACATTTATGTATCGGGATACAAGCATCGTTAGGAGAGCATCCTGATAGAAAGATACTCTTGGCTATATAAAATATAGTGGTAGACCGAGACATGTAAAGAGAAATGAAAAGTTCCAGCATGAAACACCCTGATACACACTCAACCTCCCTGAACAAGTATTCGTCCGTGACTGGAAGAATTCTCTATGGACTATATTCTGGGCTCGTTATCATACCCTCAATACCATCCCGTTGAATTAGAGAGTAGCCGTTAGGCCTTTGAGATTAGGCATCCTTGTCTGTGCTAGATAGATATAGTTGCATCAGATATTATGCACACCAACCTAAATCATAAGCCACGCGAAAATATATTGAAGGACCAAATACCTGGGATGAAGCCTTGCTCTAATGCATGACGTATTGCAGGGATAACTAAGTAATACTGCAGAATTGACTTATGCATGATTGGAGGGACCGGCGTAAACACTATAAGCAACCTATATACCACTTAGATTCACACCGGAGCGGAGATTATTCTTGCATGATAAGTTCATAACTTGGCAGCTAACCAATTACCCTTTTTGGATACTCCAACCCGCGATCCTACTCGTTCTCGTCGCCTCAGGCCTACCACTATCTTAGCCCCAACGACGTGACGTCGGCCTGAGTTTGTTAGGATGTATGTCTTGGGGATCCACCTTTCTTCAGGCCCCCCTGCATGATGGCTCGTTCTAAGACCTTTAGAGCGTGCAATCGCAACTTTGCTGTCACTCATTACGAGGACCGCTGTATGCATGAGGCCTTAGCGCGGCTCAACATTAGATATAGATGGAGCTTACACTGTATAGGACCGGTGTAGCAGACCTGTTTACGAGTATGGAGTGATGATGGCGCACGCAACTCCTTCAATGTCGATGGAAGTCTAGTACAAGCGTGCGAAGGTGCTCGGCATTGATGGATGGATAGCCGTAAAGGGTGAGTATATAGCTTCACCTTTAAATCCACATTGAAAACTTAATCAGCAGCACGGAATTTCCTCTTCGCAATCGCCTGTCTTATTGGTATCCACGGCCAACCATGTACGACATTCGGTCTTTTGAAACAGATCTCTCCCGTAAGCGCAGTAAGCGCTGCGGTGGGAGCGTTATGTTCTCTATTTCCTCTGGACATATTCCTACAACCCCCTTCCTCCACTCCTTACGCAAGATTCCAGGCCCTAAATTAACTGCTATTAGTACTTATCTCGAACTTTACCAGGAAGTCATTACAGATGGTCAATATCTTTGGGAGGTCAAGAAGACGCACGAGAAATATGGTACGTAGCATAAGGTCCACTACTCGTAGACCATTTGACTAATAAATTTAGTATAGGCCTGTCTATTGTACATAACGTTAGCTTTATTTCATCTAACTACAATCATCCGATACTACTATTTGATTTTTATACTATGTGTTATTTTATTTTTATTTTTTTTTTTTTTGCTTCTCTTTCCCCCCCTTGTTCCAGAATCCAGCAGCACAATGGTTAGCACCGGAAATAGCTTCGAGCTCCCTTCCGAGAACCACCGATGGGTACTCTCAAAATATGTCCCCAGCAAAGGCGAGCACCGGGGTCTGGGTAGTGAAGTTATCGTAGGAATGCAAAGGAGCAACGCCAACGGGCAATTCGGTCTCTAACTGAACTTAACCCTACGCACTGCCGATCCCCCCTCTGCCTTCACGGTAACACTATCACCTCAAGTGAGTCAGCTCTTGTGAACGCCCATTTCGATCACCTGGAATGCGCAACTACGGTGAGATGCGACGACTAAGGCACACCTCTTATCCAGTACCTGTCGCCGGAGAGCAAAGAAGACGCGCTTGCATGGGCGCACGAGGCAATCCATATCAAACTCACGTCGCAAAACGCCTTTCAGTTTCGAGAGGAGACTCCCATATCCACGGTATGGGATTAAAGCTCGCAAAAGCTATCAATATTTACTGTTGGAAGATGTGGAGGCGGACACAACGCAGCTTCGGCTGGGCAGGACAATTGATGTCCTTATGTGTATGAACCATCTATTCTAGGACGGCATTAGTGAGCGCAGTTTCGCTTGATCTTCTACGAACTCTAAGTCGGACTATCAGTGCGGCCAAGCAGCTGGCCTATCCCGGAGGTTACGATATCCAGAATCTCAACGTGCCGCTCCTCAATGCCTTGGATGTTGACCTGAGCGCTGCGGGCACCGAGTACAGGCTTCTTGTGGCCAGGACGTTAACGATCTATAGCGGGACTATTTAAGTTGTTCTTTTTTCTTAATCAAGATTAACTTGTTTTCTCTACACATTTTTGGCCCAAAGGGAAGCCGTGGTCTCCCCTTCAAACATGGTACTGGTCTCCCCCACACCGAGTTCCACGGCTTTATCCCCGTAGAAAAACCATCATCCACGCCATGAAGACACGTCTCGGACCCAAGTACACCATCTCCTATCTCACCTAAGGCTCAGTCATAGTCGCGCTGCAGGAAACTAACCTGCCCTCCGATCTGGGCAATGAAAGCGTCTTCGTCACGCCCATGCCTGTTAACGGCCGTTGTTGGCCCCGAAACGACAAGAGAGAACCTCCAGTATCAGCGAGACGGGCGCAATTATCCTATACAAAAATACCAAGTCGCTTCTCATCAAGCGCGACAATGAGCGAGGAACCATAATCTCGGCACTATCCTACGCCTGTGAAGACGTCGAGAAGTCCTTTAACCGGGCGCTGAGCAATCCATACCAGCAGTCGATCGGAATGGCAGTACATATGCTCAAGACCTCGTTTTCAACTGAGTCAAAGACAGTAATCGCATTTATAGGGAATTGCAAGGTGCCATGAATGTACTCTTGAAACGCTGTGCTATCCGATAAAATCACGTCACCTGTCCGTCTCATCATCTTCGCTCTCTAATAGCGAAACCCATACTAACATTGAAATAGCTCTTCATCAGCGACACCAAAACGAGCGCTTCCTCGTCGAGCAAATCGTCTCTGGAAACGGCGACCCCATCCTCTCAGTCGAGAAAGTTTACCTCTTCCTGAACCAGTCCTTACCATACTTGTGCCTTGAATAAACGCCACTCCCGTCCCATAATAATAGATCTACCCCGACCCAATAACAAGGAGAAGAGCAATCCGCCTCGAGAGCTAGAGGGGCTCCTCTATTCTCACCGTTTGCCATAATGATGGCAACTATACCGACGAGCAGACCATGGCCTACCTGAAAACGGTGGCGATTGGATGCCAGCTTTCGTCTAATTAGTTAGTTACACATAAATATTAAAAACAACGCCTTTTCCAACATAAGGTGTGCTGGATTGTGACCTGGATCTTGGGCCGGTTTGAAATCGCATGAAGCTACGATGGAAGGTGAGAATTACGTTTACACACTTTGTTAATATCTACAGACTATTGTGATAGAATGGACAATTCATCATCGCTGAGATTTATGAGGCTTCCAAGCAAGGTGAAAAGGAAGTACCGGATATTAGGGCTCCTTGCCAAGAGTTAACTAGCCCATCCTTTCAGATTAGTGGTAGGCCTGAAAAGTGGCAATGCCGGGGAGAGTCAGTTTTGACCAATTTCTAAGATCTAGCACCTCGAGCTCAGTTTCCTTTCAGTTGTATGGGTCCAACTTGCTGTGTAGATTTGGCTGAGTTTGCGAAGCGCAGCGCGGTAAGAATGGCAAGTTGGCATTGTCTTTGCAGCGAAGAGGCTCGGCTGGCGGAAAGGCAAAGGTGTACGACTAAGAACGAGTTTATAGTAAGCGTTAGGCAAAATCAAACGCATGGGGTTCCTTTTTAAAGTGTATATGGTGAGCTTGAATCTGGCCTCGGATTGCTATTGTGTGTTATGTGACCGATCAAAGTAATGTGCTCCATCGAAGATTAATCTCTAAAAGTGAAGCGAAATGCCGGGACAACTAGACTTGCGTTGCACAGTAAATTGAAGCATTTCAACTGGAAAATAAATGTCTTCTGCTTCTAATAGTCAGTAGAAGTTGTCTAAGCGAAAAACTGGTCTTCGAGCTCATAAAGGTGAACATAAAAAGACAGAGCACCTTCCCGAAGGTAACGTTATTTACGAAGCCAGGGAGCGAGTACGGTGGAGAAACGAGTGAACTGTGGAGCGCAGGGAAGCAGACCACTTGCGCAGCTCAGCGGCGGCACTGAAGCTGCTGATCGCATGGTTGATTGTAATTTTATGCCAGTCCGGATCACGGCATAGCTCAGGACCCAAGAAGACCCGGGAAGTAAGCTGAGCAATACATGAAACGGGAGTGCTATAACGGTTGACTATGTGCCATTCTATTGTTCGATGCATGAGTGGGGTTAAGGTCCCAATTAGAATGTTCTAATACGGAAGGGAAGGAAAGGACATGCTTTGCCCTTAGTGATGTACCTAGAGCCTGCGTTAATCAAACGCGCACGGTATCCAAAGCTAAGGGCCCCGCTGCGCTCGCCTTGAACGCATCGAAACCCGGGATATGAGTGTGTAGATCCTATGGGTCAAATATCCAAATGTCCAATCGCCAGCAAGGCGCTGCTTATCTCCCAGTAGAAAAACGAGGCTGGGGGGGTGCACATTCTAGACAAACCTTTGCTTTGTATTGCGAGAACAAAAGCCGTGGATCCGATTGGATCTCCTCCGCATACACCGGTGACAGAACCACAATCGAATTGGCATCGATCACTGGCTTGAACTCCTTCCAGCCCTATCCCATGGTTCGAGGAATCCAGATCAGCCGGTCCCATCCCGTGGCTGCTTATGGCTCTTGCGAGGGATCCATAACGTACCCGTTCGGATCCCTGCTGGATGAGCTACTCTACCCGTTCCTGAAAGTTTAGTTTCGTCTAGGAGTACATAACACCTTGCGATCGGCGGCATTGATAATCGGCTGGCTCCCTTGCCTTTTTCTGGTAAATACTTGGTGGAAGAGAGCTGCCAGGGATAGGGCTTAGCTTACCAGGTTTAAATGATGAATTGTAGTATGGAGCGAGAGTCCTAAACTCCAGATTAGATATAATCTATTACTCTATGAGAAGCCTTTCCTTTGTAGAGTATCTTTTCAGGAATAGCAATGAATATTTATGGAAAGGGTATGTCCGAGATGTTCGGAGTACGGGGTATCAGCTAAAGATACTTTGCAGTACTCTACCTTTGGAAGACATGTTAGAATGTGCAGAATACATTGAATGCAGCCGCAAAGAAGAGCTGTGATAGCAGGCCCCTAAACTGGACATGTTGAGAATTCGCTTGCGAAATATCCCAGTTCATCTGCAACTTAGACCGTGGGAATATATATATATATGCATAAGCTGTGCACTGTGTATAGATGACATAATATGACATATAAATAGGGCTTCGCAGTCACATGACCTAGAATATCTGACGTACGCAGTAACTCAGGTATAACTAACCGTGGCATCTGCCCAGGTGAATGACAAGCGGAGATTGCTAATACTTAGCTGTGGTAAGGGGTTGCTATCGTTGCCGTGGCAAAAACGTCCTCGGCAGATAGATACATGTGGCTAGCGCTGCGCCGGTGTGATACTACAACCCCTAGTGGATCCATTCGGCTTACTATTTATGCAGCACCCCCTCTTGATGTGATCAGCGTGCCATCCTTGCAGGCACATAGCCCTTACGTTCTAACACGACCGCTACAGAATTTGAGCAATCCCTGTTTATACTGGTTCCACCGTTAATCGCTCACCTTATTGCAGTTTGTTTCTTAGGTGGGCGGGAGATGAACTCTCAAGATAAATTTGGAACGCAATCTGACACTCAGCGGGGCTCCTGTCGGAGGCTAGGCAAAATGACATGAAGAGTAAAGCCTGATTAGCGGAGGGCCTCACACGGACAGGAAAATGGGATAGGTATGGTGACTGGGTCAGGCCATATGTCACACAGCCTCTTGGATGAGAGTATCCACATATTTTGCCGGCCCGTAAACCCGGCCATTCAAGCGGGGAGTCAATTCTCTCCTCAATCTAGGTCAGAAGGTTCCAGTCTTAAGTCTCAAAGCGATAGATAATGTACGGGATACTCTTAATCAGTGGTGGTTATCAAGACTGCCCCGATTCGAGGCATACTGGCTGCAGTTGGTGAATTGTCGTAGCAAGGGTGAAAATTTTGAGCGGATTCAGGGCCATTCATGTGCCCATAGACTCGAGAGGCTTGAGCAGAAAACGAAAAAAGAAAAAAGGAAAAAAGAAGGGTATTTCCGTAGTTTTTTCAGTAAGGTTTAACGCCAGTGATCAGCCGGTCGCCAGGTGGGAGCCCCGTATGCATCTGTGTTTTTCACTGCGTAATCCGCGGGGCGCGGCACAATCTTTGAGAACTGCCGTCAGATTGACAGATCAAAAACGAACTGTTTCGACTTTGGATTTGCGCCGAGTTTTGGCTACGGGCGTCGATTGTTTGGGCTTTGGCCACGAAACGCAAAGGATGATTATGCTTAATTGTAGAAACCCAAAATCCTTAGTAGGCCGATATGATCCTGTCTGTGTGTCTTAGGGTTACAAGGGGAGCAATTCGGGTGAGAGTTCAACCTAAAAGGGGACGAGCAATGCATTCCAGGCCACTGGCTGCATTCTTGAAGAGGGATCATGCATAAGAGTCCAATTCTAACCCCACCATAGTCTTACATGTATACTAGTGCTCAGGCCTCTCTCAGCGATTCGCTGTTCAACTCCATGGACTGATCTCTTTGGTGGAATTTACCCGCCTGCTCCCCTTGGAACGATTTGCTTAGGGATTTTTCAGCGTGTGCTCTAGATCGAACATGTCCAAACTATGTTACGCTGTCTCTACGAAGAATAGTTACGTGCAATGGTGTCCGGAAGAAGTAATTTGGATTCATTCTAGCTAAATGGTTATCTCGAAGATGCCGCGTCGGACCTATTGAGGATTCAAGCAAGTTAGCACGGAGTCATGGCCCAAGATTGCAAGAATCCACAAAGTTTTGAGAATATTCTCAGACGATGTCGCTCTTCCAAAGCAGGTTATGTTGTGATCATTATCTTGTATGTAGATTTAATTCACATCGGCAAAATAGGTGTCTAATCACGGTGTAGAGTGTAATGGGAGGATGTAGATAGTAGAGGACTTACCATGAAGATCTCAGCAAGTATAGCGACACCCTTTTCGCTGAAGGGTTGTCAAGATTCAGAGAGAGAGAGTGAGAGAAGGATGAGAGAGGACTGCAAGGAAGAACAGGTTGGAAGGAGGATTACCCATGCTTTTATACCCTGGCCAGAGACAAATACACCACGAGGTCTCACAAGCGACACAGTATCACGATACGCCCTCCGGCCGCCGGCTGTCATGACAGGATAGAGTACGGCCTATCAAGTGGACCTCAGCTTGCGAGTAAAAGATCGCTTCCAGAGAGGCTCTCCATTGTTTAATTAATTATCTCTCCCTATCTGTCTTTCATGTAGATTCGTCTATGAAGGAATTACGAGGGTATCTCTACTGAAAGTCACCAAGGGTGCCCATGTAAGGGAAAATGCGCAAGAAACAAGAGAGTGAGTGTACCATGGATGAACTACTGATATCCCCCCCCCAAAAAAAAACTGAGCTGGCATGGGATACGCATTACGAATGTACGCACACATGGTACCACGCAGAACGAATGTCCCCGTCGGCCTAATTCTAGATCCTAGCGTTTTACCTCACCTAATTAACCTTGGCGGTTACACTCGTCTGCTCGATATTCTCCCATACTCACATCAATCTATCCATGTACGCGCAGATCCGATCCACGAATAAGCACATGTTGGCTCTAACTCCCAAGCCAGGAAGTTGGGGTTAACCATTCGAGGAACGCCTAGGCCATAGTGGGGTATCGAGGAAGGTTGCTGGGGCGCCCGAGTCCGAGCTATCAATATCAGGTTCCATACTGCGGTCCATATCCACCACATCGGACTCTCTTCCAATAGGCCCCCAAGGATGCTCTCATTCATCTTTCCGCTACTGCCACCTAGTGCCAAGTGGTCCAAGCCTTCCGCATTGCACCAATCGGGTTCGCTCACAATGGTGACACGTTGGCTCCACTCAGGATGGCTCATAATGGCTCATTGCCTCTCATCGTCGCTCATGCGAAACCACGCCTATCATTGAGGATGACTGAGTCAGCTAGGAAAAACCGACTGTGGACACCGAAAAGTGGGCTGGATAATTTCTTGCTGTTATACATAGCATATCTGGTCTGGAGTATGTGAAATAACACCGAGTACTCTACTTCCTCCTTAACTGAATCCTGGTTAACTTGGGGTCGGGGAGAGCACGTGCCTAGAATAGCCCCCATCCTGAGACCCCTGCTAGCACCGAGAGTTTCCAAAGCCCTTATTTAAGACGCGCATTACTCGAATTACGATATGGTAATAGCAATTAGCACTTAGTATTATTATCTACGAAGTACTACTCAATTTGCGAACGGGGGGAAAATGACTGAGACCGCGCGGAACTATTCCTCAAGGGGAAGGAGCTGGATATGCGACCAAATCACCATATCAAGTCAATTAATCTCACGGAAGTATCCTGGTAAAGCTGGGAAGCATTGAGTTGTTAAAAAAAAAAAAAAAAAAGAGGCTGAGGTCACCTGCTGAGTCAGTGATCATTAACTTGATTTGATCTCATCTATTTACCCGAACACATCGTTCAACATGACTATCATGTAATTCCGCCTCCCATTTCATGCAACCTTCCAAGGAAAGTAAATCACACCATGTCATACAATGTAAAAGATATGTATCGTACCTATTTTCAAGGCTATCAGGCGCGTAGTGATCTGGCTGTATATCTGCTGAGCACAGAAAGGTAGACTACTAAGGTAGATGTGGCCCCAAGACCCTAAGGCAAGGAGCTCAGTAATGACAAACACTGAGGACAAGAGAGTTACAGAGTACAGCACACAGAGCTATGGCTACTAGTATTGTGTATCCATAATTCTTGTTTCTGGGCGTCTAATGCTCGGTTTCTGTTTCGAGGCCCATGCTCCTGGATTTACATTCGTGCATATTCTTGCGGGAAAACATATGATTCTGTGCATTAATGTGGCCTGTCTGCATCGATCTCGATTTGCTCTTATATTTATCCTTCTATTAAAATGAATGGTAAATGATACTACCATGTCCTATGCCAAGTCGTCGCAAAACGAATCCCAGCCCTGTTGATACCTTTGATGACCAAACATATTACCTGCAGCGCCACATCGGGAAGACTTGAAGAAAAGTGGGTCAGGGTCAAAGCCTAGGGGAAAATCTATGGTCATCCAAAACTACCTAATTCATACTTTGAGGCTGATCTATCCCCGGCAACCCTCTGTAAACCCGGAGTACGAGAATCATGAGACCTGGGGGTCGGTCACAGCTATATCCCCACAAACAACAAGAATAATTAAGTGACGACCACGGCTGAGGGAAGTTCTAACCGTCGGGGTTGGAAAGCCCCTCTGTAGAGTCATAGTTCACACTTGCACTTCTTTTCCATAGTTAAAGGGAGGATTTCAGGAAAAAGAAGAATCTACGAATTAGTTAGCTACACAAACGAAACATACCACCTTATGTCATTCTAGGTACTCGGGGCATACCGCAGTTCGCCAGGGATCCTCTTCTCATGCAAAATCTTCTTAGTCTATCCCTCTGCACCGAATAGGGACAGACAAAGCTATTGTTCACCATATATTGGTCCAGCACGTTGACTTAAATGGTCCGAATGCAAGAACGGGAAATAAGTCTGTTGATGCACTATCTCGACGATGTGTTTCCGCTTCAGTTTCCGTTTCCTGAAACAGCCCACCTCGGAAAGAGAGAATGGTTGCTGACCATCCTGAGCTCAACCAAGGCTGTGTACTATGCTACGTTGAGTCTCAGCTTGCTCCATAAAGAGGCATGTCTAGATACCAGCGAGATAGAAGAAGGATTAATATGGCGGGAAGAGAAAACACGATACTATATACTGGCGCTGCGAGAATCACAACAGTTACTGCAAGGGTTAAGATCCAACACTGGCAAGGACAGCCTTAAGGGACACATCAATGCCCTGGCCAACACCGTGCAGTTGATCAGTTTTGAGGTGACTGAAACTCTTCCCCCATGCGCAACGGCTTTTCCTCTCGCTAAGACGGATATCTAGTCATCATGCCTCAGCAAGGGAGATTGGCAGATTCATCTACGAGCCGGGACATCGTTAATACCTGCACTGATTGAGAGTTGGAAGATGATCGTGAGATCTCACAAACCCACGTCTTCCGTCTGGAGTCGTCTGGATGCCTCGGACTTTTGTACGATAGCCAACGGCGACCCCCTTTCTTTCGAATGTATTGGCTCTCTAAGATTCTTCACGAATATGCTGGCGGCATTTGGGGTTCTTTCCTGCGTCTCTCTGGGCCCGATGGCCCCTTTCATGGACTACCGATATCTTATGGATAACCATGCGGGCCTGATCCAAATGGACCAGATCATTGGTTGCAAGAATTGGGTAATGTCCACGATCTTGGACGTTGGAATCTTGGACCAATGGAAAAGAGAGGAGCTGTCACACTTCAGACTCAGTATGAAAGAACTCACACGACGGGCGACATCCATCGAGATGGTTTTAGAGAGCGGGATCAAGGAGGCAAGGAGCGGCGGGGTCGTAGATATCGTGACGAGCATCTATGCGACCTCGGCGCTTACATATCTCCACTCGGTAGTATCAGGCCTGAATCCGTACCTGTCAGAAGTCCAGGATAGCGTGTCTCGGACTATTACTCTGTTAAAGCAACTCCCTGATTCGCGGGTCGTCTCCAGTCTAGTTTGGCCCTTGTGTATTACCGGTTGCATGGCTTCTCCCGACCACGAAGCATTCTTTACCGGCATTATTCACGCTTCGGGACTCACTCAGCCGGCCTTGCGGAATGGCTGGTATGTCCTGGAAATCATGGAAAATGCGTGGAAAATCAGGGACCTCATGACCCAGCCATCCGCGATCACTTGGGAGGACATGATCAATGGTCATAACCCGCCCACCCTCCTCATATAACGCACACGCTTTAATGTTTACCTGCAACCTGCACACTACCCAATTAAAGGAAGTGCTCTCTGTGGCCTTTTCGTTAACGAATCGATGCAAGTTTTAACGGCTCCGGTGTTAAGGTGTACCATGGATGAAACACAACGCTTGTCCTTCTTCACCATGAATGAATGGTCTTCGCCTGCTGCTCTCTTTATCCCATGTATTTCATCACCCTTATGAGTTTAGATGGATGTATATAACTGAAAGACACATCCGTATATCCAGAATTTCAATAATTGACGCGATTTTCGAACTGTAGATGTCCTAGGGAAGGAGGCGGAGCATGACAACATTCAACTCCTTGGTCGTTAGACTGTGGTTTTTAAAATATCTCTCCCCCATTGTCTCCTTCTATATCTCGACGTAATGTTTTATTTTATCATCTTAATCATCTCTCCATCGGTCGCCCTAGAGCAAGGCCCTATGGTGGCGATAATGGCACGGCCCGCCAAGGAACACTTGACACGCTAGGCTTAACTTCTGGCGGGCCTGATATGGGACAAGGCTGATTCCGGATTCACCAATATGAAGTACTATACAGGCTATGACTCTGGATCTGTACGAGGCCGACCAATTAGCAACACCAATGGCGTGGATATTCATTTTCCTGATCTATCTCTGTATGCCTGTCCTACACACCCACACAACAGTACAGATCCAGAAAAATGACTGAGAGGAGAGGCAAATCTCCAGCAAGTGGCAGAGAGACAACATGTATATAATAGCTACAACTATTCCATCTGCAAGCAAAGCAGACATCAGCTCGATCTAGAGCATCTCACGTTGACTCTGCCCAAAGAACCAGCGCAGCTTCTCCCCGAGTTCATTCGTTCCAAACCCTCCAAAGAAACCCACACTCCGAGAACCAAATGCTCAAACAATCAACCAAGCTAATTGACGCCTACGACGAGGAGGATCTCATGATCCCCTCGAAAGACGTCTGCCTGTACATGGTGGTCAGCGTGGCCCTCAGCGTAGCCGTCTTCATATCAACGCGGGCTTGAGCAGAGCAGCATCAACAACAAACCAACCAAAATATATACTACGGATTAATGAGCGTTGCTACCTTCATCTATCTCTCATGAACGATGGCATCCTACATCTTGTCCGACTCAGCAAGTCCCGAGAGGCTCCCACGAGCCAGCGGCTTCGACTTCTGCTCTTGGCGAACCCATTCTGTTCCCTCCGGATGCGAGTGTGACCTTTCACATATATCGTGCCGTGTTTGCTCTTAGCAGCTTTTTCTTTTTTTATATATCGCCATAATTGGCTCGCACATCGCTTTTTTATCATCCCGGTTCTGTTTCCATGCCTATCGGCAACCTGATCCACCTTCGCATACATACCTCCTTCAATACCCGCAGCAGAAAGAGACGCAACGGCACGGAATTGGAACGTCAGTGACGAGGAAGCCGTGGTTATGATGGGATGGAGCAGATAATTAGTGCTTACATTTTCTTAATGTTTCTCAGAGAGTGTTTTGTTTTATACTATCGTCGAAGAGACTTTGAGTTAAAGATATTTTGAACCCGAGTGTTTTCTATGGCTTCCTCAAACTTCCGGTTATGTTTTGGGCATCCCCCCCTCACCCATTCCATGTGGATGCCATTACCCTGTAGAGCGTAGTTTTGCTTTTTATTTACGGAACCTTGTCCAGAATTAAAATATACTATGGTACGGAACCCCTGGAGGGGTTCGCAACATCCTCTCCCTTTCTTATCTTGCCAGTTATATAGAAATTGTTAGAGGGGATGAGCACGGGCGGTGATACCCTTGCCACAGTGGTTTCGACAGCTGTACCACGGTCTTCTCGCCCCCTACTGTAGTCTGTAGTACATACGTCCTGCGGAGATAAGAGTCAGGATTGAATGATCGGAGTACATATATGTATGTAACGTAGTTTGGCCGTTCTGCGGCAATAGCACCGCATGGAACAAGTGTTGTGCTTTTTCTCTTAAGGAGACCCCGACTGACTTTCATCACAAGATGGTCCTTGAGGGGTGAAAAAGGAAAATCGAGAAGAAAAGGTCTGTGATGTCTGGCAAGGCAAACAAGACTAAGTTCCTTCTTTCTGATTAGAGCTCGGGTCCAGTCCAGTTGGCGTTGGCTATAACATTCATGCCTGAAACGACCACCGATGTCGTGCCCTAACCGGGAGGACCCGGAATTCCCTCTAGGTAGTTCTTCGATTTCGCTCCCAAGAAAATGTCCGGGCTGTGGGTAAGATCCATAACTCTTAGACTATATATAAAGGGAGGAGGGCTCCTCGCAGTCAAAGCTCAAATGAAAAGAAAATAATTAAAATAAAATAATAATCCACCCACACTGCTCGTCGGTCGAATTCAGGCTTTGGTGAAAATATCTCCAGAAGACTTACAATGGCGTGTGTAAAAGGGACGTGTAAGGCAAAAGATCACCCACACAGCTGCTTTTACTGATAGCATGTAGTATGCAGTATCTATTAGAAATCACGTTGTTTGATTTTGCTATGCCATTTGAAAATATAACTTAGGGATCACCATCGAGCCAAGGGATCTGGTTCATTTCTAAGAGACGCTCATGCTCCCGGCGTAGAGCCTTGGGATCGTTTTCTTCGAACCAAAACGCCCACGTGCTACGCGTATTGATCTCCAGGTTATCACGGCTGGAACGAATGCCAACATGCTGGACCTGGGGTGGTGCAAGGGCGAAGCGACGCAGCTTTCCTTCATCGGCATATTCCTCAATCATGGAGTCTGTCTGCCCAGCCTTGCGATCCCGCAGGAAGTTGACCAAGTGTGGCACTTGGTCTCGAGGGAACACCATTGCTTGGGTACAGCAGCCGTGCTTGTTCATTTCCACGAGGCCGCGCATAGGGCTGATGTTGTATTTCCCGGCCATGAAAATGAGGCCGACGAATGCAGGGACGGTGATAGCACAAATCACGATAATGGTCGGGATATCCAAGCGTCGGCTGACGGCAGACGATATGCGACGAGCAAGCAGGAGAGCACCACAGGCTATACTCATTGCCAGGAGAAATACAAAGCTGATATGACGGTACGCAAAGTCGTCGTTCGTCCAGCTCAGTGCGGTCTCCGTGTAGAAGAGGCGCAAATATAACCAATTATGAGCTTTCGATCGGTTTTCTATATCATGGAGCCCCTTCAGAGTTTTCACGAACCATCCGTCGGCAAATATAATATCGTCCTCGAAGACGCCGATATAGGGAGCACCGGTATTATAACATTGGTCAAGGACGTACGTATAATCGCTACCGACGGTCAGTAACCTCGATCATCGACACCAAAAAAAAATTAGATAGAACCTTGATACTCACAAGACCCCTTTCTCATAGTAATTATGTCTCTCTTCAAGGCCCTGGAGCCGCTGAAAATCCTCCTTTGACACATTATACGAGGACACTGAGTCGACAAGCCGGTCCATCCAAAGTTGACCCCAGCTCGGGTGAAGGTGAGGATCCGTATTGGCAAACAGCACATTGACTGAGAAGGCACGGCGCTCTCTATCATCGAGGCCGCTGAGGAGAGAGCCGATGGAGGCGTCGAAGTAGTTTACATGGTCCCGCTTGACGGTCACAAAAGCGAGACACATGAGGGGGTTCGAAGTGGCCAGCGTGCTCTTGGGGGGTTCATTTCTGGCATTATATGCGGATATAGCCTGAAGTGCCTCATGTTCCCGGAACAGACTGTATTTGAGATCGTAGACGTGGGCTTCATCAAAGAAGGCTGAATGAGGGTCGCGCCAATAATGCAATCTGCAGTACTCAAAAGCAATTCCATATAGGAGCAGAGAGACGAAGAGCACCTTTCCCGCTAGAGAGGTAAAGAAGAGGTGTAATAAGCGCGGCAGATTCACCAGCGAGCTGATTGGGTTGATTTTCATGTTGTCATAATCATGTTGACAAAGGAAGATTAGAGGAAAAAGAGGATTTCATTGCTTCAGGAATCCCTCCTAAATTTTAATAGTCGGGGATCCCTGGCTAGTTTTACATTAGAGGGACCAAAGGTTCTCTCAGCAGTTCCCAATCAAATGAAGATCAGAACCAACATCCATGTTCTTAGTAGAGGCTACTAGTAGTAGACGGTAGGTTGAACGATGAGGGTTGGGGCCACTAGGATCCAATGCCAAGACGTTCTAATAAGCCGAATAAATATCAAATCAACAGGGCTATACGTTCTGTGACCACGGTGTTCTTTTTGACTAAGGGCTTACTGTGGATACCCGCTAAGCTCGCTATTATCTAAACGTGGGGAGCAGCAAACTTATTAATTGAAAGCCTGACAGGAATCGGATTGGCCCGAGAGTGGGAACAGTATCCCACTCTAGTCCTATATAGCATATAGTATGGAGGACTAATTATCCTTGGTACGTCCAGATCAGCTCAGTTCGGAGCGGGATATGCTGGTTCCAGGGCTCTCTGCAGATCAGTGGTGGATTTGTCCAATGTAATTGTCATGCAATGTTGACGAAGTTTCATTTCAAGGACACACGCTGGAACTGGTCTATTTCCAGGTCGATATGCTCGCGTATCAAACCCTGTCCACCGAGGCAGTATTGATATCTAGATACATCTTGCCCCAGGGTATTCTGTGTGTCCAGTTATCCTGGTACTACGGCAGGTAATAACTGGCATCTCCGTTTATATTGACTGATATTGTCAGTGGATGGGTGGATTCACCAGCTACCATAGCATCATCACCCTGTCGATCCCGAACCATCCGGAGTACTTTTCACCCACATTGTAGTGTAAGAGCCATCGATTGACCATAGCTCTCAAATGTGAAGGCAGATGAGACCCGATCACAAAGAAAACTAATTGCATGCATATTAATTAACCTATCATGCGCACATCAATCTCGGCAAAATCAGAAAGATCCTGGTGAGGAGACGTAGAAGCAGATGGTTTTGAACAGAAGAAAAGTGGAAAGAATGAAGACAGCTAGCTAGCTCACAATAATGAATTAGATGACCTTACTACGATATCAGACACAAAGTAGGGTTTTGGAACTGTCTATTTAACTCCATGACGACCAGGGTTTAGAGACACTCATGCCGTTTCGCTGCCAGAGTGGACCCTGAATACTAGTAGAGAGGACGTACATAATATTATGGGATCGGGGAGCGACTCGGCAGAATTTCACTGCACTCTGGGCTGATTCTGTCTGGTATTGACAAGCCTCGGAAGTTGTCTCGTCTATGTTAGGGGTGACCGCTAAAGCTCTGTTGAACCTTTGCATAGCTCTAAATTGAGCATGGAGATGGACTGTGGAGAGCTACATTCTGCGTCCTACTAATTCAGTACAAGGGTCCTGGTTCTCATATCATTAACCCATTGTCTAGGCGCTGGCAAGATGGAGGCTATCTTCTCTACATTTCCGGACAAAGGATGATAAGACAGCGTCGAAGATGAAGCAACTACGTATGTTTAAGTTACTAATGAGAGATATAACTGCACTTTGTACTAGGCACTGAATTTACTAGCACAAGTGAGACCAGCTTATCCATAAGCAGCCCCTTAAGCAGAAATCTTTCTTCTGCTGTATCGACAATGTTTATCAAGGCTTCCATCCCTGTCCTCACTTACCTCGGCCTTGTGGTATCTCTCCATTCCCCTTGGCTTCTCTCCAATCCGTGTGTGTATAGCCAGGCATTCTAATGTGCTCTCCAGGCTAGAGCCAGCGAGTCCATCATTCCAGGGTAAAACATGGTTGACATAGAATGGGAGGTGCAAGTCCCTGCTGGCGGCCCTACCGTCAATGTGACAGGCACTGTTGAGGATGTCTACTCGCAACTTAAGACCTTCGACCCTGAATTCGGGACTGAGTTCCCTCCTACCGACCACAACGACGCCATCGAGGCTCGTTCGGCTGGCTAAAGTATTGGCACCCACTTTTGCCAGGGTCGTTGAGCCCGCTGTAGCTGGAAGCGCGCATTCAGCAGGGCGTCAGCTACCGGACGGCGTGCCTGGACGGCCGGTATGTCTCTACTTTCCCACTAGAGCTTCTTCCTTAACAACGCACTACTATAGTCGAACGGTCCGGGCCCCGGAAATTGGGGCCGTGTAAGCTGCTCTTACAACTCTGCCATCCACTGGTGCAACGACGTGAGTGGTTTATGGGTCCCCCCAACCCGCCTTTTAAGTATGAGCGGATGGCTAATAGAGGCCACCAGCACAACTGTCAGTTCACCCTCATTCATTGATATTGCAAATGGTGCAAACTGCATCGGCCAACCTGTCTCAGCAACACCCATACAACCTCTGGTCAGGTCTGCTATACCGACAATTGGAATGTGGTTGTCCGGGCCGATAACTGCTAGATTGATCACACGCTGAGCACCAGAGTTAGCAGACTGTTCATATGACGAGAAGCTATAAGCTCAAAATTCTGCCTGATATAGAGAGAAAGGGTGGACTAATTTGTTCGTTAATTTAAGTAGCGAGCTCGTTGGGCTATAACAGGTTTGAAAGTCATTGCTCATTCATTATTATCTTCTATGGAAGCCACAGAATCCACTCCGTATGCAATAGATACCTATAAGAGGAAAGTAATTATTGTAAGGAATTTACCTCAAAGGCTAGATAGCGTTAAATATGAACGTTCCCTTCTCCTTCCCGCGACCATGGACTTCTGATCATCATTTCACCAAAACCTATCTAATACATTGTGACCACTGTGCTGAAGTCGATCTTTGGTTCCCGCTCTGTTTCTGCTTCTCCCTCTGTCTCTGCTGATTGTATGCTGACTTCAACCTTCACACGCTATAGTCCGGTTCCGGTCAAGGGAGTGTCGAATAGTATGCTGTATAGCGTGCAACCTGGGATACAGAATCTTGGTGTGTCTGCAATTTTATATGCTGGTGGAAGGGTGTTGATTCATTCGAAAAGGACTCCCGAGCCTCATTCTCTTCAGTTGGAGCATTCTCCTCTCTACTCTGAATTGTAGACATGATCACAAGATACTTTTAACCAATGTTTCGGGGAGTCGGTTAGGGCAGTAATTGGCGTGGGCAAAGGGATCGAACTTCCCTGTTAGGGCGTTCTAATAGATTCACCATACCTGGGAGAGACTAGGTCCTCGGCTAGTGAGTGTGGGGACCCTAAGAACTTGGAAGACCCTCTCACTCGACATCGAGAGTGGTCAGACTGCGGGAAATGGTCACGGCGAGGATTGTCATTTGTACTGTGTATATAATTATCTGCTCCCCCGCAGAGGCTGACCTCCACAATCTTGCTTTTGGGTTAGACATTATAGACAACTCGCGATCCATACATTTTCCACACTAGCTTAATCTCACTAAGCTAAGCTATACTATAACTTACTATGACTTGCTAAGTTGGCGACATGACTGTGCCGCAATTAATTTTGGACTAGTTAGTTATCCCTGGCGAACAGGTGTTGTCTGTCTGTCACGATGTAACTTAGGGCTTGGATCATTGGCGCTAAACTCCGCTTGCAGTAAGACCATCCAGGATAAGCGTTTGCTTCCAAAACTCATCTATTCGCCAGGCAAGAACTAACACACATTACTAATGTTCAATAGGCCCTCTGGAGTGTGCACTGTGGTACGTTGTGAAAAGATCGTGGTGTGGGCCTGCGGGTGTGTTCGCAGCATCCTTGCCCTTTATAACTTTGCCAGTTACATAGAAATTGTTCTCAAGGATGAGACTTGGAGTGATGCCCTTGGCACAGGGTCCTAACTGCTCCACCACGATCCTTTCGCACCCTACCACGATACTATATAGGAGGGACAGCTCCGTAACAACTATTGCGAATTTTTGGCACTTTTGCGGACCTTCTCCATCTGCCTCCAAATTTCGCCCAACTTCGGACTTAATTGCTTCCCACGGTTGGCATGGTATCGCTGCATTAGTTCGCGGCTAGCCCCTGGCTCTCGCTCCTATTGTACCAGTTTCCCTCCTAAATCGCCGAGACGACTACATGTACCTGAATCACATATCCGAGGTCCTGACTGCGGCTCTTCGTCGTCTGTTATGTTTCTTTGGGAGGGCCATCTCAGCGTCCTGGAAATCATTGCCTAAGAAGAGACAAAAACTTGCCTTAGCATTCATCTCGGCAGGATTTACGGTTTTCCTTGTTCTGAAGCTAGGTTGTAATCTTTTCTACGCCGATTACTGGGAATGGGAGACAACGTCCCGCTTTTTGGGCTCGCCCAGCGCCAACGAAATCCGAGACAATAGTAGTAATGGCGATGACCTTTGCGACTCTTTCCCCACATACCACCTCTCGCGCGTTCAAGTCGTCTTAAAGGTCGGCAGTACAGAACCTCCCAGTCGGGTTGAAACTCACATCGCGACGGTTACGCGTTGCATAACTAATCTCATTGTCTTCTCCGACCACGAGTCCCAAATCAAATGTCATCGAGTCTACAATATTCTTGCAACTCTCCCAGACTCCTTCTGGGGGAATTCCTCTGACGCCCAGGCCTATAGGGCGCTCCAGCGCGGAGAGTTCGACACGGTTGAGTCTTCTCAGGGCTGGAAACTCGACCGGTTCAAATTCCTCCCCATGGTCGAACGCGCTTATGAAATGAACCCGGCTGCTAAGTGGTTTGTTTTCCTGGAGTCCGATACATACTTCGTGTGGGACAATTTGTTTCGTCTTCTGGACCAGTTCGATCCGTCTGTACCGTTATATCTCGGCTCCCCGACTTCCGGGAAGGGTCGCTCCTGGTTCGCCTATGGAGGCTCTGGGTTTGTGCTGTCAACTGCTGCTGTCCAGAAACTAGTGGCTCGGAAGGTTGGGAGCAGGGGAGTGTACAGTCAACCTCCGTTGAATCAGCGGTATGAGGGGTTGATTAAGGAGGATTGTTGTGGCGACTCAGTGCTTGGATGGGCGCTCTATAAGAGCGGAGTGAAACTGTCTGGGATGTGGCCGATGTTCAATCCGCATCCTTTGCATGGGGTCCCGTTTGATCAGCAGCATTGGTGTCAGCCGGTGATCAGCATGCATAAATTATCGTTAGAAGATATGACTGGGCTGGCGAGGTGGGAGAAGCAACGGGGCCGAAAGGTGGGTTTCTTTCTAGCCCATTCTAGTCCCTAAATGTTGACAGTCTTACAGCATCCATTGCTATATGCCGACCTGTTCGAGTACACAGAGTGGGGAAACTTAGGAATCAAGGTGAACTGGGATAATGGTGACTGGGGCGGATGGCAAGAGCCGGCCCCATCGCCAGCCCATAGATCTCTTGAAGCCTGTAGGGAAGCGTGTCATAATCATCCTGAGTGTTTCTCATATACCTATCACGATTCTGGTCACCACTGTGTTTTCGTTCCATCTGTTCGACTAGGGGCGCAAAAACCAGCCACACTAAGGCTATCAGCTGGGTGGGATCTGGATAAAATCAAGCAGTGGCGGGATACTCACCAGTGCCGAAGACCTCAGTGGATGAAGCCAAGTACAGATCGCATTTTTTAACGCGTATATATATACCCTAGCTGCCTACATATTCTTCATAGATACCGACCCGATCAAATCACCTTACATTGGACCGACCTCGCACTTCGTTCAGTGTTTTTTAGACCTCGTTTGGCTTTTGCAGAAGACCAGTTAATTTTGGACATTTGTCGTCTCTAGATTATTCTCATGTATAGTAAATCAAGTATGTATACAGTACACAAACATTTCTAAAGGGAAAGAAAAAATATGAACACAAAGGAAAGACACGATGAACAAGGAGAAACAATATGTTCATAAACAAAAAAAAATGCATCTACATCTCAGCAACAGCACACTAGTTAAGGGGGAAACAGGGGGTACAGCAGAAGTCGATACCTCGAATTATTTGACAACTTCGACGGAGTCCGTCAGAGAGACCAGCTTCTCGATGGCGCCCGATGACAACTGGGTCTTAAGCTCTTCCCGGCTCCTGATTATACCTCACTATCTCAGTTATTGCTTAGTTTACAAGGATCGTGCAGAAGGGCTCTATGGGGCTCACGATCTGCAGACTACGATATATCCATATCCCGGTATATGGACAGAATAACCTCTCGATTCGTGTTGAACTCACGGTGATGAGCACGATGCCGCCGCCTCTTGCTGTGTTGAAGGCGGGATTAGAGGCTGTACTGCTCGAATTACGATTCTTGCTCCCCGAGAGCGCGTGTACCATTTTCTGGAATGAGGGAGTCGTTCCTCGCTTGCAGTGTAGGTCTCCGGCTACAACGAAGTCGAAGGCTTTTTGAATACCGTGGTGAAGTATATGTTGGAGTTTGCAGAAATGTAGGAATACTATACAGATTATTCTTTCCCTTGTCTTTTTGTCTTCACAGAAACTCCAGAATGGTACAATACTCGGTGATTCTTTTATCTTCAATGAACTAGTGAGGTACGAAAACAAACGGATGAACTACAAGAGATCTTCAACCTCACAAGTTTCTTTTCCCCCCTTTACATTTCTCTTCACATATATATATCTACTATTTATCTCAAAGAACATAATTCCCCCCTAACCCAGTCCATCAACCCCACACGCAACAATACCCAGATATTCCTACATCATTTTCTTCCTCAACGAGCATCTCAGACCCTCCTTCTCCCCCTCCAACTTCCAAACATACATTTTCAGCGCATCGCACTCCGCCTTGACGTTCCGGATCTCCGCCTGCAATCTGGCCATTTGCTCCTGCTGTCGCTGGTTATACGATCGCGGAGAGGTGGAGTAGTGTTTCTTCTCCACTCGAGGTTTGGTATTTAAATGAGATGTAGAGATTGATGAATCGGAAGACAAGGGATATTTTCCTGGGTGTGGGGCCATGGTTGGATTGGGGTCTGGTAGTTTTGTTAGCTGACTTGAACTTGGATATATGGTCGAGGTTCATAGGGTTAGATACATACGGTTGAGGAAGTTAGGGTGTTATTGAGTGTAGGTATTTGTGGGAGTATTCTTTATGTACGATTTGAGGAAGAAACTAATAGAGTACGCGAGGAAATCAGAAGTGATATTCAACTCGATTTATATAGAGACGAGGACATCGCCATATTTTCTCATGATTCTCACTGAAAGCTCTATGAACACAACACCGATCCAACATCGACTAGGGAATTAACCTGCAGGAACGGATAAAAAGAAAACGACACTAAGTTCAAAAAAATAATAAATAAAAAATAACAGGGATTAATCATCTAATGTATACTACGGACTGTTGAGTCATTTCATGTCAGGCCCCCTCGGAAACCCTAAAGAGGATAGCTTCGCTCGGACCAACCAACGCTACGACTCAAGGTAGGGCTTCATTGGCCCCGTAGTTCTGACATCATTCTCCCTCATACCGTTAGGGTATGAGCTAAGGTCGCTCTAGGATAGATTCACCGCGGGGTCTTTGGCGCAGGCGGAGGCGATGGTCGAGATCACACCTACCGCCAGCACGAAGTAGTAGACATAAGCGTAGGAGCGGCGTAATGTCGACTACGTCTTTGTTGGTGGTGTTTTGGCGGGGACTACGGAGTACATACCGAAGGCAACACCTTGTTCATCGCCGGGTGAAATACAATGGGCCAGAGGCATTGCGACGTCTTCTCTCCATCCGATCATGAAACCGATGCAATGGAGGAGGCAATGGCCGATGCCTTTGTCGTCTGCGTGATGAGACCATTGCTCATAGGTAGGCGGTTCCCGAGACACTGCCCACGAGATACTTACAGGCGAGCGTGCTTCATGACGTGGGAAAAGGACCTCCCAGGATGAGAATGCCGGCCCAGATAGCGAAAATGACAGTTGATGTCATCCGTGCCGTTTCTTCTGTGTTAAGGAAGGTGCCGAAATCTGAGTGAATAGCCCCATAAAATACAATGTCTTGGATTTCTAGAGAAAGAAAAAGCAAAGGAAGTATGGGTCTAGAATGGCCGTCAATTCGTGGAAGATCTAATTAAACGCTAATTAAGTCTCAATTAACCATAATCTACTCAGATTGTGTATTTTCTTCCTTCTTCCGCACTGACACCCATTGCATCCCAAGGGTGCCAAACACCGCACAGCAGGATAGAGCAACTCCAACATAAAAGGTTTGATCCAAGGCCTTGTTATAGGCGAAGAGAACGCCCTGGTAAAGGGCCTGTGGTACCAAGCTCTTGACATCGGTCGCACCGCCTGCCAAGATCGCGCTTGCATCAACTTCGGGCACATACGCGGCAATATTTGTCCGGAGCTGGTTGGAAAACACGTTCTGTGCTACCGAGACGAAGACCGCAGCTGACAGGTTTTCCGTAAAGATGACCACGGCGGTGCCGATAGGGATGTCTTCGAGTGCTAAGACGCATTGGGGGGCGGCAAATGCGGTCTGTAGGCCGGTGCCAACGCCGGCACCGAAGATGACTTGGTAGCCGATCCATTTGGCGTGGCCAGCGTCCACTCCGAGGGTGGAGAGGAGACCGCTGCCGATCGACATGAAGATAACGGTGAAGTAGGCGAAGGGAATGTAATACCCGATCACGGAGGTGAGGGCGCCGCTCATGAAGGAGAACATGACGTAGCTTATCACCATGGGCAGGTTCATGACACCGGACTTGATTGCGCTGGCGCCTTTGATTGCTTGGAGCCAGATTGGGATCTGAAGCTAGGATTAGCAATGCTGGAAAGGTAGGAAGGGTGTAGTGAAACATACGTAGTACATCATCAAGAAGAACCCAGCTGTCACACAGGAGCCAAACAGCGCAGACCCCCAGACATTGCGATTGCTGAATACACGTCCTGGAACTGTCGCACGATCTCCGCTGTTATACTGAATGACAACAAAACCGATGAAAAGAAGGCCGGCGAGCACGAAGAGAGCAATGATCCGACCGTTTTTCCAGGGGTACATCGAGCCACCCCACTGCAGGGCGAGCAGCAGACAGATGACACCGGGCAACAGGCACAGGGTTCCTGGAAGATCCATTTGCTTGAGCTGATTCATGAAGCCAACCTCACTCTTCTTGCTACCGCGGAAGGGGGAGATGAAGAAGGTGATGATGAGAGCGGGGACAACGCCGAGGGGCAGGTTGATGTAGAAGCACCATCTCCAGGAGACGTTATCGGTGAAGGCACCGCCCATCAGAGGGCCTGCAATGGCCGCGAAGCCGTACATGGCACCTATCATACCAACGAAAGTTGGACGCTGGTGTGGCGGCACGCAGTGAGCGATGAGCAAGAAGGAACCATTGCCAACTCCTCCACCACCAATACCCGCAATGGCGCGGCCAACGATCAGAGTAGTCGAGTTTGGCGCCACTGCACAGATTAAAGACCCTAATTCAAAGATGATAAGGGCAGTGAGGTAGACCCATTTAATGACATAGAAGGTGAAGAGCTTTCCCCAGATCAATTGAAAGGCGCAGTTGGTGAGGAGGTAGGCGCTGGCATACCAGCCGACGTCGCCAAGGGCGTGGAATTGATCCGTGATCCTAGGAATAGCGCTTGAAATGATGGTGTTATCAAGGCCAACCAGAAACATAGCCAAATTCAAACTTAGGACGATGAAGACGAGCTTTAATTTGCCAGGGTATTGCGGCTCATCCTCTTGCTTGTCACCACTCTGGAGGGAATCTTTCTGAAGAGTGGAACAGGACTCCTCCTTCTCTAACTGGAATCCGTCAGGAGGCATCTTGAAGCTTGATTCCTCGAGCGGGTTTGTCTTTGCGGAAAAGAAATTCTTCATAGTTGCGACGGAGTGATTTGTAGATTTGTCGGGGGAATCGAGGGAAGGCAGGATTGCAGTTGCAGAGGGACGACTTTCGATGTCAGTCGTTCAGCTCTATGGCTCGATTGTCGCTTGTCGAGAGGAATGCCTGACTGATACTCAGGGGGCCATGAAGATATGTAAATATCATCACAACCCTGCTTTGTTGTTGTCCTACTGCTATACTCGGGTTCCCAATCAAACAGTCAGTCTCCACTGTGGGGCCTGCCAAGAAATGACTCATGGTTGCTCATGACAATCTAGTAATAATGATTGGCTAGAAGCAGACTGAGTTGGATCTCCCACCCGCCGCTAATCCAAGATCAGCGTAGCTCATACTCTGTATGGCCGCAGGCTGGACGGCAAGATTTTCCCTCTCCACATAGTTAATTCGAGTCATTTCATATCACTCCGACTAGACATGACATCCTTGACATTTTACAATTACCCTCATGCCATAGGGTGTGTATATTGCTATCATTGTATAGACCCCCGCGTGCATAAACCAAAATTAACCGAAAATGGTTACAACGTAGAACAACCTTCCCCAACTGTACATCCAACCCGCATGTCGGTCACACTCTCACCAACCCAGATCTTAACCCCATCCCCATGAACGGGCGCCTTCCAGTCCTGAACCACCACATCCCAAACACTCAGATCTTTGCGCGTGAGATCCAACGTCAGGACCTCGCTCTGCCCCGCAGACAATACCTTCGTCTTCTCGAACTGCCGTAGCTGACGTGACGGAGTATCGAGTCCCAGGCTACTGGGTAATTCCACATACAGCTGAGCAACGGCGCGACCATCCCGAGATCCTGTGTTTGTCACTTGAACCTGCACGGAGAAGACCACATCCCATAGGGCTGGGTTTCCACCCTCAGCTCCACCAGCTCGGGGCGCTGGCTTGGGCTCCGTGGTGTATCCGTCTGGGTAAGGGTATGTCTTCGAGGAGTTGGCTGCAGCGGCTTCGGGGTTGTCTAGATAGGGATAGAGATAGCGCCAGATGCGGTTGAAGTTCTTTGGCCAGGCGACTTCCGATGGTGCGGGCTTTGTGTTGGGGTATGTGGGCGTGGAGCCTTTGGAGGATCGCGCGGCGGGATAGGCCGTATCGAGAGGCTTGACGGTGGAGAGACGGGGGTCGGTGAAATTAAATGTGGTGTAGGAGAGGCCATGCCCGAATGGGTATCGAGGGGCGATGTTCGCTTTCAAGAAGTGTCGGTAATCGATATAGAGGCCTTCCGTGTAGTCGTCCTGGACTTGACCAAAGGGCTGGGAAAGTAGTCCGACGCTCTCCGGATAATCAGATTCGCTGCGAGGGATGGTGTAAGGCAAATGGCCGCTCGGGCTGTGGTCGCCAAAGAGGATGTCTGTCAATGACCAGCCGGCTTCCTGTCCGGGCAGATGAGCGACGAGCACCGCTTTGACCGGGTCCAAATCGATCCACTCCTCCATTAGGATGGGTCCGACGGTGTGGATCACCACGACCACGTTCGAGAACTTCTTTGCAGCGGCTTTGACGAGGTCATCCCCGTTGTGCCAAGCGTGTAGTCCTGCCACTGTGCGGTCCCCTGGATTGCCGTCGACTGTGATGTAGTTCTCGCCCGAGTCCGAATTAATGAAGACGATCGCAATGTCATCGGGTCCGGCGGAGACGCTGGCAGGAAACCTATCCGTGATGTAGAACTCGGCAGTGGATGAGATATTGGCGATGGCCTCTTGCGGCGTCACAAGATAAGGGAGTCGGGATGTCCCACTTCCCCAGCCCATGGTCAATACACCCTTGTTGCAGCCCTTGTCCGCGCAGGAGTTGATGCCGTCCGAATTGGTCCCGGCATCGGTGCCAAATATCTTCAGGGTGCCATTTCGTCTCAGCGGCAGAATATTGTCGTTGTTCTTTAGCAACGTGATTGCATCTCTGGCAATTGCTCTGGCCGTAATATTATGGTTGCCCTGAACGTCGACGTACTGATTGACAATGCCACTCGGGGAAATCAGGGCGCCCGGATACAAAGGCCCAGTCTTGTCAAGCGTGTTTCCTGAGAAGTTGGGTAGCGGATAATCTTTGTCCTGTCCCATTTTGTACCATGTTGCCACGATTCGCGTAACCTGCAATGCGTCGCATTAGATGAAGACAGAAACGAGAGCAGTGGAGTCAGATTGCCCACCATGTCATTGAGACGATCGACTGGGACCGAGCCGTTCAGAACGGAACGGGACAACTCCCATGCCCAATAACTAGTGCCGAGGAGAGGGATGGTCCCATCACCCGGCATGCTCATGTCCAAGCCAGCCAATGCTGATGAAACCCCGCCAATGTGGGCCAGCCAGTCGGTGACAACAAACCCTTGGAAGCCCAGTTCATCCTTCAGAATACCATTAATGAGCTTGCTATTCTGACTACAGGTGGACCTATTCACCTAAGCAACAGTTAGCCGGTCGAGGTTGTGGTGAAAGTGCGGAGGAAAGCTTACATCGTTATACGCAATCATGACCGAACCTGCACCAGCCCTCACTCCCTCCGCAAATGGCCACAGGTAAAGTTCGTGCAAAGTCCTGTCATCGATATTTGACGAATAGCCCTGAGTGATAACACTGCTCATCCGATGCATTTCCTGTTCATTTCCGATTAGGTGCTTGAGCGAAGAAATGGCACCTGTGCTCTGCATTCCCTTGATCGTCAACGACCCTCCAAAGGCCTGTAGGCTGGGATCAGCTCCGAACGACTCCCAGTTACGGCCCCCTCGGGGTTTCCGTCCGATGGGGTTAACGGATGGCCCCAAAAGAACGTTGATTCCCTTGCCTCGCGCCTCTTCGCCTAGGCCGACTCCGCGCTCGTACATGAGGTCCTTGTCAAATGTCGCTCCAACTGTGATTCCAGCCGGAAAAGCCGTGTTATGATCTGAGTTGCGGACCCCAAGGGGAGAGTCATGGAGACACAGGCTGGGGATTCCGAACCGAAGAGCACTGCCAGTCTGGCCGGCACAAGGACCCATGAAGATACCCGTGCCAGTAGTAAGATTCACCTTTTCAGCCAAGGTCATCTTACTCACGACATTGTGTGCCTTCTCATAGGCATCCGACCAGTCGGACAGCCATCCTCCAGGCGGTGCTGGGTAATATGGGGGGGAGTAAGCTACTTCCGAAGCTCGTGGTGTCAGAGTTTCTACCCCGGAGGACGACAGTGTCCCGGGGGAAAAGTGGCACAAAAGTGCTAAATACAATACAAGAGCAACCATAGTGGATTATAAAAGGCCCAAAAGGCCTCCTAAGCGATGGGACGACATCAAGCTGGGTGGCCTTATACCTCTATAAGTACGTAGAATGCACGAAGAAAAGGGCGATTGGTCATGAGATCGTGATTTAAGGCTGCAACTATCATTCCCCTTTTGGCAGTGCGCTGCACGATGATCAGAATCCGGGCCAAGCCAGGGTTGGAATAATGGCCGGAATGCCGCGCCTTGCCCGCGTGCTCGCATGCCAGGGGCATCTATTGGCAAGAAAGAATCGGACTGGTCAGGCGACATGAACGACTAATCAGGATGGTGACAGTGATGATCATTCATTATTTGCATAAATGAGAGGTAAGACAGGGACGGTTGCTTTTTTCAAAACGTAGAAGACGTTAAAAGTTAGGGCAAAATCCCTCTAAGCAGCAATGTCGATCACCTGATACGGATAACTTATTCTCTGATCGTCAGGGGCAGGGACTCTTTTCTTCTGCTCTTTTTTCTTACAATCCCTACTATGATCTTTTCATACCTTTGCTTGATCAATGTTGCTTCCGTCTTTTCCAGGAGGAGACTTTTATGTGATAGGTTGGAGAATAAGTGGAGGAATACCCTATATAGCTCCTACTATAGCACGGACCGCAAGGATGTTATCCAAGGAAAATGAAATTAACACAATGTTAGCACCCGATCCATGAGACTAAAAATAAATAAGACTGCACGTAATGTCTCGGTGCTTAATCCTAGAAAGGAATCTATATTCCGACGACCATGATAATCAACGGACCTGGAAAAGGGGAAGTTCGACCGCTCCAAACGCGCTGGAGAATAGCTCCGCTTGGATCGACATTTATTCCAATTTGCGCTTTTTCAATCTTGCCCTATAGGCTAATAATGTGGCTATAGGCACGTATTGAGCCTGAATTTGATGTCCCGCGGTCTTGGCTTCATCCTTCGGATGCTTCTAAGGACTTTTCCCTTGAGATTTTCAGCCCATAATTCGACCAATACTTCCACGCCTACCTATTACCTGCAAGCCATTGCAGTCTCAAAATTCAGTAAACGGTGCAGAGACGACTACCAGTTTTAGCCCAGACTAGAAGGATATTTTCGGAGCATTCCTTCGCAATCTGAAACAGGTCTTCTTCAGGGTCAATGGTGATGGGTTCATGAGAGTATTAGTGTCCAAGGGAATTTTGCCATGAGAGGCGACAGAAGAGGCAGCAGATATATGGCAAATCCCTTGGTAGTGAGTGGCATGCATCAGCCATCGGCAAAATAAGTTGCGCTTTCTTGTGTTCAATGAACGTTTTATCAGACTAATGACCAATCACAGAACCACTGATATATGAGGGAAACCAAAGAAAATCTAGTAAATACAGGAGCGCAAGCTAGCATCGTGAAAAAGTGCATCATTGGCACAATCCTCATTTCATAAGTCCTTAATCAACTATAGACAACAAATCTCTAACGTCTATTGACGAGGGAAACGTTTATATGTTTGTATGTTCATGTACTTTCTTTGATGACACAGATTAGTTGAAGTATCCAGGGAAGAGCCAGTTCATCTTCTTCGTGGCTTCGGGGCTCCAGTGGGATTGTGCAGTGCTAAGGCCGAACTTGACGGATCCTTCGACATGCTTGGCTTGTACGAGTTCGGAATTTTTGTCAGCAGCGAGCTCATCGAGGACGGCAGTCACGAAGTGCTTAGCATTCTCAGCGTTGGCCTTCATATTTCCCATGACCATTTCCACGGTGACGTCTGCGGTACCCTCATGCCAGCAGTCATAGTCCGTGGACATGCAGATCATCTGGTAGGCAATCTCGGCCTCACGAGCCAGCTTGGACTCAGGGAGACAGGACATGTTGATAACGCTGCCTCCCCAGGAACGGTAGAGCTTGCTCTCAGCACGGGTGGAGAATTGGGGTCCCTCTACGCGGAGTGTCAGTCACTGAATCCACCGAATCATATCGGACGAGTTACATACCCATGCACACCAACGTGCCGCGGTCATGCAGCACCACACCCTCACCCTCGAGGCTGTGGCCACAAGCCCTCACGATCTTGGCAACGCCCTCGTCAAAGGGGTCTCCGAACGGAACATGAGCAACTACACCTCCCTCAAAGAATGTAAAGGGCCGGATGCCCTTGGTACGGTCAATAACCTGGTCGGGAATCACGAAGTCACGGGGCTTGATCTCCTCTTGCAAGCTACCGACGGCCGAGAAGGCAACGATGGTCCGGACACCGATCGAGCGCAGGGCGGCGATGTTGGCACGGGCAGGCACCTCATGTGGCGCAATCTGATGGTGCGCACCGTGGCGACTGAGGAAGGCGACAGCGACGGTTTTCTGGTTGTGAGAGCACTTGTGGTGCAAAATCGTGATCGGGGAGGAGGGAGCACCCCATGGAGTCGAGATGTCCAAAGAAGCAACCTGAGTGAATCCAGGGAGTTCGCGAAGACCGGTTCCACCGATAACCGCGATCCGGACGGGTTCTGAAAAGGAAAATATTAGGATCAAGCAGATTGAGGGGATAGAAAAACGGTCGTTCACTCACCCGCGTAAGTGTTAGGAAGAGAACCCATTCTTTTGGCAAGTTGCTTGGCAGACTCGATTCTCCTGAAGGGCTTTTTGGTGAGGGTTGAGAGGTGACGGGAAAGACGAAACGAAAGCATTCGCGGAAATTCGCAATAAATTCTGAAGCGGGGGTTGATTTCCCCCTCTTATCAGATCCCCACGTGCTGTGTGCCTGAGGCATCCTCTGTCGTCTCTTCCAACAAGGCAACTTACTCCTTCCTTCTAAATTAAAAATGGTATCTACAACTTCCAAATACTCACTGCGGCTTTGGAGGTGTAAGTTGGAACACCATATATTATAGTACAGTCTACTTTTACTTGTAACAAGCAAGGAGTAGTTGTATTATATGCAACAAATGACATTGATTACTATATGCAATCAGCCACATACGGAAGCTCTAGGCTGGCCGCCATTCATAATGGTGTGGCCCCTTTTTAACAGGCCCAGGGTCTTCTCCCGAAACCCCTGGCTTGTAATATGCATGGGCGCCAAAGAGATCCATCTGTGCTTCCATAAATTTTGTGGGCAACATGGTCCCACCGGCGTACTTCAAGTACTCCAGGGTCGCAGAAATCGCCGGGATATATTGATCAGATAATGTCGAGTCGATCACGATCCGTTTGAGGGAGTCAAAGTTCCCCTTTAACTCTTGCGCTACGTCGTCAATGTCTTTCAAATTGGTATAATGCACGTCTGATTTCAGCAAAGGTTGCAGGAGGTCAGCAATAGCTTCGGACTGGATAATGCATCCTCCACGCCAGATCTGGAGACATTTGTTCAGATCAATATTCCATCCTTCGTCCTCAGAGGCCCGGGCAATCAGTTCGAGACCTTGGCAGAACGAGGAGAGGAAACAACAGTAGACTGCTCGACGCAAATCCTCAATGAAAAGCCTTCGGTCATCAATGCCCTCAATAGACTTGGGCTTTGGTGTTTGCAGCTTTTCGGCTACTCTTAGTCGTTCGGCACGGTTCCCACTGGCGATACGCATGTAATGACCTGTAGCAATAGTTGGCGCAGAAACATGGCGATTCGCCGTTTCCATGACACACCAATAAGGAGTTCCTTCGGTATCGTCGTCATCCTGTACAACTTTGTCGAGAACGTCATCAAGGACATATTCGTTCTGTTCACCGATTCCTTCGCCCTTACCGTCACCTTCGGGGCTTTTTCGCCTGTGACATATTTCGATTCCAATCTCCAACAGGAAGTTATTTCGTAATTCGCCCTTCTGATTCCACTCATCGAAGATATCCCCAATCTCGTCGTAGTTGAGGCCAAGTCCATAATAGAGGATAGACCAAGCCTCGGCAACTGCTGAGAGCATTCCACCCTCGATCCCATTGTGCACCATCTTGACAAAATGTCCCGAGCCCGCGGGGCCGACTCGAGCTACACACGGGCGGCCAGTCTTGCGATCCTTGGCGGCATAACGCTCCAGTAGCGGTAGTACAAGCTCGAGCGCCTTCTCATCGCCTCCCGGAGACAGACTGGGTCCACGACGAGCAGACTGGTACCCTCCAGAAACACCAGTCCCAATCCAACTCACCCCAATTTCTTCGCACTCCTTCTGTCTTCTTTCGGTACGCCGGTAGTGTTCATTCCCGCCGTCGAGAATGATGTCGCCTTCTTTCAATGCATGCTTGATCTTACTCAGAACCGAGTCTGCCGGGTCGCCATGGGTGATAGAGAAAATAAACAGCTTCCGTGCTCCTTGACCCTCTAAGCTCTTGGTGAATTCACCAATGTCTTCGAATCCTTCGATCTTCCCCTGTCCTTCGATGCTCTGGGCCGATTTCAAGAGCTGATCCACGTTCTCCTTTTGAACATCCCAGATGGAAACATCGTGACCGAGTTCGGAAAAGGCAAAGGCCATCATGGAGCCCATGTTCCCGGCCCCAACGATGCCAATGCGCTTGAATTGATCATGCATTATTGCGCTTGGAATGCGTCAAGATAAGATTATTTGGGAGATAAATAGTTAGATGTCGAAGATCGACACAGTAATTCTCGCTTACTTGAATAGCGCTGTGGCAATAATAATATGATTTATTCCCTAGTATTACATCATGTCAATAAACTGAACGTCACAATGAACTATCTTTTCATGATTAATCTATTCCTTGGATTTATTATAGCATCTTATTGAAAGGTCAAAGGTCAAGTGGATCGTCAAACCCTAACTCTCATCATTACATCATACCCTAAACAACTAATTAAGCTTGACTTCCACTTTATCAGACGAAGAGCGAGATAATACACAAGTACAGTATTCCAGGTACAATAAACCCAATATTGTACTTGAATCTCAATAATTGACTAAGAACTCCTAAACTAGACACATTTCTATCCCAAACATGGCTCCCGAAATCTCCCAAATCCCTTTCTCCTACCCTACCTGCTCAATAGGCTCCTCCAAATCCGACACCCTCCCCCGCAAGCTCGACGCCATCCACCAAGCCAGCTTCACCGGAATCGAGCTCTCCTTCCCGGACATCACCGCCTATGGCTCAACCCTCCTTGGTCATGAAGTGGCATCAGATAACTACCCCGAGCTCGTCACCGTCGCAAAGGAGATCCGCAAGCTATGCGACGCCAAGAACCTAAAGGTGATAATGCTGCAACCGTTCGGACACCTCGAGGGCTGGCCACGGGGGTCGAAGGAGAGGGAAGATGCGTTTAATAGAGCAAAGGGGTGGATCGAGATTATGCGGGCCGTGGGGACGGATTTACTCCAGGTATTTTTTTTTTCCTCTTTTGTTCTTCTTCCTTATTTTCGAGATTTGGCTTTAAGTAGCAAGGTTGTATAGACAGACACTAACGATGATTAAAATAAAATAGGTCGGATCAACAGATACACCACTCGACAAATTATCCGCCACACAAGAAAACATCGTCGCCGATCTACGCGAGCTCTGCGATCTCCTAGCGCCTCATAACATGCGCGTCACGTACGAGAACTGGTGTTTTTCCACGCATGCCCCGACCTGGAAGGACGTCTGGACGCTCATCTGCCGGGTCGATCGGCCGAATATCGGGCTCTGTTTGGATACGTTCCAGACGGCGGGGTCGGAATGGGGTGATCCGACTACGGTTACGGGGCGGGTTGAGGATTTAGCGGTTGAGGAGCTGGATCGGCGGTTTGAGAGGAGTATGGAGGAGTTGGTGCGCACGGTTCCCCCGGAGAAGATCGATCTATTCCAGATTTCGGATGCATATAGGCCGGTTCGGCCGATTGGGGAGTTCACGGCGGAGGGACTTTCGCCGCGGGGGCAGTGGAGTGGAGCGTATCGGCCGGTGCCGTATGGTGGGGGGTATTTGCCTATCGAAGTGGTTGGGAGGGCGGCGTTGAAGACAGGGTTTAGGGGGTGGTTTTCCTTGGAGATTTTTGATGGGGGTGCGGATGGGAAGGGGAAGGACTATGAGATGGGGGAATTTGCGCGGAATGGTATGGCGAGTATGAGGAAGTTTGTTGAGAGGTGTGCGGAGGGGATTTAGGAGAGTGTTTCTGTTTTGTAGATATAAATAGAGATGTGAGTTGGGATTGAGGAAAGGGTGGAAGCCCCTTGGAATTTCATTGACTGATATGGTATATACCTTCATATACAATGCCCAGCGAACTTTTGATCGCGGAAACAGATTCAGATAAACGCCAATATTTTATGCAGAAATTGACCCTCCAAATGAACAAACCAGATACGGATCGGGGAATACATAAACAAGAAAAGAAAAAACCATCATGACACAGTTTAGGCGTTGCTAGGGTAGGCAACGTTGTAGGTGGGGACGAACTCCTCCTTCATGGAACGCAAGCTGACGAAACGAGAGAGCAGGTTTCCGCTGCCCGCCTTGTCGTTGGTGCCACTGGCGCGAGCTCCGCCGAAGGGCTGCTGGCCAACAACGGCGCCGGTGCTCTTGCAGTTGATGTAGAAGTTGCCTGCCGTGTTGCGTAGAGCGTCATCCGCCTGGCGGAGAACCTCGCGGTCCTGCGCGAAGACAGCTCCGGTCAGACCGTACTCGCCGGTCTGGTCGATCTTCTCACAGATCTTGGTGAAGTCGGCATCGGTGGCGTCGTTGTAGGTGTGGATGACCAAGATGGGGCCGAAAAGCTCGCGGGACAGAAGAGGGTGGTCGGGGTTGGTGGTGTGGTAGACAGTAGGCTGGATGTACCAGCCTTTGGAGGAGTCGTAGCTACCTCCGGCCAGGAGCTTGAGCTCAGGATCGTTCTTAGCCTCATCGATCACCTTCGCCAACTTATTGAAAGAAGCCTCGTGGATGACGGGGCCGCAGAAGTTGGTGAAATCGGTTGGCTCACCGACCTTGATGTTCTTGGTCTCAGTTGCAACCTGCTCGAGGAACTGGTCGGCGACGGAAGAGGCCACATAGGCGCGAGAAGTAGCACTGCACTTCTGTCCCTGGAACTCGAAGGCTCCACGGACGGTCTGGACGGCCGCATTGCGAATATCGGCCGACTTGTGGATCAGGTGGAAGTTCTTGCCACCAGTCTCACCAACAATGCGAGGGTAGCTGCGGTACTTGCCCTCCGCAACGCGGTTGGCGATCTGGCCGTAGAGGCTACGGAAAACGCTAGTGCTGCCGGTGAAGTGGAGAGCAGCGAACTCGGGGTGGTTGAGGACAGTGTTGGTGACCTCCTCAGCGTCTCCAGGAACGAACTGGATGACGTTCTTGGGGAGACCAGCCTCCAAAAGGATCTCGTGGACGAGCCAGTTGGATGCAATGGCGGAAGGCGAGGGCTTCCAGATGACGACGTTACCCATCAGAGCGGGAGCACCAGCGAGGTTGCCACCGATCGCGGTAAAGTTGAAAGGACTGATCGCATAGACGAATCCTTCTAAGGGACGGTACTCCACACGGCTGTTCCTGTTAGTTGCAGTAATAGGAATCTTGCAGGTATGATACTCACTTCCAAACACCAGGGGCGTTGTGAACTGGCTGCTGAGCGTACAAGTCCTCGGCGTACTTGACACCGAAGCGGAAGAAGTCGCACAGCTCGGCGGCAGAGTCGATCTCGGCCTGCCAGGCGTTCTTGCCCTGTCCGTGCATGGTCAAGGCCATGATGTCGTAGCGATACTTGGTCGAGATCAGATCAGCCGCCTTGAGGAAGACGCTTGCGCGGTCAGCGAACGAGGCCGAAGCCCATGACTTGCGGGCCTCCAGGGCGGCCTCGATGGCTGCCTGGACATCAGATGCGGTGGCGTGGGAGTATGTGGCCAAAGGAGCATGGGTCGCGGGGCTCGCCTGGGTGAAAGTTTCAGAGCTCTTGATCTGTGTCGTCTGTTAGACATAATTTTATGGAATTCTTGTTGGGGTTCGTAACTAACCTCCTTGCCGGCAATCACCAGGGGGACATTGAGGGGAGCGTTTTGCTTGTGCTTCGCCAGAGCATCCTCGAGACCTTTGCGATCGGGGGTACCAGGAGCATAGTGTTTCTATCCAATGTCAATAGAGAGAAAAGCGGAGGCAATGGCAAGTTGAAGCTCACGTTGGGTTCGTTGTCGATGCGAGGGACCTTGAAGGTGGCGTATGATCCCATCGCCCGGGTGCTGGACCGGGCGAATGCGGATTTGGCCAATGGAAGGCCCCTAGCACGCAGAAGTAATGACGACTGCATTGTAAGCAAACTCTTTCAATCTCCTGTCCTGATAGAAAGGGGGTGGATGAGTTCAAGGAGAGAGAAGAAGACTGAGGAGAAGGAGAAGAGGAGAAAAGTCGAGGACTGCGGGGAAGCTGTCGGATTTAGTAGCGGTGTTAGTCAGCTATATTAACCGGCAATTATCAGTTTATTTTTTAATTGGAATTTAGTTACAATTAGTTTTTTTTTCTTTAATTTTCTGCTTGATACATCTCGTTTGTACCAGTACAGCAGGTCGCGCATAGTTCCAACCTTTTCGGGGGTATTGATACGGTCCGGTACAACATTCCGGGTGGAACGTTGAACCAACCGGCCCGGCATTGCATTTTCTATTATGTAGGAAATTGAACATGCTCCCATAGTCGGCCTTTTTTGATCCTTCGGTGCCGGTAATTGATATGACAATATTATTTTGCTAAAATAATCACCATTACTATTATTCTATTAAAGGGATTCTGCATAACATTGTATCTTTCTTTCTGTGTTTGCACATAACCTCATTTTTTTTTTGTCTTCCCCGCATTTTAGGCTTGCACATGACGTAGTTGCTCACGTGGGGAAATAAACCCTTGTGTTGAATTGAATCCTTCAACTCCTGCCAAGTCAACACAACATTCTACTTCCAACTATTATGAGGCATGCTTACGTCTACATCAGAGGATCATTGGATGAGGGCGAGTCTTTAGGTGTTGCAATCCACCGAGGATCTTGGGGTACACACCACTCCAGGTTAAAGGCTAGTTGATGGCGAAGCACATGATCATGCAAGATGGCAAAGCGAACATCATTATTTAATGCAGAGCTCGAAGATTTTGTAGGTCACTTGAAAGTATGACCAGAAAACATCCAACCACATGTATACACGCACTGCTTGCTTCTTGGACTAGCTGTATAGGCCGAGACTGTCCAGAATTCCCCAATTAGGTTAGGGAGTAATAAGGCACATTAGTCTAGCTGTCGGTGCATCGTCGCCATCAATTCTTGCCAGCAACATATCATGTTACATCCGTGTACTTGGCGTGAATCTTCCAGAAGGACAATGTTATTGGTGGCATGGTGCAGGGACATTCCCCAAGCCACTTAAGCGTGTGGGGTATCTGATAACTTTACTACCCCAGGGTATTTCGCTTATCGCTACAGGGGAGGATACCGGCGTGGAGGGAACGCATGGATTTATCGAATGCCGATATATCCGTATAGTTAGTTGCGTGGGGTTCACACCAAAAATCCAGTACCTGTCCATGGTCAACTATCTATCATCCTTTCTTGCCCACCCACTTTTCTTTCTTTTCTATCGGATCGTACAATATCTCCAAAGTAGGGGGAATAGTTTCAAAGTGCACCCAGTACGTATACCCCTGCCGATTTGTGGGATAGTCCTAAAAAGCTTGGAAGTTCATTTATGTTCCTGATTGGAACCGTAATGGGTTGTATCTCAGCTTATCTACGACCTTCACAGCGATCCCCAATGTTAGACTAAGGTCTGCAGGACGATCTTAGGTAACATGCCAACCGGCTGGCGTCGGACTAGAGTACCGGCAGCGATTATGAGTGGTTAATGAACCGGGCCGGTCAAGCAGCTTAACCTCCGGTGGAGAACTGCCCCCGGCCCGTGAACCGGTCGGAAATCTTAAAGGTAATAATGGAAATTCGCCCCATTCAAATGGTTCGTCCGGTTTCTTATCAAGAATCCACAGAAGAGATAAGTTATCAAGAACGCCGCGTGACGCTGTATTACTAGGAGGTCAGCAGCGATGGGATCAGCGGTGCTTTTGAAAGATTCCAGACAGACCCTGATCAACAAGAAGCTTAAAATAGACCTGATGCCGTCCCCGAACTGCACAATAGAGATCTTAAGTCTGGGTTTAGTTATTTAAAACTTACAGTAGTCGTCGATCTTAGGGGATCACGGAATGTAGATCAGGGCTAGAAACTTTCCGTAACGGTATTGATCCAGCTGTAACGGCGCCACTTTCATGTCACACGCCAGGTAATAAATCTTTTAGTCATTGCCAACCAACTGGAATATTTTTTTCTTTTTTTTACCCTTCAGGTTCTGTTCATTTGACCGGCTGGCAACGCGGTTTCCACCGGCTATCTCCTCATTAATCCCCTTTAATGACCCTTTACCATAATCATGAAAGTGTTATCCAAAAGATACCGGTTTAAATTTTCCCCTCATTCCCGGTGGGTTCCACTACAAGTACTTATTCGTAGGCTCGTACCTTTATTCTCTACTTAAACATCTTCTGCCTGCTGGATTTGTTTACAACCCATACATATCCTTCCCAATAATCAACCAACCCTACAACAATGAAGGCAGCACGTCGTCCTTTGCGCCCACTCTCTGGCGTCTCATCATCGGTCCTTACCGCGAGATACGTCAGCCGCACCAGTAATCCCAAGTCATCGGTGGCAACCTCGACAACCACAACGAACAACGTGTGGCAACAAGCTCCCCAGTCCTCCAAGGAGCTCTCCTCCCCTCTGGCCAAACTCCCGCTCTCATCGGTTCTGCGGTCCCTGTTGATCCTGTCCGTCTCGTCTTCCTCGATCCTTCTGCAGCCATGCATCAAGACACTGTCGATGCTGGCACATCCCAAGACTGCGGTCCTGGATGTGGCCAAGAACCCTCTCCTGAATTTCCTCATCAAGCATACCATCTACAAGCAGTTCAACGCTGGCGAAAATAAACTCGAAGTCCAGCGGTCGATTGAAGATATCAAACAGCTTGGATACCGTGGCGTGCTCCTCGGCTATGCCAAGGAGGTACTTGTTGGAGAGAGCAATGTGGACCCGAAGGATGTGCAGGCAGCTCAGGCGGAAATCCAGATGTGGCTGGATGGAACCTTGCAGACGGTCGATATGGCCCAGGAGGGAGATTTCGTCGCCCTGAAGTATGCTCCCTATTCCCCTAGCTCCAAAGCAAACATAAACTAACCCTTCTAGATTTACCGGCATGGGTACTCAGGCTCTTGAAATCTTGCAGCAACGGGCTGCACCAACCGATTTCATGGACCGTGCGATTCAAAAGGTCTGCGATTTGGCTATCTCGCGGAACGTTCGCCTACTAGTGGATGCGGAGGAACAGGCTGTTCAGCCGGGTATTGAGGAATGGACCATGAAGTACCAGAAATACTGCAACTCTCAGACTCCGGGCCGTGCCATCTTCTACAACACTTACCAGGCTTATCTCTGCTCAACCCCGACTACCCTCGCCAGGCACCTGGAAATCTCTCGTCAGGAAGGATACACTCTAGGTGTCAAGCTAGTCCGTGGCGCGTATCTCAAGACTGAGCCCCGTCACCTCATCTGGGCCACAAAGGAGGAAACGGATGAGTGCTACGATGGTGTTGTGGAGGCCCTTCTGACCCGGAAGTACAACTCGATGCTCAAGTCTGCGTCTGAGAAGCACCACACTGACCTGCCATCTGTTAACGTCATCATTGCTACCCACAACCGCGATTCCGTTCGGAAGGCCCACGCTATTCGTACCGAGCAGGCAATGAAGGGAGAAAGCCACGGCGTTGATCTGTCCTATGCTCAGCTCCAGGGAATGGCTGACGAGGTCAGCTGCGAGCTTCTGCAAGGCTTCCAGAGTGCCGAGGTGATGAAGGGTGCCTCTATGGAATCGCCCAACGTATACAAGCTTTTGACTTGGGGATCCGTCAAGGAATGCATGGGCTTCTTGATGAGACGCGCTATTGAGAACACCGAGGCTGTTGGGCGTACCAAGCAGTCGCAGGAGGCGATGTTCGAGGAACTCAAGCGCAGGGCCCGCCTGGCGTTCCGCCGCAGCAACTGATTACTTTTCCCCTTTATTCATTCACTTTTATACTTCCTTTGCTTCTGGCGTGGCCTTATTTTTGTTTACACTTTCGATTCCCTCACGCCCTGTTGTCGGGCAAATTGCATATAGATGGCGTTAGCAACTCGGGTTTGGCGAAAATTAATGAATGGTAACGAAATTAGACACAATTATTGTCCACTGATTCATACATATATATGTACTTTTATCCTTGTAAAAAGATAGCTCTAACTCGACTGCATTAGCCGGAAAACTAAGTACCCCGCGCGTGATATTTATGATCAATTTCCCGCCGGAATCGGTCTTCACTGATAAAACCCCACGCTGGCCACATCGAAACTAATTAATAATACTACCCATTCTTATCAAACACTCCTTGCAGGGTTCGATATTGACTTGGAGTTACCTCTGAGTACATATTCGTTATTCTCAAATCAATTAGGACAGCAGACCTCTATTGAATATTTCACCAAGGTCAAGTAACCAATCTTGCACTTGTTCCAATGCATCTCTTACCCGAACTCGCAGTTGCCCGTATGCTAAGAGAGCTGAGTCGGGAACAATGTTATACGCTTCTTGATGCTTTATCCGAAGCGTTAGTGAAGGTGTCGGCTCAGACGACAACCCCCGAGCCAAAGCGACTCATTCATCAACCACTTCGCACATCTATTACAACCAAAGACCAAAACTTATCGCTCTTCATGCCCGTGTCGGATACTTCGAATACAGGAATCAAGATCGTAACACTCTCCCAAAGACAAGGTCCTACTGGAGTCATCAACATCTTCTCGCCCGAGGGCAAATTGCTAGGTTTACTTAGCGCTACAGAAGTCACCGCATTCCGCACTGCCCTTGCGGTCATGACACTCTTTGTTCGCTGTCATTCATTGAAGAAAGAGAATATCGTGATCTTCGGCGCTGGGAGACAGACTGAGTGGCATGCGCGGCTTGCACTCCTCCTCGTCCCGGAACAGGTCCGCAGCATTACGCTTATAAACCGGGGTCGGAAGAGGCTAGATGAGATGAAAGATATTATTACAGCGCTGCAAGTCCAACATCCTAATGTTGTGTTCAAGACTCTGGCGAAAGAGGATACGCCGGACTATCAGGAACAGCTTCGTTCCGCACTGGCATCGTGCGATGTCGTCTTCAGCTGTACTCCCTCCACAGAGCCCAACTTCCCGCATTCCTACCTCCAGCCATTCAGGCAGCGATTTATCTCTCTCATTGGCTCGTACAAGCCTCATATGAAAGAGATTGACTCGGAGACTCTCTTTTCTGGCGGGAACAAGATCTATGTCGATTCGAAGGAGGCATGTCTAGAGGAGGCAGGCGAGCTCATAGAGGCGCAAGTAAAGAAGGACCGGTTATTAGAGGTTGGGGAAGTGTATGGGAAGCTTGGAAAGTCGGATCCGATTGTTGTACCGGACGAGCATAATGTGGTGTTTAAATGCGTGGGAATGGGAATCATGGATCTCGCCATTGGAAAGACACTGTTGGATCTTGATAAAGAGAAGGGACTGGGAATGGAGGTTGATGGGTTCTAGATTAATTAACTTCGAGAGTCTATGGGGAGAGCCAATGAACTTTTAAGGGGTTAGAATGAGTTAGGAGGAACTCTGCTCAAATATATACATATATCTCTGCAGTCAGCATGCGATGTATATAATTATACTTCCACTGGCAATTGTTTTCAATACCAGACCTGGTATTTGGTACAATAGTGGTCCCCCAGATTCAGGTTATCTTTCCCATGCGGGGCGGTGTAATGACGGTAATTCCGCGTGCTTATCAAAGTGGAAATTTCACTCGAACTTCCAATCAGACTAATTGTCCGTACGCCTCGAAATAGTACTTTTCTCTCCCTCCTTTCTTATAGTGCCGCTCACCCTTAGCTTCCACTCTCACTCTCCCCTCCTATTGTTATTGGTATATCCTTACCATGCTCCCTCTTTTACTCTGGCCCCCTTGACCTCTTGCCCTACAATTTATCCATGGACAGTGGTCTCCCGACGCCCGCTGGACCGGGCCAGCAGAAACGACCCCGCGTCTCCGAAGAAAACCGCAAACGAGCCGTTCGAGCGTAAGTAATCTGTCACGTGTGCTCTTGAATCCTAGTATTAATCACGGTCTTTGTAAACTAACATAACAAATCCTGGTTGTTAGTTGTGATGGCTGTCGCCGTGTAAAGGAGAAATGTGAGGGAGGAGTACCTTGTCGCAGATGTTTGCGCTATCGTCGCCAATGCGTATTCACCCATCCCGACCATGCGGAGAAGGTCTCTCGGTCCTCGTCGATCTCGTACGACCCCAAACTTTTTTTTTTTTCGCTTAGCCTCTGAGCTTCGATATTCTGATACTATGTCACACTTCTAGTCTCCTCGAACGAAATGCTGGTCTCAGTCGACAGAATTTGGTGGACTCGGAACGAATTCGGCACATGGAACGGATCCTGCAGCATTATGTTCCGAACATCTCCTTCGACATTCAGTCCCTTCGAAAGACCGCCGAAGAATTAAAGCACAGGCATCGTCACTCATTCACCGAAGGGAGTCCTTCGGTCCGTCTTGATGAAGAAGATTTTGAGGATTTGGCTATCGACGATGAGGATTATGTGGTGAATGCTCTACCGGACAATACAACACGTGCGTTCTGCCGTTTGAACTTGCATTTTTTTTTGTGGTTTTCTCAAGGATATTCGCGTGCATGGGTTCATTTTCTAATTTGTGCGACTGCAGAGTACTCCGGGGAATTTTCTTATCTAAACTTTTCCATGAAAATCAGAAGAAAGATTGATGAATGGATGCAAACAGCTGCACCAGAGGTAAGACCACTCCGCTTTCGCCGGATATACCACTAACTAGTCCGAGAAGGCGTCTACCGAACCAGAACCATTTGAAGAGCGTTGGCGCGCGACACAGCTCCAATCGAGTTCCTCCTTAGTGTCGGCATCGATCACTTGTCTCCCGCCCCGTTTCGTGGCCGATTTCCTCGTTCAAATATTTTTCAAATATGCGCAGACCAATAATTTTTATGTGGAAGAAGACTGGCTGCGAGAGAAGCTAAACATTTGTTATACCAATCCCTCGAGCCTCTCATCCAATGATGCTGGCTCCGTATGTTCCATCCTGATGGTCCTGGCCGTTGGGACACAATTTGCCCATATGGAATCCGCTAGCCCGGTCAACCGGTCGACAGCCGACCTATCGTCAATTGAGGACCATCATTTCTCGGAAGATGAAGTCGGTCTCACATTTTATCAGTTCGCTTCGAAGCTGGTTCCGGATATCCTTGCCACAGTCTCCATTCGTAGCGTACAAGCTTGTTTACTGATCGGGACCTATCTGTTACCTCTCGATACCTCAGGTCTTTGCTACACTTACTTCGGTCTAGCCCTTAAAATGGCCATCCAGAATGGCATGCACCGGCGGTATCAGGGTGAGGGGCTTTCCCCTCGCATGATTGAGGTGCGCAATCGGGTTTTCTGGACAGCCTACACCATTGAGAAGTGAGCACCCCGTGTCTAGTATCCTCAATATCGTACTGACTCTGTCTAGACGTGTCAGTATTCTTCACGGGAGACCTGTATCCTTGTCAGATGCGGATGTGGATGCCGCAATGCCAGTTGATTTTCCTGGCTTAAACCTGATAGGACAGGTGTCAAACCACACCAATATGGTGACCTTGATCACTTTGACTCTTAAACTTGGTGAAACCGCTAATGAAATGTATGTGCTCATATTGTTTTCTCTGATTCAAACAAATTCTAACGGCCGGACTAGATCTCTCTTGCGGAAATCCCGCAAGGCTCAGCAACAGGACTGTCTCGAACGACTACTCAACCTGCGGAAGAACCTGGTGGATTGGTGGGGTACATTACCTGAAGTGACGGATTGTCGAGACCTGAACCCCACGGGGCCACTATTCCGATCCAATGTTCACTTGAAGCTAGATTATTGTCTGACTCGCATCTTTATTGGACGTCCGTTTCTCTTCAGCAACATGAAGATCCTCAATCCAACCACTCCCCAAGCCGCACCGTTTAAGACACCTTCAGGTGTCTCGAAGAATAGGTCTACGCTTATCACGGATTGTGTAGAGGCTGCCCTGGAGATCATTAACCTCTGTCAGCTTCTCCGTGACGAGTCAGGTCTCGCTCGGGCGTCTTTCACCGAGTTTAGCTCTTGTCGTGCGGCTCTCCTCGTGATCCTGGCCCAGAGTTTGACAAAGCGAACCGAGCGGTTGCGCGAAGCACTCGAAAAAGGTATGGTCTTGATCAAAATTATGTCAATGGGTGTGGGCTCCGCGCGCTCTGCCGTCAGTGTGATTGAGACACTTGAGAGAGCAATTCGCCGCCTCGAAGATTGGAGTGAAAGACAAGCACCAGACAACGCTGGTTCCTTGGAGTCTGCCTACGATCGTTTTAAAAACTGGGAAATGCTCTGGAAAACCGGACCAATGTCACCTGAGCTTGTTCCTTTCCAGGAGCAGTATCCAGCAGGAAGAAGCAGCATCCCCCCCGTACCTGTTACACCAATGACCGGCACTTCCGGTGGCAACGACCCTATGGAAGGCGACATGGCAAATACAGAAATCACCACATTATCGGATTACTCCGCCTCTCATGCGACGTCGCTACCTCAAATGCCCCGTTTTGGTTTCGATCATTTTGTGTCCAACTTTCCGCAAGAATTGGATGAGTTTACTGCCATTCCCTGCTTTGAACCTGATGCGCAGCAAAGTCTTGCTAGCGACATAAGCAACCCGGATACGAAGTGGATGCAGTTTACCAATGATTAACTGGATTTGCCGTTAGTTATTGTCCTGAGTGCATATTATGGTTTCTGCGGTGAGGTGCGGTTAGTTTATATAATGCCATTGATTTAGCGCGGCGGTGCCATTTTACACATGGTTCAGTTATTGAGGAATTTGCTGTTGATAGTAGTCGATACTCTACCGTCTATACAAGATACCTAGATAGTACATATTGAATGTTTGTTCATTGAACCAGAGCCTACCAACACTTGTAGCATATTGTAAACACGACACGCAACGCATATATGCGGGTATAAATTTAATCGAAAGTGACCTTCTTACCCTGGAATGAGGCCATAGTCTTCTGTTCTTTAGCCCGCTTGGCTGCCTCCCAGGAAGGATGCAACGGCTTGTCATCCTGGGGCATTCTATTCTGTCTAGGAGGACCACGCTGAGGACGATCTCCATAATGTTGAGGCCTCCCAACTGCACTTCGTACCGGGCCGCGCCGTCCCCTTGGGCCTTCAGAGCCATCCGTCGCACCCCGACGCAGATCCCAGCCACGATCCCGACTCTGCTTTGGCTGCTGCTTTAGATGGTTTGCTCCCGTACCATACTTCTTTTCCCACAAGGCGCGACGCGCCTGCTGGCCCATCCTGTTCTTCCGACGTGGTTGCTCCCCTTCGATATCTTCCGGTTCAGATTCGGAGCCGGAGAAGTATCCACCCATAGTTAAGGAAGGGAGGAATGTTGTGCTAGTAGCCGGAGTACTTGATGTCTTGCTAGTCTTGGCCTTTTTCTTCTTAGCTGGTGGAGAGTCCGGCGATGGAGACCGGGAAATAGACATTTCAGAATGCGCGTTCAGATCCACGCCACCATCGTCACTCGCGGAACCATCTTCCCTATCCTCACCCTCATCCTCTGAGCCAGACGCAAGCCTTGAATCGAATTGCGCAAAGTCTATGCTTTCGGTATCGCTCATAACTGTATCTCCCTCCTTGTCGTCAGACTCCGCAACCCGTCTCGAATCCTCCGGTTCACTATCCGACACGGATATAGCCCGTTGTGCAGTCTTGGTCTTAGGCGCATTTACTTTTTGTCCAGCATCTTTGCCCTTCTCCTTCTTCCCACCTGCAACTTCCTCCACCCCCAGCACCTTTCTGATATCGGTCATGACATTCGGAAACACATTCTTCACCGGATTAGACTTATACAACCGCGCAGTAACATTCGCCTCAGCCGTACTCCGCGGACTCTCCGCAGAAATTTTCTTAGATTCTTGAAACTGAACAAAAGCAGGCGCCTCGGCGATCCGTTTCGTCTTGACTAGCTGTTTATAAAGATATTTCTGCGCCGTAGCGACCGGGTCAAGAGTCTACCATAAGAATCACAGTCAGCATGTAACCAGTTCAACCCCGCACCACTACAGGGCCGCACAAAGAGAGAGATGAATAGAAATATGAACCTTGATAAAGGCAACTTCCTCCGCAATTCTCTGCAACGTCTCCGAACTCCCCTGCGCCTTTGCGGTTTTTTCTCTTCTCCCTAATTTTTGTCTCTCGAACCCCCGGGCGGTCTTGAGCGCACGCGATAGGAGGATGACGCCTTGCTCGAACTTTTGCGTCAGTCGCATGGTTTGGACGTTGTATGTGCGCTCTTTGGGAGCAGAGTCCCGGTCGGAGAGTTTGCGTTTGGGCATTTTAGTTGTTGTGTCGATTTTGTTGTCGGCTGCTGGTATATGTGAGGTAAGGAATTAGAAGATTATGATCCAGTTGGTTTGAAGTATAGTAGTAGTCGTTGCGATGAGTGGTAAGGTATTGTTCGTGGATGACGGGTCTTGTTCTAAGAATTATTTCTTTTTTTCTTATGATGCGGATAAATGCCCGTGCCAAGAAGTGGATTCGTTGCTACACTTTCTGTTTTGACAAGGATTTTCTCACTAGTTCCCTAATTTCCTCTTATTATTATCTTACCAATTAGTCTCTGGTGATTGGATAAGGGGTCTAGATCTAATTGATTAAACTACTGTGATTTTTGGCATGTAGTAGGTGGTATATGGATTTTAATTGCCTTTTCTGTAGTTCTGGCTTTTAGATTTTTATTGCGATACGCTCTTGACCAAACAATTGCACTGAATTCACTCGTAGAGGTATGTACATACAAATAGGAAAGGAAATACGAATACATGGCTCTATTTCTTTTCCTCCGGCTTCTCCTCGGGCTTGGGGGTAGGAAGCTTGAACTAATCCAACCAGTTAGCAAGAGCAAGTCAATCCCGAATTGTAGCTAACATACCGACTCGGGGGTCCTGTCCTGGCCCGGTCCGACAGCCTCCCAGGCGGCAGTACCACCCTCGAAGTTCCGGAAAGCTTGTGTAAGCTCAAGAGGCTCAATGACAATGCGCTTCTTCTCTTCATCCCATCGGAGCTCAGTGTAACCGGTCAAGGGGAAGTCCTTGCGCAGAGGATGGCCGTCGAAACCGTAGTCGGTCATGATACGACGCAGATCGGGGTGGCCGGTGAAGAAAACACCGAACATATCGTACACCTCACGCTCGTACCAGAGAGCTCCCTCGAACAGACCAGTGACACTGGGGACCGGAGTAGCCTCGTCGGCGTAGGTCTTTACGCGAATGCGAGAGTTGTGACGGACGCTAAGCATGTTATAGACGACCTCGAAACGCTGGTCCTTTGTAGGGTAGTCGACGGCCGTGATATCGGAGATCTGGGTGAACTCGGCGGCGGTGTGGTACTTCAGGAAGCTCATCAATGGGATAACGCCCGAGGGGGGAACGTGGATGGACAGTTCATCCTTCCACACGGAAAACTGCTGGACGTATTTGGGCAGGCAGGACATGATGTACTGGCCGTACTGGTGTAGGGCATCGGCCTTATCCTGATACTTGTCGGCAGGGTTGACGACGGGGGCGCGAAGGGCACCCTCAGCTGTAGAGAGTCAGTCAATTGCATTCCGCTTCAGCGCAAGTCATGAAATCCAGGCCACACGTACGAGGACGCTGAGCCTGGCGCATGTTAGGAGGCTCGGGAATGGACTCCTTCAGCAGAGGGGTCGTTGAGAAAGGACGGCACATCCGGGACGACCGCGCGGCCGAAGCCAACGAACGGCCAGAGCCCAACCGCAGCAGAGAGCGAGCAGAGGCCATGGTAGATGGCAATTGCGGATGAGAGGCAACGGGGAGGAGGGGAGACAGCGGAGATGCTCGTCATCCATTCCCAGGGAGCTTTTCCTCGAAGTTGGACGGTGGTGATCACGTGCGGGATGACATAAGCCACGGGCATTCTTTGGGAGCGTGCAAGAGTGCAAACGAAGCAAACTGGTGCAAACCCAACCAAAGCTTCACTTCTCTTTCTCTTTCGCCTTCAAGTCTCCTCTTCTCCCTGCTCTTGTCCGCGTCTGTTACTCTCCCCACGTTGTCGATCTCTCTCTAGATTCCCTCAATTTTCCTACTTCTTCTTTCTCTTCTGTCACCCAGAGGGTCTCCTTCGCTGTCTTATTACGTTTTTCTCTTCTCTTCCTCCTTCCCACCCCCCGGTTGGTTGATGAGTACTAGTCTTTTAATTCAACAACCGTCTTTCTAGATTGTCCCTCTTCTCACACCCCCCACCAGCCATGTCAAATCGTCAACAGATAGACTCTGTCATCGATGATGAGGACGAGTTCTGGTACGTACTGCGTCGTTGGGCTGGAAAAGTGAATCTGGTTGGGCTGACAATACTTTGTTTCTGTAGCCCCCTTTGCATCGAGGAATTCGACCTGTCCGACAAGAACTTTAAGCCATGTCCTTGTGGATACCAAGTACGTTATTCGGCCACCCTGATAATTGTTGTCGCCAAGTGAAATCCGCGACCCCACGTATGCGATTTGGCAAGGCACTGACAGGAACAACTAGATCTGTCAATTCTGCTACAACAACATCAAGACCCACAGTGAAGAAGGCCGTTGCCCCAACTGTAGACGGGTCTACGATGACAGCACTATACAGTATAAGGTTCCCGATGCAGATGAGTGAGTGCTAGTCCCTTGCAATTCTGAGACGTTCCTTTGGCCCAGCGGTTCTTGGCGCTAACTGCGGATCCCGCAAAACTAGATTTAAAGCGGACTTGGCATTAAAACATCGAAAGGCTGCCGCTGCGAAGAAGAAGGAGGCGGAAAAGCGCGAGATCGAGGCTTCGAGTCGGAAGAACTTGGCCGGCGTAAGGGTCGTGCAAAAGAACCTTGTCTACGTGATTGGCCTCAACCCCACCATACGCGACGAAAGTCAGCTCCTCCAGACGCTTCGCGGACGGGACTATTTCGGTCAATATGGAGACATCGAAAAGATTGTCGTCAGCAAAGCGAAGCCCGGTGGCAATCCCAACCAAGGCATCGGTGTCTACGTCACGTATTCGAGGAAGTCGGACGCCGCAACCTGTATCTCTTCGGTGGACGGGTCTGTAAATGGTGACCGTGTCTTGAGGTATGTCCCTTCTCAATGACTCACCTACGGGACAACTGGATTATTGACTTCAATAGGGCTCAATACGGCACGACGAAGTATTGCTCCTCATTCCTGCGCAACGAACAGTGCCATAATAGAAATTGCACCTTCCTGCATGAGACGGGCGAGGACAGCGAAAGCTATAGTCGGCAGGATCTTTCCTCCATGAACACCCTTTCCAGTCAACGTCCGAACGGCGCGCCCAGTGGACTCAGTCATACGTTCCCCCCACATGTCGCCCGTTCGTCCGCAATGCCGTTGTCACAACCAATGCGCCGTCAGCCGAGTAAAGACGACGCTGTCAGCAGCCGTCCTCCTGATGGGTCCGCCCTTCCTTCCTCGGCGAGCTGGGCGAACAAAGACTCAGCGATCAATCGCACAAGGCGGGCAAGCCTTACTGGTAGCCAAGCGTCTCAAAGCCCACGACCCGCAAATGCTACGGTTGTGACTAGTATAGAGGAGCCGAAGCGTGCCGACAAACAACCCGCAAATGTTTCCGCAATTGTTCCAGAACGCCGCCAAACTCCAGTGCCGGAGCCACTGTCTTCCACTCCTGAATCTCCTGTTGAATCTCACCCACCAACTGACACGGAGACTCCCTTATTTGAGAACTTAATCAAGGCAGTTAATTCACCTGATTTCAAATTTGTCTTTTCGGCGGCTGGTCTGCCGGCAGAAGAGGTTGCTCTCATTGAGAATCACCCTTCCTTCATCGACCCTTATGGTGGCGTAAAACGTCGCGCTATGCGGGAGAAAGCTGAGCAGGAGCGTGCAAAAAGAGAACAGGAGCTACTTCTGTCGGCTGCTGCTGAAGAAGAAAATCGGGAAAGCGGCAGCCTTCAGCTTGGCGGCGAGCCAGATGATGCCCATCCCCCAAGAGGTCGGGGTTCGCGGGAGTCACACGGTGCTATTCAGCCTCCTTCGCAGCAAGGCACTACAACCAACTCCGTGGTCGGCTCCCCGGTTTCTGCGACGAGTCATCAGTTCCAGGGACTGAATCTGGCCGGCCGGAGTTTGACTCCTCTGCAACAGCAGCAACTGATGCTACTTAAGTCTGCGAGCAATCAGCAGGCCGGCATTGTGGACCCATTGCAGAGTGGAATAAGCTCCGCCGCCTTCGATCAGGCTGCACAGGTTCGCCAAGGTCTTCTGCAAAACCAAATGGTAGCACAATTAAACGCCTTGCAAGCCCAGAATCGCCAGAATTCCCGCTTCTCCTTCAATAATGATGCCGGCTCAAAGAACCTTCCAAATGTTAGAATGCTAAGTCAGCAGGCGTCCTTGATGCAATCTGCGACTCCCAACCCGCTTGCTGCACCCAGTCCTCAACATGGACTAGCTAGCAACTTCTACACTAGTGGCGTTCAAGGCCCGCCTCCAGGCCTGAAGACGGCTGGCACACCTCCCATCAGCGGAGGAGGAATGTTCGCTCAGGGTCACGGTTTTACTACGAACTCTAACCTCGGCCTGGGTGGTAATATTGGGAAACAGGAAAACCCGGAATTGATGCGCGAGCTGCTTCGAAGTCGTAGTGGTACAAATGCTAGTGGTTTACAGGCACAGGATGCCGCTAAGCGTGAGTTCATGTTTCCTTTCCTCCAACAGCACCAAACTCCCCCTCCCCTGACTCCTGCGAACGGCCTTCTCAGCTCTTTCTATGGCTCTCAGACGGGGAATTTCTCCGAGTCTGGGCCACAGAAGCAGAAGAAGAAGGGGAAGAAGCACAGACACGCTAACACTTCCTCCGGTGGAGGCGGTGTAGTAGATCTTGCGGACCCGAGTATCCTGCAGGCGAGGATGCACCAGGTGGGTGCGAATACTGCTGCTGGGCAAGCACTTTATGGGAGTCAGGGTCAAGGTGGGTACAATCACACTATGATGTACGGAGGCAACTTCAACAACCGCTGGTGATGGTTGTTCGCCTTCCTCTTTTCTATAATCCTCTCTGTTTTTTATTCCTGTTCTTGTTGTTATGATGACCACCCTCTTCCATCTCATTTATGCGGATTGCGTTTCTCCTTAACTTCATGACATGATATCATGTTTCTCTAGATGGGTGCAGGATATGCGTTTTCTTGTTCACTTCTCTCATATTTGATTCGATGTTCAAACTTTGCGACATATTTCCACTCTGCAACAAAGCATTAAGCAATCGGCTCTGAAAAAGAACAAGATTCTCGGGCTAGGCGTGCCATTGGCGTTATGTTTTTTTTTTCCAACCTTTGTTTCCTGTTTTCCATTCATTATCTTTCTTGTCCTTCAATATTCCCATGGCTGCGAGGTCTCGGCGCATTTCCTAGACACTTCGTGTCTTCTGGGCCCATATTGGTTGGCTGGACGTCGTATGTCTATTCTTTTTGCATCCAAGCTGGGTTGATATATCAGCATCTTGGTGGCCGATTCCCTCTGGTCATGATTTTATGTACGTTAACCTCCCTGCCCTGGCTTTGAGATAACGAAGAAGGGCCCTCTATTTGAAACCAATTTCTCACGATTACTGTTCATATAGAGATCCTGCCATATGTATTTGTCTGGTCAAACTCGGCTGGACCATTTTTGTAAATAGGCTGCCTGCCCTTTCGTATCGCCTGCCTCATTCTTGTTCTTATGGAGAGCCTACTGCCCACTCGGTCTTGTTCCTTTTAGTGTCCAGATTGCTCTAGTGACTCCTTCTTTCTTTTGTTCTTTTCGACCTGGTCTCTTTGTTTCACCACCGTGCTTCTTGGCTTTTGTATTTGTCGAACGGACTTCCTACCATTCACACTCTTGTTTGCAGACTTGTGCTAACAGTGTGGTCTAGTTGACGAAGAATTTCCACCTCTCGGTGCTCCAGCAAAGGACAAGCGTCCAGTGGACAGCTTTGGTTTTCTAGGCCGATCCCAACTCCCTTCTGAGCCCCAAAGCTCCGCGCGGGCTGGTACTCCAACATTACCGCCAGGTCTCCCCCTTCCCCATGCCCATCCAGCGGCTGCATTGTTTCAGAGTCCTTTGAACCCTTCTAGTCCGGTCTCTACAGTTTCAGTTCCACCCGGTCTAAGTATTCCTTTCAACAGGCTTGGGACACCGTCTCAGAACTTTCAAGAGACTGTTTCCCGTCAACAGTCGCCGGACAATAAAAGCACTCAGGACAATATAACCACCTCAAACCGAACTAAGAACGCTTCCGAAATTTCCTTAGGTTCACCAGTGCCGAAGTCAGCCAACAAAGCTCGCTCACAGACCGAGGACGACCTGACAGGTGCATCTGTTGATAAATCTACCAAAAAGTCTGGAGGTGCCACTGAAGACAAGCCAACATCGGCAACAAAGGGAAGGCCTATGACGCTGGAAATCCCGCTCAATATGGCACAAGCTCAGGAGAGCACTCCGTCGAAAGGTGAACCGTCGGCTCAGACTGTGAGCAGTCAAGCTCCAGCTTCTGCCGTCGGCTCCCGACCAAATACACCCTTGACCGGAGTTTCGCGTCTCTCTGACTCCTCGGCTCCACGCCAAACCAGAGTACTCCGCGTTGTTGATACCCCAAAAACTGAGACCCCTCCTGCTTCCGCCACTCAGTCCATCTCGTCCCAACTTGCAACTGCAAAGGGGCGGTCGAGGAGACCCAGCGTGTCATCCATAAGTAGACCTGACACTCCCGGTGACTTCGGATCTGAAGCCGATCTCTATACGTCCGCGTCTGTTTCCCGTGCAAACTCTCCTCTTGCGTCCTCCAGAATTGGCTCCGCGCCTGTACGTGCCATGACCAAGAGTCAGGCCAAGAAAGAACGTAGACAAAAGGCCAAGGAGGCGGAAGCTAAAAAGCATGAGGCGGTGTCTACCGTGGTCGAAGAGCCCGTGCAGGCGCCTATCATTGGAAGGAAGCGTAAAACCAAGAAGACACCTACGAGTAATCCCGAGTCAACGATTGCAACTCCCGATACTCATAATAACGAAGCTACCAAGTCCGGTGGAAATGAGACCATCGATGTTGATCAGCGGACTGAAGCAAAGAAGAGCAAGGCGAAGGACAAAGCTATAAAGGATATCAAACCCAGCCCTGTCGAAGAAAAGGAGTCTACCACACAAAAGAGCCCTGCAGAAGCTTGGCGTTCGAATAACACCATTGAGCAGTTAATTAAGGATTCGGAAGCTGCCGGTGTCCCAATCAAGGAACTCTTCTCGGAGCGGACTTCTGTACTACCGCTCCTCCTCGCTCAACTTCATAAGGCTGGTCACTTTGACCTCAATGCCCACCCTTTGTTCAATCCACCCAATCTGGCCCAACGTGTCGATATGAAGTGCACTGCAGATGATTATGATATCCTGAAGCAGCCTGTTGAATTAACCGAGGAACATCGTAAAGCGTTGCTGCGTGGGGAGCCTGTTCGCATCAATGCTGACTCCAACATGACGAAGTATCGTTGCCTAATCACTCCTCGCGGGTGCATCCTTCGTCATTTGGGCCCGGAGGAGGAAGAGCGATACCTCGAACTGGAGAAGAGAATCAGTGCTACAATCGATCCCTTTCCAGAATATCCGCCCACCTCGGTCACAGAACCTGACATGACTAACCGTGGCGGTGGGCTTGATGCTCTCTTCGCTACACCTGAAAACTTCAATATCTGTTGGGTGGACGAAACCTCGGCCGGACTTTCGTCTGCATCGCCCTCCGATATGACCGCACCCAAGAGCTCGGCTGCCTCTGCTGCACCGGCCCCACCGAATGTTCTCTCGGCAATGGAAGCAGACAGTAATCGCAGTCACAATTGGGCCATCGCCAATACCGCTGAATTGGTCAATACGACTGCCACTTCTGTTCGGTCTTTTGCTGCAGCTGCCGCTAAGCACATGCTAGGAGCTGCGGGTGTCGTGATTGGCAGTATGCCAGACCTGGACGACGTGGTTGGAATGACGGACGAGGAGCTTCGCGCGTTTGCTGTCAAGTCACAGAAGGAGCTTGAGTCATCGCGCAAGGAACTTGACTCCATTGACAAGAAACTCAACGCCCTGGTCAAGCGGAACAAGAAGCTAGCACAGCAGGCTTTGGCCACCTCTGTTGAGGGATGAATTGCTTCGAAGGGAAATCGGCCAGAGCTAGAGTACCTTTGCATGGATTTGTAACATACGGTCATGGGGGGCTCCCTGTGAAATTGTAAATTATGTAATATGTACTGTACAAACCCGCGTGCGTTGTTTTTACATACTTGGAGTTGGTGGTTCAAGAAGCGCACCTGTTGATAACGCCTTTCCTTAGTATTATTAGTCCATCAAGCAGGCATGGGACATGGGGATTCAAATTCACATAGGGTCTTAAAATCCGACTCTGTAATTAATTATTGATCCGTTTCTATGCGCTGCACTCTTGTTTCTATCTACTCAGGCTAAACCCTAATCACTCACGCTTTTAGTCAAGATCGAAGGTGTGCCTTGTCTACTACTTGTAGAAAGAAGGTAGAAGAAAGCTTCATGACTGAGTTCCTGTTATACGGGATATCTAGATCTATGTATTCACAAACGTATCATCAGTCTACAAGCCATTGATACCATCCTTGTACTCTCGAAGATCGTATTCTTCAGGGTACGTCTGAATGATCCGCTTCAGCTCCTTCATCTGCTCCTGCGCCTCCTCCGTCAATTCTTCATACACCCCCTCAAACGCCTCTCGAAGAGGTGGTTTCTGCTCCCGCTCGGCCTCTCCAAACTCCTTGAGAACCTCCTTCCGAAGTCGCTCGCGCGTATCGCGCTCTGTATCTTCGTCCCATAACCCTTCGTTCTCCAGCCACTTCCGCAGTCGGATAATGGGGTTATCCCGTCGCTTCCAATCCTCTACCTCAACCCGGGCTCGGTAGGCAAAACTATCATCGCTTGTGCTGTGGTGTGATACACGGTAGCTCATTGCTTCAATAAGCACGGGTTTCCCACCGTCGGAGAGGGCAATGCGTCTCGCTTCACGCATGGCTTCGTAGACGGCGAAGATGTCGTTCCCGTCGACACGGATCGTATCGATGCCGTATCCGACTCCTCGGCTGGCAATACCATCACCGCGGTACTGTTCCAGTGTGGGTGTTGAGATAGCATATCCGTTATTGCGACAAATGAAGACTACGGGGCATGACCGTGTTGCGGCGATGTTGAGCCCGGCGTGGAAGTCGCCTTCACTGGCGGCGCCCTCGCCGAAGTAGCAGGCCACGATGCGTGGTGGCGTATCGGGATTCTGTAGAGATTCTAATTTTAAGGCGTACGCAGCGCCAGATGCCTGGGGAATCTGGGTTGCGAGGGGTGATGAGATCGTGTGCTGCGGGAGATTAGTATATTTATTTATAATGTGTACTATGACATATAGTTCGGGGTAGGAAAAGCACTCACCATGCGAGGGTAGTTAGATCCATAATGGACCGGCATATTACGCCCCCTACCGTTATCATGACAGTTGGCAAAGAGCTGGCTCATGAAGTCCTTAAGGGTGAAACCCCGTTGCTGGAAGACACCTGTTTCGCGATACTGCGCGAACACCACGTCGTCTGGCGTTAATGCGGCGGCTGACCCAACGCTAATGCCTTCTTCTCCTGCAGAGACCTTTGCAAATGAAGTGTTAGTAATTTATTGTTTATCATTTAGACCATAATCGGGCTTTACATACCATGTAGAAACTTAGCCGACCCTGTCTTTGGGCCTCGAACATAATCACATCCATCACGCTCACTAAAGATTATTAATAAACAGTCCACGATGTAGCAAGGAACCGAGAGAACCAACCGGTCAGCATATTTTTGTACCAAGTTAAGATGTCCTCATTTGATATACCGGAAGGTTTCCGGTTCTTGTCAAGCAACACGCCGTCGGAATCCATGACACGGTAGGTAGGGATATTGGTCGTTTCGGCGGGATTGATGAATGTCATGTCGGTGGTGAATTTACTGTTTACAGCGCCAGGAAATCGAACACTAGAAGATTCCATCCATCAGCGCCCAATTGCCCTTTGAACATAAGTCCCAGAGTCTCATGTTTGTCGGGGTCACTTACCGGTCCGAGCCTGGCCGCTGGGAGATCGAGCTGCTCCATCGTTGAGGAATCCTGGACAATGCCCTAGGATTGCGAGATATGCGCCTCAGAAGGTGAGCTGACATTGTAAGGATGGTCTGGGAAGGCAATCTTCGACAGTTGAAAAGGGATATGGGGTAAATCCCGGGGTCATTGATCTTAAGGCATCTTTCTGGGGAATGCGGAGGAAGCGGTTGGCTTCGGCCTTGGACGTCATGCCGCCCGTGTTTAGCCGTTATTTTCGATTGTTTGTTCACTTTGTTCTGTTTGCCCGACAAGGTCACCTGATCTTATCGATATCTTATTATTGATTGAAGTTGCTTCGAAATATTTATCTTGATTCTTGAGAAGAGTCGGTGTGGAATTACCATCTCCTTGTCCTTCAGGGACAAATATGGGTCTGCAGTCTGAGAAGGCGACGAGAAGTCATGTCCGACGACAATTATGAGTTAGTTTCTATCGATACCAATAGTGCCTTTGGCCTCTACTACGATATATACTTGACTCCACACCGGAGAACTGCTTGAACGGGTTTCCGGACGGTTTCGGAGTTGCTACACGATTCCAATTCATCATCCGATCACCTAACTGGCGAAAAGGACGGAGTAACTTGCTGGGATTTTCTAGCAATGGAAGCCGATCGGGAAGGAAAAAAGACCTTCATCTCCGGACTCTCCAAAGAACCCACCGGCTGCCGATCAGCTTCCCCGCTGCAAGTGAGGGACCGCAGCCTTCCTATCCGGATTTCATTGGAAGAACTCCATGCAGCGATCGTGCTACTGTGGATACAAGCATTATATCCCCAACCCCCACTTGTTCTACTTTCCCTTTTTCAACACGGTTCTGCGTCCGTTTACTCAACGTGGTGATCCGAGTCGTGGGAGGAGGTATTGGAGTACTACATGACTGCTAATAAATATTCGGTGGTTGAAATGATACGTTGTGAAATATAAAAAGCTCTATTTCCCCTCCAGCCGCCATCTTCCTTGACTTAGGATTCAAGGCAAATCCGGTAGCAACCCCGCAGTCTCGCAATGCGCTTCACGGCGAAGACAGTGGCCTTGCTGGCATCCAGCATACCCACTACGCTAGGACAGCATGTCCGGGATCTGAGCAATGAAAAATGGACTCTCAGTAGCGAAGCCTTAAACCGTACTGTACCAGGAAGCTTCCCATCCCAAGCCCATTTGGATCTATTGAAGGCCGGCGTGATCGGTGAGTCGCATTATGCCATTTGAAGTGGAAGTAACGCATACATCTAACACGCATCATAGATGAACCGTAAGTGATGTTAGGATTCCCTCAACATACGGCTCTCTCATTAACCGGACCATGTCAGATACCATGGTCTCAATGATTTCAATCTTCGTTGGATTCCCGAGTCTAATTGGACCTACACTAGTGATGGAATCAAAGATTTGTGAGACTAGCCTGCCGTCAATTGGTCCATAAATTTTCTCACTGACCTCAAATAGACTAAAGGATGCTAAGTCTACCTGGCTTGTGTTTGATGGACTGGATACTTTTGCGACTGTTGAATTTTGCGGGAAACACGTTGGCTCCACAAATAATCAATTTCGGCAATATTCTTTTGACGTCTCTCAGATTCTGAAAGATTGCAAAGAGGATCCCGTCTTGAGCCTTAACTTTGGAAGTGCGCCAAATATTGTGAATGCAATTGCCGAGAGTCCTAACTCAGCAGGTTTGGGCACCAGAGAGAGATTCCAACCTCTAGCATATCACTAACCTGCTCTTCTAGTGTGGCCTGATGGAATACAGCAGACTTATGAATACCCGAACCGATGGTTCATGCGCAAGGAACAGTCGGACTTCGGGTGGGACTGGGGACCTGCCTTTGGGCCTGCCGGGCCCTGGAAGCCTGCTTATATCGTGCAATTGCAAAAGGCTGAAAGTCTGCATGTCTTGAATACAGACTTCGATATCTATCGGAAAGGACAGATCAACTATCTCCCTTCTGATCAAAGTCAGCCATGGGTTGTTAATGCAAGCATCGACGTTTTGGGCTCTTTCCCACGTAATCCATCCATGTCCATCGAATTCAAAGACATCAAGTCCGGCAACATCCTCACGTCGAAGCGCATAAGCAATGTGACTGTGTCTGGAAATTCCGTCACTGGTGTCACGGTCCTTGATGGAGTGACTCCGAAGCTCTGGTGGCCACTGGGTATGGGCGACCAAAATCTCTACAACTTAACAGTCACTGTTACTGGCAATCGGAACCAAACTTTAGCCAGCGTTACTAAGAGAACGGGCTTTCGCACTATCTTCCTCAATCAACGGAACATCACAGATACACAGCTTGCACAAGGCATTGCACCGGGTGCTAACTGGCATTTTGAAGTCAATGGGCACGAGTTCTACGCCAAAGGTTCCAACCTTATCTCACCAGACGCTTTTTGGCCGCGGGTTACAGAGGCACGAATGGCCCGATTATTCGATGCAGTTGTTGCCGGAAACCAGAACATGCTCCGTGTTTGGTCATCTGGCGTATATCTCCATGATTTCATTTACGACTTAGCTGATGAGAGGGGCATTCTTCTGTGGAGCGAATTTCAATTCACCGATGCGCTGTACCCCGTTAATAATGCGTTCTTAGATAACGTCGCCGCTGAAGTCGTATACAATGTTCGGCGTGTCAATCATCATCCCTCGCTGGCGTTATGGGCGGGTGGAAATGAGATCGAGTCCCTGATGCTCCCAACGGTCAAGGATAAGGCTCCCGAGGAGTATGCGAAATATGTTGGGGAGTATGAGAAGCTGTACATCAGTCTCATCCTTCCTCTGGTGTATCAGAACACCCGGTCCATCACGTACAGCCCTAGTAGCACGACAGAAGGTTATCTCGAAATCGACCTGTCAGCTCCCGTGCCCATGGTGGAACGGTATCACAACATCACGGATGGATCATACTATGGCGATACGGACTTCTACAACTATGACAGCAACGTTTCTTTCAACTACCATGTCTACCCAGTAGGGCGCTTCGCCAATGAATTCGGGTATCACAGCATGCCTAGTCTCCAAACCTGGCAGCAAGCCGTTGACCCCCAAGATCTGCATTTCAACAGCAGCACTGTCATGCTTCGCAACCATCACTATCCAGCCGGCGGTACCTTCACAGACAACTTCCACAACACATCCCTAGGCATGGGCGAAATGACAATCGCAGTACAACGGTACTACCCGATCCCCAACAAAGTAGACTCCATCGCCAACTTCAGCGCTTGGTGTCATGCAACCCAGCTGTTCCAAGCCGACATGTACAAATCAGAGATTCAATTCTACCGTCGTGGAAGTGGAATGCCCGAGCGCCAACTCGGCTCACTCTACTGGCAGCTAGAAGATATCTGGCAAGCACCGTCATGGGCCAGTATTGAGTACGGCGGAAGATGGAAGGTCCTCCACTACGTCTCCAGAGATATATATCAGCCCATAATCGTCTCCCCATTCTGGAACTACACCACGGGCGACCTGGAACTCTACGTTACGTCGGACCTGTGGAAATCAACAGCGGGTAAGGTCAACCTAACCTGGGTGGACCTGTCAGGCCATCCCCTCCCCCACAATGCAGGCACACCGGGCTCCGTTCCCTTCAACGTGGGAGCACTTAATACTACCAAGGTGTATAGCGCCAACGTAAGGAGCCTTACCCTCTCCAATCCGAAAGATGCCGTTCTCGTTCTCTCCCTGTCAGGCGAGGGACATCTGCCCAACTCGGACGAGAAAACTACTTTCATCCACCAGAACCACTTCACTCCTGTTTTCCCCAAGGATCTGGCTCTGGTGGATCCCAAGCTCGAACTATCATATGACCCCCGGTCAAAGAAATTCACAGTAGAGGCTAAATCGGGTGTCTCGCTATACACATGGCTTGACTACCCGGCCGGTGTGGTGGGGTACTTCGAGAAGAACGCTTTCGTGTTACTTCCGGGACAGAAGAAGGAAATTGGCTTTACAGTTCAGGAAGATAACACCGATGGAAAGTGGGTGATGGGGGTTACGGTGCAGAGTTTGTGGAACCAGACACTTGATATCTAGCTTGAGTCTATAGCATGTGGCCACTAATTTCAGAATGAATTAATATGCGAAGCAACCACTCAACCACATGTGAACGTTGTCATAAGTAATTATAGGAAAATAATCATAAACTCATCAGACGACCTCATGGTTGGCGCTGCTTCACCATTTGTTATCAAAGACCTTCCCATCCACGTAATTAATCAACTCTTTGACCGGCGGTAAATGATCTCGTCCCTGTCCGAAAAGCATGCCCTTTCGGAGAACATTCCGATAGTTCTTTCATGCAATCAGCGGAGCGCCTTGACGGCCTGCTGCCTGGTCGCTGACTCGGAAATCGGTGACGGCGGTGATACCAGTGCGAGCAGCGAGGAATGAACCTTCTGCCATAGTAAGGGCGCTTCTGGTCTCGCCTTCTTCTGGCATGGACAGAAGCCAGATTGTCTGGCCGTGGGATCCCACAATGTCAATTGTAGACGTATCAACATTTTTACTTTGGCAGAATTGTGTGACGGCTGCTGCGAAAGTCTCGCCTAGGATTACATTCACTTCAGATAATTCTGACGGGGATGTCTTATTATAGAGGATGATGTCCATCACCCGCTTCTTCACTGTGGGCTCGAGCGGAATTTCTCCGTACTAATACCGGTGAGTTTCTCTTCATAGCTGCACGGTTTGGTTCTGCTGCTTACTTTCAACAGTTCAAAATGCATAGCCGAGCTGGGGGCTTCCTGGTAGAAGTGGCATAAAGCGCAGTCGATTCCATCCTACCAGTAGTAGTATTAGTATGGCTAATATCACGCTCGCTTTTCCTTCTCCCCGCTCGGCTGTACTTACCATGGACGTGCCACTATTTAGCCCAAGGACCGTCAAGTCCAATGCATAGTTCTTGGTGTCCATAAGGCTATCTGTGAAAATTCAGGGATGATACGTACTCACAAAATCAATTGAGAGGACTTTTCTACGCTCAAAGTTCTTAGGATATCCTGCCCACTGTGTTTTTGGAAGCTTTGTTAGCAGTTCCGGGCCAGCGCTGAGAACGCAGCGGATGAAACAAATGAGGGGACATAATGGATAAAGACAGCCCCCGCTGATTGAGGAGACAAGGATTGCCTCATGCTGCATGCTAAATACAGTATAACCAATCATGTGATCTGCGTGAGAGCTGCTGTATGTCGGCAAAGGGCTTGGGCGCTACAAGGGATGAGCGCCGGGGTTTTATTGCAAAAACACGCCCCTCATATAACGTACACGATTCGGTCTCACACTAAACCTGGACTGCCGGAAAACATCGGTTAAAAATATATGTGTTGTTGACCTGCGATTGGATTGGCTGGTTTCCTACCAAGTTGATCGAGTAGCATCAAACAAATCCCCCCTCTTATGATGGGCTACACAACACTTTGGAAACGACTCTCCCCGCGTCAAGTTAATTTTTTAATCCAGACTTTCTCAGTTGTCTCTATACTCTTCGAGGGATATGACCAAGGGGTAATGGGAGGTGTCAATGCCTCGCCAACATATGTCGCTGAAGTCGGCATTGGAAAGCTCGATGGCACTGTGACTGGCACAACACAACAAGGTGGCCTAGTTAGCATATACTACCTAGGGTGTATCTTTGGGTGCTTTGCTGGCGGATGGCTTGCGGATCGCCTTGGCCGTATCAATGGTCTGCTGTTTGGATCACTCTTTGCCCTTGTTGGAGGTGCTTTACAAGCCTCCATTCAGAGCTCGGACTTCATGTTAGTTGCGCGTGTGGTAACGGGGATTGGCACAGGAGGTGACTGCATGAAAGGAAACAGTTAAAAAAAATGGGCATAAGCTGACCATATATTTTAGCGTTAACTGGGATCACCCCAGCCCTAGTGTCGGAGACTTACTTCCACTGAGCACCGTGGTGGATATCTGGGCTATGTTTTTATAGCAAATTGTAAGTACAGCAGTGTGTCCCCGGTTGCTTTGCTGATTCCTTTGTTGATAGCCTTAGATTTGGGCATCTCTGTCGCCTACTGGCTGTCCTTTGGTCTCTCCTTCATCAATCACGGCTATTCAGACTTCGGGTGGCGCTTCCTCCTCGCATTCCAATGCATCCCGGCCCTTATTCTTGTTATCTGCATCAAAGCATTACCAGATAGTCCACGATACCTTGTATCGGCCGGACGGAACGATGAGGCTCGCGATCTGTTGAATCGTATCCGGTGTCACAGAACCAGTCAGAAAGAGATCGACCGGGAATATCTGGAAATCGTAGCCACAACACAACATACTAAGCCGAGCTCCCCAATTTAGTTTGCCATGATTCTTTTGGAAAAGGTGGCAGACCAGGAGCGAATTTAGGTCGCCGTGCCTGGCTCTGTATTTTGCTTCAAATCATGGCATCTTGGACTGGTATCACGGTAAGCTATAGTTTTCAATATCTCCTGTAGTATTTAGTATCCACCGTATTGATGCTACCAGGCTGTGACGGCGTATTCACCGGTGCTTCTCAGTCAGGCTGGATATAGCGAAACCAAACAGAGTGGGTTAGCTGGTGGGTTGAACTCGATCGGTATCATTGGTACTATTACTAGTGCTCAAATTGTGGACCGCCTTGGTAGACGCAAGTGCCTAGTACTTGGTTCTGTGCGGTGTTGTTCACTGTAGAACTAATTGTAGGTATTTTAGTTTCCACCATTGTATTCTGAGAGAGACCACTGGCTAACTCGACTTTAGGCTGGTTCCTTATATGAAGGCTCTCTTCGCCATCCAGACAAAGCAATCCAATATGCACCGGGGGCTGTCGCAATGCTCTTCCTTTTCAACTTGGGGTAAGTGCGCCGCTTCGCAAGTAGCTCCTAAATCGCTTCACTGATACTTACGGGTAAAAAGGTATGCAGCAACTTAGGGCACGATAGCCTTCTCATACCTACAGAGATCTTCCCTTCAGACCTGCGGGCCCAAGGAAACGGTTTCGGTATAACGGGGTGGGCGATTGGTGTCGGTATGACAACTCTCATCAATCCTATCATGTTCGGCAATATCAAGAGCCGTAGCTACTTCCTCCTCGCCGGCTTGAATCTTTGTTGGGTTCCGATAGTATATCTCTTTTATCCTGAAACTCGCAACCGATCATTGGAGTCCATCGAGGCTTTGTTTTCGACGCCTAGTCCGTTCTATTGGGAGATGGAGCGAGCATACTACTTGCATGGCAGCGTGCTTGTTGAAAGGATTGAAACGATGTATGATGAAAACATGAAAGAAGCCTGAACAGTGTCAGGAACTTTCTCAACGAACCTGTCATATTGTGTTGTAATTGATTGCATGATATTGATAATCCGAACAGGATTTGTAGGCCTTCAATATCAGTCCTTATCTGCATTGTGGATAGAGGACATATACGTACGTGTTTATCTGAGCAACTACAGTGAAGGAGCATTGCAAGAAAGGAAAGCCCAGTCATACAGGGCTAATAGTAGGTGCCTGGGGCAGTCCAAGGGATTCTAGAACAGAAGTCAGGCGCCTGCCTTTCTATGTTTCCAGTCGTGATTGAGCCCTTATTCCCTTCACTTTCACCTAACAGGCAAACCAATCATGTGCGGGATACGACCTGAACTTGCAACAATCGCGAAAAGCCACTTTCAATGCCAAGGCCAGTGGGCAGTTGTTCCAGTAAACTTGTCCCAAAAATGCACAGATGAGGACGCGCTCAATGATGGATGACCGAGGATGTGCATGGTTGGTCTCAGACAGACACATGACGTCTTTCAGCCTCAGGCACCATCTATTTCTCAGTGTAAGCCACCATGTGGTTGAGACTGTATTAATCAAGCATACGCAATCTAGAATTACTCAACTTAAAAAGTAGTACGGTGATTCCTAGCTAATGATGTATTAATTCCCCTGTTGAAAAGAACATATGTTCAATCTTGCCCTGTTTGAGAAGCTAAGATCAAAACGGATGAGTTGAGCTCTGTGTCACAGTGTTCAGCCAGTCTTTCATCCATGATTAGCGTTCAAATGTCATGGCCAAGACAGCAGCTAAAGTCGGTTAACTGGTACCCCCTCTTTTGAGGCGCCGGCTTTGCCGTAGAGTGATGAATCTGCGAGGGGAGATGTTCAAGGACTAGTACGATCGAATACAAGTATAGGATAGTGAAGTCCCGGCTTTCTCCCGCTAGGGTAGTTCTTATGACAGTATCTTTGTGGCCTGATGCCAGAAGGGGCATCACAATCTTCAGGGTAGCCTTTCATTTCCTCTAACTTCGTTTTGCCATGTCTCAAGGACACAGCGAGTTAGTAGGGGCACTTGTCTAACGGCCACAAGGCACCATGGACCTTTGCCTTGGTGGTTTCCCTAACAACAAACCTCGGCTATGATCAAGGAAGCCCATTTCAATTGTAGAGAGACTTGAATATGATTTACTTAATGGATTTGTGCTTCCATTCTAAAATTAAACATTGTGATTCTTTCCATAATTATGCCCAGGCATTAAGAATCATGGCTATTCGCATATTTCATCACACAATATATTTATGATTGATCAGCAAGACCTATTTAGCTAACTCCGCGGCGTGTGGTTTATGAACTTTCAAGTTCTTAGATCAGATCGTGCAACTAGATATCGTAGCATGGAATAGGATAGCACTAAAGCTGAAGGTCAGTTGTTCTCTCGAAAGAGACGTTATCTTATCTGATCCACGGCCAACCTTAAAACGAGTTACAGTGACTGACTGGTATTTGATATTTGGAACGTCTAGCAATAGTGGCCCGTGCATAATATTGCCGCCTGGAGAACAGCAAATAATCGGCGACGTATAGAGTGTTATCAGGCAGTGGGTGGTCGTCGAGGTTATACTCTATGCCCTATTGGGGTGTTCCAAATTTCAATTACCTTCCACTGTATATATGATAGCGTTGCAGTGACACTTTAACTTGGCCTTACGCAAAATGGACGACCGTTCATGGAAGCTCGTCGCTGAAGAGCGCCGAATGCCATATCCCTCACTTTTGCTTTGTCTGACGCTGCTAGCACTCTCTGCTGAGACAGTTGTTCTCTGATCCCACAAAGTTAAGCCACCGTGTACTGTATCTTTTATTTGCTATTCACAGCTTTCCCTATCGTCTATCATGAGAAGCGTGGATGGAACCCAGCGTCCCATGTCTTCTATTCTTGGGGGTTCTAGTTAGTATGTTTATAATAGGTTTTTACTGGTACGTAATAGATGATATACACGGCGAGTATCTATCAAAGCAGACAATGTGTCTGTGCAATCGTAATCCAAGCGGTATTGTTCATATATGCCAAAAAGAATCTCCCTCAGTCCGCTGAAAAGTTGGTACTGCTGCGACTCAGCCTTTTGGGTAAAGATTGGTAATATTCAATCAGTATGAGCAACTAGCTTGTTCACACCACATCCTTCCAATTTCAAGGCGACGGGCGGTCCCTTGCTGCGGTCGAAGTGCTTAAACTAGCAAAAATTGAGGACCGCCATATTAGAATTTTTGTGGCATATACGGAGTACCAATCCGCTTGAGACAGTCTCTATTTATATTGGCAGAAGGGCAGAGCGGTGAGGATTTTGGCGGCAGAAAAAGTGCCGTGGCTCGGCTCTCATCGTCCGATATCCTCTCCGCCCAATAATTCTACCTTTCGTTTCAACCTCTACACGTCCAATTACAGGGCTCGAACAACTAACAACCCATCATGTTGTCACGATCAGTATGGAGGAATATGGGTTATAACGCACGGCGGAGAGTGGGCGTTGCCGAGGCTTCCTACCGCTGCTTTTCGTGTACCCGGCGAGCTCAAGCGGATTCTAACAAGACCAACCAAGATGAACGGATGACCCATTTTGGCTTTACCAATGTTCCCGAATCCCAGAAGGAGTCAATGGGTATGTCTCCACACATGTCCCCATGAATGGGCGCAAGGCTAACCAAGCTTCGTCGGCGATGTACAGTTGGAGCGGTCTTCAGCTCAGTTGCTTCTTCCTACGATGCCATGAACGATTTCATGTCGCTCGGGATCCATCGTCTATGGAAAGATCATTTTGTTCGCACTTTAAACCCTGGATCAGCATTACCGTCGCGTGAAACCGACACAACGGGGAAGGGATGGAATATCCTGGATATCGCCGGCGGGACAGGCGATATTGCGTTTCGCATGCTGGACCACGCAACCAATATTAACCATGACCATGAGACCCGTGTCACAATCGCCGATATTAACCCTGATATGCTTGCGGAGGGCAAAAAGCGGAGCATACAGACCCCCTACTACAACACGAATCGACTATCTTTCATGCAGGGCAATGCGCAACAGATGCCTGACATCCCCGATAACTCAGTCGATCTCTATACAGTTGTCTTTGGTATTCGCAACTTTACGGATAAGCAAGCCGCCTTAAATGAAGCGTTCCGGGTGCTGAAACCCGGCGGTGTGTTCGCGTGCATGGAGTTCAGCAAGGTAGAGAACAGTGTATTCAATGCGGTCTACAAGCAGTGGAGTTTCAGTGCCATCCCCATGATCGGCCAACTAGTGGCGGGAGATCGGGACAGCTATCAATATCTAGTGGAGAGTATTGAGCAGTTCCCCAGCCAGGAAGAGTTCCGGGGTATGATCCAGAAGGCCGGGTTTATGATCCCTGGCCGAGGATTTGAGAATCTCACTGGCGGGATTGCAGCAATTCACAAGGGGATCAAGCCTCTTCCGAAGGCTTGAAAGTTAAACGGTTTCGCGGATGGGAAAAAAAACTGTATAGTAGTAATCTCCTAAAAAGATGACAGTGTAGCATTAACAAACATATCAACCACATACACTTACTAGTACGGGGATCTGCAAAAGCGTCAGCAGATGTGGCGATGGTGTCATTTTACGGAAGGGATTAAAGCCGAGACACGGAAGGCGCACGATTGGGGGGAGATGTTTCATAGTAGAGGAATAATTGGTGTGCAGTAAAACCAAAGGAAGTCCGATCTGTATCTCCGATGTTCTTTATCGCCCCTCGATTGAATAAATTAGTCAACAATTTCCTCATCCACTTCCCAAACTCTTCCCCGCCATTGAAAATTTTCTAATTCAATCTAATTCCGTTGCTTCTCCGGGATTACATCCGGGACTTCTTTTCCCAGGCTCCTCCTGGGAGAAGACGATCTGTTCTTCCTTAATCTCTCGGAGAATGGTCTCTTAAGCCATGGGGCACCTCCAGCAGCAATCTGCGCTATCGTCCCCCGCGGACCCCTCCCTGCCCACCATGATAAAGAAAGAGCGCCTCGCTCGCGACGACCTCTCCCTTCTACCATTGACTCCTCCAGACGAGTTGGATCCCGCACTGTCAACGACCAAAGATAGTCGTACGGATACGTCGGTATCCACCGCCATCCATGTCATTTCCACAGAGCGCGCCGCTCTGGCGCAGTTGGAGCGTCTTTATGAAACCAATGCATTGGCACAAGACCATCTCTCTCGCGCTGTGAGCCAGATCGCTCGCAGCGTGCGGGGTGGTGGTAAATTGGTATGCTGCGGAGTAGGCAAGAGTGGGAAAATTGCTCAAAAGCTTGAGGCGACAATGAACAGCCTGGGTATCTACAGCGCATTTTTACACCCCACGGAAGCATTGCATGGGGATTTGGGCATGATTAGACCGGTGGGTATCGAACTACTATAGTTGTCTCAGCAGACAGCTTTACTAAGATTCTTATACAGCAAGATACCCTGTTATTGATCTCGTTCTCGGGGCGCACGCCTGAGCTCCTGCTCCTGCTCCCCCACATCCCCTCCACTGTCCCTATCATCGCCATAACTTCTCACCTCCACCCGTCAACATGTCCGCTGTTGTCATTCCAACCGTCCGACATGGGCATCCTCCTACCAGCCCCCATCCATGAGGACGAAGAGTCCTCCATCGGCGTGTCGGCCCCAACATCGTCCACGACAGTAGCCCTGTCATTAGGAGATGCACTAGCTATCGCTACAGCCCGACGACTGCACACGTCTCCAGGGAGAGGACCAGCAGAGATATTCAAGAGCTTTCACCCTGGTGGGGCCATCGGCGCAGCATCAAATGTCCTCACTCCAATGAGCATGTCGACAGCATCATTCCCATCAACTAGTTCGGACGATCTCGCCGGTCAGCAACAGTCGGAGGACACTACCCCTAGCCCCTGCATCGCCGACAAACTAGTCCCCATGGACCGGATCCCAACAGTATCGGCGATGGGCAAGGTTCGCCTGCTAGATGTCCTGCTCACGGCTATTCAACATCCCACCGCTAAGTCCTGGGTCCATCTTTCTCCTTCGGAAATAGTTCCACCTCGCCATCTTCGCTCTCTCTCCCAATCCAACTATGTAGACATGGACATATCCACACTCGCCGGTCTTGGCCTCCTGCTTGCTGTGCCCCGGGATGATTGGCTCCAGCTCCCGAGTTCGACCTCCCTGGATGATGCACGTCGGCTAGTCTCGGAATCTGCGGGGTCCCCGGTAACGGTGATAGCCGTCATGCAGGACGGGAATCCCGATGATTATCTAGGGGTCTTCGAGGCGGAGGAGCTGTGGGATGGTTGTGACTAATTAGCCTTTTTTTTTCTATCCTCTTTTTATATTACTTTTCTTGGGATAAATCCCCGTGCGTACATATAGCTACATTGCTTTGGTGGGACTTGGGTTTCTTTATATGACGTTTACGAATAACGCCCGTTTTGGATTGCTTGTCTGTTCAGAGGTTAGATTCAGTGGTTTTGTACAGATTTCTCTCTGTCTTTTCGCCAAGATGTATATATTCTGCGAGCTAATTGATGCATCATGTCATCTGTGCTTCCATAGAGGTAGAGTTGCAGAGTGTGCTTTCGGTTTGTCTTGGCATATAATTAATATAGCTAGCTAATACGGATTGAGACAGTTTAAACAAAGTGGTCTTCACTCATTCTTGAGAACTAGATCTACCATGATCTATCTAAGATTTATCAATACAGGTGTCGTGTCAGGGGTATAGAAAATGAAAAATACAAACGAAAACCAAAAAATGAAAACAAGCAGTACAAAGCAAAGTCAATGACGAACATTAACTCTATGGTATCTTCAGCACATTATTCGTGACACTTCCAGGGGAAGATCCGGATGCGGCCAAAATTAAGGAGAGGGACGTTTCAAAGGCAAAGCCGCAGCTGCATGAAGTGAAGAGAAGCGGTTCGCTTAGGCACAGACACGAGGCTTCACAAGCATATTTGCCTTACTAGAAAGTAAATGCCTAGGTGATAGCGCCCTAAAGTTATCCGATAGACTGCTAGAAGCGACACGAGGTGGAAAGTAGCACCTGTGGGCAACGAGTCGGTAAACACGTGTATAGGTAGTTCGTGGCTGCATTTTAAACCCCAAAGTAAAGAACGAGGCAGTTTTTCGTAGCGTGCCAAGCTCTCAGCAGTCCAGCTTTCTTCTCCCGTGACGGTAAGATGCGGCTGATCCGTATTCAAAAGCGTAGCTAACGGAGCCAGCCCGGTTGCGAGGCCTGAAAATCTCAACCCGACGTGCTAGGCTCCGGCTGTCCCTTGCCTTTGTCGGTCGTAGAATTAGCTGTTGTGCTATCGTCCTCATACAGACGATGCTGCTCAATATAACGGATGACCGGCACAGGAATCAGATAGCGGACGCTCATCTCACGTCTGAGGAAGAGACGGATTTTGGTGCTGCTGACATCATTCTGAATAAGCTGTTGAATCACATGAATATTGTCTTTCCAAGGCTGCAGCGCAGCAAGTGCTTCATCAATGTCTGTTCCGCTACGCTCGACAATGAAAGACTGGAAGGTAACGTCAGCGGAGTCCATCGCTCTACCAATGTCATCATGCACTTACACCGTATTTGCCAAGTATGTGGTCCAAATCCTTTTGACTCCATACTCCCGGTGTTGACATGGTATGAATCAGATCAGCTCCTGCCAGAAGAGCGATACGCACTTGCTTGCGTGTTCCGTCTGCGGCTTCAATTCCTTCTCTGACAGTGTTGATCTCATAATCGAAATGATCGAGCACAACGGCGGTTGGCTGATACGCCTTCTGCATCGGTTCCCATGTATCTACCATTAACCAGTCGGAGGTTTGGTCTACTGCAAGTTGGCACATGGCGACTCTAAACCCGACGGTCAGCTTTACATTTCTTAATAGTGCGACGGGATTGGCACCAAAAAAGAAGCAGGAATAAGAAATGTTCAGAAAAGTCGAGAGCGCACGCTTACCGATGCTCTGCAGCGGCCAAACCCGCCTTGCGATAGGCATCCGACACCGGAGAGAGATACCCGCCGACGATCTCAAAGTTCGTGCTGAATTTGACGTAATCGGCTGCCATTTCGAACATACGCAGGTGCAGGTAGGTGATGGGCGAGAAAGAACCGCAAGCTACCAGTAGTAACGGGGTCTTTTCCGGATCATCCATCTTGCGCTTCAGGCGGAGTTCGGGGAGTTGATAGTCCTCCATGGGTGCTGGGGGGATATGATCGGGAGGCTGATGGATATCCTCCCCATGCCCGGTGATGTCAGTCATGGTTGCGGGTTGGGAGAACGACGGACAAAACGATGGAAATCGGGACTCTAAAGGATGACGATATGTAGCGCTACAGACGGGAGGTGGATAGATATTAGAGTACCGGAGATTTGGAAGAGATGGAAGGGGAGGAAAGGACTGTCGAATGGATGGTGGAAGGCGACTGAACCAAAAACCCTTCATTTGCCGGTTTAGTCAGACCCGCGCGGGGAAAAGGAATTCTTTACCGTATTGGTATGTATCCGGCGGGGGAAGAAAATCAGAGGAGAGAGGGGGATCGTTGAAAGTAAGGTGGAATGTACGGTACAGAGTAGGTACATACGATACCTCGGCCATGGATCACATCATTTCTCCAACTCGGCTTCGTACTGTTTTGGTATTGAACCTACGACAGCAGCCAGGCAACGTTAGGCTACTGTACTCCGTCACAGGAAGTATAAATTTCTGGAATTAATAATACTTCCAATTCTCTCACCGGTAGCCGGTCTAGACAAATGTTATTATTGTATGTACTTCGTATAAATAAATAAATGTAATGTACATTGCTTTATCCACTTTAACTTCAGTAGCATGCAATCAACGCAGAAATTCTCTAAAGCGGAAAAAAAGGAGAGAAAAGAAAAGAAAAGTAACAAGATCACTCCTATATGGGAAGTTATCCTTCAATTGAACCCGTAGACTTCGTCAGCTCAGCCTTGTCCAGAGGGATATACTCATTCCAGAATGAATGGATGAAATCTGATATATCCTCTAGATATTGGTAATTTAGTATGCCATTAACTAATCAATGCCAACAAAATATCAATTCCAGCTGCATCGGGAACATGCTCATTTATCCTCCGAACAGAGCTTTATTCGCCAGCCATTGTCGACCAATGATCGGTCTTCTGATCAAGTATTGTCAGATTATCCTTTGTTTCCACTGTGGTCAACTCGCGCTTTTCCCTGCATATACGAATTATATGTGGCTGGACCCTGCACCTCTTTACGTGCAACTTCACTGAAGAGGATGCAGCACAATAGCTTGGGTAAACAAGCATGTACAGAGTACTGTAGACAGGTACTACCCTTCCCATCAATACCTACTATTAGGTAAATTCGTTGCGTAGTTTGGCTGTTGGACAACACATGCACATCCCGCTTAGAAAGCCCGAGCAAATTTGCTTGTCTACTTGATATTATCAGTTGATACTATTGCTTTCGAGCATTGAAAGTCTCTTCCTCTTGTATGATCTTATTTTTTTTCTTTCTTGATGCAGACATTCCTCGTCTCACGTTACATGACCGGCGGATAGTATGAGCGATATATCCCCCGCGTATTTGCAGGATCTGGGGATGTTTCGGTCCGAAAATGATGCCCTGTACTGATAGTATTTTCCAGGAGAATCCGGATTAGCCCGAGAGTGTTAGGGCCGGGGAGAGTACCGAAGTTTACTCATTAATACTACCTCCTATAGGATACTGTACATGCTTATCTACACACTAACGATGAATGTACTGTATGAGGGGTAATTCAATATTCAATCAGTAAATGCTTGAGCACGAATACACTCACAAGCTCAAAATCCTTCCCTGTACTGCGCGGATTGATCTCCTTTCAGATTAAAATTAGTACTTTAGAGAGATGCTCCTTTCAAAGCGTGCGGGGTCCGTATACATATTCCGGCGACACGGGCACTTGTATCAATTACTTCCTGGATGATGTTTACAGGTGAACTTTTAGTGGATCAGGGAATATGCTTATAGGTACATTGCAAACAAACATTTAGAAAACTTCCCAAGGCATTGGCCGTCATACGTATAGCCTTCCAGATACTCGCTAGTTAGTTGAATATTGAAAACAGATCTTACGAGATTCCTATGTTTCATGGCGTGGGATTACTACGGTATTCCATCTGAGTAAAAATGTGTTCCCATAAAAGCAGGGATGAGTCTCGGCGCGAAACGAATGTAAATGAGGGATGTTGGTTGTTGGATGTCTTGGCTTTTTCTTGAGGACAGTAGTGTTATAATATGTAAAAAAATGAAGAGTAAAAATTCGGAGTTGTAACGGTGGATTTGAGAAGTAGCATTTGAGAAAGGAAATGTTTATAAGAATAATAGTAATAAAACATATTAAAAGAGTTAAGACAGAATTAGGGAGGATAGAGGAACCCCCCCCCCCCAAAAAAAAAAGAAAGAAAGGGAAAAAAAGAAAAGGGGGAAAGGGGATGTTGCTGTTGTTGTGATACTAGACTTTAATGTGATATCTACCAAGCAGTAGGTCGTGGCTGATGGGGCTGCACTCTAGCCGCCTGACGCTCTCCGGAGTTGCTTCCTCAGGCCATATTCACCACTGCTTACCACTACTACCACCACGTCAACTCTTAACCCCCCAATTGATTCATTCCTCCTCATTCCACTTTCCTTCTCCATCGCCACTACGACATTCACGACTACTGCATTTATCCCGATTTTTCTGTGCTACTCATCTCTAGCCCATCTCGATACTTTCTTTCCTTTTACTTTATATATCTTTTTTCCTTTTCCGCTCTCTGTTCTATCGGTCTCCTGACTGTCTTTCCATACCTCCACTCCCCCTCAAAACGGACAACCGGGGAAAAAAGTAGCTTCGCCTTCCTGTCCATTCTTGGTCAACTTCCTTCAGAGTAACGAATGGCGGGTTAAACGGTCGACAGACGAGCGAGCCCTCATCTCTAGCTCTGGTTAACATCAACTTATGGCCAGAACAAGGCCCAACCTTCACCGCCAGGACCCTCTTGAGGATTCATCCGCTGGAGCCTCCGCCACTGCCGCCAGGTACATACCAAGATCTACTACTTCCCTTTCCATCCGCAGTTTGTTTCGCCTTGTGACGCTTCATATCTTGTCTGTCTCGTTGTCGTGGCCCCGCATGGTCTACGACCTTGTGGTTTGTTAGGAAGCCCGAAGTCGAGCTTCGCATCCCACTCCTCTTTCTACTATTTTCCCTGTTACGCCGAGCCCATCGGTTACTGTGTGGAAAGGCTATCGTTCATTTCATCCCCAACCTCTATTTTCTACTTTGTCGTGTTCTGTCACTCTCACCTCCCTCATCTTACCTCATATCTTCATTGCTACTCGAAGGTGCTCGGCTTCTCATGTCCTCCAGGATTACTCGCTCAGCCGCGAGATTAGCTGCAGAACCCACTCCACCCGTCAGCTCTGGTCCGTCTCCTGCAATTCCCGCCGCTGGTTCGGCCCCAAGTCGGAAGCGTAAAGCCCCCGCACGAAGCGATCGATCTGTGGAAGCCCCCGGACAGCCGAATCCCCCATCTCCTCAGCGGAGAGCCAAGAAACAGCGGCGTGCAGCTTCCCCCCAACCGGCGGTCGCGTCTGCTGCTCCACGTCGTGGTACCCGAAATCGTCCCGCTATGTCCCAACCCGGGTGAGTGGATGAATCCGCCACGGTTGTTGAAGCTGTTGCTTACTCACGTTATGCTTTAGTCCATCCTCGCGCCCAACGGAGGAGTCATCGAAGAACCAGGCGTCACCTCCGGCATCCAGACGGAAATCTAGCAGAAATGGGAAAGTGTCACAAGGTAAGGTTACACTGACAATGCTCGAGGGTGTCTTCGCAACCCTGTTTCCCACAGATCAAGTGACCCGGTTAACACACTCTCTCCTGTCAGATCGCCTTTCAGCTGCCCAATCCCCTCCACCTCGGCGCCAACAGAAGAGACGGTCATCTAGAAATAATCCAGATGTCATCATGAAGGAAGCGGACGAGGATTTGGAAAGACGTGAAAGGAGTGAGGAGCGAGATTCATCCCCGCCAAGTGATAGCAACGATGGAACCAATCATTCGGGCCTTGATGATGACGACGGGGATTTGTTTCACAATAGCCTCTTTGGCTCGCGTAGTCCCTTGGGTCTTCAGAGCACCCTGCGTGCTCTGTCTGGGATGATGACAGGCATGTCATCCCGCTTGCGAGAAATTTTGTGCAATCTCAGGGCGAAGGATGATCCATCCATCCAATTGATCGCTCTGCAGGAGCTTTCGGATCTCTTACTCGTATCCAATGAGGACAATCTTTCCGGCCAATTCTCTCCTGATCCGTATGTAAAGGAGTTGGTCTCCTTGATGCAGCCAACCGATTTCGGAGAAGAAAACCCCGAAATTATGCTCCTTGCATGTCGTTGTTTGGCGAACTTGATGGAAGCTCTACGTGGCTCTGTGGCCAACGTGGTCTACGGGGGTGCTGTGCCGATCCTGTGTCAGAAGCTGTTGGATATTCAGTTCATTGACCTGGCCGAGCAAGCCTTGAGTGTAAGTTTTCTCAACGGTTTATTGATTTTTTTCTGTGATAAGACCTTTACTAAACTTTCATCAGACCCTAGCCAAAATCTCTGTAGATTTCCCTGCCTCTATTGTTCGCGAGGGTGGCTTGACTGCTTGCCTAACCTATCTCGACTTCTTCCCGACTAGTACGCAACGTACCGCGGTGACTACGGCAGCAAACTGCTGCCGTAACCTTCCACACGATTCCTTCCCCGTGGTACGGGATGTAATGCCTACACTCCTAAATGTTCTATCTAGCAATGACCCCAAAGTGATGGAGCAGGGCTGTTTGTGTGTTTCCCGAATCGTGGAGAGCTTCAAGCATAAACCCGGGAAATTGGAGGAACTCATCGAACCGGCAATGTTGAAGGCGGTGCTCCGTCTGTTGTTGCCAGGCACTACCAACCTAATTGGCGCGCACATTCATACTCAGTTCCTCCGCGTCCTAGCAATTGTGTCAAAAGCCAGCCCAAGGTTGTCTGTAGATCTATTGAAGATGAATGTGGTCGATACTCTATACCAAATCTTGACTGGTGTATCCCCGCCAGGAAACCTGGAAGACACAACCGTCAGGATGGACAGTGTGCTTGTGATGCAAGCCCTGATACATCGGCCCAAGGAGCAGGTTATTGAAACCCTAAATGTGATTTGCGAGATATTACCTGGGGTTCCTGGCCGACATGTATCGCAGGCCGACGGATGGCTTAGTTCCCCTCTCGACAGCGACCCGGCTCTTGGTTTGAAGTCCCCTAAGGCGAAAGAATCAGCGGAGAAGAGACGCTCGCTATTACTGGAATGCAAGCGCGAGCTCAAACGCTTTGCTACGATCTTGCTGCCAACTCTGACCGATGCTTACTCGAGTACTGTCAACTTAGAGGTTCGGCAAAAGGTTCTCATCGCCCAGCTTAAGATGTTGCATCATCTAGACGCCGGCCTGGTCGAGGAAGCTCTGCGATCCGTGCCGTATGCCTCGTTCTTGGCTGCAATTTTGTCTCAGAAAGACCATCCATCTTTGGTCTCGTCAGCTCTGCGATGCTCTGAACTTCTCTTTCAGCGCTTGGAGCACGTCTATCAGTACCAGTTCCACCGCGAAGGTGTTATTTCGGAGATCTTTAAGCTAGCGGAGGGGCTGCTGTCGGATGAGGAGCAAACCAAATCCTCTCATGATTCGTCCGCTGCCATGGACATGTCAGGAGATTCACGTCGGGAAGCCGAAGATGCTGACGTCCCGGCTGACGATGATACTCACGACGATGACTACGATGAGCAAGATGATGACCGGGACGATAACGACGGCATGTCGGAATCGGATAGCTCTTCATTATCTGGTCAAGTACTCTCTACGAGAGTAGACAATGCCATGAAGGATCTCGTCATCCGCGATGCCCGGACGTTTGTTCAACTTTACGAAGCTAGCCATGGCAAGGACTTGCGGGACAAAGCCCAGGGTGTCTTGACCGAATTGCAAACTCTTGCCTCCAATATAGAAGCCTGTTATAGTGGGGACGGAAATGAGGAGGGTCTTCCGCTTTTCAGGCAATTGGCCGCGTATTTCGACGGTGATGCTTTGGAGAGTATCACCAGCTCTGAACTGCTAAACTCGGGTGTCATCAAAGTGTTGCTGGACGTGTTTGGTGACTTCAACTCTTCATCAATGCGCAAAGCCCGTGCTTCTTTTCTGCAAGCCTTCATGGGCTCTACAATTTCCGAAAAAGCCCAAAGCCAAAGCACTGCTACAACCCCATTTAGTGTTCTAGTACAAAAATTGCAGGATTTGCTCAGCCGGACTGAGCATTTCGAAGTGATCACTGTCAGCCACAATTCTTTGGAGAACACGCGTAGCAATGCTGCAAATATGCTTGGAAAACAGCTCAGGCTTAAGTTAGTGGCTGATGATGACTCTGATATTCCCCGTTCCTATCGGAACATAATGGTGTCGATCCACGCCATCGCCACGTTCAAAGCCTTGGATGATTTTCTCCATCCAAGGATTAGTTTGTCCGATCGGCCAAAACCGTCCCGCAGCCGGGAATCTTTATTTTCACAGATTGCTAACGCCGCGCGACTTCGAGATCAGCTCACTGGCCAGGGCGAGTTCACTGGCGGTGATATTCCACCTCTACCGCGACCGAACACGACATCAGACAGATCTTCGCTCCCTGAAGACTCGCAACTCAATGCACAGGAGTCGTCGACTGAAGGTCGCGAGCGTAGCTCAAGATCCAGACGTTCAGGTCGACATCAACAAACTTCAGAAGCTCCTACCCATGATGATGAGCCTTTGGAGTGCGCGGATGAGAGACATCTGAGTGACGATGATGACGAAGATGACGGTGACGACGGCGAACTGAATGCCATCATGGATGATTTGGACGACGATCTTTCCGAAGACAATGCTCCCGACCCGACAGCAGTGAACATGGAGGTAGCCTCCTCAGGTAAGGTAACTGCTCGAAAGGAAGATGGAACACGTGTGGCCACTCCGTCGCATTCCACCCCAGCTTCCAAGACATCGTCATCCGCCGCTAGCACTACTCCGAACGCCGCTGGCAACAATTCTCTTGCCACGGCTGGCCGCCCCTTCTCTTCCTACGCTGCTGCAATGGCTTCTATCCCTTCAGACTGGCATCTAGAGTTCAGCGTGGATGGCCAGCCTATCACTGGTGACACCACAATATACCGCGCTGTTCACCACAGCCGGCAATTCTCAGATCCTAACGGAAGGCACGTGTGGTCTGCTGTGCATACCGTCAAGTTCAGGCGGGTGCCGGGCCCCCCTCCCCCAGAGCCCACGGCCCTCACACTCGGTACGCTCGAGTCCTCCAAGGCTGTTAACGCGGAGATGCCACCCTCCCTCAGCCAAGGTGCAACAACAGCATCGATCCTTCAGCTACTTCGACTTCTGCACGAAATGAATGCCACACTGGATGATATTCTCACTGAAAGCAAGGCGCTTGTCGCACTCAAGCCCGAAGCCCTTGCGCAATTCATCAATACTAAACTTACGGCCAAGCTCAACCGACAGCTAGAGGAGCCATTGATCGTAGCGAGCAGCTGCCTTCCCAGCTGGAGCGAAGATCTCGCCCGCCTCTTCCCTTTCCTCTTTCCATTTGAGACACGCCATTTGTTCCTCCAGTCGACTGCTTTTGGCTACTCGCGAGCGATGATGAGGTGGCAAAATTCTCAAAATGGCGATGATAGTCGTAACGATCACCGGCGCGATGATCGACCATTCCTCGGCCGTCTCCAGCGACAGAAGGTTCGCATCTCAAGAAGCCGTATCCTAGAGTCTGCTATGAAAGTCATGGAACTCTATGGATCTTCTCCCAGCGTCCTGGAAGTGGAGTACTTTGAAGAAGTGGGTACAGGATTAGGGCCGACTCTGGAATTCTACTCTACTGTCTCCAAAGAATTTTCGAAGAAGAAACTCAAAATCTGGCGAGAAAATGATTGCAACGATTCCGAGGAGTTCGCTTTTGGCAAGCGTGGTTTGTTCCCTTCCCCTATGAGCGAAGAGCATGCCGCGTCGGAGTCCGGGAAGAAACAATTACATTTGTTCAAGGTCCTCGGCAAGTTTGTAGCTCGCTCGATGCTCGATTCTAGGATTATCGATGTCTCCTTCAACCCTGCATTTTTCCGCATTGCTAATAGCTCATCCTCCGTCGCTCCATCAATCGGCACGGTCAAGGCAGTTGATCAAGACCTAGCAAACTCATTGCTCCTGTTGAAACGCTTCGCCAATGCGAAGGCAGAAGTCGAGAACAAGGTGCGTTCGGAGCCTCAGAAGAGGCAGGCCCTACTGGATATTGAAATAGACGGGGTCAAGGTTGAAGATCTAAGCCTAGACTTCACCCTGCCCGGCTACCCATCCATTGAATTGATTAAGGATGGATCTAATACCCCAGTGACAATCGAAAACGTTGATATGTATATTGAGCGGCTCGTGGATATGACGTTGAGTAGTGGTGTCCAGCGTCAAGTGGAAGCATTCCGAGAGGGATTTTCGCAGGTGTTCCCATATTCGGCTCTTCGTACTTTCACGCCGGCAGAACTCGTGATGTTGTTTGGAAGAGCAGAGGAGGATTGGACCATTGAAAGTAAGTAACTTTCTCCTGCTTGCCGGTACTTGTATAGGGAAAGTTTCTGACATGGTTGCCTTAGCACTTATGGATTCTATCAAAGCCGATCATGGCTTCAACATGGACAGTCGCAGCGTGCGGAATTTGCTTCAAACGATGAGCGAGTTGGATACGCAGCAACGCCGAGACTTCCTTCAATTCGTCACTGGTAGTCCCAAGCTCCCCATTGGAGGTAGGAAGAACGCCCACCCACCATCAATACATGCGGACACTAATCAAAGTATTCTGTCTAGGCTTCAAGAGTCTCACTCCAATCTTTACTGTTGTCTGCCGTCCGAGCGAGCCGCCATACACCCCCGACGACTATCTCCCTAGTGTTATGACGTGTGTAAATTATCTGAAATTGCCGGACTACAGCAGCTTGGAAGTCCTCCGAACACGGTTGTCTGTCGCTATCCAAGAAGGACAGGGAGCATTCCACCTGTCTTGATTTCTTTCGGCCCTGTAGCTTGTTATTTGTCTACTTACGAGTGGTTCGAATATCCCCGCTTTCTTGCGGAAAACACACACACACACACACATAAAAAGGAAAAAAGGAAAAAAGGTACTACATTTGGTGCGTTGGTACAGTATTTAGCAAAATACCCTGACACAGTGATCGAGGGAGGTTATAATGACGGCATGAATGAATCTAATCTGTTTTCATCGGCCGGCTTTCTGCATTCAAAGTTCATTATCTACTGAGTCGCAGGGCATTGATTCCGGGCTATGGGGTGGAGTCATGGGGGAATTTCATATTGTTCTAGATAGAAAAATGGAAGCTTTGAACGTAAAAGTGTTCTTGAATCTATAAGTCTATCTAGCGTCTATAGGTTGTATTATATAAGTGTATATGCACAAATCTGTTGCTGAACTGTATACAGAATGCGCTGTCCCCCATCCCATCCAGCTCTCATCAATTAACCGCGATACAGAGGTACCATGTTCTAGAACCACCAACCAGTCAGTCGACCAAACGAAAGCCCGGCAAAGAAAGAGAATTCAATCAGGATCATACCTCTGCAAACTTGGGCTCAACAAACAAAGCCCTCGCCTCAGCTACCAAGACGGGGTCACTCTCCTCGCCAGCGGCGGGCAACGAGTTCAAACTGCCCTCCACCCACGCCTTCCTCCCTTCCACCTTGACGGTCTCTGCACGCAACACATACACCCGATCTGGCACCGCGGGCTTCCGAAAATCCACATTCAAATTCGCCGTCATCCCCAGCCCACTCGCAAACGACGCCGACACGCACCGCGCAAACGCCTCGTCAAACATCACCGACAGCAGCCCCCCATGCACGAACCCCGGATGTCCGCACAGTTGCTTCCCGATATGGAATACAGCGATAACCCGCCCCGCATGCTGTCCACTCTCTTTCAGCTTCTCCGTTGACGTCCACATGTACGGCGGCACGGTGATCTTTTCCCGTCCGGCCAGCGAGCCCGCTACGAAATGCGCCGGCCGGATAGATGCGTTCATGGAGAGGTGCGGGCGGGACTCTTTGTAGCTGGGATCGCGACGGAGGGATTGTACCAGGGGGAGACGGGCGATGTGGGATTCCACTTGGGATTGTGCGGGTGGGCGGAATGAGGAGACGTCTTCGACGGGCGTGGCGTTTGTCGAGGCATGGTGGTCTTGGGCTGTTGCTGAGGCGGCGATGCGGACTGTACGAGTTGTGGTCTTGGGGGTGATTGTTGGGAGAATTCGAGGTATATACCGGAGGGTTCGTGTTAGGGTTGTCATTTTTTGGGATGTATATGCACGATGATATCAGGGCTTTTTGAAGGGGGAGGGGTTAATCTTTAAAGCTTATTTTGGGGTTAGATTGGGCTGGGTATAGATGGGTGAGCGTTTTCATCCTGGGTTTGAAGCTGCTTTGCACTTACTTGTGGATTTTGGTGTCTATTTATGGACTGACGAGGTATAGAAAGAGGCTCTGTGATGGGATTGTGTTTCCTGATTGCGACATTGCCTGGTTCAAAGAAAAATGGGGGTTTTTTTTTTAAAAAAAAAAAAAAAAAAAAAAAAAAACCGAGGAAAGGAATAACTCCGTAGTGGAGTAGAGGGTCCCAGGTGGAATACCGCCATTCTGGCACGGCCAATCATGGATGATCAGTCTATCTTTCCTGGTCCTGATTAAGCTCAGCGCTTGTTGGTCTTCGGGGGTCCTTCATCTTCATGGCTGGATTTTTGGTAGAGATACGTATTTCATGGCCGGTGGATTTCTAGGCGTCTCAAATCGTACGAATCAGGTTATATCAACCTGTTTTTGTACCAAGCTGACAGATCCTGATAAGATCTTACAATATCCGCTATAAACAGGATTTCAGATATGGTGTGTATGTTTCGTTGATTCCTCTTACGACCATGGTAGGTTTATAATAACCTGCTATAGCCTTGACAACTTCCACTCAGTTCCTGATCTCGAAAACTTTAATGTCTCCAAATAAGGTTAGTCGGCATGCCGAGAGTCATAGATCGGACAAGAGTGGATCTCTTCGGAGTCATGCCGAGCGCTTCCCGAGTCAGGTTGCCCGAAGTACAGCGTACGCTTATGATCACGCTCAAAGTTAACATAGTTAACTGAACTATAGAAGACTGATTGAAAGAAAGCTCTCCTGCTGTCCTAACTTATGCCTGTACCATATCCGTGGATCATCGATCTTGCCGAATTTGGCTTCATTGCGTCAGTGCCGTGTTACTTGATGCGGTCATAACTCATAGAGTTGGGCAACGGCATCGTGTTTCCACCGTATCCTAGTTTGTACATACTTGCCTCTGCCTTGAAAAGGTCTTGCTAGATCTGGTAACCTGGGTTACGTTATCGAAAAGCATACCTGCCACTATTTTTGAAATCTTGCTTAGGTTTCTGGGGCTGACTTCTGACTGGGGAGATAATTATCTCATGCAATTGAGGTCGCTATTGAGGATGTAGTTGCCTGGCTGTTCCGTTAAATTTTTAAACCAACTATATAGGTCGGATACTCTCCAGGGATCATCTAGCTACTGCTGTTGCTTAGTAGAGCCTTGCTGAGTAAGTATTTTCTACACGAAGGTATGGCCTCAAGGTTCATGCAAAGATTTTAATCAATTTCTGGATAAGCCATTCTGTATTTCAAGTATGTACCTATCCTATGGAGATACCGGTAAGCTGCAATTAGATTTGTAGGGAGTATCCTCGCATTTTATTCTATTGACAAATCTGTCTAAATTACAGTGGTCTTCCAGGTAAGGTGAGTAAGAATCTGGAGAAAGTTGAATTGATAGAATCAGTAGGACCACTAACCACCAAAGCCATTCGGCAAAGTAATATGCGAGGTCTCCCATGCCGCTCTCTTCAACGGCCACTTGGCCATTCCCGAGGCAACGGAAGCGATTCGCTGAGTTATACCGGATATTAAGGTGTTCACCACCAATGCTGTCCAGCACTTATTAAAATGACTGGGCTTCTTTCTTAACCTCAATTGACCTATGACGATCATGATTGGACGTCTACGCTGGTTGAGAGATGGACTTACTTGATGTCTTTAGTGGCGGATTTCTGGGCCCACCGCGTGATGGAGTCGCATACGAAAGAAATTCCGCCTAACAGCGAGCCGTTGGGGACAGTAAGAGTTCGGTGCACCAATTATGAAGTATTTTGGCATTGCTGTACTGAGAAAAATGCCTCCGGACTGTGCTGCCACCGAGGGACGGCGGATGTGTCAAAGCCTGTCGTCGTCGCACAGACGATCAGACCGAATTCTTCTTTTCTGTTATCTGCCCCTGTACCTTTTTATGTAGCACAGTCAATTGGTTCCCGGCACATTTGTTTCTTGGAGTTCTCCGAAGATTCCAGATAACCATCACAGGGAGTTAACTGGTGACAACCTGGGTGACAGTCTGGCTACATCTTAAGAGCAATAGATGGATCAGGGCTGCTTTTCAGTCGGTCTTTGCGCGGCAGCTTCGGCAGATGTGTAACCCGGTTTTGTTCGTTTTTGGTGCGGTTGGCACGCATATACATACATACATACATACACATCTATATAAATATCTTATTGTCGTAGGAATGAGGACGCTTTTTATATTTTTCTATATTAATAAACAACGTAGGTGGTCTGTTAGGCAATTCTTGCGAAAAGGGGATGTAAAAACGGCCCATAATTATTAACTTGTTATTTGCTTTCCTGGATATTGATCCTGGTAATCTCCCTAAGGAGCGTCGGTCAATTTTGATCTCTAGCTTGTAGTGGCTATTTTGGTTTCCCGGTGTAAAGAGCATAGGTTCGAGATTCGATAGTTAAGTAGCTAATATCACTGTATCAAACGACTGTGCATTCCAGCTCTCTAGCTATGCGATCGCATCGCTTGAATGTATCGCGCGATAGACTGGCCGTAAAGGTTTTGACGAGACAGCAACCCTAGGTGTGAAAGATCTACGGGCCTACTTTATATGATGGCCGTTTAATAACAAGCACTATATACTGCTAACTTGCAGGAATGGCTTTGCAATGATGTAGGTATGTGGCATAAACCAGAGCAACCCAATAGCCCTAACATACTAGGGAGGGCACCAATTTACAGGGGTGTTATACTAAGAGACATTTCAAGAACCGTTTGGAGCCCAGACGGTCACTGTAGATGACTTCGAAGAAATAATCCCTAACCAAATAGAGTGGTAGGACTTACATTTGCTGAGTTCATCCCAACGGGCTAAGGGTCGTTTGCCCACTGTAAGTACATACCTTGTGAGGAGAACAGCTCAGTCACTCTTTACCCGTGGGGCCCATGCGATTCCTACGATCCAGAGAATCTATTGGCCAATCTATCTTCGTGATCTGCGCTTGCGTTTGCTCTCATTCTCATTCTAATTTTGCAACGGAAAGAGTTTACCGAGGGGTGTTGGCTGTTTATTTGGAATAAGCTTTTGCGAATTAGGGTTACACGTCGGACGACACTTGCCCTCTATCTGTGGCTCTTGCCCTTGAGATCGCGGCCGGTTTGTGGTATATTGGCTGCACTCAGGTTGATTGTTCAGTTATACGTTTGTGTAGAAGTGGGAAGCAGTATTATGATGGGGTGATCTCTTCACAGTCAGGAAATAGTTGGGCTGTGAGGGTTCGGGAAGCTGTATCACGGGTAGTCTATAACCTAAAAATCAAGGTGTTTAGAGACAGTTCATCTAATCCACTCGACCATAGAATATCTCACGAGGACAATTTGTGATCAGGAATAAAGATCAACTAAGCAGAGACAACAAGATAAGTGGCATATATGATGGTATCAGACATAAAGTAGATAAGCACACGCAACCCAGGCCCAATACTAGTAGTAGGGACGGAAGAGCCAAACAAACTATTGACATTTATCAAGACCCCTCCTTTCAGCAAGCAGATCAATACCGGAGCCTCCGGCAAACATTTTATACGTGGAAAACAAATGGCGCAAACTAGTGGCCAATCTCTAAACTTGTTTGCTTCCTTACTCCACCGGCCATTTGGGTATCTACTGATGCCTCTAGGGCAATCAGTATAGCGAATTTCATCAAGGGAAATTTTTTTAGATGTAACGATTGTTTATAGTGGGCTTTCGCTGGTCGTTGTGACTATGAAAGGAGTATTACTAGTATAGTTTTCATTACTATTTATTCTCTATGTGGTACCTTCGTGTGAGATTTTTTTTGTTGTTGTTTTTTTTATATACATGGACCCTCACAGTTCTTGAATCGTGGTTGGTGGGTGAAGACTTCTGGCCTAAGGTATCCTTGATCGTATATTCTCACCCTCCAAGGGAAATTTTAACTCAGACTAGGCTTTCGATTAGCAGTCAGCTCTTCATGATCCATGGTCCAAAAGAAGGGGCAAAGGAATACTGTGAAGGCACATTCAATGTCACGGGCATAAAGAAGGTCGCTGACGAAAGGCAGGTAAGATGTGTGACAATGTGCGAGGCCGGTTCGGGATCTGTGGCCACGAGGCCACCGTATACATCGCGAGATGTGCTGTTGCCCTGCAGAACCAAGTGACGTGTCCACCGGACCAGCGCCAAGATGTCTGGGATTGGCAAGAGGATAAGGACAACGAGGAGTGTCCAGCCTGCAGGGGGCAAACGCCACCCGAGACACCGTGACAGCAATGTTAATCGGTAGAAATTCTTTCACCCTCGTAGCAATGAAGTCTTCATTCCAGCCACTAGCTTTTGCTCCAGTCGTCCGCCCCATGTATATGAGTTGGCTCGGAGTTTGGCCGATTCTATCCATTGGGGACGTGGAATGAACATCCTATATAATGAAAAAAGGAAAAGAAAAGAAAAGTAGCGTAAGCCCATGTATTTTCGGGGGAAAGGAATGGTGGCAATTTGTACCATTTGTCTCCCTGGCGGCTACCCAGATAGACGGAATGGGGGACCCGCGCAACTTCGTCCGCTTCAAGTTCTCCACGTACGTTCAGGTCAAAGATAAACCAGCGTTTTACCGGCTTGACGGAGTCAAAATCCGCGGGGATATGGACATGGTCGTATCCGGTAGGTTGGAGCGACGCACGGAATTCTCGGTGCAAGACTTCCTCGCAGAACGCACTCCCCAAGGTATTATGGCGTCGTTGTGGATTCCCACCGATATCAGTGACGCAGGCAGAGATGATGACTCGCATTGGGCTCTCCATCGTGATTTGAGTCCATGAGGGTCAGAAAGCAAACGGGTTGCCATTTCCTGCAGAGAGCGGTTGTCCAATGTTCCCGCCATGAAGGATGACGATTTGCCTTGACGGAGTCCGGATTAATTCATCAACCGGCCGGTCATTGTTTGTTTCACTTGACATGGATCAGCGTTCGAAGATCTGTCCCTTATAAATCGCTCGCTCCAGGGGGCACTTCGCCATCCTGTCTTCCATAAGATTTTCCATCGGGTGGGTGGTTTTAAACGGTTAGATCTCAACAAGTCATGGCCATCTGACCGGCACTAACTGGAAATAGTTTAGAAGGGCTTCAGATTTACATTACATTTCATCTTCCCCCTTCAAATTTGACACAGAAAATGGGGGGTGAAGTGGAACCCTGAAGGGAGATCACTGTACTCTTCCCTTTTCGGGAATCCAGCTCTCGTACTTTGTACTGAATAAAGCTTAGACTGATGCAAGATCATTTCCTCTTCTATTACAATGATTGGAGCTAGAATACATTTTTGATTTCTTTTTTTTCTTTTTCTTTTTGCTTTTGACGTACAGTTTAAAAGAGAAGAAGAAGAAAAAAAGGACAGACACAGCAAAAACATTGACCCGGTCGCATTCCCGGACTATGATATGTTTAGCCCTAAGTGGGGGTGCACTAGTCATACTTCTTATACATATTTTTGCTATCCCATACTCTACACGTGAGAAAGGACACACAATTCGACTAATGTTCAAGCAGGTAATAAATAATTGCTATAAGGTGTTCCTGCGGCGCGCTTATCTTATGAATGTGGAGGGGAGTATGGAAATGCTGCGATGAAGACGGTAGGATTCAGCGAAAAACAATCGATTTCACACTACACGATCTACTTCGTAGTGGTAGCAGAAATCTGCCATGTTGGTTCACTGTATACATGCGATATTTCTCTGTACTTAATATATATACATCCCACGATTAAAACTCCAACGCATCCACCTGTCCTAGGAAGGAGTTGTTACCCTCCCCACGTAGTAATGCCTCGATATCAACTCGCCCCGAGGTCAGATAACGCTCACTCACACCCACATTGACCCTCTGCGAGAGCAGTTGCTTGAGTTCGGCGCGCAGTCCCGCCAACTCAGCCTTTGAGGTATTTCCTGCCTTCCGTTCACGCTCCTGTCGTCCGCGTCCGCGTCCGCGGCTGCGACCTGAGGCATCGCCGAACTCCTCGCTGTCATAATCGACGCCAAGGTCTTCTGCAGCCGTGCGGAGCCAGTTGTCCTCGGCGGAGATCTTCTCTTTGGCGATATTGGAATCAACAATTCGAGCCGCTAGAGTCACTCGCTGTTTGACACGAGATACGACTCGGCGGTCTAGCTCTAATGACTCGAGGGGGACCTTCTTTCTGTTGGCCATGTTCGCATGCACCTTCGCGGCGAGGCGGACCACACCAATCATTTCGTCAGGAGAGCAGATGATAACACTCTTTCCGGACGCTCCCGCACGTGCTGTACGACCGGACCGGTGGACATATGCGTCCGCAGTGCGGGGAGCGTGGTAATGGACAACAAAGTCGATGCCCTTGATGTCGAGACCACGAGCAGCAACGTCGGTTGCGACGAGGATGGAGCTAGGGTCTGAGGTTGGGGAGGAAAACCGCTCTACTGAACGAAGTCGTGCCTTTTGGGCCATAGATGAGTGAAGGGCTAGCGCGGGGAGTTGAAGGGTTTGCAAAAGCTGAGTTAGTCGTCGAACGGCGGAGATGGAATTCGTGAAAACTAAGGTGCGGTGCTTAGGATGATAGAGAAGAAGTGTGTAGAGAAAAAGATCCTGTAGAAGTCGTCAGACGGGTTTCCTTTTGTCCTTGGCTTGTAACATACCTTTTCCATGGCAGCGCACTCCACGATACCCTCCTTGAGATTTTCTGCCATCTGTGAGACTGGATTCACATCAATGAATTTGGGCTTCTCCTCGCGGAAATTGAGCTTCTGAAGAAGATACTCCATCGACTCTTTTTGGCTCATGATATTACCCCCAGTCCACTTTCCTTTACCCGCCAGCTTTTGCTGAAGATCACGGTGGAAAGTAGCCGAGAAAACCAGGGTCTGTCTCTGAGACTTAGGATCTGTTTCCTCGTCAGATTCGTCGCCTGAATCATCTGGGAAGTCTCCGTCCTCAACGCGGTCAAGAGCTGCCAAAATCTCGTGGGCTTCCTTGAAATGCCCTTCACTCAGAAGCCTATCAGCCTCATCAATGACAAGGAATTTGATCGCTTGCATCTTGCGAATCAAGCCCTGTCCAGAGCTGAGAACCTCCCACACTCGACCAGGTGTACCGACCACGATATCAGCACTAGCTAGCACTCTCTGTTGTTTTTGTACTGACAAGCCACCGGTCAAAAGCGCAGTTCTAGCATTGACGCCCGGGGAATGGCTGATTACTTCGCCAATATGTTTCGCGAGCTGATGTGCCAGTTCTCTAGTGGGCGATAATATAAGCGCAATCGGCATGGACTCCTTCTTTTCTGAGTCTGTCTGAGATTTGCTCCGTAGCTTTTCTAAGTAGTGTTCCAAAATGGGAATGCCGAAAGCTAGCGTTTTTCCAGATCCTGTCGAAGCTTTTCCGATGACATCATGACCATCCAGGATGGGAGGAATGCAGGTCTTTTGAACAGACGTTGGCATTGAGAATTTCATCTTTGAAAGGCCGGTGAGAATTTCAGGGGAGAGGCCAAGGGGCTCCCAAGCAGATATGTCCGCACCATCGTCGTCTTCCTTGTCCTGGAGCGTGGCAAACGAGAGTCCAGGTTTGATCTTGTCCTCATTGGTTACAGCAGCCTTTTCCTTCGGTTCTCTTTTCACATTCTTTGCCTCCTTCTTTTCCTTCTTTGTGTTTTTGGTCTCTTTTACCTTCGCCTTCTTATCGGACTCGTCGGGCTCGTGTTTGGTCTCCTCCGCTTGGTCTTGGGGCGCAGTCTGATCGTCGTCGCCGATTCCTTCCCATTCATCATCGAACTGGGCCTCTTCTTCCTCCAGCCCTTTCTCCTTCAGTATTGACTTCTTCGGTTTCCCAGCTTTTGCCTAAAAGGTGTCAGTAGAGGTCGCTAGAAATCGCGGCGCAGAGACGGTACCTTAAATCTGACTTCCCCATTGCCTTCAGATCGTATGATATCGACGCCGTCAATTTCCTCCAATCCAAAGAAGCCTTCCGCGTCGTCCAGACGATCCGGAAGAGCTACTTCCTTCCAGTTGAGATCGTCCACTGCGACGATACCATCCCAGTCGCTATCCTCCCCGGCGGCATTGCTTGGCTTTGCGCTCTTCTTTCTCTTTTTCGCAAAGAATCCCGGACCCTTCTGGTCCCGCTGCCGTTTCTGGCCCATAACTAGTGCCTCAGAAGAAATTTATGAGGAAATATCAATAGATCGTGTGATCCTGGTTGATTGAAGAATTATTTTTCGACACCGAGAAGGGAAAAAAGAACGGCAGAAAAAAAGCCCGCTGCTCGCCGCCTTGGGGTTCAGTCTTATCGCCCGCCCACTGCCCCACGGAGAAATTCCATTGAAAATCACTCTTCTTTACCCACCCATTGGCATAGTTTTGGCTGTCGCGCAGACACCGTGAATATGGGTAAATCCTCCAAGGATAAGCGCGATGCTTACTACCGACTAGCTAAGGAGCAGAATTGGCGTGCGCGCTCGGCGTTTAAGCTAATCCAGATCGATGAACAATTTGATCTATTCGAGCACGAGAATCCGGAGAAAGTCACGCGGGTTGTGGACCTTTGCGCGGCACCGGGTAGTTGGAGTCAGGTTTTGAGTCGGGTGTTGATCAAGGGCGAGAGCTTTGGCCGGAGGGCGTGGGTGGAGAAGAAAGCCAGGGAAGAGGCAGCGTTAGCAGGTGCGAACAGTGATGCGACTGACAACGGCGCTGATGGGGATGCCGATATGAAGGAGTTGAAACCTAGAAAGAATGTCAAGATTGTCTCGATAGATCTGCAACCCATGGCGCCGCTGGAAGGCATCACTACCCTCAAGGCAGATATCACTCACCCTTCCACAATCCCTCTTCTTCTCCGCGCCTTGGATCCGGAGGCTTACGACTCTACAACATCTTCTTCCCCTTCTACTATCCGACAGCCGCATCCTGTCGATCTTGTTATCTCCGATGGTGCTCCTGATGTCACCGGCCTGCACGATCTAGACATCTATATCCAGTCGCAGTTGCTCTACGCAGCGTTGAACCTTGCCCTGGGCGTTCTCCGGCCCGGCGGCAAGTTCGTGGCCAAGATCTTCCGTGGCCGAGATGTCGACCTCATCTATGCACAGCTTCGTACCGTCTTTGAGAAGGTCAGTGTCGCGAAGCCGAGAAGCAGTCGAGCGAGTAGTCTGGAAGCCTTCGTGGTCTGCGAGGGCTTCATTCCACCAGCCATCCATGACGGTTCGATGGGCATAGACGCTCTCAAGAACCCCCTATTTGGCGGAGCCGCAGCGGCACATAATGTGTCCACCGATGGTAACGTCAGCATAGAGGTGATGGACGTTGACTCTGAAGTCAAACCTGGAGCCAACCTTACGACTATCAAAACCGTCTCTTCAACAGGACCTCACAAGGAAAATCAGACCCGCATGCTGCATGCCGAGTCTGATAGCTCTTCTAAGCTAGAGCCCCTTTCTCAGAAACCTGTGACGGAGAGGTTCGCCGTTGAGAACAGGTGGATTCCTCCATTCATTGCCTGCGGTGACCTCTCTTCCTGGGATTCTGATGCGTCCTACGCTCTACCTCCTGATCATGTAAGCTTGGACCCTGTTCAGCCGCCCACTGCTCCGCCTTATCGGCGAGCGCTGGAGCTGAGGAAAGAAAAGGGCGGTGCCTATGGAAAAACGAAGCTAGGAGCTCTTGGACGGGCTTGATTGAGATGCTACTTTTTTATAATTGATTTCTTTACAATACTTTCTTTCATATATCCTTTTATGTCCACTCACAAAAATCGGTTTGTTGGAGATCAGGACCATGGATTGGCATAAAATAAGGCGGTGTTATGGGGGGAACAGAAGATCTGCAGTACAAGTATATAGAAGATACCCAAAGGATACAAAAATAGATCATTTACAAGGGTATAGGTGTATACTAAAATGGAAGGTACATATTTATATGAACCAAGTAGTGTTTGGGGTAACCATCATAAGTCTAGGTATTCTATCGGGTGCTAACAAGCGCTAAACCAAAACAGGACAGGCATCAACCTCATTGCATGCACACAAGAGGAACTCGAGATAACAGAACTGTTCATCAAACCTTTTAGTACACCTCAAGAACATATCTCTCCTCATCCTTCAATTTCTCAATCTCCCTTCTTGTATCAACCTTCTTGCCGTTCTCCTTAGCTTCGGTGGCAATTGCCTCTTCCAACACAGCTGTGACATCGGGAACCGGCCATGTGGGACCGCAAAGGTAAAAGGCTCCCTCTTCCCGGATGTAAGCTTGAACAATCTCAGGCAGAGTCTGGCGCATACGATCCTGGATATAAATCTTCTCGGGCTGGTCACGGGAGAAGGCACGGCCGAGCAAGGTAATGACACCAGCCTCTTGGTAGGCCTCCCATTCCTCACCATAACAGTACTCTTCGCGCTGGTGACGAGAGCCCATGTACAGCAGAACGGAGCCGATTTCTTTACCCTGGGCCTTCTCAAGTGCACGGTGCTGCACGAAAGCACGGAACGGAGCAAGACCTGTTCCAAGACCTGCCATGATGATGGGCTGGGTGGACTTCGGAGGCAGCTTCATCACACTGGATTTCACACTAACTGTGATGGGGGAACCAGGTTGAAGTCCACTGAGGTACCTGGTAGCCAATCCGAATCGGTCACGGCCGTTAGGGTCCACCCAATTGACAGCGACGATCATGAGCGCCACGGAGTTAGGAGTCACCTTCTGGCAGGAGGCAATCGAATATTCACGACGCTTGAGAGGGCCGACGATACGGATCAAGTCATGGAATTCAGGATGAGCAGAGGGATATTCAAGCAGAATGTCAGCAAAGGTGACAGTGTCAACCTCAGCGCGACGCTTGAATTCCACAGCTCCCTCGGGGCCACCTAGGGTAAGGAGGTCAGTTTTCTCCTTCTCATCGGTGGCAAATTCAGCGAGAGACTCGTAGAAACGTTTAGGGGGCCGGCCGAAAATATCAACATTCTGTGTGAGAGCCTGGAACACCGTACGATTCTCCAGCACGGCAGGATCCTCGCGGCTAGGCACCTCGACAATATCGTCGGGGTTAAGGCCATAGAAGGAAATGAAATCCGAGACCTCTTTGGTATCATTCTCCGCGTGTACACCAAGCGCCTCACCGATGTCATAAGTAAGACCAGAATCACCCAAGTCGAATTCAATGTGGAAGATGTTCCGGTCATAAGTGACAGGCGTCAGGCGTCTATTCTCCTTGACATGGACAGTGAAGGTCTTAGCAGCAGTGTCCGGTCGGAGAGCTGTCTTGGTTCCGTAGGCCTCTTTGAAAGCCAAGCCCTTCGCGGCAGTCTGCCAGTCCTTAAGAAAAGAAGCGGGTTCGGCATCCTCCTTGTCGAAAGACACAAAGCTATTGGGGGAGAGGTCCTTAGGAAGCTGAGGAGCCTCAAAGCCTTCCTCAGGTGTCTTCCATGCCTCGGGGATCTCGATTTGGCGAAGCAGCCTATCAAGGTCCTTGCTGACATTTTGAAGGGATTCAGCGTTGTCACAGATTGATGCCAGTTTCTTAATGCCGACCTCCTCCAGCGATGGGAGTGCCACTCGCAGGAAGGCGGTCTGTAGAACGACGGCGTCGAGCGAGGAGTCGCCGAAAACGGAGGGGTCAACGAGGTAAAGAGAAATTCCACGTTGCGCAACCCTTTGCCTGAAGGCTGCAGGAAGCTTCTTCTCCAGCTCATCATCCTTCACGCCAGGAGCGTTAAGAATAAGGCTGCCGTTGTCCTGGATAGAGGCAGTGATATCAATGTCCGCCAGAAGTTTGACATCTCCCACATAAGCGGTGTTGGCAGAAGTGATAGCATAGGGAGCTTCAAGAATTTTGGAGCTCTTGCGGATATCGATGCGTACTGCACCTCCCTGGACGAGGTTATCGTAAGTCTTGTGGGTGGTGACGTTGCTTGCTGAGTCGGCAGCGAGGGCCTGGGAGAGTGCAGTGGCAGCATTATAGCAGACAGAGGTATCGACATCCCAGAAAGTGTATTCTTGGACCGCAGAGGGGTCGAGCAGCTGAAGAGGGACAGTATGGCCATCGGTCTGAACAATAGGCTTTTCGGAGATGAGTTGGAACGCAGCTGCCGTGTTGATCAAGTCCCATCGCTGGGAGCGAGCATACTTGATGTCGACGCAAGTAGGTACGTTCTCGCGGCCAGTAGCGAAGGTCAAGGCGGCAAGAACATCTTCGTATAGAGCAGATCGAATACCCTGCTCTTGCACGGCTTGTTCGTTGGTAACCTGGCCTAGGACACCAACAGTCTTGACAGACCGGGGTAGCACTCGGAGGAATTCCTCCTCAACGAACGGGCGGTAAACACGAACGTTGATAACACCAACACTGACACCATCCTTCGCCAGGGACCGGGCGACCTGGGCAGTGAGAGATGCCTCAGCGGTACCAAAAGCAACCAAAACAGAGACCGGTTCCGCATGGCCATAGTACTCAAAGAGGCCATAGTCCGTACCGAGCTCACCATTGAGGGACTGGAGCAGTTCTAGTAGCTTTCCCTGGTTGTCAAGATGACGGCTACGAGAATCCTCCAAAGTCTTGCGAACAGCCCCATAGGCGCGAGAAAGACCCGCTTGACTCAGGATATCGATGACCCGAGTGGTTTCACGACCAGCGCGGACACCATCGTAAATATGGATAGATGGCAAAACCGCTGCGAGTAATGTCGTAAGCAATGCCATATGCTGCGACTCGTGAACAGAGATACTAGAGATGAGGCCCAGTCCAAGCTCTTCAGCAAGAGAAAAAGCGGAGGCATAATCGGTGACCAAGCCCTCCTCTCCGGCATAGTCGACCGCGGCGACATGCGCGGCAACAGGACTAGCAACGGAATAAAGCAGAGAAAGCTGCTCCAAAGCCGAGCGCATGTATGGAAGAGTGGCAGAAGAGGCGACAATCCCCTGGGGAACATGGCGCTTCTTCAGGTCGAAGTCCTGAGAGAAGAGGTAGCCAAGAGCAATGTTACCAGCACCTTGGCGGGTCTCCATAGCCTGAATAGCGGGGGTTTCGCCATTGGCATTGGTCTCTTGGCTAGCAGCCCATTGCTTGAGAGCTACATCAAGGTCAAAAGACTCTGGAGAGTAGGAGAAGATCTTATCACTCAGGACATACGCCACTTGCTGGATAAGGGTCTGGGCGGTCACATAAGTCGGGCCTTCAAGAGCCGACAAGGCTGGGGAAGAAGAGACCATCCCGACCAAAAAATTCCTGTTGAGAAACAGGTCAAACGAACAGGTACAAGACAAGAAAGAGGAGAAAGGATTGAATCATAAAAGTGGGAGGTAATGGGGGTAGAAAAGGACTCACTCTATAGAAACCCCCAGGAACCTCTTGCCTATTGCGGTTAGCGCGAATTGCGTGATTCAATCATTCTCTTATCGATTAGATTTTTTGGCATTTCCATCGCCATTTCTCAGCGGTCAACGGCGGCAGAACTCGCCACTTCCGGCTTTTCTCCGCGTTCTTCATCACGTTACTTTACCCACTCCAGTCACAGCCTGAGGCATATCTCTCCCCCGTTCGAGTCTAGCCCCCTTTTCGAATCAATTGATAATCACTAATCAACAAAACGTCATCTTTCTGCACCTGTGGATCATTCTTGAACGACAACCATTTCTCAACAAACATGGCTAACGCAGTATTGATCGGATGTACCGGAATGGTGGTAAGTGCTCGGTGTGTATATACATGCTTTTTCGCAACAAACATATATTTTTATCTCTGCTAGACTATGGCAAGTTATCTATGTAGCGACTCGTATATTTTGACTAACGCTCAATTCCATTATAAATCGCTGGAACTTAAAGGGTAGCCATATCCTCAACAGTCTTCTCGCAAACCCCTCTGTCGCTCGTGTGGACACGATTTCGCGTCGCACTCCGCAAGCCGCATCTACCGCTCAAGCCAAACTGACCACTATCGTATCTAACGATACGTCAAATTGGACGAGTGAACTCTCCTCTCTTTCTCCAACGCCATCTATCTTCTTCTCCTCCTTTGGAACCACCCGTGCAAGCGCCGGAGGGTTTGAGAATCAATATAAAGTGGAGCATGGTTTGAATGTTGAGATGGCGCGTGCCGCGCGCAATGCTGGTACAAAGGTCTACGTCCTCATTTCATCCAGTGGAGCTAGCAAAGACTCGTCCTTTGCCTATCCCCGAATGAAGGGCGAAATTGAAGAGGATGTGAAGGCTCTAGGATTCGAGAGAACCGTTATTCTACGCCCTGGTCTCATTTCCGGGCAGAGAGACGAAAGCCGTCCCCTGGAAGCCGTGGCCCGCTGTTTTGCTGGGTTTGCTGGGAAACTCCACTCTAGCCTGAAGGACAGCTGGGCCCAGGATTCGGATGTTATTGGGAAAGCCGCAGTCAATGCCGGTCTCAAGGCTTTGGAAGGTGACGTTCCCGCTGGTAGTGAGAAGGTCTGGGTTCTGTATGGCAGTGACATCATTAAATACGGGGCAGAGTCGAAGAACTGAGACAAACATGGACGAATATACCTAGTTGGTTCTAAAAGTTGTATTCCATGCATATTAGCTATAGTGGTTAGCTCGTCACTGAAATCAAAACGTAATATGCACTCTTTTATGAACAACAAAAAGAGCAATGTATATTAACACAAAATGTACTAAACCAGAAGTGGTATCCAGATACCCATACTGGACTATCCACTGTGATAAAGACCCAGTCTCTATTTCCTCGGCTTGTTCACCTCTTTATTCTTCCGCGCTGCACCCCTTCCAGTCGACCCCGATTTCTCTGCATTACGATCCGGAAGCCCCTCCTGAGCTGGTCGTGTGCCACTAACTTCCTTATTTGCCGGACTAACATTCAACGGGTTGCTGACTTTACCCTGCTGTTGACTTTCTTCCTCGGTGGCTTGGATCTCGCTTTCCGGTGACGTCTTGCTCGGATCGTAAGCGGCCGGGTGGCCAGCTACTTCATTATCCGTGCCCGTCTTCGAGACTTCGTTTCTCTGGGGGTCGAGGATAGTCCGGTCATGAAACTTATCCTCTTCCTCCTTTTGCTGATGGGTAGTTCGAGATGTCGGAGAGAAGTGGAAGGTCCGCCTGTTTTGCTCTACTGATTGGATGAGAGGTAGTTGTGCTCGAGGTTGGAAGGTTTTGACAGGCTGGCCCAGTCGGGTGGTGATTGAGGTGAGTTGCTTGAACGTCTGCATGATTGTGATATCTAATTGACGAGAAGGTATCTGTTAAAGGAAATCGAGCAAGATGTGAGTCTAGTTAGACGTTCTTGATATTGGTATATAGAAGAATGTTATTTCCTAGGACGGTATTAGCAATCGGTATGATTGACTAGGGCAATAACGAAGGATTTTACTTTCTAGTAATTGTAATAGATACCTTTGGCAAGGGGAGATTGTGTTGAAGAATGTTGGATTCGGTGGAAAACCTTGTATTCTTTATCCCACTGATCATGTTGACGTCATTGGTCTACAGGTCTTGCAAGGGCACTGTATAATCACGTGACTCATATGAGGGAACTACTACTACAAGGTCATAAGGATGATTCTACAGGAGTTATGGAGACATTTGGGAATAATGTCCTGCTAGCCTAGAATAAACTCAAGGCAACAGCATGTTCTCCATCGCTGCATTGTAGTCCACACATACGTAAGAGAATCAAGAGTAATAATTCCTTTTCACCTTCGAAAAGGTGAATCAGAAAAGCATAAAAAAGAAAGACGAGGGGGGAGAAGGCAGTCACTAGAAAGCAGATTCACTTCACGGCAATACCACTTCTATCTCCCTTCGAAAGTGAGGTCAGCTGCATAGCTGCCTGAGGACCCTTTAGATCGAACACCATGGCGCCTTGGGAGGGAAGTAAGGCAACAAGATTCATTGAAATTCCAGACAATTTGACATCAGATAAACCTACACCTGCCACGTCAATGACCTCAGTTGAGGCGTAGATGCCACATTGTGATGGCACAGTGATTGTGCATATCGGAACCACGCTTTGCCAGTGCTCCTAGTATAGGTTCCAAGTTCGTGTCTACCACACCTTGGCGGAAGATTCTAGGCTCAGACGGAGTGACTCGATTACATAGAAGGATCCAGTGGAACTCAATGCATCGATGGCGATCACACTGGCGTCAGCGGTCGGGCCACTGCACGCACAAGCCCGACTCAGGTGGTATTCTGAAAAGCAATTGCACCAAGCCCTGTCGAGATCGGATGCCTAGTTTGGCCAGGCCCCGCGTATCAAGAGAGGGTGATACTGGCACATGCAGAGCTAAAATCTTAGAACCCGAAATGCGCAGAAAGACGCTGGCAGCTGTCAGCTTGCAGCTGCGAAGAGCCGCCATGAATCTTCTGGGTGTGAGTCAGTGGAACCTGTTGCCACGATCCCTGGAGCTAGAGATGTAATCGACAAGGTTCAATTATTAGCTGCATATACTCCATGGCCAGCTGCCAGACTCTATTGGACACGAATCGTTGCTGGTTTTTAGTATACTTTCAGCCACAGGCCAATCCGCGTGCGTAGGAAGAACACAATAATCGAGGCCCTCTCACTTTAAAATTTCGGGAGCAAGCCTAACACTTTCCATTTGTTACTTGTAAAACATATATGCGTAAATGCGCAGAGGATTCCGGCGCAACATTACGATCACGGGACTGAAGAACCCAGCACAGTGGGCCGTGCATGTGGGGTCAGATATTCAAATTCAACGTCGTCGGATTTAATGAAATACGTCGCGTAAATATAGGAACAAATAAACCTGCCAAGTATATCAACTTGATGGTCTCCGAGTCGAAACAGAAACTTTTATCCGTTGGGTAGAAGTCGCTACCGGTATTTTCTTTTCGGTCCTTGTTTCTGAGCGTAAATTTCCGCAAGAATAGGTTAGTAAATCCCTAAATAATACGGAGTGGAAGACAAGGTGTAATGGTGGCAAATGAGGTTGTAGGATCGGAATAGGCCATCTCAGGAGGTGGTATACAGTCAAATGTCAAGGTTGCTTCTTCGTCACGGTACTAGGCTAGCACCAGCACCGCTGAGTTGGCATCGATATTTTTCCCTGGATCCGCTGTTTGATAGATCAATGTTTTAGCAGTCAGTTCGGATGAGCCGGCAAACTTGTGTTGTAGCGAATGGACCGCTATGGATAGGCACCTTGTGGAAACACGGCCTAGGATGTCCGGAGAAGCGGGGGTCCAAAGAATACAGTTCATTCATTTGCCAATGCCAGAGGGCATACATCGAAGCCATTCTGCCCATCACTCGATGAACGAGGGATTGACTAGATTTTCGCCTCGAACTTCCCCCATCAGCCTCAAGATACAGAAATGGGAGGGTTTGGACCAGACAATGGGCGCCACGTCACAGTCTCCGAATTCTAGTGCAGCTGCATGCGTTCAACAGGAGGCGTACCGTACCACGGTTTGTATCTACCATAGCTGATGCAGTGGTGATATCCTATCATCTCGACCGAGTAAGGCAGGTAAATGAGGAATAAACCCTGCCCCTGAGCGGGGGCGAATGCGGTATTATTCTTCTGCAGCCGTGAAAGATCAGCTGAAAAATGATCGTCTCCTAACGATTATTGACTTCATCATGCCACTTTAAGGAGAGGTAGTTGTCCAAGGCGGAGCTTCACGGCGCAACGGATGCCAATCGATATCTTTTAGTGACGCGTCTGTTGCCACTAACTGAAGAAAAATTTAGTCGAAACGGGAACCTGCGGAGGACGCAAGACACCAATTGCCACCAAAGGCAGATATCCTTGTAAACGAGGTTAGGAGATAAAAATCAAATGAAGGAGGGTAAGGTAGGGTTGCAACCAGATACGGACATCAAGTCTCATTGGAAGCACTACCAGCAACCGAACAGACCAAAAAAAAAAGGAAAGAGAAAGAAAAGAAGTAAATAAAAAATTAAAAATCAAAAAAGGATGGCAATACAGTGGAATGTCTCACCAGGCTTGATTTCATTATTCGGTAAGAATAAAATACCCAAATACCTAACACCATGGAGTAGAAAACAGACCGTCTGAGCTAATTGGTCGTCAATCGTTAGTGAAAAGTCACATATACATGTAGGAGGCGATCTCTGACGAACCATAAAGGTACTGCAAAATAGGAGTGTATTTTTCTCCTTGTCTCCCTCTCTCTAAGTTAGGGAAGCTGGGTTGCCCCTGAATGCAAAAAAAAATGCTCCAATGTAAGACGGCATGACAGCTGGCAGAAGGGTGACTGAACTTGCAGAAGCTTTAACTCAACAAGGATAAAAGCATGCGGTTCACGAACGATGGCTTCATACGAAACATGGACGCTTAGATGAAGCGGGGATGATTGATTCAGCACCCAAGGCAGCAAGGGCAGTCCAAGCCAAGCTAGGACAGCGAAACATCGATTCGTGATGAGGGATTTTCGGATATTCAACTTGAGGCAGAATAGATGATTCCGCCACGACATCAGGGTGCATGCATTCATGAAGCACCGACTGATTACAATCATACCGAAAAAGGAATGTTGCGGGCATCTCGTGTCTCCACTGTTGGGCAAACTTGTTGTAGCCAACCGCAAGAAGCATTCAAGGGAAGTGATGCGAATGTGATGGTAGAATGCTGTGGACGATAAGCCATTACACGCCGAAGGCATTGATCGACAATGAATGGGCATAGGAACAAGAACTGGCTGAGCAGTAACATAGGGAGCTGCTCACGAAACATAAATAGGACCAACGATCCTTCAGCTTGATGCTATCTGGATCAATAATCGTTTCAAACTAGATCTCCTCGAACAATTTCATAAGACATCAAGTCTTGTTCTTGATATAACGCGTTTCAACGTTTAAAACTTCCATCAGAGGTCAATAGGCTTTGTTCAAGCCTAGCCTATCAAATATTCGAAGGGCGGTAGGGCCACAGGATCGAGCCAATAGAATATAAGGCAGAAGGTGAAACGGCGAAACTGCACCAGGTACAAGTGAGTTTGATCATAACCCTGGACATGCTTTCCCTGGCTGATTTGATAGGCATGTGTTTTTACAACCAGAAAAGATTTGCATGCGGAGACTGGAGTTGGACCAGTTTCGCTCACCGTTGCAATTACGAATACCGTACTGGCGAGACTTGCGGTATGAGACTTGTCAACACGACCGAGTTTGAGTCGACACAATGCCGTCTCTGTGAAAAGATTGAAACCAAATTTCGGCGGCGAAGCGCCGAGTTGGAACGGTTGAACCGGTGGACACGAGAGGGAGGCACTCTTGTAGCCTCCATAGATCGATCACAGAAGCTCGTAATGGAACTTGACAAAGAGATCCGCCAACTTCAGAGGGAACGTGAAGATCGACGAAAAGCACTGAATTGAAATGCGGGTTCTTAGTAAATAGGGGGGTTTTATGGCGCTGGCGAACTGGAGCTGGATTTCCCTTTTCTTTTTCTTTTTTTTTTAGATTCCCTTATTTGCAATCTCTTTGGATTTCAATCCTAATTTCAGTGTGATAATTTTGTGTCTCACAATCATGTGTCATTCTGCTCATGTGGCTCGTTAGCTGTGTCATCATACTGGGCTGTTTCCATCAAACTGAAAACAAACCCATCTGATGATTGGAGGAAAAGTTTGGATTAATGTAAAACCTGTTGTCGATTAAGTATGAAGCCCAATGAAGTGTCCCGTTTCCCGCAAATCTTGCGTCTCGTGTGGCATCCTCGATGACCAGTTCCACTCAATAAGCGCCTATACTCTTGGTGAGCGCTTCGCCGATAAGGATAGTCAATTACCCCATATATAAGCAATTGTAATAAGTGCTAAGAGGCATTGGGTGAGATACCAAGACAGAAAAGTATTTTATAGTCCTGAGATGCTTGGTATAGACATCTTGCTAATTTGCGATAAGTATCCTGACATCAACGTCACTGGATTGAGGGGAGGGCGTTTGATTGTTTCTAGTATGAATGTTTGACACCCCACGCCCATTGTATGTACTCACGTGAACTGACACAGATTGGGTTTAGTTCGGGTTTGGTCAATCCCCCACCCCAAATTCATCTTGAAGCCCTTAAGACGAACAGCCCTCGGTATATTCAAATGCCGTCCTTCTCTCATGCATTTCAAATGGCGCTGATATCCACCCGTCGATAATGGCTTCGCCACCGAGCCTGTCTGACGCATTTTGTCGAGAGCTTCCAGCGAACCAAAATGTCGTCCACCATCAAAGTCGGTACTCATTCGATAGAACCAGAACAGTAGCCCGTGTTGTATATGGCAATCTCCTTCATGATCCTTCGGTAAGACTGCGAGTAGGAGTGAATGAACTCTGGGGATTACTTATATATGGGGAACATTTGGGCGAAACCCTCCATACATGCTCAACATCATTCAAGCGCCCAATGCAGCCGGGCCTTCGAAGCTACGTGGACCATTGATCTTGACTTCTCTGCAGCAGATTTGATCGAATTGGCATGGAGAATACGAGAGCCAACATAAGGGCTCGGGTGTGTGTTTGCGCAAATTGACGTCGCCGGCTGCCACGTCACTAGCGGACAACTTTAGTTACGCTTCATATGTGGCGGTAATTACTTCCATCCCCATTCTCTATGGTTTCGACACTTGTCTCAGCAACATATGCTTTCACGGGCTTATGATTGTATGCAGTACAGGACCGGAGCTTCGGATTTCTTTTCTTTTTCGTTTCCCTATTTTTTTCTTTTTTTTTTTTCTTAATTCTATATTTGATAGAAGATTTTCAAAGGAAGCAGTATGGGATTATCTTGATCGAGTAACTGAATAAGGAACATTCTCTCATCATTTAATGTCGCCCGCCTCGGGCTCATCATCGACTTTAGCAAGCCCATGCTGCTTCAGTAGAGCATTAATCTCATCAGCATTCCACAAGTGGTGGTAAACCTTTCCTTCCTGAGTCTTTCCCACCGTTGCGAATTCGACTGTGAAAAGACAAATTTAGTAATGTTCGCTGGGTCGTCCTAGAGAGAATGAAGGCGACGCGGGGGAAACAAAGCACCACAACTTACTCTTCTCACTACTTAACTTAGTCGAATCCATAGTCTTGCTCAAGACCTTGACGGCCATGGCACAGGCCTCCTTCAAGTCACAGTCCTCCTTGTAATCTTGCTTGAGCAGACTTTGTGCACTTGCATTGTTAGCTCCCACGCTAGTAGCTTTCCAGCCACCGTAGTTACCACTGGGGTTGCTCTGGTACAACTGGAATTCCCGAAGAGGGTCGTAACCTGCGTAGATGAACGAGACACCAAATGGACGAAGACCACCATGCTGGGTATATCCCTGTTTCAGATCACACAGTCGGCGAACCAGTTGCTCGCAAGGGATTTCTTCGTTGTAGGTGAGAAGATAACGCTGGGCGGCTTGTCGGGCGTAGTTGATTAGGATGTTTGCATCTGCCGTCATACCTGCCACTGCACAGATCATGTTACTGCCCGGAAAATTAGCTTTTGGACAGCGTTATAGTAAAATGTCCGCAAAGAAGATCATCCGTACTCATTCAGAGTGTAAAGTTTCTCCGCAGAGGTATCTTGCTCTAGCAACTTGCTAGTGACCTTCTTCTCCGCTGCAAGAACGATCCCATCTTTGGCCAGAATTCCTAGAGCCGTGCCGGCGTGCGAAATTGCTTCAAGCGCATATTCGACCTGATAGAGGCGACCTTCGGGGGAGAAGATGGTAGTCTATCAAACAGCGTCGTCGGTTAGTTAGAGCTTCCGGGCGAACAGGATTACGGAATGAGCGTACCCTAGAATCGTATCTTCGTGACATATCGAATCTGAAATAAAAGCGGGACGAGTGAAAAGGAAAGAAGGCTTTATTGATGGGTGAAGTTGAGGGAAATGGAGGTTGTGATGAGGAATGGGCTATGGATAAGCTGTGTAGGGTGGGTTGGGGTGAGCTCCAAAGTGACAGTCAGTGACCAGGCAACTCGCCCTGCGCGTCCAGCGGCTTTGCCAAGCTCGGGCCCACGCCTTAGTTTCTATGCGAAGCTCTCTCGACTGCCGCAAAATCTCTCTGCGACAAGAACAATTTAACACCATCATCCATAAATATGAAATTCTAGAAATAACAATCTGTCGAAATTACGGATCTCCGTGTATCGCGATCACAATGCTCAAATCCACCTATACCCCTCCCCCTCCATTACCTCCGGGATGGACCGAACATAGAGCTCCTACGGGTTCGTCACACTTGTCGCCTGCATTGCCGTGAACGTTCTATTATCTGACAGTGCGTAGGTCACTTATATTACTATAACTCGCAAACAAAACAGTCCACCTACACTAGACCCCAGGCGTTGCCAGTCCCATCCCAACCGACCCCGGCATCAGATACCGCTTACAACGCTCCTTATCTTACCCCGGATACTTTACCCCCATTTTCCTCGACTCCTTATGCACCCCAAGGGTTTGGACTTAGCGCATCATCCCAGGGAACATCTCACCATGGTCAATCTCGGGGTGGTTTTCGCGGAGGAAGAGGCTATAACGGCCGCAGGAATAGAGGACCAGAAGATAGGCCAAAGTCCAAACATTCCCTCCCTGGCTGTGCACCATGGGTGCTCGTTAAAACCAAACTCGGGAGGAGATTCGTCCATAACCCTGAAACAAATGAAAGCTTTTGGAAGATTCCCCCGGAGGTATTGAAAGGCGTTGTCGAGTACGATCGTTTAGAAAGACAAAAGAAAGAGAGGGAGGAGCGCGGTGAAGGCATTGATGACGAACAGTCTGTGTTGGAAAGGGGATCCGAACCGTCCGACCAACAGCATAAGGAGCAGAAGGAGGTTGCTCCGGCTGCAGAAGCGGGTGAGGAAAGCGATGAATACGAGGAAGTGGAAGTAACAGATAGCGAGGGAGAAGACGAGGACCATCCTTCTAAGCGGCCAAGAATGAGGGGAGACGGCGATCAGCAGCAACATTTAGAGTTCACAGAAGAAGATATCGAGTACCAACTCGCCGCAATGGGAGAGGAATATGGGCTTGATCCTGGAGAATATGGCGAGCCAGGCGAGGACGGCTGGGAAGAAGGTGCCGAGGGGCTGCCACTTACAGAAGAAGACGCCACTGCTCTTTTCCGCGATCTTCTTGATGATTATCACATTAACCCATATACAACCTGGGAGAACATTATTGAAGAAGGACGGATTATAGAGGATTCACGTTACACCGTCCTCCCAAATATGAAAACACGCCGCGAAGTTTGGTCTAATTGGAGCCGTGACCGGATACGGGTGCTTAAGGAGCAGAAAGAGAAGCAAGAGAAAAAGGACCCGCGCATCAAATACTTAGCTTTCCTTGAAGCGCACGCAACTCCCAAACTATACTGGCCAGAATTCAAACGCAAGTATCGCAAGGAGCCCGAAATGAAAGACACGAAACTGTCGGATAAAGATCGAGAGAAAATCTATCGTGACCTAATGTCACGGTTGAAACTACCGGAAAGCACTCGCAAGTCTGACCTCTCTGCCTTGTTGAAATCCGTCCCGCTGCTTGAGTTGAATCGCTCGTCAAACCTGAAAGCCCTCCCTCCAACTATCATTACCGATATCAGATATATTTCCCTCTCTCCCAAAGTCCGCGACCCCCTGATCGAAACCTATATATCTACTTTGCCGCCGGCACCAGAGCAGGGTGAAGAAATGTCTGCTGAGCAACGAGAAGAAGTCAAAAGGAAGAGGTTGGAGCGCGAAAAACGTGAAAAGGCTTTAGCGGAACGAGAGAAGCAAGTGCAAGAGGACAAGCGGAAGCAACGGGGCGATCTTACTCATAGTAGGAACCTTCTAAGGGAAGGGGAGGCGGAGATTGAGGAGGCCATGAAAGTCGGTAAGGCAGGTCTACGAAGCCACGTAGAGGCAGACCATGAGGTCCCAGCAGATGGTGAACCCAGGATGGAAAGTGATATATAGTACAGATTCATTCAATTGCTATTGTCTAGCCAACAGCGGCCGCTGACATTCATGGCTATATCACCAGATCATTTCCTTCCATCTTTTCAGACAAATTATTGGTCAACGTAGATAACATGGCAGGTAATACCTACCTACCTAATGGATAAAAAAACAGACAGGACGCCAGCCTTGGAGTTGAGTCATGTATGACACATTAGAGAACACTTTTGTGCGACTTCGTATATCATGGGGTATCAATGTAATTATGAAAAGTTCGAGACCTCCCTTTGTATGAAATGACACCTTTCCGTTTTCCTAATTTGATTCTTTCCGGTCTGTTACCTGAATCTCCAGTTGTCCCAGTCGTCGTCGTCGTCATCGTCGTCGTCGTCATCGTCATCTTCCTGGCTCTTTTTATGCTCTCCTGACGGAGTAATGGCAGTGGTTGTGCCATCCATCGAGTGGGCGTCTTTATCCTCCATGGCTCTCATATTCCTTAGCTCTTCGCGTTTGTGCTTCAACCGTCTAACCCGCTCCTCTAGTTGTTCCATCTCGTCGAACTCATCTTCTAAGAACCGAGCTGCATCTTCGCGTTCGCCTTCGACTTCAGCCTCACGACCACGGGCTGTTGTTTCATTTTCCTTCTCTTGCTGAGCTGCAAGCTGCTCGGCAGAAATAGGCGCCGCTGATATTGTTGCCTCTGCCGCAACCGCAGCGGGAGCTTGCGGTGCCCGGCTTGGGGCCGCTACCTCGCGCTCAAAAGCAGCCCATTCATCTTCATCAATATTCTGAGATTGTTCGGCAGTGTTTTTCGACTCAGGCAGTTGTGTGCTGACTTGAACTGTCGCTTGCTCGACTTCTTCTGCGTCTGATGGGGATTCTGGACCTGCAGTATCCCGCTCCGGGAGCTCAGTGTCTTCATCGAAGGACTGGGCACTCGGTGGCTGTACGGGATGGAGATTTGCAGACTGCGGATCCGCATTTGCGATCGCATGTCTCATCTTCTTGCGCGTCAAATCATCCTCGGGATCTACCTTCCGCTTCTTGATAACACGGTTTGTTGTTGTTGTTGTTGTTGTTGTTGTTGTTGTTGTTGTTGTCGCCGCTTTCCCTGTCTGATTCGAGCCCTTCCGGGAAGCCAGTTCATTTCGAAGTAAAGATCGAACATCTGCCATAGTAATTTTTTGCGTTTTATTTTTTTTTCCTTTCTCCTTTCCTTTTATTCTGCTTAGCTAGTCATAAAACGGTGCTGAAGAATATGGCAGTTAGGGGAGACTAATGTCCGATGCAGGGCGATCATGAAAATGCACAACTCTATGTGGGGATGGATACCTTTCAATGAATACACGCGCAATGAAGAGGAACCCTGTTGGCGTCGTGCCAAGAGCTCCCCGCCGAGCCGCATCACCGGATTCACGTGTCTGCTGACTCATCCGGCGACCGCGACTCCGTTTCCATTCCTTAATTCTCCTCCTTCCTAACTTCCACTTCCCCATCTCCTCATCCGCCTCCTTGTCAACTTTACTGTCGCCAAAGTCATCCGAAGTCATTACTCAGTCGCTCAGTTGCCCATTTGGTATCGTCAGATTACAGAACATATCTATAAATCTCAGCCAGCATCAAACAACGCTCACGCGACCCCACTCACGCCAAGCATTCACGCTGCGCGCGAGAAGAGGAACTCATCAAACTCTTAACACCCGTGTCTGGTGCTACATGCTGTCGCTACGCGTTGTGCCTTAAATAAGTCTTTGGAACAAATTGAGAAGATAAAGTAATACCTGTGTGGACCAAGCAACAGTGCCACTGTCCAGTGTCTTCCCTTGTGTATTACGCGAACTCTCTGATGCCGTAGAACGAGATTTGGGTGGCGCTTGTCCCAGGTTACTCTACATCGCACCGTAGAAAACTCTTATCACTATATATCATCATGGCCGGTAAGCTATAGTAACCACGATCTTGCGGACAATACGTCAGTCCACATAGGAGTGGAGTGGCGGTTGAAAGCAGATAACAATCTGAATAGCAAGCTAACGTCAACTTCAGAAGAACCGCGACGATCAGGTCGTTCGACCAAGGGTCAGCACAAGAACCTCGACCTTATCCCTGAGACACCCGCGAAAAAGCCCAAGTCGAAAGCGCAGCCGAAGGAAAAGCCACCGAAGCCCTCCGTCGAGCCGACCCCTGCCCCGAGCGAAGAGGAAGAGATCATTCGATGTATCTGTGGTGAATATGAGGAGGAGGAGGACGTTGAACGTGATATGATTTGCTGCGATCGGTGTTCAGCCTGGCAACATAATGACTGCATGGGTCTTACATTTGCGAAAGGCGAGGTACCTGATGAGTACTTTTGTGAGATATGCAAGCCTGAAAACCATAAGGTTCTCCTAGATAAGATTGCGCGTGGTGAAAAGCCTTGGGAGGAGGCAGCGGAAAAGAGACGCAAGGAAGCTGAGGAGAAGAAAGCATCGCGCCGCAGAAAAGGTAAAAAGGGTGGCAGGCGAGGCAGGCCTAGCGAACCCAAACCTGAGCCCAAACCCGAGATGAATACTCCAGCACGTACAGCAACCTCTTCGACCCCTGCTCCTGCTCCTGCTCCTACCTCTGCTACTACCCCTACCCCTGCTCCTACTGCTGCTGCTCCATCGCCTCCGGCTCCCCCAGTGCCGTCATCGGTCACACTGGTTGCTGAGGGAAATGGTGCCGTCCCCGATACCCCATCGACCAGTGCACAAAAGCGTAAGTTTGATGAGCATCAGGAAGCGTCAACACCCGAACCGGTAAGCGCTCTATATAACCACTCCCCACAATTCCCTCTGTCCACTAACCATTTTGTCTTCCAGACGCCGAAATCGAAACAACAGAAGGTCTCTCCTCCAAAAGACACTGTGACCCCTACTACAGAACCAACCCAAGTAAAGGATGAAGCTAAGGAGCAGCCTCGGCGCCAAAACTCTACCGCAGAAACGGCAGTGGTTGAAGGTGTAAAGACTGTGGAAGAAATTTCAAATCCTGCTCGGAGAAGTGCAGCCAGTGCTCTGGTCAAGTTATTTGTAGATCAGATTTCTGAGGCCCGGAAGCGAGGTTCCTACAGCTTGCAGGATGGGAAGTCAGCGGGGGAGGTCGCACGGCAACTCGCTCTCTCAATCGAGAATGCAATGTATCAGAATTTCTGCGGAGGATCTGGAGAGACCACAGAGCCGTATAAAGCACAATTGCGGACGATCTTGTTCAACGTAAAGAAGAACTCTTCTCTACGGGATCGTCTGCTCGTAGGTAGTTTACTCCCAGATACACTCTCTAAGATGAGCTCTCAAGACATGGCAAGTGAAGAACTGCAACAGAAGGATGCCGAGATCAAGCGCGAAGCCGAAAGGCAGCATATTATTGTCCAAGACCAAGGACCACGGATCAGGCGCACCCATAAAGGCGAGGAACTGGTTGAGGATGATAATCAGAATGTTTCCAGCGAGCCCGTTTTCTCCGCTGCTCCACGTCGAAGCTTAGCCGATGCCGATGGCAGCCAGAGCCCTGGTCCTCAACAGTCTGCTGAAGGCGATGCCGCTCGGAAACCCGGTCGCCAACAGACACCGGAGAGCAAACCAACCGATGGGATTTCTCACGACCGGCATTTCCCGCCCAGAGCTCACTCTCCTGGCGGTACAGACCACGAGCAAGTGTTTCCGGAGGTAGCCACCCATATCCGACAGCCATTACCCACTGGAAGGGCTCAGGCCGATGCAGAGATCGATCAACTTCTGAGGGACGATGAACCGGAATCGCCTCCTTACTCGCCGAAGGATTATCATGATGAAGGAGCAGTTTGGCGTGGCAAGGTTGTCATGAACCCTATTGCCGAGTTTTCCTCGTCGGCCAGACACGTTGGCGGTGCTGACCTCTGTGGACGAATCCCCTGGGCTCAGCTCGCGCCCTCAACATTGCTAGTGGATGGAAGGATTGACATCCAACTGGCTAGCGAGTATCTTTGCAACCTGCGTTTTAGCACTTCGACAGATGTGTCGGTTATCTGTATACGCAAACCTGAGTTACCGAAAGAGCAGGCAGGCTTCGATAGGCTCTTCAACTATTTTGCCGATCGCAAGAGATACGGTGTGGTTGGGAAACATCCACTGTCCGCTGTCAAGGATACTTATCTCATTCCTGTCGAGGCTGGATCGACTGAGAAACCAGAGTTTATCGAACTCTTGGAAAATAATTCTTTGGAGGATCCAATTCCAGAGCGGGTTCTACTTGTCGTTTTCGCCGTAAAGACTGGTGAATCGAATCCTCCTTCAGTACAGCCTTCATCGCACCTTCCAAGCCAGGAGCCAATGGCTTCTGCAAGTCCGGCGACACCTCAACATTCACAATTCACGACCCCTGGTCCAAGGCCTGTGTCTCAAATCACACCAGCGCCGTCAAATTTCGATGGCACGCCGTTGGCACATTCTCCGTATGGTCAACAGCCCCAGTTCCAGCACCAGCATCCTCAACATGCCGCCCAGTTTGCGCCGTACCAAACCCCAACGCCCCAGAATCAGGCCCCAGTCATTGGTCTTGCAGCCGCCGTCCAAGTATTGGGTTCTCAGGCTAGTTCTCCAGCCATTCAGCAGCTCTTACAACAAGCACCAAACGCGGATGTCTCCCAGCTGAGCGTCGTCCGCGATATCATGTTACGACGGCCGGAAACAGCCTTGAATTACGAAATATTAATGCAGGAGTTGGTCCAGGCTACGACGAATGGCCATGGTCTACAGCAAAATGCGAAGTAGATGGCTATAATACGACTGTATAGTAATCACCTGTTCTTTTCCTTAGGTTCATTTTGGACATGGTGTCTGTGTTGTACTGCTGTTCCTTTTACTGGGAAGGAAAAAATCGGATATTGGGTCGTTATCTTTTCTTTTCACGACGGGTTTCCAGCACAGCGATGAATACTTTATTTTTTTGCTTTTCCTCTACTCAATTCAATTCTTGCCGGCCAACTCATTTATGTTTTACTTTGTGTCAACGCGGGCCTATATACTCCATTCAAACAGTTCACATAGTTTAGGAATCTCATTAATTTCGTGCCATTGCCATGTAGCATGCGACTTGAGCAAGCGGGCACATTGTGGATCAATAAAAAAATTGCAGAATACGGCCCGGATTTGGATTTTCAAGACTAGTACTTTGTCCCTATTAACACATATGGCAATTCATAACATCCTGATAGAAAGAATAACGCCTGCGCTATGCAAATCCAGCGGAGTGGAAGGAAAAGAAAATTCATTATCACCACCGTCCACCACGCTTCTTGTAACCGCCGCCACCACCATACCGAGGTCCTCTTCCACCACCTGAGCGTCCACCCCAGCCACCATCCTCATCATCGTGATGACGGACTGGCGGTGGTCTCCCCTTAAGTTCCTCGCTAAGTCTCTTGAACGTCTTGCGCATATCTGAATAACCCATATGCATTTTACCGAAGAAATGATCCGCCAATCGACGGTCGTTGTCAAGGCGACTCAAATATGCGCCGCAGACATCGCAAACCTGTAGCTTCTGGTGGCCTGACGGACCGGAGGTGTCCTGCAGGTTCTTCAATTCGCGTTCGCACGTTTCCTTCTGGTGTTTGGCTGTGCGGATCTTGTGTAATTCATTGTACGCCTGCGCGACGGAGCCCGTTTCGCCGAGGACGGAAATCTCAAGCAGGCCGCCATTGATCGTTTTAGAATAATCGGAGATTTGTTTAAGCTATCAAAAGTCAACATCTAGCTTCAGTTCGCGAGAAAGCAATGCTTACAAGGTTATTAGTCTGGCGGATTTCATCCGGAGTCTTCTCCAACCGTCGCTGTGCTGAATCAATCCTCCGGTCACAATCGTCAATGTACTTTTGCATGTCTCTCATATAGTCGAAATCGAAACCCCATTTGGCTTTTTCCGCGGCCGAAGCTGTCTCGTACTCCGTCTTCAGCCCTTCGCTATGCACCTTGGGGCAAGGGCCAAGATCTTGCTTGGTATTGGTGAAGAGATCATGTGGACATGTACCGACAAGGTATGAGCGACAAACTTTCGAATCGGTAATGGAAAGTTGAGCATTGCGAGAGGGAGCACCAGTGCCCATGAGCTGGTCCGCTACGAGAAGATTTCTGTTAGCTAGGTTCTAGCCGTGTATTTTTCTTAGAGAGCTAGCTTACCTCCCATGAGCTGCTCAAGTAGCTTTCTCTGTTCCGCCGCCATGATGCAATGACTCCGAGAAGAGGATGTTCGTGCAAAAAGAGTGGGGATTGTACGTAAATGAGAGCTGTTGCGATGAACGAGAGACGATTATTCTGCGGAGTGGCGCTAAACGCGGCTGCGCTTAGGAAGGTTATCTACCCCCTTTCGGTAATAGTCCAGATGCCATAGAAGAGCCATGAGCAGAGCTATGGCCTAATGAAACTACTAAAGAACTACTAGGCATTGCAATTAATTTCGATTTAATAACGGCTTCCTCCGATTGCAAGGTCCGGTCCAAGCTATTACCTTCCCCAAGCGCTATCCTATGCCACCGTCGGTTCGGGGATCTTACTACCACCCGTGCATGGCTTGATCTCGGAGATATCAATTACATTACAACAGTGCTTGAAAACTTTTCGCTGGCAAGCATGACGGAATGATTGTCCTTTCTTTACTTTCACTATCTCTCCTTGTGGCGTTGTCCTCGCTCACCTCCGCGGCATCGGACTACCATGAGAGCCTCGTCTTACAGCCACTGCCGCAGTCGTCCTTGTTGGCATCCTTCAATTTCCGAAGCAATGCTTCGCAGGAATCCTTTGATGGGCGGAATTATCGCCACTTTCCCCGTGCGCTAGGTCAAATATTGCAACATGCTCACACGAAAGAGTTACACCTACGATTCACCACGGGAAGATGGGATGCTCAAAGCTGGGGTTCGCGTCCCTGGAATGGAGTGAAGGAAGGAAACACGGGCGTTGAACTGTGGGCATGGATTGATGCAGCAGATGATCAAGAGTACGTGTGACACCGTTCATTGCTTAGAATGCATGTGCTGATCAGTATCCAGGGCGTTCGCGAGATGGATTACTCTGACCCAATCTCTGTCCGGTCTGTTCTGCGCATCGCTCAACTTCATCGACTCGACTCGGACTACTCGACCTGTTGCATCATTCGCCCCCACCGGAGATCATTCACCCTCGAGTAACTTACATCTCCTGCATGGAACGCTTCCGGGTGAAGTTGTCTGTACGGAGAATCTAACGCCTTTTTTGAAACTACTACCATGCAAGGGCAAGGCCGGTGTTGCCAGTCTGCTTGATGGACACAAATTGTTTGATGCATCTTGGCAAAGCATGTCGGTCGATATACGTCCTATCTGCTCTCAGTCGGATGATTGTCTCATCCAAATCGACCAAACTGTGGACATTGTGCTTGATCTTGAAAGGTCGAAACGCCCTCGAGGTGAGTTCAACAAACGTGCTTGTCTTCGACGAAAGCTCCTAACGGTTTTTAGACAATCCAATTCCACGACCGGTTAATAATGATCAGCTTGTCTGCGATACATCTAAGCCATATCACTCAGACGATACCTGTTATCCTTTGGACAAAACTTCCGAAGGAGGTTGGAGCCTGAGCGAAATCTTTGGGCGGACTGTCAGCGGCGTTTGCCCCTTGGGTGATAGCCAAAGCTCTGAAGAAACTGTTTGCTTGCGTGTACCACACGAACGAGGAGTGGCTGTCTCTGAAGGCGCGGTCGAGATCAGGAAGCCGGACGGCTTCGCTCGCTGTTACACACTACAGCCCTCCAGTGCATTCGACCTGGTCGTGCCTGAGCAAGAAGCCACAGCCCATGTTCCTCTAGCCGAACCTGTGTTAAGCGCAGAGCGAACAATTGTTGGTCATGGCGTGGAACGAGGCGGCATGCGGATCATCTTTGATAATCCATCCGCTACAGACACGGTCGATTTCATCTATTTTGAAACACTCCCTTGGTTCTTGCGGCCGTTTATACATACGCTACAAGCGACAATCACTGGACGTGATGGGGTTCGCCGACAAGCCCCCACTTCGCAGCTCATCAAGGAGACTTTCTACCGGCCAGCGATCGACAGAGAACGCGGTACACAATTCGAACTAGCTCTCTCAGTTCCTGCTGCTTCTAGCGTGACGCTTACATATGACTTCGAGAAGGCAATTTTACGGTACACCGAGTACCCACCGGACGCGAATCGTGGCTTCAACGTTGCCCCAGCGGTGATCAAGCTGGGTGGGCCTAAGAACCCAACCTACATGCGCACGACTAGTCTTCTCTTGCCGCTCCCAACCCCGGATTTCAGCATGCCGTACAATGTGATCATCCTTACCAGTACGGTCATTGCTCTGGCATTTGGAAGCATCTTCAACCTCTTGGTCCGTCGCTTCGTCTCTGCAGAAGAGGCAGCCGCAGCCAATTCACAGACATTAAAGGGCCGGCTAGCCGGTAAAGTAGTAGCTCTACGAGATAGGATAAAGGGGAAGAGCTCCAAGGTTGAATAGTAGCCTTATCATCACGTGGAGGGAATCAATAATGCACATATGTTATGTCTTTTGCAATATTCTCATGACATCTAACTCACCTATGACTTCACTATACTGCCCTAAATATTTCAAAGCCAACCAAACTCCAATAAATAGACAAATTCCCTTAGTTCAAATGCAACTTACACCCTATCATCATTCAACCAAATCTAGCGTCAACCAAGTTAGCAACCAAACCCCCACCCTTCCCACGTAAAGAAGAGAAAGAAAAGAAAACTTACATATTACTCATGGTATCCTTCGCCTTCTCCCACCCCGGCAAAGTATCCTGTGTACCTGGTTTCCGCTCCATAAAACTATGATCCTCAGTCGCACACGTCCCCTCATTCTCCCCCGCTTCTCTATGAGTCCGTCCCATGAAATTCTGCTCTGCCATGTTCTTCTGATCCCGTAGACTAGAGAATTCGTTGGCAGAGGAGTATGATGTTTTGATTTTACCCTAGGCAAACCGAGTTAGTTCGATCAAGCTAGGAGATTTAGATAACACATGGATAGGAGAGCATCATACGGAGATATGACCGGGTCCTTCGTCTGTTCCGCCCTTGAAGAATCCCGTGTCGCCCCAGCCTCGGCCGCCGCCGACGTTGTTGGCCGGGGTTGGTTCGGCGCTGGCGCCGCCTCTGGTTCCCGTGACGGGGTGTTGGTTGGCGTGGGTATGTTCTCCAGACATTATTTGACGTGTGGGAGGGGGGGGTGTGGAAAGATGGTGGTTTATGGGTCTGGGGATGAGGTTAGTTTATATTTTGGTGGGGGTTGGGTGTATAGTTGAGGAAATAGAAATGATCTGATATCATAAAGTATATTATAGTTCCGTTATTTTGGAAGCTCAAAGGAGTGTTTGTGGTAATGGTTTGTGACTTACATATGACATATAAGCAGGTGATGGTTGTCTAAATAATTACAAGGAATAGCCAGAGCAGAAGTGCCGTTTATACTGCATCAAAGTATACAAACTCATGAAATGAATGATACCACTGATATCATCATGACCACATACTGCGTTTCTCATTGGCCGCCACGGCGCTGAGTCATCGGAGACATGAGCGTTGCCATTTTTAGTAATTAGGGCAAGAGCAATAATGGGATTCAGATCTATGTATGTACAGGCATTACATAGACTTCAAGGCCATATAATGGTATGGGTGGTTTTAGTGACCCAATGGCGGCAGAAGTAATTCAAACCCTCTTTAGCAAGGTGTAATAATGATTAAGAACAGCGAACACCAATCACTTGGGGAATATTCCGTAGCATGCAATAACAATGGTCCTCCAAAACATGATCAAGAAACAATAGAAATTCGTGACAGTGACATTTAGTTATTTTCAACTTGCTCCGCCCATGTAGCCCCGGTGACAGATAGCGGTGATAAAACGGCCTCGAGCTGGGCGGTAGTAGTGTCAGTCTTGACTGTGCTCTCCTTCTTACTGCCACCGGGCAAGGAAGGAAATTCGGCTTCATTATCGATAACCGGAGCGGGTGCAGGCTTTTGCTCAGTGTTGTCCAGTCCATTCGTTGTGGCTTCAGGTGCTGCAGTGTCTCCTCGTGGTCCGCGGCCGTTGCGTCCACGGCCGCCTCTTCCACCACGACCTCGGCCACGGTGGCCGTTATGATGATGATTGTCCGTGTCTTCACTAGGCTGCGAATCTCCAAAGTCTCGTCTAACGTATCCAGAGACACCGCCATGCATTGCGCGTCGAAACTGCCCTCTACCTCCGCGAGGATTATAGTCTTCCTCCTGCTTCTGCGAGTCCCACTCTCTACCGTTCAAAGCCTGAAGTTTTCGCTGCCGATTGCGCTCTCGTTCGTTATCCATCACACGGCGATTCTGGCGTTCTTGGCGCCGCTTCTCTTCTGCAACCTTCTCCCGTTCCAGGAAGGAGGCCTGGTCAGCTTCAGCGCGAGCATGGGCGGCCGCCTTTCTAGCAGCGTTTTCCTTCGCGGCAGCAATACGTTGGGAAAGTTCTTCCTCTGTGAGTTTTGGCTAAGGATATGATCAGTGATTGCACTTGTGTACAAAGGGGAAAAAAAAAAAAAAAAAAAAAAA